CATTTGAACTAGGTGGTTGCGATATATTTTGACTGGTTTTGACGTTGACGATTAACAAACATTTTTTTAATTATTAATTTAGTGCAAAGACTTGCAGTAATGCATATATGCATACAATATATGTATATTTTTTATATAAATATATATATCCAGAAAAGTTTATTTTTTGGTTAAGTCTACTAAATATACATAATTTAATTATATATTATATACTATGTGTTATATACGTATATATTTACAGGATCAACGATTTATATGTTTAAATTTATTAAGTGTGTCATGGCTACAGTTATGACTTATTTGTTTAATGCGTCCTTTTTAAGTGTAAAATTATAAGCAATTCTTTTGCAAATCATCGAAAAGAAGCCCATGCCTGTTTCATTCAAATCAATTGTCCAGGAAACACCTATTGAGAAATTTTGGTAAACGTTCTTGCAAGTAATATTGATCAATATATTGTGTGTCAATGGTGAGTCACTTTTTTCACACACATGCAACAAATACCAACTGTGCCCGTACATCAAAGACATGCATCAGTCACTTTACTACCTAAGGGGCCAATGTCCTTCACTTGCTGTGGGAACCGGTATATTTAGGCCTTCGACTATCCCCCTTCTAGGGGGTTTTTGTGTGTCTTTTGTCTTATAGGCCGCTTGATTTCCACGGTCGGTGCTTCGAATCACACGTGAAGGCAACCAATTTTGTAGATGTCAGCCAAATTTCTTTGGAGAAATTTTTTTGAAATTAATTAAATAAATAAATTTTAATTGTATTGTAAGTAATTTTATTTAATCTATTTTAATTAATCATTTTCATATTGGTTCATATTTACCACTGAGAGCCTATAGGAAAATGAAAAAAGAGATTGCCCAGATTGTTTGAAACACCTGCTGTCGATATTTCATTTATTGATTTATGGTGTGCCCTACCTTTTTTTTATTCCGACATCGCCTTCGTGAATTTTCTTTGGTTTAAAAATCGCTCAGATCAACGAAAAAGAAGTAAAAATTGTTCTGATATGTGTAAACAAACAAACCTATCTTTATTCGTTCATTGAAAATAAAACCGCCAAAAATAACCTTGAACGCGACCAAGGTTATTACGCAACGTGTTTAAGAGCTTTGGAATCGGTTTCTGCGAATTCAATTAGCAAATAAAATATGGTAAATATGAATGGAGCCATCGGCCAATAGAGAATAAAGGTGATGATATTACAATAATACAGTACCTGGACTCCTTTGTAAATCAGCGGTCCCCAAATTAAAATTCTAATTAATTAAGTTAATTTAACGAAAACGAAACCGTCTCCTATGTATTCGTTTGCTCATTTTTATTAGGAAGACGATGGCATGTATCCACGTATATACACTTTCCATGTCTAAGCCTTGCGTCAATATAATATGTAATCAACAGCTTCCGTTCTGCATTATCCCTTATTATGGTGTACATTGTATAGCAAGAAGAGTAGTGATAACGACCATGCTTAAACCAAATAGTTAATTATCTGGTTAAACAGCTTGTAGGTACGTTAACTAGCAACCGAAAAATAGATCAACCGTCATTGAATCATTTTTTTACATCCGCTGACATGATGTATATTCATGATATGTAAGTACATGTATAACGGAAAAGAAGGACGCTTTGAAGAATTGTGTCGTTATAGATGTGGATAATTTAGGACAAGTTTGCGAACATCAGTACATATTTTTAATTTCCCAATATGTTGGGTTGGATTATGCAATGAGCAGTCTGATATTAATTTCATCAGAATGAAAGGAATAACCCGGAATAGAAGGCATTGGTCACAAATTTATGACAATTCGTATTAATGAGCACCATACAGGGTGTCCCGTACTATAAATAAAAGTAAGATTAGTTCAATCTAGGGTTGTGGAGTTGACCGGTGAAATAATTAATAACAATTTTTAAAATACAATGAGATTTATGTTTATTTATTTCAGAAGGATGTTTTTTCCTAAATCAACTTTATGTTCATAAATCAACGTCAAGTGCTTTGCTTCGCGTTGAAACACACATAATTTACCAAACCTTGTTTGGATCACCATCTATCTCTGATCAATAACACAAGGCTGGGGTTGTACAATTGACTGGTCAATTTTTTTTGTGTCAATGGACCAGTCAGTTGACAGAAATAATTTTTAAAATCCGATGGATTTTATATTTATTTATTTATTTGTATTGTGCGTTCTGAAGTGCTAAATGGAGTCGATATTTTTATTGGGATTCACTGAATTGCTAAGTGTCGTATTCGGGTATTCCTTGAAAAGGGTTACAGGTAAATTGGACATCACAAACGCATAATAATTTATTGTAAAATACATGTTATTATTAATTAATGATACACAACAGTCTACAATTGCAAAATGTTATTTAAAACATTTTGAATGGATTTGACTAGTCATTTAAAATTGTAGAGGGCATATTCTAGTTCAATTATTAGAAATTTGCGTGCACTATTTCCAGTTTTTATATTCGCCTTTCAAATTACTCTGCAATATTTCAAAAACATTTGTGATGTGGCGGGTTGCGCGTTGCGGTTTCTTAAGCATATGTTTAGGAAATAATTTAATGGTTTGCGAAAACTTCACGTTTTCAAATAACTGGAGAAATTTTTTTCAAATTCGGTACATTTGCTTCTCCGAATAAAAAGGTCTGCCTTGACGAAATTATTCTTATTTCTACAATCTCATACGGAATTTTGAAGAACTACTTTTCTTGATGACAGGACAGATTTGTACATCTCTTTGACCCATCAAGTGTGTGAAAATAATGGTATGGAACGATTATACGCACTACTTAATTCTTATTTATTATTCTATTTCATGCAAACTTCCGAACCATTGTTTACTGTATGGTTCCAAAGTCGTGAGTAAATATCAATAACAGATGGTTAATTGAATTAATAAGCGAATGTGTTTACAAGCCTGACATTTTTGGAATAATTCGTTGCTTCCATATAGTCGTCACATGGGCCATGTGTGGGAATTGGCTTTGTTTTTATTAAGAAGTGGGGCGTGGCCGTGCTATTATTTTGCTTATTGTACTATTATATTGCCTATTGGTATTTTATTAGGTCATTAAATTATTATTTTTATTAAATTATTAAAGAATATTGATTCAATTTATTCTAAAAGAATAATATTTTTGTAGCGATGACTCGTGAGTCATCACTCGCTCTTAGCGAGAGAAAGTGCTTATCTCAAAAACTAAACGTCATAGGGAAAAATTCATACGTCTGTGATTCTAACGCAGCTAGAGCGTGAGAACCTCAGCCGACCACGTTCAAAAACAATTAACGCTTACTGTTGATCATATAGTCATTTCAGAATCTGCAAGCGGTAAATATTCAACTTTTCTAGTTAAAAAAAAAAGTGTGCCACATCGAAATCATAAATTAATCATAAACCTACAAAACTTTTTCACGTTCAACTTCTCCGTACAGCTAGACATCAACTTACGTTCTCCTTTTCATTTGCGAGGGCCAATAAATCCAGTCATAAAATGTTTTCCAATTGCAATCGTATCCTTCCGACATATTTTGTGACAGTGTTTCTTCTCTTTTAAAATTAACTTTGCGCAAGCTGTTTTATTGACCCTTAAGCTTCAACTTCAGTTTTGATTTTGTTAACATTAGATTCAGTTTTCACTTTTATACTTATTTTTGTATTTTAAGCATTCTAAACATATGATTACCCTATTGATACAATTGCATACATACATACATTAAAAATTCTTGAGAAATTACCGTGTAAAATATTAGACAAGTATTTAAATAACACTGTATATTATATTATATTATATTAAGTGCAGTTCCTAGCAAAAAAATCGTTTTATATTTGATGATTTTTTTCGGTAAGATGCCTAATTTTCGAGATATTAATCAAAATCCATCCTGCCAACCGACTCTTACTCCCCGACTTTACTTTTTTCTGCTTTTACGAGGTGTGTTCAAAAATTAAGATGATTTTTAAGTTTTATCAAAAAGTATTTATTTATTTATCAAAATTAATGTTGTCCCCTTCAAAGTACCCCCCTCCCCTCCCAGATATAATACCCTTTTACCAACGTTTTTTCCAGTCCTCAAAGCACTTCTGGTAAGTACTTTGTGATAAAGCCTTGAGTTATTCCAGCGATTTTTTCTTTATCTCCTCAGTCGTTCCAAACCTCCTTACTTTCATGGGTTTCTTGAGTTTTGGAAACAGGAAAAAATCGCAGGGGATCATATCCGTTGAATATGGTGGCTGAGGCATGATTGTGGTTTTGTTTTTTGGAGAATAAGTTAGACACAAGCAACGTTTTTGTTTTGTAAGAATACCTTGGCATTTGATCGAAATTTGCTTTTTTTGTCTATTCGGGGTTCTTCCACCAGTTATGACCTTTTGAGCGATGCTCCTTCGACGGTACTTTTGTTTGCTTGTTTGCTTAATTCCACGTTTCATGCACAAAACTTCAGAAAAAATTGCATAGCACGAGCCAATAGAGATGCCGGCGTCTTCAGCTACTTCTTTAATAGTGATTCGACGATTTTTCAACAGCATTTATTTCATTTCTTCAACGCTCTCATCAGTTATTGGCGTGCTGGGGTGTCCAGAGCGAGGTTCGTCATCGGCGTCTTCTCAGCCATCTGCCATATGCCGACATTTCAAGTATTTTGCACGACTGTATTTCATTTTTTTACACAAAACTTTGTGCAAATTCTTTGTTCTATTTTTTTTACAGCAGGAAATCGCTGATCCCACAAAACATGTCTAACGCTGCTGTCTCACAAAAAAAGTAATCGTGCAAACTGGCTGAAACTGTGAACATATATTAGGGACATGTGCATCAACATAACAAAAAAAAAATTATCGATGATCGAATGTACTTAGTGCGCCCTGTTTACTTTTTGAACACGCCGCGTATGCTAAACTATGATCTCGGGAGACTAATTGTTAATATCGCCTACTTTACCTATATCGATTGATGTTTTTAACTTCCAGGAAGATGAAAAAGTTATTGAGTTAGTCAACAAATACGGTGCCAAGAAATGGACGCTCATAGCCCGCCACCTGAAAGGTAGGATAGGCAAACAGTGCAGGGAGAGATGGCACAATCATCTAAATCCGAAAATAAAGAAATCCGCATGGACCGAACAAGAGGACGAAATCATTTACCAAGCTCATCAAGTTTTGGGCAACCAATGGGCTAGAATTGCGAAGTTATTGCCAGGTATTATATACTTTCTTGTTTCATACTATTTTCCAAGTAAAGAGTTGTCCAAATTGAGATCTAGAAATTATTTGAAGTCGGTGAAAGTATTTTTAAAAAATAAAAATCGCGTTTGCGAGAGTCTACTAAAAAGATCATTTTTCAAAAACCGTTTACAGGGTGCGCCAAACCTTGATAAAAATTGAAAAATGGATCTCCCTGTTATTGAAAATTGGCTATAACTGAAAGATGTCACTTTATTTTACATTGCGATATAGCCCGCATAGACAGCTAAAACTTTTGTATTAAAGGTTTTCACCTATTGTACAGGGTTTTCCCGATATTTCGTGTCCTAAATTTGCAAATATCAACTTCAAATTTAGCAGAGAAGTAAAGGTCCATGTCCACATTTAAACAAAGATAATACTTTAAAAGCTGTCGGAAAAAGGTTGATAACTCGATGTGAAAATAAACTCAATATCGAGCATTATTTAATATGAACGGCCCATACGTGTTGCTGTTTTTATATTTTCAATTAAAGAGTAAAGTTATTTCCAGGTAGGACGGATAATGCAATTAAAAATCATTGGAATTCTACGATGAGAAGACGTTACGAAACTGAAAGTCGCGAAAACGGAGACTCTAGACGTGGTAGAATAAGGAAAAACATTCGACAGCTCGATATAAACAACTGTCTACGGTTAAAACAACTTGCTGGTCAAATCGGATCGATCGACTCTCAGAAAGACAATCTACACACACTTTACAACAGTGAAGTAAGGCTGCCTATCAGGGTTATTTATAATACAGATATATCCTCCTTTCATTAAAATTTCCAGTCGCCGCGTGGAACACGTGATTAGATTCAAAATTAATTTTTGAAGAAAAAAAAACAACCAAAAATTTATTAGATTGATAGTTTCATGTTCTCTTAATTTTAAAATATTTTCATTTGTCAGAAACTTTTTGTTTGACGGCAAGTCACGTCACATGGCCATATTTTATCAATTTTGTGTTCTATGATTTATCCAATTTTCTATTTACCTAGCTCTTTCGGCCTTTCAATTATTTGTCCTTAAAAAAAAAGTGTAAAGAAGTGATAAATTTAGCTGTTTGATTTTTCTTAGGATTGGATTGAAATGTATGATCAAGGAAGCAGTCAGTCCAGTAACGGCGGATTTTCTGCTGGGGCGCCTACTCCCAGTCCAGGTCCCTTAACTCCCACCCCCACCCCATTTGATAAAATGGATCCATCCGACACGCAAATCCCAAATAATTTTGGATACACTAATCAATCCTCGCCTGTTAAACTGACTCCATTGAACGATGATATTGTGTCCGACTTCGATTTGGGTTTCTACAATTCACCAAGAATTAGTCCATTGAAGAATACCAACAAACAGTTCATAAGAACAAGTAAGACTTTTCAACAACATTAGCATATTCTTCTTTCAGTATTTATAGTTTCCGACCTGTAATCTTTTATCGGGTTTTTATGTTTCTTTCATTTTCAAGTGATCAGTTCGTCCCACTGCCCCCGAAGCAACTTGGCATCTGCGAATATTGCGCCGCCCACAAGGTCTTCGACACCATCAATTTTGAGGAGGGGCGCTAAGTTAAGAAAAGCCAAGGGTACTGAAGAAAAACCTCAAGAGACTTTCAATTTTGCCTCAGAATATGCCGAGGAATCAGGAACAACTAATGGCGACAAAATGGAGAGTCTAAATTGTGACTTGGATAGTGCAAAACCCACAATATTTAGCCCGGTAAGGGCGCACGGCAATTCACCTATCAAGCAGTTGCCATTCAGCCCTTCACAATTTTTAAACAGTCCAAATGTGTCAAATATCACATTTGATGTTTCTCTGTCTTCAACTCCAGTGAAAAAGCACGTAACTCTCACTCCAAAACAAACTACTCCTGTACAGGTAAGATTATTGATTAAAAAAAAAAGTCGTTCCATTATGGCAAGGTGTTCAACTTTTAAGGAAAGAAGCTATAGCCCGCTAAGTACGCCGCATGGGTTATCTATGAAACCTGAACCTACAGCATCTACCTCAGAAGTAAGCACACCTAGTAAGCGAACTTACCATGATGATGGCACCCCACGTACTCCTACTCCATTCAAAAAGGCTCTTGCGGATTTAGAAAAAAAATCTGGACCAATTACAAATTTGCCAGATACCCCTTCATCTAGATTAGAGGACATAACTGAAATAATGAAAAAGGATCAAGATGGTTCCCATTATGAAACAGACACTAGTGTAACTGCCACGGTAAGCAAAAGCAATATGTTCTTAGAAACAAAAACATATAATATGGAACTTACAACAAATGGCTGAAAATTATTATTCAAAACAAGAAAACAAGTTAATAGAAACCTAGGTATGCTTAATTTCCAAAATACAGGGTGTTAAATGTATATATTTTTTGTGTGTGAAAGTCCTTATTGTGCAATGAAGATGGTTGTGGTTATTTGTATTTTATTTTATGTGATCAAAGGGTAAAAAAATAATGTTTATAAAAATTGACTGACACAATACCAAAAATTCGCGAAAAACGCAATGAAAAGCAAAATAAATTATGTTAACTGCAACAAAAGTTCATCCAGTACTGTGCAATCTGAAAAATGTGGTTAATATTTCAGAAAATAACCTCTCCCAACAGTTTTTGGCCAACTAAACTAACTGTCATTGAATAATTCAAAATCACATCTTTACTTTCAACCTTACATTCGAAAATACCAATTTTAAAAAATTCACTATTCACATTGTCAACAAAAGTTATCCCAACAATTATTTCTATGGCAAGTGCCATCCAAGCAAATCCTTTTAATAGCTTGCTTTAGCAGTTTTCACTATCGCTATCTTATAAAAATTGTGACATTCCATTGTGTTTACATTATACCGAGCCTGTTGTACACTAAACAGAATATAGATCTGTATAAAACACATAAAAATTTTCAGAATTACAAAACAAGAAACAACAATAACATCTTGCCAGACTTCCGCCGACTTGACAGATCCAGAGACAGAACCCGATATTTGACATTAAAATTGTACAATTACATTCTAGTTCATATCGAAGTCCTTAAATTCAGTCAGTATAAAAAAAAAGTCTATCTAATATTGTAGGCCTTTTTCTCATTTGAGGAATATTTCAAATTTTTGGTCTGTGATATGTTTTACTTTTTCATATATCATATATATTTGAATAGTTTATTTTAATAAATACTTTGCATTTGCAATTGTTTATTAATTAATTAGTTGTAATAATAATTTTAAAAATATTGATTTTCCTCTACTGAGCTGTAAAAGCATTGTGTATGATTTGTTTACAAATAAGGTATCTATAATAATGTTCGTTAAGGTACCTCCCAAGACGGCACTGGGCTTCGCAATTTGAATCTAGTTCAAGAACAATAACTAGCCATTAAAATTTATAAATGTTTTTTGAAATACTCTGTAGATATTAAAATAAAAACAAATCGAAGTATTTTTTTTGTTTTTTAGAATGACAGTGGCTACTTAACTGGTAAAAGGAAAGGCGGCGGTTTGGCAGCTGGCAAAGAAAACATTCTTCCAAATAAAAAAGTGAGAAAAGCACTCGCTCCATCGTGGGCTTCCACATCAATATCATCTCAAGTATCATCCGATATGTCCTTTGCAGTTGAAACTCCTGTAAGTATCTGTAACATATTTATTAGGATGTCACCTCTAAAGTAGACAACCTATCCGTGTTTTACTGCAATGAACATGATGAGTGTCACAATTGATGACACTCTGATAATTTGTGCCAAGGGCTAGGGCTAAGCGTTTTAAGATTCCAAAGGAATTCCAGTACTCTGTGTGGTGTGACGTTCAGCTTGCACCTGGCTCGAATTGCCACGCTCATTGTTGTCATTCCAGCTAAAGATTCAGTGACAAGACAGCTAGCAAGGGTTTTTACTATTTATCCCTCGGTCATGAGGTTGACTTATTGTATTATATGATTTATGAACCATACAATATTTCGGAATTAATTGAATTTAGTTTATTATGACAAACTATAAAATGTAACACTTGATGATTTCAATATTTTTTTTATTTCAGAGCAAATCACTTGGAACAGATTCATCCATTCTCTTTTCTACTCCACCATCAATTATAAAAGATTCTTTAGGAGTATCAGCTTTGGATTATGTAGGACCACAGGGATTTAAGGTACAAGGATGGTTTAATTTTGGAGATATATTCCCTTCCTAACCATTTCCCGATTTTTTCTCCAAATTGAATATGATTTAATTATGTGTTGCAATGTGTGCTAACCATTTCCTATTACAATTTTAATGTCGCTTAATTAATATTTCTTTCATTTCTTCTATTCAGCATTCAGATATAAATAACTAATGTTGGGGAAAATTTTCTTTATCAGCCTCGGCCGATAGATCACAGGAATTTCAACTTAGCATTAGAGCCGAAGCAATTCATTGAAAGTTTTATTTAAACCATTTTACTTTTCTCTCACGTTTATGTTGTGTAGAATTTTTGCATAGGTGCCTTAGAAAGTGCCACCAACTTCAGTATATTAAAAACGATATTTCTTGCTGACGCCGTATTTCCTAAAAACTTTGATGGGAAAAAATAACTATATAGTTTTTTTTAAAGGCGCGCTTAATTTATTTGGCTATTATTAATAATTATTGTTTATTGTGTGCCAAAATTGGTCAAGTTGGTTTATTTTTGCTGGATGAAAGGTTTCTAGATATTTTTCCAAAATACCATATTTTATACTCTTAGTATGTATCCTATGTTCAAATAAAAAATGGCAGGGATTGTATCATCAATATTAACTGCGTTATATATTAGTATACTGTTGCTAATATTTAGCAAAATTACTATAAAATGCACTAATGAAATATGGCTTAGCTAAGTAAAAAATAACTTTACATTAGGGTTTTTAAGATGAAATGGCATTCTGTTATAATATTTATGTGTAAAGTTCATAAAACTGTGGGTGCCATTCATTAAGTAAATATAATTCGAGGTGTATATAAATTTCCAATCAACTTTCCCCCAAAAATTCTGCTGTCTAGTCCAAGCTAACTTAAAAGTTAGCATATTTCCCAACCAAAGCCCTAAATTATTCCTTTTTGAAAGCTTGCTGTAACATCGAAATGCAAGTGCTTATTACGTTTTTACCTGTTTTTGCCTTAAAAAGTGTAATTTATATTTATTAGATTGAGTAATTCCAAAACTTAATATATTTTTATTTTTGTTATTTGTTGTTGCTGAGAATAAAATACAACGCTTTATTTTAGGGCAGGCTACTTCATATAATATGTTGATATTTTCTCAACATTAAGTAGGTACTTATTTAAGTTTGACAAAGTCATCTTTTGAGTCAGATCATATATACTGATCAATTTAATTTTATATTGTATTTTTTGAAATTTGGTTTGCCTGTAGCATTCAATGACTCACTTCATTTTCATTTTTGTGTTACCATAAAGTGAAGTAAACGCTTGGCTATGTTGTTATATTGTTTTTTGTCTTTTTTATTATTTTTGTAGGAAGCACGTTTTTTAGCGTACATTTTAAGATTTTTTGTTTTCGTTTTGTTGCACATCAAATTTCGTTCCATTCAATTTTCTTGTATTAGGTTTAAGATTGCTGACATGATATTTTACCAATTTTAGAACAAATTTGTGCGTTTTTTTACTATACTAAATCTGATATAAAACGTCTGAAAAATACCTTTATTTTGTAAATTCACGCAAATGCATAAAAGGATGATTGATTGAAGTCAATTAATTGTAACATAGTTTTAGAATATATGATCTGCGAATTGTGTTAATCCCAGCTAATATGTTTGAGCTATCCCATTTACCTTTAAGTAAACTAACGAAATTTTTTGTGAAGCATGTTTCACTTTAATGTATTTAACTAATTTTGGTGGATTGGATCACTAAATTTGTGCTAACAATATTAGAAATTCAAAATTGCAATCCTAAAATCTTTTAACAAACACGTTTAGTGATTCTATTCTAATAATCTTAGCTTGTATGTTTGCTTATTGTATTTGATTTGTGATTGTGTATCAGAATGCAAAATAAAGGTATTTAAACAAATAAACTTGTGTTGATTTTACTCAGTGGATTTTACTCTAATTTCTTTAAAACATAAATCGAAACCTAAAAAACTAGACCCCACAAGAAATCAATATGGATTTTTTGAAAATCAGAATGGTTATCAGTTTTTATCGAATTCACTGAATGTTGCCCTTGGAAATGTTTTATTTTTTTGCATGCAAAATTTGAATAGACTCTGAAAAGTACTGAGTTTAAGGCCCACCACAGTCTACTAAAAGTCGGCAAAAAATTATGTCCAATGTATACTGTAAAAATACACATCAACTGGTAGCCACATATAATACACAGTCTCGAAAATAATATATACCCCAAACAATAAAAGTAAAACATTGTTCAAAAATGGCAAACATCAGGGGTGAGAAACTCAATGGAACCAATTTTTAAAATTTTTAAAGCTTTGCGGAAAAAGTAAATTTTAAAATTTGTTAATATTTTATATATTTGTTAGTAAACCATTGCTGGAAATGTTGGAGAGCGAAATAACAGTTTTGATTTACTAAGAGAAGCCAAGTCCTAAATTGCAAATATGTAACACAAGTTTTTAAACACAAAGGCAAATGCAGTTAAGATACCATAAAATTCCTCTGTGCTTAATTTGCTTTGATATTGTAATCGTAGCCAGATCCTGATGCCAGTGCTTCTACTCAACGTAGTGCAGCCGCAAAGCGGATTACTTTTGAGGATGCTTACATTCGATCGCCAAAGGTGAGGCATCCTTTTAATATGATGCTAAGAGACATTAATAATTTCCAATCAATCTGTTTTGGTTCTTGACAAAATGATATATCTCACAAGATAGCGTATCTGTGTAGTTTTTTGATAATCCACAAACATGCACAGTGCATCAGCTTAATAATTTCATTTATTTCATGTTATGTATCACAACAATTTTATTTTTTACATCATTGTGACCAACTGTTTATCAAAGTGTCTTAAATTTTATGTTTGATACTTCATCTTTACTTGAATTTATTTGGAGATGAATGTGACATGATGGAGTACATCTTGAAACTTTTTTACTGTTCTGTGTTAATCGTGAATTTTCTGTTAACACATTTTGCAGGAGGCATTACAATCTGCCTAAAATTTGATGATTACATTTCCCAATATTCTACTAATTTGAACATATTTTATCAAAATAAAATTTGCAGTTGGACAAGCTTTGGGTGATGGTCGCATGTGGTAGAACTCAAGATCAAATTGATCTAACAGAAAAAGCCCACCGCTTCTTGAAGAGTAATGGCTTTAAGCCACGTTCGTTGGACTTCTAAAACTCTTATGAAATATCGTCCTCCCTTTGGCAAAGCAACCGATTATTTTATTGTTCTCGCATCAATTTGGAATTTGCTTCATTTTCACAATCGCCACTCTGCCACAGGAGGGATGATTTTATAGTGTATATTATCATAAATTAGAATGTACATTTATTAGTAATTAATAATTTTTATTGGAGATACTGGTCAAGGATTGAATTTTTGGATATTTTCAAAGATTCTATTTTAATGATTGAATTGATCCCTCAAATATTCTCGCAGTTACTGCTCCATTAAATGTGCACAAAAAGAAGTGCAGCCAGTATCGAGTGAAAATATCAGGGACAAATTATTTTATTTAGTAACGCAAAAGCATTTGCATAGCTTATATACATTTTCCGTGCTTTTATGTATTATGATTATTATTTGTACAGTTTATCGTTTTATTTAAAGATTGTATTCATGTTATCGTAAAAATAGATTTTAATAGATTTTACTGTGTGTGTGTACAATTAATTTAATAAAAAATCAATTTTTTCAAGTAAATAGAAAAAGCGGTAGGTTTAGAATTGGCGTGTCCAATTAAGTAAGGAAGGAAGGAAGAAATAATTTTGTATTCCAATAAATTTCCAAATTAGAAATAATTGTTACAAATAAAATAAATCCAAAGCACTATATATTAATTTCAGGGAGGTTCACATGGTCCATAGAAGTAACCGTATGAACAGATTAACATATTAAATGAATTAATTTAATTAATAAATAGTTGATGAAATCTGGAAGGTTCTTTAACGAAAGGCTTTGTTGTGTTTGAAAGACTTCAATATGTTTTAGATCTACAGAGCACTTGCACTTAAAGATTAGGGTGCATAATATAAAATAAATCTCTTGGTTTGTTCTCGATATAATTCTGATAACCACCTACCCTGAACCACCCGATATAGAATGAAAATATTTGGTATATGGAAAAAATGTTACTCTACAAGGAAATAGGTTAAAAAATAAAACCACGCCTTTAATTAATGCTAGTCCTTCATTATTGTATTTTAATTTTACCACAAATATGAAAATTAGTAAATAGGTATGTTGAATAAAATGTAGATACATTAAACTTATATAAAGATTACTTTGTATTAGAGAATTTAAATTGCAAAAGTACAAAATATTTCATATCATAAATAATATATTGTATAAAACGGCTTGATGTAGAGACGATCCCATAACTTATCCCCCGCAGAGCACATGATACTATGATTCAAAATAAAATTTATTCAATTATCGGGGCCGTAAATCTTATGTGTAAAATAAAATTTAACTTAAATATTTTAATTATCTGAACACTGGTAAAACACAAGCAAAGAAATGTTTTTTTTTAATAGAAAGGATTATCTTAGTTTCTAGTATGTCAAGTCGAAACGATCTCTTTTATGGGGCAAACAAATACAAACAAAATTATTCACCATTAATTATGAATAATGCGCGAATTTAATCCTTAAAATTATTGAAATTTTTCGAAAATTAAGTTTTACATTCAACCTCCTGTATCATTTACGTTTATAACCACATTTATTGAACAAATATTATTTTGGTTTATAGAATCACTTGTTGCTCTATGGCCAATAAGATATGACACCCTATATATAATTGTAATTGTATTGCATTGTATTGAATTGTTTGTGTATTCATTTATATCTACAATGTTCAATAAAGATTTCATGAGTTGTTGAGTTGTAAATTGAGTGATAGTCATAGGTGTTCTAACTTCTGTGTCATCCGGTACTTCTCAGAAGTGCTGCTGCTTTCCTCAACAGGTCGACCAAAAGTTTCTGTGCAAGGTGCAACGAATAAAAAAAGGGCTAAATACACTCAAAACCATTATTGCCAAGTTATACTCTTTTTCGCATGTAGATGTTTTTATTTTTTTTAATTATGCGTTTAATTGGGCTCAACTCAATTTAGGATATTCACCCATCTTCCGGTATCCGCCGAGGAAAATTTACTGATACCAATTTTTCACGCACACCCAAGGCACCCAGTGGGAATGGAACCGAAAACCTCCGGCAAGTCGAGTTGGCACGTCCAACGCCGTACCAACCGAACCATCCTTGGTCCCCATGTTTTTAAATAAGAGTTATCTCTTCTCTATAAACTCGAAAACAGAAACTAACCAAATAGTTACTTATTTGTACACAATTAAAATGCAGAAAGCTAACAGCAGCCTGGGTCCACGGTCAAACACACCTTTAATTCCTTCTCGAAAAGAGCCTGTGATTGGTTCTATCTTCATCAATCCAAAAATTGGGTATTAGTTCCATTATTCTGGAACAGAAACTTATCTTTACTAAAATATTTTTTCCTCTTATATAAATGAAGCAAGAAACTAGTATTCAATTAGCTAGGTGGCTAGGTGACGTCACTTCCATTTCACTCTCTCCAGGGAACTGTCGGAAATAAATAAACTAGATTACCATCCTTGGATAATAACTATTTCCCTGCTTGACCATCCTGCATCGTTTTAAAATTCGTAATTTATATTTCCTATTTTTTAATCATTCATTATCCAACTACAAGTATGCGTTTACAATTACTGTGGGGCAGGTCTGCTAGGATTATTTGCCCATTGCCGACTTCAGTCGAGGATTTTCGCTTTTGGTCACAGATCAACACGTAAAAAAAGAGAAATATACCCAACATTTGCTCAGCTAGCAAAAAACAATTTTGACCGATACCAAAAAAACCGGCATCGCCCCCGCTTTAAACCGCGGACCATCCGGCCCATCCGGCCTACATACCGATGTGAACGGTTAAAATAGTTCGCCCAGCAAAACTTAAACATTTAAAAACAATCACAAAACATTTCTGTTAGGAGAGAGCGAAGGTTAAACCGAAGCGTGCAATGCTCCACCACAGACCGTCTTTATCGAACTCTATGCCTCTTCTTCCTCTTTGTGTTCCGTCATATTATGAAAAAGAAGTAGAACTTTCTATGACAAGGAGAGTAGTTTTGCGAAGTTCTGTTATGGTGATAGTTGAAAGTTACTTTATTAAAATATAGTTCCATTTACGAGTTTGTAAGCAATAGAGCGAGCTCAAGAAATTCGCGCTGATATTTTAGTTGTTAATTAATGATCAACTGTCAGCGATGATATTTCTTACCAGTTAGTGATTCATGCTTTTCCTACTCTTGTGTTTGATTCTATATTGGCAGTTTCAAATAGCAATTGGTAATTCTGTGGTAAATGGCAGAAAGTAAAGTTATTGTAAATCCTCCAAGTCCGTCAAGCCCTCCTCCAAATTGTGCAATATGTTTAGGTTCATGCTCAAATAAATGTTTCTCAGATTCATGTTCTCATGAATTCTGTTTTAAATGTCTTTTGGAATGGTCAAAGGTAAATATTATACAATAATAATTTCAAATCTTTAAGTGTTTGTTTTGCAGATTAAAGCAGAATGTCCTTTATGCAAACAGCCCTTTAAATCAATAATTCACAATGTTAATTCCACTGGAGAGTTTGAGGAGCATGTTGTGGAAACAACTCGCAGTGAAGAAATTCATCTTATTGATAATGATGACTTCTTGTTTTTACCTTTACAACATCTTCCAACACGCCATGAATTTCATGTTAGGTATGAAATTTAATTTTATTTTGCAGGACAGCTTTTAAAGATTGTGTTAACTGTACTAGGTGTGTATATATCAAAATGTTTATTTAATAAGAATCACATCCAACATTCTCAATACTCCTCAATGCAGGACACCAGTATTGCATATAACATTATATATCTCATAGAAAACAACAATAATGCAATCCAAGTTTTGTAAATAACATGTTATGTTTAAGTTTTTCTTGACTTGTAAAAATTAAAAAAAAAAGACTCAGAAGTTGAGTCTATATGGTTATGCGAATGAGATTAATGGAGTTTTGATTGAAAATTGACACTTTCTGTAAAATATAGTAGTAACTAAAAGTTTTTTTTGGCTTTTTAACTATATGGAGTATTTTTAAGTCTAGATTTTACCTGTTAAAAATGTTACAATTCCTTTTAGAACTACATTTACAGTAGATTCGCGTGGAGAGCATGCTATTCAACAAATGCTGCTCGCCCATCCATTCACAAATGGAAGAATTACTGTGGGGACCCAATATCCAAGGTAAATAATTGTTCAGAAATTGAAATTGCTTCATGTTAGATGTTCATAAAGTTCCAGGACCATTTACCCAAATAGACACAGACCCAGAGATTATTCATCTACTTTTAGAAGATCTATTTATAGTCAAAACTTATGGGCAAATACTCTGCCAGACTTAACTGGTCACTATAGGGATGTTTCTCCAACATTTTTTAGGTACACATTTTTATTGCCTATTTTATTGTTTATTATTAAAAATTTAATTGTTTACAAATAAATATATTTGAGTAAGGAGATATTATTAAACATCTTTTTTTTTAGAAACAACCCAGGTAGTAGACAACGCCTCGTTCCCTGGTTAAATCGAGAGTTAAATGCACTACTCAATGAGAATACCCAATTAGTAATGCATCTTGCTGACCTAATTATGGATCATTTACTTAGACATCACATCTGTAGCCGCACATTCCGAAATCTTCTAGGAACATACTTGGTTACCAAGACTGACCATTTTGTACATGAATTTTACAGCTTTATGAGGTCACCGTTTGACATGGTTGGTTATGATCGGCGAGTTATTTATAGTACCAGGTAATATTCAGTGAAGTTCATGATTCATTCAACCACTATTTTTTTACCCCTATGTTACCAGTAGTAACATATTGTTTGTGTGTTTCATTTGTAGACCCCAATCTCCAGCTCCATTTCTTGAAGACGATACAGTAGAAATTCCCGATAATAGCGATGATAGCGACGCCATTTTTGTTGGTACAACTCAGGCTCCTGAGGCTGTCACCATTAATTTAGTGGATAGCGATTCAGATTCAGATGAGCCCATTATGATAACCCCTGTGAATCAGGTGCCTATGCCCATAATGCCTAATAATTCCTTTAAAGACTCGCCTTCGCCTTCGCCCCATAGATCAGTATCAATAAATCTGCCAGCAAAATTGAGACATAAAAATAAGACCTTACAAGATAAAGAAAAATGGAGGTAAGTTTGTTATACATGAGCTTGCACATATTGGCGAAAACCTAAGAATTAACAGTGCAATTAAAGCACCATATCATAAAACATGGTTTATTTATGGTATGGTTTTATTCAGATGTTTTTTGTTTTTGAGTTAAGCATCGCACAGATTGATTAATTTAGGTAATCCGTTTTTTTAAATAATACTCCAATAAAAACATTCTTTAGATGCTTTTGATCAGCTTGATGGTAATGATGATAAATAAACAAATCCACTCAATTACTGGCCTAATCTGCATTTTATCCTTAATCTCATTTTCTTTGTAGGTCATTGTGCTTTTTAGGTACCTCATAACCTGTTTTGCTGCAGTGCCATGCTCATTTGTTCTGTAGATAAAATGAAATAAAAATAATACAGCCTAACATAATATCACCTCTTTACAAACACACCCAGCTCGATGATTCCCATGCTTATTTGTGCACTCACTTCCTCTTGATCACACCACTAGGATGATATTTGTCAAGGAACCACCGGTTAAAAAATTTTACTGTTAAGTTTGCTACACAAATTACTTCAGAAAGAAAGAAACATGTAAAACTTTTTTGATTTGATCATTAGTTTGTCATGTGATTTATAACTCCATTGTCAATAAACCAATCCAGTGGTTAATGAGATTTTAGTGATTTAATTACCATGTCTGCATATTCCAAAAATATGTAAAATAAAAAATAAAATGCCCACCCTACGTAATGTCAATCAATCTTTGCAAATAATTTTTCAATAACACAGTGCAGGAGATATGTGTAAATTTTCTACAAACATGTAGTTTTTAGAAACATTTTTTCTTTTAGATGTTTAAAGAAAAGACATCGTTGTCGGTCCCGCTCATCAAGTTCAAGTGCCAGTAGCTCGGATGAGAGGGAAAAATCTGCGTATCGAAGATATAAGCGAAAAAAATTATTAAAAAAAATCAAACTTAAGAAAAGAGGTAATATTAATTCATCCAGTGATACGGAAGTGGTAAATGTTACAAGTGATACCGATGACGACAAACCCTTGATTGATGTTATTAAAAAGAAATGGAAAGTTAGAGAGAGAACAGTGTCTTATAAGAGTGAAAAGTTATGTGCCCCAATAGTGCAAAATGATTTTGAACATTCATACAAGGCCGAACCAATGGATTTGTCCTTTAACATGCCCGGATGTTCTAGGTAAGTTCATGCTAGAAAAATTTAGTTTTGCAAGTCCGGAACCCTTTTTAATTTGGTTTATATCATTTTTAACATAAATAACTATCATAACAACTTATTGATTTATATTGAGTTATAACAACCAACCTAGTAGAAACAGACTTCAGCACTTTTGCGTAGTTCAATTCTTAGAGTATTTGCTTTTACCATCTGTAAGATTTTGACATTAAAAATGGTACTAAAATATCTAGGGGATGGCATTAAAACACAGAGCCCTTAGCAACTACTCTACATCGCAGGGAGAAGGATACAATCCAGTAAGGTCACCTTTCTCTCAAAAGAAAAACTTAGTTCACTTATTTTTAAAGATTTTTAAAAGAGTTGTTAAAAGTATTATGCATCAACTACCAGTAACCACTTAACTCTCATTTTATTTTTAACAATTTGAAAAAATAGTGTGCTTTATGCATGCCCCAAACCATATGAGATAGTTTTCTGCTGTTTTATCTGTTGCACTGATAATTGGGAATTATTTAAATAGATGACCCTGAATTTTATTTGTATCTGAAAGTGATTTTTATTAATTTTTCTCGTTTTAAATAAATGTAAATGTAAAATAACTCTTGGAGCCAAACTTATTTCCAGTCTGATCAACCTACCATTCTTGATAAAATTCTAGTAATGCGATTTATTAGAGAATGTTTTGTTTGTTTCCTCAACAAATTATCAAAATTCAAAGCAATTTAAAAGCTGCACTATCAAAAGAATGCGAAATATTTTGCTCTAGTGTCTTAGAATGCCTTTAAATCAATTACTTTTGAACACATAAAAATAATTGTTGTTTTAAAAAATTTGTTATTACAGATCTTCTGATTATCAGCAAGAAAAGGCTAATGTAGAGTATTCTTCTTCAAAAAATATTAAGAATTCGCCTGAGTATCTGGAGGAAAACGCAGCGCCCTTTCAGTGCTATAGCACTGAGCAATCCCGAAAAGAAGTGACTAAGGAAACTAATAGTCATTCGACGGACTCCGGAAGTAGTACTGAAGAATGTTCCACATACCCAGATTCCAAGAGTGATCTGAAAGATAAACAAGAAAGTGCAGGTCCTAGTGCACCAGTACTTCTTAGAAGAAATCAAAATAGTTGGTATCGAGTAGGTGTTACCGAAACCGACTCCTCTGACTAAAAATTTGTTTTAAGTAATATAGGTCAGTCAACTAAAGTGACTCAGGAAATATACGGTAATTCTTAAAAATACATTAAAAGTTATATATTGACATTCAGAGCATGGAATGCCATTGAATTAACAGTTCAATATGTATATTGTTTTGGGCTATTTCATTGCAACTGTAGTAATTTGGCAGCAGCTCTATGTAATGTTCAATCATAAATTTTCATTTATCAACACATTCGATATTTTTATAACTCCTAAGATTTAAATCACCACTTAAATTTGTACTACTAATTTTATAATGATCATGTATTGCGCTGGATGTTGAATATAATTTTTTTAATACAAATTCAAGGATTACCTCCTTCATTTAAAATGTTTCAATCAACTAAAAATGCTTTTTCCTTTCTTCAAATTACACTACTAGAAAAACACTGTTTATTTAGTTGATTAGCCAAACTTATACAGAATATCCCTTAGAAAAGTTGGAGATACTGAATTCAAAATAGGTTGTTTAAATCGTTAATAAATTTTTCACTTTGTGGTTAATAAAATTCTGAAAAAATAACAGTAACACAGAAAGAACCTGTTAAACTTCACCCAATTGCTTTGCGGAATCTGATTTTTCTTTTATCGAATGGCAATTTCCAAAAATATCTATTATAATTTGTAACCGCTTGCAAAAATTCTGTCTGCAGTTTAAGTGAATTAAAGGATCTATTTTGATATGATATTGTTTCAGTTTTAGGGCACCCTGTACATTTAGTCATTTGGATTTTTTTTTCTGTACAGTTATTTATATTTACTATAGATATATTATACATTTATGTAAGTTGTAAGAATTTTATATAATTTCAATATTAATTGTAGTTTTAATAGTTTTAAGATGTAACTTATAAAAATACATTTTTGTCATTTGAATTGTGTCATTTTATTTCATCCACTTTTCTGGTAGTAAGGGTACGGTATCTCATTTTTGACACTTTAATCATAGAAAGAAATGATTTTCGCCATATTTGAGGAAATTAAAAACTATTTGTGTGCGCGAGTAAATATAAAAAACTGAAATTCTAATTCAAGTTAAAACATTTGGCTTTCAGATTATAAAATTTTTAAGATGTTTTAAATTTTAATAAACGTCCACAGCAGTAGAAGAAATGTTATGTAACTCATGGTGATGTGTATAAAAATTACCGCGGTATCCCGAAAAAAGGTAATACTCATTCCTTTTTTAATTAAAGCGGAGGATAAAATTATCAATTTAGGCATGCTAACCTCATGATCGGCAATAAACAATATTTTGGGCAGCTTGTTGGGGTCTTAGAGAATAAATACTACCCTCATAGGGTTGAAAATCCTTGGCCTTCGTTTGAAATTCATTTAAAAAAAAATGCTGAAAGGTAGGGCGCAAGATTCCAAAATAGAATCCTATCCATCCATCTACACTATTAGTTATTTCAGGTGTAGGTACCACAGGTTTACAATATACTGATTTAATTGTTTTATCCATGTCCCATGAAGGCTTATTTCCAATTCCTTGCGTTGATAAATAGATGACTGTCTGCCTTATGAGTCTCCCTATTGCTCTCTGCGTTATTCTGAGTTTATTAGCCGCTAGAAGTAAGGGTTGTAATTTCTAGTTCATAGGTGAGGACTGGGAGGACACAGATGTTAAAAACTATAGATTTTAGATTTACTTGTTAGTCGGTTGATTATTTTTGTTAGCAAAGAATATAAATTACATTAACATTAAGAGGCTGTTAAATTTAACACCCCCAGAAAACATGACAATTGCAAAATTATTGGTTTTATGTGTTCCCTATGAATACTAGAAACAGGCTTTTCTTTAATGTCATTTCCACAGAACAACTAAGGTCTCAACTGAAACACTTGCCAGAGTTGATCTTATACTTTTGAGCTCACATTCCAAATTTAATTTTTTTTGTATAAGTATGAATATGAATCAAATTGGTAGTAGTTTTACCAACTGAAAAAAAAGTTTTAAATCCAGGTAACATTTATTTAAAACAGATATTTTTAAGTGTTCACCTATCAATAACTTAAAAAACTAAACAATAAACCTGATATTTATTTTAACAAATTAATATGTACAATTCAAAAAAACTTTATGCTACATTTCTTTTGACCTGTTATTCACAAAAAAAACAAAAATATTCTAGAATCTATACAATGAAATGCAATTATGAATCTTGCACAGTTTTGTAATACAATGAATAACATCAATACTGGACTTCTAAAGGAATAAGAAACAAATTAAACACTTAAAGAAGAACGATTATTCATCCAAAATTGATGCGCTGATACTGCCAGAGTGATGAGGTATAATAGTGCGGCTATCCAACAGTTATAGGCGTTCTGGAAAAAAAATTATGCCTGTAATACAGCATAGATAATTCGCCTCAGTATGCATTGCTAAAACTGAAATTAAACAAAAAATTCTTTATCAGGAAAGGAATGTGAGAATAATTCACAGTTTTTTACTTACAATTAGTAAATAAATAGGTGTAAAGGATATTAATGGTAACTTTTAAGGATAATAATAGTTTCGTACAATTCAGTAGACAAATTGATGGGAAAAATGTTAGTTTTTGCCTAAGAATTTTAACTTTGTTTTGGCAGAATTACTTATAATAGTGAAAATGTAGTGAATATTTATATTTGATATCTATATTCACATAAAAATAAACTGACTAAACTAACAAACATTTGGGCAACCACTTTTCTGCATAATCTGTAGACTTAAAAATACAACCACATAATATCTGCAATATTCAAGTGTTTTAATTGGTTGCATTCCCCAGATACAATATTTTTCCTGAATTATATATATAATCTAATCCCTTTCTACTTGTAAGGTGTAAAGGTTACTGAATTAAACAATCCAAATAAGAAATATAATAGAAAAATTAAGTCTCATGTTTCTGATGATCAACCACTTTTAAAATTTAGAAAAAATGTAAGAATACATTCTGACTGGAATTTTTCGATCTTTCTAGAATTTTTGCAGCAGTACATATGCTAATTGCTAATGCAATATTTTTAAACTTTTAGTTACAACTTATATTTAGATCAATTGCTCTACCTGTTCCTTGTAACATTGATGTCTACTAACAATTGCAGATGTTTGCCAATGTGCACCAGGTATATATTTAGTTTAAAATTCACCTTATATAGTCATTTAAATAAAGGGATCAGCACATATACCCAACACAGAAATCAGCTTTAAAAAAGCCGTTGTAGGAAAGTATGGGGGTTCAATATACACAAAATGAAATTATGCTTAATAATATAAGATTTGAACTACATAAATGATTTTTAAGACCATTCACAATAAGATAGGTGAATACAATTTTTAACTTACTTGTTGATAACCATTTGTCATTTTTGTGTAAAAATCATCTATAGACTTATAAGAAGAAACTTCTGGAACATCTTCGGCAAGAGCTACAGCTTCCACATAGTAAAACACTCCCATCAAGCCCTAAAAGTCAAAGCACTAAATAAAATCAGTAGCACACATTTATTTTCGGATCTATTACTAATTGTATTATTCCCCACACACTTATTATAAGTCCGCAGAGAGATAGTTTAGGACCGCAACAGGCCATTTTTCCTTTTAATGGAATTAGACTTGCCCTAAAACTGCTGTTTGGTCAAAATTCTCATGTGATCAAAAAAGCGTGACCAAAGAACATTGAGAGAGAGAGAGAGAGAGAGAGAGAGAGAGAGAGAGGAGAGAGGCTAAATCTGGTTCTATCCTCTTCTACTTGGATAATTTCGTCTATTCTTTGGCTTCACATCAAAACAGCCATAGAAATAATAATTTATGATTCTAACACATCTGTGTAAATGTAAAGTCTGCTTTCTCAATTTTTATATTCCGTGTTAATGATGACATTTGGAGAACTTACTGTTCTGTGTGCATGACAGATTAGGCAAAAAAGTTAAAAGAAGTTGAAGGAAAGTTCGTTTGTGAAAATATTGGCGATGGTTGATAAGTTGGGTAATTATCATTTTTACATTTGCGAGTTTGTAAAAGTTGTGTTTGTAGATACATTTTTGAAATGAGCATAAAAATGTATTTGCATCTGAATAAAATTACATATTTCAATTTTATAAGGTTAAAACAAATTGTTAATTTTCTTCATGGTCTGTTTGTTGTTGACGGGAGGTTTACTGTTTAAAAGTAAAGTAGCTCAAAATTATTATTCAAAATAAAATTCATTCATTTGCGGAATCGTGCATTGATGATTCATTGTAAAAGATAATTCCTACCCTGAATTATTATTAAGGCAATGTCTGAATAGTTTTGTATATAATTATTATCACATATGTCTGTTTTAGTGAACAGTGAAGCTAATGCTAGACGAATAGCGATGGTAGAAAGCTGTTTTGGTAGTTCTGGACAGGTAGGTATAAATATTCTAAGGTTAAATTTTACTTAATGATTTGTGAACTTATCAATGGCAATTTTATATTTAATACTAGATTTTTTATTTTAAATTGAGAAGAGCTCTTAATGTAGTAAACGTATTATTCTCTTTAAGATACCTACTTGGAATATTGTAAATTTTGTAATTTTTTCTAAATAGTTTTCATTAATATAAGAAAAAGCCATTTTGTTTTCAGCCCCTGGCAGTGCCTGGTCGTGTATTGGTTGGCGAGGGAGTCTTAACTAAAATGTGCAGGAAGAAACCAAAAACCAGGCAGTTTTTCTTATTCAATGATATATTAGTGTATGGGAATATTATAATCAACAAAAAAAAATATAATAAGCAACATATCATTCCATTAGAAGAAGTGAAATTGGAAAGTATTGAAGATGATTCCCGTAAGTAGATTGTTGGTTTCATGCTCTGCTTGTGGTTATTATTAATTGTCTTGTGTTTACCTTAAAAACTTTAAATGCAACTCTAAAATTTTTCTAATGCCATTTTATATTATATTGAAATTGAACATCAAATTTAATTTAATAATTTAAAAATTTCTCCATCATATTTTATGATCAATTCAGTTTTAGCAGATATTACTTATGTTTTGTCTTTTAGAATATCGAAATGGATGGGTAATTCGAACCTCTCAAAAATCTTTTGCTGTATATGCTGCTACCCCAGTTGAAAAAGGAGAATGGATGGCTCACATTAATAAATGTATAGACGATTTACTTAGAAAAAGTGAGCTTGCTTTTTGTTTATTTGATATGACATTTTCTATTACAGAAGAAGTGAGTTTTATTACGTTACTGTTCTAGGTGGTAAAAAAGCAGTTGCAGAACATGCTGCTGTTTGGGTTCCAGATGTAGAAGCACCTGTGTGCATGCATTGTAAAAGGACTCAGTTTACATTAATCAATCGAAGGGTAAAGCTTTTATTATTAAGTTTGCATGATTTGTATAGTTATTGATGAATTTAAAAAACATTTTATGCTAATCAACACACTGTTTGATTTAGCTTTTTTCTTAACATGTATGCAAGAATTGTGTTTTCTCTCAAAATAGGATCTCTAGATATTGAAAAAAAAACATCAAAAAATATTTGGTAATAATCAAACCTGGTTAAATGATGTACAGTTGAACGAATTGTAACAAACTTGAAGTTTGGCTGGCAGGGTGAATGAGGAAGTAATAAACATCATTTCTTTGTACCCTCAGCCAATTATTGTGGGAAAAAAAAACGACTATCCATCCACATTTAGCATATTAAGCCCATCCTTTACATTCACAATGTTTGAAAAAGAATGTAATTTTGCGACATATAAATCATAGGAAATCATTAGGAAATAAAATGTTTGTAAATACAATTTGGCAATATTTAAAATCTCTTTTAGTTGTTTGTTCCAGATCTTTTTAACAGTGAATTGTATCTTTTAGCACCATTGTCGTAAATGTGGAGCTGTAGTTTGCGGCCCGTGCTCAAATAAACGCTTCTTGCTGCCAAATCAAAGCTCCAAACCATTGAGGGTGTGTCTAAATTGCTATGAAATTCTCACATCTGCTAAAACCAACAACTCTGTGGATTCAGGACATAAAGGTGGGATTTTTTCTGATATTTTAGTTTAAAGGCATAACTAGATAGACAACTATTCTACAGGTACCAATGCAGACTCGTCAGGAGAGGAAGACTCAGACGATGACGATGAAGCCCAAAGAGGACAGCCTGAGGCTCATGACCTGGTAAGAGCTAACTCATCACAATTTCTATATTTTGCAGTTTTAAAAGGTGATTTGAATATATATTATGCAAAACTTTTATAATGTTACCCTACTATTGACTAAAATATTATTATTTGGTTGAAAACTAAAAAGAATGAATAAGTTAATTTTAATTCCAATTTTATAATGTTTTAATGTAGACAAAACATAGAGAAGTGAATGTCGCTGTTCTTCTAAGATTAATTAAATATTATGAATTTTACAGTGGGTCTTACCAAATTTATATGTTTCATTATCTTGTATAAAAATATAAATAGGTTTAATCTACTTTTGAATATTAAAATAATGTTTGTTTATCCTGTAATAGTTCAGAAGTCATTGCCTTGGTTATACATGCTGACAGTCCTGTAAGTTGCTTGAGTTTACTTTTATTTTAGCATAACATTTTTTTTTTTTTTTGAGATAACTTGCCTATATCTGCTAACATTGCAGTTTTCATTTGAATATACCACTACAAATTAAGTGACCCTTAATCCTTACAGTCAAACTTGAGTATCACATTGACACCCAATCTAAAATCCTCGCTAAAAATCATTAGGAACTTTGAAATAGCATGGCTCCAACTATGATATTCCCCACACTCTCTAGTTCCCACTCAAGTCTCCAAATTACAATTATAAAAAGTGACAACAAAAAACAATAAATAAATGTATTTAATGTTTGTAAGTCGTCCATTTCTAAAATAAAAAGAAAAATATTAAAATAAATATTAAATAAATTAATATCTTACGCAAAAGAAATTAAATGTTGCAGAGAGTTTAGGAATAATTAGGGTAGTCCAAATATTTCCTTTGGAAGGTTAGCATTATATGAGGAATCTTTTTGAAATTTAAGAGATAAACAATAACCAACAGAAGTAAAATATGGCCTGCTTGAAGGGGGTGATGTGACTTTCAAAAGTCAAAGTCAAAAGTTTGGTTCTTTCTTTAAATTTTAAAATTTAATTGTTGACTACCAAATTAAAAAAAAAAGAACATATCTCTTAACTTTGATATAACCTTTTTATATCTGCCTTTATCACAATTAAAATGTTGCAATAGAACGTTCAAATTTTATATATATGTGCCAAATTAAAATTGGCATATTTTTTGAAAATTTAACTTAACATTTTAAAAAATATTCATAAGTTTTCTCATTTGACTCCAATTTTCTGAAGAACACTGTATGAAAGTGAGTTGCCTAGTAATAATAGGTATTTGAGTTGAGAAATAATGAGAGATTGCTAATCAACTGCAATTGTGTTCTTTGACAGTAACAGTGACCCCTCTAAGTTCTCCTTTTACTGCCTATTGCCTTTTTCTGTGGATTTAAAAATCGGTGATTATTTTTTGTTTGCTGGCGTGAGATATTGATATTTTTTGCATTATTCTATATGACTTCTATATTGCATATTGATTTGTTTCCTGTTTTTGGAATAACTAATTGCGTACAATTTATTTATTTGCTATTTTGTAACGAGAAACAGCAACTACGAATCCAATGTTTTTTAAGTTAGCCTAAACTTATCGTATGTGCACATACTGGGCGAACGGTAAGATATACAGGGTAAAAAAAAAGAAGTTAGCTTTGGGACTTCTGAAAATATGACTTCAAAAATATAATTTCGGTTTTATTCCTTAACCAAGACCATTATTTAGTCCATCATAAATATCACTTCTAAATGAACATTTTGTCGTTTATAATCAGCTTTCTCTCCAATTTCCTAAAGCAGCCTCAATTAACCAATAATTCTTTATTAATTTTGGAAGTAATAAATTTTAGTCTTTTTAGTTTATATTCGCAGCCAATTGAAAACTGGCAATGCTGATTGGTTAGATTTTCGACTTCAATAAAGATGAAGATCAAAAAATTCCAATGAAAATTTTGTAGTTTTTAAAAAGATAAAACCTCAAAACGTTAATTTTACTTTTTTCGCCATATTTCCAGAAATAGCAAAGATCATTTCAATTTTATAACACCTTTATATTAGTTTACTATTTTTATGTGAAAAGCCGTAACTGAAGATGAGGACTTTGCTCGAAATCTGCAACTAATTTAAAAAAAAAAAACAAAACGTTTTTTTCATAAATTGGCGTGGAAGAGTATAAAGTTATTTTTGTCTTGAGTTTGCAACTCCACTGCGAGAGATGCAAGTTTATGCTGAATTAATTATCATTTCAAAATGTCAACGTTGGATGTATGTTTGTTATACGAGTTCCCTGGGTTACCTCAGACTACGAATTGGTTTCTAATAAATTATTAAACCAAATCATCAAATATTGTGTGTATCATTTGTAATGTAGGTTGCAACCAAAATGTTACAGCCGAATTATTGGTTATTAATTACTGAAATGTGGCATAAATAATTTTTCAATTATTTTACTTCCTCGTGATATAAATATTTTGAGTAAATAAAATAAGTTTGTAGATTAAGTGAGTAAGTAAGAAAAATATTAATAATTGCTGAATTCTATATAGCTTTCTAATGTTATTCTTATCAGCAATACTTATAAGTTTGAGTCAACACATTTTCTCTGAAATTTCATACATCAAATGATACATTTCAAGGGGTTTTGGGCATTGCTTTAAATTTGTCTTAACACGGTTAGTATCAACAAGATTTTCACTTCAACTTTTTTCGAACATATTAAATTCCAAATCTTATTTCCTAGCATGTTATATTATAGCTACTGACAATTTTTTTTAATTTTGTATAAAGCTATTTGTCCTTTTAAATTAATATCACGTGACTGGAAATTTAATGATTTTTTCATTAGAAGATCGACAATAGATGCATGCTTCAGTATTATCTGTAGCCAAATATTAACAGCGAAATAATAAGTCAGGAATTTTTTTACAGCCAAAGTTTTACGGTGACAGTGAAGTGAAATCGGAGTAATTCGTAGGATTCATGAATGGATTGTGGACAAAATTTGACGGAATCATCCGAATTTAGTAACGAAAACCATCAGAAGATATATTTTACTATAAAACACGTAACTTTTATGAATAAAATAGTTTAGTCTAACCAATGAACATGATATTTTTAGTGATATACACTTAAAATGTGAAATATACTGATTTATTTAATAACTGGGCGATTATCTCATTAAATATGCTCCTACACGCATTTGTGTAAAAGTGACCTTAACTTCTTTATTTAAGTACTAGTGTGTATACATGGTGACAGTGCAGGAATTAAATTAAATGAAATTCACTCCCTCAATTTCTTTTTACAAGTTATATTTTATATTTCCTATTAGAAGTTATGGTCCCTTCGGTTACACCACTGATTATAGGAATAACTTATTAAGCACAAACTGAAGGTTCCATACATACAAGAAGAATATTTCATTGAAAAATTAACGAAGTATTCCAATTATGTTTTATACTGCTCTTAACCATATCAATAAAACAATGTGTTTTGACAATAAGTTTTTGATTCCCCTGCATTATTATGAAAAACTGCTTAGCACATTATGCACAGATTTACTTTTAATAATATCTTTTTTGATAGCTGCTTGGAGTGAGCAGGTCTCAAAACTGTTTTGATAAAAATTTGTTCATTTTAATTATATTTCAATAAAGGAGTTGTTTATCTCTCAGAAAAATAGAAATAGGTATTACAGTTTGATAATATAAAATACCGAAATATGCCTATAATATACAAAGAAAAGCAAAAATTAAGTACAACTAAAATCATATTTTTACAAAAGCTACGTTTTGAGGAAGTTACTGTTGATTTTAAACTTATTGTATTACTATTTTAGCATCTCATTTCACTTTGTAAATTTCAAAAATTTTGGTTCTCGTATATAAAAATGTGCTATGTAGTGACATAGCAGACGTTTGATTTTTCGGAAACCCTCATCAGTTTTATTCTGTTGCGAGAAGCAAGCAGCAAGAGGATTTTGGGTTTTAATTTTGCTGTGGAATAAATATCATTGCAAAAGTTAAAGAAAAAATAAAATTGATGATACTGGGGAAAAACTAAACTTCAGTAAGGTATGATTTTTTGCCGTTTTTTAAATATTTGGAATATACTCACAAAAAAATGGTTGGGATTTTCACTTTAATATATCTATAAAAAAAATTGCTGAACGAATTGCCTTTTTCCTAACTGCTGGACTGATGATGAGATTCATCTATTGTTATGCGGATGAAGCTTACTCTGTGAATTGAACAACATTCTCGTGAAGCATGAAACAGGAAGGAATCTATTTTATTCAAATTAAATGTTAAAAAGTGATTTATTAATGAAACATGGGTGCTAAAATAGATCTTAGGAAATATGTACATACACATAATTTTATCAAAGAAATGTATTTATTTTTTATTGTTTGAATTGTTATTATATTATTCGCAAGTTTTGACTTTTAAAAGTTTAACTTGTGATTATTTGCAATAAATTTTATTTGTGAAATCTGTTTTGATCGTTTTGTATCCACTTAGTTAAATATAGATTGGTGAGGTAAAGTGTATTTGTATATATAGTATCACAATGTCAGGCACCTAAATACATATTTTTTCATAAAAACGATTTTGCTGTATTTTTTGTAAGTGTATTTTTCAGGAGGTGGAGACAGTTATGTTAACCGAGATGCTACCTATAAAAATGTGTAAAACTTACAATTCTCTAAAAGTACCACAAAAAGTCTAACAGAGAAATGGTTTGCCAAGAGTGGAGAGACTAGTCAAGTTGAGATTCACACGAACCTTACATTGTCTAAAATTTAAATTTAAATTTTTATTGAACCATTTAGCATTTACAGTATAGCTTAACCTAAGAAAAATAGTACCCACACAAATCCAAACAACACTTACAATTGCTAAACTACCAAGTTTACAAGGCTCCGGGTTAATTAAAAACAGTATTCTTAACTTTTAACGTTAACTTAAATTATAACTTCACAATTAAAACTACTAAGTGAGTCATAAGATACAGAAAATACGCTCGTTATTTGAGAGTAAAATATTTGTCAGCTGCACGTTCTATTCAAAGGCGAGTTGACGCCATAGTTGATCTTACATTAATATTAGAAATATGATAACCAACAGATGCCAGAAGATTGGTGCATCCATCAAGTTATTAAGGATTTTGTACAATGCAGAAATGTCAAAAAAATATGCGGCTACTCTCGAAAAAAGATGTCAGATTCAAAAGCTTCATAATCTCCTCGTAGTTTATTTCCTCAGATGACATTCCCAATTTAAAACTTACGCTGCACACGCTCTATTTTTTCCTTATGAATTGCATAGTGTAGTTGCCAGACATACTCTGAAATTGAACGCACAAGCGCACAGTACAGCTCTCTATACTTAAAGATGTTTTCAAAACCCTTCAAAGTCCGAAAAACAAACCCAAGCAATCGAATAGCTCTGTTAGTCATAAAATCAATGTGATACGTAAATGTGAACTCCGAATCGAGCCAAACTCCAAGATCTTTAACTAGGTTGTGTCTCTCGAGCGATCCAGAGTTCAAATGATAGATGAAAGTTACTGGATTTTTGAATCTGCTAAACCTTACAATTTTGCACTTGTTTGTATTAAGAGTTAAATTTTTGTATCTGTACCACAAAGAAAACCTATCAAGATCATCCTGTAATCGATGACAGTCAAGAGGTGATGCTACAACCCTAAAGAGCTTTAAATAGTACGCAAATGCAAGAAATTGGCAAAAGCGAAAAATATTTTTTAAGTTATTAATAAAAATATTGAAAAGTAATGTGGAAAGATGTCCCCCTTGTGCGACACCAGATGTTTCTACAGTCTCTGACGAAATGTAATTTTTAACTTTAACTGATTCCTTTTGGTTAGTAATATTACTGCGACACCAATTTAGGTCTCGAAAGATTCCAATCCCTAAGAGCTTCCCTACCAGAATATGAAGGCCTTGGAGAAGTCAGTATATATAGCATCTACCCATTCTTAAAGGCCCCCAACAGCGAACGCTCATAGCTTAGGAGGTTCGAAGCAGTTGACCTTCCCTTCACAAAACAACGCTGTTCGGTTATAATAACGTTTTCAAAATGAGGGGTGACATAATCGGAAACTATACCCTCAAATGTTTTCGAAAACAAGCAGATTTTAGAGATTGGGCGATAGTTTTTTATTTTAGCCCTGAAAATGGGTGTAACACAAGATTTTTTCCAATATGGGGGAAAAACGCCGCAGCTTAATGAAGAATTACAAATTTTACATAAAATTTCGGATAGAATTTACAATTCTGCACCAGTATCACAGGTATACCGTCGTGTCCCGATCCTAAGGTTTGTTTTAAAATACTTATCCTATTGAAAACATCGACAACATTTAATTTTAAAAATCCTAGACGAACAGATTTATCACAAGAAAATTATTTATTGCATTCTGCATATTCTGAATAGATTGAGGTAACATGTTGTTGAACATATCCGACACTCTCTGAGTGTCGCTGGTAATTTCATCATCAAACGATATACATTGTGGATACTCAAGATTGTTCTTCAGTCGATGAGCAAAAAAGTTTATGTAAATTAATGCAATAAAAGGAATTCATAATCTTTTATCTTATACTTTATCGAAAAATCACTGCATATTAACCAAATGCATAATACGTTTTATTTCTGATTATACAGCTGAACCCATACTAGAAAACGATGGCAACAGAATCCTCAATAAAAAAAATTTTTTCTTAACAACGTACGAAATGAAAAGCAATTTGCATTCGTAAATTTCAAATAGTATATTATTCAACCCACACTCACTGGATGACGTATAACATGATGGTCGGAAATAACAAATATCAAAACATCGTCAGTATTTAACTTCTACTATCCATTATTTAAAGTGTAATGTGAAAGACGGAGTTTTGTAGAAGGCAAGGCAATATTAAAAGCAAAACATTTATGAGGGTCACTTGAGAAGTTTCCGACCTCCCCCTGAAGATGGCGGCACTAGTCACTAAAACCTAGTGAACGTAGTTGTGCATCTCTTGATTCAGCCATTTCGGCTATTGAATATAAAGCTGTTGTAAAATATTTGTTTTTGAAAGGCAATACGCCTGTTGGTTCAGTGGTCTTGACGAATTGATGCTAAGTGAACTGTATATTTATATTCAAATAAAATTCAAATTTGTTTGGAAGAAAGACAGGCGTGTTTTCTCGTACTTCACACCGCGGTCACTATGGTTTCCGTCTCTGGGTAAATTAAGATTCAAATAAAATAGCAATGCTATTCAACACTAAACAACGCCCACGCAAATTAAAGTTGAGTTGGACTCTGTGTATGGGGACCCCATAGTGAATTTTGGGCAGCTGAATTTAAGGTCATAAGAGCCTAGGAGATAAATGTTCGGGACGTCCAAAAACTAACTACCGACGATTGTACTGCTAAAGTTCATCAAATGGTGTTAAACGAAACGAATTAAAGTGAGAAAGGTTTTGAAAATGCCCGAAGAACATTTTAAATCAAGATTTAGGCGCGGTTACTCACGTTAGACCAAAAATTCTGTCAAAACAGTGGACTGCGCAGGGGGAACCGACTCCGAAAAAATTAAAAACTGTTTTTTCGGCTAGGAAATAATGACGACTGTTTTTTTGGAATAGCCATGGAGTAATCTTAATTAATTACTTTTAACAGGGGAAAACCATTACAGGAGCATACTATACATCATTACTTGATAAGCTGAGGACAGAAATTGAGCATAAACGGCCATACCATAGCGGTTGCCATGGCGAACTGGCCATGATTTGAACTGCTCGACCATCCGCTTTACTCACCAAATCTAGTCCCAAGCGACATCTTTTTATTCCCTTATCTGCACACTGGGCTCGGAGGACAAAGATTCGTGAACAATTATTTTGCGGAGAAAAACGCTGGGTACTATTTGGGTGGGTTAGGGAGATGAGACCATCGCTGGGAGAAGTATATAGAGTTACAAGAAGACTATGTAGAAAAATAAAAAAAAGAGTATCATTGTTAGGTCGGAAACTTTTAAAGCGACCCTCGTAGTTTTAACTGGGTGACTGCAGGAACAGATAACGGATAGGACAAGTTTTTACACTAAAAGCTATTGGAAAAATTGTAATACAATATTTCTTAAGTGACATCCATCAACAGAGTCATTTGTTTTGTGTTTGGATATGAAACCGGTAAGCTTTTTAAGGTAAGGCACTGAATCACCAACTATACCAAACGAACTATTTTTTAAAACAATATCAACAAACGAAACAATACGACAATTCAACAATTTTATATATTTTTTTTTCATTTTAAAATCGCCAATACTTTTCCGTAGTTTCTTCGTAAACTTTTGCAAAACAGCGCGAATATATATTTATTGAGTGACGGAATTATGAGACAAGCAGTGGCTAAAATCGACCGAAAACATTCGATCGCTCTCACACTCGTGACTGAGATACCGGAAACGTCCGAAATGACTCGCGACTGCGTATAATGAAGCCTTTAAGTGTTGCTAATGTATATTATATAAGTTACCCAAGTTCTTTTCGTGGCCACGTACCCATTACAAACTATTACGTCATTTCTAAACAGGAATCCGAATAATTACATCTAATAACAAACGATTAAATTTCCTAATCGTTTGTACGACGCAAAATAATTTCGCTCAAAGCGATAAAATAACATTCTTATATGCGGATATCCTTAATCCTTCATTTTATTTTAGAAACGTAGAAATGTATTCTGGGTACTTACACATTAACTGTACTTTATGCTTTTAGGTTAACATTAATAACGGGAGTTTCCTTATGCCACTTCCACCTTGAAAAATATATACAGGATATTAAAGTTAATGTTTAAAAGATGATTGAATTAGACTAACCTCATAAATTCTTCCCAACTAAAGTTAAAAAATTTCCTTTAATAGAAAATTTTCTTCTTTTCGAAAAGAATTACATTTTATTTATTTGGAAACGATAAGTTTATGAAAAAAATACAAGAGACACAAAATTTTGTAAATACTGTGTCATTGCATAAGTGAATTTATATAATATTTATTGTCATATTAACATCCATTTAGAAGACATTTTCATCTTAAGAACTATAAACTATAACTATAATAAGTATTCACATACAATCCATTATGATATTTCAAATTTATGTTTAATTAACGTGGTAAACTGTGAGCAACTGAGACAAAAGACGTCACATATGATTATAGAAGTATAGTATATTATAGTATAGATCGAGAGGGCCTAGGTGAAGGGAATGCCCTTACAGTCCTTGAAGGAACATGAAAGTTCAGCTAGCTCAGCAACTCAGGTTAATCCACTAATGAATTGCAAAGTTTATATAAAAACTGAAATGAAAGGCAAAGTCTGTTCATAGATACAAGAAAGTGATTAACTGATACGAATTAAGGAAAGACCCGGGCTTGGCTTAGAAATTAATTATTTGGTATTTTGTTGGAAAAGATAGTGAACAATATTAAATCTAAAATAAAATTACAAATTATTTTTATTACCTACTTAAATTACTTAAAATTATTCACACAATTTATCGCCTGCTCTACTTATTATTTGTTCTATATTATTTGCAATGTGGACATACGATTGTTCTCCTTTTTCTATATGTTTAACAGAATTTGCCCAACTTTGTGGAGGAATGTTAAAAACTTCGGTTTCTATAAGTTTGGAGTTAACACGGGAAAAACATTGTTACGACGAATGGCAGATTTCAGTTGGTGCCAAACATGTTCAATGGGATTAAATATACAGTAGTAAGGTGGAAGCCTTAAAACTGTATGCCCTAGATTTTTTGCATAATTATCACAGACGTATTCCTTTTGTAGGTTCAAGCATTGTAGAACCTCAATTAATTGCTTTTTGGTATAATTTTCGTGAAAATAAATGTCGTTATTATACATGTAGTTTCAAATAAATCAGTGGTGGTGTCTTCATGGTAATCCAGAGAAGAATCTTTAATATTTTTCACAGACAGAGAAAGTCCATTTGGAATCCAACCATCTTTAGCGCCAGCCAGCCCTTTTTTGATGGTGCGTTTGTTTTACACTTATCAGTTGAGTCAACCCAACCCTTTTCCGGGGTATCATAAGTGTCGAAGTAAAGAATTGGCCTTTGTTGTTCTCTGTAAATCCTAATTTTTTCTAGATATTCCAGTCGCCATTTCCGAATTCTAAAAGATTCCATTAAAACTTGCCTTTTGTCATTTTTTTAAAATCTAAAATCCATGTGTTGAATACACTCCCATAAGGTAGTTCTGCCACATTTAACACCGGTTTCATCTTTTTCAAGCCTCCTAATTAAGATACTTAATGTAGGCACACTTTGTTGCTCGTATAACTGGTAAATTTTATGCCGTATTATATCTTGATCACTTTCATCTACACTCGAGAAAATGTCAGCATCGCTTCTTTTTTTCCTCGCTGAAATGGGATTACTCACAATTTTCCATACAGTTGATGTTGGAATTTTCGTCAATTTTCTTCTAAAGATACTTGCTTGCTAGCACCACGTTCAATGAGAGTCAAATAAACACTGTTTACAACTTCTTTAGTCTCAATGGACGGGAGCATTTCCTGAGATACACTAGACTCGCACATATCTTGCATAATTCGCCCACGATTTAACACGCGCTGTATTACACACGAAATAAGAATGATTACTAATATACTTAAACTAAGTAGGAGACTAAACCAAAGAATATTAAACACAGGTAGGTATAAAATTATTTTCTATTACGGACAACAATTTTACCTGATATTAAATTCCGAAACTTTGGGTAATAATCTTGTTGCATTGTATGTTAATGACCACCCTTGGATAATCCCATTCAAAAGCAGAGACTTTTGACCCAACCTTTAAATAATTTTTCACATTTCTTTGAAACACCTTGTGCCAAATGTTGGTCGTTAAAAATACATAGTGTGGTGCAAGACTGGGAACCATACCTCTCTTCCAACTTCATACTCTTTAAAATTGTAAATCACACAGACATTTAGATATAATTGTTGCCCTTTTCTACCACAGAATTGCCATAAACGAAATTAAACAACATTATAGATAACCTCACTACTTTGCGGGGCTGCCTTAACACAAAAGATATTTAGCATATTTACTGCAATATGCATTGTCAATATAATTGTTTGTATTGAAAGGAAATAATTGGAAAATAATGATTTCTTCCCAATAAATTACAAACCCACGCTGACCCATATTGCGCACACACACAGTGCAGCACTGCTGCCTACAAGAGACCAGTTTTATTCATTAGTAGTAGTCGTATTTTTTTTACTTTTACCCGGTAGATTCAGCGAAACTGTTACAATTCGCTTCGTAAGAACTACGACAACAAGAGGATTTTGCATATCATTGCTTTAGCAAACAATTATCTGAAATCGAAGGTAGTTTAGTTATTATTTTAAATTAGCAAAACCCGTCCTGTTTCAATCAATTAATGATCGATGATTGTACTGTAAAATAAACGTTAAGACACAAGTTTAAAATTTTCCTTTCAAATTCCATTTACTCTCCGATAAAATAATTATAATTATATTGTGACGGTGCGACGGTGTTTGCGGCCCAAGAAGTCTTACGGACGCGAGAAGACGACTGGAATATTTGAACCCTATCAGGAGAAGACTGCGTCTTATAAAAGGGAAGTGAGTTATTTTGGACGACATAAATTCAACTTCCATTAAGTTTTACGCGGAGCGTTTTGACTTACACGTTTGACGAATCCGAAGGATTTTAGTATTTTTTTCTTGCTGAAAGCAGATTTCTTAAAACAGATTATTGTGTATTTAATTTATCTTCTCTACCTGAAGATGAACTAGTTTCAGAAAATATTACCTAATAAAGTCAAAGTATCCTAGATACAAAATGAACTGAAACTTTAACGTGGATTTACGAGGGTCACTTGAAAAGTTTCCGACCGCAGCCTAAGTATGGCGGCACTAATTACCAAAAGTTGGTGATCGTAGTTTTGCACTTCTTAATAGCCACCAAAGTTTCAGCCATTTTGTACGCTTGGTTGGTAGTTGAAAGTCGTTTGAGTGAGTAGATGTGTATGGGAACACTGCACCGTCATTTACCACAGTGAAATTTTGATGAGCTCAAATTAAACGTGGGCGTAAGAGCTTAGGAGATGATGAACGTCGAGACGGCCAACTGCATAATATTGAGTGTTTGTCACATTTCAAATCAAGATTTAGATTTATATCAATTCTCAAAATCAGTTTCTTGTGTTGTAGTTTACAGGGACTTATCATAAGGGCCAAATTGTTAAAAGGTACATTGCTTAACATAATCTGTCAATTTTTTTTAATTAAGATATTTAAAAAACTATCTGAATTAGGAATAGAGAAACATTAAACGAAACCTATCATGCAATTTTATTTCTCATAAATCCAAAAACGAAATAATATACCGAGTGTTTAATTTCTAACGATAGAATCATTATTTTTGGGGACACAATTATTTTGATATCAATCGATGAATAGGCATTTATTAATTTTGTCCGAATTTTTCCGCCCTAGGGTTACATCTATTACGCAATTGAAACACACAGCATATTTATTTTTATGTCAATGTGTGAGAACTTTCTAATTTGCAAAAAAACATTTTTTTTGTTAAAATCAAAATACAAGACCAATTTTAAATACATGAAAATACCAAAAAACATATGTTATCTAAGTGAATTGGATTAAATATCAATATTTTGAGCTCAGGATTCTACAGATAAAATATTTTAGTAAATTTGACCTGTGGCCAGTGTCCTATTAAAAAGTGCGTGGCCGATCGAAACATTTCGGTTTTGTTTCCAGGAAATTTGAAAGATTGTAGAAGCCAACACGATATCCTGGGACTTAAACACTTGACATCCAGTGCAACCTTCAGTTTAGATATCAATAACGAGAATCAATAACTTTAATTAGGCACAGCTTAAAGCATAAACAATTAGCGTTATTAATTCGACTAAAGGTGAACCTCTTTTTTTTTGCTTAGCGTCGAAACGTTAGTGTCGCGTTATTTGCATGTTTACGGAATTCCTGTGTCTCCATTAAAGCGTGGTTCCGCGATGAAGTCTGGCCTTTTTCTTTTTATAGAACCATCGGCCAAGCCACACACTCCCGCGTCTCTCAAACAGGTTTAACAACGTGGTCGCGTCTTCTTCATATTATTGTATAATCGTATTTTAATGGCACGAATCTTCTCAAAGATAAACTTCAGATTGAGCCACGATGACGGAAGAACGAGGCCGCGATCGTATGTTTGCGGGTCCATTGTCGCCAGTGTCTGAACAAAAGTGAATTTCGACTTCGTACAAAGATACATAAACCAGTGATATCAGAAGAAAATGATTTGGGATAAAACTATTACGAGCATACCGATTGTGTCGTCATAACCAAGGTACAGATCCTGTAAAGAATATTGAAAAAACTTAAACAAAAAAGTTGTTTGGATTTACTTTTAAAATGTATGTATTTTCGTGGACAAGTAACAACTTTTTTATTTTAAATATCAAAAAGTTATATTATAGAGATATGTCATAATAATAATAATAATGTCACTTTATTGTAAATAAAGTGAGGCACAATCTAATTCTACATTGATTATCTATGACTTTTCTTGTACCTCTTTTCAACGGTTTATTAAAAGTCGAACCAAAGCCCACAATTATTTTCAGTTAGCATTGGTTTTCATCAAATTTCACATGATCTTGGTTCCATCTACTTCAAAACAGTTAAGGTACTTTGGAACTAGCCACCCAAATTTGTAGCCACTGGATTTTACACCCCATGGCTGTATAACAGAACTAGCGTAAAATTCTAGACACATTTCATATATAGGGTTCCCCAAACTCGATAGTATATTACAAGTACATAATAATAATAATAATAATAATAATAATAATAATAATAATAATAATAATAATAATAATAATAATAATAATAATAATAATAATAATAATGTAATAATAATAATAATAATAATAATAATAACAATAATAATAATATGACTATTGTAAATATAATACAATAACATATCACAAAAGGCCAAAAAAGATAAAACAAAGAAAAGAACCGCAAGTATATAACAAAAGAAGATGATAGGTTTGCTGCACTCAAGGCAATTCGTATAGGCCGATTTCAGGACGTAAAATAAACCCACGAATATAATTCTATAAAAAGCGATGTTTTATGAGACATACGGGGAATGGATAATAAATACGTCTATAAAAAATGGGTTACCGCCATAAGGGACTATGTATTCTAATTTTTAAATATTTGGGATATTGCATTTTTTCACGGCAATGCTATTTATATCATTACATTTTAAGATTCTATGAACTAGACTGCTGTATGATATTATGACATAAAATTTGAGCTTTCGCATAAAAGTTTTAGACATCAAAAAAGATGACGGAGAAACATTGCAAAAAAAACAACCTATCACTACAGAAATGGCAAATCCAATTTATTGTCACTTGACATTTTATTATAAATTTTATAAATCGTGCCCAGTCATTAAGTTATTAACCCAAAAGTTATTTAAATTTATTTAGTTTTGTTTAGCATGGAACAAATTTTATCAAAAACATTATAATATTCCTTAAAAATGTACAGACAGTCAAAATCGTCAAGAAGCGGTGTTAAACGAATAATAGAAAAGTTGAAAAATCTAAAGACCGAAAAATTAATAAAAATTCTTATGCATTATTTGCTTTTTAGAAAAACGTCATATATATAACCATAAAATTGATAAAACTGAGAGATTAACTGGCAGGAAGTCTAAATAATGTGTATAGTGTAGTGGTTGTGCTGATAGCAAAACATAAAACTGAATAGCATTTTTAAAATAGAAAAACGTTTTATTGCTGATATTCCAAAATCTACAACTTTTTGAAATAGAAAACCTTATAGAAAATTTCCCTTTTAAAAATGGTAACATGGTTTTTATATGGGAAAAGACTTTTAACTATTTTGGTTAGCTTTAGTATATAGACTATAGTATATATTAGTATAGTAGACTATAGGATATTGTATATAATAGTCTAATATATAAGAAGTTTGATAAACGCCACTTTAATGACGAGTTTGATTTGGCACGAGTGGAGCGCATCGGAGCGAGGGTCATGTCACATATCACTCAGTGAATCTACTCGTGCTATTTTGCAAAAAGTGCCCAAAAACTAATACCAAACCAAAACCGTGACTAAAATGCAATTTATAACAGGTTTGATTCGGCACGAGCGGAGCGAATGTTTAATAAACGAGTGACGTAAAAAGTTGTCTGCAAACGTCAAAATGACATGGCTACAAACTACGGTAAAAAACTCGTGACTAAAGTACCTTCGATAATGTGACTAGAAGTTTCCTAGGAATTTAAATTAAACAGACGTTCTTTGTGCACAAAAATACGAACATTCTGTTTTTATAACAGTATAACATTTTAAAAGTATACAAGTTTTATGTTTAAGTGTTTTTGGTAACTGTGTTATTGAAAACTATTGAAGCAATCTGGTAGTTGTAAATGCAGAAACGACAAAAAAGGGAAGATCGAGTAATAGTACTGAACAATTTGTGTTGTGGCGCAGGTTTTCCGTAAAATTGTAGTAGTAACATTAACATTATCTTAGGTGTTTAAAAATTACAATAAATCTTTGTGTCTATGCTACATTATAGACATGAGCAACCTATGTCCAACTTCACTTTTTTTTATCTCAATAATTCTCAAAAAGTGGCAAAAGCAAGTCCACTGATTCATTCAGATTCAGATTCGTGGGAAAATATTTAGTGTCGCCGAATATTTTTACGGTTTTATTGAAAATGTGTCTTAACTTAACGAACCGTTATTAGTTTTTTTTTATTGCATTTTGTGAAATAAATCACCCTGTACAGACAGCATGATCCAATATAAGGTCTGATAAATAGCAAGAGCAACAATTTTTGTATTATTTATTTATTCCAATTTGCCCTCCCTATATAATGATACAGATTCTGAGAGCGCGAGTTCAATACAGAGCAGTGGGAATGTAATGCTACATTGTTATTAATATACTCTTAAAATAATAGTTGTATCAAATGAAAGAAAACATTTTTTTAGGTATGCAACGTGTTGCAGTGTTGCCACTTTTCCCCTTTTGTAAGTTTGCTCGTTTTGTTTTAATTGGACCGCCGTGTGTATTAATAGGGATCTAAGGTAATTGAATAAGTTATTTCCTACTGAATGATGTTCAAATTTCTTATCGCCAGCCATAAATTATTTACGTAAGTATAAAAAAAAATTAGACATATCTAGAGGCTTTTTGCTGAAACACTAATTTGTAATGTACTAGTGATGGGTAGAGCATATCTTTTTTTAAAATCAATAATGTATTAATTTTCAAAATGTCGTTTTTTTTTCAATAATATATTGGTTATTTTTTTAGAAGCGTTGATTTTATTATTCAAAGGAGATGAACAAACAGAACATATTGTCATGAAAGGAAAACCTCTGGAAATATTCAACTTCACAAAGTCGATTTCGTTGCTATTTTTTGACATTTTTCGCAACTCTCAACGTTCGGTCTTTCTCAAAGCATCTAATGTTCCAGGGAGCGTGAGACAACGTTAGAAAATTACTACATTAAAACGGAGGCACTGCGCTACAACACAAAAACACGCGCAGTCAACGATTTTCTTTTCTCGGTTTCAAAAAAACACTTTCTTGAAATTAGTTTTACAAAAAAATTACGACTGACAGCTGCACAGGGGGGAAATTTCTTACGATGTCACCATACAGGTAGTTTTCTTGTCACACGAAAATCCCTGTGGCCTTGTTTAATGTAAAGCGACGAAAAATGGAGTCGACGACCGATCTGGTGACTCAATCGGTGGACAACATAGCCGAAAGGAAAACGTTTCGACAAATGACGATGAAGGAACGGTCCTTGTACATAAGGGAAGTGATTACTGTGGAACCGATCATAGCCGCCTACGTTATGGCGGCGCTGCTGGTCAAACCGGCCCTCTTGGTATTGGAATTCGAAAAGGCCTGCAAAGCCAACTTAGGCTTTAATGATACTGTCTGCAACACAATAGTAAACAGCGAACAGGACGTCTATCCAGAGGTGAACGTCGCTATTCAGGAACGGATCGGTATCGTCCACTCGTGGCAATATCCGATCCAGAGCGTAATGCCGTTGATCCTCGTCCTGTTTCTCGGATCCTACAGCGACAGACACCAACTCCGCAAACCGTTCCTAGTATTGCCATTGTTAGGAGAACTTTTCGCCGTGGCTGGTTGTATATTATCGGTTATCTTTATGAAGTCTTGGACATTGGAAGTCTTGGGTGTCGTTCAGACGGTGATCCCATCGTTTTTCGGGGGCCAAACGATGATCGTGATGGCCGTGTTCGCGTATATCGCGGACGTTAGCACTCTGGAAATGCGAACGTTGAGGATAGGCGTAGTCCAAATAGTGCTAAACGCATGCGCTCCGTTGGTGCAATCGTTCAGTGCAGTGCTTTTCGTCCAAGTGGGCTACGTGGGAATTCTGATCATAGCGGGCGCGTTGTACTTGTTTGGCGCCGTCTATGGACTGTTTTGGATAGACGAGCCTAAAAGACCACTCAAGGATCCGAAAAAAAGTTTGTTCGCCGATATTTTTAACACGAAGCATGCGGCGGACACCTTTAGTCTTATTTTTAAGAAGAGTTTGGGTAACGACCGCTTTTTTATTGTGGTCCTGTTAATTACCATGTTGTTGTATACCGTCGTTAATGTCGGCGAGGACAGTGTGTTTTGGTTGTACACGCAAGGATATCTTGGATGGAACGTTGTGGATTATACCTTTTTCCTCACCGTAAACACACTGATCCATTTGGTGGGTAAGTTTCGAAATTTCATATAAATAAACTTACTGTTGGGTGTTGTTGGCGGCCTGGCCATATCAATATTTCTGTTACAACTCCTAATTTTAAATTTTACCTATATGTTTTTTATTTTTTAAAAAATTACACATATACAGGATATTTTCCGAGCTATAGCTTGTTAATTTTATTTTTAACGCAATTCAACGGAATAAGCTGATATTTTACAGACAGCCCTCATTAGAGGGCCCTTTACCTAGAACATTTTTTTTATTTTCCTTGTATTTTATTTATTTAGACTGAAATTGCAAAATAAATCAGATTGCCTTAAGCAGAATAACAAATCATCAAAATTTGTTACTCTTGTTGATATCGTTTAGTTTTACCTATAAATGTGATTTTACCAAATACGACTTAATGTAATTTGAAAAAGTCATTGTCAAAATTGTCACAGGAATATTCAAATACTGAATATTGCATTATGCATTTTTGCAACGGAAGAGCAAATGGAAATGCAGGTCAAGCACGACGGATTGATATCGAGGCTTATCACAACAGAAACGTTCCATATGCTAAGACATTCATACACATAAGACTTGGTGAAAGAGGATCATTCAAACCTGATAATATGAATAGAAGGAGACCCAGATATAAAAGAACTGTTGTTAGAGAAGAAAGAACTACTTCATACTTACTTCATACTTCAAAATGCACTATATGAGGGTGATGAGCAATGGAGCGTAATTTTATGCAAAGAAATTTTAGAAAAAATTCAAAATTACCCGTAATTTTAGTATTTTTGTTCACTGGCGACGCTGCAGTCAGTAGTGACGGCATTGTAAATTTCCGAAATATGGAAAAGAAAGTCGATTTGTGACTAAACGACAACACTTCGACTTAAAACAAGAGTAACAATTTTTGATTTTGTGATTTTGCTTAATGCAATTTGTTCTGTTTTACAATATCAGTCTAAATAAATAAAATACAGGGAAAATAAAAAAAATGTTTTAGGTAAAGTGCCCTCTAGTGACAGATTTTTGAAACACTTTTATCTTGTAAAGATGACTTTTATTAAATCAGGGATATGTATGCTGTTGAGAATTAAATCCAATGCGTTAAAAATAAAATTTAATAAAATGAATTTTGAGAAGCTATGACTCGACTACTACTATTATTTTACGGCGTTGAATCCTTCCTCCAAGATTCTGAACTCAATTTCCGATCACGCTGTACACGGAGTTTACCGTACCTGTTACATACTATACTTTTTCTATGACCGTTAGTTTTTGCTGACATGATCGTCAGAATTGTCAAACGTGGGAAACGAAACTGACGTGGTAAGGTGACGCTTCCCGCACGCTAAATCGGTGGGTAATTAAGTATTTTACAGACGGGAGTAGAAAGACCAATTAAAATCTCAATATTTAAACAAGCATTGAATATAAAGAATTAATTTAAGAGATGATGGCTCGCCCTAAAAGAAAATGCTGCGAGATTCAATAATCTGTTTGCACTTGAACCGAATAATTTTTCCACAATCGTTAGTTAAATCCAGTAAAATCAATCTAAACTGGAATGACGCCAGCGTTCTAGAAAAGTAAGGCAACTTAAGAAAGTGACAGCTAGTAATGAGATTTTTCTCTCGCCTATTTATATAAATGAGAGCAGAGAACTTTATTTACCGCTGGCTAACATTAGACGGACGTTCTAAATCGCAGCTTTTAGTCTTAATTAAAAAAGTAATATCTCTGCAGCGTCCGACATATCTTATTGACAAACTTACTAGTGGATCAGATGTTCATTCGGTTGATACTAGCCATAGAGGGTTATTTACCGTTCCCAAACATACTTCTGCACAGTTCCAGTTTCACGTATAATGCTACCAAGGCTTGCAAACAAAAACTTAAACAATACATTTATCATAATAGAGACCGATCATAAAACTAGTGACTATTAAATTGTGCACATGTATAGTGCTAATTTATTTTTTATCTCTTTTTTGAATTCACTCTAGCAGTGTTAAAATTATTGAAAATGTTTTTTTCACAATTTAAATCTACCTCTTGGAATGTAATTTATATGCTATATTTTATTTTATAAATAGTGTTATATGCTCGTTTTAGGAAGTTGCATGAAAGCAACTATGTTGGATGCCGCCCGTACAGTTATATATTAAACACCTCCCTCGAAATTATTATTATTATTATTATTATTATTATTATTATTATTGTATATTTTTACTGAAATTGATCAAACAAAATGTTTATGATAATCAAATTTCTTTAAAAAATATATATTAAATACACCTAAATACTATAACTAGAGTACTGGTAAAGAATACCAAAATATTTTATTTCTAAATAATACAAACAAATTAACAGTTTTTGTTATTAAATGGAAATGCTTTTTTACAATCACACAACTACTTTTCTTATATGGTCGCATTACCAGAACCATTATTAAGAACTACTGTTTTTTAATTTTTAACTCTTTGTATCGCAATAAAGAAAGCATTCCAAACTCATAATGGTGGACTTTATTGGCTTGGAAGGATCGAACAAAGGGCGTTTTAAGTTATCCTCGTCATAAAAGATTAAGTGCTATGTCTATTAGAAAATTTTCTGTCTTTGTTCTCTTACATTTCCAAGCGGTTATAAGGCCAAAAGTATAGGTATAGGTTTTTGAATAATTAATAAAAAAATAGGTTCTTGCAAAGGTCCTAAAGCTATTTTATATTCATATAAGTAATATAGACTCAAAATGATTCTATTGAAGGGGCTATTAAATTAATAACACATGTAATATCACGGCAACCTTTAAAACAAAAATAGAAAGTTTCACAGGTGTATGAGACTGTCAAAAGAAGTCACAAAATGTTTCGAGCACTCAAGTGCTCATCTTCAGAAAATCGCCTAAAATAACATATTAGAGTGTCAAGGGCGTAAGTCCTAAAGGTTAAACCATATAGCTGTTAGGTAATATAGTGGCCTCAGGACAGTAAAAATCGGTGATCCGCATGCGGCATTGATATTTTCGCCAATTTTCTTATAGTTGCTTCATAAGTTCTTGTATTAACAGAATTAGGCAAGGCCTCTATATCTCTGGTAGCTATACTATAATGTAGAAAATGAAAACAGCATTCCACCCTCAGCAAAACCCTTAAACTAATATGAAGGAAATAAAAAATTGGTATACACCATCTTGAGCTAGAAACAAGGGGTTAAAAGCAATTAATTGTAAATTGTAAACTCTCCATAAAATTTTGAGTGTTTTAATTATTTGTACAAGCTGTATTTACTTTTCGTTACACCAAGTTAGAGAAATTTTCGTTACTGTTTGATGGGCGAAAATGCCACCAAATACCGGGTAATACCGGGTTCTAATTTGATCAGTAATCACGAGATTTGACCGTGTTACCAGAACAAAGGAACTAAATAATTACAGCAATGATCTATGGTGGTAACGTGAAACCTCAATTTACTGTCTCAGAAATAACCGAGACCAACGTGAATGTCAAAAACTTACAGATCTTCCTGTGACAAAAACAACTAAAATAAACAATAAAAACTACCACAAAATAATACATTTGTTTACCATACATTGGAAAAGTGGTAAACAGATGAAAAAATTGAGTGGACTGGTGCTTTCCGAAAGAGAAAGGGACTCACTCTCAGGTGTTTATAACGAATAGTGCAACAAGAGATGAAAAAAATGTCTTCCAATGGACTATTGTTTATAGTCGACCTATTATGTGGAAGGTTGGGAGAATAGAAACTATAATCTAGTGAACCTGTGTCGCATTACGTAGGGGGATAGGTGACAAGATTCTCTGTTTTGTGAAATGGTCACGTGACCAATTAAGAGAATTAAAATAGTTTAAAAAAATCAAACCTAATCTGTACAGAGACAGAAGATTACAGGACGCTCACGAGTATTTGCTTTCATTCCGTTGTTTCTTGCTGAAGATGGTTTACACCACTTAGACGTTTTTTATTTCCTTTATATTAGTTTATGGTTTCTGCTCAATTTCAATTTTTTAATCATTATAAGGCTTTTACTTTTCTGCTTTTGCCATATGAAGTTTCGATAAAATAATATTATTTGCCATTATAATTGTATTTTATTCTATCCAAACCAATATAAGTCCATCCAACACAAAAAAAATGCAAATATCTCTATGACACTTAGATATACGACTTATTTATATTAAACTGGATGTTAGAAACTGCTTGCAATAAAAAAAGGCATTCTAAGAAAAAACTTAAGCAATAACCTTTTGATTTTTGTTCATTTCTCTGCAATATTTGAGGAACCATGTAAGGCACTCACTAACGGCATTAACTTAAGCAGTTAAATCGTAGTTTCGGGACTATTGCCAAAAATCATAATTTTACATCAAAAACAATAATACAATAAATAATATTTTCCGAAGCAATTCATATGTTTTGCAACATGGCAAATGTTTAAAAAAATATTAAATTTAGCCTCTTTGAAATTACCGGTAGAATGCAAATATGAAGAAATATATAGGGGGGTTCATTTATGAAACATCCAGTATACATGAAAATAATTTTAGGCTATCCATTTCATATTTTATATATATAATAAATAATCATACTATAGCCAGTATTTTTTAGCGCTTTTTTATAATAGTTATAAAAAATACTAATTGCTAATAATCTACTTCCATATCCAATGTTCTACACTGCTCAATTTTCATCCTTTTTGACCCGATGCTGCATAAAAATTGCAACTCGGTCCGAACCCCGTAGTGTTCTGTTTACTTTTATCAAAACTTCTGGATTCCTCCTGCGTCGGTTTTTTTTAGTCTAACACTTTGCCAATCATCCTGATGGCTTCTTCAGAGCTTGACTGAAACTGGCTCGCATTCTATCTGCACCTGCCTATACATTGTTTGAGGGAGGCGGAGTTAAATGATGACTGTGTCCATGACCACCGTAGCATTTCCTGCAGGAAATGCTACGGTGGTCATGAACACAAATTAATATCAGGAAAAGATTCAAGACATTCTTACAGACTGATCAGGTCAAATTAAAAAAGATCCTACGACCTATTGTCAGCACCATTGGTTCTCCAACATATTCTCTAGACAAATATCTAGCTTCACTTTACAGGCAAAACTTCGCTTTTGTACTTACTTGCATTGAACAATTAAAAAGCATTAGATTAGATACCCAAATATTCTTATGATTCTTATTATGGATGGGCCCGCCCTCTCTCGGACCAGGGAGCTGCTTACACTGACCAGAAGGGAGTGTAGAGCACTAACAATGGCCTACACAGGACATTGCAGGCTTAGGAGGCATCTTTGCTTGCTAGGCATTGGTGACGACCCGAAGTGCAGGTGGTGCATGGAAGGGGAGGTGACCCCGCTCACCGAGTACCCTGCTTTGACATGAGCAAGATTGGGGTCTTCGGAACGGCCCTGATCGATCCGGACTCAGTGCCCGCGAGGGCGCCCCCCTTTAATACCAATACCAATACCCAAATATTCTAGTTAGTTTCGACGTAGAATCCCTCTTTACTAAAGTCCCTATTTCTGAAACTGTCGCTACGCTACGCTACATCATAGACGTAGCGTACTTTTTGTTATTTCCTTAGTAGATTTTCTTCGATATTTAAACTCTATATAACCTAACATTTGTTTTTTCATTGAATTAGAAACTAATAATAACCTTCCATTCTTAGATATTCTTATCTATAGAAAATCAGACCTAACATTGGGTCATTGTGTTTACAGAACACCTGCGCACGCAGACCGATACCTTAATATGTTGTCACATCATCATCCGGCCCAAAAATCATCGGTTATCAACCCTCTGATTTACAGAGCAGTAAAATGATCTCAGCCCGAGTCCCTGAAATACCTTACCTCTACTCTTCTCTCCCGTAATTTCCACACTAAAGATATTAAACGGTCCATCACTTTTGTTATTTGGCTTCATGTTCAAACATATGTTTTGCCATTGAAATAGAAAGTGATAAAAACTAATTAAAACCCCTCTGCTCTTCTCTCTAATAATTTCCACACTAAAGATATTAAGCGTTCCAGCACAAAGTACACTTCACCACAACCTTCCAATAGCAATGAAACCGAAAGCAATCCCGCACTTGCTACTGTTGTCCTTCCTTACATTCAAAACATCACTGACCAAGTTATAAAGAAATGTAAAGTCAAAACCAGATTTACCACTTCTCGTCTCAACATCTTCGATCCGTCAAAGAAAAAAATCCATTTGAAATGCCAGAAGTTTACAACATTGCATGCATATGCGGCAAAGAATACATTGGAGAAACCGGACGAAAAATATCAACTAGGCTCAAAGAACCGAAACTCACGAAACCTAGAACCTAGAAAACTAGAATCTTCTACCAACGAAAAATACGATAGTCTATAGAAATCTATAAACAATCTAACAATCTTAACCGCGACTCAGGTCTTTTACCTTTCACCAATATGGGAATCAGTCATCCGAGACGATGTTTATGACCCTCACTTAGCTCCACCCCCTCAAGCCAGTGTCAAGCTCTGAAGAAGCCAACAGGATGATTGGCGAAACGTTAGCAAGTTCGACTCAACAAAAACCGACGCAGGAGGAATCCAGAAATTTTGTAAAAAGTATTACAGTAGGCTGTGGAAGTTTCTGTGACCGAAATTAAATAATATAAAATCCAGTCCCGATTTTGTTTTACCAGGTGTTTAATATAAAATTCAATTGCTGGGCGTGTTCTTATGCTATTTTACTTCCTTCCTGCGCTGGGTACGTCGTAAACATGGACTCGTGTAGCACAGCGTATGTTTCTTTCTTCTAAATTATTTAACTTTCATCGATGTAACAACTTTAATTAATACCTACATCATATTCGTGTACATGATAAATAATAATAAAATAAACTCTCATCCTATAATACAAATTTGTATTAATAATTTCAAGTTCGCGTCATCAAGTTTTCGGTAATCGTAACTTTACCATATAATTAAGCAAATGCATTTGCTATGTAAAAACCCCCAATCCAATTTTAACAACCTCAAATCCAACCCCAAGTATAAGAACATTTGACAATATTTTTAAAGTTAGCAATAACTGACTGCAATTTTTAGTTTTGATATTTAGAAGAACTTAAAACATTAAACCGCATTTCTTTTTTAAGAAGTTCCCATCATTATTCTGGGCATTTTCTTACTAATAAATTTATAAAAAATGAAGTTCTTCATTAGCTCTTTTCAAACTATAAGAAATCGTGCTATTTTTCTAAGCGTACAAAAATATTTTTACTATTGTTACACTCGTCTCTAGCGAGGACAATAGAAATTAGAAATTGGTTTGTTTTAGGAACTATTTTGGCAGTACCCCTTTTTACAAAAATCTTCGAGCTCAGCGATTCCATCATTATTGTACTTACTTTAATGGATAAAGTGCTATGCAATATTATTCTGGGTTTGGCAAAAACAAAAGCGTTGATGTATGTAGGTAAGTTGCAACAAATTATATATTACTATTATAACTCCAAAATACAAAACTTTGCAATCGAAAAAGACGTCTTGTACCGGAAATTCTTGCCTTTCTCTTGTTTATTTATATCAATGGGAGAGTTAGTTTATGCTGATATAACTGCAACTAATTTCATTTATACAGTGTGTCCCACTTAAGTGATTTTTTTTTATTGGATAGATCTTTGAAAAATGCACTAGAACCTTGTTTTATTTACTGCGTCAACTTAAAATCATGGCCAACTGAGACTATTTAACAAAAGAGAGAGAAGAGAGAAGTTCTACTATGTATTTTTTAAACAATAAATTGTCAACGAATTCTTATTCAGGAGTACTTAGAACCAAACTATACCAATTTCTATAATGTTTCAATACAGGGTGTTTGAAATATCGTTTACGGCCCAGTTAAGGCTGTTTGATTACGGTTTGATTTTGATAACTTTATTTTTTTTGATAGATCTTTCAAAAACGCACTGAAACCTTATGTTTCTTTTCACATCAAACTAAATTCATGGCCAACTGGGACTAATTTTTGATGTCAAATATCGAGAAGGGCTATCAGGGACTTCTTTAAGAATAAATTCTTAACGAATTCTTATTCAGGACTACATAAAACCTCACTATACAAATCTCCACGAAGTCCGCTTAAGCATTACTCCTGTAGAATTGTTTGTTTATAGCTTAATTTTGATAATTCTTTTATGCTGGATAGATCTTAGTAAAGAGAAATGAAACGTTTTTTTTTCATTTAGCGTCAACTACACTTATGGTTAACTGACACAGATTCGTATTCAGCACTACTTAAAATTAACTAGACCAATGACCAAAGTTTTTCATGTTTTAAAAAGTAAATATTGTAAACCTTGTAAATAACGACTATTTTGTATGTGATTTTAAGATCTTACAAATTTTTATTATACAAATTTCAGAAATAAAAAATAATAATTTTGAGGGACATTTATTTTTTAGTATCAGCTTAAAACAACAGCATTAATGAATCTTAGTATTCGAAAATTAAAATATAAACTAACGAGTGAATGTGATTATGAAATATTCGTTTCTCCATGGCAAACTTGGTTTTACAAAGGAACAGTATGCGTCAGTCAATTTTGATATTTCTTTTATTTTGATTAATAGATGATAATTCAAAATCATTTTTAATTAAAAAAATTCAGGGTTGTAAAGTCTGTTTATTGTAATGGACGTTTTTTTTCGATGTATAGAACTTTAAGTTGGCATTACTGTTCAAGATGGCGACCGATTTAACAGCTGTCAAGTGATTTATTCTCAGTTTGGTTTGGCAATTCATCATGAATAGACTCACGCCTAAACAACGCTTGCAAATGGACCCAAAACGAGATTGCCGTTGTTCCCGATTTTCATAAGCGAATTTTGTTTAGCGATGAAGCGCACTCCTGGTTGAATGGCTACGTCAACAAACAAAACTGCCGCATTTGGAGCGAAGCTAATCCTCAAGTGTATGTCGAAACACCGTTACATCCAGAAAAACTGACTGTTTGGTGCGCTTTATGGGCTCGCGGAATCATTGGTCCGTACTTCTTCAAAAACGATGATGGTCAGAACGTTACAGTCAATGGTGATCGGTATAGAGCTATCATTACTAACTCTTTCATTCCTGAATTGAATAACCATGATGTCCAGGAGATGTGGTTTCGACAAGACGGCGCAACATGTCACAGAGCTCGTGCCATATTTCTTTTATTTTGATTAATAGATGATAATTCAAAATCATTTTTAATTAAAAAAATTCAGGGTTGTAAAGTCTGTTTATTGTAATGGGTGCTTTTTTTCGATGTATAGAACTTTAAGTTGGCATTACTGTTCAAGATGGCGACCGATTTAACAGCTGTCAAGTGATTTATTCTCAGTTTGGTTTGGCAATTCATCATGAATAGACTCACGCCTGAACAACGCTTGCAAATGGATCCAAAACGAGATTGCCGTTGTTCCCGATTTTCATAAGCGAATTTTGTTTAGCGATGAAGCGCACTTCTGGTTGAATGGCTACGCCAACAAACAAAACTGCCGCATTTGGAGCGAAGCTAATCCTCAAGTGTATGTCGAAACACCGTTACATCCAGAAAAACTGACTGTTTGGTGCGCTTTATGGGCTGGTGGAATCATTGGTCCGTACTTCTTCAAAAACGATGATGGTCAGAACGTGATAGTCAATGGTGATCGGTATAGAGCTATGATTACTAACTCTTTCATTCCTGAATTGTGTAACCATGATGTACAGGAGATGTGGTTTCAACAAGACGGCACAACATGTCACACAGCTCGTGTCACAATCGATTTATTGAAAGACACGTCTGGTGACCGCCTAATTTCACGTTTTGGACCTGTGAATTGGCCTCCAAGATCTTGTGATTTAACACCGCTAGACTACTTTCTGTGAGGCTATGTAAAGTCATTGGTCACAAACGCTTGACCATTTGGAAGACAACATTCGCCGTGTTATTGCCGATATACGGTCACAAATGTTGGAAAAATTCATCGAAAATTGGACGTCCAGATTGGACTACATCCGCACCAGCCGTGGCGGTCATATGCCAGAAATCATATTTAAAATGTAATGCCACAAGATTATCTTTCGGATAAATAAAATTCATGTCAATCGAATAATCCATCGTTGTTTTATTGCAACTTAAAGTTCTATACATCGAAAAAAAAAACACCCCTTATATCTAATCCTTTCTAATCATATTTAATTGTAATAAAATCGTTAGTATCTTTCAATGAAATCTATTCAACAAAAAAAGAATTATCAACATTGAGTCACAAACATTCTACGCCCTGTATTCGAACTTTATTTCATTAGTATAGTTAGGTTTTATGTAGTCCTGAATACGAATTCGTTGACACTTCTCGATATTTGACATAAAAAATTAGTCCTAGTTAGCCATGACTTCAGGTTGATTTAATAAGAAACAAGGTTTTAGTGCGTTTTTGAGAGATCTATCCAACAAAAAAACTTATCAAAATCAAACCGTAATTAAATATTTTACAACGACGTACAGCCTTGAGCGGGACGCAAACGATATTTCAAACACCCTGTATTGAAACATTATAAAAATTGGTATAGTAGTTCGGTTCTAAGTACTCCTGAACAAGAATTCGTTACCAATTTATTCTTTTAAAAATCTCTGATAGTAGTTCTCTCTTCTCTCTCTTTTGGCCATGACTTTAAGTTGAAGCAATTAGAAAAACAAGGTTTCAGTGCATTTTTCAGAGACCTATCCAACAAAAAAAAATCAAAGACTCAAAAAATGAACAAAGGTTTTACAAGGGTTTACAGTTCTTAAGTGAGACACATATATTATTATTTGATGATCAAACAATATTTTCGCTAAATATTTGAAAAGAAAATACATAGTATTAAAGTTCTTAAAAAACTTCTGAAAAAACGCAAACAAATAGATATAATTTTAAATTAACTTAAATTTTAAGTATTTTAATCTTATCTAACATTTTAATTAAGTCAGAAAATAGCAATATACATTTTTCAGGACTATTGTTACAAAACAAAACGTTCAGTATTTACCAATATTTAATATTTCATCAGTGATGAACAACACCAAAATATTGATTTATTTTTTATTTCAAAATATGCATGCACAAATATTCATTATGTCCTAGAAATGATAAAACAGAATTAAGAGTATTCGCTATTATATGAAAAATTTTATTTATATTATCGTATTTGTATGTTTTATTTATATAATAACTCACTGAGTTATAATTTATTTATTAAATACAATCAGAACATGTAGTATATCCAATATCTTAGCGAAAAATATATACTTTCTTTTGTCGGTTATATACATTACTGCAATTTACTTAGAACTGACTACATAAACAAGATTGTGGCCGTCAAAAATTGTCAAAAGATATTACAGCCACTTAGTTCAAGAAACAAAAACGATAGAAATCATTTAAAAAAGTAACAAACGATTTAACACGAAGGAAATCAAACAGGCAGAAAAATTGGGAAATAATATAAAATAATACCTTGTTACCATAATTATCTGCTTTCAGTATGTGATGTATGTGTATGATAAAGAAAAGAATACCCATTAAGGTCTTGTTTTAACGTCTTGTAACCTCCTTGACCTATTTTGCCTAGGAGCTGCTGTAAGTTTAATAACCGGCGTAACAGCCATAGGAATACGTTCTTTGGCTACTAAAGTAGTGTCGGTGAATGATCTGGGAAAGGCTCAATCGCTCTTTGGAATTGCTGAGGCAATAGGTCCCGCCGTGGCCACACCCCTCTACAATAAAGGCATATACCTCAATACGTTCGATGTGTTGCCATCGGCGTTCTTCTTCTTCGGGATCCTGTTGTACGTTTTTTGCATGGTGTTACTGTCGTAAGTACTTTTCAAATATTATCGGAGATCGGCGACACTGTCAGTTTTGAGTAATTCAAATATGAAGATCACGTGGGCCTTTATTGAAATTTCAAATTCGGTGTTTGTTTCGCAGCTTGTTCTGTATTTAAACTTTTGATCATGATTAAAAAATGTGACAGCAAATATTCCTAAAAGATTAATGTAAAGGCAGTGACAAGACTCAACTGAATGAACCATAAGAAATTGTATATAAAGAACACAACCATAAAAATTGTAATACTAGTTACAGATCTTTTCGATTCGAACCTGCTGACATTTCGGCACTCATCCTGTTGTCTTCTTTAGAAACTGGCTTGCATTCTTCTCTGTACCTGCTTATATACTGTTTAAGGGGGCGGAGCTAAGGGAGGGGAACGAACATTGCCTCGGATGACTGATTCCTAGGTGAAAACCTGAGTGGCGGTTAAGTTTGTTTGGTTGCTTATAGATTTCTATAGATTCTCGGATTTCTCGTTGTTAGAAGAATTGATTACATGCAAGAATTTTAGTATTATTGAATAAAATTTGATGCCCCTTTGATATTTTTCATCCGGTCTCTCCAATGTGTCATTTTCCGCATATGCATGGAATGCTGTAAACTCCTGGCATTTCAAATGGAATTTTGCCTCTGACGGAACGAAGATGTTGAGAGACTTTTGGAGAAGTGGTAAATCTGGTTTTGATCTTGTATTTATTAATAACTTTTGATACGTGATCAGTGATGTTTTGAATATAAGGAAAGACAACACTGGCAAGTGTTTGGTTGCTATCGAACGTCTTTCGAAAGTTGTGGTGGAATGTATTTGGGATATAACGCTTAATATATCTAATGTGAAAATTATAAGAGAGAAGAGCAGATAAAGTGTTTTAATTCTGAGTTCAGTGACTCGGATTGAGATAGTTTTACTAGTGTGCAAAGAAGAGATTCTGTTTACAGTGTTGCATGACCATCCGACGCAAAAATCATCGGTCATCAACTCTCTTGTATTCAGAGGCGTAAACCTATCCCATCCCGAGTAACTGAAAACAGAATTAAAACATCTTATATCTGCTCTTCTCCCTATTTTCCATATTAGAGTCGTTAAGGGTTCCATCATAAAATACACTTCACGACAACCTTCCGAAAACACTGAGTCCCAAAGCAACCCCACACTTGCCACTGTTGTCCATTATTACAACATCACCGACCACATATCAAAAGTTCCACTTGCCCAATATCTTCCATCCGTCGAAGACAAAATTCCATTTGAGATACCAGAAGTTTACAACCAGCAATTGCCGAACATAATCACGAAAGCGGACATAAAATTTTATTCGCCATAACTAAAATTGTTTGCATCAACGAAAAATCCTAGAATCTATACAAATTTATAAACAACCAAACCACCTAAACCCCGACTCAGGTCTTTACCTGTCACCCATATGGGAATCAACAATGTTCCTTTAGCTCCGCCCTCCTAAAACAATATATAAACAGGTACAGAGTAAAATGCGAACCAGTTCCAATTAAGCTGTGAAGAAGCCAACAGGATGATTGGCGAAACGTACGCAAGTTCGATTCATCAATGACCGATGTAGGAGGAATCCAGAAGATTTGTAAATTACAGTAGCCTATAGAATTTCAATTTAGATTAGATCAGATCTCTCGTCCGCAGCAACTCAATTCTTGTATTTTTTACAGTACATTTACATGCATTTCCTTTTTTCCAGCGGGATGTATTTTAGACAAAAGAGAAGAAGCAAGGAATCCGTTAATGGCGTGAATGGCACCGCCGAAATAGAGAAGCCGGTTCAAATGGACGATTTCCAAGTCACACATATGTAATGCTATGGATTATCCGTACTTCGTCCACATATATTTTAAAAAATGTGGCGTGTTTTATTGAGTGTACTAGCAACGGCAAGCGCTTACGGGAATGCAAACCAAATTAATCTATTACCATTACTCGTGAGTCTAACTGATACGAATTAAGGAAACACCCGGGCAAGCTGTAAGAATGAAATATGTCCGAACAGGTCCGTACTTTGCTTAGAATTTAATTATTTGGGGTTTTGTTAAAAAAGATTCTAAACAATATTTATTTATGTACGTATTTATGTTTAAATCTAAAATAAAATTACAAATTATTTTTATTACCTACTTAAATTACTTAAAATTATTCACATAATATATCGGTATCACTATCGCTATCATCGCCTGTTCTAATTATTATTTGTTCTATATTATTTGCAATATGGCTATAAGATTGTCCTGCCTTTTCTATATGTTTAACAGAATTTGCCCAACTTTGTGGAGGGATGTTAAAAACTTCGGTTTCTATAAGTTTGAGGACATTGGAGTTAAAACGGGGAAAAACATTGTTACGACGAATGGCAGATTTCAGCTGGTGCCAAACATGTTCAATGGGATTAAATATACAGTGGTAAGGTGGAAGCCTTAAAACTGTATGACCTAGATTTTTTGCATAATTCCGTATTCCTTTTGTAGGTTCAAGCTTTGTAGAACCTCAATTAATTGCTTTTTGGTATAATCTTCGTGAAAATAAATATAGTTATTATACATGTAGTTCTGGATTGTTGCTTCTGTGTCACATGAGGAAGGGGTTTTAGTCAACTGTCTACTGTGATAACTTGCATTGTCCATTATAATGACGCTATAAGGAGGAATGTTTGGAACTAGTTTGTTTTTAAATCAACTTTCAAATACATCAGCGGTGGTGTCTTCATGGTAATCTAAAGAAGAATGTTTAATATTTTTCGCAGACAGAGAAAGTCCATTTGAAATCCAACCATCTTTAGAGGCAGCATGCAAAATAGTTATTCTATTACCTCTTTTTGATGGCTCGTTTGTTTTACACTAATCAGTTGAGTCAACCCAACCCTTTTCCGGGTATCATAAGTGTCGAAGTTAATAATTGATCTTTGTTGTTCTCTGTAAATCCTATTTTTTTCTAGATATTCCAGTCGCCATTCCTAAAAGATTCCATTAAAACTTGCCTGTTGAATATACACTTCCATAAGGTAGTTCTGCCACATTTAACACCGGTTTCACCTTTTTCAAGCCTCCTAATTAAGATATCTAATGTAGGCACGCTTTGTTCCTCGTATAGCAGGTAAATTTTACGCCGTATTATATCTTGATCACATTCATCTACACTCGAGAAAATGTCAGCATCGCTTCATTTTTTCCTCGCTGAAATTGATAATTCACAATTTCCCATACAGTTGATGTTGGAATTTTCGTCAATGTAGCCGTTTCTTCTAAAGATGCTTGCTTGCTGGCACCACGTTTAATGAGAGTCAAATAAACATTGTTTATAACTCCCTTGGTCTCAATAGAATAGTGTTTTCTACATTTGGGCGAGAGCATCTCCTGAGATACACTAGACTCGCACGAAATAAGAATGATTACTAATAATATTAAACACAGGTAGGTAAAAATAAAATTAGGTAATAATCTTGTTGCATTGTATGTTAATGACCACCCTTGGATAATCCCATTCAAAAGCAATTGGTCACTTTCTTATATATATGAACAGACCATACCTGCGGCAAATAAGGTCCAGTTAACAAGAAATTGCTTTATTTGGCAAACACTGACAAAAACAAATACCGAAATACACATATTATCTTAATTCAGAATCTCAAAAATGTTTAAAACTGAATGTGTACCTGTAGTTTCGTTTATGAGAGTTTGAATTAAGATAATATTTGTATTTCGTTATTTGTTTTTGTCTTGCGAAATAAAGCAATTTCTTATTAACTGGGCCTTATTTGAAGCAGACTACAGGTAAACGTTCAGTCTTAAACATTATACACACTTAAAAAAAAACTGTCATTAGGCTTTCTTATCCGAACATTCGGTTAATAAAGCCCACAAAAAAAAATTGGGGTCAGTTATAAAAACCCACCTAAAACAAGGCTAAAATAGGTAATGTACATTTAGTTATTTTTTATATAAACAGATATAAATCCTAAAATGCCAAGTTTGCATTAAACATATTTTTTCGAACTAAATAATCCAACAAAATAAAAGCATTGTTATAACAATAACGCAAATAAAACTCTTTGAAAAAAAAAACTCAATCTAATCACAACGTACGCGGATATAGGCGTCCTTGACGTCTTTTGTGAAGCTAATACATACTTCGTGGCACCAAGTGCCACAAGACACACAGCTTCGCATATTTAATTGTTCTGATTTGTCACACACAAAGCAATACCAAGGCTCGTTTTATTGAACATCATTTTCCGTGTGCTTTCTTAACGATGACGAATTGTTTTCATTATTTTTAGGTATTGTAGGTCTGAATTTGAACAAAACAAGTCTTTGGTTACCAGCTTTGCCTTGTAATTTAGGGATTTTCTTTTTAAACTCATATTTTCTTTGAATTTGTACAGTCCCTTAAAAGACTAATTAAGATCTTCACTTTCTTCTTGTGTCTGTGTCTTATCTGAGATCGTATTATCAGTCTTGACAGGTGTTTCATATCTTTCATCGTTTTGGATTTTATTAGAGACTTTTTCTTGGATATTTTTTAACATACTAAGTGAAATGTCATCTTCAGAGTGGTCTGAATTATCGCTGGATTGCATATTAATATCAATAATATTATCGTTACAATTATTGGACTGAGTATCGTTGTTAACATTATTAGCATTGGCGTTGTTTCCATCATATTCCTCGGCGAAAGGACATTCAGTTGCTAGTGATGGGGCAAAAGCTGATTCAGGAATTCGTCGAATTGTCGTTTGAAATCCACTTAAGATGTTCTCCGGGCCAAACTTTACACAGAATTTTGCCAAAACGAAATTTGTTCAAACAATAATCTGGATGTAGCTTGCCAAAACCTAAGAACTTCTTGGTCCCAGTGATGTTCAAAGGCCCTATAAACCGCTTTATCTAAAGGCTGCAGTTCATGCGTGATGTTAGATGGCAAGCAGAACAGCCTTATATTCAACTCGTCTACAACCTCGGTTATGGAAGTGTCCAGGTGACTAGCAGTTCCATTCAAAACTAGCAAGATAGTGTTTGGACCCTTGTAAGGATATAGATGCCTTAGAAAATCCATAAAAAGATCATTGGTCGTGCTACCCTTCTTGGCCCTTTTAACTAGGGCACCTGGTGGTAGGTTTTCTTCCCATTCCGGCTTTAATCGCTTTCCGTTAAATTTTGCCAATAGGTGGAATACTATTTCCCAACGCATTATGGTCACATTTTCTTCGGATTCGGGTGCAACTAAGTGAACACGTCTGGCACCTTTTTGTCCAATAATGACTAGCTATTCGGCATTCCTTTTCGTCCATATTGAAAACATTCTGTAGATTTTGATGCAAATTGATTTCATTAGAAACGTTAGATAATTTATTAAAGCGATCACCCACTATAAATTTATTTAATTTTTGGGCACGGCCTAGACAAATTACTATTACGTTTCAAAAACCCATAAAGCCAATCCTTGCCAGCAACTGCTTTGGAAGCATCAAATGGGTGCCCGATATTATTTTCAATGCAGAATTTGTATGCAGAGCGACATACTAACAATGGTGTTAGCGGCATTCCGATTTCACAGATACGAATTATTCTTTCAGAAAATTGTTTTTCTTGATTGGCAGTTAATACACTGGACCGTTCTATTCTTTTATTTAGAACGCCAGATCTTAGATGGTTTCTAAGAGTTCTGCTGGGTATTCCATACCTTTGAGCAGCTTCTCTTTGGGACAATTCATTATCTATTACCGCGCTAATAGCAGCTTGTTGTTCTGTTGCGCTCACTTTTTCAATTTCGGTGGCATCGTTGATGGAAAAATAAATAATGGGCCTTATTTACCGAAAAATCAGTGGCCTTATTAGCCGAAACTCTTCTTAACTATAAAAAAAAAGAAAAACATAAGTGTCTCTTACCATTTTAATATCATTTATACAGGAAAATATAGTCCAAACAACGTAGGACTCAAGGTACTACTTAGGGAAAGATATTATTTTTTAAAAAAAGAAAATATTCACGTTCAGTTCGAGGAGAATTTTAATAACCACGCGTCAATACCGGGCATCGTTCAGACTGCAACTGACTTTTTTACAGACGTGCAAATTTAGTAGAAACAACGTAACTTTGTCAGATTTTAAAAAAGAAGCGTAGGTTTCGAATTATGGCTGGTGGACCTTATTAGCCGCCGGGCCTTGTTTGCCGCAGGTACCTTATTACTAGTTTTCTTTTTTTCTTTCGTAAACATGATAGTTTGTGATCTCTAATACGTCCCGAAAAAAAGCTAATTTTATGGTTATTTTTCTCTGATGCAGGTTTAATTTATTTATTTAATTTATCGAAAATATACTGTCATACCATTCCGGAAACATCCCAAAAAATTTCAGGATAAAGGATAAAATTGGCTGACGTTAGGATAAATCGATAAAATTGAAGAAAAGTATGTTTGAAATAGAATCGAAAAATTAAATGAGGCGTCGTATCATTTAAATTAAATAAATAAAAAATGTGGAAGTTACAGGATCAGGTAGAACTTCTGTCCAAGTATGGTGCGCCATTTGGAGGTTCAGAATAAGAGAAAATTCACTGGATTTTTAATGAGAACTTAAATTCGCACTTAATTATTATCCGTCCCTTTACTGAAAATGAAGTGCCAGAAAGGGAACGATGAAATTTAATTTGGCACCAGAATGACGTACCTTATCACAGAAGTCAATAAATTTGCACATATTTAAATGCATATAGAGAATGGATTGAGGAGAATGGTAGTTACGTCTGGTCTCCAAGGAGCCCCGACTTAACTCCCTTAGATGTTTTTCTATGCGGTACACTTAAAGCTTTAATTTACAAACACAAACCGTCAACTGCCGAGGAATTTAAAGAGAAGATGGAGAAGGTATCGGATATTTAAATGAGACTGAATCTGTTTGAAAAGCCATTTTGTATTTAGAAACCCTTTATACTACTTGAATTGATCAAAGGAGAGGACATATTGAACAACTATTACAATAGTAACCATTGTAATCTATCGATTTTTATTGATTGTTCAGTAATAAAATATTCACCAAAGTTATAGCGTATCCTTGGTCTTATTCTGTATCATTACTACATACATACATACTTAAATAACATATTTCCATAATATAACTGAACATATATTGCAACAGCATATTATTTGTGATTGTCAAATGTTTAAAAGGAAATATTTCAAAAAGTAAAAATATTAGGCATATACAACCTTATATAAAATTGCCTTAATTTTTAATGCTAAATGTGACAAGATTATAAAAATAGGTAGTTTCCATTTTAAAAAAAAAGTTTTTTGACAGGTTTTTTAATTTCATTTTTAATCTTATTTTTCACGTACCCTGTATTAATATGTATCGAAATTGCTTATGCAAACCGCTATTCAAGTCCTTTGTCTACAACAAAACTTACTCAAGTGGAACAACAAATGCTTCCGAATGAAGAAATTGGCAGATATTTTACGTCTTGCAAGCGTCATCTCTCGCATATAAAATTCAAAATGTCTAGAATTTTGCAAGGTGTTCCATTTAAAATAAGCCCACGAAAAATTAAACACCCTATATATACAAAATTAAAATAAATTAAAGGTTTGTAATACCCTAATTACCTTTTGTATGTAACTTTTCGGTCCATCCCCTATAGTTTCTGAGATAAGGTAGTGTCCAAAGATAAACTTGTCACTGCCTTTGTTCCGTGTTTTTACTGGTTACCAAGATAAGCTATAGATATATGGCCTTTTCCGATAATAAATACAGACACAGGGACATTCCATATGCGCATGCATCATCAATATCAAATGACTACTGACACTTTGTCAATTCGGTAGGTTTCAGCGTCGATGTGGCTTTTTTGCAACAGTCTTTTATCAAAATACGCCCAAATTCCTTTAAATTTTCATTAAAAAAACAAATTAAGTGTGTCTAACCAAAACTAAACAACTATCGAAATGCTGTTTAATCTCAGAATACGACCCTATCCCCAGTGGATGGCAGGGTAACGATGAGATTTACTTTGGTAATAAGATTATAAAAATAGACATTTCTGAAACTGAATTGGACCGAACAAAATATCGACATTATGATAATTTTATTATCAAACGCATTAGGTATCAATTTTAGGTAATGATGTGTATAAAATATTTGTGCTGTTAAAAACGGGAAAGGTTTACAATATCGATTCAATGGCGCAGTTAAGTCCAAATTGTAAAAAAAATCGTCGTAACTGATCGACATAATAGAAATCAGTGCATAGAACACCCGAATGCCTATTATAAGTTAAATTACTAATTTTTACAGGCAAGGCGTAAAATTAATTTTGCCGCATGTGACCTTCACCGTGCTTGGTTCTTAACTCAATCGCCTACAATACTAGACTCGTTTTCTTACCGGTTATATAGAGACCGCGTGTCTCGCCGTAAAGCCGTATTTACCTCGCACAAAAATCAAATTGGATGTCTCATGAAATGAACGCGACCTCAATCATTGGCGACACGAATGGCGACAAACTTGCGAAAAAAAGTTTCAAAGAAAAAATGACCGATCTGAAAGAGGCCATCACTGTCGAACCAATCGTTGCGTGTTATCAAATGGCAATCTCGTTATCCAAACCAGCGTTGGATAATTTGGAATTCGAAAAGTCTTGCAGGTAAGTTTTATTTATACAGTCTGGAACTTCTGGAAACTAAACTAAAAATTCTAGACATTACTCAATATCGATTTGACATGTCTTATAATTGACTCTTTTTTACTTTACAATTACAGTTTACTTAAAATATAACGATTAAGTCTTTAATGTAAAAATGATATTTTAATTGTAACAACGGACCTTATAAATACCATAATAGATGTTTTTCATTCTATTTAGTAGTCCTTGACTTTGAAGGAGAATGCCAGCTAAATGATTTTCGATAAGGCTTCATCTACAACTCAAACAGAACATTAAAATTGTTATTTATGAAATGAAAAAACACAGTTGTTTAATCAAGCTAACTACAGAGGATGCCGGTTGGTAATTATTATATGCCGAAATAGCAATTTTGTTAACCTGCACCAACACACAGATACGAAAATTAATGATTTAAAAAAACATGACATGCGATCTATTACTCGAAATTATAGTTTAAGCTGGTAATGGATTCGAATATTTCGCAAAAGTAAATATTTGGCAACAAGAGAAACTATATTTCTTTTTTATTGTAAAAGCGTTCAGATGTTTGCAAAACTGCGACGCTGAATTCTACAATCTGATTGTGAAACCAAAAAAATTCCAAATATTTTATTCTATGAACAATACCCAATACAGGGTGAATTAAGTAAAATTCACTATCTCATTGGTTTCAAAAGTGATGAGAAAAAAATGTAAAGATTGTTGGGATGCACAATTTAAAATTATTTTAAAGTATACGGGTTGCTCAAAAAAGTGTAACTAATAAAACATATTTTTTTAAATAGAACACCCTAAATTTAAATTAATTTTGAAATTCAACTTTTTTATTAATGATAGTATGTACATAGCTAAACCAAATAGTTTCTAATATTTTTATTTTTTTTTAATTTAATTTTTCTAAAAAAAATACTAGTTTTCATACTTGCAAAAAATCACGTCTTTATTTTGGAAGGTAGATCACTCATATTTGATATTATCGTTATTCCAAGAAGGCGTTAAAAAAACGGAACTTCAATTAGATGCCACAGGGTGTTGAAAATAAATGAATATATTTGGGTTGTTTTAAATTAAAAAATCTCGATTTTTTTTAAATGGCACACCATTTTTTTTTTCTGAAAGATCCCACAAAAATCTATAACTACAAAAAGTATGCCATATACCTATTTTTAATAACCTGCGTTTTATTTTACTTTTTCCAATATTTACCCATCTTTCTGTCTAAGAATATTACTATATAGCATTAGTTGGCTATGACAAAAATATTGTTATTGATTGTTGTTTTATTGTTAAGATTAAAAAATGAATAGGAGAAGAACTTTGTTGGAGCCGTATATAAAGCACCAGCAATTGTCAACTTCTTGAAGGAGCTGAGGTAAATTATTCTGCAAAAAGTTTAAACATCTAGGCCCGTTAAGTTGTCCGCGAAAAAAATTTGGTCCAATAACTTTACAGTGTTTTATTCCACGCCACACATTAAGTGACCAATGGATTTTATTTTACACTTCTCGTACCCAGAATGGATTAACTGTTGAATCATAAATAATGTTAGACAAAAAATTTGGATCCGTCGCTATTGCTTCATTTGCAGAAGTTTACCCTTTGTTCAAAATCGCGATCTAGAAGTTCTTGTTGTAGGGGAAGGGATGATACGTGTGTTTTCTCATCAATTAATCCAGCTTTAGGAACACCAATACTTTTTTTTAAATTTACTGACGCCGCCATATATTTTATGAATTTATTCACTCAGTTCTGGAAGAATTTTAAAAGAATTCAAACAAATTAAAAATGTTTCCATTTAAAAAAAATGTACGTTTTATTCGGTACGCTTTTGTGGGCCACCGTGTATACTGTGTATAGAAGCCTTATTTTGGTTTCATATTTTAATTTATTATCCAAATGTGCAGTCCCCATAATCGTTGTAAAATGAAACCTTTATTATACTGGCGATTTGAAAATAAAATGTGCTCTTCGCTTCTCAGATTAGGTTCCAGAGACTCTTCATATTTATCCCTTTGTAGGGTAAATCTAGAATATAACGACACGATATGCAATGCCATACTAAGTGGAAACAGAGGCGACTACGAAGAAGAAAACGCAAGAGTGCAAACCGTGATCAGTGTTATGCATTCTTGGCAACAACCGATAGGAAGCTTCATGCCCCTGGTGCTAGTTTTATTTTTAGGGTCATTCAGTGATCGACATAAATTGAGGAAACCGTTTTTGCTCATGCCGATCATAGGAGAAATATTTGGAAATGCAGGTTGACAAACTTAAATTGAGAAATTAAAATTACTTTAAATATATTTTTATTTCATCTAGGCAAACTGCTCTTATAGTGACGCTACTACTGCGAAAATTTATGCACCGCAGGCACTTTGAGTCATTTTCTTTGTAAACAGCCGTTTCCACACACTTAATTCGTTTTCTCTGAACATTTACAGAGATACAGTCATTCCAGTCGCATTGGTTTTGGATCTCGCGTATGCTCATGTTGAATGGACGTCCTCAAAATTTTTTTTCATAGTTTTCATATTAACTTTAAAATTTCAGGCGATAGACTTTTTAATTCACCTTTTTTCGATTAAAACAGTAACAACTTACCTACTTCAGTGAAAAGTTGCTTTTATATGCAAAAAGTTTCTAGATAACACTCCCAGTATAAAATAGGAACAGCCTTTCTTATTGAAGATGAAAAGATTTCGTCTACAAAAGTATTAGTGAACTGTTTTGAGGATTGAGAATAGAATAGAACAAAAAATCCTTTATTTTTAACTTGGCTAAGAGTGACGGCAGTATATGACATATTGTCGCTTTTTTTACAGAAATAAAAAGTTTTGTTTATTTTTTTTATTTATATTATAATCTTAAAATACAGTATTAATATATTTTTACATAATGGATATCCGTTTTAGTTGCTTTCTATAAAATTATCTTAAAGATTTTTAGTAATACGTCCCGATTATATTTTTTTATTATCTTATTTTTCTGATATCCTTATATTAAAATAATTGTTTAAATGTTTTAAATTTATGGCCGTTAATTGGAATACATAAATTGAGACTCTAAGGTGTAATTTATGGTTAAAAATAGAGAAATAGTTCCTGCGTGTTAACAGTAAAGCTACTTAAACTAGAAAACGAAATTTTCTGATAATATAATAATATAATGGATAAAAAATAATGATTTGTTTATCAGAAAACATCAAATAATAAGAAGCCGTATTATCAAAAATTTAAAAGATAGTCTTTTTTCGATTTAAATAATGGCGAAAATCAAATTAAACTATCATAGGAAGTATCTAAAATGAATGCAAAAAAATTTCAGGTCTATATTCTAGTTTTCTGATTCAAATTTTAAAAGCGCTTCTTTATTTCTATGAAAAAGGTGTCACGATAAAGTGTTTACGAAATGAGAATATCTTTCACATTAAGAAAGATAAGGCAATTTTTTTAAATTTTCCGAGTCGCTATTTAAAATCGGATTATATCATTTTCCAAGTATCAAAAAAATAATTTTGGTTAGTATAGTATGCAACACGTTCGGTAATAGTATATTATACAACAAGTGCGGTAAACGGCATTTGACTTACGAGTTTATTTGACACGAGCGGAGCGCCACGGAGCGAGTTTTTAATAAACGAGTGAGTTAATAAGTTAATAAGAACGTGTTGCATACTATACTTTTTCTACGACCGTTAGTTTTTGGAGTACAGTTTCGCCAAACAACACCAATACATTCACTGACATGACCGTCAGAATAGACAAACGTCAAAATTCAAAGCGTGGGAAATATCTCCGAAAACATCCGATTGCTCCAACATCCATGCGGTAAAATCCCGGAAATGTCCGAGGTGACTCGGATTCGTGGGAAACGAAACTGACATGGTAAAGTGACACTTGCGGTACGCTAGATCGGTGTGTAATTAGGTACTTTACACACGGAAGTAGAAAAACTTATTTGCCGCGGCGGTTTACCGCACTTGTTGAATAATATACTATTAATCGAAGTTTTGAAAATTTTTCGTTAGTACTAGAAGTAAACACCAACACAAATGTGTGCTTTACTCCAACTTCTCCTTTCTTAAGATCTTGTTGCTTAAAAAAAATAAGAAAACAATAAGTAATAAGTAAGGACACTGTTGATATTGAACTATTTTCCAACTATTATTCAATAATAATAATAATAATTATAATAATAATTGAGTTTGACAGTAGACAAACCTCTACATTGTTCTTGACGTTAAAATGGTTGATGAGAGTGCAAAAAAATTAAATTTGTTAATAAGTTTTAGATAATGCGAGAATTTTGAGTTATAGCAATTAGCATTTTTTATTTATCTTATTTTTCTCAACAATTGACTGTGTATTAGTTACATCGTGTCTCTTTCTTAATTTCAGGATGTATAATTTGTGTAATTTTTATGAGACAGTTACCACTACAGGCCCAAGGTGTCCTTCAAAAAGTAGTCCCTTCGTTCTTTGGGGGGCAAGTAATGTTGGTAATGGCCAGTACGAGTCACATTGCCGATGTAACTTCAAATGAAGCGCGAACGTTGCGGTTGGGAATAGTGCAAATTGTCATTAGTGTAACGGTGCTATTGGTGCAGCCACTTAGTGGCTTCATTTTTGTAAAGTCCGGGTACCTAAGCGTATTAATCACCGCGGCATTATTAAATACCGCCGCACTCATGTACTGTGCTTTCTGGATTAGAGAGAAGTCCTGCGCATCTCAAGATACAGAGAAGAGTATATTAATTGACGTATTTAATCCGGAACACGCATTAGACACATTTAAGTTTCCATTCAAGAAAAATCCAGGAAACGACCGAATCTTAATTGGTTTATTTATTTTGACAGTATTTGTCTACAGGTGTGCTTATGAGGGTAAGTATATTATACTGAGGGCTTTGTATGTTTTCGGAACTAAACAAAAAATTACATTGGGATGAAAATAATCTTTACAAAATGTTGGTGGTTCTTGTTAACAAAAATATCATTGTGTGTATTATTAAATTTTATTATTATTTTTTTTTATTTATTAAAAAATTTATTTTTTTTAGAGTAGTTGTGTTTTTTTGAATAATCATGTAAGCAATTAATCCAATTTGTCTAAATTAAAAGTTATTCGGAAAGGGAGTGAAGTTATCGGTGTTTTTACCTCGAAAAAGCCTCGCCCCCTGAGAGTCCTATCAAAAGTTCTACGAAACTTTTTCAAATGTGATAGATATGAACATGTATATTGCATATAAACACCAAATTCTAATCAACTTTTATTATTTTTATTATTAAATAACACAATAAGATTTTTACAACTACTCCACTTAAATAACAGATAATTTTATTTGCATGTGTTTAACAAACCTGACGGACATCATATCTGCGAAAATTATAAATTTCAGATTGTTCATAAAATAATTCCTATAAATGTAAATGTAAACCTTGCTAAACGCTGCCATTTTTATTCTTCTCTAATTATAATTTTGTTTCCAGGAGAGTCAAGCTTGCTGTTTCTTTATACTCAAAACATGTTTGAATGGACGCCACTGGAATTTAGCTACTTTTTGACCGCCAACTCACTGGTCTCTCTAATTGGTAACAAAAGATGCAAAGTAATTTGATAGTGTTTAATGTTACTACCAACATTTTTTTTGTCGATACATGCTATACAAAGTTGCAAAACTTTTTTGAACAACAGAACGATGTCGCTTATGCTACCACATTCACTATGTGATCAAAAAGTTGTTTTTTCTTATTACCAAGATAACCCATAGAACTACGAGATATGCTTAGATCAACATCCATACATAGCTGACAGATATGCAGAGGCCTTGCCTACGTTGATACTACAGTCTACGCATTCAACCAATAAGCCCTTGCAGCATTCATTAATCATGGCCGCTCACGGTTCGTCAATTTGACAGTTTTCAGTTAGGACGTGGCATTTGTTTAGTAGTATTTTGCAAACATATGCCCCGATCCCATTAAATTTTCATCGTTTTCATGGAAATCGCTACTTAGAAAGAAAATAAAATGTTAATAGTATATTATGCAACAAGTGCGGTAAACGGCATTTGACTCACGAGTTTATTTGACACGAGCGGAGCGAGTATTTAATAAACGAATGAGTTAAAAAGTTTACCGAACGTGTTGCATACTATACTTTTTCTACGACCATTACCTCTTGCTAACATTTTCGCAAAACACGAATACATTCACTGACATGACTGTCAGAATTGACAAACGTCAAAATTCAAAGCGTGGGAAATATCTCCGAAAACATCCGATTGCTGCCAAACCCGTGCGGTAAAATCCTGGAAATGTCCGAAGTGACTCGGATTCGTGGGAAACGAAACTGACGTGGTAAAGTGACGCTTCCTGCACGCTAGATCGGTGCGTAATTAGGTATTTTACAGATGGGAGTAGAAAAATTTTTTAACGTACACAAATCCTTCGCAACCCTAACCAAAACTAACCAACATTAATTCATGGAAATGGCGTTTAGTCTCAGTATACGGTCCTAATATAAGTATATAGCGTGAATTAAGGTGGATGGCAAGTTAGACCTCTATGATGGACAAGACGCAGCACCGTTCTGAAGATTTGGTCCTTTACATAAGCGCGTGCAACCTATCGACTCAATATATTTTCTAGTATTTTTGTATAATAATAGCAGTTTTCGCAAAATTAATTATTTTCCCTTTTTTTTGTTTAAAGCGTAGTTCCAATTAAATCTTTATTACAGTCTTTCGCTATAGTTTACCAATTTTTCCAAGCAATAGATATATGTAGTTCAATCTGCAATACACAGGCGTGCTCAAAATGTGCGAAACCTGTATTTTATCATTATCATTATTCTATAAGACAATTCTTCTTCAAATGACACATTATGGACTAAGCCGACCCTGTTTGCGTTCCAGGAACTCGATCATAGTTGAGCACCGCAGTTTATCAATCTTGTTGCATAATATACTATGAGCACTTATTTATCCAGATCATGAAATAGTTTATGAAAATATTTAGTTTACAACCCGGTATAGGTATAACGATTCTCAGCTTATCGGAACGAGTCGTTCTATTGAACCAAATAAGGCTACGAATTACTTTTTATATATATTGTACAACCAAACAAAATATCGATTGGACAGGGTGGAGTCACTCATTAGATCATATGATATTATTTCATGTCATATGATCATATGATTTTATCACGAATAGTGGAAAATACACCAAAACTAATACATAAATATTGAATAACATTTCGATTCCTCGTCAATATTTAACTTATGATAACATTTTTTCAGGGCATTTGTGCGCTATGCCTCTATTGGCCAAGGTTCTAGGATGGAATGATTTTGCAATCACATTCATAGCAATTCTTGATAAAATTATCTGCAATTTAATATTCGGGCTAGCAAAAACTATTACAGCCTTTTACACAGGTAAGCTATAAAAATCAAATAGAATATAACTGAGATGCTATGTATTAGTAATGGAGATTTGTTCGGGTACTTCTTTAGCAATTAGCAATAATTAACGATAGAACAAAATTTTGTAGGAGTTGCAACTAGTATTTTGGTCAGAGTCTACACCACAGTAAAGAAATCGATCGCAACTAAAATTGTTCCGACAGCCGATATAGGAAAAGCTCAGTCATTCTTAGGTATATGTGAAACTTTAGCCCCAGCTATTTCAGTGCCTGTTTACAATAGACTGATCTATGTGAACATATTACAAACATTTCCCGCTGGATTTTATTATTTTAGCGCATTGCTATACACATTTTGTTGCATTTCTGTCGTGTAAGTAGTCTGATGGTGAATTCACGCAAGCACTAACATTTACATTAATTTAAAATTTGGAGTAGGTGAACGTGAAACTCCATTAAACCAATAAAATTTACATAATAATAGTGCGAATTGAATGCAACAATACACACCACTGTAATCTTCATCACGCCAACTATTTTCCTCCATTAACTCCGACCTTAAGATTATTTAACAACTGTTATTTTAATTTCTTTGCTAGCGATCTTCAAACACTTCGGGCCAAATTAAAAGAAGTGAACCGACATTTAACTTTTCATTAAGTTCTTTTTTTTTACTCAGCGTTTCGAATGTCAGTTTTGTCTATTATTTTTTAAACTCAACTTTTTGAATTTATAAACTTACCAAAATCGGACACAACTAAAAAAAATTGTTTACTATTTGGTATTTTCTGAAAATAATAATTATGAAGTGAGCATGCGCCATTAACTTTGAATTAATTTACCGTGGCTTTTTTAATTTTAATTTTAATGTATAAGTGGTGCTAAATTAATATTAATGGGTGCTTGCGTCATCTATCAATAATAAAATATATGAGATGGCGAGACTAGGATTTTTTTTAGTTGTCATACATTTTAAACTAAATTTGAAACTCAAAAAATTTCAAAATGATGAACAATTAAGATTAATACTGGTTCCTATCTACCTAAAGCTTTTTTTTTTAGCTGTATGTACCAGCTAGAATCAAAGCGCAAAGGACACCACAATTTAGAGAAAAAGCCATGAATTAAGAATGGAATGGAGTACTCCATAATTAAAATAATTAATATAATTGATACTAGTACATATTTGGTACACTGATAAAACTTTTTAAATATTTTGATTCCAGTGTGTTAATTCTCATTAGCCAAACAAATTAAATCAATCTCAAAGGATTTGATTTTTTAAAGCGGGATAATCTATTGGATTGTTTTTTATGAGTTTGTATTAAATTCTATTCAAATTTGATTTAATAGTATATTATGCGGAGCGAGTGTTTAACAAACAAGTAAGTTAAAAAGTTTACCGAACGTGTTGCATACTATACTTTTTCTACGACCGTTAGTTTTTGGGTACATTTTCGTAAAACAACACGAATACATTCACTGACAGGACCGTCAGAATTGACAAACGACAAAATTCAAAGCGTGAGAAATATCTCCGAAAACATCCGATTGCTCCCAAATTCGTGCGGTAAAATCCCGGAAATGTCAGAAGTGGCTCGGATTCGTGGGAAAGGAAACTGACATGGTAAAGTGACGCTTACCGCGCGCTAGATCGGTGTGTAATTAGGTATTTTACAGACGGGAGTATTTTTACGTAGATAACCATTTTTCATTAAAATACTAATCACAATTCAAAAACGCGAGAAAATTTAACCTGGGAAATAGGATGCACAGACACAAAGTAACAGCAAAATTTGTATTATATCTGGTCTACAAATTTAATTTAGAATCTATAATTAGGAGGCGTCTTATCGTATGTTCTCTTTTTGTTCTTAGTAACCTCTATTTTTTCTCCCAACAGAAGTCTTACAAATTTATCTTGTTGTGCAGCAGGCAATTCAATATCCTGCTCTATTGTCCATTTTACAATTTCATTGCAACGTGTCATGTTACAATTTCTAACTAAAATACAAGCTACAATCACATTCAATCCATTTAAAACTTAATTTGTATGTCCAGAATGTTAAATGTATAGTGCAGAACGCAGTTAATTTGCTTTGTGTTAAAGAAGTCTACATTATCTGTATGAGTGTTTTAGTTATTGTCACATAGATGGCACTACATGTATTGTTTTGTAATAATACTTTGGCCTACGTGATAAAAAAAAACACAGAAAAATGGAAAACCAAATAGTTTAAGTGTAGAATAAATTTTGTCAGTTTTCTTATACAAAATTCCAATATTTCATACATCCTTCTTAAATAAAACGCTTCAGTGTGTGTTATTAAACCCACATAATTCAAGACAGAATTCCTTCATTTTTAAAATTTCGACAAAATTTTATTTGGAAAATATACTTAAAAACCATTGTATAGATATAGTCACAAAATACTTTTTCCCTAAAAATGTACCAAAACAATTGGGTTACTTATTAATGATCGGTAGTAAAGTTATATATTTTAAAATCTCTGGGAAACAGGAACTCAAAATGTTAGAAAAAAAAACATTTTTGGCAACTGCACGGAAATTTGACACTTTTCTGGAATGAACAATTTAAAGGAACTTTCGTACACTAAGTATTGGACACATAAGTGAAAAATAAGGCACTAATAATATTGTAGAAAACTCCCCAACACCAAAAAAATATTAGAATCTATTGTAAGAATCAAAAGTGACAATGCCCAAAGACAACACTGTAAAATGTAATGTAATATATTCAAAGTAGAGAGAGATGTAGAAGGCACACACAAAAAAACTAGTTAATAAAGAAGAATTCCTAACTGTTGCAGCAATTTCCGGAGATGGTGAGCCTCTTAAAAAAGATGTGCATTGCCAAGATGTGCAATGCATTTTTTGTTTGCAAAATTACAAGAAAAATGTTTTTTTTTAGATAAATTTCAAACGGCAAAAGATAGAAATGTCCAGTTTTAACAGATTAAGACCGACAAAAAAAAAAAGATATTTTATCTCAGTAGTTACACCATCCTGGATTATACACGACAACCTGTAATCTATGACCTGATTAAAATTTAGAATTACTTTTTAGAATTCCACTTTATCTAATTTATTATCACTAAAAATTGTACTTACTCCAATAATCAAACATTGCCAAGAGAACTCCAGCAGCCTCAGACCTCATGTCACATTTTAACAATATTTCAATTAGCCTGTAAACTATATCAGTGCTGTGAGTATTTAGCAAACTATTGACAGCAAAGTTAATTCTATTAGATAGAGCTTTACGCAAACCACAATTTTCCATTAATAAGTCTAATGCTAAGCATTGATCTGTATACCATTCACTCAGCATGCAAGATTGCCAAATGCAAGAGAGAGGATGATAATCATTATACTCTTTTGCAAGTTTTTCACAAAAAATTTTTATATTTAATAATGCTGCTTCGCTATGGTTCAAAATGCTATCTGCTATCAAGGACTGCAACATTAACCTAAAAAAGAGATTAATATTATAAGCTGCAATGTACATACAGAGGAAATACCTTATTCTGCGCCTTAAAAATTGATTTTCCTTATACACTTGCTCAAACAGCCTCAGAGATTTTATAATATTTCCTTTAATCCAAATTGCTTCCGCTAAGTAATGCTGAAAGTAAGAATTGTCATCTAATATTTCAGGTTGATTTTTTTCGCACAGTCCGACAATTTCAGTAATCGTTTGCTTATCACCATTCTCAGAACAAATGGACAACACTTGTATCAATATCGGTAGGGATGGGCACTTATTATACTTAATACATTCGGTAGATAATTTTATGATATTCCTATGATCTCCTATATTGATAGCCTTTTCAAATAGTCTGTCAAGCTCATCACTATGAAGATCACCTAAATCAAATTTACTATCTGTAAATATTTTCTGTTTAAGACTAGGTTGTGAAATTGCTTTTCTTTTTTGCCACTGGTTTATTTTGTTTTGCATTAATTGGTTAGTAAAATGATCTAAATTATCGTTATTTGATAATTTCCTTGCCAACTGAGTTTTATTTCTCAATTGAGCCCAAGGAAATATAAAAACTTTTATAATCCTCGACGAACAACCACAAATACACTGTTTAAAACCAAAGTAAAAAAACATATTAAAATAAAATTTTCTGAAACACTATTCACATTGGTTTCGTCTCAACATTATTTTGTAAATTTTAAATCTAATTTTTAAAATAACTAGCCTATATTCTTCTTATTTCGGTCAGCAAAGTTCATTATGAACACTTTTCTTCTTCCTTAAATTTAGGGTTCTTAAATCTTCGAAATCGAAGTCGTAAAACAGCAGTTTTTTAGATTACCCACGGCATTAATGTTAAAGTGACTTAAAAAAATATATAAAATTGACAATTATATGGCTACTATAGATAAATAGAGGCCCTGCCTATGTTGATAATACCGGACCCTTTGTGGCTATCATGAAAACAAATTGAGAATGACCATTCAACAAGCAGACGGGCTACATATTCAAATTCAATAAAAACTACCATTGCATATCTCTATTTCAACAAATAAGACCACCGAACTCATAGTACTAATTCTATGAATAACATAGCGATATTCAACAACCAACATGGCTGTTGACAATTCGTTAATTGAATGTTCGACTATGTTTAGTTTGAAGCATTTTTACCACAGCATGTTCTCACAATATATCCAGATACCGTTATATGGTCAGGGAAAAACGAGTTGTGTTTGGAGATCGCCGCTTGGAAAGAAAATGCAGTAGTGGTGTCAGTACAGTATCTAATAGCTAAATGATCTAAACATTGTCCTTTTTTAAACAGTTCCAACTGAACTAAAAACTTATTATATTCACTGTCCTCTATTTTGGTTAGAGACCTTGAGCACAAGATTTTCTGATTTTTTTTAACTTTTCTGAACTTACTGGCCGACAATTGTAATTAGTTTTTTTTTGTTGTAAATACCTACTTTTTCTACAATGCATTCGCTGATTCGTCAGACATTGACCAATTTTAATAAAAATTGTTGAGACTAAGAAAGATTGATTAGACCTTAAAGTTTTGACAAGAATTGGAGAGTTCAAGCCGTGGACACTGGTGTGAATGTGAAAAAATTTAATGCACAACTGGGCATATTTTACCTCAATAAAACAAATGCACCGACAGCTGGCGTTAAAAGCAAATAAAAGGTTCTAAATGACGAGCGCATGCGTCAAACTTCCCGCTCGGATGCAGAATCTTATACAGGACACATTGTACGTAAATTGCACATTGCAAATTATTTTTTCTATTCCCGTCTGTAAAATACTTAATTACCCACCGATCTAGCCACTCCGAATCCACTAGCGAATCCGAGCCACTTCAGACATTTCCGGGATTTTATCGCACGGATTTGGGAGCAATCGGATATTTTCGGTAATATTTCCCACGCTTTGAATTTTGACGTTTGTCAATTCTGACGTGCATGTCAGTGAATGTATTCGTGTTGTTTTGCGAAAATGTACCCAAAAACTAACGGTCGTAGAAAAAGTATAGTATGCAACACGTTCGGTAAACTTTTTAACTCACTCGTTTATTAAACACTCACTCCGCTCGTGTCAAATAAACTCGTGAGTCAAATGCCGTTTACCGCACCTGTTGCATAATATACTATTTGTTACCTATACCTAGAGCTGGGAATTATAAATGAATATGTATGTGTATGAGGACAAAACTAAAAATCAGAAAGGTTACGGATACTTCACTTTTGTGTTTCGCGACAAGATTTTTGATATATAATTTAGAGTTAGTAATCATTCCATAACATATTCTCACCCAAATAACTCCCTCGATATCAATTCTTTTTATTTATACGGATTGATATCAACCCACAGGAACTGTAATAATACAGAAAGTAAAAAGCTCTAGTCTTATATCAAAAATTACATATATTTTTACATCCAAAATTATTTTTATCAATAACAAAGAAACATTCTCTGTAACTAAAATTATAGAATTGTTTTCTAACTTTTCCCAGCAATCTTATCTAGAATAGACCTTTTTACAGCTAAATACACATATATAGCATAAAAAAACTTCAAATGGTAAAAATGTCTTATTTTCTCTTAATATTGTGGTTAATTATTTCACTTTATGCACCTAAATATGACATTTGCATCTATTCCATTCCCGGAGGTAATGGTTCTGCAGCAGATGCAGATGCAGAAGGTGGTACACTACTATGAGTCTCTAGAGATATGGTTTCAGACTGGGAAAGAACTGCTTCCTTGCCGTTGCTGGCAACTCCAGATGTAAGACCAGAAGGTTTACTATAAAATCCCAAAATAACTTCTTGGACAGTAGCAGGGATGTGCACCCTCTGAGCCTCTGTAAAAGTTGACAAATGATCTCTAAGAGGAGTTGCTAAATCAGGACATGATGTTAACACTTCTGTTAGTTGTGCAGGAGGCAACTGCATGAGCACAGCGAAACTTTGTGGTTTTGTGCGTTGGCAACATTTAATAAAGCCCTCCCAAACAATTTTTTGCTTCCAGACTTGTTTTAGGATGAGTCTTTGTAGAATGTTCATCACAAAACCTGACAATCTTGGATAACTTCCCAATGCCTGTATCACAGTTCTCATTAGTAATGTAGGCAAGGGAATTTGATCCATTAACTGTTGGAGCACAACAGCCAAAATTTCTTGTGTATAGACTTGCTTTTCTTGCAAACACAGAGATATAGCTTTTATCACTGTCTTTAAATCAGCTGATTTATTATCAATTAAATGCAATGAAACCAGCAATTCTACAGGCGAGATTGGGGTTTCACCATGAAGTCCTAATAACCTATTAAATACTTCTCTCACCACCACTGGGTTTAGCTTTATCAATTTTGGCAAAGCAGAAATAATTTCTTTTTTGGAAAGACCACTTAACACGGGAATTAAGAACCTGACATCTGAAATTCGACTGTTGTAGAGATCTCTTACCTTTGAGACCAATTCTGCACTTGGGGTACCTCGATCTGTTAAAATATGAATAACCCTCGTCACCAATGTCTCTGATCCCTTAGGACACTCCTCAACCAGCTTCATTAATTCAGAACAATCCATCCCCATGTTTCTAATTGGCTGTTCAATCAATCTTAATATAACCCGTTTAATTTCAGCATTTGTGTCAACATACACTTTTGTCAATTCATGAATTAGAGTAGGATTAACTGGTAATAATGAGACATATGGCAGAACAGATGCTTTTATAAAATCCTCATTCCAAGATTCACTTTTTATACGACCTTGATTATCTCCTCCCAAACTTTGAGGTGGTTTGGGAAGCTTTAGAAATTCCAAATTCATTTTTGCAAATTCTTCTATTACCAATCTTAAATCAAAATACTTATGTAAGTCTAAAATGTGCCCAATTGCTGCATCTCGAATGGAATTGGATTCATATGTAGTATATAATAAAAGAGTATTAAGAAACATCAGCTGCTTAGGTGGTTTTCTGATAATAAGATCTCTTAAAAGACCAAGTACCCAAGCAGATCTTCTTTCATCTCTACAAATAAGCTTTATTTCTTCCAAAGCTTCTTCAGTAACCATGGGAACCTCCAAAATTAACCGAGACAGAGTCAACACATCATGAGATGCACATTGAATAAAAGTACACAATAGAATATTATAACATTCATCTGGTCTTACCCCTTTCCTCAGTGGTGGAATTCTTGTAAAACCCTGCATTATACTATATTCCTCAAAAAGCCAAGCTAAAACTGTGTCTATATTTGAACGCAGATCTGATAATAAATATGTTAATATTGTTTCTCTCACTGTAGCAGTAAAACTGGATGCCAATGTTGTTATAATTTTTTGATGCAATCCATTGCTTTTTGTTTTATCAATAAGTAAAAGTCGCTTCACTGAACCCACCAACAATTTTTCTTTTATATCTTTTGGTAAGGGCTTAGTTACCTCTGTCAGTTTTAAAGATTTTATTTTAGGAACTTTCACTTTTTCTTTTTTTGGCACTACTTTTTCTGCAGGCTCATTGTCCTTTTTAAGTTCTTCAATTTTCTCCTCTACAATTATATCAGCACCTGGACCAACTTTTGCAGCAAGAAATTGGGCAGCTAAAGCTTCAGCAAGATATTCCCTTCCTATTCTTCCACTAAGCACATATTTACCATAATCCTTAACAAAACTAGCAGGCATAATGTTGGGCAACTTTGGTACATTGGTAAAAATAAGATAAATTGCTTTTTCAATTGTTAAGTTTTCCATAATAAACTTTTCATTTACTTCCTGAGGTGTCATTGAAGGAAAATTGCTATCATTGGTGTCATCATAGTCCATAGAGCTTACTTGCTCTAGTCTAGGTCTTTTGCTTAGTTGCTCAATCGATGATTCTAGAGACAAAGTTCTTCTTTGATATTTACGTCTTTCCTCTGCTTTAGGAATCATTTTATTAATATCTTGTTGCAAATAACCCAAATCTAATAATAAAGGGGTAAGTCGAGATATATATTCAAATGCTGCAGGATGTTTTATTAAAGCAGCCAATTCAGTTTTTAGCTTCTTTTTAACTGAGCTTACTTGCGTTGTTGTCAAAGTCGGTGGTAAATTGTTATATAGGGATTCAATGGCCTCTATAACTCGGCCCATAAAAGCAGCTCGATTTTTTGCTACATTTGTTAATACTCCTATACAAGCCAGTAGGTTGGCGCTGCTGATGTGAGGGGAACCATGAAATTTAACCAGTAATTCAAAAAGATTGCTAGCCTCTTCTTCAAGTTTTCTTCGCCTCGCAATTTTTAAAGTGAGTGGAATATTATCCAAAGAGAAATCATTAGACTTCTTGTTTTCTGTCTCATCTGGGTAAGTTTGTAAAAGCACAACACACTCAAGAAATTTAACGGAGCTAGTCCTTATACCATCATTGTCGCTATCAATCATATTGGCAATTTCTAGTTTAATGGTATTTAACTGATTCCAGCCCCTCTCCATTTCTTCAGTAACACTTGGCGCTTTACAAAGCCATGCCAATGTTCTCCGATATATTGTAATTGTAGCCTGAATGACTCTTTTTTGTACAGCTATTGATTCATCACATAAAAGCATGTGAAGTGTGACCATAACATTTGGAATTAAAGACTCTCGGACTTTACAAAGTTCTTCTATAAAGCCGACAAGAGATTTTTTAATTTCAGGATTTTTTTCTGTTGCAAAATTCAAAACATTCACAAGATATTTGGAAAGCAAACTTGGTGTGCGATGAAGTAGAAGTTCTTTAATTCTGCAAAAATTCTGCACTTTTTCAGACACTTGCGTTGATATTAAACTGTTATTTATATATTGAACTACCAATTCCTCTTCAGACATCTTGGTTATATTATTAAAAGATTAGTATTCACAAATAATCGTCGAGCATAGACATGGCAAGAAGGAATTAGCAGCGTTAATAAAATGTCTATTGTCCATGATAAAAATATTCATATTCTGTGAAAAATACATCTTTAATGTGGGCATTGGGCGAGCGTTTGTCATTAACATGCCTAATACAGTAAAAAAGAAGGAATAAAAGTTATGAGGAAAGGGCACAACTGTAAATTTATGTAAATAATGAAAAAAAAAGTTCAATTAATAACATTTACTTGTGTTCTGTGAATCAGTGGAGATGGATTCAGAAAGTACAGCCACTTCTGTAGATGAAAATACCGAAAACTTCTGTGACAACCCAACCAGGGATACAATTGCTGAGGGGCTTATGGGTCTGATTAAACCAACAGTAGATCAACTAGTTGAAAGGGTTAGGGCAACAAGGTTCACGTATCATTGCTATAACGCGCAATGTTTTGGTAATATGTATATTTTAGATTATCTCAACTGGAATTGAAACAGGCCATTGACAGTTTAGCTGAAGAATTGAAAAAAATTTCTGCTCAGCAAACTTCTCGGGATCTGGATAGTTATGTACGGAAATTATTGAACGCGAAGCAGAGGGTTGTAGTGCTTTCTAACGTATTACAAAATGCTCAGGAAAGACTAAATAAAGTACATCTCTCCATCGATAAAGAAGTTGTGAAAAGGAAAATGCTTTTAAACAATACAGTTGAAGATTGTGATTCATAAATTATTCACAACAATTATGACTTTGGAAACTCCAAGATATGATTTACATCAATTCTCAGAGGTTTATCATCCTGCTGAAGATACTTTTTTGTTTTTAGATGCGTTAGAAGAAGAGCTAAACTTTATTCAGCATCTAAATCCTACAATGATTTGTGAAGTTGGTTCAGGTAGTGGACTAATAGTCACAGCTTTAGCAACCATTTTAAAATACTCATGTGCATATTTTTCTACAGACATCAATTTCCAAGCATGTTTAGCCACAATGAAAACTGCATCAATGAACGATGTTTTCATTAATAGTGTCAATATGAACCTCCTGACGTGTTTTAAAGCTCAGTTTGACATGATCATGTTTAACCCCCCTTATGTTCCAACTGATTCAAGTGAGGTAGTAGGAAATGGAATTAATCGTTCCTGGGCAGGAGGCAGTCTTGGTCGTGAAGTTTTAGATAAATTTCTTTATACGTTACCAGACCTATTGAGGCCAAATGGAGTATGTTATTTGTTATTGTTAAAAGAAAACAAAACTAAAGAAATTGTAGAAATTTTGTCACAGAGAAATTTTAAAAGTGTGCTTATAAAGCAAAGGAAAATACCAGGAGAACACTTGTTTGTTTATAAATTTATTAAGATCATTTAATCCTGTGGTTTCACTGTTTAAAGGGTTTTTTAAATTAAAATTTAAATAAATGTTAAGCAAATTAAAATTGTTTTGAATTGTTAGAATTTATTGATATTTTCATCATAGCCTGTATTAATTATGATTACTAGTCTGCTTACTGTTTATTTAAGTGACATTACGTTTTATATACTCAATTTTGTTGAATACAAATATAAAAAAAGTTAAGTAGTTTTACTTTCCATAAATAAATTTTGCATGCCATTATATCCATCTGGCTTCTCCTATCTGCAGACCCCTAAAAAGCATAATAGTCTAACCTGCTGTCCCAACTTTTATGGTACTTTTGGTTTTTGATGTAGGCATCATATGTATTTGACAACTAATCATGAATAAGACTGTTTTCAAGAAGAAAATGAAAACATTTTGCTCGTTGACTGAATTACTGCAATTCACTTCTGTTTATGGCTTCATCAATCAGTAAGAGTAAAGATGATTCCTATGTACTATTATGTATGTCCTTAACGGAAAAATTGAAAAATTAGTAAAAAAAAATGTATTCCAGGGTGTAAAACCATATTTCGACCAAAAAAGTCAATCAGTGTCGGTCTCTTCAAAACAGGAAACGCAATAAAAAATGGATATATAAATTACGTCTCTAGCAACTAATAATAAACACGCCACAAATATCAAAATAGTGTCAAAAGAAACAATTTAAAATTATTTTCAAATATACAAGGGGATTCATAAATATTTGGAAAAAGAAGAACACCCTGCATATTATTGCATTAGTAGATGCTCCCTTTTATACCCAATCATCCAATGTAAGGTTGTTATGGTCTATCCAGAGTGTTCTCGAATTTATAGCTATTTTTCCGTCAAAAATCTCCTGTGTTTAATACCCTATATTATTCACGCTGTTTCCGACAGCTACAATTTTATTATGCCAATATTTTTATAAACCGGTATTGTCATTCGTCCTATACTTGTCCTGAAGTTAGTTCGATTCGTTTATACAGATTGTCAAAATGAAAAATATTAGTTTTTGTGAAAAATTCAATGAAACACGATACATATACTTCCATTAATTACTCCTATTAATGCTCCTTTTTAATGACAAAACTCCGAAAATTTGTCAAATTATGAGAAAATGTCGCAATAAGCCAAGGAAAATAAGAAGAAACAGGTAAATTTTTAATTTTGTGAAAAAAAAATAAATCTTTTTATTAATTTAGAAATTCCGCCTTTCTTAAAGTCCAAAATATTATTGAACTATAAAATATATGTTTTTAGATTGTGTTTTTTAGTACAAATTTAAGTTGGCCATGCAAATGATTATTATTATCATACTGCCCAATCATTTAAAGACTGTGTTAGAGCATGTATCGAAGTCTCGTTGAAAATTTTCAATATTCTGTTCGTAAAAATCTGTATACCTCGAAAAATGTCAAGTTTAGATATATGGAATGCTTAATAAAACTGAAAGAGCATTAATAGGAGTAATTAATGCAAGTCTAATATACAGGGTGTATAATTATAATTTGTTTCCTTTAGTCTCCCTCTCCCTGCTATAACTTTTGTATTTAACATTTTCCTCTAAAACAAATAATAAACGAGATATATTTGGACACTCTGTAGTCAAAGACATAGCAAGCATAGTCGTCAAGAATTATTTTTGAAAATATTGGATAATATATAGCAGTCATGAAAAATTTATAATTAAGTTTATATGCTTCGGTGAAAATATACTATTTAAATTTCAGAACACTGCGACTCTAACGGTAGTTTCAAGAAGCCCAATTAGCAAACGATTTTTTGTCATACAGGTATTACATATTTGCTCTCCAGCAGTCCTAGTAATTAGTTATTTTGCCATAGACAGTGACAAACTTTTAATTATGTTTGAAGACTACCGCAGAAATGATACCAAGGGAATGTTACAGTCCTTTGTTTCTGACAAAATTCTTCTGAAACTATACACAAATATGAACTATATAAAATTTATCTATATCGGGCACTTGCTTTGAGGGAAAAGTTTCAATTGAAGGATGTGGTTTCAGCTAATTTTTCACAAATAAAAATAGATCAATTATAGAATGTGCCGGTTCCAAAAAATCCACATTAGTTTATAATTGCGGATGCGATGTTATTTTTAGAAAAAAAAGTGTTTCTTGCCAACACAGTGCCTTTAAATTTAGAAAGGATTTTAAAATATTTATTTGTTATGTTAAATATGATGGAAAGTATTCTTGACGACATAATAAGTTTGCATAAAGCTAAAAAATGGGAGGCTATTTTGAAATTAAGAAATGAACACTGTGACCATTTAAGTGCTTTAAAAATTTTATGGGTATGGCCCAGCACAACGAACCTTACATTCTTAAAAAATGTTATGTGGAATTACAACATGAAGGGTGTTATTTCTTTAGGATGTGGATGCGGTTTGCTTGAATGGATCATAGAACAAGCTACAGGTAATTTTGTCTCATGGTAAAGGCATTACATATTAAACTCTTACAGAAAGGTTTTTTAAGAACTGAAAAAACTTTTTTGGTGGCATAATCCACTCCTTTATTGCAATCGCTACCTGTAGTTATAGAAGTGTTAATTTTCTATTAATGTAAAGTGATGAAATGGGAAACCGCAATTCAGCATATCCTGTACATAATCAGACACGATTTCAGGCAATTAATATTTAAATATTTTTTAAAAAAGGCTGTGGTTGTCCCGATCGGTTCATTCACGTAAGACATTACATAGTCACTGCTAAAAAAGTAGGTAATTGTAAGTTTTCGATATTATAAATATAGTGTGTCCCAGCGAAAATAAAACACAAGTATTTTAAAGTCAACATTGAAAATAAAAAAAAAAACTTTTAGAAATCACTTAAAATAAAAATTTAATAAATTGCTATGTACAAATCTTCTGGATTAACGCACTTTAACTGAAACTCAGTTTCAGTTCAGTTCCGAAGAAGCCAATGGTGAAACGTCAGCAAGTTCAATTCATCAATAACCGACGCAGGAGGAATCCAGAAGATTTGTAAATAGTAGCATTTAAAAAGTTAATTTAATAAAAAGTAAAAATGAGCATCACCAATACACCGATACTGGTACAATACAGAATTCGTTTATCCTTTCCAATAACTAAACTAGTAAACATCCAAAGTGGGCACCGCTCCACTCACTGCTACTTACTATTGATTTTTTAATTTTTTATCCTCAGATGTCTTTTATACATCCAAGATTTCGATACTCCATTTTTGAATTAGATTAGATCCAAAAATTCAAGATATTAAACCATGGCCCAAAATTTTTCGCCAAAATATGGAATGACAATACCTTTGTATTAGGGAATAACTTATTGCTTTTAATTGCCGTAATAAGACTGACTGCTTAATTTAGCTCTCTAAATTTCGACTCAATATTGGAGAGCTTAATAATATACTGAAACAAGTTTTCTGTTTAGGTTATCCTGCTATAGGATATGAAATCAACGAAGAGTGGTGGGAAAGTAAATACTCAAATCCGCAATTTATTCCACTGAAGTACGCTGAAAAAGAAAAACCAGTACTCCATAGTGCATATGCATTATTATTTTGTTACTTTAACGACGGATCCGCATTTCGAGATTACATCAAGTCATATAAGTAAGCAAATTTCTCATTCAACTGAAGCTAGCTTAGCAAAAACGCGTTAAAATATATCAGAATAATTAATAGATACAGTTCACAAAGATGTATCACCCAACCCCAAAATATTAAAAAATATATTGAAAAACCAAATGATGAATATTCATTAATCAAACTGTAACCCAAACATTATAATTATTTTTTAATTAATTCTGTAAGCGGTGAAGTCGCAAGTTAAGAACAAGCGTAAAGCCAACTTATAACTATTAATACAAACCAAGCAATTTTAACGAGAGCAAAGTTTATGTTTTATCTTTAAAATCTTAGAGAAACCGCGAGTCAACTTGGTAAAATTATTTTTCCATTTTTTAGAGGCAGAATGGTTATCATCATAGGTCCAGGCGAAGGCAGTGGAAGACACGCCGACCCCCTACCATTTTCTGCGGAGTTTGGAGAATCTAACTGGAAAATTTTTCAACACCAGGAAGTGCGAGATACCAAGGATTTTATTGCAATTTATCTTAGAAAATGATTTAAAAACTCGCGCGGATTTGTGAGTTTTACAATATATTTTTTAATTAAATGGGAGCAGGAAAAACTAAAATATTTACACGTATGGGAGTGATCTATCAGTATGAAACATTGTGTTAAATAAAGACATCCTAGAAACCAAACAACTTACAGTCAAAATCTATCTAGGAACTTTTGTTTATTGATACATCGCCAGCAGCCTGAAACCGTTAGCAGTAATTTGAGTGTGCTCTTTAAACTTCTCAAAAACAAACAAAGTGAACTTAAGTCAATTTTGGTACAGCTCAAAAATTATCCATTGGAAGCACTCAGCATTTATTAGTAATTATAGCGTAAGACGGAGCAGTTTTAATGTGGTTCATGTATGTCAAAATCAAGTACCATTTCTTTATTTAAGTAAGAATAGGTGCAGGATGTCACATAGACAGTTTTAAGTGTCCGATTCTTCCCACCAGTAGGTATCTGCGCAGTATTTACTCCTCCATTTCTTTATCCTCAATACACGTCCTGCACCCGTCGTTGTCCGCAAAACCAATTTTGTGCATGTGATTTCTCGCCATGCCAAACAAACTGTCCGTTTTTCAGTGGGACATTTCGTCAATAGATTCAATTGGGTTAGTCCCAGCACAAGACCAGAGATAGCCAAAGTTGACTGGGGTCCTATGGGTGATTTTGTTTACTCCTCTGTTTCCTAGAAAGTTTACGTTTTCATTCCCCTCCATGCCACTTGTACCCGGAATACGTTGAGATGTACCAAGGCAGACCTTTATCTCCATTTTTAGATGGTAGTCATAGATACTGATCCCAACACTTTCAGTCGTTTTGGTGCCGTTTGTTAACCAATGCGCTGTTCTTGTCCCATTAGATAAGTCTAATTTTTTTATAAGATCCAGTGCAACAGCACAACAATACCAATCACAATAATGTTGCCAAATAATCGGATTCATGATTATTATTTTTAAACCTTCAAGTAATTACTAAGAAGACGAAAAATTTTGTATATTTATTGTATATTAAATTACAAATTGAATTGAATGCAATTTTTTCAATTCACTCAAATAGGCAGAAAAGTCATTTGGCGCCATGGACTTCCAAAAAGATTACACAATCTTATGCAAATGGGCGCAGTTTGTTCAATAACCACAAAACTATTTAACACGAGCATTGCGAATATTAAATTACAAGAATACATGTGGATTATCATCATATAAACCAACAAATAAACAAACAAACATTTAATAAGTTTTATTTTTAGACTTCCCAAGTGCCCAATAATTTTTTTGTGGAAATCGCAGACCAATATTAATAGAAGCAGAACCTTCAAAAAGTGACATTCGTGACAAAATAGCGAACGTGCAAAGCGTGCGTCCTTAAGTTTTTATTAAGTTTAAATTTCTTGATCAAATCAAAAGTTAACTGAAATATAATAAGATTTTCCTATCGATCGGTGGAAATTTTATGGCTGGAATAGCAGAAAGTAGGCCGGTACAATTTATCCAATATTTAAGAACACTAAAATATGAAACCGGAATTTACATGAAACAGAAAAAAAAACATAAAACAATTTTTTATGATGTGGAAAAAAAAAGTATGAACATAATGAACCATATTACAATAAATAGGCGAGAAAACACTCTTCGTTCGTTAAACCCACCACCGGAAAGGCACGCAAACAACTTAATTTTTGGATATGCTACTACTTTTTTACTTTAGAAAAATTCAACCCACCAGTGTTCCCTACACTTTTTTGGAGAAAACAAACACATTAAACTTGAAAATAATATATATGTATAAATGACAAAACTGACATAAAACTTAACTGATTACAAAAAAAAATATAAAATATTTCAAATTTTTTATAAAATACCCCATGCGGCAATAAAATATAGATCCAAATTAACCCCATTTTCAACTGTCATATAAAAATCAATGGTATCACTTAAAATATAAATAGCTCTATGAATACAAATACATATGTACATTGTAAATTTACTTACATATTTATAAATCAGAGGAAGAAGTCTGTTTATGAGCTGCACTAAAATGCGCACTGTACATTTCTTTATTAACTGTTCTGAACTGGCAAAGACTGCAAGTAAACATCAAATCTTTTTCCATGCCAGGATGTTTGGTTTTTAAATGCATCTAAAACAAATGATCACATATAAAGTGATTCAAAATACAGGGTGTTTCATTTAAACAAATCTGTTTCAGCCATATGTCTCGTTTCCCATAAATTTCTACGCCACCTTGTAAATTATAATTTTTTGTGTGTGGCTAATATCCCCTTCTATTGCGACCTGTCGATCTGTGAGATGTCTTACCTTGTAAGTGTTCGTCTGAATACATGCATATGGACAAAAAATACATTTATAGGGTTTTTGTCCCGTATGCCTTAATTTGTGTCTCCGTAATGAATTGTGATCTGCAGTACTATATGAACATAAACTGCAGGAAAATGGTTTTTCTCCTAAAACAACCAGAACTTTTAAAATAAATACAAAAAAATGCTACTTTATTTTATTTATTTTATAAAGATTGCTCTCATAGTGAATTTTTGCTACTCCCTACCCTAAAATACTCAATTATGCATGGATCAAGCGTATGGAAAGTGACACTTTAACGATTTCGGTAAGGTGGAATTTTAGTAACGACTACTACGGTAAAAATTGATGGCACGCAGGGGGGATGGTTATTTTCCTAGAAAAGGTAATGATTTTTCCACCCACTAATATGCACTTTGCGCCATTTTTTTTTTAAATAGCACTTACTTAACTAGTTTTTGCACTGAACTTATCGACAATTCGTCAGGGGCCATGTTAGTTGTTGAATGCCGCAAGGTTATTAGTTAAATGAACGGACCTGCCCAAAAAATATTTCATGGTGGCTTCATAAGTTCCTGCAGTATTAGCATAGAGAGGGCCCTCTATATCTCTAGTAGCTATATGGTATTCACTAACTAAAAACCCCTCATTCTCTTTCGTACTTCCAACGTTTCCAACACAACGAGAAAAACCTACCAACTTCATATTTTATCACCAATTCATGAATGCAAACGAATGTGCATGCTTTTAACAATTTAATTTTTCAAAGAAACTTCCACATACTACTGTAATACTATTTACAAATCTGCTGGACTCTTCCTGCGTCGGTTGTTGATGAATTAAACTTGTTGACGTTTCGCCAATCATCCTGTTGGCTTGCTTATTCAGTTAAGCTCTGATGACTGACAAAACGGCAGCAAGTTCAAGTCAGCATCCGATGAAGGGCGAATCCAGAAGATTTGTAAATAATCCCAACACTATTGTTGCATAATATATTATAGGAACACTTCTGGTTTAAAACCTATCAGAACCTGCATCCTATTGCGCATTATTACTTGTCGAAAACTTATTTCCTACAGCTATGGAGTACAAGTGTATAAAAGTTGTTCTATTGATATTGAAATAAAATATTTGTATAGATGCCACGTTGACCTCGCTCATAATATCTTGTGTATTGTTACAACACGTAAAAACAATGGGATATCAAACAACTGTTTGGTTAGTTGGTTGAAACTCAATTTCAAAATTTTATTCATTTCATAATTGTAGATTGAACATATCATTTGCAAATTTCATAGCTACCTAAATGAAATACATATGGTCAAATAATCATTTTTTTATAGAAATTGCCTGTTATTTCAGAATCAAACAATTTATGTGAAGGCATATGTAAAACCAATTTTTGTGTCTTGTCGCAAATTTTAAATGCTCATGTATGCCACAGAACAAACTTCTCTTCGCCAAACTATTCTATATCTTTGTAAAATGCAATCTCATTTTTCAACTTTTTAAGAATCTAAACAAAAGCACAGTTATTTAATTGGAGCGATGTTTTAAATTAAGTAGGTAAATAACTTTAGTGTTACACAAAAGTAATTAGAAAATTATATCAAAGAATATGATATACATATCCAATTTGAAATGTTAAAACTAATGTTACTTTTTCAAAGCAGCAGCGCAATATCCTGAAAATATTTTAGTTGGATAGATGAAGGTCCGTTAAGTAAATAACCAAATTTTGAGAAGCATTCAATGGCTCATTATCCATGGACATTTAACAATCATGAATTAGCCTACATATGTCTGTTTCATGCAGTGTCAAATTTCCTATTACCAAAATAGATAGATACCTCAAGAACAGTTTCTTACCAGTGTGTAATCTAATATGCATTCTCAGTGAAGCTCTTGAAGATCCCTTATATCCACAATAGTTACATAAATATGGTTTTATTCTTTTATGAACACTATCCATATGACTTTTAAGTGTTCTTTTATCAGAGAAACATTTTGAACAAATTTCACATTCAACTTTGTCTACTTTGTCCTTATGTACCACTTTATGATTGCGTAATTGTTTAAGATTTTTGAACGCTTTATTACAAATATCACACTAAAATGATATTTTCACTTTTCCAATCAAATACACAAATGAATAATTACTACTTACCAAAAAAGCTTTTACATCTCCATGAATAAGTTTATGAACATTATTCATTTTTGACAAACTGTACGTTTTATAATCACATTTATCACAGGAATACAATTCCATGTCTATCTTGTGCACCCTCCATAAATGTGAACTCAAAGGTTTCCACATCATAAATTTTTCATTACACTCCAAACATTTAAAACCACTGTCAGTGTGGCAGCCTATATGTATGTTAAGCTTTGTTACATCATTCAGTCTAACTTTGCATAAAGGAATTATACATTTTTTTGAAGGGACTGGTTTTGCAACTATATCAGTTTTTCTCACAGTGCCTTTAAATAATTTTTCAGTATTAGTTGTTGTTACATTGATCTGTGGAAGGGTTACTTTTGGACATGGAACGGCACCATTTGAAACTTCTTTGGAAAATTGTGCCTCAAAATGTTCTGGATCTGAGTATTCATCCTCCTGAATGGACTGGTTATGTAATTTAGGTGGTTCAAGTTTCCCTACATATCTTAAAGAGATTTTGTGGTTCTTAAAATGCTTTTTATTGTCTTTGTTGGAATAATACATAACAGCTTGTACTATTAGGTTTAAATCACTATTGCTAACATAATGATCATGAAGCAAGTGAGATTTTAATGATGATCGATGGTAAAAATTATTAGCACATGCTGGACACTTTAACTGAATCAATTTATTAGTGACTGTTTTATTTTTATGGGCTGTTTCTAAATGTTCAGTAATTTTTGTATCCTTAGTACATAAAAATGGACACAAATTACAGACAAAGTAAAGCATATCTTCAAATAAATCTCCATCAAATTGTTTAGCTGATGCGTTCTGTTTGTTACATGTTTCACTTGATAATGATTCTTTCAGCACAATATAGTTATTATGTGAGTCCACTGGTGCATCTACCAATGGGATCTTATAATCATTTCCATTCAATATAATTAACTCTGTATTTTGTGGGTTTGATTCAACATTAGCACTATCTAAATTTTGTAGGATCGAAGACACTTGGCAGCTTCCTATAACTGGAAGACCATCCTAAAAATAATATTATAATTTATTAGATCCCAAATAGGCATAAATCTTACATCGGACGACAAAAATTCAACGCTATTTGCCCATATGGGATCATTAGTAGTTACCAAATGTTCGGTTTTCATCCCGTTTTTTTAATTCGCAAAATTTAGATTTCACTTATTTCCTACAAACAAAACCACTAAATTCAATTACAATAATGTATACATCATAGGAAAAGATATTTTTTATCTATGGTCTGCGACATCTTCTTTAGTAAGCTGGACAAGTGTCTAGCACCAACATTGGACGTATGCTTCAACAGGAATGGTATTTTAAAAGCAAACCTCTTGACGTTTGCGCGAATAGACCTCAGATAATCTCCTCGAACAAATTTCTTGAGTTACTTGGCTTGTAATGCAATAAATTTTACGTAAAAGACAAATTTCTAATGAAAATTATTTAACTCGAAAAATGTAATGTCTCACAATGCCTTGGGGATTAATCGGATAGGTTGATCTCTGCAATGGAATTACACCCAGAGTTAAAAGAGATGACTTTTCTAATCTTGATTCTGACATTTGGCGGGAAAGCGTTTTGGGTGATATCTGTGAAAACTTTATTTTGACTTTTATAAATTTGCTTTTTGATTGATTGTGCCTAAAGAAATTTACCTATTTAAGACATTGCTGATATTATATAAGGATGGTGGTAGATTCTCTAGAAGAGACACTTAATGCTACAGAGGCCAACTTGTTAAACTACTCAATAATAAGAGACCAAGAAAAGGAAAATCCTTTAAAATTAAAACTTAAGGTCTCTGACAAAAATAAACGCATTTCCAAGAGTGATCAAATTTCATACAAAGCTGGGAAGCAAAACGCCAACACGTCTGAAGCAGCCGAAAGTACTGATAAGATGTGTGTTAGTGAAGACAAAATATTAACTCCAGTCAGAATTTATTTGGAAAAAATAGATTTGGAGGGAATGGAAAACAACGAAAACGGTGAGAGTTCATTAAAAAGGAGCAAATCTGTAAAGGCACCAAAGCAAAAACATGTATCTGAAGATATAGATGAACTTTGTTCATATATGACAAAAAGCAACCTTAAGACACCGAAAAAAAGAACTCTAAGCGAATTTAGTGATTTTACAGTGGAGAGTGCTTCCGTGGATACTCCTAAAAGAAGAATCGCTAAATCATTACACATTACTTCAAACAAACTTGAACAATCTAAGGTATTCTAGAATTAATATAATTCATGATTAGACACAGCATTCATAATTTTGTTCTGTAAATTTAATGTTATTAAATACCACTTTCTTCATAATTTTAACAGAGTAAACGGCAAATACGGGCGCCAACCCGATACCAACAAGAAAATAGCCCAAAGTCCTGCAAAAAGAATCAAAGGGAGTTTCACAGAACAAGACTGAGTTCATATAGCCAATTTTACTATGACACTGAAGATGTTAGTCCTTCTAAAATAAGGTAATTTCTTGAAATTAATAAAATCAACTTAAACTGAAACTATTGTTTGTTAAGTATCGGACATAATATACAAGTATCTATTTGAATATTACTTTTGGTGGCTAGGGGTTAAACTTGACCTTTTTTTAGTGATTAATAATATTATTATTAATTTTAATTTTTTTTTAGTGAAGTTCAAACGCCTTCAAAATACCAAAGGAACAATGTTTCACAAAGATCAGTAAAAAAAAATCTTAATGAATCATTTAGGAGATCTGCCTTGAGAAGTTCAATCAGTATTGACACTAAAGATGGAAATGGTCCAGTTAGACGAGCTAGATCAAAATCATGTACGCAATACAATGATTTTATTCATACAAGTCCGCCTAAGGAAAGGTACATAATACAATCTAATTCACGGTTATTGTATAACTTATGAGTAACTTACAGGATGCTGAAGAAGTCACTCACACCCCGTTCATGTATAAGCTCCCCAAAAACACCAAGAAATCGTATGAAATTAATAAGGTACAACAATCTACCAATAGGATTTTTTTTTTGTTTTAATATTTTTAAAGAGAATATCTTTTTTAACTTTCTTCTTGTATAAATAAAAAGATCTTGCACACCTATTAGAACTTTAAATAATTGAGTAAAATAAAATCACACATCACAATCTATTACAAAATTACCATCTTTTTAATTTCAAAAATGTCCAAAACAAAAAATAAAGTAAAAGTAAATAAATACCTTTTGTAGGGAAGGTCTGATTACTCCATCAATGTCTAATAGATCAAGTATTATTAGTGAGAGTGGAAACAAATTAATGACTGCTCGACGTCAACTTCATGTGTCCTATGTTCCAGCCTGCCTTCCCTGCCGAGAAAAGGAATATATGGGCATTTATAAATTTTTGGAAAGAAAACTGTCAGATGGACAAGGAGGGTAGAATATTAATTCGGCTTTATTAACATTGTTACAGATTTATTGTGTTTAGGTGCATGTATGTATCTGGGGTGCCAGGAACAGGAAAGACTGCCACTGTTACATCGGTTATTACATCTCTTCAAGGAGAAAAAGATCTTCCAGGATTTGACTATATTAATTTAAATGGCATGAGACTTACAGAACCTAAACAAGCATATGTAGAGGTATGAAACAAATTGTGAATGCCTGTACAGGTAATATCAAATCTGAATACTTGGTTTGCAATGCTTTGCTTTATGTGCCATTGTTTGATAGACAATGTGTTTGCATCTGGCTTAAAGTAACCAAAAATTATTAAATGAATTTATTGAAATAAATGGGGGTTTGATTCATTGCTTGATTTACCTCAGATTGATTTCAAATTGAATCCATTCTACATCTTATGTTTTTAGATATGGAAACAACTATCAGGTAGAACAGTACCATGGGAACAAGCTCAAAGTATTTTAGAAGAAAGATTCACACGCAAGAAACATTTGACTCCAGTTATAATGCTGATTGATGAGGTATTTCCCATTTTATGTTTCTACCAGGCTATTATCCAGTTCACGTTTTAGTTGGACATTTTATGTACAAAAAAGCAAGATGTTGTCTATAACTTATTGGATTGGCCAGCAAAGTCCAAAAATCAATTGATAGCGGTTGCAATTGCGAACACAATGGATTTACCAGAAAGGTGAGTTTTAGATTTTGCTTAATTTGTCTATTTTTTTTAATGGATTGTCCAATATTGAACGAGGTCTGTGTGAGTTTAATCATAAACAATATTTACTCTGCTCTATACCCTAACAGAAAAAAATCAGTATTTGGTTGTTGAGAATCGCAAATTAATATAAAACGTGCTTTCATAATTTTTCATTGTCTCCTAACATTTTTGAAATAACTTGAAATAATAAATGCCGTGCTGAGAAAACAAATTTGGGCATTTAAATTTTAATGCAAAATTCACCAAAACTCATTTGAGTAGCTTAAAAGGTTTCTCAATAAAAGTAAAACAAACTGTAAAAAGAAGTAAAGGTTTAAACGCCCCATATCAAGATAGTAAAGCATATTCTTATTTCCAGATTATTGATGAATAGGGTGACAAGTCGTTTAGGTTTAACTCGATTAACATTTCAACCTTACACCCACAAACAGTTAATGGAAATCATTATAAAAAGGTTGACTGATACACAGAGCTTCACGTCAGACGCCATCCAACTTGTTGCTAGGTAGGCTATTTTAAACAATTGAAAATGGGACCCAAGCATACACATTCTCCGGGTCTATCATTTTGATACATATTTGCAGGAAAGTAGCTTCAGTATCTGGGGACGCACGTCGAGCGCTTGATATATGCCGAAGAGCTGCTGAAATAGCAGAAGAGAAGAATCATGAATTGGTTACTGTTGCGCACATAAACGAAGCACTAAATGTTATGATAATGCAGCCCAAGGTTTCACAAATGAAAAGATGCTCGAAGCTTGAAAAACTTATACTACAAGCTATTGTTGCAGAGGTAAAAACTTAAATGTTTTATCGCGTTTTAATATTATTTTCAAATTAACTAGGTGGAACGGACAGGGGTCGAAGAAACGACTTTTGCAAATGTTTTTACAATGTTGGCCTCTTGCTGCGCATTGGATGGATTTAAAATGGTTTCTTGTACAGCAGCACAACGTGCTGTTAGTAAACTTGGTGCTTGCCGGCTGATTTTAATAGACCAAAAATGTAACCACATTTACCAAAAAATTATATTAAATGTTAGCAGTCACGACGTATATTTTGCTATAAAAAATTAATAGTTTTACATTGACCAAAATTTTAAACTTAATTGTTTTAATCATTTTTTATTTTGTACAATGTGGTATTTTATTAATAAAACTGAATAAATCATAAAAGCAAAGGCCTTTCTCCTCAAAATTTATTGATAATTAAGTTGCCCAAAAAAACCTACACACTGACATGTTTCTCTAGTACTTAAATTTATAAAAAATACCCTTTTTTAATTTATAGTGGGAAAATCTGAAAAATTGGCATTATTTAAAAAAATAATTAGCAAACAGCTGAATTTAAAAATAAAATTGAAAAAATTTTAAGGCTTGTTTTAACAAATGTTGCGATTTTTATAAAATGTGTCTTACAGTTTGCATTTTGTGTTGTAGACTACTCTGTGACTTCAAGTTCGTGCTGATAAAATTACATTTCTATAAATCGTGGTTTTTCTAGATTTTACTCAACAAAATAGAGTGATCCCAATAGCACTATGTAATTTAGGATAGCGATGGGGAAACGAACACAATATTTTTGCAATCCTGTATTTTTTTATGTGTTCCCCAGGTTGTTTGCCGAGAATATCTATCCATTTCTTAGCCCATAACAGCTTCCATAACAAGCAATTGAAAACAAATACCAATCAGATCAGGTGGATCAGTTACATTAATCTTTTTCGCTAGTGCTTAATATTAACCAGCATTAATAATAAGATTCAAAATATGTGCATTCTTACAAATGTAACTATTTCGTTCAATTACAATGGCAAACAGCTGATTTCAGGTGTAGTATGATAAAGCCTAAAATAATGTTTTTCTACTCCCGTCTGTAAAATACCTAATTACACACCGATCTGGCGTATGGGAAGCGTCACTTTACCACCTCAGCTTTATTTCCCACAGATCCAAGCCAGTTCGGACATTTCCGGGATTTTACCGCAGGGGTTTGGGAACAATCGGACGTTTTACGAGATATTTCCCACGACTTAAATTGTGACGTTTGTCAATTCTGACGGTCGTTCGTGTTGTTTTGCGAAAATGTACTTAAAAACTAACGGTCGTATAAACAGTATAGTATGCAAGACGTTCGCCAAAACTTTTAAGTTTAAGTCACTTGTTTATTAAACACTGGCTCCGCTCGTGCCAAATAAACTCATGAGTCAAATGCCGTTTACCGCACTTGTTGCATAATATACTATTTTAAAACCGCAGCCTTAACACATAAAACAAATATCCTTGAGCTCTCGAATCAAGTTTTGTCATGGAAAAAATAGACCTGCGGTTTTCATCAAAGGCTTTCATTTTTAACATTTAGTGTATAACTGAAACAATGCATAACCAAAGAAATATTAAACTTAATGGGAGAACGACGGAAATTCAACGGAAAACAAATAAATATAAAGAAATATATAAATTATTTAAAAACAAGGTCAGATTGGCTAAGGAAGCACGGTATTGAGAAAAGTGCACTGAGATCGATCCTTCAAGGAAAATACGATATCTTTAATGTCCACAAAAAAGTAAAGGAACTATCAGGCAAACAACGACGGAGACAAGTAACTACACTCAGAGGCAAGGATGTAAATATTGTCGCGGACGAAGCAAAGTAATCCCAAAAGCATGGCTTTTATCAACATTTGTACCTAGAGGAAGCAAGAGAATGCAGTAATCACACAACCTTAAGTCTGATGTGCCTCATCCCAAACATATTTTTAAAAACAATCCTCAAGTGTGTATATAGCAAGCTTGAAGAAGACATTAGTGAAAGCCAGTTTGGGTTCAGGAATGCAACGGGAACAAGGGAAGCATTATTCGCCTTGTATGTTTTAATACAAAGGTGTTTGGATATAAATCAGGATCTTTTCGTCTGTTTTGTGGATTACAAAACAGCTTTCGATTATGTGAGGCACGACAGACTTACGGAAATTCTAAATGAAAAACATATAGACTTTAACAACATGAGAATAATTAGCAACCTATATTATAATAAAAAAAATCCGGGCGAAGAAATGTCAAACAAGGTAATAATAGAAAGAGGAGTAAAACTATACTTTTTAACCTCTACTCTGAGAAAAACATGCAAGAGGCTATATCGGAAGAAACAGCAGGAATAAGGATAAACGTTGAACTAATTAACAATATCCCTTTTTCCAGTGATACCTTGGTAATAGCCCAGAGTAGCGCAGACCTACAAAGAATAATGGACAAAATTGTCAATAGTAAAGAGGCTAGTGTTACATTTAGGTATAATTGATGATCATATTCACAATGAGGAAGTTGAGAGTACAGATACCTGGGTACTGTGTTAAACTCTACTGGAGGACACTCCCAAGAAATAAGATCCAGAATAGGACAAGCTAGAGCTGAAACATCAAACTTAAGATCAGAGTGGCCAGATGCTATATTTTTTCAATCCTTTATAGATTTGACATGTCATGGACAACGAACAAAGAAAAAGACTCCAGGCTGTTGAAATGTGGGTATACAAACGCATACTTAGAGTTTCTTGGACAGAGAGAAAGAGAAACAAATGCAGAGATATTAAGACGAATGGATAAAACAACAGATTGTGGAGACCATAAAGACAAGGAAACTTGCTTACCTTGCTTCCAACAAATAATACAGGAAAAATACAAGGCAAGAGAAGCTTGGGGAGAAGGCGCCCTTAAGAGAGTGGTGCCACTGAGCAGCCGAACAAAGTGATGATAGCCATCCTTCTTACATTAAGAAGAAGTATAAATGAAATGCTATCATAGCTAGCGAAAAAAAAAAAACTAACATCATTTACCTGCACAATTCACAGCTTTAACAGAGTATGAAATTTTTTAATATTGTGTCACTAATGACTTTTTAATCAAACTTTTATTTCAAGATTCACAATACACCAGTACATTCTGAAATTTTAAGCCATGCGCGCTGTTTTAGTAAGATGACGTTTCAAATAAATTAACTGCGCTTCACTTTCCAGTTTGGATAAATCCTTAACTATCGGAGCCATTTGGGCAGTATGGTTAGTGTAGTTGGAGCCAGCATGTTGCCTCTTTTGTCCATAAACCACTTTTCCATCAAAATCATCATGTGGTACCTGCATATCTGGTTCTATTTGTTGAATTGTTACATTCAAGTGTTCTTCTATATCAGCCAGATACTGCAAAAAAAAATTCAAGAAGGAAGTAATTTATATACTAAATATGCGCCAATGATTATTAGTTAATCACTTATTACCTGTGGTTCATTATACCACATGCAACAGCCTTTGACATCTGTCAAATTGGTGTTCCAACAATTTCTTCCACGCGAATGGCACCACTCTCCATGATACCAAACCTAATTTTCACAATCTATTGATTTGAAGAAAAATACAGACCACTTTTTTTTTTACCTTTTCTGGTACACTTGCGACAAGGCTAATAGCTAATCCCATTCGCTCGGCTCGACCCACACGACCGATTCTGTGCACATAGTTGGACTTTTCATCTGGTAATGTGACATTGATCATAAATGGGAGACCAGAAATATCTAAACCTCGAGCTGCCACATCAGTACAAATCAAATATTTAACCTAAAAGCAACGTACATATGCAAAATATTTCAGAAAGAAAATACTGGTTAAAAGCATGAATACTCTAAACAATTTCGCTTCTGGGCAATAGTCAAAATTTTATGAAAAGGATCTCTCTTCTACTTTATCACGATGGGACTAAATAGGGTCAAGAAATCAAATTTGCCCTAAAATTAATCTGGATATTTAAAATATGGTCATAAAAATGATCTACACAAAAAATGTATGTGGAAGTTTAACGTGTGCATGAAAAATTTTGGAAATATACCTTTGAGGTTATTAAATTTACGATAAAGAAATGATTTTTTCTTAAAACTTTAACACACTGTAGTTCAAAATTTAGTATATAAGGTTTAGTACAACCTCTCACAAAAAGTCAAATATCAAAAACCAAACAATATGATTACATACATCCCCATTTTTAAACAATTCCAAATTTCGTTTCCTCTCGTTGGGTTTCCTGTCACCATGAAGACAAACACAAGAAAATTTCATTTTATCAATCTGCTTCAAGTATTTTTCCAAGTTGTCACAGTCAAGTTTTGTTCTGCAGAAAATTATAGCTCTGTCCATATTATGCACACACAATGCCCGAATAACATATTCGCCTTTTAATAATTTGACAGCTTCGCTAAGTGTTTCAGGGCTGTTGTTTCCTGCAAAATTATATTTCATTATAACATTTTTATTTAAATAATTTATATGGGTTTATATATTTTATTATAATTGAAATACTCAATTTCAAATAAGTAATATTACCTGGTCTCACATTATCTTGCTGGTGGACTCCATCTGTTATAATGTGTCTTCTGAGATTTTGCCAACTTCTGTCATTCTGTGGGTCTACAGGAACAACGACGTGGTGAACAGTTTCGGGGACGGCATCTTCACCTTTAAGATCTACCCATGTTGGGAAATGCATAAGCTTTTCTGCCATTTTCTTGACCTGCAATATTCCAATCTGATGGTTATGGAAATGGATTGAAGATAAGTTTTACCTCAAATGCATGAAGAGTGGCACTACAAACAATCATTTGCAGTCTTCGTCCATCGGAAGTAATTTTAGGCATTGCCTTGTGCAATCTCTCTATGAGGTCACCATAACCTTGTTTTAGAAGTCCATCCGCTTCATCAAGGACAAAAAATCGACAATTGGATAAGGAAAGATAACCTCCATGAATAAGGTCTTCTAGTCTTCCTGGTGTGCCGACTATTATGTCCGCGCCTGGTGGAACATTTGTTTTGATAAATTTGGAGGGCGCCACAATCATAGACACTTTACAGGTTCCAACAGAAGGACAATATTATAGCATCACAATAATCTAAACCTAAGTGTAGGCAAAACCCTTATTGAAGATTCACCAAAGTTTGAGGGAAGGGAGCCAATTTTTTTTACTACCAAAATTAAATTGTTTTCAGAATATCACACATTATTAAAGAAATGATTAAGAGTTAAGATATTAACCACAAAGCAGTCCTTCCCAGGTTTGCTCAGGTATGATTTTTTCAGTCAGTCAGTAAATATATTATACTATATATACATATATTTAATTTCATGATGCCAGAGCTCCACCTCGTTTGTCAAAACCTGTTTAAGTCAGGGAGGATGCAATTATATCTACTCTCAACACCACAAACCTGTATTTTGCAAAAATGAAATCTGGTCCCTGACATTTACACCACCAATTACTAGAAGTTCTCGAATGGATGGATTTTGCAAATGCTTTTTAAAAAGTTTTATTTGGTTACAAGTCTGTTCTGCTAATTCCCTCGATGGTTCTATTATTACAGCTTGTGGTGCATTGTTTGCCACTAAAATAAATATTATAGAATACAATTATTGTTAAAAAAGTGTTAAATATTAAGATGCCTTTTGTTGATGGTTCCCCAGAAGAGCCTTGTCCAATTGTATTCATAGCTACTTGTTCTTTAACAGCATTTATTAAAGGCAAGTACTTGTCAGGCAAACTGTGCTTAAATGGTTTATCACCAAAATTGAAAGCCATCTCGGCATTCTAAAAACATCAAAATTTGCACATAGTTTCCAAGTTTTTGTTTGAAATTAACAGTATCATAATAAATCAATATCCCTTTGATGTTAATATTATTGATTGATCATCTATTTATTTTAATTAGGTTTGTAACAATAAAAAACAATTGACATTATTTCTGCATAAAAAAAATCTAAACCTAACATGATGCAATAAGGTAAACTCTGATTAAAATAACAATCTGTTTACCTTTAGAACAACAGCAGGAAAGTAAGCTTCCTTTGTATTAAGATTTGAAAATGCTATTCCGAGATCTACCCCGTTTTTCAGAAATTTTATTTCTCCTTTATCCATATCCAATAAGCAAGTAATTGTATCATTTTTGCCAAAAGGTTCCCCATAATTATCAAACTGCCGATTATTAGACTTTTTTCCTGTACCACCAAAGCCATACCCACATCTAAAATATTAGTTTTAAAATCTTGTTTTTGTAAAAAAAAGTCTAACCTGTCAGTTCCAAGGTCCAGGTTTGCATTTAGTGTAGACCATCCAACTCGACACAAACCTTCATCAGTTACAGTTGCTTCAAATCCCCACTTTCCACCTAAAACACCCCTTGTACATCTTACACCATGCCACTCTTTTTGTTCACGTGATTGGACTCTAAGTCCATCTGGAGCCACAGCTAAAGCAGAATCTCTATCATGTGTTGACATTGTCCATGGAGGAGCTGTAAATTTCTTACATTATAATTTATTTTTTAATCTTTTACATTTTCTATACTTTAAGGTATACTTTAATGTTAACGCTAGTGCTAATTAATATCATTATTCTATCAAGTTTTAGAGATGGAATAGTCTGTCCCTAACTTACTTACCAAAGCTAAAATAATCCTCTGAAATGAAACTGAAATTTTTGAAAATTAAATATTTGAATTTACCAATTTAGTGCGCTTCCCTTAGCTCGCTTATCATTATTGCAATATTTTTCATTCCATTTTTACATTTTCTACTTAAATTAACAAACACAACTTACAAGAATTGCTCGCTACTTTAGCTAGTTTTCCAGATTGTATATCTTTTATGGTTTCCCATACAATTTGAATAATTGGTAAACAAAATGCCGCTGTTTTACCACTGCCAGTTTCAGCAGCCATGAGAACATCTCCACCACCAAGCACCAAGGGTATCCCCTCTGCCTGTATATCAGTGGGTAAACTGGGAAATGATTAACCATTACATTACATAAATACAGAAAATTAAATAAAAAAATATCTTAGTATATGGGCCAATTGCCCTTTAGCTTACCTCCATTCCAATTCATCTATAGCTTTGGCGATTTCTGGCAAGACTCCGAATTCTGCAAAATTATAGAACCTATTATGAAAAACGGTGGGCTATGATAAAATGTGATTTACCTTCAAACGCAGTCATGTCTGTCAAACTTTACTTGTACAAATTGCAAAAAAAACAAGCAAGTTTCAAAAATCTGAACTTATTATAATCAATGATATAAACAAGGTTATTCTTCTTAAATTGTCTCACAATACACATGTATATTCAATTACCCTTTATTCTATTGGGCATGTGGCCGGTAGCGGCGAGCAAATTGGGCACACTCTAACATCGTATTTATTAACTTTTCTCACATAAAATTAAAGCTAATCCTTAGAATACTAACTAAACTAACGACAGTTAATTTAATGCTTCGGCTTTAAGGGCTTTTCGGCAGCGTCAGCAGTAAGTGTTTTGGCAAATCGTTTTCGCCAAAGGCCCGCGTCTCTACTTCTTCTTTAGGGGTTGCCTTTTCTGAAACGGAATTTGCCATTTCGCCTCCGACAAAATCGTGGGGGTCATTGCCGCTGATGTGCCTACTTTTTTTGTAAGCATTATGTGCTGCATAAACTTTGCAAAAATAATTTCGCATTTTACTTTTGCTCACTTTGCTGTTAACCACTCTGTTAGTATTAATAGACTAGAATTACTAATAAGACGCGAGTCTAAACCAGATATTCTCTAATGTCCTTGGTTCGAACCCCACTGATTGCCGTTGGTGTGGACGTGAATGGATTTGTCCACATTTTTCAAAGACATGAGTAGTGCCGGCAAATTTCTTTAGTAGCAGCACCAAACATTGAGAGAAGGAATGAATTAATTAAATTACTAAATAGTTAATTCCAAAATGCAAAGCGTTCTACATGAAGCTGATTTTTGGAACGTTTTGGAAATTATATTATATTTAACTATTATTTTTTTAACGATCCACCGGTTGGACAATTGCCGCTTCTTCTCGCATGCTGTTTCCCCCAAGAAATTTCTTCCATATGCCAGAGAATAGGCATCAACGCATTCTATCCGGTCCTGGCCTATCCGTGGAACCGGAATTTTAAACGTCATTAGTTTTTGATTGGATTTGGGGGATTATATTTTCTGGTGTTCTTTTTATTAAATCAGAATATATATATAAATATTTTTCCAAAATCGTTTGCAGACAATCATACCTATGGCAGATCTAGATGATTTTTTCGCAAAAAAAGACCGTAAGAAGTCAAAAACTTCGAAGAAATTTGCAACAACCGATGAAGTAGCCAAAAAATTGGAAGATACTGTTAAAAAAAGCGAAAAACAGAAAAAGGAACGTGTGGCTGAAAATGACGAAAATAGTTTAGAAGTTCATGTAAGTCTGTCCAATATTTTGAAGCTTTTGTCGAGACCACATTGTTCACTAATTTGAGGTTAATTTAGCCATATTGTTTGCAAAGGTACCCATTATTTCTTCCTTTATTTCGATGGTTTTTTAAAAGTCTTTTTATTGTATTACTTTGCAAGATTTTTTCTTTATTGTTGGCATTCTTTACTCTTGGTGTTTATTAGCCTTTTTATGTTTTACGAGTTTTAATATTGGTAGGAAAATGGTTTTGCACATTGTCACATCGTCATATTGAGTGCTCTATATTATATTCTCAATATACCAAAAATATTTATAGTAACCCATAGTATAAATAAAGAAATTTTAATTTTGTGTTATCTCATATATAAAGTTATATAAAGCAATAGTTATAACACATTTTTCGTTAGGAACAAGATGAATGGAAGGACTTCGAAGAAGAAAAGAAGGATTACTCGGGATTAAAGATAGGCAATTTATCTCTTGGCATTGCCCAGGAAAGTAGTTCTAATGTTACAGAAATCGGAACTGGTGAACAACAAGAAGGTACAGAACAAAATCAAGAGCCAGATAGAAAAGCTGGACCATGGAAAAGGTATTTTGACTTCTGTTATTTATAAAATACTTCACTGTTACAAGTTGAGTGATGTTCATGACATATGAAATTTGATATTGTTATACTTTTTGCCAGTAATTAGATTTTACTTAAAGGATTGAACCACAAGAGGAAGTTCCTCGTCCCGTGCCGCTGCCTGAGAAGAAAATTGAGGGTCCCCCACAGAAATCTGGTGCTTATGTAGCTCCCTCTTTGCGGAATGCAGGATCGCAACAAGCTTCTTCTCAACTAGTTCCTATCAGGTTAAGGGGCATCAAAGGTGCAGCCCCTGATATTCATAATGAGGAGTTCTTCCCTACATTGAGTAAAAGTGGGGATGGCAAAAAGTAAGTATACAGTGATAATAAATCTTTCTAAAATTTGCTTGTCTTGTGGTTATTAAAATTTATTTCATATTTTATGAGTTTATATTTTTATTACAAGAATTCAAAAAATTATTCACTGCCACAAAGATGCTGAGGTTCAATAGAAGCTAAAACAGGAAAACAGCAATAAGCTGCAGTATGAGACAATATATTTTTTTAATTTACATCAGATCAAATCAAGTGGTGATTCCTCTTTTGAGATAAGTCTGTATTTGACATTTTTAATACTATATCATTTTAAACGAAACGTGTCACCTTTTTGAAATTTAAATAATAAAAAATAATTTATATTCCAGGAATCGAAATGAAGGTTCATTTGAAACAGTCCAACATAACCGTGCAAGTTCGTACAGGCAACAATTGGAACAATCAAAGGGTGGACCCAAATTGAACCTTGGCAATCGTTTTAATACCCTAAGTAATGATAGCTAGTGAATAAAAAGTAATCCTTAGGGACACAAGATTATCAACAAACTTGTTGCATCTTCCAGCAAATACCCATAACTTAAATTTTACTTTTATTTTCTTTCTCTTCAATGTTTTAAACTCAAATTAGAAATAACTTCTCGCTTGATAAATTCATTAATACTTATGGATTGCATATTGTGACTTTCCATTTGCTGGAAAACCTACTTTTTTCAATTTTGGTATTCCCAAAACAAAACATTAAAGGCATGCGGTAAATTTTATTGTTTGTCACATATTGGGTATTTAGACTAAAAAAGTTGTAATTTATTTGAAATGTTTAGTGACAACTGACTTTTTAAAAATATAAATTGCTGATTGTACTTGACTTAAATTCATTAGATTTGTATAAATCAGTTTTGTACATATTTATTTGCTTGAATACAATTTTTTCCATCTTTTCATCAAATTTTATCAATTATTTACTAATTTTGTTTTATTTTTATTCTGGTAAAAAGTAATATTTCATTTTTTAAAATAATAAAGCTACATTATATTTTTTAATTAGATTATATTATTGTTTAAAAATACATTTTTTGTGTAATTTTAACATTTATTCCTTTGACTTTGGTCCATAAATATTGGTTGCCTTTTATTAAGGTTATAGTTCTAAAGTTAATGTTCTCCGTCTTGAAGTGGGTTGACATATGTGAGATAATGAAGATTTTATGATAAAGCAAACCAACAATTTCTTGAGGGAAAAATGTATAGAGAAGGCCATTAAAGCAACTGCAAAATTGTGAAACACAAGGTGGAAATTGGCTTTCCTACTGACTTCATAGAGTCATGCTCACATGTTTACATACAGTTTGAAGGATCCAGCACTCAGAAACTCAAATCTTTTGAACTTGAGAATCTGAGTAACGTAATCCTCACAAAATGTAACTTTATTTGAGAGTTAAATCTGTTGACATACTCATGAATGTGCCACAATTGACCAGATTGTAGCAGGACGATTTTTGAACCATGCAATATATCCTATTTCAATAATACGATACACTATAAAATGACAGAAACAATAAATTACACTTTTCCAGATATTGAAAGTATACTTTAATTAAAATCTTTTGGCATTAAGGATATAATATTTCGAATATTTTCCAAAATGATGGTATTGTTGGATATACAACTTTCAACAGTAAATGGTGGCAGTATAATTAAGTTATTGTCAATTTTTAAATAATCCTCTACATCTTCAACAATTATAAATCTCTGCTGAAGCCACTTTTTTATCCTCTGTTTCTCAGTTATATTTACAAAACGAGTTGTACCTTGCTTCTTTATGAACGCTTCATCTATATTTTCTGATAATATTTCTAGCGATTTAAATGAATGGTAGAGTATAAACACAGTTTCCATTTTGTTACTATCTGCCTCCTTGTTTTGCAAAATAAGGGTTTTGTAAATTGGGTCCATTATACAAAGGGTACCCGTATAACATAAATTTTCGACAGTATTAATTTTCACAATTCTTCCAATTAATTTCTTCATCTCAATAGGATTTGTGAATAATTGTTCCATTTCAGAAACTTCGATCTTATGACCTTAACTCTCATGTGAGTTTATTAACTGGCTTCGAGGTTACAAAATTAAACACATTAGTAACACAGAATACTACATACATAAATTTTCTTCTTTTCTAAGGTTTTGGTAAAGTTGCATAATAGATCCATAATATTTACGTGAAATTATTTTTGAATCTGCTAAATTCTACGCTCAGTATAAAAAAAATTATTTCAGTAAAGTACTTCAACTTAGAAGCAAAATGTTTAAAAAGGAAAAGAAATAAGTTAATTTACGCAGGATTCGCAAATTTTCCTCGCAAATATAATCCTGTGCATTTAGTCACCGAAACAGGCTACCAATTCTGTGCCACAGATAAGAGATTTCTAAAAGATTTTTAAACTTCCCGTATGATTCTTAAATGTGACCAAATAGCGAAACATGACCAATCAGCTGATTAATACCAATTAGAACGTCACGAATTTGGAATGACAAATGGAGGTAGGTTATGAGTTTTCTTATAAAATTTTTCAAAAGTATTTTTTATAAAATGCTTGAACTTATTTCATCCAAAAACAATGATACATCAAGTTCTTTAAGCGTCTACGTCAAGATTGGATCAGATAATGCTTTACATTTAGAAATAGATCCTGTATGGAATATAAAAAAAATTAAGGAAATAATAGCCCCCCAAATAGGACTGATGCCTGATGAAATAAAAATTATTTTTGCGGGGAGAGAACTAGCAAACAATGTAAGTATTGATGAATGCGATTTGGGGCAACAAAGTATTTTACATGCTGTAAAAATTAAAGCAAGAAAAAAATCAACAGTAGAAGAGCAGGAAAAAAAAATTGTTAAAACTTTATTTGAGAATCTCTCTGATAACTTATTGACTGACGTTACAACATATGAAAAGTCAACATTGGATGGTTTGAAACCGGAAAATCATATAAAAAGACATTTTTATGTTTTTTGTGCAACTTGCAAAAGTTTAAAGCCTGGAAAAATAAGAGTAAGATGTCATTTCTGTAAAAGTGGTGCTTTTACAGTACATGCAGATCCACAAAACTGGGCTGATGTCTTAGAACCAAAAAAATTGACTGGTGATTGTAACAATGATCCAGATATTTGTACCAATGTTTTAAATAATAGCGAACCTAACTTTGCTGAATTTTACTTTAAATGTGCAGAACATATCTCTTTGGGAGAAACTGATGAAGCTGTGCCATTGTATTTAATAAAGCCAAACCTACAGCACAATGAGTGCATAGCTTGCCTGGATGTTAGTGAAATAGTTTTTGCCTTTCCTTGTACTGAGGATCATATATTGTGCTTAAGCTGCTTTCAAGAATATTGCACAACAAGACTTAAAGAGAGGCAGTTCTTCCAACATTCTGAATATGGTTACACACTGTCTTGTCCAATGGGTTGTCCAAAGTCTTTTATTAAGGAAGTTCATCATTTTCGCTTGCTTTCAGATGATGAATACCAACAGTACCATAGGTTTGCAGCGGAAGAATTTGTATTGCAGACTGGTGGTATTTTGTGTCCCCAACCTGGATGTGGAATGGGTAAGAAAAATGTATGTCCAATTTTTTTTTGAGGGTTTTTTAAGAAGTTCTTACTAAAAGAAAATAAATTGTCTTTTCAAGTCTTTTTACTACCTTTAAGCCCAAAACAAATAGTAGACAAGTTAAATGACTTTCAATCTTATCGCCCTCATATTTTCTGTGCAAATATTTACCCTCATGTACTAAAGTTACTCAATATAACCCCAAAGGATTAGACACTGACTTTATAGTTTATCTTTTAGTAGACTTACAAAAATTTTAATTTATTAAATCAATGATTGCACTAGTTGGAGCAAAAGTGTCAATATGTTATTATATTCTAAAAAGGGCGGCTGCCCATTCTACCTGCGATTTTGTGTGTGCAAAGTTAATTGTTAATAACAATTTGTATTTCCATAAAAAAGCATTTTTATACACATGTGCGAAGAACCAATTGACCTTCACTATTCAGTTTTTCTAAGTAACTCTAAAATTTTGAAGCCAGGCTTTGTAATTCTTGTAACAAGTTTATTATTAAATTGAGATGAGATTTATATTGGATTGCTTAATCCGGCAGTGAAATTGAAATTAAATATAAATATAATGTGCAGACTTGTAACTTCACACATAAAAAGATTGATTTTGAATTTAACGATTATTTAATTTTTTTGCAGAATTTTCAATCCCGATTTAATGCAGATTAACAGTCCGATATAAACAATTTTATACTCGACATAAACCTAGGGAATGACTCGCACATGCGCAGAAAATAATTAATTTATCAAGTAGCTATTTATTGATATTTCGCCAAGTTGGTCGTCAGAAATATATTATGCAAATAAAGTGACTGGTGTCGTTTCTTAATTAATTAAACTGATCTCATTAATGCTTTTTAAGTGATAGTAATACCGAATACATTTCAGAAGGAAATCTAGAAAACTTTAGGATATCAGGATAAATGAATTTTCTCCCAATATTTCACCCCCAGGTATCTCGGATATAATTAGTCCGATATAATTAAAAATTATCAACCTTCTTTTTTTGGATGCATAAAACATATGAAATAAAAAAAAACTTGTGTGTGTTTTAGGTATTCTTCCAGATCCAGAATGTTCAAGAATAACTTGCATCAATGGATGCGGTTTTGTCTTTTGTCGAAAATGTTTGCAAGGATATCACATAGGAGAATGTGAATCGTCAGAAACTGTTTTAGAAACAGGTGCTGATATATATACTGCTATATCGGTCAATCCGTGTATAAGAGTGGATGATGCTTCAAAAGTTACCATAAGAGTTTCCACTAAACCATGTCCAAATTGTAAAACTCCTACTGAAAGGGACGGCGGGTGTATGCACATGGTATGCACCAGGAGGGGCTGTGAATTTAACTGGTGTTGGGTGTGTCAGACAGAGTGGACTAGAGATTGTATGGCAAATCACTGGTTCGGATAATACTCATGAAAATATTCAGTGTAATTAGTACTAAAGGTGGTATATTAAGTTGGAAGTCTGGATTGTTTAATTTGAAATAAAATTTAATTTATTCAAACTCTTTCAAATACACACTGCATAATATAATATTTAAAGATTGTACGTCCCATTTTTGATGGTTTTACGGTGTTAATAAAGCTAATTTGTGGCGATTTTTTTATGAAATGAGCGGTAGCACATACAGAAATGTCACAACCATTTTGGATTTTTAGATGCAGGGTGTTACGGTTTCGTTTTCTTTTAATAGTTTCATTCATTATTATTCATCAGAAATGGGACACCAAATTTAATTCATATAATTCCAGAGATATATGACCGTTGCGAGACTTTTAACCAACATCTGTGGATAGGTATTTTATCCATGTATAGAATATTGTAGCCCTTTATTTTCTGAAAAACGTTATTGTTACCAAGCCTAAAAAAAATAATTTCAAAATTTTCATTTTCTTTATTTAAACTAATAAACATAAAAGACTAGAAAACTTTGTTTATTACTAAAAGGGTGACAATGTCTATATCAAATTCTTTTGCATAAATGTTTTCAATGTTGTCTTATCCATAACCTCATTCTTTGGTAGTGGTGGTGGTGGTGGTGCTTTAGTGGCAATAAAGACACTAGTTTCTTTATTTTCTATGTTTTTTGGAACATAGTTACTATATAGTGACACTGGCATACATTCCATGTAGCCTAATTTTTTGTAAAATTCTTCCTGTCCCCTTGTTGACAAAAACAGTATATTTAAGTTTAACAAACACCTGCAATATTCCTCAGCTTCTTTCATTAAAATACTTCCATAACCTTTTCCTCGATCTTCTTTGTTTATTACTACTGATTCGACAAAACAGGCGTCTGGTTTACTAGGTATAGGAGACAATTTAGCATGCCCAACAAGGCACTTATTTTTAAGCAGAATTAATGAAACTGGCAATGAATCGCAAGATGCTTTTAGACTATGTAACCTCGCAGTTTCGCTTCGCCGCCATTCTTGGTTTATTAAATTGCAACAATCTTTAATGTACTCTGGATGGTGGTGTAAAGGCACAACTGAAATATCCATTTAATGCCCTGTACGGGATTCAATAGAAACACGATTAATGAACGATCTCAGGTTTGGAGATGTACTGACTATACACAAAAAAAAATGATTTCATTTTTTACTTAAAGCTATTTATTTCCAACACGACAGGTTTTGGAATAATGATGGCATAATAATTCACTAAGCCCCTTTGACATCAGCAATTGATTAATACAATAGACAACTATATTATATTGGTTGATTAATACTATCGACATATTTGCGTTCATAATCAAATGCTAAATTGGTTAGTTTGTGTTCTTGATACCATTAATATCCTTTGCTTAAAATTAGATTCTGAAACTCATAGAAAAAAGTATTACGTTTCTCTTAGACTGAAAGCCACGGAATACCAAATTTCGTTTTGGTTACCGAAAACTAGTCAGAGTTTTTATCGCTACTGGCCAAAGTTACAAGGATCATTCGGCCACTAAGACATTAGATACATGGGCTAATTATTTTGCTTGAGTATCTTATGCTGTAGGGACGTCATGATTTGTACCGAAGCAATTTTGTTTTATTTTTTTTTGTCCAGAAGTTTTGAATTTTAATTGGTTGTTCATAGAGTTTTTTGCAATTATTCTATCTGGTTATGGGAACTAATTTGTTGGTTTGGAATTTTTTTTTCTATACATTTTTAGTGGGCTTAGTAAACTCTGGTTATAATATGCCTATTATGTTTTTAAAGGAACCAGAGAATAAATTTACGTTTTTTTGCAGAGAAATACAAATCCATGTTTGTCTCTGATTTTTTGTAAGGTTGTTGTTGTTGTTAAGCATCGTATTCTGCGATTTTTCCGCAAATTCAAAGGTACAGGATGGTGCGAACGGCTGCATCAGCGGTTAGGGGTAAGGTATAACTGATAACAAGCAATATTAAAGTTAATGTACGTAAGACTTTTAGTAAGTGCTGGTACATCGTCCAAAAAAGCTGGTGGTTCGACTCCAAGCGCTTCTTCGTTGGTAGGCAATAGGGCGAAAAGTGGAAGTAAGTTCTGAATAAAGTTTGGTAAAATTTTACATTCAATTTAGAATTTTCCACCAATTTTACATGTTTATTCTAATTAAAAATTCACGATTATCTAGGAAGTGAAACAGACAGCACCTTTTAACCTTTAAATAGTGAATAATAACTTTAAAAAATTCAGAATAGACATGCCTATGCGAAAAAAAATGTTTGATCTCAGAAAAATGCCTTCAACAAAACCATGTTTTATTTTTTCTAGATGGGTCGTCCAAGCTACCTCCAATTGTGCACCAGGAAATACCAGTCTGGCAAAAACCTATAACTCGTTTTTTTAAATCTGACCCAATTAAATCAAATGTTGCTGTAAGTGATAGCAATTGCAATGAAGATCTAAAAAGTGCTGGTCCAAGCAATAATCTACAAAAACCCAATAAAATCTCTACAACAGATGAAAATTGTCAAGAAAATAAGGAAAACAAGGATGAGAATAAAGGACGTAACCAAAAGTGTGAAGAAATGAAAGGAAATAAAAAAAAAGACGAAAATTAATATCCAGTTTCATAAATATTTGTTACAAATTTTGTATCTTTTGCATTATAAAACTAATATTTTTTAAAAATAAAAATGTGTCCTTAGATAATGAACATAATTATATGACACTTGAAAATTTTAGACTATGCAACAACTTTCGTACATATACTTAAGCCATGAGTTTGTTTAGGCCTGAAGGAGTGGTTAAAGGAGTTTTTGAAGGTGTTTTATGCTATTCTTTTTCTAGAATTTTGTCTTCCTGAAGTTAATATTTGTGTAGTATTACTGTATATGCTGACGGTGGACCCGGGCATTGAATATTAAAAACGCTTTAACACTAGAAAATTAAATATTTTTAAATTATCATTATTCTGCATGGACACATCATTTTTATTTGTGTTACTGTGAGTAGCATTGCACGTGGAATATCGATCTTCTCCGTTATATTTTAAGATATGTATCCCTTAAAAATCTTGTCTCAGTTAATGGTGTCTCGACAGGAATGTTTAAATGAATGTGTTCTCGCGGTTTCGTCGTTTTCTCCATTCTAGCCTATAATCCGGTTTGATGGGAGATATTTCCCCTGGTAGACCTGCCCACCAAAGTGTGACATGTAAGAAGATGATCTTATGTCACTCACATAACCAAACTTAATCCCATGGAATAAGAAGAAAAGGGATAACAAAACTTAAAAGCTATTTTCTTCACTTATATTAAATATCAAAATTATTCATAATGTCTGTACATAATTTATTAAGAATAACACAAATAAACGCAATTTATCTCGATGAAGAAGTTTTCAGATTATTTAATGAAATGCTTCAAAACATCTCTAGACACTTACCAGTAAGTACCAAGAGGTACACATTCATATTTTTTTTGTTGTTTCTAACTTTTAATATTTCTTTTAGCTAGGGTGTATTTCACCATTTGAACCGGAACTAGAGTTGTTACTTCGCTTGGCAATTATTAAGTATTCACTTTTTAATAAGAACGCCACATTTGGTCAGGACCTAGTGAATATCAAATACAGCAATCTTACAGGCACACGAAAAGTTTTATATTTATTTACCCACATATCCTCTTATATCAAGAAGAGATGTGAATTATCAAGACCATTCCACTATATGAATGTTTTTAATTTTAGAGTTTACACAGTTTGGGAAATTTTGCATTTATTAAATTTATCTCTATTTTTGAGATCTGGATCCAAACCTAAACTCATTGAAAGAATTCTAGGATTAAATCAAGTTTATGATAAAAAAGATATTAGCCCAAGGCTACATCAGTCAAAATATTTGGCAAGAGAGTTACTGTGGAATGGGTTCATCGTAAGTAATGAGTCTTACATTTAAAGTTAGTGAAAATAAATTTTATTAAATATATAAATAGAATAGAATTTGAGTATCCACTTTATGATCTAACCTTTGGGGAGATGGGGAGACAGTTAGTTAATTGTGGGACAAAACTACCAATGATCAGAGGTTAATAAATTATTTTTTTGGTTAAATAACTAAGCACTACCTATATAAAGTAACCATCTAATGTTAAAAGAAGACTACGTATTCCATATAATAAGTATCTATATTTGTTAAATAAAATCAACAAATTGCTTTTTTTGGTTAGTTTTGGCAAATAAATGGTTTTAATACCATAAGAATAGAATGTATCAAATAACATGAATTGGTTTGTAAATAACAAATATTTCAGGAATTTTTATTATTTATTGTACCAATGATAAATTATCGTAAAATGATGAGGATGTTAAAGAACTTTAGTCCATTACACAGGAAAAGTTACACATTGACATTAAATAGGAACATGACGATACAAACAAAATGTGCACATTGTGGACAGAATCCGATACTCCCTCATCATATGGAATGCTCCCATATTTTTTGTTATATCTGCTTATCAGTAAGTAAGGAAAAGTCTAATGAAATATGGCAAATAGTTTTTGTTAGTGTTATTAGAACTTCATCCTATAAATTAATTGCTCTACTATAAATTTAAGAATAAAAAAAATCAAGAGATACTTATTCCCAAAAATTTCTATTTTTTCTTTATTGTAACATTTTTGAACATTTTTTATTTAATTTATAGTTGCATTTGTGCATTAGAAGTTTGGCAAGGCAAATGCGCAATTTATTAAAATTTGTTTTTTGAATGTCTGTTCCGCGATTATCCATAGAAAATGGGCTTAAATTTATTTACTTTAATTTTTAGGGAAACCAAAAGATGGATTCAAAATACGAGTGTCCTTTGTGTGAACACAAAAATGTGAATACCATTTGTCGTAGCGTTTCAATGTGACATTAAATAAAGTTGGCGTTGTTACATAATATTTTATTGATCCCTAAAGTACATTACTTGGTCCACTCACATTGAATTATAGTTTTTACAAGTTAAATTAGATTTAATCTTTTTAAGGATATTTGAATCACGTAGCCCAGTTGCATTTGACTGTTTTAAGCAAAAATCGTATAAGCAAAAGTTAATATGATAAATATCAAAAACAGTCAAAATATTAGGCTCTTTGAATGGAATAAATTGTAATGGTCATCCTAAGCTCAGTTTTCACAGGTAAGAAATTCGCTAGCATATTAGAGAGCTAATAAAAATCCTAATTAAATCATACCTACAGAGTAGAGTGCAAAAGGTTAAACTAGGCGACATCCTGAGTTGCTCTCTTCCGGTAGAGTATGGTATGCCGCAGGGCACGGTTCTGGGGCCAATCTTGTTTACATTATATATGAATGGAATATTTTCTAATTTACCGAAGGAAGGTATGGTCTGCTATGCGGAAATGCGGCATTGATTATGTTGAAAACACTTGGCCAGAAACTGTCGCAAAGACTGAAAAATTTATAAGTCTGGTAAAAAAATGGCTAGATTATAGCCTGCTGTCACTTAATTTAGAGAAAACCCAATTCTTTAGTTATTCCATGACGAAGGCTGGTGATCCAGACTTGCAAAGAATAAAAATTTATAATTTTAATTATGGCTATGACACGAATTTGTAAATGCAGTCTTTTTATATTACGTCAGGGTTTGTCAAAGAGTTCCCTTATTAGAATATATCAATCTTTAGTAGAATCAATTTTGTCTTATGTTATATGTGTTTGGGGTGCTGCAGCGGATAAGGCTCTTCAACCGCTAGCAATTAGGCAGAAGTGTGTTTTGAAAATAAAATTATTCAAAAAGAAATTATATCTTTCTAAAGAGTTGTTTACTGAACCGAAAGTACTAAGTATCAACAAAATCTACATTAAAACAGTCATCAGTCTATTAAGTCTTAACAAAATTCGTAAAGAAACAATCAGCCATTCAGTAAAAACCAGATTCGTCTCAAACCATGCCAGTGCCAATGGTAAAATTTACTTCAGTGCAGAGGAGCTTTCTAGCCCCTAGAATATGTAACGCCCTTCCAGTGTATTTGCGAAATGGGGAATATACAAAAATTAAGAGGCTTGTTGACACCTGGTTGTTTAGTGTTGACTATGACATTCTGGAAGTGATAAATTAGCTGTGAATAAATTAAGTGGGTGATAAATTTAATAACAATGTGATTTAATTTAATTTATTAATTTTAATTTAAGTTTTCAATTCGAATATTAACATGAACTTAGCCATAACTAGTAAGGTAAGTTGCATTAGACTGAACAAATGCACGTACAAATTTCTCAAATTCATTGTAAAAACAATTTTTAAAGTATTTTAATTTTTTTATTTTTTTTTTTAACCCACATTGAACACTCTCTTTGAATAATTGCAGGTCTATAATGTTTGTACCTTTATCACACAATGTAAAAGAGGCTATTCCTACACTTGCAAGACTCCGACAAATGAAAGCTTGTCTCATTGGAATCGCCCGATATTCTTTTACTGCCAGAACTATTCGCATGAATTGTGTATATTAAATGACCTAGTCCGAAAAGTGAAAGGTCTTCAAACTTCGAATATCGCCCCTCTTTGCAGCGGGACTGGTTTTGTTTCTTTTGCTCATTGTCTAAGTTGAACGAAAAGGATACAAACCAATATTGCCGTCGGTATTCTTCCAAATTTATATGCCAAAGTGTAGATATCTGAATTAACAACAATAAAAAGACTGGAACTTGGTGTCGTAGAATGTTTCTGAGATTGTATTTATGCTGGTCGACGGTAGTTAGTGTGGTTCTCTGCGGAAATATAGTGGATTCGCAAAGTACAGGTAAGAAATAATATACAAGGTCGGAACAGTACACACTTTTAAGTAAGCCGGCGTTTTATTTTTGATATCAAAATAGATGTTTAATTAAGTAATTATGAATGGTAAAAAACCTCCTCGACATCAACCTGCACTTTTCAAAAACCAATGTCCTTAACCAATGTTACTTAAATTTCGAGGCATAAAGTGCAGAGGGAAGAGTGCACCCCGTAAATCTTTTTAAACTTACAACTCCATGGAAATCCTTTATACTGTAAACCATAATTCCACTGCGGGGAACTGGGGGCATTATTTGTGAATTTTCAATTCATATAACCGTAATAGACATTATGCAATAACTTTAGTTTTGGAGATATTAAAACTTATTAATTTTTAGTCAGACATTGCTTAATTCAAAAATTAAGCAAAAGCGTTTTGCTTTTTATAAAACTTCTGGATACTGATTTAGCCTACACAGGTCAACAGAAAATACGTCTCCTGGTTTTAAGGTAATAGATTAAAAATTAATAGAAATAAAAGAAAATTTATGGTACTTAAGCAAAAAAATACACAAATACAAAACGTAAAGATAAATATGAATAATACACCTCTAGAGCAAGTAAATAATATTAGATATTTAGGGTCAATTTTTGATGACAAATTAGGTAGGTAAATCCTCTAGATAATAAAATTGTAGACGTTATTTATCTAAAAAAATGAATGCTGCAATGTTTTTTTTATGTCTCGCGTTATGTATCTAGTTTTTATGGTACTTAGGCAAAAAAATAAACAAATACAAATCGTACAGACAAATATTAATAATGCACCTCTAGAGCAAGTAAATAATATTACATATTTAGGGTCAACTTTTGATGACAAATTAGGTAGGTAAATACTATAGATAATAAAATTGTAGACGTTATTTATCTAAAAAAAAATGAATGCTGCAATGCTTTTTTTATGTCTCGCTTTATGTATCTACCAACTTTCCACAGGATGCAATTGTTACAAACTAAACATCTTTAAGTTAAATTTACTTCTGCAAATAGAACAATGTAAATTAATATTCAAAGTGCTAAATAAAGAAACAAAAACCTAATGTATCAATAATTATTAACAGTCTATATCGGATTAACACAAGAACCAATATAGAATTGCAAAATCCTGTTGTTGGTGTATAAAAAACATTTAATAATTTACCAGGAGGTGCAAAATCTGCAGATAGATTGAGTTTATTTGTTAAAAAAACTTAAAAATCATATTCTTAGTATACAGATAAGTAATCTATTTATATATGTATGTTAATAATATTTGACTGCAACTTACTCAAATTTAATTTTCTTGAAGCCACAGCTTTAAGCACCGAGTAGAGGTATTTGTTAAAACACCAACATCGTATGTATCTCATTAGAGATATTAAGCGTTCCACCGCAAAATACACATCACCCTAACCTTCAGGGACAATGAGTCCGAAAGCAACCACACACTTGCCACTGTTGTCCTTCCTTATATTCAAAACATCACTTATCACGTATCACAAGTTCTCAAGAAATATAACGTCGAAACCAGATCAACCATTGATCCAAAAATCTCTCAAGTTTTTCTACAGTAGTCAAACTAGCTAATATTTCGCCAATCATCCTGTTGGCGTCTTCAGAGCTTGACTGAAACTCCGACGCAGGGGGAATCCAGAAGTTTTTTAAAAAGTATTACAGTAGCCTGTGGAACTTCTATAAAAAATTAAAAAGCGTTTATGTAGTTTTGATTTAAGTTTTTGTTTTTGCAGTTTGCAGAGATTTCGGTTCCAATTTTAAAACTAATACTAAATAAAAATTAAAATATTTGAAAACGGTGACATTGAAAGCAAAAAATATATATCCTTGAAATTTTGGCTTGCGTTTTTCCAATAGAACAAAAAAAAAATAACGAAGTTCCTAAGTTTTAAATCCCAAATATAGTGAATTATAGAAATAACGATTTGAATGGTTGTTTATTCTTTAACTGAATATTTTTTCTATTCTTCCTTTTACATAATAAGTTAAAACATTGAATGGTACAGTTTCATCTTTTATTCTTAATATTGACATTGAAATAAAAAATGTCGAACATATACTAACTTCAGCTTGTTTTATTGTTAAGTATATGTTATATTTTTTATATTATTACACTAAAAGCATAGAAAAAGATCTTTTTAAACTGGAAGCCAATCAATGAGTAAGTAAACAAATAGTAATCTTGTGGCTGTTTCATAAAATTCCATGCAACAATAATTATTTTTACGTAACCTACTTTTCGTCCCACTGATTTATCAAATTAGATACTCCTTAAATAACCAATAAATTTTTCCTAGAAATCATTCGCAAAAACGAAATTTGTAAAAGTATCAAAGCAACGGACCAATGAAATAGATGTTGGCAAAAAGAAAAATGTTTTTGAGAGCTCTTAATTTCGATCGATCTGCAACTAATCGCTTCATACTTGACGGATTGATCGTTTCATTAGATTTTGTGATTAAGAACGCAATAATATGGTTATGGGACACGATTTTAAAACCAAGAGAATTGTTTATTAAATTTGTATCAAATGAGTACCGAATAACCAATAACCCATATATAAATACCGAAGGACAAATAGAGATTATTTTTATTAAAAAAAAAATACCAATGAAAAAACCAAATGAAGCATCAAAAATTGTATTTCCTGATGAGGAAATTAGAGTAAGTTTAAAAAGTCATTAAGTCATCAGATATCAAAAATCGCTCGAATTTGTTTATTACTTTTTGATGTAAAGACTTTAGCGATGTAAGTAAAATACAATAAAAAAAAACGAAATAAGTGTCAGCTGGGGTAAATATAATATATGTATAACGTATATTTAGAAAAAAGGTACAGTTTATCCGTTTGGAGTAACCTGCAGTTTAAAGACATTCATAAAAAAAAATTGAATTTGATTTAAAGCACTGATAACAAATTACTACATAAGAGGGGCAATGGTGTGGCAAAGTGACATAAAATCGAACGACAAATATTTTCAGTTATCGGGGTGTTCTGTAAAAGCGTGAAAATATAAAAGTTATTTTTTTAATGGAATACTCTATAAATTTTTGCATATCCTCTTAAAAATTATTATTTAGACAAATAATTGCTCTTGAATTTTAACCAACATATTTATTTTATTTTATTATTGGTTAACAGTACAAGACACCAGTTGACACAGATGAAAAATCTTAAAAATCATATTACCCCAAGCATAACAAACCATAGTAATGTCGTTATCCCAAGCAATACTTACCAAAAGCAAGCGACATACAAACAATAAAGACGAAAAGAATAAATCTAAAGTATTACCACTGCGCTAGATATTAAAGGCTATTATTTCTCTAGACGAACTCATACAACAAAAAGACGCCAGACAAAAACACCGCGTTCGAATTTCTACGAAACTTATGAATATTATTAGTAGAAAAACCAATATATCTATAAACAGAGTTCACAACATATTGCGTTCAACACATTGGGAAAAAAAACATTATATTTGTTTTGGCTCTAGGTAAATAGAAACAATTTCTGTTGTGCCTGTAATGTAATGTCCTAGGGACAGAAAAAAAATAAATTGTTAGTTAGCAGTAAGGCATAATCAATTTGAGCGTTTATTCTTTTATATAAACGCCTTTGTCGGAGAGATGTCATACTATGTATTCGAATCAAATCTGTATACGATGAAAGACTTGGATAGATCCCATTCATTTTAAATTAAAGATATCTTACAAATTTATTTAGGATTCTTTCAATTTTTTCATTATTAATTATATTAAGCTGCAGTATTTCAAATCATATCTCACATAGGAATTAAATAAATTTTTTATTACCTTGGGATTTCTCAGCTCCTTACAATTGACCCAGAATTTGAAATGCTTCTTTGCTAATATTTTTTTCCCAAATGATCTGAGAATGCTAATTTCGAATCGAGGTGTAATCCCAATTGGATTTTGTTTATTTGAAAATGTAATAAACATAAATTGCAGATAAATGTAAAATTCAAAATCATCCGCAAGGGACCCAAATTAGTAGTACCCTGCGGAACTCCTGATCATATATTGAAGACTCATAATTATTAAAAACCACATATTGTCTTCTTTCGGAGAGGAAAGACTGTATTAATAAGATCATTGTCAAAATTAAAGGCACCTAGTTTTTTTTAAAAACAATGCATGAGGCACCCTGCCACCTTGAATCGATCTGTACATTTGCATCCAAGGCATTTGCAATTTCTTGCCTCAATATCAATATGTTTTTTGTTGGTGAACGTTGATTTTTGACATGCTGAAAAATTTTATTATATAGAACTATTTCGAAAACCTTTGAAAATGTGCAAACGATAGATATTTACATATAATAATAATAATAATAATAATAATCATAATCTTGTTCACGTATTAATATACAATGAAAAGGACACGGTTCAGATGAACAAAATAAGATATTTTGAGCCTCCGTTTTTAAACCTATCCTAAGAAGAAGGTAACAGCGCTAGGCATGAAAAATACACATAAAAGGAAAAAAAACCTAGTACGATCTGTGCAAATAGAGGGTAGTTTACAGTAGACATTACTTAAATATTTAATGATAATAATACTTCACGCAGGTGAGTGGAAAAGGTATTGTTTACCAATTTAAGAGACTGATCCAATGCATCATGCATCATGTTTTAGCCATGTCATATGTAATATTTCAAAAATTCCAGAGGTGTGACGTGGAAGGGTCAGCAGGCCTTTAAATTTTAAATTTAAATTATGAACGTCCGTGCGAAAGCTGATTTTTTTGAAAAGATAGCGCGGAGACATCAATCTTATAATTTTGTGATAAAGATTGCATTTATGAAGATACCGTCGATTTATTAAGTCATCGGACATCCTTCAGTTTATGACTAACAGGCCTGCCGCGTGGTTAAAAGAAGATAAAACTATTGAATCACACAGGACCTTTTTTAATGATTGATTTAAAATATTTTAGAACCATATAAGTATTTTATATGCAGGCCAATTCTCTGGCCATCCCCTACAGATTCACCATCTATGTCAAAACTTTGCGAGTCCGATGGTTTTTTATTTTGTTTAGTGGACTACCAAAAATTTTCTGGGTTTTTTATAAAATTTTCATTTAATTTTCGCGCGTAGTCGCCTAAACCCATTTACAATTTGAAAATTATAAAGATTATTCTTTCTTTGTTTATGTAAATAGTTTTTTTCGTTTTTTATTTCTCTTTACTTCTTTAATGGATCAAATAGGATAATTATTTTTAAACAGGTAACTTTTAGGAACACACTGATCCAATATCGAATAAAATAAAATAAAACTTTTCAGAAAATTCCAAACCGTATTTTCAAGCAATCTACACAACTTGAGGAAGTCGAGATTATAAAATTTTATATGTAGTACCAGAAAAGCAAGGTTTCCTTCTGTTTTTATTAAATTTAATGCTAACAAATTCTCTTTCAATTACATTTGCATGTAAAAACTCGCAGATAACCCTGATATATCAAAATCAATTGTAATAATTATGTCTATACCTAACGGAAGCAGAGAATCTACATATTCAAAAAACAATTATATTTTGCTGGATTCGAGCCTGTACATAAATAAAGCTTTTTCGACCCTTCCATAGAAATAGAAATCCAGATATATTTTTAGGCCTGTAAGATTTTTACACTTTACTACAATAATATTGGGAGCAAACAGAAAATATTTCAACTTTACTCTCCTCGTAATTATTATCAAGCGTGCGTAAAGTGTCACTTTAAGATGTCAGCTGGTAGGCTGGTACTTTGCTTTAAATATGGTTTATATAATAATAATAATAATAATAATATGGTTTTTAGATTTTATCCAGTGATGGTTTTGGGATCTCAAGGTTTTTTGACATTTGATACTTCCGATGGCGCGTCACATATCACTTAATAAACGTATCTGTTTGTGTGCTGTTTTTCAAAAATGTACCCAAAAACTAATGATCGTAGAACAGTATAGTATGTATTGAGCTGATAAACTTCTTTACTCGTATATTAAACACTCGTGCTTTGCCCGTGTCAAATAAAATTCGTGACTAAAGTGACGTTTATCAAACGTGTTGCATAATATACTGTGGCGAGTAAGCCGCTGGGCTATTCGGGAATCGGAGCATCATCACAGGCGCCGCCTCTCGGAGTCAACGGATATGAAAAGACGTTTGTTTTAGGTCAGAGCCGGACTCAGCCCATTCGGCTTGCGCGTCACATAATACGAAACATTTAATAGCACTCGAGCAATCACGCAAATAAACACTCAATTGTTTTAATTTTTAGGTCCCACTCACGGAAAAGTGGTGGTATGTTATATGGGAACCTGGGCAGTGTACAGGCCGGGGAGGGGATCGTTTACAATAGAAAATCTAGAGCCATCCTTGTGCACTCATATTATCTACGCCTTCGCAGGATTGAATGCTAAAGAAAGCGTAATCAGAGCTTTAGGTAGAGACGCTTTGCACCAACTTTTTTTTCAACTTGCATTAAATGTCTGCCGAGTTTGGTTTAGTTAATTATTTTTATAACGATTTCTGTAGATCCGTGGCAAGATTTAACTGAAGATTACGGCAAAGGTGGTTATCAAAGAATAACAAAACTTAAATTAAGATATCCACATCTTAAGGTCAGTTTAGCAATTGGAGGATGGAATGAAGGTTCCGTTAATTATTCCAAGCTTGCAGCAGATCCAGAAAAGAGAACGAAATTCGTGACTAGTGCAGTTGAATTTATAAAGTAAGTGTTGCCACTCTAAGCTTTTTCGTTCTTAAATTGACTTGGTGACTGAAGCATTCAACATTAAAACAATTTGAGAATTTTGGATATGTTTGTCAATCATATGTCAATGTCTGATTTCATTAAGTGGTAGTATGACGCGAATCCGACTTCACAACTTCTGCTAGTAACATAATATAAATTCAAAGTCAAGTTTGTTTCATATTGCTTAATAATGGAATTTCTTTTAGGAAATACAAGTTTGATGGTCTTGATCTTGATTGGGAATTTCCATCAAAGAGAGGAGGCATACCAGAAGATAAATTAAACTTTTTGTTGTTGACTAAGGTATGATTAATATTAATATTACCAAGCAAAACGAGTTCAATACTACAAACAACAATTTTTAAACATTTTTTCCTATTTAACATTTGTCTTTTTGTAACAGCAAAATATTTTGTAACTCTTTGACATGCTATTGTATCTTCTTTACAATTATCATCGTTCTTATTATAAAAGCTAGTGTTCAATTTCGAATATTGTCGCAGGTAGCAAATTGACCACTCCAAATCAGTGGCGTGGGTATAGGTTTCAGGGTCGGACTCAAAGTGAACTCTTTGTTTTGGGTTTATTCCAGTTGTTGCGGCAATGTTACTATTCCGACCGCGATATTAGTAAATTTACTTCTATCCGACAAAAAAATAATAGTTATAACAGCAAACTATATTGTTACAAAACCTGTTAAAGGATCAGAAATTTATTAAAGTTTGTTATCACTGTATTATTGTGCTCTATCATATCTTTATTTTATAAATTTCTAACGAATTTTTCTACCTCACTTGCAGGATCTATTGTGTAATTAATTTTGACCTACTTGACGAAATCCATAACACACTGATTGTATTCCAAATACGTGGAATGATAAAGATATTATTATAATTATTATTATTAGATTATTGTTGTAGGAACTTAAGGCAGCATTTAGAAAAAACAATTTGTTATTGACAGCAGCGTTTGGAGCGGGAAAGGACACTATAGATGTCGGTTATGATGTTGAAGGACTTTCGGTATACCTCGACTTCATTCATATGATGTGTTATGATTACCACGGGGCTTGGGATAAAAAGACCGGTGCTAATGCCCCATTACGAAGTTCTGATGTACTTAATATTGTAAGTAAGCTTGTGGACATTTGTGTTAATCCTGTAAATCATGTGCCTAATTAGTTTTTCGTCTCTAACTTGTTTTTAAAATATGTAGAAGAATTAAAAATAGTTTTTGTATCTGTATATGTATGTATGTATGTGTATGTATATATGTGTATGTATATATGTGTATGTATATATGTGTATGTATATATGTGTATGTATATATGTGTATGTATATGTATCTTTCTAGAGAATAGTCCTAGATAAAAACTTTATAAGAAATACCTCCAAACCTTACTAAACGCTACCAGGTTTCATTCACGTTTTGGGATTGAAGAATTATTTTTATGATAGCCGTAAATGGTAGATCTTCCCAAGAACACTTACATGAAATTTTTATATTGAGAATCAGAAAACAGAAATCGGTCTTGTGCGCCATCTCTGAAATCTGATGTTATTTATAAACTTATAAATTTAAACAATAAAAGATTATGGAAAGTTATAATTATCACAAAATTATTTTCAGGAGTATACCTTAAACTATATGCTTAAACTGGGTGCCCCCCCTAGTAAATTGGTATTGGGAGTACCTTTGTATGGAAGAACATTTGTTTTGCCAGAGCCAGTCGATGAAACGTCAAAAAGAAAACTTAAATTGGGTATAATTTCAACAAATATGGGTTTTCAAGGTCCGCTGACGAGAGAAAGTGGATTCATGGGATATAACGAGGTATACATCTAAGCACAACTTGTATCGAACTATAGTTTACGATAACATTAATAATTTTTTAGATTTGTTTAGAATTAAAAAATAAAACCCATCCTTGGACAATGTACTGGGATTCCGAGAGTAGTACCCCCTTTGCAGTACGAAAAACTCAAGTTATTACTTACGATGACGAGAGATCAATAGCAGAGAAAGTTAGATTTGCCATAGAGAAGAAATTAGCCGGAATTATGGTAATTTTTAAATATTACAATGGGAATTCCAGCTGATTTAGATTAAGAGTTTAGGATTTATTGCAAAAAGCAATAATCACACTTTCTGGCTAAATATTATGACAATGAAGTGCTGAACATTTAACTGGAATTAAAAACTATTTTAGGTCTGGTCAGTAGATACAGACGACTTTCAAGGTGACTGCATTGATTCTGAGGAGGAGACTTTCACAAACTTTCCCTTGTTAAGAGCTCTGAATAAGGCGATTGAAATCACATTGGAAGATATCAAAAACAGTGTCATTCAAGACAAATTGAATGGAATCGGTGGGTGTTGTAAGGAATCCATGAGTTCAATTTTAATGGTTTTGGTTAGTGCGTTGATTGTTCGACAGTATGTATAATAATTTGTGTTTAATTGAAGATATTGATTCAATTAGGATTTAGCATTTATGACGTTTTCTATGTAGATCTAAATTGAAGACAACATAGTAATATACCTGTGTAAATATTTTTAGTACTGAGTTATGCCGTATAAGAAATTCCTTTTTATATAAAAATCTAGTAAAATTTGTGTTCTGAAAATGAAACCGTCAATTTTATTTTGTACAGCTTATACAATTTTGTGCAGACGTTTTGAGCGAATGGGCTTTGAAAAGTTATTATCTATTAATTAAGAATTGTAGAGAATATTTCAGGCTGCAAGATTATTTCTGAGAAAAAGTTAGTTTATAACTATGAATTAAAAAGATGCAGATGGTGAAATGATGGTATGGATGCACCCTAATCAAACTCAAATTGAAGGCCAAAACAGCTAAACATTTATTTCCCTGTTTTACTGTATTTTACACAGATAAATGATACATACTGATAAAATTACCTGTTTCTTGAAGAAATACATTTGAGGATTTTATCAAATTGTAAGTACATTTACTATCATTATTCACTTTCACTACTGCTCTCCTTTTTGATGCCATCTACTTTGTTCAGCTTTGCAGACAGTTTTCTTCCGGGATTAAAAGTGGTAATCTGCGCATTGCAGACAAAACATTTGATAGTTTTCTTATATCTTTCTAATGCACATTTCTCGCAAAAGTAGTGGTTGCACCTGAAAAACAGTATATGGATGTAGGGATTCAATAATTTTTTCCACAATTACAATAAAATTTTATTACATTTCAATCCAAAACCGCGGTTGCTCACCCCGAGCATTATGTTTAGCACACGTCAGCAATGTTTTTTCTCATGTGTCAGGCAATTAGCCACACAAGCAAAGTAAAAAAGGCCACATTTTGATAACATTTACAAAAAATAACATTTCCAGACTGTTGTAGCTTCTCAATTATTACTGTATTTTTTAAATTACTTTGAAATTACTCAAAGACTTACTTGGAAACAACTGGGTCAACAAATTCTCCTTTACAAATAGGACATTCTGTAGGTAATTCTTCATCAGTGGAAGAAATTTCATATTTTTTGTCATCGTCACTGTCCTCTCCATATCTGTAAATCGCTGAAGATCAATAGAAAACTAGACTTGAATTAAGACATTTAAGATTCCCGAATTTTGCTTTAAAGTAGTATTAAATAATGATTTAAAATTTTTAAACTCTTAACTCTACCTTCCTTCCTGCCATTCTCTTTCTAATTGCCAACCATGCTTGTAATCACTTCGGTCGTGAAGAAATTTACAGCTATCTCCAAAACCACAAAAGCCAGTTTCCTTGTAGTCTTTACATATATCAGGTTGATAATCCCATCTCACCGTAGCACGAAGATTTTCTGGTGCTCTTATTGGACCTTTTCTTACAAGACCTTGAAAAAAAAAAGATAGTATTGAATAATCAACAATAATATACTCTAGTTCACTATTTTTTTTTTCAGACACCAACAGCTAGTGCTGTAAGGTTATACTGATTTCCTCACTGTTACACAGCAAAAATTCTTCTGCAGTTTATTGACTAATAGTGTTGTGTCAATCGTTAATTTTACGAGAACCGAATCAATCAGTAACCAATTTCAAAAAGGAAACTTTTCAATCGTTCATTTCAATACTTTTTGTTGCCAACTGCAAGCTATAAACCATTAGAGGAAATAATCACTGAATCCGAACAATTCGAACTATCGATTCAGATTCATTTGAATTTGAATTATTGTTGTTTTTTTTATTGCATCATGATTTTATCGAAATAGGTGCCACATATTGGTTGTACTAGTAATACATTAATTTGTTTAAATTAAATACCTGCGTGGAAATAGATATTTCATTTAATATTCAATTCATCACATCAGCAAATCTACAGATCGATATCGCAAATCAATACTCTACAATAATTATAATACTCCCATCCATTTGCATTTTCTGTCTGTCATGCAATAACTGAACACTGAACAAAATGTTGCGGTATTCTTTCTTGTTCTGAATCTACAAGTACCTTATAAAGTCAAAGGTAACAATTTAGGAACAACTAACACTTTTTCTTTTTTATACCCTGCCTAGTTGTCTAACATGAATCATAAAACGTATTTTGGATTGCTCGCCACAACAGTAAGAAAGAAAGCTGATACTTTTATATTTTAATTATATTGTATTAAAGGGAGTCCGCCAAAAAGCAATCCTAGATTAAACTAGTTAAAATAATTCCAAATATACCTACGTAGTGTCGCTCATTAGTGTGATATAAGGGTGCTCAAGTTTAGTTCCCGAAATTGTTATTTCTCTATGTCTCAAGTAGTTTTGAAATATCTACATGAAAACTTGGATTGGGGGTTTTTTCGAGATTATGATTACGTTCTATTTTTTCACATACTATATTGTAGAGGATGCTATAATGTCGTCAGTTCTTGCCAAATATACATAAAAACTCACTAGGTTTGACATACATACACTTTTGATCCTAACGTTTGAAGTTCTTGCGCATCAAACCCCAGGGGAAGTCTCGTAGTGTTATAATTTGCCGTGTAAATAATACTATTTATATTTTGACGTGTAAATATTATTATTTAAATTTTGATGTCTACATATTTATTTTTCGCAAGGGCCCCCATCTCGAAAAGTAATTGTCATAAAGACTTGGGATAAAAAAACTTATGAAAAAAGTGGCCAATAAAAAATGCTGGAAATTATTTTTAAATTTCTAGAATGACCGACAGGGGGCGTAAAATTTTATATCCCGTGTTCAGAAATAATCCTATAATCCAGATCGTTAAAATATACACCCTCATCCACATACAATGAAATATGATATTTTTAAAATCAAAGTGTGCTTTGGACAACACAAGGGCGAAAATTATAACAGCAGAAAATCACATTGGTGCACTTTGGTGGCCTCATTTTGTAAAAAACTAGTTTTTATTTGGACAAGTGTTCAATATGTTTTATATTTATTTTTAAAACATTAAAAACGTAACTGTTTCTGTGGGAATCCACGGGATGGACGATAATTGCAGGTATACTCAAAATATTATTTCGAGTTTGTATGTCTTACTAATTTATAGGTTAGTAGTGAGCTATCGAAATGCGGTTTTAAATGATTCTGAAATTGGCATTTATTTTCCAAAATCTTCAGCCTTAAAAAAGATCGAATTTATCCCAGCTTTAAAACGGCGTTCATATTAGCAATCTCTCCAAAACCAGGATTTAGAATTCAAAAACGATTACGTAGAAATATAAAGTTAATTTTCAGCATTTTCTCATGGAGGCTTTAATTATAAATTTTTTCACTTCAACTTTTTACGACAATTGCTTTTTGAGATAGCGTTGAATGCTCTTAATTGGTTACCTGGTATATGTGGAGTGGCCTCTGTGGACACACCCACACTGCTACCATAACATACCATAACAGCCCAAAAATGGCAACTGGCTCCCAAACTATAAGTATTGCCTGATTTAAAGACTATGTTTTCAAATGTCATTTTAACTTTAGCCTGTGGTATATTGTTATAAATTATGTTCCAGATATTCATGTATTTAACTTGTTTTCGGAAAAAAATATTATAGATAGATTAAATAATATGATAATTGCAACCATTTTGCTCATAAATTCACCTGCCTGCGCTGGATACCTTTTGGTTTAACCTTTTGTGAAGAGAAAAACCGTTTGATAGAGCCTTTTTTGGAAAAAACAGTCTTACCAGAACTAGCATTTCCAGCAGCAGTATCTTTCGGTTTGTAATACTGCATGTAATTATTAATTCCTCTGTAAATTTTGTCATCCTGTTTTCCTTCCAAATCTTTATTAACTTGAAGTCGTTTTTCGAAAATTGCTTGGGCATCTCTATCCTTTTGAGTTTCAATTTCCTTTAAAGAGACACTGTATTGACATATTAAATAAACACATATTTTTTCGGTGTTTTTTTTATGTTATCGTTAGAGGAACCTCTGCCAATGAATAAAAATCAGTCAACTTACCAATCTGAACTGATAATACAATCAAAATTTAAGGATATATCGCGTCCCACGAATATTGGAGCACAAAGTAAGTTTATCAATACGAGTGTATTCGAAAAATGGATTTTAGTAATAATAACAAAAGCTAAGTGGCATATGAAAACTTTTTTGTTGTTATAATTTTAGAATATATAATAATACAGAGACAATTGCAAAAATCTCGAAAAATACAATTTGTCGTAAAGCGCATAGAAATCCCCCATTTTTTGTTGGTTCCAAGCGCGGAATTAATTTCTTGATCATTCTATGGATAGAACCTAACATACAAAGTAAATTTTCTTTGTAGAATTATAAATTGATCAATAAATCTCAACAAATGAACAAAATTGTCTTGTTTCCATGATTGCAATTCTGTATTATGAAAACAAGACAACCTAGACCCATGTAATCTATAAACAAAATTTGGTTTGTTGAGACATAGTAGAAGGGTGGTAGTTATAGAAATGTATCCAGCTTAACTCAGAATGAAATTAATGAAATTAATTCGCTGCAGGTGATTTAATAAAAACAAAAACAAACTGAAATTAACACTGGACAAAAGACATATTTCAGTTAAAATACGAAAATCATCTGCAAAGTCTTACAAATGAGGTTTATACCTGCCTTTTTATCTTAGATTTTTTTTTGTGCAATGGACTTGTTTTTTTTTTGGCACAATAGTAAAAAAACAGTTACCAAAATAGCTGTAGCTCCTTGATCCTGAGGACCTTCTGGAACGGCTGACCGTGTTGATTTGTAGCTAACTAGTACATCATCCTCTGATGAACTGTCTTCATTATCTTCAGATTGTTTTTTTTGTAACTTGCTAGTGCTTAGCTTATTTGGATTTTCTTTAATTTTTCTTTTCCTTGGTTTCACCACTACAGATTGCTCTGCACTTTCATTCTGGTTTTTGTCATTATCTAAAAGGACAAAACAAAACTTTTTTGTACAAACCATATTATGTTTGTGCTTCTTGCAACAAGAACTTGAATTAAATGGATTTTTTTTGGATATATTCATGTAAGTAATGAATTTTGTTTTAATGTGAGTACATAATTTTTATTAATTCAACCAACCATCTTCAGAACTAGACTGTCTTCTTCTGGAGCCCCTGCCTTTAATCAAGCGTTTTTTAAAAATGAAATTGCAGCTTTCTCCTTGGACGGTTTTTGAATCTTCAGCCATCTCACTTATTCCCAGATAATATAAACATAACCAAAAATAATTGCACCTAAGACACTTTAGTTAGATCGAAGCACAGACAAATTGTTGTGTTCTGTGGACACAACTATATCTTCATCTCTTTTCATTTGCTTAGCTTAGACACTCGCTTATTAACGACATCATCACTTTATTGGAAATTTCAAACCAAATAGCTACTAGATAGTAAAGTAGCCCTACCACAATAAAAATTTATGCGCCGCAGGCGGCATTAATATTTTCGAATTTCCTCGCAAACCTCTACACAAGAATCGTAAACCTAATAGGTTTGCCCAATCCCATAAGACATACGTTCGCCATATTTATCGATCGCACGTGGTCGCTTGTGACGTAAGCGAAGTCCAACGGTTTTTGTGTATTCTGTCAATGCATTTGAAGGCTTTTATTAAACCGTTGTATTTTGTGTTCTTTGAACAATTAAAATAATTTAAACTAGTGAGTAGTGCGCTTACATTTTTGTTAATTGTATTTCTGTGAAAAAAAAACTTGGACAAAACAATGTTTTTAAGCTTTAACAAATACTTTAAAATTGTATGTGCTTGAGTGGCGAGAACTGAGAAAAACAGTATTTTTAACCTTACATAAAGACTTAAAAGTTTTGTGTTCGTGCTGCTTATTACCCATGTTATTAGTTGAGGTAAGTTCAAAATATTACACATAATATAGGTAGAGGTAAGAAATACATTTCTTTTACCTTTTTCAGTGGGATAAGTTACATCAAAAAATAGTTAGGTATGCCTGGAACGAGATGTGCCATGTATGGGTGCAATAACAACTCTTTTGATGAAAAAGCAAGTTCTCGAAAATGTAGTTTTCATCACTTTCCCAAAGGGAAAGATCTAATATCCCGAACTATTCGGAACGATTGGATAGTTTGATGTAGAAGAGAGGACAAACTTAGTCCAGATAAAAGCTTTGTCTGCTCAGTTCATTTTATTGAAAATGATTACGAAAGAGACTTAAAAATGAGTTATTATGTTTTTTTTTGTCTTGAGTAACATATTAAATTTACCACAAAATTTAAATTTTAGGTTTGCCTTTAAAAAAGATTAAAAAAAAAAGTGCTGTTCCCACCATATTATTATTTAACCAGAAGCCACCAACACAAGCAGGATTATCTAGATCAAAAAGACTGCATTTCAAAAATGCCAGCTCAGCAGGTATTGTCTGAGCTTTTAGCAACAACATTGAATGCCACAAGTTAAATTCTAGGGAAAAATCCATCTCCGAACCCCAAATAATAAATTATGATACCCGCAGAAAAAAAAATTAGAAAGTATGGTAAAATTGTAAAATAAAGATTTAAGTATATATAGTAATATGTATTTTTTATATTACCTACATACGAGGGTACATATAAATACACATTAGCATTTACCTACCATCTATAAATAGTTGTTATGTATGCCTAACATATATATTTTTTTTAATATGTTCTTTAATATATCCAAAAATAGGGATTTCTAGTTTATAAGTATTTGTTGATTTTTGTATATTTAAAATGGTACAATGCTGTAAAACAAAGTTTTATAAGTAAATCGTTTTGTTCGCTAGTTTTATGTATTTATGTGTAACAATATTTAATTAATATATGTATTTCAATATAATACATATAAGCCAAACTTGATTGCAATAGTATTATTTTTACCCTACCCTACCCTACTTCCCAATAATTATTAAATAAGTACTAAAACTATTTAATGTTGACCTTAAATGAAAGTAAGGAGTGATTATCCAAACAAATTGCTATATTAGCTACTCAAAATACTCAAAGTCCATGAAAACTTGGGTCAGTTTCAGATTATTTCCATGCATTTACATACTAAACGCGCCAATACAGGACTTCACCTACATCATAGCCAGCGAGAATTTTCGCATTGCACTTTAGGTTTACGATTATTGACCTCTACATCTTACCCACAAACCTGCACTTGGCGCCATATTCTTTCTAAACAGCATTTCCTCATCAATGGGGGACGGGGCATTTTTTATTACAGATTCGGATTTTTTGCTACAAAAACGTCAGATTTGGACTGAATTTGAATTCTCAACATATATACCAGAGATATAGAGACCGTGTATATTAAGGAAATAATAAAACTATTAAAATTTAAAAATTGATGAGGCGTCGCGGTATCAATAAAGACAAAAATCAAATGCAGGGTCGCATAAATAAAATATACTGTGGAAGCGTTTGCTGACTGCAAATCTAAATAAAATCAGTTTTAATAATAAGTGAATTAGGAATACCAAGCATATGAAAAAATAATTTTTTGGAGAAAGGCTAAAAGACAGGGAGATACTTAACTAGTAATTTATTCAACATAAATGTATACACTAGAATAATATTCTGAAATAACATACAATACGGAATGAATATTTACTGAAACTGAAAGCACCGCAAATAAAAAACAAAAAATAATGGTCTCTAAGCAAGGGCATACTGAATAACGCAAAACTAAATGTGAGGAAACCATTATTAATTGTTAAGTATATATTTTAAATTTTTTCTTTATAATATATTTAAGGGGCATTGATAGGATAGTTTCGCACTAATTGTTAAATTCTCAATAAACAATTTTGGTTCCTTCTTCATCTAGAAATCCCTGTAGCACACAAAAACAAACCTACCTAAATATAAACTAAACTATATATGAGCATAGATAATATATTTTTTAAATTTAAACTTGCAGTGGACTTCAGAAAAAAAGCCACCAATGTTTGGATAATAAGGATAAGATTACCTCTACAGTATTTCGCAAGATCTCTAAACAAACTTCTATAAAATCCACAACAATTATAAAAGATCAATTTAAAATTGCATTTATTACTCTATATAAACCTTAAACTACCAAAATAGATGAAGAAGGAATATCCGAGACTGGACTCTGGGGATGGACTACTCTTCGATGTTATAGAGCATACAGATGTTGCCTGCGGCAAGCTGAGCAGGTAACAGTGGCGAATTTGGTGAGAGGACTGAGAAGCCAAGAAACATGAAAGTACGCACCAAAGTAGCACGTTCAGGCTGGTCACTTGAAAATACCTAAAAACATTTAAACATAAATTTCAAAATAGTATTAACCAATACCTGATAACTTACAACTGTCACGTTATAGTGAAATTTTAAAAAACAGTTTCATACCAAAGTTTGTCATATTCTGTGGCAATTAACGTCAACACTATTAGGTGACTGTCTAATTCAATGCAGAGCCACACCTTTTTTCAGTATCTTGCTTTTTATTCACTTTTTCAACCGAGTTATTGAATGAAATATGAAATCAAATGCGAAGCGTTAAAATTGCAGATTATTGCAAAAAAAAATTGAAAAATAAATAAATAAATATTAAACAACATTCACGCTTTGGAACTGTGATACCTAATAGTGCTGACAGGAATTCCCACAGAAGGTAACAAAAATAGAATACTAAACAGGTTTTAATTTAAACACACTGTATGTCATTCAAACTTGAATTTAAATAAAAATATTTTGCATAACATCGCTTCTGAATATCTGAGCTACTATTAAAAAAATATGTAAATAGAATAAGCAGTTCGAGAGAAAATTAATTTTGAATTTGACCCAAATTTTAGTGCTGCGTTAATTTTGATGCGAAGTTTATATTGCTTTCAATCAACGTAACAAAGAATTTAAAAATTATTATATATAAAAAGTTACGTTTTGAACTACAACACAAAATTTGTAAATTTTATAGAACAAAAACTAAGGGAACATTCACAAAAAGTACGCGTCTAGTTCTGCATACCCATACAAACATTACGTCTCTAAACCAAAATACACGAATTAGAATATCAAAGATTGTATTAAACCATAGATAATAAATATGTTTTTTAATTTTATGAAGGGCTTATGTGGCCTCTTTTAGATGGACATTTGTGCATTAAACCTTTACAGCTTACTCAGTGTTCTCAGTTACTGTTTAGAATTATTATATGATGGGGTAATTCAGATCATGCAAAAAGTATAAAAATAATTTTTTAGAGATTTTAGAGGCCTATTTTTTAACAAACGGCAAATTTTAGGGAAAAAAAGTGAAACCCTAACACTTATCGGGTATCAATAAATTAAATGTAAACTGTAAAATTGGATTTACAAAATTCACAACTAGTTTTTTTCAGTTGAGTTTGCTGTTCCATCACAGCTTTATGGTTCCTTAGACACCAATTGCTAAAAGTCTGCTGCAGTTGGACAAGCTGGTTCCACCGGCTTCACCTAAGATTTGGATGTCGAGGATGGCTCCCTTGGTCGTTGGACGTTAGTCCTGTCAACGCGGCTTGTCTTGGGTATTGTGGTGCTCTCAGTTGGTAGCATTTGTGAAAATATAATATTGAAAATTTGTTGTAAACTGGTTTAATTGCCTAATGTTGCATTGGTCAAAATAAAACCTAGGATTTGGGTGAACTTACTATTAAAGATTAATCCTGTTTTTTTGTTTGCTTGGTTCTTTCTCAAAGACTATAAGATAAGAAGATCATTAAATTGGGACATACGAAATTTCAGTTATTAACAATATTCTATAAACTTTTAGTTAACAAGATATTCGAGAAAATTGAAAATTGCAGATTTGCAATTGCAATTTTACTGATGTCATATGTCATTTTTGAAACAATAAATAAAAAAAATCAAATTAAATTTATCCTCACTTCAGTAGCAAAATGCGATTTCTTTAAAAATTCAAGCAGACTAATTTAATTTGACAAGAACTGAAACTAAAGTCCAAGCCAACTTCTTTTTTATTATCTGCGGTGTTCAAGAATTCAAAATATGACAAACTACACATCATGATTCATTCTCCCCATAACTGTTCACTTAATGTATACCAATATATGGCATATAGTACAAATTTAATCTAAATTACTAACAACACTATCAACTAACCTAACCAACTATTCACCATTCCGCTTCAGACCAAACAATTTGAAGAGAGAAGATAAATATGCCCATCCTTTAAATGTTAGTGTGCCAAATGAACTGCATGAACTAAAAGTAAAATGGTCGACCGCGACTTAATTGAACTGAAGACATTTTTAATCCCGGTTAAATGGTAATACACAGAACGACACCTTAAAATATATATGGGAAATACCTTCAAATATTTAAATCCTTTTAATTTTTAATTATCTATAATTCAAATTCGGTACTTACGACAATGACGTATTTACATTTCAGTTGATCTTCTGCTGCTTCAAGCAAGGAAATGAATGCTTCGCGACTACCCTCGAGCAGCAAATGCGGTGGTGGTGTAACATACAATGTTTGGCCTCTCAGTACAGCGTCCCAAGACTGCGATAGCCTTCCTCCAGAGCCCGTGCGAAAAGTCAGGCGGAGTGGTGGGGCCGACTGATCCCCTAAGTTATAAAAATTAAATCTATTTGTGTAGTTAGAATTAACAATAAGCCTGTATGAATGACTTGGATTTTATTTTTTCTTTCAAAGTTTTTAATGAAAAGTTTGAACATATTCTCATTTATTGATAAATAAACTCACAACAAAAATTGAAGTTATCTATTTTTGTGTTGATGAAACAACTATAATAACGTTAAATTTAAAACAAATGACTGTCTACAAACTTTTTAAAGGAAATTTTAGAACAGACTTTTTTTAAATTAATTTTTGATAACAAACAATAGAAACAGAAATTCTATAAGAATTAATTTTTCAAAGAAGCTTCCACAGGCTGCGGTAATACTACTTAATACTATGCAGAGATTTCTACAATGGCACAAAAGGACAGAACATTCAAAACTGCAATGTTTGTCGTTATATGATAAGTAATTGCACTTCCAATTTGAACAATGGAAACTTTCACAAGAGCTAAAAAACTAAATATCGCGTGTTTCGATGTTATCCCTTATCAAAAAATTCATGGCGTAATAGGTTATCTTCAAAATTTCAAATGGATCAATGTCAAAACCCGTCAAACTCGGTAAACATTGTCTAGACTTTTAATTTCAAAGAACAAAATTAGATAAGATCTTGGATCTTAATAATATATATAAACTTTAACTCAGTATTAGGTCTAATTATATTACAACAGGAAAAATTACCTCGAATGCCCCTGGCTACTTCCCCAGGGGCGACATCAGGACCACCACAGAGGCCCGGCGCCCAGAGACATGTTGTAGTAATTTTCAGGAGAAGCAGAAGTAGTCGACTGCTTCTGGCTGAACAACGAATTTCTGGAACAAAGTTAAGATAGTTTTGGATGGATTGGACTTTTCAATTATATATGAAATTTCTTTTTCTACCTCCTACACTTGCACACCCAATTATGCACGATCAGTTCGGACATTTCAGGTATTTTGGTCACGGGTTTGGAAGCGATCGGAAGTTTTGTCAATTCTGACGGTCATGTCAGTTAATGTAGTCGTATTGTTTTGCAAAAATGTACCCAAAAACTAGTGGTCATAGAAAAAGTATAGTATGCAATATATTGAAAAATTTCTTCAGTCACTTGTTTATTAAGCACTCGCTCCTGGCAAATGAAACTCGTGTCTAAAATAGCTTTTATCAAACTTGTTGCATAATACACTATTAAAAGCAAAATTGTTTGAACAAATTTCTATTTTAAAAGAAAATGCGGTAAGGAGGCAAGTAACCTTGCCAAAAGAAAAATGCGCAGTTATGCTGGCAGTTATCTTTGTTTACATTTATTCAAATTTAGATTCAATCATTTAGAAATTGAGAGAAAAAATTATCAGTTTTAACTGTTATTGTCCAGAGATTATCTTTGTGAGACGATATTTAGTAAACGTAAACAAAACCATTAATCTATTCACTATCATTTTGTCAAGTTTGAAACAAATCACACAACTAAATATACTAGATAATAAATACAAATAAATGGCTGTTTAATCATTAAAAGGTATGGAAGAAACAAAATAGTGATGAGCGACTGACTGGTATTTACCAATGGATTTTTTTGATCATTCAATGATGTTAAAGAGTCGTGAAGGGACGTCAAGTAAGAACGAACAAAATAAATAGATCCCGGTTAAATGCAGTTGCTGAACACCAAAGTCGATTAACTAATATAATGTTTAAATTACCATTTGGATATAAGAAAAAGAAAGAACTTGAGCCTAGCTATAACTTTCTAATTACTACCATAAATCACTTCTGTAACACTAGCGACTGAACAAAAATTTTAGGTGGCAAAGAAAATCTTGTAATTAGCAGTTATGATAGCAATGAAGTATAGTTTTGTCAAATAGAATCACGAAAATTTTTCCTATACCTATTGCGAAAAATGTCTGCTGTATTAATCATTTATCGACTATACAAGGTCACCTTCCGCAAAAGAAATTGTTTCTTAAATTTTAAAATCCTAATAGATTTAGTCTGCCCAATTTTAAATTTTGTAACTATTAAATTTATAATCCATATTGTTCATAGTGTTTGGTAAATGATGGAAGCCTTGAAAAATTTTACTGGAATTTGCTATCACTTAAATGTTAAAACGGGATCAGTAGTTTATCGCCAGTGATGACAGTACTGATTATTATTATTAATAGACTGTCCTTTCCTTTAAACATTTTCTAGAAATGTACGAAACCTAATATGAATGAAAATTAAGTTAATTCTTAACAAACGCAGTCCCAAACCCATGTGCTAGTAAAAACGATGGAGAAAGTTTTTTAAGTGGTCTGAAATACTTACGGATTAGAATTGCTACTCATAATGGCTGGCATAGCTATATTTTCTTCAGAATTATTTGGGTCCGAACTTCCTGATTCAGAATTAATAGCTTCCGTGACACTCATAAACATAATTAAACGAAAAAAAAACAGCTAATTAATACGTAAGGGTACAAGTCTTTTTCTTCACCGAATAAAACATTAAACCATGGGATACACTGACTCGTAGTTACTTAGATAAGGATTTTATTTCTTTTGTAGTTTTCCACCTTGGTGCGCCATCTACCATAAATTATTTAAATTCGTACTACGTTCAAGGTCATTGCTTGGCTGCATGTATGCATGGTTCCTCGATAATCGAAGTTCGATTGACGTCGATGACGTATGTTAATAATTGTAATATTACAAAATCTTTAGGTATATGATCAATTTGTACAGGGGAGAATTTTATTATTAGTTTGCAACCATAACCAAATATAATTTAAAAACTCCCTTAAATAGAGCGTTGCGCCGTCTATGGAGGAATGCCTCAACGTTGCGGTTTCCAAATGCAATCAAGGCGATCGTTTTGGATAGTACAAAGATTACTATTAGAATATTATAAACTACAATAAAGTTAATTAACACAATAAGCATCAGACAAAATTCATAGTTTTTTTTAACAAAATTAACAAATTAATTAGGGCCGAGTTTTTAAATAGTAGTATAAATACGTATATGCTCTATTCTCTATCAACTCAACAACAAAATAACAGAAAATAACCAAAACTAACCAAATACTTGTTTATTTCTACACAAATGGAGTACAGAAAACACATAACAACCATGGGCCACAGTCAAACAATTACCTCATTCTGAATTTTTCAATGTACAATTGGTTTGAACCTTGGTATTCTTGGTTAGTTTTGATGGGTTGACGGACTGGAGCCGTAAGCATGTTGTCTGCTATCTTAACTAACCATAAATCGAGGTACGTCAATTTCGCATAGCCGAAACTCTATTGTAACTATTGGATAACATTAGGTAGGTAAGGCTTGTTCATTCTGTGTACTCAAGTCAATCCCTATACACTCTATTCGTTCGGGTATTGCTTTTTGCCGTAAATACAGTGACTCCGTTTGCGGTCGGTTGTACGGTGTGTTGAGGATCGAATTCATCCTTGTGCAGGATTTTAAGAGCAAGCTTGCGCAAAAGTGTGAATCCGTCGAATGTAACCGTTTGGGATGCTTGTTGCTATGCTAACAACCATATAGTTGTTAGATAATATGGGGGCCCTACTGCAGTAAAAATGCCGCATTCATACTTATTGACGATCTGTCAGCGGCCATGTCTGTTCTTGGGGCAAGGTCATTGGTTACAGCGAGATTTGAAATCTCGCACATGCGCACGTTGAATGGATCTTCTCATAGTTGCTTCATAATTTTTGATTTATAGAGTTACTGAATGCGCAGAATTTAAAGTCAGTTTTCTAAAATACCACGAAAACAAAGCAATAGAATTTGATTAGTTTTGGATAAATTAATATCCAAATACTTCTTTTAATGTCATTGGATGATTTAAGTCATTGGTTTTTCCTTGTCGATTTTCTATTTAAATATTTTTTTGAAATGTTTTGAAAAAATAATTAACTTTATTGTATACAGTGCATCGGTTCTTAAGAGAATTGTAAGTTGTTGCACCAATACCTTTGTTTGCCAAATTTTCAATTATCATTTTTGTCATAAATGTCCATTTCAATATATTTTCCAAGTTTTGTACCTATCCCACCTTTGTTTATTTGTCTTAATGTTGATAACGACACGCAGACTTGCCACAATTAATAATAGTGTCCCTAAAATAAATTGACGTGTTGTTTACTGTGATAAACAAAAATATTAAAAGAACACAGTTTTAGACACAGTCGGCCATTATATTGACCCATTAAATAATTAAACAAATCTAAAAATACAAGTACCCGTTATTTCTTGTTAATTTTTTATATTCTTTATTTATATCCTGTAAAAACATGAAAATTTGTTTTGATGAAAAAGAGAAAATTAATTTTATTACTTTTTTTTTTAAGCATCACCCATTTTCTATGCAATCAAGGGGTTGGGTTGATTTTAACTTTAGTGTTCTGTGGTTGTTTTGTTTTTTTGCAATGTATATATGATAATAATCTTTGACAAAGTAGGAAAAATATTTCCTACTAAAAAGGTTTGTTTTCCCGTTATGTGACGAAGGTAACATTTGTCAGTGTTAGTAATTCCACTTCATAAATAAAATTTGCCGAAGTTAGTAAGTTGAACAAAAAAAAAAGACAAATAATGTCAACTCAACCTCAATTAAATATTGGTTATCTTATTTTATTATATTTCTTGAATTTGAATGTGCAATGTACTCTAGCAGATCAGCACAAACATTTCTTAGGAATGAGAACACCCTATCGTTATGTTTCTAACAACACTTTTGGAAAAATAGACTATGATGGTAATAATTTCATGAGGAGTTTATCTCATGTTGTAATTGTTTTTGTTTTAATAATAGACTGCAAGCCGGAAAAGCTATGGATGATAGTCAGACATGGGACGCGCCAGCCAAGTCTTAAAAATATAGTAGCAATGAAAGAAAGACTGCCACAAATAAAGAAACTTTTGATAAATAACTCAAATCTTCCTAATGGTAAACTCCGGTAAAATCACACATATTTAGAAGTTTTGTTTACTTTGAAACTACTGATTTAGAGTATGTTAGGGCCACAGATCTAGAATCATTTCACAAGTGGGAATCTCAGTTAAAGTTGGAAGATGAACATAAGTTGGCTCATGAAGGTGAAGAAGAAATGTTACTTCTTGCTGAGCGAATGCAAAGCAGATTTCCAGTTCTTGATAATGTATATAGTAATTCTTCCTTTCAGGTAATTTAGTTATATTTATTAGAATAAAAACTTTGGATGTTCTTTAGTAAAAAGTAGTAGATGGTCATTATTAACTTGAAATTCAGGTTCTTTATTTTAAATAAAATGCTTTTTTTTAGTTTAAGTATACCTACTCACAGAGAACTAAAGAAAGCGCATATAATTTTGTTTCCGGATTATTTGGAAGAGCTACAGCTAAAGATGTGTGGTTTCCAGAACCTTCAGAAAAAGATCCTATTTTACGAGTAAGTCGATCTTAGTGTCTTTATTGTATTTTAGTTAAACATAAAAAGCAGAAATCAATGCTAATGTTATAAACATGATCTTGCCTAACTAACCAAAGCTAGATGATATTTTTATTTAAAATATATTGGAATCCCTATTTTTAACAGGTTGGTAAAAAGTAAGATTTTTACTGCTAATGTTAAATATAGGCAGCATTAAGGCCGGTTAGTAATAAACAAATCTCAAAATCAAAGAAAATATCTAGTGTCCTGTGGTCCCACACAGGGAAAATTACAGTTACATATCGACAAAAATCTATGCTCTTTCTGACAATATGGCTGAAAAACAAAAAATTTTGGGTTTTCTGTTTTATTTTTGTTCCAGTTTCTTTGAAATTAAAGGGAAAATACAAATATCATTCAATTCAAATTTCAACTTTTGGAGTTTTATTTTTTATTGAAATGAAAAATCAGTTACAACATTATTTTTCTTATGAGCCTCTTGATGGATTTTTGTCATTTATAATAGCCTCTTTAACTTTTTAATGATATTTTCAATCTACCGTGATACCATACAATTTTTTTTTCTTTAATCTTTCATGTAAGTGAGCTAGGGGTGTACTAATTAATCACTACCAGTTCACTCAAGGAAAAAATAAATTTCTATACTCTTTTCACAACCTTGCACTGTGGCTGAGATGGGGCATGATGTAGTGTTTGTGTTTGAGTGTTAGTGACAAATTATTTATATATTTCTGTATGGTACATATGTAAAATTTTATCACGAATTTATTAGGGATACTGCCGGTCCTAGAAGTTTGATAAAAAACCTATTAAGTAAATTGGTCAAAAGAAAATACTGGAAATTTCGATTTTCTAAAATGGCCGCAACAAGGAAATAATAAATTTTTATACTCTTTTCACAACCTTGCACTGTGGCTGAGATGGAGCTTGATGTAGTGTTTGTGTTTGAGTGTTAGTGACAAATTATTTATATATTTCTGTATGGTAAATATGTAAAATTTTACCACGAATTTATTAGGGATACTGCCGGTCCTAGAAGTTTGATAAAAAATCTATTAAGTAAATTGGTCAAAAGAAAATACTGGAAATTTCGATTTTCTAAAATGGCCGCAAGGTGATTAAATTGCTAATTTGATTTGTGAAACCTGGTTTCTGGAAAATTATCTTTGTAGTTATATATATATTTTATAGTTTGAATGAGTATTGTTTTAAAGCTTAGATATTGATTTTTGCTCTTTCAAAGGAATAATGAGGCTATTTTGCGATTGCTTACTTCGTCACCAGATGGCGTTTTCTTACATAATTACAAAAGAAAGTAATGATATGACTTTTTTGCGTCTTTGCATAGTAAAATAAAAGCACAACAGCTCAGTTAGAACCGCATCTCAGTGTTATTCTAACCCAAAAGTGAATAATACTGTACCGGATGTCACACATAAGGTGACCCATATACTTTTCTCAAAACAAGTGAATCATGTGCATGCGTGAGATTTAAAATCTAACCAACATGGATCGTCAATAAGTTTGGATGCAGCATTCCCAGATTTAATTAAATTTCTGGAAAAAAGAATTAAGTGTGCGGAATTACCTGTTTAGAAAGAAAATGGGGCAAAGTGTAGATAGAGGCATGCCCGGAAAATCATTCCCTCCCAATTATATTTATTTGTTAAAATATATTCACCGTCTGAGTATTCGGCCTTTAAATCTTTCTTGTTGTCAAAAATAAATGTTTCTTTGAATTATTCATAATAAAAGTATTTAAATTTTCAATATTATTATAGTTTTTTGTCTTAGATAAACATGCTTAATTTAGTTTTTGCAATGCAGAATACTCAGTGTGCTACTTTATTTTGTAACTGAAATGTGGAAAAAATGGTTGCTTCACACTTTTTTCGTGACAGATACCAGCCAGACAGGAACATTTTTCATAACTCTTATCTCAGGATCCATTGTGCTGCGACGGGAGTACATTCTGCGTTCAGTATTTAGAACAATACGAGAAAATCTTTATCCCTATTATATCACACCAGTCCAGCATTTGCTGGTTCCTAATCTGCAAGCAAGAATAATTTTTTCTATCTCTATGTGATACCATCAAAATGAAGATCCTGATTTTGTTAGCAAAATTTAATTTACTGAGGAGTCTACTTTTACCCTAGAGATTTTTAATTTTCATAACACACATTTCCAGCCCTAATTGTGGATAAATATGTGGGTAGGCATAGCAAATAATTATGTACTAGGACCTTTTGAATTACCCCGAAATTTTGCTGCAGCGACGTTTTTACATTTTTTCGCAACACGACTTCATGGATTCGATGGATGACACCATTGGCTATAAAAAATAACATAATGACCTTTGTTTGAAGGAGCATTTTGCCCTAATTGTAACACATCTTAATTTAAACTTTCCCTATAATTGGATTTGCAGAAGAAGTTCTCTTCTTGAATAGCCGGCACGTAGTCCAGATTTTTTTCGTATATACCAAAGATACAGGGTGTTCAAAAATGTTTCATTGGAATATTATTACGCAACTTTATCTTACTGTTTAAAAAGGAATGTTTCACTTAAAATAATTTTTAATGAGCTTAGAAAAATGCTCACTTCAGGTGCAAATGGAAAAGTAATGAAATGTTATCTACTTCTATCAAATGATTATGATGCCAGTACAGTGAATACCGGCAAAGGTGCACTAGTTTTGCACAGTTCCGTTCTTTTTCTCATTAAATTCACGCTTCGTGGCGATTTAATTTTCTTCATACATATTACTCATTAAAATAATGTTTTTTGAAATTGTATTAATTTTAGTTCTTAATACTGATTCATTTTTTCAATAATGAATAACTTTGAACTTTTCTTGTTTACTCGCTTTGTTACAGTTTTATAAATCTTGTACAAAATGGAAGTACAATGTCAAAGACAAGGTAAAATACAGTGGAGAACACAAGAAATTTGAAAACAGCAGCGAATTTATTAAAGTTGTTGAAAATGTAAACCACAGGCTTGGGCTGAAAGATGAATTAAAAACTGGTACGTAATGTGTTGGTTGCAGAGTTGATTTTCGAACAAGCCTGTAGCAGTGAAAAAAAAAGAAAATGCGATATAAAGAACTTTTTTTTTATATAAATTTTTTTATAAAAAAGATTAGTGTTTAAAAAAAAACAATCACCTAGAGTTAAAAAGCACTTATGAAGAAAAATTTCTTTTTCTATTCCAACCGTCTTTAACATCTTAATAACATCTTGTACACTTTGTATGGAAGTTTTTCGCGTTGTAGACGATGTGTCGCTAATTTATGTCACATGTGGATTCGAGACAGCATGGAAAACACAAACTGAATCTCCTTGGTGCTTGCTCCTCACAGAAGAAAATCTGAAGGTAACTTATAAACAACAAATTTGATTTTGCTTTCCAAACTGTACTAAAGTATTGCCAAAGAATGTATAACTGTATAGTGTGTTCCACTTTTTCATGAAATAAAACGTCACACAAAGATAAATTGATTTTGGATACAGGTTTTACTTAGGATCCAGTGGTATCTTCTGAAAATCGCATTTTGTGATATACAAACAAAATTTCAGTTTTCAAGACTTTCCAAATATTTGAGACGGTTTTTATTTCTTATGGATGTGATGTTTAAAGGTATAATTGTATAATGTTGGTCCTAATTATGTGGAAAAATGCCGGACTCTCATTTGAAAAAAATTGCAGAAAGTGTGTTTTATGAAAGGAATAATTAATTACTATTCTATTTTCGTTTTTAAGATAAAAAATAAAAATTTTTCGGCCATATTTGTGGCACGATATCTCCCTAATTGTTAGCTTTTGACCCAACGCTTATATAATAAACTACCAACTCAATTAAATATTCATTTTAAACAAGGAATCACCCCTTTACGTTTTTCGTATTTGTTTCAAAACACTCTGCATAACAAATAAACTCGGACTTAAGACAGTGCCTTGTGAACACTACCATCAATTCTGACTTCCAACACCGTCTCCATTACCCCAAGAATCTCTAGCAGCGTCCAGAAAAATAAAAATTCATTATTGGAGCATTCAATAAATCCAAACTGGTTTGCACGATAAATGTTATTAAAATAAGTATTCCAACTTTTTCTTCAAAAGTTTTTGGTAGATTTGAAATTACACTAATTGGTCAATAATTTTCAATTTCACTCTTACCGCCCACTTTGAATATTGGTGTTACATTGGATGTTTCAAAATGTATAGGGAAGTTTAATTTTATTTGACACTGGTGTAATAAGTTCACGTTGTAACAATACAACTATTTTGGAATGTATTCTTTCAGGTATGCGTTTCAGACCAGCAATATGCATTGTTTCATTAAAGAGGACCTTAGGTACATATATGAGGGTGATACAATTTTAAACGGATCCACAGTAATATCAACTTCTGATATGGATTTTTCAATATTAACAAAATATTCATTACAAGAATCCTTCTACATCCTCCGAATCTGTTTTATAGTTTGCCTATTTTGTGTAATTCTAGTCAAAGTCTGTCTCATTATTTATTAATTTTAATAGTTTTCTGATATTTAACTTATTTTCTTTTATTCTCTCTTTATTTATAGTAATTGATGTGTTTCATCTCGTTTCTTGATGGATGCAGTTAATTCATTTGTAATCCAAGATTTTACTTTATTCTATTTTGATGTCACTGTTACAGTTCCTTGGCTTGTGATATGTTAAATTCAATATTAAATATTTGGTAGAGTCCACTAGATTTTCGCAAGTCAGTTCTTGTTATTGTTATTATCGTATATCTTATTATTACTGTTATTATTTTCATTTTTCGCAATCACATTCGTTTGAATCGTTTAAATTACAATGCTTGAAACTAATATTTTTATCTGATTTTATTTTATTTTGTACAAAAATGTGGCCCAAACAAAAATTTGACACCTCTTTCTTGACGTCTATACAGAGAGGCGCACTCATTAGTGCCTTATAATAAATAACAATGGGGTTATCTGTATTCAGCAAATTAATATTTATATCCCCACAGAAATCAAGTACACAAATTAGCACTGTTATCCTATTGGATTCTAAAACACCAAACAATTTCGTCCAGCAATGTGTTAATATTTGATGAGGGAAAGAATAATTTTTAAAAGATAAATAGATATACTATTTTGCTGAAAAATTGAGGTAATGATTTTCAAATTGGGGGTTTACATTATTTTTTAGGAAGAGACAAACACCATCAAAAGAATCAAAATTTGCATAATTATAATATGTTTGGTGCCGTCTATTTTATGACATTCACTTGAACGCTAACAATAAACTTTATTTTTTAAGTTTGTAGAAATCCAACAAAATTGTAAAAAAAATTGTTTTGATTCCGCTAATGTTTGAATGTTTTACGCTAATACCTACTATATTGCCTTTTACTACTTTGACGAGGCTTAGGTTTTAAAGTATATGTAACAAATACAAGGAATGTATCATAATTTTTTTTATGAGTAGGCCATGGAAAATGTAATTTATTTGTTAAACTCATGGAATTTCGTAATTAGTATTGTAATTTCTGGCTGCTATTTATTCATTTTGCTATGGCTAATGTTACCAGAATATGTGAAAATTATAATTGTATATAATGGGGGTGTGTCATCAATGCCAATTTAATAATATACACACACACACATACCCTTTTTTGATTTTTTAATAAACGATGTAATCCATGGTCAATTCATAAAAAATTAAAATTAAAGATAGATACTTCGTATTTGAAATAGCTCTTGCTATATGTTTTAATATATTTTTTACAAACTCAAGTTTGAAAAGAAAACTGTAACTTACGTAAAAAACTCTACCCAGCTACCTCTACCCAGTCAGCTTTCACCTTTTCAATAATTTGCATAAGCAAACTACAAAGGGTGTCCAAATTGCAAATTTTTCAAAATCACCCTGCATTTAAAAGATAGATTTTATGAAAAAGTAGCCTTTGCTCACTAAGGCCGCAACATTAATAACGGAGATACGCCTTAAAACCCTCAAAAGTAGGACACGCTGTACAATAATTAAAATTTATTCTTCCGCAGTATTTCAATTTTACAGGTGCTTGAATACAGAGAAGATTTGAAGTATTATTGGCAAGATGGTTATGGTTATGAACTAACTTACAAGCAGGCTTGCCCTATGTTTGGCAATATGATTAATATGTTCCAAAAGTAACTATAATTTTTTAATTATCTTTCTAGAAAATATTTTTAGTATTTCAAATAAAAGATTAATCATTTACATAAAACTTTTTCGAAAGTTCTTTTTTTATTTTGATGAAGTAAATCAATTAAATATTTTCTATGATTTCTATTTCAGAAATAGTAGTTTACCAAGATCTGTAGTATATTTTACACATTCTGGCACACTTTTAAAAATGTTGGCTCATTTGGGTTTGTATAAAGACGAACAAGTTTTGACTTCTGAGAACTTTAGGGCTATGGATAACAGACAGTGGCGAACCAGTCAAATTGACGCATTTGGAACTAATTTAGCATTCGTTTTGTACGAGTAAGTATTTTGTTGTTTTATTAGCTCCTAGTTCTAAATCAGTTTCAATATTTTTTATTTTATTATATTTGGATAGTAATTCTATTTGTAATGATTGAAATACTCTTTTCTGTATCGGTAAAAATCAGATAATAGCATTACCAATATAAAATTAGGAGAGCCAAGGATAATAAATTGTTAAATTGGCAGTAGCGTCTATTTTTATTAGTACTGTTCGATATACTATTTCAGGAACAGAAATCCAAATAGGTAATGTTTATCTACTTTTAATTTTAAGCTGTCGCCAAGAGAAAATGGTTCTGACTTTACACCAAGAACACATTGTTCGATTGCCGAGCTGCCCAGATTCGGATTTATGCGAGTTGAAGACTCTAGTAGAATATTACTCGGAGAGTATCAACAGTTGTGACTTTAATCATATATGTGAAAATTCTTAAATTGTGATTTACACCATTTTGACCTAATAAATTTCACCTTTATTTAGATTTGTATTTTATCAACATTTTTAATTAGTAATCTAATTTTAAACAAATCATAAGTATTTCAAAAACGGATAATGTTTATAACTGAGCAGCCGGGTTTTCTTTTAAAACGCAAATTCCGTTGAGTGTAGGAGTAAAAAAAACATACTGGTCGTTGGCTAGTTCTGCTTTTTCAGTTGTACTAAGCAATACCGGCGTGCTATGAGTTCGAACGCCTGCAATAGTTTTAGGCGTACCTAAAATAGAAATATTTTAATCAAAATACAGCCATCAACAAAAATGTTTATTCATCTATCTCATTAGAAAAATCCCTATAACCTTTTTTTTTCAATCAATATTGGATTGTGGAATGATAAAAAAATAACAAATAACAACTAAACCAAGAATTATCAAATAGGAAATGCTCACATGAGTTCATAAAAATCAAAATAAATAAGAACTAGAAGTTCAGATTTTCACGAAATTATATATTTTTACATGACAATTGTTTCGATAACACATATATAATTTCATGAAAATCTGAACTTTGAGTTCTTATTTATCTTGATAAATGGATTTTCATCAAGTAAAAGCCACCTCAGTTCAATTCATAAAAATCAATTAACAATCAAATTATTGTTTTAAGTTGAATTGTTTTATTGTAAGTTGTCACTTTGATATTTCTTTCTCTGTGCTTTCGTGAATATTGCGTTCTCTTACTAAATCTACACCTGCCAGGAAAAAGCGTCATCTTAACATAAATTGGCCTATTACTAAATCGTCGGCGCACTTGTATTTTCAATCAACCATTAACTTAATAATAAAAAGTTAGGCTACTCGTAGTTGATTGTGAATTGAGTCTTAGCCATTAGTTTTCGTTGAACAAAATAAACATCTTAGTTGTTAATTGTTATAAACTCACCATTAGAAACATACAAGCATTTACGTCAGGTATTAATTAGATTAGAATTAGGATTGGGGGTTTTCTTGCGGGGCTAAACGTTTATGGTGAGTTATTGAGTGAGTTATTCTTTGATTAATGATTACCTGCTGTACCCACTACATCTAGAGCTTGTCCAACTCGTACCGTTGTTGGTAAAATTTCCAAATTTGCATCCAGTGTTAATAACCATCTTGGTTCAATCGATGGCACCAAACAGTAAAGTAAATAGTGAGATTTACCCAGGATAAGAGACTGGGGCTCCAAAAGCGATATGAGTACAATTAGAAGACCTGTAATATAGCAATTTATTAGTAAAGTTTAGTAATTGTTACAAATTTACGAGCTAAAGTCATATTAAAGTCTCGTAATTGTATTTATTCAATAAACTTTATCATACCTGTCATTCCTACTCGATCTAGAAGCATTCTATCGGTATGCAAAGGATTTAAACTCACAGTCCCCTTGCCCATGTGAACTAATCCTTGTGCTAGTCGTACCATGAACAGCTGATTAGGGTTTTTTACATGATATACAGCCAGTTGCCGCAAATTTGATGCCAAACGGGCATTGTTCGTTCCCGCGCCAATCAACCCTATATCGAATTTTAAAAAGGAAAATTATAGTAATTCTCAGGTAATTCAAAAACATGGACAATAAATTTAATTCTCAATCTTATGTGAATTATCTATTTGCTGGCCCATTTGTAATGGGATGATTGATACCTGTTCTAAGAACTTGCAAAAAATATTAAAAAAACTTAAAGACAAATCAGATTGGTCATTCATCTTCAAAACAAGAAAACAAGTCCATATAAATGTCGGTCCAAAAATGCTTAGTGTCCAAAACATGGAGACTTTAATATTTAACAAACGACTTGTGCCAAAATGCTTACATTATAGGTTACATGTCTGCAATTATGCTGCTAATAAAAATTTTTAACATTTCTTTAGAACTAAATCTATTGTTGCCAAAGGGTCCAAAAAGTCAATGTCATCAAATCACATTTTGACAATTTTGATGATTTTGAGGAGAGATACGAAAACAAACGAAGAGTGAAAAAAGTTGTACTTTTAGTAGCTTATTTGAAGTAAATAACAAAAATTGTAAAACCAATAAATATTTCGTCTTTGATTGTAAAAAAGTCAGTGGTGTACATCTCTTTGACAATGTTATTGATTAGGATATCTGCAGGTACAGCACTGGACTTCACAATTTTAGGTAGCTGGAGCAAAATTAGCCCTTTGTCATTATTAATGACGTTGCTAAATTTAAACAAAATCGACCAAATAATATTTAAAATATTGTAGAAAAGCCGTTTTTTTTTTGGTATTTAACAACCCGTATTATCAAAAATAAGCATTTTCGGACCTACGTTTACATACCTACATTTTTTTGAATAACAAATCTCCAGCCGAGCGTTGGGCACGTGCTTTTTGAAACACCCTGCATATAAAGAATGTTTATATTTTTCGTGGATAGCATCCTTATTTTAAATAGCGTATTAAGAAATTTAATTTTTAGATTTCTAATTTTCTAGATATATTTCATTTATGTCAGGAGTGACATTTTCCGGGTCTTATATATCAATTTATCCGACTGAAGGCAGTTTTTAAGGTTGATTTACTTATAGGAGGGGATTTACTTTAGTGGTCTGTGTTGATATCTTTAAAATAAATAAGTACTGGGTGATCAAAAACTAATATTAAATGCAAACACTCCGTTTCTATTTCAGAAAGTTAAATAAAACGTTTTGTTTTAGTTTTCCCATTGTAAAAATGGTATATGTATTTATTTATTTTTACAATATCAATACAGACCACAGAATATTCCTTCCATAAGAAAGATTTCAAATATACCGAGTGACACAAAAAAGTGGGAATACTCTATAACTTTTAATCGGCTTGAGATAGCGATTTGAAATTTTTTGATAATATGTAATCAATGGTTCACTTCAGGTTTGAGCGGAAACGACAGTAACTTTCGAATTTTAAATGGCACAACCTATTTCTTTTCATTTTGGATTTTTTTTGTTTTTTTTTTTAAATTGTTTTTTGAATGATAGCCGTGTTTTTTTTGAAATTCTCACAGATTCTCTTGAGATGTATTTACTTATGTCTTTTTTTCTTTCCTGTGAGCTAATTTTTTAACGGATTATGAACATTTTGGTATCAAAATGTTGCAAAAAAAGTACCGGTTTTAAAAAGTTTTCGTCCCCACTAGGGTGCTATTTGAAAAAACTAGGTTAAAAATTAATGGTTCATTACATTAAATGCTATTTGCCATTAGACAAGTAAAGAAAAGTTTCATTTACAATTGTTCACATGATCATGTGACCCGGTAAATAGTATTTATGATGGTCACACCAACACAATTAAATAAAAATTAAAAAAAAAAACAAAAAGAAGAGGAAAAACCGTCCTATCCTACGTAGAATGATCTAAATCCAAAAACGCAAAAAAATATAAGTGCAACCATTGACTACATATTGTCAAAAAGTTGGAAATTCAACCTATGGCCTTTCCCCTTCCAAATTTCAAATCGCTATCTCAAGCCGTTTTAAAGTTATACGCGTGTTCCCACTTTCTTGTATCACCCGGTATAATAACAATCGAATGTATCGAATATATGAAATATGTCTAGAATTTTGCGCCTCAATATACTGGGGCTTTCTATTTAAATTAAGAGAGTTGCTATTTGCCTACTAAAATAGAAACATTCTATATAAAACGCAATAACTTTTGTCTTTAGGTTTTTTGATATTTTTTACAGATTCAGATGATATGATGATAATAATAACAACAATAAAAAATATGGACAGCCCGGTACGTATTTAAACTTACCCAACCCGAAAATGGCATTGCAAGCTACATCATCGTCAGAATCGTGTGAATATTTTGTGAGAACATCAAAAACACTTAGTTGAGGATTTGAAATTGAGCTCAAAGCTATAGCCAGAGGGGCTGCTTTTCTTACTGACGGTTCCCCATATCTTCCCATATGTCCAAAAATTCTTTGTACCATTTCCATTCCTATGTATTAAACTTATTTAAATCAAAAATCTAAGTTTGATATGTTGTTATTGCAGTTGTTATTTTAAAAATAATTTAATGCTTCTAAAATTAATATTTAGGCATTCTTAAATTGGGACAGCAGTGTATGTCTTTTGTCTAAAATACTGAATGTTGTTAACTTGCTTTCAAAGAGTTTTGTTGGTGTGTAAGGATTTTATTAAAACTTTTTATTTATTTTTTTACACCTTGCTCTAAAGGATGGCTTTGATCGAGCGTCACACTTTACTCGGCGAATGCCATTCGTTCTGTTCTGCATGTATCGATGGTTTGACTCACATTTGGCTCACGAGTTTATTTGACACGAGCGGAGCTAGTGTTTAATAAACGAGTGACTACGACCGTTAATTTTTGGGGTACATTTTCGCAAAACAACACGAATACATTCACTGACATAGCCGTCAGAATTGACACACGTCAGATTGAAGGCATGGGAAATATCTCCGAAATCATCCGATTGCTCCCAAACCCGTGCGGTAAAATCCCGGAAATCACCGAAGTGGCTCGGATCCATGGGAAATAAAACTGACGTGGTAAAGTGACGCTTCCCGCACACTAGATCGGTAGGTACTTAAGTATTTTACAAAAGGTTGTAGAAAAATATATTATTATATATATATATATATATATATATATATATATATATATATATATATATATATATATATATATATATATATATATATATAATTATCTATTTCCGCTACATTATTCATCATTCAAGGGTTTGGGAGCAATCGGATGTTTTGGGTGAATGTTAAAAGTGATATTTTGTGGTAAGTATAGTAGGAGCCATATTGAATCCATTACCGAACCCAGCGGATGGCCGAATACAGGTAGGGACGGACTCAGTGATGAAATAAAATGTTGCGCGGCTAGGCGTCTAGCTATATTTTCTCAGATACTAAAAAAGTGAAAATATGTTATACAGCGAGTGTAAAAATGAATTTTTAAAAGCACCTGAAAAATCGGATTTTTGTTACGAGTTGTACGGAATATTTTACTATAACTATACAGCACAAAAAGTACTCGCGTACTTCTAATTAGTTTGTAACATATGATTGTTCTACTTTTTGAAGGCCGCACCGCAAAGTCATATAGACCTATAAGCCTATTTATGCTGAAGACCCTAGAAAGTCTAGTGTATAGGTACATTGCGGACAGCACGTTACAGACTTTCCCGCTAAGTAAATGTTGTGCATTTATTGCTTTGACGTTTTAAGTATGTTACGGTACAGATGTTTATTCTACATTAAGTAGGTGTTGCTTGAGAAGGACCGTAACGAATATTTGTAGAAACTGGAGATTTTTATTTGAAACGTCAATGGGCCGTTTTAAATTTAATTAAGCATTGATGTTGAGGGGTATTTTCGAATAAGTAGAAGCGTTTGTTTTAACATCAGGTGATATGTATCGTTCTTAAGAGTTTAATCTAAATTGCAATATATTACGAAGTTATTTGACTGTGATCTTTCCAGTAAGTATGTATTTATGTACCTGATTCTCAACATTTTATCCTGCAAGGCTGTTTTCACTGGACAGTTCAAAGGGTAAGGGTAAGTACCTGTACTCTATTTATCTTACAGGTAAGTTTGAAAATAATCATTTTTGTCTTGTGTGTCTGTCGATTAGCCACATTCTTCTTTTTGTATTTTTGTGTCTTCTATATAGTTCTTCAATGTGTAAACAGCAATCTTTTTTAAGACTATAGATTATATTCGCGCAACAAAACGGACATGAAATCTTGATCATTGTATATTTAACCCGATTGATATGATTTGGTCTGAGTTGAAAGCGCGTATAGGAAGAAATAACACTGCACCGAAATTTAGTGATAGTACCATAAACGTAATTCGGCAAGAGGTAGCTAAAATATTAGTACAAAAATAGTCCAACTGTGAAACACGAGTAATAAAAGAAGAAAATATTTATCGAGAACGATCAGTGGCGGAGTTGATCATTGAACTAAGTGACGACAGTAGCGATAGTGACGGTTTTTTAAGTCACTGATACTTTATGATTATTATACTTATTATTTTGTAGATGATACTATGTAGAAATGTAATTAAATAGAACGTAATAAATTGTTGCTTTGTACTAATGTTTCCAGAATTGCTCGGCGAAAAAGATTGAAAACAAGTCCTAGGACGGTCCTGGAATGGTCACGGGTAAAGGTCTGCTCGGCAGGGTGTTCTATAAGGGGCTACGGTTTTGGAGTAATTAACAGTAGGCAAGGTTAATCACGGGTTAGGTTGTCAAAACACAAAATTTCTGGTCATGTTATGCCAACCAGGGAAATCAACAGCTCAACGAGCTATGCATGTTTAGGTTGCTCTCCAAGATATAGAAGACAAGGAGATCGCTGTAGCCACCTTTCTAGCCATTGAGGGAAAGTTCAGCGCGTGAGCAAATTTTATTACGAGAGCGCTAGAAAGGCGGATAGCTCCAATGGCGCTATGTAAATTTTGCCGCTAGAGGGCCTCTATTCTCTGGGATATGCAGACGATTTAGTCATTGGGGTACTAGGAAAAGCATTAAACCAGTAAATCGGAATAAAGTGACGCTGTCATAGGTGCCAGGGCACGAAAGGCACAAAGGTAGCGAACGCCTCGACGAAGTAGCCCGTGAAGGCTCGTCAAGGTGTAAGATAGGACCAGAAGCCTTCCGGTAATGGTAGAGAGAGAGACGTGCTAGCACAAAAACAGGAAAAGGAATTCCTAAGAGATCCATTGGCCAAATTTACAGAAGACGTGCTAAGCCACGTAACAAAGTTCGTAAGAATAATGACAGGTCTATTGGCAGGACATACCAGGCTTAAGAGACATCTGAGCCTAATGGGCGTAACAAAACTAGAGGCAATGAGCTACACCAGCGAGCCGCTATTGAAGTTGTGCAGTTTGGTCACAGAGACGAACCTGGCTATAGCTATGGAAAGAGTCACAATAGATATTCTGGGCCATGAATCTGAATCTGAATCTACTTTTTTTTCCCAGTTGTCTAGTATTGATGGCTTAGCTGGACTTTTATTAGTAGAAGGATCAGGTAAAACAGATACGAACACCAGTGATATCGACAAAGACTGTTCTTCAAAACTACAGCTCCTCAATTCGGACATAACGAATAGTCAGTGCATTTGCATTGTAAAATACTATTTAAAATTTAGAAAAATCGAGTTATGACCTTCCGATGAACATTAACATACACAAATTTGAAAACAAACGGTTTGTCATATTTCACTCACCGATTTCTTCTCCGAATGAAACAGCAGCAACTGCGAGGGTCGCCATGGCTTGATTCATTGTATAGTCCCACACCTCTTTCTTGCTTTTTCGTTTATTTTTTTCTTTTGGCGGTGGATCCGTGCTGGGCACCTTTTCCCCAATCATGCGAAGCAATTTTTGAACGATTAGCACATCTCCAGTGCCCGCATACGAACACATAATCAACATGGTTTGCATTGTGGACTTAAAAGGTTCCATAAATACTTCGATCGCGTTATTAGGAACCTCGATCAAGTCTCGTTTGCCAAAATAACATATTGCCAAACCAAATCCCATTAATTTCATATGCGGAGATTTGAATATTTCGGGATCCACGTCGATCAGTTCTATCATTCTGTTTAGAATGGCAGATGGGACGTCGTTGTTGTGGCCGCCTAAGCTGATTAGACCACAAGATACACTGATCAACGCCAAAATTTCAATTGAGCGCGTCAGGTTTAATATAGGAAGAAGTTGCTGGATTACATCTTCTCTCTGACTACCTGCGCACGATTAAGTAAATTTTATGTTGGATTTGGTGACACAGCCAGCGAATAATGCCGCAAACCAAAATGTCAATGTCGAAACTAAAATACATTCTATAGCGATATAAAAATTTCAAATTTTTTGTCAAGCGTTAAAGCCCTTAAATTAATTAAAGAACGTGGGCTGCGTGAAAATAGGGCGTGGCCTCGCCTCACAATCGGAGCGCTTTTAATTGCCACAAATTTATGAGTAATAATTTAAAATGAGCGGAGTACTTTGATAAATACTTCAGGAATAGTATATTATGCAACAAGTGCGGTAAAAGTTTACCGAACGTTTTGCATACTATACTTTTTCTACGACCGTTAGTTTTTGGGGACATTTTCGCAAATCAAAACGAATACATTCAGTCACATGACCGTCAGAACTGACAACAGAACAAACAATATCTCCGAAAACATCCGAATGCTCCCAAACCCGTGCGGTAAAATCCCGGAAATGTCCGAAGTGGCTCGGATACGTGGGAAACGAATCTGACGTGGTAAAGTGACGCTTCCCGCACGATAGATCGGTGTGTAATTAGGTATTTTACATACTCCCGTCTGTAAAAAATCTAATTACACACCGATCTAGCATATGGGAAGCGTCACTTTACCACGTCAGTTTTCACTTCGGACTTTTCCAGGATTTTATCGCACGGGTTTGGGAGCAATCGGATGTTTCTGGAGATTTTACCGCTCTGTTGAATTTTGACGTTTGTCAATTCCGACGGTCATGTCAGTGGCTGTATTAGTGTTGTCTTGCGAAAATATACCCAAAAACTGACGGTTGTTGAAAAAGTATAATGTGCAACATGTTCGGTAAACTTTTTAAGTCACTCGTTTATTAAATACTCGCTCCGCTCGTGCCAAATAAACTCATAAGTCAAACGCCGTTTGCCGCACTTGTTGCATAATATACTATTCCTTTATTGGTTTTACTAAAGTTTCAATATATATTTCTGACGATTTTTTCCCTGTTTAGAAAAGGCAATATATTTAGTCTTATTAATATTAAGGGATAATTTAAAAGTGTCCAAAAACGTTTTTAGTATTTTTCAACCATTTCCCATTTTCACCTTCACACCTTTCCAAGAAGTCACAATCATTGTGTAGCCTGCATAGAAAACAACCCTGCCTCCCACGTCCAACTTTCCTATTTCATTTATATATACATTAAATAATAGAGGCCCTAGCACAGTTCCTTGCGGTATACCCATCACTCAAATTCTATGCTTCTCAAGTATACATTTTCGCAAAATACGAATACATTCACTGACATGACTGTCAGAATTGACAAATGTCAAAATTCGAGGCGTGGAAATATCTCCGAAAATATCCGATTGCTGCCAAACCCGTGCGGTAAAATCCCGAAAATGTCCGAAGTGGCTCGGATTCGTGGAAAACGAAAATGACGTGGTAAAGCGGCGCTTGTTGTGTGCTAAATGTGGGTGGGAAAACCGTTTGTCTCCACGAGGCTATTAGAAAATTGACGATAGTTAAAGAAAAGTGCAGGACTCTCCGATTATATATAACAGAAAAACATGCAAAATTGTTGTTTAAAACTTATGTGTGTTACGCAAAAATCGTGAAAATTCATTTTTATTTTAAAGACGGTACGAGATAGGTAGGCATAGGAAAGCATGAACAAAATTGTGCTAGCTTCTCTCCTAGTATTGAAAATGAAAACCACGTTTCTAGAACTCCCATACACATTTTTTGTAAGTTTGGCTTTCCGTTGACTTAAAGCACGGAACTATTAAGATTTCTTTAAGGGTCCAAATTGTTTAAACATCTAGAAAATTGTTTTCTACTGCCATATGACATAAGACATAGAAAACCTGGACAAAATCTACTTTATTTCTTGCGTAAAATCTAAAAATGAAATGATATACGAGGTGTGTTCAAAAAGTTAACTTTTAAGTTTAATGAAATAGTATATTTTGCAACAAGTGCGGTACACGGCATTTGACTCACGAGCGGAGGGAGTGTTAAATAAACGAGTGACTTAAAGTTTATGGGTACATTTTCAAAAAAAAAAAGCGAATACATTCACTAACATGAAATTCAACGCGTGGGAAATATCTCCGAAAACATCCGATTGCTGCCAAACCCGTGCGGTAAAATCCCGGAAATGTCCGAAGTGGCTCGGATTCGTGGAAAACGAAACTGACGTGGTAAAGCGGCGCTTCCCACGTGCTAGATCGGTGCGTAATTAGGTATTTTACAGACGGGAGTAGAAAAAACTATTTATAGGCATACTTTCTAATCCGAAAGTGACAGTTTAGCAGATGTTTATTTATTTATTTTTTAAATTATTATTTATTTTCTTGTTTTTTATATTTTTACTTAAGTATTTCATACGGAATAAAAATTTAAGTTTGCCAGAGTACTTTACTAACCATATTTTTTTCTACGTAGATACTTATTCTAAAAAATATATATTATTTAGAGGATTCCCAAGCGCATTTTTTAGTTAGAAAATTTATTTCTGTATTGATAAAATTAATACATATTATATATTCATAAAATACAAATTATTAAATTAACAATGGATTTCATAAATTTCAACTGGCTTTTGTATTGCCTTAAACTACATCTGCTCATAGTTTTTTTTACAAAAAGGCCTTTCCTTAACAGTTTCACGGTTGCGTGTTGTGTACCTTGCTTTTTTATAAAATTAATTTTATCATTAATTTATTTTCTCATGTGAAACTAAGAACCTCTAGTGTCAAAGTCTGGTACATTTGAGTAATCTGCCTTTATAAATCCCGTTTCAAGTGAATACTTTACCAAAACACTTAAACAACAATATTCCTATAACATAACTAAATAGGCACAACGAACGGTCGATGCTTTTTTGAATTTAAATACCTTCAAAATAGATAAAGCTAAAAGCCTGAAATTTTTATGGTTAGTTTTAATGATAAAATAGTGTCGAATTAAGTGAAAAAAAAACTCCAAAAGGGAATGTAAACAAGCCTATTCTTTAAAGTCCAGACGGACGTATTTTGTTTCTCCCAAGACAAATAAGTTTCTCATAATAAAGTTTTTATTTCTGGAACACCCTTTATATATTCACACGTCAGTTCCATATTTTATAGGCATATCAAAAAAGGACTATTTAGTTCTTTTCAAGTTTAAATGTATTTAAAAACTGCTTCACTTTTTAACTGTTATACCACTAATTATTGTAAATTGTTGGCTTCATAAAAAAAAAACAAGATTGCAAAACCGCGCCCTTTTCACTCTAATAACAAGCAAGTTTAAATTGGTTATACCTGCGTAAGCCAGTCCTAATCCGAGGATCGAACCAATTTGCAAAGTTTTGTTGGCATTGTTAACATAATCTCCTAAAAGGGCGAGTGCAGGATCACATTCATTTCTTACTTTGCAGTTGACTATGCCTAGTGCCAACAAAGCCCCGGCTTTAATGTAGTCTTCTGAAGTATATAAATACTTATCGATAGGAGTTAGGCCACCATCGACGTCCCATAAATGGACAAGACCCAACGAAGCTGTAGCACTCAACATACCCTGCTCTACAAATTTTTATATATTATTTAAGGTATTCAGATATATTATAGTTCACACAGAATATTCGGCAAATGGAAAATGCTAAAAACCATTTCGGTGGATACTAAGTCAAGGGAAAATATTTGCTATTTCAAAAAGTGTGCCCAACCTAAACAGAATGAATGTTATACTGCTAACACACTAATATATTTTTATTTTATATATAATCATTTTAGCCACAATAGCATTATTTTCGCCAAAAATGATTTGTTGCTGATGTTAAATATTTTTCAATTTTCAGAACTAACTTACCTAACTACCCATATATTTTCCTTTGTTTTTGTTTGTTATACCTTTGTTGCGATATATCCATTTGTTTCCGCTATCTGTAGACAACAAAACGTCGGTGCCAAATCCAACATTAACAAATCCGTTCACAAACGACGAAGCTAAATTTTGTTTGGCGCTGTCCAAGCTTTCACCCAAAATCTGAAGCCGTGGAGTAACTGGTTCTAACCATGTCTTATAAACTGCTTCAGGACTTTTTGGCTCCGTTATGTCCAACTGTTTGACATTTATTCATGTTTTTCAGATAGTACAACAAAAATATACACTTTTAACATACCTCTTGAGCCAGCTTATGATAACAGGAACTCAATAAGTTATTGTTTAAAATGTTGTTTAGCTCATCACAACCTTCCATATCGGTATTTGCTTGAAATGGATATAAATGTCTTGCACATATAAATGCTAATTGGTATCTGATAACTCTACGAAGTAAAAAAAAGAAGTTATTATTATTATTATTATACCCATATATACTCCTGAAATCCTCAAAGCACTGGGGGGTACTAGCATTGAAGATTTCAGGAGCGTGTGTGGGTACCATGAGACGTTAAAGATCAAAAAAATAAACGAATATTTCTGAAACAGACTTTAACCTATCAATTATGTCGATATTTTTGTGGCACATATACTATACATATGTATAGTATAATATATACTGCCATCAGTTTCAAAATTTAAGTAAGAAATAAATTTGTGTTTATTTATAAACCTTTAGATAAACAAAAAATGTGAAATAGACGTTAATAATTTGCCTACTTGTCTTTGCACTGCGTGAACACATCTTTTACCCATTCCAAATTTTCTGTTTGGAGGGCTATGGCAAGTGCTCTAGAGTATTCCTCAAATTTCATATATTGCTCGTAAGTTATTTGCATTATTTTCTTTCTTTCAATATTATCGACATACTTCATGCAAGAACTTAAATACGAACATATCTTCTGATAGTTGTTCGATGCAACGTAATTAGAGAGCATCGCTAATTTATCAATTTCCATAAGTAGGTCGCATGCTTGAATTTCTGCTCGAAGGTCACAGTTGAAACGGACAATATCGTGAATAAGCGGCATTAGCATTTTATCGCTCACGCTACAATGGGATAAGGTCCATTGTTGCACAATTTCGGTTTCTAATTGACTGATGTACTCATGACCCCAATCGCCGATATTTTGCATCGTACCTACAAGATAGCTTATAGATAGAGAAGAGCAATCGGCGCGGAATCCACAATGTGTTGTAAGAGGAGGTGCTCTATCGCTCTAAAATATTTTTAAGTATGCAATGTTGCCGCTTCTGTATAATCGTGGCAACATTTTACTTAGTTTAAATGGCACCCCTTATACGAGGTGTGTTCAGTCAAATATCGATCTTCGATATATTTTTTGTTATGCTGGTACACATGTCCCTAACAAAAAAGCTTATAAGTGGTACAAGCTGTTCCAAGATGGCCGAGATGACGCCGATGACCAACCTCGCTCTGAATGATCCAGTACGTCAATAACTGATTAAAGCGTTGAAAAAGAGTCGAATCACTATTAGAGAAGTGGCTGAAGATATCGACATCGCTATTGGCTCGTGCCATGCAATTTTTTCCAAAGTTTTTTCCAAAATTGTTCCGAAATTGTTTAATTTTGAACAAAAGAAAAGTCGAAGGAGCATCGCTCGAGAGCTGTTAAACGACGTCAGTGATATCCTGATATGTTCAAAAAGGTCATAATTGGTAACGTATATGGTTATGAAGTCGAAACCAAAGCCCAATCGTCCCAAGAACCCAGAATCGCCAAGACCGAAAAAAGAACCTCAAGTTCGATCAAATGTCCGGAATTGTAGGAATACATTTAATGGATTTTGCATCACGACGGTGCACCTGCTCACTCATCGTTGCTTGTGACTAATTTTCTGGCCAAAAGTAAAACCAGAATCATGCCTCAGCCACCAAATTCACCGTATATGGCCAACTGCGACTTTTTTTGTTCCCCAAACTCAAGAAACCCACGAAGGAAGGAGGTTTGGAACGATTGAAAAGATAAATAAAATATCGCTTAAAGAACTCAAGGATATACCAGAAGTGCTTCGAGGACTTGAAAAAACATTGGCACAAGTGTATTGTATCTGGGGGGGACAACATTAATCTTGATGAATAAGTAAATACTTTCTTCTACTTCCATCTGTAAAATACCTAATTGCACATCGATCTAGGATGCGGGAAGCGTCACTTTACCACGTCAGTTTAGTTTCCAACGGATCCGGGTCACTTCGGATATTTCCGGGTTTTTACCGCACGGGTTTGGGAGCAATCGGATGTTTTCGGAGATATTTCGCACGCGTTGAATTTCATGTTAGTGAATGTATTCGCTTTTTTTTTTTGAAAATGTATCCATAAACTTTAAGTCACTCGTTTATTAAACACTCCCTCCGCTCGTGAGTCAAATGCCGTGTACCGCACTTGTTGCAAAATATACTATTTCATTAAACTTAAAAGTTACCTTTTTGAACACACCTCGTATATCATTTCATTTTTAGATTTTACGCAAGAAATAAAGTAGATTTTGTCCAGGTTTTCTATGTCTTATGTCATATGGCAGTAGAAAACAATTTTCTAGATGTTTAAGCAATTTGGGCCCTTAAAGAAATCTTAATAGTTCCGCGCTTTAAGTCAACGGAAAGACGAACTTACAAAAAATGTGTATGGGAGTTCTAGAAACGTGGTTGTCATTTTCAATACTAGGAGAGAAGCTAGCACAATTTTGTTCATGCTTTCCTATGCCTACTTATCTCGTACCGTCTTTAAAATAAAAATGAATTTTCACGATTTTTGCGTAACACACATAAGTTTTAAACAACAATTTTGCATGTTTTTCTGTTACATATAATCGGAGAGTCCTGCACTTTTCTTTAACTATCGTCAATTTTCTAATAGCCTCGTGGAGACAAACGGTTTTCCCACCCACATTTAGCAATATTTCTATAACCATATGAAATTTAAAAAATCTAACATAAAACAAATACTGGCCATTTAAAATTTTATACGTATTAAGAGAAAAGAAACAAATAGTCTTCCATTACCACTTTGAAAGACTCGACATATTCGTAACGTGGAAAAACCATTTAAATTTTATATTGACACTCCAATCAAGGAAGAACCAACTGCAACGCGTGGTTACTTGCTAGACTATAGTAACTACGAAATCAATGAGAGCAATAATCAATAGGCAATCGTTGATATCTCAAAGAATATTTTAGTTAATTAGTGCCTAGTGATCAATGAATTTTTTTTTCGGAAACATGCTCGAACATGTCGATTAGTATTTTAAATAAGACTCTTAAGCTGAATTAATTGTTCAACTTTCAAAATTAGTCTTTATAGCCTTTATAAGATTGTCTTGCATTAAAAGAAGCAAACACAATTTGAAATACTATTCGACTTGTCCGAGCATGTTTCCTTAACGTAAACTCTCCTGAAAGTGTTCCAAAAGCTTTTCCCGGTAAAAAAAGACGTATCCTTACCCATTAGACAATACTTCAGACAGTCGCGATGGTTTTCAGTTTCGTTGGTCCCCAGAGTTCCCAATGCCAAGACGGAAATGACATCGGCCAAGGCACGTTTTGCATTATCGTTCGTCATTTGGTTGTGAGTTTCTTTCAAGAGATCATAGTGCGGTGCCAAATATTTAAGCGGTTTTGGTACCGATGTCATTGACGCAGTAGAAGTCCGAATCAGGAATTTCAACATTTCAAGAGAAGGGGCGATCAGTTTGTTATCGTTGCCCTTGAATTTTTAAATACCTATTTCCATATATTCTATTTGAAATTCTGGGACGAACCCCTCGCTGACGATCCTCCCATAATACAAAAATTCAAAATTTCAAGTTAAGATTATTAATCATCATTTACTGACGCAAACAAAATAGTTTACCCTAATTATTTCCTTTCTGACAATATGAATGAGTCACAATTATTTATTAACTTCAAAAATTCCTCGTTCATCTTATTTTCCAACTAAATTACAATTACAAAAATTAGCCTCGTATAGTAACCATTTTTCTCAAATACAATATAAACGCATTTGTCGTCATTTTCAAGATATAACCAATTTATGGAAATATTCGGACGGATAGGGTATCTTGGGACACACTACCGTATCTCTGGCAGTTTTCTTTTATATTTTTTTCTGTATGATAAAAATTATTGATTTTCATAACCGTAAAATTGGAAATAAAAAGATTTCGAAAATATAAAGGATTTTCAAAGACGTTTAATGCATTCTTAATAATAATAAATTTAAAACATATACCGGCTGTCCAAAAAGTATGGAAACTGTGGAATATGTGGAATTACACAATTGATAAATAAAGTGCCTTTAAATATTGAATAAAAAAACTTTTCAACGACACCAAAAATGACCCTACCCCCATCTTATTTTTTTTATTATATACTAATCTACGCAACAAAAGCTTTAGGTTTTGTTCGAAGTTTTCTTTTGGATTATTGATAAATAGCGCTGTAATCGCATTTCATCATATTTGTCAAGAAATACACGGGTTATTTAGATTTTTTCTAATCCCTCCTCTCCTCCTCCACATTACGCTAGGCGTGGCAAAATGTCACTTAAAAATGTTAGCTTCATTAAACATTCTTGCGACTCAATTCGTCACTCGTTTTCCAAAAATATTTCCAAAACGTAACGGTCGGTAGAAAAACTGTTAGTAATAGTGGGTATTTTAGAGACTGAGAGTTTCATTTAAGAGTTGAAAGTTGGCCCCTCCCATCCACCAATGAGTTGTGGTGGGAGATTATTATTTAGCAGTTTTTTTTTAATATTTGAAGACATTCATTTGTTTTTTGATTGAAGATAGATAATTCGCTTTAAATTTAAAAAAATGACGGGAAAAATTAATTAAATCTTAAATAAAATAAGTAAAGAAATTCAATGTTGTAAAATGGCAATGTAAGGTATATTGAATTTAAGAAAAATGTGGTACCTATAAATCGCTAGAATATTCGAGAGTGACATTTTAGACAATTTATTTGATAAATTAAAAGATTTGTGCAGACCTGAATGATAAAAACAACGAACCGCCTTTTTTTGATTTCGGTGAACCAAAAATAAACGGACTGTATTTTCATAGTAATTCGCGATTCACAATGAAAAATAGGTAGCGGCGGCAACATGGAAAAATCGCGGACAATTGAATTGTCTAATGGTTGCTTACATTTTTGCACAATAACCCGTACTTTGTGCCATTTTCCTTCTAAACTGAGATCCTCGCACACTGAAGTCGTTTTTTCCTTTAAAATTTAATAGGATCTGGCAAATACTGCCGAAAAATGCCACATCCAATTTGTAAACGGATCTGTCAGCGGGCAGGTTGATTGTTGAACGCAGTGAGGTTTTATTGTTGTTGTGTTGTTATTTGACCAAAACAACCAACTGCACCAGATTTGACAAAATTTTATTATTTATATTGATATAACTTTCCGTTGCTAATAAAGACACCGCTCTATTGGTCAGAGTTTGGGAACCTTGTCTCAGCCGACTTTCTTTTTAATTTTATTAAGATAAGGGAAATGGCTACGAAACACGGTAGGTAAGTGTCCGAAAGTTCGAGCTATCGAGTTAAAATTCGGCAGGAATTTAGAGTTCGATACCCACATGAAACTGGGCGGGATCGGAAGGTCCGAAGTACTTAAAAAAAATGATTTTTTTTTCGGGGCCAAAAATAAAATATTTTCGCAAAAATAGGAAAAAGTCTTACACCCGAAAAGAAGCGCCAGATTTGGGGCAATAACCCGGAAATACGGTTGACCCAAAAATATACAAGGTGTCCCGGTTATAAGGAAGTTAATTATTAGCCCTAACTGAGGTACCATGGCAAAAGGTGCCGTTTGGTTTGAGCCGACTTTTAGGTCACCGCGAGGGCTACAATTTTTGCCGTTTTCGTCATTCATACAGAGTGTGCGAGATACGGACCGGAGAGCATTTAGTTGAAATTAAATATTACCTTATAACTTGATTACCGTAACGGATGGGCCAATATGGGTTTAACGATTGTGTAGACGATTACCAGGGCTACCATTTTCGCCTATACCATTTTTACATATGTAGTAGAACTTGAGCGATACATTTCCTGTTCCTGCTTAAAACGATAATGCCGGCAAAAAATGACGAAAACTATAAACATTTTTCAATTCAGGAGGAATATTTATTTTGTTTGCCAAGTAACACGGATGACATTGAGTGTTCGGTTTTCGGAGAACGAAGTAAAAGAACTTGGTACTCGACTATAAGAACTTACAATTTACGTTTTAGATATATTTGAGCCAGATCCACAGGAAATTAAAAGCATTTCTTTTTTCAATTGAAGCACCCTATATTTTCTTTCAAATTCGGATCCTTTGGAAGATTTTAAATAACTTTTGTTAATATTTACCTATAAATAGTTGCTGTTATAGTAATATTGTGACGAAGCAAAAAAATTATTTTGTTTTTCTTGCTTTGTTCAATGCAAGGATGTAAAAAAATACTTGATTTAGTATAGTTGGCAGATATATTATATAGGAAGTTCCGAGAATGTGCGAAGCTATCCTCTAGGCGGTCTATGCTTTAAAAATTAAACTGAGGTGGATTTTACTTAATGAAAATCCATTTAAGAAAATAAATAAGAACTAAAAGTTCAGATTTTCACGAAATTATATATTTTGTCGAAACAATTGTGATGTGAAAATATATAATTTCGTGAAAATCTGAATTTTTAGTTCTTATTTATTTGGTCTATGCTTTCTCGAAAGTTCCATAGTGGTCCGCAGGAGCACTATAAAAAAACAATGCGCCCCTCTAAAGAATCTTTCATATCTGGAAACACTATCGATGTGATTTCGAGATCTTGTTAGCTCCGCTGTTTCCTTTGTTCTTAAGTGTGATGTTCAGATCTATACAAAGCTTTAAATGTTAATTATTTTGATAAAAGAAATTAAAACAACTATTTTTAATACATATTTTTCTCACGCGTGTGGAAGTTACCCAGTGCGAACGAGTGTGGTAACCTGACAGTTAATATGTGGAAAAAAAATTTTGGATGCTATAATTTAGTATTCGAATTTAGTATTCGAAGTATGTAACCAATTATTCGCGTATTTGGTTAGTTACTATTGGCGAAGATAAAAGAAATGATTCAATTTCGTCAGTTCTGATTCAACAGGCTTTTTGCTCACTGTTTTAGGCAAAATTTAATGCAATTAAAAAAAAAGTAATTGGTGTATTTTTACTCACAGTTATTTTTTCAACGAGATTATTTAACTCGCTTTGAAGTTCCTTATCTTCTTCTGCCTAAAAAATTACCCACAGTTTTATTCGATGTCCATTTCTAATAAAAACGTTTTAATCTTTAAAAAATTATATCAAAAATTAATAATACCTTAAAATCGAGTATGACTAAAATAACTTCAAAAATTACGGTAACCATTATTTGCTGTACATCGAGGTATACAGTAATTCCTTTGACTTTAAACAATAAGTGAATAACCTTTTTATGGAAAACTGTATGAAAAATATTATTTTTACCCAAATCACTTAAGATATTGTCATAAAAAAAGTTAACATCTTTTGACTTGAAAATTACAAAAATAAGTCATTTGTTTTATACTGATTTAAATTCGGCTTTTTGTTTTTGGTTTACCAATCTTGTCTAGTACATACTGTTAAATCAAATAATGTTTGCGTGCAATATAAATTCAGGGAACTTCAGAATGTGTGTTCTTAAAATACCCGAAGTACGTTTGAGGCAAATGTTTGTGCAAAACGTGGAAAATCGGAGTGTTTTGCAACTGCCCCGCTTATGCGCAAATAACTAAAAGCATTCTAACCGGGGTCGTTAGGCGATTCTATTTACATTCCAACCAATTTTGAAGTCTTAGAAAAATATCGTAATGGTAATTTCAATACTTGCTATTCATTGGGAGGGAACTGTTTGAATGGACATGCGCATTGATTTATTGATTTAACGATATAATAGTATGGTGACGATGGTAGTAATATCTTGTTAAAAACGATTATAAATATTTTAAATATTTTTTGGATAGAACACATCTTAAATTAGCTAAATTATTTCGCTTCCCATTGCGATCTTTTAGGATATATACTAAATACTAGATATATAGAGGCTCTGTCTAATGCTCATAATACAGGAACTTTTTAAGTGACCATGAAAGAAATGTTAGGAAGGGTCATTCAAAATGCGCAGGCGCGGTCATTTCAAACTTAGTTTTTAACCAATGTTTTAAATGAACCAATAAGAAACTCCGACGATCAACAATCAATATGGCCGCTGACCGATTCACGGCGTTATTGTCTAATGGTCCCTATCACATTATTTTTTGAATTTGAATTTTTGAATGTTTTTTGTATGATGATATTTACAGAATTATTTATGCGAGATAATCCCCAATTATTTAAACTAGCGACTGTGATTTAATAATTATAAAAAGTAGTTTTTATTTACTTATTTTTTTATTCAGTGCTAATTATAGTACAGCTTCTACTGAAGGTACATGACCTGGTTGTCCTAGCCCTAGCCAAAATGTGGTGACAGAGAAAGATTTGTTTCTGCAACAAAAAACACAAAGGTGGGTCATTCTGAAATAGTTTTCAATAAGTGTGGAGACCTTTAGAATCTAAGAATTATAGCAAGTTAAAAATTTTCTAATCCTTTTCATTTCATATTTGAATGCTATACTGGAACGGTTCTAAAACAACGATAATTATTGAGCGTATATTTTAGTTGATAACAGAAAATGTGGTGTATTTCTTGTATTCTGTTATGCTTTAGTAACAAAGTTTAGGACAATAAATAAATTTTGTGAGCAGTTTGAAAATAAGATGCCGCTGCTTTTACTGCTTATGTGATTCACATGAATAATAACAAACGGTTAATGACGTACACGCAACCATAATTTGATTTAAGTTATGTTACTCTGTAATCAATTGATCAGAAATCTTCTTCGGCTTGGCCACTCAAAAATATTGCTCAAACAATTATTTAGGAAATGTTCATATGCAATGACGTGAAACAATTAAGGTGACGTTTTAGAAATAATTGATACCCTTACCTCATCTTTAAATGAAGATCTTACATTCGTTGATACCATTTATACGAGACAAAAATATCTTATTGTTTTGTAGGCACCAAAAAATGATAGATTCTGACAAGTGATATTGTCTTTTGTTTTTTCTGATCTAAAATATTTAGCCTACTCTAGAAATGTAGCTGATTTGTAATCATAAATTGGTGGTAATATTTAAAAACTAGTATGATTTAGTTCCTTATGTGGGGTATTAATACATATACACCAAAATGACCAACTAATCCAAATACTGAATAAAAATTCCAAAATATAGCAATACACATTTTCTATGATAAAAAACCGCTCAGGCCAGAGACAATTCTTTAACCTATTAACACAGAATATTTTATTATTTATTAGTTGTCAGTGCTGTTTGGTACTTGGGGTTTGATTCTCTTATATATATAAGAAGCCGTTACATGTTGTGTTATGTTGCCGGCTTTATTTGGTTAGTTTCTGCTTTTTTGTTCTTAATTTCAGAGAGAGACCACGTACAACATAACAGAAGACCGCCTTCTCTGCTATGGCATAACCAACCCCAAGAAATTATTATCTATGGCTCACACATAGAAAAATTTTAGAAATGAGCGAGCGCATTTGGTATTTTTATTTTTGTTCAAATTATTTGGTTATTAGTTTAGGAAATAGCAATATACATTTAATTTGATGACGCAGAATGAGTATATTTCATGACGAAATAGAAATTGAAGATTTTGATTACGACGAGGAGGAGGAAATATATTATTACCCTTGCCCTTGCGGAGATAGGTTTCAAGTTTCGAAAGTAAGTTTCGAGGTTATGTTTTAAATTTGTGTGTCGCTAAATGATATTTCTTCCTCCTAATCACGACAGAGAATCTTTTTTATCAAATTCAATTCGATTTTAGGACGAACTTTTGGAAGGTGAGGAAGTTGCTACCTGCCCAAGTTGTTCCTTAGTTATCAAAGTGATATATGATAAGGTAGTTTGATTTATCTAATATATACCAACAGTATAATTCAATGTTTTCGTTTTAGGAAGCGTTTCAAAAAGAGCAGGCAGAATTACAGTCGCTCCCAAACGATTTGAAAAAATCTCAAGTTGTTAATTAAAAATGATTCGTGGTGGACGAGGCGGTAGAGGCGCAAATAGATCATTTAATAGAGAGCAACTAAGTGCTTTAGGTGTGGGTGGCAATGATGTTCTGCCAGTTCTTGTTACCCAACCACCTCCATTATTTCCTCTACTGGAACGTCATCCAATACCTTTGCTGGTAACTATTCCTCACAAATTCTATTTGAATGTGCAATTGCTCATTTTTATAATCATGAAAAGTTGAGAATTTGTTTTCTCAAGAAAAAAATTCTATTGAAGGAAACATTTGTTAAAACATCTCTGCTGTTGTTTTTTTGCTACATACAATTTACAAGTTGAATGTATTCTTGAGTGTGTATGTGTATGTAATCAAGGGAGTTTTGCCTTAATTTTTTTATCTATATTTTTAGACATCTTTAGAAATGGATTACCTTCTCCTTTTAAAGCAAGATTTAATGGATCATATGCAACTCTCACCCTGTTATTTGAAAATGCCAGAAAATAAAAAAAGTCAACCCGAACAAGAAATTGATAAATTAGTGGCTCAGTTACCAAATGCTAAAGAAAAATATAATTGGAAACTATTGCCGGTTGAGTTGAGACCAAAAGTTCTAGCAAAACGGATGAAAAAAAAGGACATGCCACAGGATGTGAATGTTGAAGAGAAGTATGTATATAATATATACACTGGCCAAACTCACTAGTGCCTTCCTGATTTTGTATCCTATTATGTTATAGACAGTATAAGAGGAAAAAAATAACTCAACTCAAATTTGTTTGCTATTTTCCTGTCATAAACATTTAAAAAATAATGTGCGTGGCATAAATATACTTATTTGTGGTAGTTACTTAAGTATATGTGTATTGTCACTCTGTTTAAATCATTTTGCAAAAATGCATTACAAAAACTAATTGTGCCTGATTTAATTGTTATAGATTGGAAGTTTTGGAAAAGATGGAAGAATCTGTCAAAGGAGAAACAGTAAATGGCAAAGAAACAGAAGAAACAATGGATGCAGAAATAGAGGAAGCTGATGATGAAGATGAGGAAATGGACGATGGAACAGATTATGTGCATAATTACTTTGACAATGGGGAGGCCTATGAGGATGAAGATGATAATCTTGATGATGGTCCCATTTATTAAACTATTTTTCGTAGAATAGATATCTACTATAATAAAAGAACTATTGATCAATTAATTTGTTGAGGTTTTTTTGCAACAAAAAAAATTATATAAAAATTACCAAATTTAAGATTCCAATAAGAGGTTTTAAATGTGTTTTTTTGCTACTCTTATCTCAAACTTTATATAATTCCATTTTTAGTTTATTGTGGAATTCAGTGCAATTTTAGCAATGGAGCGCTCTCAGTAGAACAAAGAGTTTACATTGTTCAAACATTTTCAACATAGGTCTTCTATAAGGGTCACATTTTGGAGAATTCGTGAATATTTTGGTGTACACAAAGGTCCCTCAGAAGTAACCATATACAAAATAGTGCAGAAATTTGAAATTATGGGATCTGTGAAAGACATCCAAACATCCAAACAAAAATCTGGAAACGTTCTGCTTGTTTTGTTTGAGAATATTCAGGCGAATCAGACGAATAATTCATGACATACCTCAAAAAATTGTATATTATCCAACTACCCACTGCCATAAATCATATTAAAAATCGTCCGGAAATAAATAATTTCTGCCAGTACAAGATCTTATAAAAGTTTATTTCCAAACCGTTTGTTTACAATTATAATATAAGCTATAACATATACATAACAAAAAATATAAAACTTTATGAATAATACAGAAAAGCCCTCAATCAATGGTTGTGCCCTTTTTACTTAAAACTTTTTTGTCTGGAATAGTCGCAATAGTTTAACAATCACAAATAGGTACTAGATTTCTAAAGGACTTTCTACCATCATTCACCTCTTACAAGTACATTAACAAAAATTATCAAGAATTCACAGATGTCACATACCCCATAATCTATTTCTTTCTTATCACCCACCTATTTACTAATAAATTCGCGATAAAAGGCCAAACAACCATAAAAATAACAATATGAGGCGATAAACCTCCAAAAAGCCGCCACCTTGTCAATTCAAATCTACTGATTTGTTCTACATTATGTATTTGATTCTTGAGCTTTTCTATATCGGACTTAAGATTCTGAATCGTCTTTGACACTTCCTGGGATATATCTGTCATGCTATTTTGCGATCTGGTTCGTGATCTTGAAATATGCTGTACCGTTCCATTGGGTATGCTAATTTCTGATGAAACCAAAGGCTCATTGCTACCATATCTCCTAGGTTCAGGGTTCTGAAAGAATGTATTCAAAGAGAGAAAAAAAAAACGGAGATAGAAAATACCTCTATAGTGTCAATGTATTCTTCATCACTGTGATCCGATTCCTGTACAAGAGCAGGTGATGCTGACCGTGAAGATGCTATACTTGATATAAATCTGATTGGTGATCCTTCCCTTGATGCTGTACATATATTGTTTTTTTTAGTAAATAAAACCAATATTTCAGTTAAAGTTTCTTGGGGACAACCTTGTAGTTTTTCTTACACCCAACTAATATTGCAATTTTTTGGGTATATTTGATACAAAAAATTTTATATTCTCAATACCATTTTCATATTGCCAACATATTGTAAACCATATTTTTTAAGTCAAAAGTTTATTTAAATTTATTCTTGTATACTAAGGGTTAATGCAAAGTATTACATTGGCTATTACAACTGCTTTCAATTGTTGGAATCACTGTAATTTCTTACTTATACTTCCTATATCAGTTTGTTCTAAAATGAACAGTGGAGAGTGCTCTTACCACCAAAAGAAAAAGTTCATATAACAGCCCAACAAATACAAAAGTTAATAGATATTACATACAACATAGTGTCATGGAGTCATGTAAAATGTACGCAATATCTGTAAGACAAACTAGGAAAAAAACACTTGAAAATCCTTATTTTTCAATGATAGCTTTAAAATCTAAAAATAAAATCACTGTTGACTATTGATTGTGGTGATATTGGTGAAGGAGCGAGTGCAAATTATAGAGACATGAACTTTTCTTAATGATTTAAAAAATTCCAGGAATTGTTAGAATTCCAATTCAAATAGCACCATGCACAAATATTTGAGTCAGTAATCAAACAAACCTTGCAATATCTGGCAAACATGACTTGCAGGAAATAAAAATTTGTTAATTGTATTGTGGTCTTAAGAAATAACCAACTCTTTTGCAAAAGAGTTGCCAATGCAATTTTACCTAGTGGTGAATTAGGTTGTGATCTCACTCGTTCCAATACATCTCCAGCAACCAATTCTAAGTCATCAAAATTAATTGAATCCAATTCATTTGTAGGAGCTTCTAAAAAGTTTGCAACCTTGTCGGAGTAACTCATTGTCTCAACAATTCTGTAAGATTTCATCAGTTTATGTCTCTGAAGTAATTAAATGCACAAGAGCAGCAACTTACGCATGAAGTTCATCTACATATTTGGCCATTGCTTCTGCACTAGACATATCACCCAATTTTTTCCAGGCGTCATATTTGGCTCGACCTATTACATCCCAGAAAGCTGGTCTGGAGCCTGTACATGGACCTAAAGTTGCTTGTTTAAAGTAGGCGTAAAACCGTAGCATTAGTTCATTGCTGGGTTGATATGATCCTGAAAAGTGTTTTTGGTTTAAAAAACTCAAAAATACTAATAAAACAATGAAAATGTTTAATTGTTGAAGGTATTATTAATAACACTTTAAGATTTGTTTTCTAAGAATTGCAAATCTTGAATTCTTTGAAGCTTTATGGTGAAAAGCACAAAATCTTATTAGATCCAATCTATCCAATATATTTGATTTATACTTATAATGATTTCAGTCTTTCTAGTTTGCTTTGTCATCTTAGCTCTCTTATTCTTAGCATTCCTGCAACTTTTGATTAATTAATGAATATTATTTCAATCAAGAAAACAAATATATTCAAATTAATAAAAGCAAAAGTTCTAGCAAAACATGGAATGTTTGGAACGAATATAACTATAACTTCGCTTAAAGAATATTAATTAGTTCCTTTTTGAAGTCCAAATTTGAAAACGTAATGTTTTCATAACAATAAACAGGTTTTTAATATAAAGTAATATTTTATATGTATAAATATCAAGATTGTTCAATTCAAGAAAGCGAATTTACAATAATTATTTAAATGGTGGGGAAACCTATTACTAAGTTTTTATTTGAAATAAAAAACGAAATCTACTGTCATAACAGACCTTGACCCTAAAAAAAAAAGAAATGTAGTTACATGACATTAATATTTATGTTTCCGACATATTTTTATAATCTTCCTAATAATGGCAGAAAATAAAACAATTTCCAACCATTGTCCAACCAAATGCTTCTTGAAGTTTAATGTAAATTATTACGTAAATTCTAGGAGAAAATGAAAGCCACTTCAAAACATGCAAAGTCCAAATATTATTTACCATTTTTAGGCAAACTTCTAATAACATTCACTGCTGCATTAAATTTTTCTTCGGTAGTCATTTTTAAAACTAATTTTAATAAATGTATCACAGTCAACGAAAATCACAATAAAACATCTAGAATTTATAAACCCATCGCCGGAATTTCTGATTTCACAACAAAAGCAAAAAAAAAACGGTTCCGTCACATAATGACCATTGAACAAAGATAAAACGAACGGTAAGTTTTGGTCATCACCTCGAAATATAGAAAGGAAGCCCCTAAACAGAATAAGACATTTAGGATTAGAAATTCAAAAGATATTCATTTTAAACTAGTGGGATTATCTTTTCTTGCGAATTAGATAACAACGTAAGCGAAAGATTATAGTTACGCTTCAAAACAAGTTTCAAGTTTCATGGAATAAGACCATATAGCTATTAAAGCTATAGAGGCCATGTCCATGATTATAAGACAGGAACTCATGGAACAAATATGAAAAAAAAATTTAGAAAGTCCATTCAACATACGCATGCTCGTTTGTTAAAATGTCGTTATTAACCTTGCGGCATTCAACAACCAACATGGCCGCTGACAAATCGTCAATAAATTTGGATGGGGCATTTTCGAGTCAGTATTTTGTCAAAATATGCCTAGATCTGTTCTGGGAAAACGAGTTAATCCTGTGGACATCGCTGTTTAGAAATGACATGGCCAAAAGTGCATGTCAGTGTGTTGAATACAGAGGCATGAGCGAAAAATTATTACCTTCTCTACGAAAATATTAATGCCGCCTGCGACGCAGTCATTTTTACCGTAGTAGAGCCACAGTATTATCGAATAGGACATTCGACTCGTTTAAAATTTCGATGTTATTTTGACATTTACTGCAATAAATTTCGCGTAAAAGACAAGTTTATATTACAGATCATTAACACTGTCACACATCCGCTTTTGCGGTCAGCTGGGATTGGGAGGTAACTATCTGCTTTATATTTGGACGATTGGCCCTCTTCGAAACATGCGAGACAGAAACTCACTAAAGCTACGATTTTTAGCTTTTCAACTGGTTTACCTAAGAGAAACGTATCCGAGGCAAAATTGCGCAATTTGATGCTGAATAAAATGCCGGTTTGCATTTTGAAAAATTCCGAATTCTTCGGAAAATATTCGAAAGAAACAGAAATTTTTCAATTTTGGTTTCTATTGTCTGCTGGCCTTATTTGTTCAGATAATATAAAATGCATGGTTACTTTTTCTACTCTATCCCTCAGTACGATTAAATGTAGTATCTGATCTTATCCTTTTTAAATACGGACCTGTTTTTTTTTTCAATTTCACCTTTAAAACACTATATACTGTTATTTTATATTTGTCGAAGTTTCGTACAGAAAATTCCATCACCAGAATTTTTTTATATTTATTTAATCATAATACGGCCCTGAACTACATTTTTTAGTGAGAAGGTAAAAAAAATAAAATAAAATTATTACACTTTCGTGATGTTTTTATTGCAACTAATTGATATTTAACATCTGAAATTACTTTATTAACAGAAACTTTCATGAAATTAAACATGATACAAAAAAAGGAAACGACAAATCAGTTTGTATAAACAATTTGTGCTATTGTATTACGGTTAAATAAATATAACATTTTCTTGTAATGGAATATTCTGTACAAAACGACGGCAAACATTTAAAGAGACGATATATCGTATTTTTAGTGATAAAAGAATTTAATTCAATTAAAAATCAAGTCCGTATTTAGAAAAATTAAGTTCATGATGGTCGCCAAAAGCCGCCATACTGAGTTATAGAGCAGAAAAAGTGGCCTTGAAAATGTGTTTTTCCAAGAAACCAAAATTGAAAAATTCGGTTTTCTTTTCGAATATTTTTGGAAGGATTGGGAATTTTTTAAATGCAAAACGGCATTTCATTGACCATCAAATTGCCCAACTCTGCTTCCATTGACCCTGTATCTCTTCCGGTTTCCGAATCCCAATAATAAACGTCGAATTTGAGCCACCCTCTACAGTTACAGAAAATATTTGGATTTCTAGTCACAATATTCCATATTGTATTCGCGTCTGTTCAGTGGATTGGGTTCAAATTAAAAGTTTCCATAAAAATTGTACAAACAAATTCAGTTTTTCAGCTTTCAAATGTTTTCTATGCGCTTGCATTTGGAGCTTCAAAAATGTTTTGGTTGAAAAGATGTTCAGTTTCATTTTTTGTGCATCAGATGTATATAACAATTAAAACAAATTTAAAAGTTTACAACTAATTAAATCTAATTCTTCTAATATAAAATAGTTTTATTATACAAGGAGTTATGGTTCACACTAGATCTTTCTTTTAAACAAGCGACAAAACTTAAAACTTATTTTCGATTATTTAAAGTATATAATAGCACTATGGTAATATGGAGAATGAAATACAATATTTCTTCTCCATTATAATAAAAACCAACAGGATATCAAAAGAAAGACATACATATTTATTTCCACATTCAGGTATCCCTACTTTACTTCAAAGGCAACAGTGAGATTAAAACTGAAAATAAGGAGTTTTTCATCATCAATTTTGTCTAATAAAATTTAACTGGGCCTTAAAATTGTAACACAGATAATTTTTGAATTTATTGGATTGTTGATTAGATATACTCGTGTAACTTTTTTATTTTTTAAGTCACAAGGAATCTATTTTTTACTAATTGATAAAGAATATAGGGTATTTTTAAAAAGAATAAAAAAATGTACAAGCTTATCATTTTTTAACAGCCTGCACCGCTACCGTATATAGTGTTTTAAAGGTACATGGGGAAGACCTGCTTGATAATATACATGATTTGTGATCGTTTAAAGTTTATTTTAAGAAATAATTGTTTAAATAATATTGGTTTACCACAAATTTTTCTGATACGCCCTATAAAATGTTTTATCCTTATAAAAATACACTACTATATTCTGTACACTTTAGTAAACAAATATAGCTTAGCTTAAAAAAATTCATAGGGGAGGTCGGCATCTAATACGTAATCTTGTACTTTTAAGGTAAATATAAAATATTTTTAATTTTTAAAATAATGGCTATTTAGTAATTTTGGTTGAAGTGGCCCATTGCATCATCTTTTATCTTTAATTTCTATTGATTCCTTTAAACTTTTCAAATGGACTTAAGAGAGTAAGTAGCTAAATACTATAACAAATATTAAATCTGACTTTTAACATGCTGTATATTATTGAAGACCAAAGCCTGAAATTGCAGCTCTCTGAATGTGATCCCAAAAGTCACTTAAATAAAAATAAAGAAATAAAACAGATTTAAGTGCTACTGCTTTTATGTCTGCAATTAATAAATAAATGTAGGAAAAATATTTTTACTGCTTTAACAATTGCAGCCACATTAAGTTATCTAAAAAGTCAAATATGCTTCATATCTGCAATGTTACGATTTTTCTGCAATTTTGTCAGCCATAATTGCTTTAATATCTTCCGCATCCAAAGTTTCGTATTTCATTAATGCTTCTGCTAGCGCTTTATGTTCCTTTGCGTGAGATTTCAATATATGTTTTGCCCTTTCATAACTTTCCATTAAAATCCTTTTGATTTCATTGTCCACCTGTGAATAAAAGAGCATTATTATTTTAATCGACTCTTTAGAATTATATAATATTTAATAAATGTCTTTTAGATGGAGACAATATTCCCAAGAATTGGGGAATGGCATGTATCAGTTCTATTCACAAGAAAGGTTGTAAAAAAACATGTAGCAATTATAAGGGAATCAACGTCCTGAAAGGTACATAGAATGGAAGGTCAGTTTTGGGACATTGAAGAACAACATGGATTCCAAGCCTGTCGATCCTGCTTGACTAATACTTTCGTAATGCAACTGCTGATTGTGGGCAAGAGAATTGTGAGAAACATGATAACCCAGTTAATTTGTTTCCCCCACCTTCTTCAAAATAAATGTTCCGAGATGGGAATACCAATAAGGGAACATTGCCTGTCCACCTTGTTGTTTAGAAAATCAGGTACTTATAGCAAATGATGAATACCACATACTGAAAGTGGAGACTCAGAATAAACACATCAAAAAGTGTACTACTGGTAACCGGAGGACCCCTTTCAAATATACAACTCGGAAATAGCATAATGAAGGGCTGTAGAGAGTATAAGAACCTAGGACGCTATACTCGTGAAGACTGAAATACTGAAAAAGACAATAATAGAGTTACACAAGGTCGCAGGGCGATCCAACAACTGAACTCCATTTTGTGGTCAAAAACAAGGACAACAAAAATCAAAATTTACAAAGTTATTATTGAACCCATAACCACATATGGGTTAGAAAATTGGTAAATAACATCTAGAATGAAAGAACGAATCAAAGCAGTAGAAATGGAATTTTTGTGACAAGCATTCAGAATATCCCAATAGAGAACAGAGCATAGACAGCAGACTCCTAGAATATACACCGACAAATAGAAGGAAAAGAGGGAGACCCCGCAAATGTTGGACAGAAGGAATTGAATATGCCATGAGAAAGAGAAAAAGAACTAAGAGGATTGCCACAATGCTGTGGGACCAGGTTGATATTAAGTTGTATATAAGTGTATAAATACACAATTTATTTTTATTACAATTAGTATTCTCAATAAAAAAAACTCCAAAAACCATGGATACATCATTAACAACAACCTCAATTGCCTTACATCGTTGGCCTAAAGCTCTATTAAATAGAACACAGGCCCGTGCCTCATTTAAAAATAAATAATATAATATTAAAAAATCCAAGTCCCAAATAAAACAAAACCTGTTGAATAGATCTAGCGTCAGGATAAAAAGTGGAAATAAATGCAACTCCGATACGCATCGCGGGCGACAGAAAGGTGGAAAAAATCAGAGGAGAAGCTCTCAATAAATGCCCAATTTCCTTTGGTTACTGAAATGTCGCAAGCTACACAAGTGACACTACATAATTCTGAGAAGGAGGCTATAAAGTGAGACAATAGCCTCTATGAGAAGAATTAGAAATATTTTAAAGACATGAAAAAAGTATAAAACCTACGCAAATTATGATTGCTTTCTCTGAGTTTTTGAGGTTTCTTACAATACATTGAAAATGATGTTACTGCGAGTTGCAAATGTTAATATTTTACTATGGAATGCTTCACAAATATCCATTTAAAATCATATGTAGGCACCACTGTATGCTGTTAAGTAATACATTACCAATTCGTTCGTAGATGGGCCCAGTTGCTCTTGATGGAAGCTCTTTGGATTTTCCGTAATGGTTCTGAGTCCTAATTTCTCAGACATACCCCAATCTTTCACCATATGGGTTGCTATAGATGTGGCCTGTTGCAGATCTGAACTGGCCCCTTAGATATGGAGAACGTTAAAATGTTAAAAAGTTAATTTCATTGGAATTTAAAGAGATAATATGTTCTTGGTCAGGCGTCAACCTTTTTAAAAAATTTCACTTGTTTCGTTTGAGATTTGTTCTTCAAAAAGAAAAATAATTACTTATTTATTTAATAGTATTTTATGCAATATGTTTGATGAAGCCATTGTAGTCACGAGTTTGATTTGGCCCAAGCGAATGCTTAATAATCGAGCAACTAAAGAAGTTTATTAATGTGTTGGCATACATTTTTCCCAAAACAGTTAACTGAACTGAAAAGTCAAAATACTATCCTTTCTGCTCTGCTGTCAACTTTGTTATACTTATCAAAAGTTACACAAGAAACATCAAAGTAATAGTGACAGTAAGAAAAACTATTGTTAATAAAATAGATCACTTAAGAAAAAACTGCAGCATTAATAGAAACTTCAATAAATTACTGATTTACTCATATAGTTCTTTTTTCGATAGATACCTGATGTAATTTTGTCCATGCCAAAAACTAACTCTTCTGCAGCCCTTCCGCCCATCATTGTATCCATCATGGCCAAAAGTTGAGATTTTGTAACGTGATATCTTTCTTTTTCAGGAATGTAGGCTGTGTGGCCCAAGCTGGGACCCCTTGGTATAATTGTAACCTGAATATTAGCCAAAAAATATTTTGAAAAGAGTTCCATAACAATGACAACCAATATATTTAGTATATTTATATATGTATATTTATTATACTATTATATGTGTGATAGTCTTTTTAAAACTGCAGAGATTAAGAAATCAATTATATAGTAAAATAAGTAACTAGTTCTAAAGTTCGACTTTACCTTGTGTAAAGGATGGCTATCTTTTGTATAATAAGCAACTATGGCATGTCCTCCCTCATGGTAGGCAGTGATTAAGTTGGCCTCTTCATCTGGAATTCTAGATTTTCTTTCAGGTCCCATTAAGACTTTATCCCTGGCTGATTCTAAATGTTTCATGCTTACGTAATCAGCGCCATCTATAGCAGCTCTAGAAGATTATCTTGATGTGTATCCCAATTAATTTCACATGATTTTATTTTCTAAATTATCCATTCATTCATATAAGTATATACTTATCTCAAAAATATGCATTTGTGAAATTAAACTTGGTAATTATGTATGTTCTATTAATTAAACATTTACTCAAAACATATAAACAAAATTTTGTGTTTTGTGTTTTATTTGTGTACATTAATATTAGGATGCGAAAATAAATCATATCACTACAAAATTTGGATCTGAGGAAATAACAAAATCCAAAAATTGGTAGCTATTGGGGATAATTTAAAAATAGAAATTAAAACCATATTTATATATTACCTCAATGCAGCTTGGTTTACCATATTTTCTAGATCAGCGCCAGTGAAACCTGTGGTACCTCTAGCCAAGAGTTCCAAATCAACCTCTTTGGCGAGAACTTTGCTCAAATACAAATTTAAGATTTCCTTTCTTCCTGTAAAATCTGGTGCAGGAACTGTTACCTAAATATGTTCAAGACCATGTATGGTAAATGTAAGAAATAACCTTAGAAATAGATTTCTGCGCTGCAACTAATTCTAGCAAGAAACGCTTGGTCATGATGAACTCTTTTTACAGCCCAGACTATAAAAACCATTAAAATTACTGCATCGGCACACACTTTTGGCGATATTTTAATATTTTCTCTATCTTCCATCCCTTGCAAGTTTCAGTGTATTTTCGTCGCACTTAAAATGCCCCTATGTAGAGTATTAATTTAAATTTAAAAATGTTAAAAATTTGGTGTTATATCTGAAAACCGTTAGAGTGTACAATAGCTTAGCACATTAAGAATTATGAATAAATACTAAAATCGTGGGTCATATCTAAAACATTTAGTCATTTTGCATATTTTCTACTTAGTATCAATTTCACTCTCTCTGTAGCGCGATATTGTTAAATATAAGTTTGGGTGAGGGTTAAATTCAAATTTATTGAAGAAATTAAAAAGCCAAGGAGAAGAAAAAACTCATGAATACGAAGAATATGACACACACCATTACCTGTAGCAACTTCCCTTAGGAAGGCAGTCAACATTGCTTTTGGTACTATGCAAGATTACCAAAGATACAATTGTACTAAGTTCCACAGAAACATTTACTTATCCTTATAAATGAATAACAGAAGTAATAGTGATACCAAAGTTTTTGTTCAACTAAATAAATAGTTCTGCAATATGTAGTATTTAAATGTCATGAAAGCTGTTTTTGTTTAAATAGTTTTTTCTACCCCTAATAGCAAGGGCGACCCTCAAATAATTAATGTAAAATATTTAGTTATTATCAATGTTCTGTCAACTTCAGTATTTATAATCAGATATTAACAGTCACATATATACATTACATTATTGTAGTAACTTTTTAGTATTTAGTATTGCCTTTCTGCTTAATGATAATATTCTAGTCAAATGATTAAACATGATAACCTACTTCAACATCAAATCGGCCAGGTCTTAACAAGGCTTGATCCAAATCTTCCCTTCTATTTGTTGCTCCCAAAACTATAACTCCTTCATTTTGATGAAAGCCGTCCATTTCACTAAGTAATTGGTTTATAGTTTGATTGGCATATGGATGAAGAACACTATTGGTTCGTTTTGAACCAACTGAATCAATTTCATCAATAAATATTACACATGGAGCTCTTTCCTTTGCTGCTTCTGTACAAAAAAAAAAGATTATCAAAAATACAAAAAGAAAAAACAATGCATACTAAATAAATCTCTGACCCTCCGAGCACCCTGCCCAACCAAAACCTCATCAAATTCTGGTCCTGCTGCATGGAAAAATGGAACACCAGCTTCACCTGCAACTGCTCTAGCCAACAATGTCTTCCCAGTGCCTAGGAAACACAAATTTAAGTTGACAATAAAAAAATCTTACAGCTTGTTTGTGAAAACAAACCATAGAATACTTCATAATTGCATCAAAATATTATTTATTCAACACATATTTTTGAAAAGTAAATATAATTTAATGGGATGGGATGGGATATTTGCTTTCAATGCATTTTATCCATTTAACACTGACCAAAATATTTTGTTTTTTTTTAATCTCAGCAAACAATTTTTTAAGTTATCTTTGCAATAAACTTTTTATTGTTCCAATTGAGTAAAAAAAGAAAAAAATAAGTTTTTGTTGGACAAAGATTGTAATACCTGGTGGACCAACAAGGAGAACTCCTTTTGGCAATTTACCGCCTAAATTTGAAAATTTATCAGGATTTTTTAGAAATTCCACAACATCTTTCAGCTCCTGTTTTGCCTCGTCAACTCCCTTCACATCTTCAAAAGTAACATGAATCTCTTCTGGATCAACTTCCAACTGACTTCCAAGTGAAATTCTGAAAAATTATATTCTTGATTTTGACTTGACTCGACTATTGAGTCAACTATGTCTTATCTTTCAGGATGCTGCTTCTAAATTAATGTCAATATTTTCAATAAATCTCATACACATTTGAAAACCAAATTTATTGCAAACACACAATCAAAAAGGAAAGAAACCAATCCCAAATACAACAAATGCTTACCTAAATACTGATCCCCCAGCACTTGCCATTAAACTTACTATGGCCAGGAATATTGCAATTGTTAATACTTGTTGAATGATTCTGAAATATTTGGATGCTTTTCCACTTTTGTTATTTCCCGTATTCCCCAATAAATAACCTTCAGCAAAAGCTACCTTGATTCTTTGTTTTTCACCTTCATTCAAATTTGTATCATTTGATAAGAGCATGTGTTTCAATTTCTCTGAGTCCAATGCAGGAATAGGACCTACTTTACTGGTAAGTTCAATCGAATCGCTTACATTATTCCTCATGCGACTTATTAATGATGGATTGCGTTCCTGTTCTGCCTTGATACTGCGCTCAGTCTTGAAACCTCTACATTGAATGTTAAAAGTGAATTTATTTTCATTTAATATCCCCTTTACCAATTTCTGATAAAAACTGTGGGTTACTTGGACATTCTTTCGATTTCTTACAATCAGTGTAGGAACAGCATTTTTTAGATTTCTATTGGAAAATTTAGACTGAAATGAATTATCGCCAGCACTGCATGAAATGTGTAAATTGCTTAAGAATGGATTATTAACTAAATCCTCTTTTAAATGTTCTCCAAATGAAATGTCACAATTCTTTAATGTTTCAGAGAAGCTGTCGAAGCATAGAATTTGGGAGACTTTTTTTGACTTGTTGGCGCCTTTCTTGCAGAAAAACAGTCCGGAACTTGACGATATTTTTGTGCCAACATGGGTTAGACTTGCGAATGCCTACAAATAGATCAAGAAATAAGAACTGGAAGAAAAAAATTAATGACTTTTACTTTACCTGATTTTGATTTTGTAACGAAAACATAACGATTACCGGTAGAACTCAGTAAAAATCAGTTTTTCTGGGCAAATCTACACTCAAATTTATCAAAAATGAATGAAAATGATTTTTTTTTTAATACGAACGATATAACCTTTAAGATAAATGAGAGTTTTGACACTTCAATGACACATCTACCGCATAAATTGAAACTTGAAAAAAATACAAGTTCCGAATTTTTCCATGGTCCGCGCTCTCTAGAACGTCGGTAATGAGACAATGATCCTAGGATACCTGCCTAATTTATGTAAGAAGAAGAATGTTCTCTGGGCAAACGATAAATCTGTAAGGAATATATATATGAATTTTTCAAATTGAAAAACAACTATTCTCTCCTGTATAATTTCAAGCAGTCTGTGGTTTGTCATATACTGGTTTTCGTGATTTGAAAGCATCTTATTTTGATTTGAGAAGTACATGGATTCCCAACAAAGAAAATTAGGACCTTTTTTCAGTAAGTGAATAAAAATTTGGGTAAACATGGAAAACCACAAAGAAAGACTACTTTGTGAAAGTTTGGGGTAGCTATATGTATATGTCGTAGTCTTTCAGCGAAATCCTTTATTGCATGTAGGCACTCCAAGCAATGAACTATTATCATGGTATTTGCCGCGGCGTTTCACGAAAAGTCAAACTTGGGCCGTCATTTAGTCCATTAGCCATTTTTACACGATCTGCCGTATTTTATTCGAAGATTGATATTTTTGTCACATAACAGCAACCCTTCGAGTTTGTTGAGAGTTATAAAATACAATGCGTAGCTTTTGAAGAAAATGTGTGGGGTAATATATTAATATGCATATGCTTCATGTGGTTTATGTTTCCCTGAGGAATCTATCAAAATTTAACAAGGCGGTTACAGAAAAAAATAATTCCCATATAGAAATAGGAGATGGTTTTGATTGAAGTGGACAAAGTGCAGGCTCATCAGACCCCCTAATATTATTTCTGTTGTGAGAGATCCAAAAAAAGTTGGAATGGACTAAATTTTTTACATTAAGGAACTCTGTTTAAATTTTAATGTAAATTTAAAATGTACCCACAATCTTTTCATTAACCACTTAGATTTTAAATGATTAATGTTTTAGTTTTGGTTTAAAAGATGTTTTATTTTCGAATGAATAGAAATAAAAGAATTTACTTTTATCGTTACATATGAATGCACAAATTGAAACAGCACACAATACTAATATTTACTACATTTACTACATGTATAAGGAAATATAATATTTGCATCTTGCGTTAATAATTACGAGACATTGTTGAACATAATCTGCCGACCCGTAAATTAAGGCAGATCCTGTAAAAATTGTTGTTTGGAAACTATAGCAACAGTTAGTAATTTAACATAAATTAATTCAAACACTGTAGGTGTCTATTAACATCTTGGCCAGTCCAGTCCATGTTGGTAGCTTTGCCCCTTGGCAATATATTTCAGGTCAAGAAATTAACTATACTAACTTCCAATTTCTCCTCCCTTGCAGCGTTTACGCCGACTCCACGATTTCACTGTTCATAGTTGTTATGCAATTTCACTTAAATTGAATAATTTTTGTTTGTCGTGCTGTTACGTTTCTTCACCCATATATCGGTAGCTATATGGCCTCACTTATTATATGCCGATGGTACTGAAGTGCTGAATGCTCAGCATTTAATGCACACCAAATATCAAAATTTTAAGACCCCATGCATGCCATAAGATACTAACAGGGGTTATTTGTTATTTCACCTGAAGCGGACACCGAAAACATGGTTCTAGGTTTTGCAATTTTATTTGCATTTGAGTATGTTATAGCAGAATGTGCCACACGCCTCTATCCTGTTATCTTGAGAGGTATTCAGACTGTTTTCTTAAAGGTTTTTAAGTGGAACACCATGTATATATTTTGGATGTCGATTGTTTAAATCAAACACGTAATTTAAGCTCCATTCGTCTGTCATGGTTTATAATATATGTGTTAGCCATTTTACAATTTGGTTTGTTAAAAAAAGTGTCTAATAAAGATAGTAAAAAAATCGTAAATAGTTGATGTTTTGACAAACAGGCCATGCTTGCTTAAGACTATTTCAGTAGTATTTCTCAAATTTGCCAATGGTATATATTTTATTTTGTAGGCATCTCCATAGAAATAAATCCAAAATCGATGAATCAGGTGACGTAGGTCTTTGTTCCTAAGATAAGCGCGCTTTGAGAGCGGGAACTCCGTCTTCTTGGAAATATAAATTATTACGATGCGCCAAGGGTACATAGTTTACTATTTCGGGACGATGTTTTCAATAATATCTAAATATTTATTTGCAGTAAGTGTTTAAAAATATATACAATTGTATATATTATATAAATATAAAACATGAAATAATAAAACCGATCCTGCCTTGCTGTTCCTGTGGAAATGAATTCTGTGATTCTATATGCCAGCATTCGTGAAACGGGTTTTATCAGACCATATAACGGAATTTTCAAAATTATTTTCATGATTTACTTTGTATATATACCAATTTCCATATTTCCAACTAATCCTGATTTACAACACATGAACATTTTATGAAAAACATTTCGAAAACTATTTACACTAACGAAATATTGGGTAAAAAAATTACATTAGGGGTTCGAAGTTTTCACCATTCATTCCGACTGATGGTAGTAGCGCTCTTTACGTCCCATTAAATAATTAAATAATTGTATAATTCAGGTGACACCTCTTCAGTGTAGCGAACGGGTGTCCCATTTAGTTGGTTTTAAAAACCTTAATTTATTAGACCAAAGTGTTCATTCCCTCGATTGAAAATACTCCAATTATTTTATTATTATTCCAAAATATTCCATATATATATATATATATATATATATATATATATATATATATATATATATATATATATATATATATATATATATATATATATATATATATATATATATATATATATATATATATATATATATATTCTCACGTATTGATTCACGGATGGAAAAATGTGATGACACTATATTCCGGGATATCATCCGTTCGCTCGTTGAACTCCGACTGGAATCCTGCATCCGACTGGAATCCTGCAAATCTTGCATCCGACTGGAATCCTGCAGACGTTTCGCCAAAATCTCACTTGGCATCTTCAATGCTCGCGCTCCGAAAACACTTCGAACACTGTGTTCGAAGTGTTTTCGGAGCGCGAGCATTGAAGATGCCAAGTGAGATTTTGGCGAAACGTCTGCAGGATTCCAGTCGGATGCAAGATTTGCAGGATTCCAGTCGGATGCAGGATTCCAGTCGGAGTTCAACGAGCGAACGGATGATATCCCGGAATATAGTGTCATCATATATATATATATATATATATATATATATATATATATATATATATATATATATATATATATATATATATATATATATATATATATATATATATACGCGTGTATTCAATTTGAATGTATTTAGCGTTCTTATATTATTACCGTTACGTTGCTTTTTGCAGAGATAGATCCTGAGACGGGAAAATTTACGCTTCTCCCGATACACGCCAATCATCCAATAGGTGAGTTTCTGTGAGATCATGAAATTTTGGTGTTAAAATATATCGATTTCTGCACGCGGCGGTAAATAGCAGATTTTTTTTTTTATTTATTTGATCTTAATGAATATCTCAATTATTTACCCATCTCTACAATTATATAATTATTATTATATTGTCTGCAAATTAGTTTTACCGTAATTTAGGAACGATTTCTGTTTAATGATATCTCTCATTGCAAATATACTTTTTATTACTCCCTCGCATTAAGAAACTAGGTATAAATTCTAGATATAAAGCTAAATTTTATTGGACTAGCCATCTACAGTGAACTCTGGTTATAAAGTACCCTCTAGAGACCCGAAAATGAGTACTCTATGAGCGCTATAAACGATAAAAAAAAAACAAAAATAATTATGTAGGTACGTACATATTTTTATTTTATATAAAAATAGAAAACTAATAAACACTAACTAAACTAAAACTTATCTATCTATATAAACTTTACATCATACAAGTGAAAATACATACTTTATTTTTTTGAGTAAAAAAATTCGTTATTTTAGTTTGTTTATTTTTTCTCAATACACATTTCATATTCTCGATGTGCTTGTCAACCTTCCAGGCCGCTTGCATTAGTTACATTATCGGTAGATTGTAAAAAAATTGTAACAATTTTAGCGGCACAAAGCGCTTCAGAACAACTTGGTACTTCGTCCGGTTGAACATCATCGTCGCTTTCGTTATCAGAGCTTTGAGGATCATTTAGCTGTAAAAATTCAGTAATAATATCATTATCCGTTAATAACTCTGTTGTTATTAAATTATCATCAACAGTTGGGAAGCTACTCACCTCAGGAAGATTAATTTCAATGTTGGTTAGATCTTGGCCGTTATTGCGAAACCAATTACTTAGAGGAACCTCTCAGTCATCGTCGTCATTATTTTTGTACTTCTTAAACCACTGAACCGGAGGTCAGTCATCGTCTGAATCAAACTCATCTTGCAATTTTATCGGACCTGCATGTCGAAAGCAGTTTGAAATAGTGATTGAAGTAACATCATTCCAATATTGTGCACGTAATTTTATGGAGTCTAGGATAGTGATGTTGAAAGTTGAAAGGTTTCTTATTTTCAAATGACTGGATCAAACGATTCAAAAAATATCTGCGGTAATATGTCTTAAGGCATTTTATTAAGCCTTGATGATTTGGAGGCAAAAACTCTAATCTGATATTTGAAAGGATTATACTTTTTGGATAAGCTGCAAACAATTGTCAACCAGAAGCAATATTTTTCTATTCTGACGTTTTAGTTTTTCATCCCAACCCTTTAAATAATTAGAAAAAACTGCTGAAGTCATCCACGCTTGCTGGTTTGACTTATAAAGGACAGGTAGATTTTTTCACATTTTTCATGCATCTCGGTCGTTCATATTTACCGATAACAAGAAGATTGCATTTTTCGTTTCCTGTCATATTTGCACAAATCCCGTAAAAGTTCTAGATGGTACGTAATTTCCGATAAAAAATCTAGAGTATTTTGGCCGGACCAGTAAAATATGTAATGTCTGTTCATAGATATAAGAAAGTGACTAACTGATACGAAGGAAAGACCCGGGCAAGGTGTAAGAATGAAATATCGCCGAACAGGTCCGTACTTTGCTTAGAATTTAATTATTTGGGGTTAGGAAAGATACTAAACAATATTTATTTATTTATTTATGTATTTATGTTTAAATCTAAAATAAAATTACAAATTAGTTTTATTACCTACTTAAATTACTTAAAATTATTCACATAATATATCAGTATCACTATTGCTATCGTCGCCTGTTCTAATTCTTATTTGTTCTATATTATTTGCAATATGGATATACGATTGTTCTGCTTTTTCTATATGTTTAACAGAATTTGCCCAACTTTGTAAAGGAATGTTAAAAACTTCGGTTTCTATAATTCACAATTTTCCATACAATTGATGTTGGAATGTTCGTCAATGTGGTCTTTTCTTCTAAAGATGCTTGCTTGCTGGCACCACGTTCAATGAGAGTCAAATAAACATTGTTTATAACTTCCTTAGTCTCAATAGAATAGTGTTTTCTACATTTGGGCGGGAGCATCTCCTGAGATACACAAGACTCGCACATATTTTGCATAATTCGCACACGATTCAACACACGCTGTATTACACACGAAATAAGAATGATTACTAATAAAATTAAACTAAGTAGTATACCAAATCAAAGAATATTTTACCTGAATTTAAATTCCGAAACTTTAGGTAATAATCGTGTGCGTTGTATGTTAATGACCACCCTTGGATAATCCCATTCAAAAGCAATTGTCACTTATATCTATGAACAGACCATACGTAATATCCGGAAGAACGTTATATCCCACGTACGTTATAAACGGAGTTTACTGTACTAAGGTGCTAAGTAAGAATTCTTAACTGTTTATATTAGCATGTCATCTAAGCGTCACCCAATATTATCAACCAAAAAATAAAGACGGGTGGTTCTACTAACATATGTTGCTCAAATAAAGTGCGTTGAAAGTTATAAAATACTGTGTTGTGTCTTAAAGAGACTGTACGGATGTAAAAATCTACGTTTACATAATAGGTCACACGAGTCAGTGTATTAGTTAATTTACAGGTAAAAATCCTCTGCGTAATTAAATATGTCGAATACTGCATATACGAAGTTTTGCTTATTGTCTGAATGATATGGAAGAGACGCACAAGAAATGTAAATCAAGTGGAAATATTGAAGATTATCAGAACAGTTCTTAAAATAAATATGTTAACTCAAAAAATCTTAACAGTGACCCGTTGTGCATTTCTCAGCTGTCTTCGAAAATAATAAGAAAATTTCAACATAAAAGGAATAGGGAAGGGGCCAGTCCCGATGGTGTTACTCATTTTATAAAAAAAATGTCTAGAAAATTGTGAAAAAAGCAGTACCGTACCACATTTGAACTTACGATGGTCACCATATTTACTGATATGGTTAAGTGGTTAAGTTAAAAAATAATTACGATTACAGATCTTAATATTATAAATATTTTTGCTTAAATTTGATATGTTTATTATTATTTTCAAAGTTTAACAATATGTATCTGGAAAACATTTTTGACCTATATTCTTTTGAATGGGTTTTCATTTTCGTTTTTAATAGTCATTTTTAAAGTCTTCCTACATAAAACTGATATTCTCATTTCTTGCTAGATTTAGCCGAAGCGGCTTTAAGCTTTAAGATCTGACTTAAGTATGCTTAAATATGTTGATTTATTTTGTGATGTAATGTTTTAGTGAACAGAAGCTATAAACTGCCTTCCAGCGATAAATCCAAAGGAAAACGCATAACTGAATTACAATCCGCTCAGAATTGTAAGTTAATATAAATTTCTGTTTAATTTTAACCACCTAGTACTCCGTAATTTAATTGACACTGATTGGTTTCGTTATTGAGTTTAGATGTTTCTCGGCCAAAACACAAAAAAAATGAAAATAATGTGTGCAAGAAACTGTTTACATCGCCAAAGTTGATGTCGCCAGAAAAATCTGGAGTAAGCTCTATTAATAGCACTGCAAACAAAGTTGCTCAGGTATGGTTTTCGCTTGGTTTGTTCATTATACGATTTGAAGAGAATATTTAACCTCTTTTCTCGTAGGAATGTAACAACCTAAAGACATCTGTAAAAACGACCACAGAAGCAAACGGATCTGAAGAAATTCCATTAGTGGCAAGTGAAGAGAACTCCATTTGTGAGTTTGTAAGACAAGAGGAAATATGCAAAGGCGCAAATGAATCTCCGGCGTCGGCTGTCGTAACCAACAGAAATTTGAAAAAGGCGGACATAGTGAATCAGCTGAAAGAAATTCTTATTGAAAATAAAAACAGTTTTGATGACCGTTTGACAACTCTGGAGCGACATATATCAGAGTTGAAATCTGAACATCAAAGGAATTATACCGAAATTATATCACTGATTGACCAGTTGGAAAATGAGAATGAAATGAGCTTTGTGGATAAAAAAGATTGTGACGGTAATAAGGAAAATTCTTCAAGAAAGCGGCGATCTCTTAGGCTTCAAGCTAAGGTCGTCAATTTGTGTGAGTCAACACTCAAAAAAAATTTATTTGCCAAATATCAAACTGTCCAAGTTGACACACCTACAATAGATAAAGCTATGGAAATGTTTAATTCTACCAGCAGCATTTGTAGTACGCTAGTAACCCCTATGGGGCAGAGAAGCTTATCTGTTAAAGTGCAGGAACAATGCCTTTTGCTTCAGAATACTCCACACCACAACTAGTAATTGTGTTATCATTTTCGTCTTATTCTGTTAAAAATAAACTGTTAATTGGTCTTTTTTAAAAACGTTTCATTATTTTATTGTTTAGTGATCTGGAGATGTTACAATCCAGTCACTACCGCTTCTCCTAACCAAAACTAACCAATTATTTTTTCGAAGATTAAACAGTATATGGAAACTTGGCACAATTTTTTGCATAGTTAGATTTGTAGAAATTTTATTTATTTATTTATTTATTATTTATTAATTTTATGGACAGAGTCCATTTCTATGTAATACTTAGGAAAAATGCACAGTTAAATTACAGGCTGATGCAAAAGTAAAAAGTAAATTAAAAGCATAAACCTACCCTCAGTAGTGAAGAAGTTCAATTTAAGAAATTTAAGAAAAAAATAAATATATCAGTAAAATCTAAACAAGAAACAATCAAACGAAATACAATACACAAATTATTGCAATAATTCATCAAATAATAATTATATTAAAACAACTCAATAGTAAATGAAATAATGATTTTTCAAAGAAACTTCCACAGGCTACAGTAATACTTTTTACAAAACTTCTGGATTCCTCCTGCGTCGGTTTTTGCTGGGTCGAAACTCTCTCAGTTTCAGTCAAGCTCTGAAGAAGCCGACACGATGATTGGCGAAACGTCAGCAAAAACCGACCCAGGAGGACTCCAGAAGTTTTGGTTAGAAATAATGATTTGCTGGTGAGTGATTTAACTACCCTAGTTCATGGCTTTAACGTTCTTGAATCACACACACCTGATCCGTTATTCCGACATACGATTACATGAACCCATATAGGGCATGTGCACACATCCGTTAGGCTTGGAATTTTTTCGGACTTATACAAAACGTGATCTACGCACTGAAGATTCCCAACACTAATCTGTGTCAAGAATTTAGTCCAATTAATAACGCTCCAGTCTATGAGAACGTTCTTGAAGTTGTAGTGAAACAGCAGCTTCAAATTTACTGTAATATAAACAAATTTTATTTTTTATAGACATTCATGTGAATCTGTGGTGACTTTTTGAAGGAATTGGGAGATCAAAAATCGGCATTTAAAAGGAATTGCTTTTAATTCCTTTGTTTGCATTTAAGACTTAAGAATACTAAAATTAAATGTCATGATTGCTTAGCCGTAGAACATTGTATTCCTAATGTTTCGGATGACACAATGAGTGAGTATAGTAATGAAATGGCAAAGGAAATGAATTCTGAAATTTTGTATTCACCACAAAAATTTGGATACTTTTCCATCCCAAATACATGCAAATTCAGAGCTTAACCGAAACTGGCTCGCATTGTACTCGGCACCTGCTTATGTACTGTTGGAGAAGGCAGAGCTAAAGGAGTTAAGCTCTGAAGAAGTCAACAGTATGATTAGCAAGTTCGATTTTTCAACAATCGACACAGAAGGAATTCAGAAGATTTGTAAATATTATTACAGAATTTTCTTTGAAAAACTGAATATGCTTTGTTTTAAAGGTGTCTGTAAGTTTTGTGTACTAAGGTTAATTGGTCGGCATTCGTTTGGGGATTTAATAAACATAGAGATTTAATAGTCATTTTATTTTCCTACTTTACACAACCATTATAGAGGTGAAGGGGTACAGAAACATTAATTACATCTTAACGTTCGCGACAGCCAGACAAGACTGTTTTTGGAGAAAGAAGGTAATTAAGTTTTGCAGCTTGCCATTACTGTCACTATAGAGTTGCAAACTACCGAGTAGTGTTGAAAATCTAACCGTAAGTCTTATTCTGATTGAAAAATTATTTTGATCTTCGTCCACAGTTCACAAAGAGGGTTAACCATATTTCAGCCAATGATGTTGTAGAGAATCAATCGAACGATTAGCTGATTAAATATCCATTGCAAATATCGATATCCCAATGACAAGACCAACATTCCAACGGACAAGAAGTATCTAGAGGCTCTTATTGACACCACAAGACATTACATCGAGTTACAACATAAGTTATTAATAATAATTAAATAAAGTAGTTTTTGAAATTTTGACATTAATGAGCAACATTTCACGAATGCATAATTTTATTATTTGTCATTATTCGTTATGCCTAGGGCATATTAATCAGTTGAAGTCCCTTTTTATTCCGTTTATTTAAAATAAAGGTAATGAGCTGTTTTTTAGCCAGCGATTTACTTGAAATAACATAACAATGGAAATGTCTCGAAAACGGCGTGTTTTATCGTGTGCATACTTTTGATCGTTAATTTTCAAAAAAATTATATTGACTCGTGGACCGGTACCTATAATTAATATTGTCGATCCTGGTACTATTCGAAATGATTGGGCCATGATGGAGAATTTGATCCATCCACACCTACGCCAGTTTTAAATTATATTTAAAAAAAAAAATTATATAACCAGAATATTGCTATTGTATAATTTCATAAATAAATCGAATAAATATAGCAGTCTGGCAACATTGTTCAGCTGGATGTCATTTGGCCACCATAGTAATAATTTTCCCTTCTTCAAACACGTAAACTGTAGGAGTGTTGTTGGACAACTTTTAATTAAAAAATTTTTCTAAATTTATAATACTTTATTTTTTATTTTGCATATACTGCAGTGGACTTTGACAAAAAGTTTTCTATTTTGTTGGGTGTTTGTTTTTTCTTTCCATTTAAGCTTAAACAATTTTATCTGTGGGTAGGACGCCATTAGCGACGTTTCCTTTGCGAATTGTTTTGCTGCTGTTAATAAAATTGGTCGTACTTACTATTTTATTAATAAAATTGCAATACTACATTGCAAATCGAACGAAAGTAGGTGAAAATTATGTCGGATACCGAAGAAACTAAAGAAGGTAGGGTACAGTGCTCTTACGAATTTGGAATAGGCCACTTAAGTTGTTATTTTAGTGCGGAAGACTCGTTCTGGTAGGACTTTACGCACTCACGCAAGTCCTCAAAAAAAAGTAAAACCAGGGCCAGCAAGTAGAAAGCTTAAAAAGAAAGTAGTTGTGGTCGAACTTGAAGTTACAGATGAAGAAGATAATGATGAAGTTGCATATGATGAACCCCGTGAAAAGAAAGCAAAGTTAGATGATGACGTACAAGAAGAGAAGTTACTGCAATCTGAGGAAGAAACCTTTAGTCAAGAAATAGAAAGTGAAACAAATGAGAGAAAGGATAATGAAATGGAAAATAATTTGGTAAGCGAAGACCCCACATTTTTGCCTAAGGTGCTTATTTATATAACAGTAATAATGATTTATTATTACTGTTATTTATATGTGACGGCAAACTAGATCCGAAGTAAAATCTCACAACAACTATATTTTTAAATTCTCACTTTTTATTAATTGAGCTTAAATGTACTGTACTGTACTAGATCTCCGCTTTGATAATAGAAACAGGGTATGGTGCTTGTTAGTTGCAATATTTTCTTACAAAATTCAAGTTTTTTTGGGTATAAGTTATTTAAATATTATTTAGAATCGCATAGTTTTTTTCATATTTTATAACATATTCTTGACTATGATGTTAAAAGGGGTGGAAATATTAACACATAGATATTTATTGATCACTTTGCATTTTAGGTGCTAAATGATATTGAAATGCTTGAAGAGGATTTGCTAAACACAGATGAAAATGTTAGTGCAGAAACACAGAGTGTTAATAAGAATGAAGAAAATGGTGCATCTACCGAAACAATATCTGACAATTGTAATGAAACTGATTCTCAAGGTTATGCTGACAACAGCAATGGTCTAAGAGTAAGGAATATCAATAACTTAATAGAAAATTCCAATTTAGAAAATGATGACTTAAATGAAATGGAACAAATTGAAGATGTTGAGGAATTAAAGGAAGGAAAAAGTATTGAAGATCCAATCATTACAGACATTACAGAAACAGAAGAACAACTTGAATCGGCGAAATTGGAAGACAACAAAAAATCTACAGAAAAGGACAATGCACTTACCTTATCCAATACAGTTGAAAAAGATGAGTCTATTGAAAAAGGAAAAGAACAGGTTTGTTGCTTTGCGAATAATAATTTGCTAAGTTTAAAATAGCGATTTTTATATGAAGTTTTAAAACAATATAGTATTACATTATACGAATATATGGTAATAATTATAACAATACTAATGGATATTTTTATATATAGAATGGAGATCCAGAAGCTGAAAATATTTCTGATGAAGAATTACCTAGTGTGCCTGTTGCTAAGGTGCCAGAAGCAGAGGAAGTTTCAGATGAAGAATTACCTGGTCCTAAGAGGGCTGAGCTACCAGCTGATACTGAAGTATGTTCTTTATAGTGTACTGGTGTACTCAATATTTTTGAGATTGTAATATTAATGCTAATGAGTTTAGGTTGTGTCTGAAGACGAACTCCCTACAAGTAAAAAGGAAGACGATGGTCTTAAAATTGAAACTAAAAAGCGCAAAGTCAGTGATGGAGACTACGATCCAACTTCTCCAACATCCGAAAATGAGACGCCTCCTAAAAGGATGTCTGTAGACAAAGATGATAAATCCAAGGAAAGTAATGAATTTGATTTTGCTAAACCTACTAAAACGAAAAAGTTGCCAGAACTTGATAAGTACTGGAAAGCAGTGAATGATGATCCGACAGATTTTACAGGTTGGACTTACTTGCTGCAATATGTTGATCAAGAGGTAAGTTTCTCTTTTCAACACATTTCCAGTAATTTTAATATTTGAATTCTATAAAAACAAATGTTTACCAAAAATTTGTGAGATGCACAATACTACTTGGTAAGTAATAAATTAAAAAAAAACCTTCCCTGTTATCTTGCTGCCAAAGAAGACCCAAAATTACTAAAACGTTTTAAATCTTCGATATTCGATATTTCATAAAAAGAATTTGTTTTAATAAGGTGTTAGTGACATATATTTTCATTGCTGATGTAGAATGATATGGAAGCAGCTCGTGAAGCCTATGATGCATTCCTTTCACACTATCCATACTGTTACGGTTACTGGCGCAAATATGCAGATTATGAAAAAAGAAAGGGCAACAAAAAAAAGTGTGAGGAGGTAAGTTTTTCATAATTAAAATTTAAAGTGTTTATCATTTATTTCGCCTTTATTTCTCATTAACTTAAATATTGTTTTTGATACTCTACAGCTCAGCGACAAGCAACAAGCTGAATATCGCAGTAGTGTTATGTTGATTATGAATATGGTAGTTATGTACGATTGTAGTTTTATAGGTTACTTATTGGCACTTTTTATGTATTGTATATGATTGTGTATATGATTATAAATACTGTGACTAAGTTGTATTGTTAAAAACAAATTGTTGTAATTTATAAAAAGAACCTGGTTGAGTTGAAGCTAACCACAATATAAACCAGAAATCTGGACTTATTCATCGCATTCTCACTGACAGAAGTTTTAAAGCAAGATGGTCACGGAACGAGATGATATGGATCTCTAGACAGCTGTCTGTATCACTGTCTGTATGTGTCACTTGACACATGATCAAACCATCTGAAATGTAAGAAAATATAAATTTAAGACCATATACCTAATTTATGTGATTATATTTTAGGATAATTTCTATATATCTTGTGAATTATTGTAACAATATGAAAAATAACTTTGATTTCAGACTGTTTGTGCAGGTAGTCCAGTTGTTATAAATGACCTATTGAATGCCTTGGGGTTAGTTTATATTTTACCAAAGATGTCAAAGATACATAATCTTGTTCTTAAAAATTAAAATTATTGTTTTTAAATACATAAGATAAATAATACATATCAATTATTTTGTTGATATTATTGTAGCAATTGTTTTTGTAATAGAGCGGATACATTTTTTTTTGTATTAATTAGTGGATATTGATGTGAATATTTTAAATTGGATGGAGTGGTAGCTGAAGAAAAGAATGTCGACATGTGAGGAACAATCTACCTCAAAAAAAAAACAGGATTGTTATTGTTTGCAGAATAATTTTGTAATTCATGCTCTCATTTGAGGATTACTGATGTTGATGGAGAAAGAACATAACCCTTCTTGTGCTGGTGTACAATCAGAATCATCCTGCCTTCTAAAGGAAAAATTCGTTAATATTACATTCCTCTTTTTCCAGTTCTTCATAGGCATATTGGACTCTTCGTTTATACTTTAATCAACCATTTGGAAATGATGTGGTTTGCTTTAAATGGAGAAACGTTTGCTAACTTGAAAATGGTTACTATTTTATACAGTTATATTATGGCAAATGAATATGGAGATATTAAAGTATGATTGGACATTAGAATCGCAGGCGAGCCTTCCTGTGCAATGTTATCAGTTCAAACTTCTATACAGAGAAATTGTGTTTGAAACAAAAAGGATATATGAACACCTTTGGATGGTACATCTTTAAGGCAATATCATATAGGACTGCAGTAAGGGTGGATCATCATTTCATCGTGTTTTAAGAAGAAAGGAGAGAAGAAGAGTTTGAGTGAAAATTGTGAAACATATCACATTGTACTTAATATAATATTGGTTGTATTGTGCTCTGATTTTTTGAATAGCCCTTCATTTTATTGTTGGTTTAATTTTCACTATGTTTTGCTAATAAATTAGCGAATCTAATAATAATAATTTAATTTTCAAAAGATCAGAATTGAACGTTTTGTTTAAATAATATTGTTAATGGCATATCATTAAGGATTTTATTTCATTATCAACAAAATATTAATAACTTTAGCTTTTTAAATTGAAATTTGTTCAAATTAAACTTTCTAACCCCAAGATTATTTAAAAAGTCGTTTGTCAACTGTTCTACCTGTTGTTAATAAAATGATTCTGATTTGAGTTATTGTGTCTCAAGGTGTTTGAGAGAGGTCTTAAAGCCATTCCATTGTCAGTCGATTTATGGATCCATTATTTAACACATGTTAAAACAACACGCAGTGATGACGAAGAGTACATAAGATCCCAGTTTGAAAGAGCACTCACAGCTTGTGGTTTGGAATTTAGATCGGACCGCTTGTGGGACTCCTATATTAAATGGGAAACAGAAGCGAAAAGATTGCAAAGAGTTACAGCAATTTATGACAGGCTGTTAGCTACCCCTACACAAGGTTATACTACACACTTTGACAAGTAAATATCGGATAATTTGTTTATCAAGCTTTTTTTTTTGGTTTTGCAATTTATATGTCTTACTTTTTAAAATAGTCAGCTGGTATTTATCAAAAGTCGACATCTACAGGGTGACATTTTTTTTCAAATTTGAGTCCAAATAGTTTTCCCGGTTCATTTTAAAAATAGGCAATTTCTATTTTAAATATTTATATAAACATTTTGAGATTGTCCATTATAAAAAGATTTCTCTTATCACCGAATAGTAAAATGTTGTTCTAACGACCTTTTTTTTTTCTTATTTTCTTATTTTATATTGAGTTTATCGTTACAAGTTTTTTTTTTATCAAAAAGTGCTAAAATATCGGGGTGTTCTGTATTCTATGCGTTAAGTTTTGTTTTCAGTTTTCAAGAACACATTTCTTCTAATCCTCCGAACAAAGTCCTTGAAGTTGACGAGTTTTTGGCTCTGCGTAAAGAAGTTCGCCACATGTTGAAGCATGATGTTTCTGCAGTAGAAAATGTCGCCGAGAATGCGGATGTTCCTCCAGGCGATGAAGATTCCAAATTAATTAGTTCCGATGAAGAGACAAAGTGTATTAGGGAAAGAATTGTCTCTATAAGAAGAAAAATTCATAAGAACACTGTAAATGCAGTCACTGCAAGGTGGAATTTTGAGGAAGGTGTAAGTAAAAGCTATATTTAAAAATTGTTAGACACTGGAACATTTCCTGTGATGATACATATGTATCGATTGTTTGCTATGTGAGCAGAGCAATTCCGTATATTCTGTGGATATGCAGAGGCCATCTGATTGTTTAAAGACTATTTATTTTTTGGGTATTTTTTCGAGAACAGAATTGTATTTGTGTTTAATTTTCAGATAAAGCGACCTTATTTCCATGTTAAACCTCTCGAAAGGTGTCAGTTAAAAAATTGGCAAGATTATCTTGACTATGAAATTGAGCATGGGGACAGAGTAAGGATCATTGTCTTGTTCGAAAGATGTCTCATTGCCTGTGCTCTATATGAAGAGTTCTGGTTAAAATTTGTGCATTACCTTGAATGTCTCAAGGACTCGGAATTACAATCCAAAATTAGAGATGTGTATGAAAGAGCTTGTACCATACATCATTTGAAAAAGCCCAATCTTCATTTACAGTGGGCGATATTTGAAGAGGCGTGCAGCAATCACAATCGAGCGGCGGAAATTTTGGTAAATTTGGAGAAATCTGTTCCAAATGTCTTGCAAGTGGCTTACAGAAGGTAAATCTGTTATTTGGTTGTTAATATAGGAGAGGCGTTTATAGAAACATTTTATTTTTAGAATCAACTTGGAACGCCGTCGTGCCGATCACGAAAAGTGTGCACAACTCTTTGAGCATTATATGAATAACTCCAAAAACAAAATGATATCAAGTAATATCTCCATCAAGTATTCAAGATTTTGTTTGAAAGTTTTAAAGGAAGTTTCAAAAGCACAGGAGGTTGGTTTAATTTTAGATACAAAATACAAATTCTAATTAAAAAAAAAAAACTCAAAAAATCTACTTTGAATTTGCTGCGTTTAACATTTTTTTCACAATGAGGTTATGCTTTTTTTGGTTGGTTTGTTTTTAAAGAGGCCAAAAACAGTATGTTTATTTGCAAGGTACACCCTCCCATTTTATTAAACAAAAAATACCTTAAAGTTGTCAATTGCCAAGTATTGTTGAACCGCTTTCCCTTAATTTTATGTTAGAGTAGTAGTTTTTTATTGTTGCCCTTGGAGCATCTAAAAATATTAATTTCTTGCTTTTTTTGCACGTCCTTGTAAAGTTTTCCAACCACGTGGTTGTTTATCTTGTATTTTCAATTTTTTTCTCTCAATTTCAAATGTATTAGTGCCAGATCCATTGTAAAATTTCAAATGGATGCCGATTGTAGAGTCGAGACATTGCGAGTAAATTTCCGAATTAAATCACCCCCTGAAAGGCAAGACCTTTTGGAAAAGTCTAGCTTTAGTTTTCATAAAAACAAAATAGAACCCCATTTTAATTTTTAATCATAAACTTGTTTTGTGCTTTTATTGATTAATTTTAAGTAATTACTAATTAAATTAATTAGATAAGTAAGACTAATCTTTACTATAAGTATATCTTATAAAAATAATATAAAGGTAAACTAACCTTCTATGAAAATAATATAAAGACATTTTGGCCACCGGAACAAATTATTTGAATAAAGTGGGCTCTGGACATATGTATTTGTTGCATTTGGTACACACTTTTTTTATGTTTTCTTACTGTGGTTCCATTGCATTGGTTGACTTTTAGTCGCTACAGCATTTTCCGTTTCGCGAGCTAAACCAAGAAAATTGGCAGTCATATATTGTTTCTTCGAGATTTGAATCTGTTATGTCGGCGAAAACTATTCTGTTTTATGTTATGTTTTTTCCAAGTCTTGAAAAAATAACTTGCGTTCGCTGCGGTTTCACTTTATTGCAATCTTTAATTTTAACAGTCACAATAAGCCGGTAACATATAACAAGTAACACTTAGCGATTCCATCTTTGTTTCACAGAATACTGTGGGATATTCTCACGATTATCCTTTTATATTCTACAACATATAAGAGGGACGGACCACAATAAAAAAAAATGAACGACAAAATGTCAAATTAACTATAGAGGATTTTTAATACTCAAAGAAATAGGGGAATTATTTACAAACAAAAAAACAGATTGTGAAGTCCGAAAGACCCCAGGTTCTCTTATTAAAGAAAGGTTAATTTTAATTAAATGAAACCAAAAATTGTTTCCTTTTTGCCGTTTCATTACAGCGCATGTGATGCCTCATTCTTTTTTTAGGTATTGAGGTCGGCTATTAACAAGGATCCCAATAATCCGAGATTATATCTGCAATTGATTGATCTCGTTTTACAAAAGGAAGATGTGACGGAAGAGGAGGTTTGCACTATTATGGATGAGTTTTTGGAAAAGGAGACTGCAGATGCCGAGCAAAAGGTAATATATAATCGTAAGTAGCACGTTAGAACAACTACATTTTTATTCTAAACATTAGGTACTGTTTGCCCAAAGAAAATTGGAATATTTAGAAGATTTCGGCTCTAGTGTTCAATTAGTGCAAAATGCGCAGGAGCAATATCAAAAGCTACTTAAGATTAGTAAGGAAACTTCCAAGAAAAAGGAGTCCAAGAGGTAAGTTTTTTTTTACTCTGACCTTATGTCAATTTTAAGGGTATTTAAAAAAAAAATAATTTAGCATTTCAAAGAATTCGCACTTCCGTATATTTTTAGTGAGAGTTCGGCTTCTTCAAAGAAAGAAAAAATCACGAATTCGTCTTCGTCACAGTCAAGTTCATACAGTAATTACAATTACAGTAGTTCATCAAATCAACAGACGTACCCATACTCCAGCTCACAACAAGGTCAATATAACTACTCACAATACGGTCAAGGTGATCAGTATCAGTATCAAAACTGGCAATATCCTCAAGGTGGATATGGTGGATACAATCAGTGGGGTGGATATGGAGGAGGCTATGGCTATTAAACTGTTTCCCGACACTTTGAAAAAGAGTAATTTTTGTATTTGGAAATCACTTGCTAGAAGTAATTTAATGATTGAAAATGTTTCATATAAAGCTGTAGACCATTTTTGAAATTGTCTATGTTAGTTTTAGAGTTTCTAAATAGTTTTAAATTGTTCGCTGAGAAAATATGATACTGTAAATAACATCCATAACTTGATTTTCAAAACTTGTATTTGTGTTAACAATACAATAAATGTTTATACATCATTGTTTTGGTTAGTTAACGCCCAAAAATTTTTTAAATAATTTTCATGCGTCATCACATGACCGAGCAAAACAACCATCAACTGTCAGTTTTTGCTGGATACATGTAAGCTGAGAACTGGTGGTATTTAGGCAAATAATATAAAAAAATGTCGTAATCGCCAATATTAAATCTACAATTAGAGAAAAAATTAAAGTGAAATATCAAATTATCCATTTATCTCTTTATTTTCTAATCCATGTTTTTGAGTTAGTTTCTTTAAATGTATATTTTATTAAATATTAAATAAAAAACATGGCGTTACTGTTTATATTGTCTTATTTCAACAAAAGAATTAGGTTGCACAGAAAAAGTAAATATTCTATACTTCACTCTCGTATTAGTCACTGATGAAGTAGATCAAATTATCCATTATTCGTTGTTACTATTACATCTCATTGCCTTCAAAAAATCAATGAAATCGAGTCGAATTTTTCAAAATTGCTTGGCAATGAAACATATCTCGGCAACGGTTGGTGCTAAAGGTACAAATATGATTTTTTTATAATATTCTGTTCTCTGTTCCGCTCTCTATCGATGGGGCATTAAATCGCCATAACTATCGAACGGTTAGAGCTACGGCGTTCAGACTTGGCTCCTTTGACCCATGAGACACATAAACCTGTTAAAAATAGCTTCAATCGGACTTTGGCGTCCGTGTTTTTTTTTTTTTGGATTTTCGACTGTTTTTTGGATATTGCAGACACGAATATGTCCGAAATTTGAAGCTTTTCAATTGAAATTTAACACACGCATGGAGCTCTGTTTCCTAAAGAAACCTATTGCAATTGGGTGGGCTGGGGGGTCAGGAAGTGTTTCGAAAAAAAATCAGTTCTCAAAAACGGTATATACGATGGAAAAAATCCTTGAACTAGAAGATGATTTATTAATAATATACGAGGTGAGTCGGCAATTTGCAAAAACTGAAAATAGTGTTCCGTTTATAATGATAATTGACCGTAACTAGAAGGCTCTGATTCAGTTGTTAGTTTCTTTCATATGACCGTATGGCCCATATAGACAGCTAAAACTTTTGTATTTAAGCGTTTCACCTATTGTACAGCATATTCCGTGCAATATTAAAAAACATAATAGGTGCCTTAAATTTGCAACTACGGTCATCAGATTTGGTAGGGTATTAGAAATCCATACCCATATTTAAATTGCTAAAGTATTTAAAAAAAAAGGGTTATTTTGGCATCCAGGAAATAATTATTTTCTTGAAAACTATTGACTCGATCGGTAAAACTTATGAACATGGAGAAGCGGAAGATCAGAGACCAAAACTTTTATTTCAGCAGTTTTTTTGATTATATACGGAGTTTTTCAATTATTTACAAAAATCTAAAAGACCCTGAAACTTTAGCTTTTGCAGAGTAAATTATTAGTCGTAAATCAAAATTCGTAAAAGATATGGCTAGTTCGTTTAAAAAACCACATATGCTGCTCAAGATATTTGAAAAAATCCATATGAAAATACCTATTTCTCGCATTCAATACAGGCTCGATGACGTCATTTACTATTACGGATACCGCATAGTTACAGAAAAGAGTTATTTTCTCGAAAACCATTTACTCTATTAGATAAATTCATGGACCAGGTATTGTGCAAGATTGAGGGCTATAACCTCTAATTCGAACATTGTTTGAATTATATATAGGTGGTTTATGACCAGAAATTCCAAAAAATCCTGAACATTTCTGTTTTTATGGGTAAATTATTGGCTGTAAATGAAAAACGGAAAAGATAACATAATTTGATTTAAATAAAATTGCTGTGAATACAACATAAACCTTTATTTTACATTTAAATGGTGTAAATGTTCAGTCTATGAGTTTATATTTAGAATATTTGTTCCATTTAAGTGTTCTTTAAAAATTTAATAAGTTGACTTGCTAAGAACAGACAAATAACCAATTCTTGAGTAATATTTGTTTCGTTGTGAAAACTTGAACCAAATGGTTCGGGCGACTGTAGGACGCTTTATAACCTTTCGATTTATTATATTTATATGTATATTTTAGTTAGTTATCCATTCTTTTGCAGTCTTACAGTTAAAAATTCCAACAGCTTAGAATCAAAAAGAATACTAAATTATTTAGTTATCCAATTAATCAGTATCAGCATTTATTAATTTTTAGCAAACTATTAAATTGTAAATTATATTTTTAACTATTCCGACTACAGTTTTTGTAAAAAAACAATTCATTTCACCATTTTGATAAAACATGTATCCAGTGGTAAAGGTGAAACTTAATATAATTTTTTTTGTTGATACTTTTAATCAAATAACTCTATACTTACAACTAACATAAATTATTACACAAAATATAACTAATTAAAAATAATAATTATATCGAATATCACTCAAAATAGGAGAAAAAATAATAAAAATTATAAATATATGAAAAATAAATAAATTTCAACTAAATTCTAAATAAATGAGTTGAGCCCCTCTTTAATATTTATAATTAATGAAGGTAGTAATAATTATATTTTGACCAGGTGTAAAACGCTAATAATAAAGTAAATAAAAAAATAGCCCTCTTTTACTCTTGTTTTTACTTGTAATATTTAGAAACAGATATTATTTCAATTTTCTAATCAAAAAGTTTTATTTATTTCAGAAAGTAAAACATTAAAAAAAAATAGTTCTAAGAATAAGTTGTGATTGAAAACAATAATGGATGACTACACTTTACAACTTTGTGAGTTATAAAAATAAGGAAAATAGTTATTTCGGTTTCTTTAAAGATTCTTACTTATAAGTTATCAATCAGTTAAAACTCAAAGCTATACAAATGAAACCCTATAATCGAGGTACAGGGATATCTCTTTAATTGTTTTTCCAGATACTTTAGAGGTGTTCTTTACCATGTTTACAATTTGTATTTTGATACTATTGTTAAAATAATAATTTAATTATTAAAAGTTGGAATAATAGAAGATAAACAGTCTAGAGGACATTTTTGTTCACATTGCACAAAACAAATAGGAAAAATGGGTCTATTTCAAACCAAACTTGCACAAAAATCTCCTTGTGAAAAGCACAATTCTACCTTCTACAAATACAATTCCAAAAATATTTGACTATATCACTGAATTGAGAATATTAATAATATATTAAAATGATAAAAATTTTAATTTAATATTAGCTTCCTATTGCAGAAACCCTTTGCCTATTATAACCAGTACTTGGATGACATACTTTGTAGTACAATAGCATAAATATTATGCCTACAATAAATGGAATTACATTTAAATAAATTATTGGTTTATAGTATATCATGCGCTTTGAATGTTCATCTGCCTCATATGCCCAAACAATGTTTGCAATTGTATTTTCACCAAAGAGAATTCCATAAAATATTACGTACTTCAAAAAAGTTGGTCCTTCAACTAAGACTACCTAACAAATAAAATCAGTTTAGATGATTGACACAAAATAATTTCATTTCATAATAATAAAACTAATTAAAGTATCTAAAACAGCATAATACAACTTACCTGAGTAAATATATACACAGCTCCAAAAATTGAATAAAAAAGAAAATCATAAAGTTTATTGTGGTCGCAAAATGTATTGTCGGCGCTGGTTGTAGAGAGCCATATTGTCATGATGAACCAGTGGAAGACAAGAACCAATATGGTTTGGACTGGATAAATAGAAGCAATTACGCTTATACATAAAATCCTGGATACTGTAAATATTTATTTTAAAAACTTACAACTATAGAAACTTGTGAAATACCTGTTACAGAAAAATGCCACATAAATTGTACTATGGTCCCAGCCCAGGAAATGTTATGTTTAGTTTTCAATGAGACTCGTAATAATCTTTGATATGCAGCCATTGACCAAGCCATACTAACAAATGAACTTCCAATTGAGAGAAATTGGTGGAATACTAAAATATGTGGATACATATAATACTATTCGCCATTATTACTCTCTATTTGTATACCAACACTTACATGTGAATGTTCCATTTATTTCTTTGCCATATGTAGAAAAGATAATAGCAAGTTGTAATATTTGTTGAGGAGCAGCTTCTAAAAAACATTCCAAAACTCTGAGCAAGGCAACATCAGAGTCCTCCTTCACCATTAAGTCATAATATTTTCGCTGGTTTTCATGATCTCCATGTTTCTCAGCTTTTTTTGACTTAACAGCGTATTGCAGGGCATCAAAATATCTCAGTACTGGTGCTAGTTGGAAAATTAATACTAGAATACATAAAAATCTTCTTTTGGTACATTTTTTGGTTAGCGTTGCCCCTGCATGTTTGTTATCTTGATCCAATACATACATCCGCAAACTAAACGCAGTGTTAATAACAGCTGGTATTAGAATAAACCCCACTGTTGCAAAGAAATATCCTAAATTTTGGCTAAGGTAGTATCGATAGGCTAAATTACAATCAAAAAATATATCCACCAAGTGGCTGACAATGGATATTATAAAACCAGCTATGTCCCAGTTTGTTACCCTGTCTTTTGAAGGCAGTCTATCTATTTCATCTTTATCGCTATCACACATATTTTTCTGATGTAAGACGGTCATTTGGCACCAATTAGGAATTAGGATGTATTCATGTTACTGTTGCTTTGGCAATCGTTTCCAAATAAAATCCCTAAATAAATATATCTTCGCCTAAGAATGAATCACTGCAGAAATACATTTGACAATTTTTACATTAGCCTTTTCCTTATAAGTTATAAATAATACTCTGTTATAACCTAAGATAATGGCTAAATTTGTACTAACCACAGAATAGTAAGGCACGACTAAAGTGACTAATTTATCAAAACAAGACACTGATCATAGGCCTTTTAACACATTAGATCTATGGTACCGATACCTCTTAAATCGTACTATAAATCATACCGTCCTCTAGGGATCCCACGAATCCAAGATCACTAAACAAATGAGGATAGTTATATTCGTAATTTAATTGCGGGGGTTTATAACTTATTTCCTGTGTCATATCATTTAGCTTTACGATGCTATTATTTTTCTCTTTATAAAAAAGCGATAATAAATAAATCTGTGTACGCAATGCTTATGACATCACAGAAATAGTCTTGACCAAAGGCAAATTAGTTCCGGACGTTTTGTGATTTGCTATTGGCGGTCCAGTGTGTTTTTTTATTTCCTTGCGGCTGTTTTTTTGGGTTTTGGTTGTGGTATTAAATATGGAGACTATTAACAATAAAATGAAGGGCAATATATCAATGAGTACACTAAATTACATCCAGTTCATTAACTTAGGACTAAATGTCTGGAATTAAAAGAAAGTCAAAATTGCCTTCCCGATTGTTTATCATTTGTCATTTTATCTGTTTACTTTGACATTTGACCATTAAATTCAAACCGAGCGTGAGGTCATTGGTGTACCGTCAGTACCATGAATACATATCAGAAAATGTTTCTGTTACAAAAAAAGTAACTAAAACCATAACAAATCTTTGGATTACAGGGCGTTTACGTCATGATCAACCGAAATAACACGGTTAACCGCCAAAACTCGCCGTAATAAAAGATTATGGCTACTCAGTGGGCGCTGTTTTGTCTAGTTGCCCAGAGAATCCAGAGATGAATAGGGTTAACCATTATACTTGTCAGAAAATTTAAGTTTGTGGAAATACAGCAATGTAAATTATAAATAAAAAATAATAAAGATGGCATCAAGAACTTTAACAGATATATTTCTTTTAATGAGAAATAATGCCATTAGGAGCAGACAGATTTACCCTGACCAAGTAAATTCTTGGCTGCTAAATTCAAATGCTTAAATAATATAATTTTCTTTTTGGTAGGACACTTCTGAAAGAATGCATTTGGTTTCCTTAAATGATTTAGAAGAAGGCGCTTATGACCGAAATGATAATAAAATGCCTCCAGTTTGGATCGATTATTTAGAAAAAGCACAGATGATTTTACCTCGGTTAAAGGATAAAATAAATGATCTAAAGCAGTTAAATTCCCGGCACCTACATAAATCTACATTTGACGAGACTTCAGATGAAGAAATTGCAATAGATAACTGTACTCGGGAAGTAACAAGAATGTTCAATGAAATTCATAGGTTATTGCAGGTGATCAAAAGTCATGCAACTGAAAGTGGAATTAAAGAACAAAGACTAACTGTCAATGTTTATCGTTCGCTAGCTGCTGCTCTACAGGATTTATCTTTTAGTTTTCGATCGACCCAAAATAATTATTTGAGGCAAATACAATCAAGAGAGGACAGATCAAAAATTTATTTTGACCAAAACGTAGATCTGGAATTACTAAATGAAGATTCAGAGGAAATTGATAATTATTTTATGAATTCCAAACATATTTCTCAGAACCAGCTTCTTCTGTTGGAGGAAGAGAATACTAAATTTGCACAAGAAAGGGAAAGGGAAGTGAACGCAATTGTAAAATCAATTGTTGATTTGAACGAAGTATTTAAAGATTTGAGTAGAATGGTTGCTGATCAAGGGACAATTTTAGATAGAATTGATTACAATATTGAACAGACACAGGTTCAAGTTTATGAGGGCTTCAAACAACTTCAGAAGGCTGATAATTACCAAAGGAAAAACAGAAAAATGTGTGCTATTATCATGTTAACTGCAACTACAATACTTTTGTTGCTTATTTTAATATTAGTTAAGTTCTAGTCCCCCTAATGAATTTTATTTTTAAGATATTAAAATAATTACCATGAATCTCAAATTCTAATGTTTACCATTTCCTTTCCCAGAGCTATTTATTTAATTAAATTATTGAATATTTCAAGTACTGTTTTGAAGAGACACTGTTTGAATTTTATATAGCAGTGGTTTGACCTTAAATGTGGCTTAAATTTGGCAATGACTGCGTGAACGTATTGAAAGCAATCATTTGTGATTCACTAAATGGCAAAAATATAAGTAAGTAATCTGTTTAAACAAAAATATGATATTTCTTAATATACATATTCAAAACCAAAAATATAACAAAAATTCCACCAAATGTTTATTCACTTCATTGATTTGACTAATAAAATTACAAAAACAAAAATTTTTGATGAAAATTAGATGTTCTCACTAGTTAAAATATATTTACAATTAATAAGGGACAAGTGAGTCTCTGATAACAAAATTTAAAAAAATACTAATCAAATATACAAATTAAATAGAAGATAAAAAATTAGATGGCAATATCAGAAATAATATTTATTAGATTTCTTTGTACATTTCGAAGACATATTTCTGGTAATCTTCTTTTTTATCCCAAGTTTCAGCAGCTAAAGCATTTAATGGACTATCAATGTTTGGTTCACCTAAAATATTCAATATTCAAATTTTCCTCAATGTAGATAAATAGACAGTGTATGAAAATTAAACAGCAAATTCTAAAAATGCTAATCTGACATATGGGTACAGGAATATATGTCATACTAACAGCAATAACTTGTATATTGGTGCTACTTACCTAACAAGGACTGAATGGATAATAAAATAGTTCGAACATCATACAAAGCCGACCATTTATCTTTTAAAATATCTAAACAAATATTTCCATTGGAATCAATATTTGGGTGAAAGCATGGCGTAATAAATTTAACAACTGGTGCACTGTAGGGATACGTGTTGGGAAATTGAAAAGTCAATTTAAATTTAAGTGTTTCATAGACTGAATCTTTCGGTCCAGATATTGTTCCGATCCATCTAAACAAGTTTTCCCCATCTGGAAATGCTGAAATGCTTTTGTCTGGAGATATCATCAGGGTCATCAGCTCTTTATGAAGTCTGAAACAACCAGGTAAATGACTAATAGGTAAGACAACAATTTTCAGGCATTACCTTTTTGTAACCGCATGACTGTCGTTTTGATGTTTTTTAGAATCATCGTTTTGCTTCACAGCACTAGATTGTTGCTCAAGCAAGGGATTAATGTTTTGCGACATTTTAATGAAGTTTTAGGTTTTAAAATATGTTGATTGATCGAAGAAAGATTACGGTTACTCGAATAGTATTATTTGACAGTTATTTGAATGGACCAATCAAAAGTATTGATTTAAAATTGGTTAGTTGAGTTGGATGTTACGAAACAAAGACGTTAAATCACAAGCCATAGACACAAAGAAAACGTAATATAACAAATGATAGATCTCTCGAAGAAACGTTACTTATTACTAAACAAGTTTGAAATACTTCTTGTGTAGGAAAAAAAATAGTTTGACTTTTTGATGTTGCTATTTTGGCTTTTAATGCAATAGATTTTGAAAATTGTTGTCCTACAGTAAACAATATAGTTACTAACAATTCTTTAATTCAAAATTACGTTTTTCTCTATACTTACACAAATTAATAATAATAAAATTAATAAGCCTATTAGTTACTAAATAATTAAAACTACTTTACAAAACGGTTGATTCAGCACATTACTGCCCTTTGATCTATCTAAGGATAACATAACTAGTTTGAGCTTTTAGCCACAGTTTATAGAACACCAACTCATTTTATTAAGGCTCTTAGATAATATAGTGGCCCTAACCAATAACCAATCTGTACGTTGCGACATTTTCTTTGTAAAAATTTTCCCAAAATATTTAGGAAATATATACGTATTTTTAGTAGCTATATAGAGGCCATGCTTATGCTAAAAATATAGGAATTTTTTCAGCCCCGATGAAAAAAATATTGAGATGGGCTATTTCATATAAGTATGAACATATCAATGCGCGCTATTAATTTACTGGTGATTGGCTTTGGTTACTAGCGAACTGGGCCTATTGGCATTTTGCTGCTTTATATAAATTTCATATTGATTTTTCTGAAGGCTTTTGTGAAATATTCCTTAATTATTCATAATCATATACGCACCGAAAGAGTAATTGGAGATAATAGTTAACTTACCAAATTCTGCTCTCTGTGGTTGTGGTCTGTGTCAACCATTCTTTCAGTTAAATTTTGATTTGGAGTTGAAACAATTTTGAAACGTTTTGTTGAGAAAAAATATTTAGTATGCAGAGGCAAACGCGTTTAGCACGCGAACTTTCAAAAATAGGTAATTCAGATATGAAAACAATTTGTGTGTTTGCAAAAGATGAAAATATGAACGTTTTGGAAGCTCAGATAATTGGTCCCGAAAATACCCCTTATGAGAAAGGAATTTTTAAACTAGAGATTATAATACCAGAGAAATATCCATTTATGCCGCCTTCCATAAGGTTTATTACCAAAGTTTATCATCCTAACATTGATGAAAATGGACGAATCTGTATGGACTTAATCAAAATGCCACCAAAAGGCAGTTGGAAGCCTACTATTGGATTAGAAGGAGTCCTGATAGCAATTCGAATGCTCTTAGAAACACCTAATCCAGATGATCCTCTCATAGCAGATATAGCTGAACAATATAAAAGATCCATTGAAGATTTTGTGAAGAAGGCTAAGGAATACACAATACAATATGCTTGTTGACAATTTAGCATTTTGAAGTTTCATGTATGTATTTAAGAAAATGTTATAATATACTGTAATAAATCACCAAAATTCATTATTTCCTGCTTATCACACAATTAAGCTGATAACATTGAATAACCATAATTACAGGAACTATTCAATTAATCTAATATAAATTGCAAAAAATTTGAAAACTAGTACCAGACTGATTCTGCTACAATCCATTATGGCAATTCATGTGTGAGAAATTATGAAAAATTTCAGGTTTTCTTTTATTTAAATTGATTTTATTTTGAAGCTCTCCTACTCAGATCAGTGTTTTCTGCACTATCACCTTTAATATGTAAACTTCTTCTATTATCATTGCTTTTTTTAGATTCTTCTACACATTCTTCCTTTTCTGATTCTGTAATATCATTCTCCAGAGCTTTAATAAAAGCTTCTGGATACTGAGCTGATATTTTTGTGCGGATTGCGCGAATTTTTTTAGAAATATAATCAAGATCCTTTTTCATATCTAAAAGTAAATGGATGTGTCTTTTGAATTCCGGCCCTACAGTTTTTAAACGATTTGCACTTAAGACATTGCAGTTTGTCAACATTTCATTGGTCTTTTCAAATCTCTGCAACCTGAAAAAAAGAAATTGGTTATAAATTCATTGTAGTATCACAAAAATGAAAACTGAATTATACATTTCCTTTTGAGCTCTGATCATAGATTCAACATCTTGCTGGTCAACAATTCCAGCTAGCCCTTGTATAAATACTTCCGGTGCCGAGTAATTTTGAAAACATTCTATGCTAAATTCGCTTTCAGGTGTACCCTTAGTTTCATCCATTGTTGATGTCAATAAAAAAGCTTTAATAATAAATGTAAATACAGCGTATTCCTCAAGTTTACGCGTAGAGTAGAAGGGATGATCATAGCAGTATTGTCAGTTGCCGTACCCATAGTTTCAATAGTAACTGATGATGCTTTGTTGTCAACTTTTCCATTGTGATTCCAAATATTTTCAAACTGGTCACACTGAATATTTTCTCTTTGACCTGGTTTTGGATGGACCTTTTAAGATATAGGTAATTTGGAATTATTTTCAAATAGTACTTTGAATATTTGAGGTTTTATAGGTTTCGGTGATGATCCACTTCTACCAATTCCTGTTTTGCGCAGAATCGGATATTATGTTGTCTCAATAAATAAATAAATTTTACAAGTATTCGTTTGAATTTTGAAACATGTTTAAATATTTGTAGTCTGCCTTGACCCATCGCGAAACTTTTTAAATGTACGTAATTCAGTTTATCTCAATTGACAGTATTAAATAAACACAATTAAATATTTAATAATTTCCTGGTTAAATCGAAAAAATATAACAGTTTGGCAATGCTGTATTATTTGGTGATCACAGTTAAAATCTACTACAAACGTAAACTGCAGGATTACTAATAGGGACATAACAATGTTGTAAAATAATATAATTCGGGTGATTTTTTTAAATAAGGTAATTCGGCCACCTGGTTTTATACTTTTAAACCCATCAGCACCACCATCCGCGGTCCCTTGTGTAGATTTTTTTTACTATTAATGGCCATGCAACAGGGGCAATTTGTCCAGCGGTGAGTGGTGGACAAACTCACTGGCCCTCAAGGATGCTTCAATGAGGAGGGTCCTTCGCGGATCCCTATAGAAAGATAAATACCAAATCCAACTAAGTCAGGGTTGATGGAACAGGATACTATTGATATGAAATTGCCCCAATGGAAAGAACAGTCGAATAACTCATGAGTTAGATAACCGAATTCACCACAATCGTAATTTTGGGTAGGCTTAACTCATATACAACCTAGGCCAGAGAACCAGCAATACCTATGTAATTGTGCTTCTTAACTGGCACGATGCATTAACTTCTTCCCATTGGACTTCTGTGTTGAACCTCAAGTCTTCAAAATATCACTTTTAACTCTAGGCAAGAACTCTAAAATATTAGGTAACCAATTGATCTGCAGTAACATGTGTGGCTACGGATGCAACACAGGTGATTGGCCTTGTTTTGTTAAAGTTATAACATATAAAGTAATAATCTTTCTTTTGGCATCCAGAAAGAGGTAATTAGCTTTAGTTGCCATTCTAATTTTGCAAATGTCTTGCATATGGATGGGAAGTCCTTGAACAATACAAATGTCGTTTCTTGGGCATGTTCATCCTTGCTTGCTCGCCACTTTCAACAGAAGACGCCAGCAGGATTCTTTGTTTATAGATGGATTTTGATGATTTTTTTTTGTTGGATAGAACTCTGAAATGTGCACTACAACTTTGTTTTGCTTATGGCTTCAACTTAAAGTCATGGCCAACTCGGACTGTTTAATAAAACTTTTTTGCTGGGTAGATCTTACTAAAGAGTAATGAAACGGGTTTTTCATATAGCATCGACTAAGAAATTTTTTCAAATTAAAATGACTACAGATTCATATTCAGGACTATCTAAAAGTAACTAGACCAATGTCCAAATTTTTTAATAACGATTATTTTCTATGTGATTTTAAAATATTACAAATTTTAATTATACAAATTCAAAAAATAATGATCAAAAAGACTTTTTAAGGGACATTTATTTTTTAGTGTCATCTTAAAACAACACCTTTAATAGATCTTATTATTCGAAAGTTCTAATGTAAACAAAATTAACATATAAATTAGCGAGTGAATTTCATATTTCTATTATTTTTATTATTAGATGGGAATTAAAAATCCTTTTTAATTTAAAACATACAGCGTTGTAAAGTTCATAACTAACTCTAATCATATTTCATTTTAAAAAAATCGGTAAGTGTCTTTCAATGAAATCTATCCTGAATAAGATTCTTAAAGAAATATTTAATATCCCTGCTCGATATTTGACATAAAAAATTAGTCCCGATTAGCCATGGCTTCAGGTTGATGTAATAAAAAACATAATTCTTTAGTGCTGTTTAGTCGCTCGTGTCAAATAAACTCTTGAGTCAAATGCCTTTTGCCGCACTGGTTGCGTTATATATTATGGGAGTGATGGTTGATATAAACGTTACATTTTGTTTTAATAATTTTTAATCTTCGTATTGGAGGGAACGTATACCAGCAGACAATAATTTATTTAGGACCAAAATATTATAACCTGCGTCCTATATGTGTAAAGAAAATTAAAAAAAATAATATTTTTTCTTTAAACGCCAAAAAGTATATTCTAGAAAACTCTTCCAGGTTTGGCTGGTATGCTTACTCTAAAATGTTTAATTAAACTGGCCTCTCTGATTTTAATTAGGATTTATTAATGCAGGTTTCTAATTTGATAAATTAATTAATGCTGAGCTTTCATACATGTAGGTATTTTAAACCTAGGTGTTAAGATCAAACGGTCATTGTAATTGTAATATTGAAATAATAATAATGTTTGTTGCAATGAATTGCGCATATCGAATTTAGAAAGGACTCATAATTTAAAAAAATTATTTTTATTAATTATTGAGCTACGGCAACACAGCTTTGTCAGTAAACAGTAAGGAACGCTTAAATATCTCCCGAAATTGCGCAAGCTGGAACGTGCTAACGGTAATGTCAGATTTACGATTTAACCGAAATTATAAATATCGTCGTGAAATCTGACAGCCCTGTCGTTTTTGCATGTTTAAAAACTCCCACGTATGGAATTTTATTATTCCATCTTAATAGGTATAAATAAACGAAAACTAATCTGATAACCCCAGGTGGTAAAGGAAAACGACCAAATTATTAACAAAATGTAGTGTTAAATTCAACAATTTAATTATATCTTAATTACTTAATCTTAATTGGTAACTCGAATAATACAAAATATAAAAATACAAAAAAAGCTACACTACTCGTTTCTTTCCGTTAATTTGAATTTAAGAGGTTGCTCCGGAACATAAGTGGGAGTGATTTTGTAAGTAAGAGGTCCATAATGATATTCCACCTTGTATTTTCTAAATATCTGGAACAAAAGCTAAAAATTTACCCCTCACCGTCGTCGAGTTTAAAACATGTTTACCTTAGCCAACAAAATATTTAATTCTGTTTCCGCAAATCTTCTCCCCAGACACGACCTTCTTCCGTATCCGAACGGCAAAGAGACGAAAGGATGAATTTTTTGCTGACGGTATATGGCACACTTTTCGGAGGCATGGGCCTTAGCTGTTTCCCCTTTGAGCCACCTCTCGGGAATATATTTTTCAGGATCAGAAAAATATTCTTCTATATTACTAACGACTAAGTGGGGAAAAATTATGTGCGTCTAAAAGTAAATCGAGAATCAAAGTAAGATTGTATAATAAATAATGGCATATTATACAACAAGTGCGGTAAACGGCATTTAACTCACGAGTTTATTTGACACGAGGGGAGCGAGTGTTTAATAAACGAGTGAGTTAAAAAGTTTACCGAATGTGTTGCATACTACACTTTTTCTACGACCGTTAGTTTTTGGGTACATTTTCGAAAAACAACACGAATACATTCACTGACGTAACTGTCAGAATTGACAAAGGTCAAAATTCAAAGCGTGGGAAATATTTCCTAAAACATCCGATTGCTTCCAAATCCGTGCGGTAAAATCCCGGAAATGTCCGAAGTGGCTCGGATTCATGGGAAACAAAACTGACGTAGTAAAGTGACGCTTCCCGCACTCTAGATCGGTGGGTAATTAGGTATTTTACAGACGGGAGTAGAAAAACAAATTAAAGGTATACTTGAGAATAGTGCTTTGAGCTTACTAGTACTACATTCCCTTAACCTAAATACCAACCATTTTTTTTTAATACATCTGACTCTCACATTTTTAGCTGGATAATCGGTAGTTTAGCACTTATTGCAAAAGTATGAATGTAATGTACTGTATTGGTACTAAATATTGGTCCCTAATTACGAATGGAGTTTTGCAAAAATTAATTCAAACAAATTGAAATTCTAATGTTAAAGTAGATCCTAAATAAAATTAGATTTAGGAATGTGCGTTGTATTTATGTAAACATATTTTAAATAGGTTATTTCCTGTCCGAAAAAAAATCCTTTATTACTAAGAAGCAAAAGTTGTTCTGGTTAAATTATTATATACAGGGTATAAAGTCACTTCAAAGGTATATGTATAATAAAGTTGAACATGAAGACAAATCATCTCAGATTGAAAATTTTCAAATAGAACGGCCTTTTTTTCTACGGAGTTGGTTGTATTTGTAATGCATTTATACCACGACATAAAGCATAAACCCACAGATGCAGAATTGAATACCAAAAGTACATTCACGTCTATTTTCCAAGTAATTGTATATGGAAAGCAGTAACGATCCATTTTTTCGATTTTACCTAACGCCATTTTTCGCATCATTTTCATTAGCATCAAATTTTCCCACATATTCTGATATAAAAAAAAAAGCACTTACCCCTTTGGGCACATGATAGCCCGCCAATATAGTATCCGACTGAAGGCTTCTACCATTTCCGATAATGACCGGATACATCCTAAAATTACAACTATTTTGTATTAAATTAGTCCAATGAAAAACATAAATAGCAACTAGCATATTACATCAACAATACAATTGGGAATTATCAGTAACACTTCATTCTCTTTTTGCACATCAATATAATAATAATATATAATAAATATAATAAAATAAAATACCTATGTACAGGGTAGTCGTAATTGGAGTGGTTTAACATAAAAAAAATCTATTATATGAAAAGTCTGAGTACGCCACCGCATTTTAGGCGAATAACGCCCTAATTGTGTTTTCAACAAATCAAACATTTTCTTAAATTAAAAAGTTATGGAAAATTTTCTGAATGGCCGAAACTTGAAAAACGCAGTATATCTTGGACGGTAGCGAATATATCGCCATTACCATTAAATATTTCTCCAAAAAAAGCCCATGTGAGCTGACTTTACTTTATCTAATTTGGAAATAGCATTTTCCTGGTAAAACGCTTCAATTGCGACCACTTATGATAAACTTTGTGTTTGAAGGAATGCGTAAATAAATCAAAAAATAAGATTCTCAAACTCAAATAACAGTTAAAAAAACAATTTTGATAACCCTTAACTCACAAACTTACCCACAGTTATAAATGACAACACGAGAACTTTTAATTTATTACTTAAGTTTACCTCAGCGTTTCTTTTATGCACGCCTTGAGATAAGGCATATTATCTTGAGCGGTGGCATCAACTTTTGAACTTGGTGTTGGTAGCACTTGTTTCAATTCATCAAATAATCTCTGTTGCTTGTCTTCATTTTGAGAGAGCTGATAAAGCGTTGATGCTGCAGCAATTGATGTCTGAAAGTAAAGGAGCAGACTACATTATTACAGACTACTTTCCATCGCTTTTATTGATGGCAATTTTTGAATTAGTATATTGCACAATCCAAAGAAGACCGAGAAAAATTACTTTTAGCAAATATTTTCGAAGATATTTAGCATTTAGTAGTAGTATTAGTATTAGTGATACTGGATACTGAATTTTGTTTAAGATTCGACTAAATTGTTTCCGAGTTTTTCATTCGAATAGTGTTGGCTTTTGGTTAATTTAATTATAAATATTTCCTTGCGTAACCAAAACATGTTGTATTAGGGTAACTGTACATTCTCTAAACCAAATTTGTTTCACTCTATTTCTCGGTTATGGGAACGACTTGCTACTCTCCTACATTCTCAACCAACAAGACCTCTATTAACACCTCCAACATCACATGGGCATGAAACGCTAAGATATGAATGATAAGATAAGAAATATATATAGAGTTCAGAATACAGCAAGTAAGTGTTTACCATAATTTTATCAAAAAAAGATTGTAACACACGAATGACAATGCTTTATAGTTAATAAATACAGTCTCTAGTTTAAATAATTAGAGATTATTTGACGTATAAAAAATAACACAAACATTTTGATCTCACACACTAATTCTTAGATCGGTATCGACGGCTCAACTATTGATAAGTGTTCGCGAATACTGTTTCTCATTTTTTTTTTATGTGATGTGATGAAATGTGACTATTTTAATTCGCTTTAAAATAAATATACCATAGTTTGAAACTTTTAGATGGAAAATTAATTGCTCATTTACGTGCCAGTGCAAGTATTAAATATGGGGTGTTACATTTAAAATTTCCAAGTAACATGGATTATTATATCTTGCCAATTGGGCCTTATCTTAATAACGCCCTGCCTTGTACGCGATAAGTTAATTCTCATACTATATTATGATAAAGCAATTTAATAGGAAATCGCAATCAAAAATTCAAGTGTTTACCTGTAGGGGTAGCGAAAATTATTATTATTTTATATCGTGCTGTTGTCAAATTCCTTAAGAAGTCTTTTTTACCTCCGAAAATGTTCAAGATAGGTATGGTACATGTTACATACAAAAGTTGAAGAATGTTTCGCAGATTCTAAAAATGTAATAATATACATCCATTTAAAAAACTTCAGTTGATATAGGTTACGAGTATATCTGGCAACACCGCATGGCCAAAAATACTTTACATTCGCTTACATTAGAAACCAACATTCCAGGTTTTTACCTGAAAATAAAATTGAAAAAACTGGCGAAAATATATATTTTTTAAAGAAAACCACCTATTTTTATAATCATATCTTATTTATCATTTAAAATTAGAAGCACTTTGGAGTGGATTGTATATTATATATTTTTGAGATATTTCATTTTTTCTTACTTGGTCCGCTCTTAACGTTCAAAAAATTTCAACATTTTGAGTTACGCTATTATTTTATTTTAAACAACCTATATTGTAATGAAATGATGATAACGGAATATTATAGAGTTTCTTGCTTAGAATTCATTGTTTTATTTGGATTTATTTATTTTGTTATCTTTTTTTATATATTTTGAGTATGCACACTAAAGTGAATGTTTAGGTAAATACAAAATTGTCCAACCAACAGTTATTCTAGGCCGCAGCAGCTTTTCACGCAATTTTCGAAAATAGTGATACAGTCCACATTGTTTCAAATGGTATTTATCACGGGAAACATAATAAGATGCCATCGGGTACGGTACTGCGCTGTTCATGATAATTTGATACCTATTTACAGTGTTAATTTTGAAAGATAGAAAAAAAAGTGTAAATAAAAAGTTTGAAGATTTTTGCTCTATTATCTTATACAAATGTCAGAAAAAACAAATGATGATCGAAATCTGTCAAAATTACAGCAACATCTTTTTTTTAATGGAATGCCCTATATATTATTGTCTTAAATCGTACATCTTTTTTTCCTGATTTCAAAAACATATAGTTTACTGACATTTCATTTAGCTCTTTTTGAGATATTTCAGTTTGAAAATAATTATCATTCGATTTCTGGACAATAGCCATATTCTTTAAAAATGGTCAAGTCTGCCTTGATAGCAACCATAACATCTATGCTTGCAATTGTTTTAACAATGTTCTACTTTTGACAACTAATCAAAACTAAAGATCTGCAGCGTAAATTAAATAACTTAAGATATTCCAAATGGGCTATACTCAGGAAGAAAAACGCCCAATAATAAAATTATATTATTCAAACAATAAAAATATCAATAATTATTGCTAAACATTTTCCACATGACCTCCATTATTTTCTATACATCGGACAATATTTGCTTCGAATTTCCTATTAATACACGAGGTGATAAAATCAGAGTTTTCTCTGTTTAGATCTTGCAAAGCGAAAATAAGTCTTTCTCTTATCACTTGTAAACTTTTAGGCCTATTATAAATTTTATTTTTTAAGTATCCCCACAAAAAATATCACAAGGATTCAGGTCGGGGCTGTTGGCAGGCCAATTCATAGTTTCTTGCCTACCTATCCAAAATCTATATTGATTATTTAGATAATCGGTAAACGGTTGGACATTATGTGGAGGTGCGCCATCTTGATAACAAATTAAATTTAAATAATTCCTAACTGGCACATTTTCTAACAACTGTTGCAAGGAAATTTAAATATCGTTGGCCATTCAAAAACGGCTAAATGAAATGCCAATAAGCTATATGTTTTTGAAATCAGGAAAAAAAGGGCATTATATTTAAAAAAAGATGTTGCTGCCATTTTGACATTTGCATAAGATAATAGAGCAAAAATCTGTCAAATTTTGTATTTACACTTGTTTTTGTATTTTTCAAAATTAACCCTGTAGGTGGGTCTCAAAATTTAATGAATAACATATTTAAGATAGGAGCAATTTTTTTTAATGGAACGCCCTACATTTTTGAAAGATTCGATTGAACTTTTTATACGCTTTTCAAAAATGTCTAAATATGTAATTTAAAAGAAATGTATTTTTTACATTTTGGAAAATATACTTCTGTTCTATCCTAATTATTACATAACGTTATTATTATTTTATTATTATAAAAAAAATAGAGTAGGCTATGAAAATGTTGAGTTTATCAGAAATCAAGTACCACAATAATATAATCTGGAATAAGTACCCTCTATTCCAAATAGCTGTTAGATTATGAAGGTAAAAATTAAAGCGCTTTAGGTGGCTATGATATTTTCGTATGTATGATCAGCATTGGTGCGGACTCTATATCGCTGTCGTATAAATTAATCGGTTTTTCTTGTTTACTTGCGACCCCTAACTATTTATCAACTCAAATTTAGCCATAAATGGATGAAATGGAGATGTATCTAAGTTGATTAAAAAATTTCCGGTAAGACATATATGTATTAGAAGTGAATGTTTGAATTATTAGTGTTTGTCACGTCCGGTTCCGTGGACCACAGAGAATCACGGGGCAAAATATGTATATAATCAGTCTTGTTGGTTCTTACCGTGTCTACACCTACTAGCAGCAAGTCCAAAGCAAGCACCGCTGCCAACTTTGGATTTTTTGTTTCCTTTAAAATCCTTTCCACAATCGAAATATCTTGTTCTTTAAGTTGCTCGAAGTCTTTGTACGCCATACTTTCCACCGTTTGATTGATATATTTTAGGCACGTGCTGAAACATAATTTTTTGACTATTAACTAAAAAATGTATTAAAAAAAATATTTTGTACAAACTCATTTAAAATGTTGAAGAAATTTTCCTGTCGATTTACATTTAAAATTTATAGTTTTGTTATTTTTGTATTGCTCAAAAAAATATCGGAGCGTAACGGAGTGAGGGCTTAACAAGTGTGTGACTTAAGGAATTTGTCAACAATACTTTTTCTACTTTTTTAGTTTTTAGGCACATTTTTGCAAAACGGCACAAATACATGGCATGTGACATGATAAATTTGACAAACATGATTTAAAATATGGTCTGTTCATAGATATAAGAAAGTGACCAATTGCTTTTATATGGGATTATCCAAGGGTGGTCATTAACATGCAATGCAACAAGATTATTACCTAAAGTTTCGGAATTTAAATTCAGGTAAAATTGTGGTCCGTAATAGAAAATAATTTTATACCTACCTGTGTTTAATATTCTTTGGTTTGGTGTTCTACTTAGTTTAAGTTTATTACTAATGATTCTTATTTCGTGTGTAATACAGCTTGTGTTGAATCCTATGCGAATTATGCAAAATATGTGCGAGTCTAGTGTATCTTAGGAGATGCTCCCGCCCAAATGTAGAAAACACTATTCTATTGAGACTAAGGAAGTTATAAATAATGTTTGTTTGACTCTCATTGAACGTGGTGCCAGCAAGAAAGCATCTTTAGAAGAAACGGCCACATTGACGAAAATTCCAACATCAACTGTATGGAAAATTGTGAATAATTCCATTTCAGCGAGGAAAAAAAGAAGCGATGTTGACATTTTCTCGAGTGTAGATGAAAGTGATCCAAGATATAATACGGCGTAAAATTTACCAGTTATACGAAGAACAAAGCGTGCCTACATTAGATATCTTAATTAGGAGGTTTGAAACCTGTGTTAAATGTGGGAGAACTAGCTTATGGAAGTGTATTCAACACATGGGTTTTAGATTTAAAAAAATTGACATATTGCAAATAATATAGAACAAATAATAATTAGAACAGGTGATGATAGCGATAGTGATTCTGATATATTATGTGATAATTTTAAGTAATTTGAGTAGGTAATAAAAATAATTTGTAATTTTATTTTAGATTTAAACATAAATAAATACATAAATAAATAAATATTGTTTAGTATCTTTCCTAACAAAACCCCAAATAATTAAATTCTAAGCAAAGTACGGACCTGTTCGGCCATATTTCATTCTTAAAGCTTGCCCGGGCCTTTCCTTAATTCGTATCAGTTAGTCACTTTCTTATATCCATGAACAGACTTTACCTCTCACATCTTAAATTTGCATCCGTTCAAAATTCCTTTTCGCAAGCTTCAAATTTTTGAAGACGGTGGGAGTTTAACTGATTTGACAGAAGTTGAAAAATTTCTAACTACATGAAGTGACTGAACTAGTTGATTAGCCCTTCCTTTAATTGGTACTGTTCTTTACAGTTCTTCGGCGGATCTGTGGGTTTTTAAAGTTAAGAGTTGTGTTGAATAGTGGAAAAAAATCCTTATTTAAGAACAACTAAACTATCCATCCCCATATTTATGTAATCCGTAGAGACTGCTGCTCGTGGACTGCCACTTCGCGCAATCCCTTTTTTTTGGAAATTTAATGGAATCTGGACATATGTTAAAGCAATCTGCAAAAAAAACTGCAACGTCCAAACGGAAAACTGTCAAATTGATGACCTGTCAACGGTCATGTTGATTGTTGTCATGGGTTCGTTTTTTTTTCACGGTTCCTGTACGACCAGCATAGACAAGGCCTCTATATAGGCTGTTATTTTATAGATATCGTATAATCTAATTGGTGAATCTGAATCGATATTTTGTTCTGTACAAATTAAATAATTCAACATTGTCAAATAATCGGAATATATTTGAGCCAAATATTTTATATTAATTTCGATAAATAAGCCATATGTTACAAATTGCGTTGATTTTAATAAATTAGTACCAAGGAGCAAAACTCTTATATGTTTGCTAGCTTGGACAAAATAAGATATACTCGTTCCATAGCTGCACGTTTTACTTCTCACCTGACGTAATTTTCTAATGTACCCTTGGCAAATATCGCTTAAAGTTGTCGGTAATTTCTCACTCGAGCCTTTATGACCATATAGCTACTGGAAATATAGAAACTTAGGAAGCGGCTAAAAAAACAATTTTTGGGAAGGTCTATTCTACATGCGCATGCGCTTGATTTAAAATTTTGTTTTTAGTCAATGACCTTGCAGCATTGAACACCAACAGGTCCGTCAACGTCGATAAGTTTGGACGTGACATTTTTACTACAGCATTTCTTCAAAATATACCTAGATCTCGTTAAATGTGCTTCGAAAACGAGAAAATGGCGTAATGTGTAGGTTAGTGGTTACGAAAATATTAATGCCACCTGCGGCGCATTATCTAATGGCCATATGCTTATAACACATTGCTCCATAAACACTCGAACAGTGATAATAAAATAAGCACAAAAGAGTATTAGTATAAAATAAGAGTATAATAAATAGAATTCACTTTTATTTACTTTCAAAACTTCCACAGGCTACTGAAATGATTTTTACAAATTTAAAAATTTACAAGGGATAATGCAAACCAGCTCTGAAGCAGCCAACAGGATAATTGGCGAAACGTCAGCAAGTTCGATTGATCAATGACGTAGGCGGAATTCAGACAATAAAATAAACAAATAGGACTTGCGGTCATTGACTCGCGCTTGACCTAACATTCAATGATCTATGGTTAGGTATTTTAAAATATATACAAATTAATTAATTCTTAGCTAACCACAGAAGAGGATTAATGAGCGTAGTTAGGTTTAAAACTACCGTTAAGATGCTAGTGAAAAAGAACAGCTTATTTTATTGTTTTTATGAGCGATAATTGCTGCGCCACCTATGTTCTAAAGGGTGAATCATTAATTAGTAAGTTAAGATTGTTTAAGCTATTTTTTAGTTGCAAATAAATGTTCTTGACACACAACAGTAAAAGTGTTTGTGATTGGGATTTTCAACATTGTACCTATTTTACTATAACTAATCAAGAAAATAGTTTCTAGTGCTGGTAGAGTAATAGTTTTTCTACTCTTTTCTATAAAATGTATCATTGTTTAGAGTCACTTCGGACACTTCCGGGGTTTCACCGCACGGGTTTGGGAGCAATTTTCGGAGATATCTCTCTAATAATTCTGTCGGTCATATCAGTGAACGAATTCGTGTTGTTTTGCAAAAATGTACACAGAGATCAACGGTCGTAGAATAGTATATTATGCAACAAGTGCGGTAAACGGTATTTGAGTCACGAGTTTATCTGGCACGAGCGGAGCGAGTGTTTATTAAACGAGTGACTTAAAATCTTCGATATTTTACTATGATCTTTTTGCAGTATTTGCCTCTTTTTTCCTTGTGTTTTGGAAAGTCTCTAATCTCCTCTCTCTCCAATTAATGTGCCAATCAGATGTCCACACGCGGTTTTATTTGGTAGTATGTTCGACTGTGTTCCATATTTAGGAACTTTTAAGTGCGGGTTCATTTAATCCTTCCATCAAGATGGCAACGGGAGTAATTATTGTATTTACTAAATCACACTATTATTCGTTTCTCCTTCAGAAAAATTACTAAATGTTTATATGTATTCTAAATATACCTAGATATCATATTATCTTCAAAACATTATTTCTAGTGGCAGCTAGGTATACCTACTATAATACTAAGCGGTACTTAGATAAATAGATGATATTGAGGAGCAAGAATTCAGGTGCTCTTCAAAGCGTTATAGGAAGTTTTTTATTTTTAAGTTGTAGATGCAATTTTAAACCAGATTTCAATAGTATATTATGCAACAAGTGTGGTAAACGGCATTTGACTCACGAGTTTATAAGAGTTTAATAAACGAGTGAGTTAAAAAGTTTACCGAACGTGTTGCATACTACTTTTTCTAAGACCGTTAGTTTTTGGGTACATTTTAACAAAACAATACGAATACGAAATACGAAATATCTCCGACAACATCCGATTGCTCCCAAACCCGTGAGGTAAAATCCCGGAAATGGCCCAAAGGGCTCGGATCCGTGGGAAACGAAACTTATGTGATGTTTCCCACACACTAGATCGGTGTGTAATTAGGTATTTTACAGACGGGAGTAGAAAAAAATATTAAAAAAATTTAAGGATGATAATGTTCCCACCGCCAGGCGTTATTTCCTTGTCGAAAAATCTTTGCTGGACGCACTATTTGTTCTGGGGCACACAACAGCATCGCAACACGATTGTAAAGTTATAAAAAGGTCTGTCTTTGACACTATCCGTTACTACCAGTTTTATTTTTTTATGTTTATTTCGATTATTCGTTTCGAAATCTGACGAATTGCGTGTGAACAAAAGTAGATGCGGTAAGTGTACCGCCAAATTGGGCGATCAGTTCGACCTACATAGTTTTCAAATACCACGGGAAAAAGTTATACCACAGCCCATAAATTTATTACGCAGCTCAACTTAACAGAATCTTTACCGGTTTGACACACTTTTCCTTGTTTTACTTTCGATTTCTTTCGGTTGCTCTGTACCTCTTAAGCGAAAGTTGGCATTGACCATGAAACCTCGTCGATTTAGCACAATGACGAAGAACGGTAAGTTTAATTATATAACCGTTAAAGAAATGAGGGGTTATTGTACTTATTTTGCGATCGTTTTATTTTGTTTGAGATGAATAGCGACAATCTAAGGATTAGTATATCATGCGCAAGCAAGTTTTGAATTGATTACCCATATTGGGCAAGAATTAAATGCTCTAAAACTGGGAAAGCGACCACCACAAAACGACTCCATTTTCGATAAAAATTATCACCGTCGGTCACATGACTGGTTGAAAATTACCGCACACTAGCACCGCTAAAAAAGGATTTTTTAAAATTGTTGCCCGTATAAAATGTAGGAAACTAAGCGTTCACTATCGCCTAACGTCGTTTGATAGTTGGTCAGTTTTAGCGATACAAGATATTTTTCTCATATTTGATATCTGATAGTTCATGTTGGGTCATTAAAATAATTAAAGAAGGAAGGTAGGGACATTAAGAATAAAAATAAAAAAGTATTATTTCTACTCGTTTCTGTAAAATACCCAATTATCGAACGATCGAGTGTGCGTGGCATTTGACCACATCAGTTTCATTTTCCACGAATCCGAGTCACTTTGGACTTTTCCAGGATACTACCGCGCGGTTTTGGGAGCAATCGGGTGTTTTCGGAAATATTACCCACGGCTTGAATGTTGACTTTTTTTTTGAATTTTGACGTTTGTCAATTCTGACGGTCATGTGTTGTTTTGCAAAAATTTACTCAAACTTTTTAAGTCATTCATTTATTAAGCACTCGCTCCGCTACGCTCCGCTCGTGCCAAATGAATTCGTACTTTAAATGCCATTTTCTACACATGTTGCACAATATATTATTAGCTTACCGTCATAATAGACGATAATGTTCCCGAGCATAATATTCTATTATAGATTAAAATGCGTAAATGCGATGCATATATGTACGTGTTATACAGATATAAACACAGGGAGTTTGCAAAAATGTTTAAATTTTCAGAAATTATGGTGAATATTTTTTTGTTTTTAACGAAATATATTGCTGTTTCATTATATTCATATAGCTACTATACAGGGTTTTTCACTTAAAACTCCGCACGCCAATAACTCCAAAACGAAAAGAAATATTTAATTTATGTAAAAAGTAGTCACAGTGTGGGGTCAAGTAGATATTTCCTAAAGTTTAAAAAATTCGACGCCTGCAAAGAGCTGGGCGTCGCGACGCGTCGAAAAATTATTCGATTGCAGAGACTTTGGAAATACGCGCATACAAAAGTACATATTATTTAAAAACTTTTTTGTTATTTACTCAAACTTATTTACTTTACCCGTTTCTAAGTTATACTGATTTAAAGTAAACATTTCTTGATTAATAAAAAATGTGATTAACGCTTATTTTTACAAGTATGCCGTGAATGTTAGTTACTATGGCAACCATTGTTATCGCAGTTGTTTTAAGTGCAATTACAAACAATAGATTTCAACTATTTTAGTATGATTTTATTTATTATTTTTTATCGATTTAGTTCTGATAACATGATAAATAAATGAAAAAACAGTAAAATACCTACAAGTTAATAACCAAAATTATTATTGCAATTAACTACATAAGACATTTCAAAAATTTTGTTCAAAATTATGTCCATCTGCTCGAACACAACTATCAAAAACTTTTAACAGATGAGCTTGGGTCACTTGTAGGAGAGTCCTTGTGATAGCGGCACCCGCTGCACTAATTTTGTTAATGAGATCAGCCATATCTTCGATAGGTTCTTTATACATAACGTTTTTTAGGTAGCCCCAAAGAAAATAATCTGGTGGTGTAATGTCCGGGGACCTCGCCGGCCACCTTACCGGTCCATTAGTACCAAACCATCTATTGGGATATTCTCGGTTCAAATACCTCGTTACTATTTGGGCATTATGTGCAGGCGCTCCATCCTGCTGTAGCCACATATTCATTCTAGTGTCAAGAGGCACTTCTTCTAATAGTTCCGGAAGTGTAGTTTGAAGAAATCTTAAATAGCGATCTGCATTTAAAGTTCCTTCGTAAAAGTAAGGTCCAATAAGGAATCCATTTAATATGCCGCACCAAACATTGATACTAAAAATTCGTTGGTTACCTCTTTCTGTAATCCAACGAGGATTGTTTTCGGACCAAAAACGACAGTTGTGTCTATTAACGATTCCATTATTTTGAAATCGACTTTCGTCGCTCCATAAAATTTTCGAGAGAAAATTTGCATCTTGGCTATACAAATCGGACAATGTCGCTAAGAAATACATTCTTCTAGCATAATCGCCTGGTTCTAGTTTATGAACTAGTTTACTTTTGTACGGGTGAAAAGAGTTTCTATGTAGAATTCTCCACGAAGAACTTATGGTAACACCGGTATTTTCTTTTATCTCTGATAGGGATATCTTGGGGTTATTATCAACCTGCTGAATTACAGCAGCAGTATTTTCATCATTTGTAGCCGTCCTGTTCCTATCTCTTTTAGGTTTTATGAAGCTGCCATATTCTCTTAAGTTTTTACATAAACTTGAAAAGGTTTTTGCATCGGGGACTCTTCTATGCGGATAACGCCGTGCGTAAACTCTTTTTGCTTCTCTACAATTGCATCTGCATTCTCCAAACACCAGTAACATGTCTACTTTTTCCTCATTGCTAAATTGCACCATTTTCACATAATAATTCTTAGTTTTTTTTAAACCGAACAAATTTGGATATTTCTTGTGACAAAATGTGACAATTTTTTGATTCAGCAATAACAACTTACGTTTGTAATTGCACTTAAAACAACTGCGATAACAATGGTTGCCATAGTAACTAACATTCACGGCATACTTGTAAAAATAAGCGTTAATCACATTTTTTATTAATCAAGAAATGTTTACTTTAAATCGGTATAACTTAGAAACGGGTAAAGTAAATAAGTTTGAGTAAATAACAAAAAAGTTTTTAAATAATATGTACTTTTGTATGCGCGTATTTCCAAAGTCTCTGCAATCGAATAATTTTTCGACGCGTCGCGACGCCCAGCTCTTTGCAGGCGTCGAATTTTTTAAACTTTAGGAAATATCTACTTGACCCCACACTTTGACTACTTTTTACATAAATTAAATATTTCTTTTCGTTTTGGACTTATTGGCGTGCGGAGTTTTAAGTGAAAAACCCTGTATATGTAGATAGAGGCTGGCCTATGCTGATAATACAGACATTTTTTAAGTCCACTATATTAAACTAAACTAAACTTAACAAACGAGTGACTTAAAAAGTTTACCAAACGTGTTGCATACTATACATTTTCTAAGACTATTAATTGGTGGGAACATTTTTGCAATAAAACATGAATACATTCACTGAGTGGCTTTTGACATGAAGCCTTAGGTAATATCCGAAAACATCCGATTGCCCCCAAACCCGTGCGGTAATATCCGGGAAAAGTCCTAGTATATTATGCAACAAGTGCGGTAAACGGCATTTGACTTACGAGTTCATTTGGCATGAGCAGAGCGAGTGTTTGATAAACGAGTGCATACTGAACTTTTTCTACGATCGTTAGCTTCTGGATACGTTTTTTCAAAATAACACGAATAAATTCACGAACTTGACCGTCAGGATTGAAAAACGTCAAAATTCAAATTGGGCGGTAAAATCTCCGAAAACATCCGATTGCTCCCAAACCCGTGCGGTAATATCCCGGAAATGCCCGAATGGGCTCGGATCCGGATAATTGGGTATTTTACAGAAGCTAGCAGAAAAAAACAAAAATCTAAGCTCTTTAACCTAGGCTCACGTGCAAGTTTAATTCTAATTATTATTTAGAACACTCACTTACGTTCTGAAATCTTCCAACGCTGCTATGTAATTTCGGAATGCTTTGTTTTTGTATATTCTCCAAATCGGAAATTTTAATTCCACCTCAGCAACGTTCCAGAAGAACGTATTGATGGAATCGATGATGCGCTGCGATTCTGAATTAGAAGGCAAGTTTGGAGATAAACATCCCAACCGCGTGTTTAGCGATACTCGAGCTACCGCTAACAAAAAAAATGCAAAAAAAAAATCAATTTAATGGAATAGTCGTGGCTCTAGCCAAATGAAATTATACGGGGATTTAAAAATTTGGTCAAATTTTGTGATCATTTTTGCTCAAGGTTGAGTTTTGCACGTTATTAGTTTAGAAATATGTGTTACAACAAACAAAGTTGATAAAGAAGCAGCACAGAAAAGTGTGGTGACGGCTGTAGCGGGTACATCTCAACCGATCAACTGTTCGCATTGCAAAATACTCCCACGAAATTGTCTAAACACTCTTTAAATAAAAACATATATAATTACGAAGCAAAAACTCCAAGCTCAGTACTCACCCCTACAAATGGCAATAAAATGAATTTCGTAGTAGAAAGAAAGTAAATTTCAAAGACCATAATCATCCAACTGATTGATCAAAGCAATTTTTGGTATGTGTTTTGGTTGAAACGTCAATTGGTATTCCTAAATTTTATTTATTCAGTACCAAAAATTTATTCTAAATTTTTAAATCCAAAATCTAAACACCTAGTGACCTATTATGAGTAGTACTTATTTTAGATTAAGTCTTGATCTGCTCTTTTTTGACTTCTTTTATTTAACAAGAAAAATAAATATATTTTAAATTTGAAACTGGGAAATGGTAAGCTGTCGGTTTGCATTTGTTAGTACAAAACGTGCCACGACTATTTATTCTGTGGTTAAATCCACTATTAAATGGGTTACTAATTTGAAATAACAATTTTTTCCTAAATATTTGGAATGACAATTTTTTTATAAATAAGACAAAAACTTTTTGCATTAAAATAAGAAAATTCATTTAATTCTCTGAAACGCTCATCAAAACTACGAAATGTCAATTTTTAAATTAGGTAATCGTTCGTGGCGTGGTGCGCCGTTAAATTGCTACATGTTTCAACATGTAATTTGAGAGACAGGATTGTTAAAAAATGCAGATTGCTTTCGCAGCTGCTTGCATTGTTAGTCACAATTCGCTATGACAATACAACAGTTTTTTAGCGCTGTACTTTCAATATTTGTTGTTCCATATTTAAAATAATAAATTAAGAAATTGGTTCAAATTAAATGGATACTTACATTCGAGTGCCCACTTATAAATTTCGTATAAAAAATTGCCAGGAAGCTCGTGATTGTGGTCCAACGAATTTTCCATGCTGAAAAAAAAACATAAAACTTTAAAAGTGGCTTGTTTCGAATGTCGCAGAATATTTGTAAACGAAAAGTCTGCAACAATAATTGTTTTTATAAAACTACGTAACTTTTATTAGGCAACAGATTATGTTGTCGCTTATCTCCCACTGAGAGTAAATTACGGTTTCCTGAATTTTTTTCAATGGAAACTTTTAATTATCTATTCGGCATCAAAATACTATTTGAGGGCCGTCTTGGATGTAAATGTTACATATAATACCTCATTTTATCGAAAAAATCATAGTTTCCACAAACAACTACTAGTTACGTCAAATATGGAGCTTTATCTGCATAAAGGACTGTAAGTACTCTTACTTACTATGTTAAAAAATCGATTCAACGTGCTTAGATCTGTAGAACAATGTACGTTGATGATAATATTAATTCAATCATTTAAATGCGAATGCAATATTTTGGATAAAACTATCATTAAAATTCGAAGTCTCTAATTTGATCGCCGGTATTATAAGACAAAACCATTGGACGGTCCATTGATTACTCGAATATAATTGTTGATCAACTTTTTGTAAAAAGCACTTAGTTAAGTTAGTTATAAAACGAAATCAATTTTGCCTAACCAATTTTTAATGTGTTGTCGTAACAAATAATTACTTTTTTATACATTGAAGTGCCGACAATTTTATAAACTACTTGAAATAGTTGATTGCGCAAACTTTAGAGGGAAAAAAATGTTAAAGAATTGCCTTTTTGAAACCTATGTTGTTGTGAATTGTGCGATATGCAATTTTCTCACATTCTTCCTAGATTACAGTTTTGGTGTTTTCTAAAATACTATTGCTTCCGGTAGATGACTACCAGATAGATTCCAGTGTTTTACAAAATCGTTGTATAAAGTTTGGTTCTAATAGATTTTGTAGATACGATTACCGCTTTTGTGTTGACTTAAGGTGAAAAGTGCCAAATAGATTCATTATTAGGTACTAATTTATGTAAACTATGATGAAAGTCATTCGTAATAACAAATCATATATTTGCTAACATTTTTTGAACAAATTTCGACATAATATAGATGTGGGTGAATTCGTACGGCAGTTCCCAAATTTGTAAAGCTCGATTTCAATGTAATTTTGTAAATTGTGAAACACGAACTAAAATTTTGAAATTGGAAAGTGAGAAATCGAAAAGATTTGATATTTGGCACACAACAACATAAATATTTTATCTTAAAATTTTTATAATAAAGTATATATTTCGATAGTTTTATATCTCTAACTCTCGTATGAAATTAAATGGTGGCAGAACGTGTAAGCTTCCAGACAGTGAATAGGGGATTTGAGTTGAAGGAAAATGCTTCCCCAGAGTCAGTTGTTGAATTCAGATACGTACCGATTTACAATCCAACTCCAGAATCGTATATTGTTGGATTGTAATTATTGTGTAAAAAATCTACATCCGCATTTCTCAACACGTACTACGGAAGGCTATTTAAAAAAAATACCTTTGGCGCGGCGTCAGTTTGCAACAGAAATCAAACTTGACCCCAATTAAATCTCCTTTCTTAGTTCATCAATTTCTTCAATGTTCTTACACAAAGTATTATATAAGAGTTGTTTATTTAAAATATTTCTATTTAGCTGAATGTTACAATTTTCCGATACAACGATAATTCTAATTTATGTACGTGGGATCTGAGATTGCTTCACACGGTTTGCGGTGTTAATAAAGCAATTATTATAAAAAGTGTTGCCGCATAAATTTGCGCACATTTCTTCACTATATGATAATAAGTGCTACTTTTGGGTATAACATCCGAATTTTGATGCACATTTCATTTAATGAAGATAGAAAATGAACTCTTAAAATAATTTTCAAGAATTTGATACCCTTTAGAATCGTACTCTGGCCTCCAAAATAGGGTAGGAGAAAATAAATAAAATGTCGATGAAGTGCATGAAATTTGATGCACATGTTGCAAAAAAATTGTTTTCTACTCTCCACTATGAAATACACAATCATGGATATTTTTATTATTGGCGCTGATTAAGAGTTTACTAGAAAATGACAAGGATATTTTTGGTAGGTTTAAAATGCTAAAGTTTTTTGACGTTTGTCAGCTCTGATGGTTCTGCATTCATCACGTCATCAGTGAATATATTCATCAACCAAGTGTATCTTTTTTTGTTTTGTTTTTGTTACACGGACCTCTCAAATGTTACGCTCCTGCCAGAATTTGACATTTATATTTTTAGAATTAGATCAGCAATTACTAAAACGAAAATATTTCAAAACTTTCTCACAACCTGTTTCGGAAATATTCATAAAAAAAGCATTTTCAGGTTCACTCCTGTTGGGACCTGTGGCTCCGTTAAGGGGAGTTTTTCGGCATATGTTTACCTAGAAAACTAGGACCCCCACCGATATCAGAGCCAGCCTTTATTTGTTGCATTGATTGGAGCTCGAGGTGAAGTGTGCGATTTGCAACTTGTAACTCGATTTAGTCTGGACCTGCAAACTTCATGCTTCGTACAACAAATATGCAATTTTTGCATTAACTGTTTTATGTAAAATATAGTAGATACAATGATGTGAAAATCATTGCCGAATACGACATTAGTAATTAAAATAGTGAATGCAAGCACAAAATTGCTTTTGTCATTAATCGTTCCGTAATATTGTTGAAAATCTACAAAATTGTGCATTTCAACATTTATCATTATTATTTAGTATACTAAGACTGAAAAAAGGAGCACCAGTCTAAATAACAATGCAAACAAATTTGCATTGTACTAGATACGTATTTGAAACTGTGTCATTTTGCAATGTGAAGCTTTTAAAGATATCATTACTGAAATTAAATAGTTCACAAGCGTGAAGGGCGTACAGGCGAATAAAATAATTGAATTTAAATAATGGCTATTATTTTGCTAACAAGCATGGAGCAACGTTTCAACTATTAGGAAAAACGTACATTTCAACAATATAACAATAAATTTACTAAACTACTGCTAAACCGTTTTATGTGTATGATCTCTCGAATCGGTATCAAAATTTTAAGAGTTGCAGATTTTGCTAAAATAACTGTTCCCAGTTCGTATTATAAGGTTCTGATAAATTTATAGGCAACTTATTTAATGTAATTAGGTTAATTTTTGTGTCATAATAATAACTAATTTGCATAAAAAATATTTAAAAAGCATACATTAAAAGTGAGAGAGATCATATTAGAATCATCAAATTAGCACGCATTGTTAAAAAAGTTTATTACCAAATCACCCTGTACAATATCCTAGCGAGCTTTTACTCAAGGTAGTGCAGAATAAGAAATAGGAAAGACCTTGTTATTTATTCGCTTGATTATTATATGCAATATAGGATTTATAAGGCAAGGCCATCCAGAAGTTAAAAAAGGTTCAGTGAACCGTGAGCCGTATGCAGCAAATTGCATTCTCCTCATGGTATCAATAAATTAATATAAACTTCTTGCTTTCGAGAAACTAGGTCGACGCTATTTTTAATGTAGCGTTTACGCAGAATATTTACAGCATCTAATAGAAACAGAATTTTCCTTGTGGGTGCCATATATGAGCAGAAATAGTGTGATATTATTTCTCTCACTAAACAAAAACATTTTTCTTGTTGTTTTCTCTTACAATATTATTATTTATATTATCAACTTTCTCGTGCTAGCTTTAAATTCTGTCGTGTTATTTTTAGTCGGATTTTAATACGAAACCATCACTTATAAGTTTAAAAATCGAATGACTTACTTCTTAAGGAAATCTCCGGCAATGATATCCAGGGGTTCAACATATTTCCGCGCGGTAGCTGGCGGCAGCAGAACTTGTTGGACCTGTTTTCGAAACACCTCCCATTTTGGACCATGCCTGTAATATATTCTTGCGTTATAGTAACTTAACTGTTGAACTAACAACACTTACACCCCAATTACTCCTTCGTTTCCGTCAAAAAATTCTTTTTTCATTACTTGTTTATAGTAATGCAAGGATGGCATCGATGGCCTATGCGGCATACCCTCTTCCCTGCGAAAGATGTTTCGAATATCTTCTCCGTTAAATACAAACAGAAGATCAGGATGTCCTACCAAACCACCAACTTTAACTATGCGACCATAATCATTGTAAAGAGACCACATCACCTTGTCCAATTCTTGAATCCTGTATTGGCCTAAAAAAGTGTGCCTGTGTACTACGTCAGATGAGCAGGTATAATTTTAATAGCATTGCTAGATTCAGATTGTTGCTTTCAATATGATTCGATAGCTCTGTTTTTGAACTCACCTAAAGTCAATTTAAGATATTAAAAATTTCCTTTCAGGGTTTGAGGACTAAGTTATCAAAGACCAGTGAGGGTTAAGAAGAAACGAATAAATGCGGAAAAAAAGGCGGCTTTATAAATTCCTTAAAATCAAGAAATGAGGTGGATTAGGGAATTTCTTATACCAAAAATGTTGAATCCTTTATAACTTCAATTAAGAAAAAGGTCTGTTTAACAAATTCAGGTAGTAGTTTCCATGATTAATTAATAATTAATAATACAGGTTAATGAAAGTTACAATTAACCTAAATAGAGGCCACCTGTGCTATGTGCTGTTAAATGGACATTGATGGAAGCGTCCACAAATGGACTCGAAGCCTTTGAGATTCTTAGAAGTTCTTGGTTTGTTCATGTTTCCAACAAAATCGATTTAGAAATGCTTCAAAAAGAGATCTAAAAAGGCAAATTACAACATTTGGGGCAGTTGATTTTCCAGCGAAAGATCTTAGGCAGAAGATGATCTGGAAGCTCAGGAAATTTCTGGTTGAAAAACCTTAGTATATGGTTTCCCTTTCTACGCCAGGATTATTTAAAGCAGAAGCCAGTAAAGTTCAAATCGCTTTGCTTATCGCCAACATTCGAAAAGGATAGGCACATTCAGAAGAAGAAGAGGCCACCCTTTTTTTATAAGCTTTCCTTATTTAGAGGCTATGCCTTTGCTGATAATACAAGAACCTATGAAATAAATGAAAACAATTTTGAGAAATTCTATTCAACATACGCATGCGCGAGATTTAAAATCTTGTTTTTACGTCACCTTGCGGCATTCAACAATCAACATGGTAGCAGCCAGATCGTCAATAAGTTTGAAAATGGCATTTTTACGGCAGTATTGTTTCAAAATATGTTCAGATCCGATAGGGGGGGAAACAAAGTTAAGTGTGTGGATATCGCTGTTGGGAACGAAAACAGCGAAAAGTGCAGGTTAGCAGGCGAAATTTAGAGGCATACGCGGAAGATGATTATTCCATAACATATAACAATATATCAAATTTTATTCCAATTGATTTCCCGTATCTCTTTAGGGTAACGTTTTACGCAACTTGTTTTTAACCTATTTTTAACCCGGTAAAATTGAACTACTAAATAATAAAATTTAGTTGAAATTCATTTAGAAAGATAACAACTTTGTTTAATTTTCAAAGTTAATCAATCAGGCGTACCAGAAGAACTAATATGTCACCGCGCATACAGGTTATAACAAAAATAGATAGGGCTTCCGTTATTCAAAAACAAAATAAAGCCCGGTAGACACGATATAAATATTGCAACGTGTCTACTACTAAAGGGTAAATGCGAAAAAATGTTCAAGAAGCAACTGTAGAACCTCCTCGCAAGTCTAGTAATTACAAAGGAAAATAATTATAAAAAGTGCCAATGGAAAATTTGTTGAGAAAACTGTAGGCATTACAAAATATAACAAAGAGAATTTAAAACGTTTAAAAAGCAGGTCCAAAAACTGTTTCAATATGTAACCTAAATTAGCTCTAATTATGAGATAATTGGTTTTAGAGAATTCATAAATCAATATATTGGATTTTATTCATCACTTCGAACAACCATCCTCATTTCTCTCGTTTCAAGTGTTGGGAGTATAGATTTTCCTTATGCAAGTTATATTTGTCGTAAAAATATTTTGGAATAAACAAACAAAGGCTAAAAATTATTGTTTATTGTATGAAAAAATTTAAAAAACAACCTTTAAAAACAAAATTCCACAAAAGAATCAAGGCAATTTGCTCGAAAAAATTGCATCGTACCAGTTAAAAATACGTGCAGAATTACATGTAGAAATTACATCGTGCCTATCAGGCTTAAGGTTCTATTAAAAAAATATTTCTATACCACAGGTGCTCTAACGCTCGAATAAGTCGAAATAGTCCAGCGCGCTCACCTCAAGCCTCTTATTCTTGTTTATTTTTCGTTAAATAATCATTTAATTGTTAATTAGAATTATCTAAGCGTTTAAAGTTTCGGCAATCCATCAAAAAGGGAGTCATCTTGAACATGTCATATAACATTTATTTTATATTTAGTTTTTTCATTTTTTATTTCGTACGAAAGGCCACTTGATTTTAAGGAATGTATGTATGTATGTATGTATATTTATTTATTTTTTAATACGGCTTCAATAAGACAGTCACTTTTGAATAGATCTGAAAATGAAAAAAGTTTATACTTCATAATGGTAGAAGGGCATGAAGAAGAAATCAGCTTTTATTTAATTTGTATACCCTTCCCTATTTTCGATATTGTAATGGTGAACACTGTGAGTCGGTGATAACTCCGATCAAAGTTTTACCACTCGAAGCTCTCAATAGCGACCACAATTAACCCGGCCGAAGATCGCCTACTTCTAATTTTCTTTAAATTTTCGAACACAGTCTATTGGAACAGCATATAAAATGAAACTCGGCATCTTTCTAATAAAGCACGGACTTGCTTAAAATTTATTTTATGTAAGTCTTGGAATAGTATAAATAGTATTTGGTATATATATAGTATATCGCGGGTAAGTATTTAAATTTTATCTAATTATAAAAAAATATTTACATTAATTTTCATACACCTACCCTATTATTTTTTAAATCGCCGTTACAGGCGTATAGAATAATGACAAGAAAACATTAATTTGTTTATCATTTAAGTCATTCGTTTATTAAACAGTCGCTCCGCTGCGCTGCGCTCGTGACTAAAGAAACTCGTGATTATGCAGCAAGTGTGGTATTCAGCATTTGAGTTACGAGTTTATTTGGCAATCAAACGTGTTGCATACTATACTTTTTTCTACGACTGTTAGTCTTTCGCTACATTTTTGTAAAACAACACGAATACATTCAATGACATGACCGTCAAAATTCAAGCCGCGCTTTAAAACTTCGAAAATACGTGCAGTAATGTCCCGGAAATGTCCGATGTGGCTCAGATCCGTGCGACCAGAAAGTCACGTGAAAAGATGACACTTTTCTTACGTTAGATCTGTGTATAATTAGGTATTTTTTCCACTCATGTCTGTAAAATAACTAATTATACATCGATCTAGGGTGCGGGAAGCGTCACTTTACCACGTCAGTTTCGTTTCCCACGGATCCGAGCCACGTCCGGGATTTTACCGCACGGGTTTGGGAGTAATTAGATGTTTTCACTCCTTGAATTTTGACGTTTGTCAATTCTGACGGTCATGTTGTTTTGCGAAAATGTATCCAAAAACCAACGGTCGTAGAAAAAGTATAGTATGCAACACGTTCGGTAAACTTTTTAAGTCACTCGTTTATTAAACACTCGCTCCGTTCGTGTCAAATAAATTCGTGAGTTAAATGCCGTTTACCGCACTTGTTGCATAATATACTATTACAGAAGAGGCTAGAAAACATTACCCAAAACTTGAAAAATATTTATAAAACAATTTGCCTAATGTACTATTCAATTTTCGTTACGACTATTTGTATCTCAATGAAAAATTAATTTGAGAGACATGAAATTCAGTAATTTTTGTATGGGATATTTTACTAAATTTACCTTAGCGGTAAACGAAGTTTATTTAAACTCTTCCCAATTCCGAAAGGAGGCAGCTCGAATCCCGATTGCGCTTCCTTTAAAAACCAAATACTTACCAATTAAAGGTGCGAATCTCCAGGCATTACCGATTATTGGAAGTTCTTTAGGTCCAGGAATATCGCTATACGGTTTTACAAAGCATTCCTGTTTCTTTACGGGTCTTTGATAAACATGATCACATATCGCGGGGGAAATTTCAAACGCAGTCGAATAATTTCTTTCCGCTGTAAATTGGCGACTGTCAGACGAGAAATAACTGTTATTAGTTTGTTGATGTTCGTTAGTATGACGATCTGCTGAATAACATCTAACCGCTGGCGAAGTAAGGGCGAGTGTTTGTTCTGGCGACGTCCATCTTAGTACACTGACTGTCAATGTTGACCTAGCTCGTGTGACGTAACGGTTTGACGATTTTATACAATTTGCGAATGTTTTGCAACCTCTGGGGGACATCTTAGTTAACTGAAATTCAAAACAGAGTGTTCTTAACGAAACATTTAAAGAAAATTCATTCTTACTGGAACTTTTTAGGCTTTTATGCTTTGTTGAAGTTAAAAGTATCTTATGGGCAACCACGATCAAAGATTAATGTTCCAAAAAATCGAAATATTAAAGGAAACAACTTTATTCCATAATCGTTTTGATTTTTTGCGTGATTAGTTGAAGAAAATTTTAAGTTCATCCACCCTATTTTTGATAATCACGAATTTTTTTTGAGAGAAAATTTTCAATCAGTATCATAATTTGAACCACCAATTAATACGATGATGTTTAATTGCTTTCTTGTAATTATTGTAAATTCAAATATATTCATTAAGGTAAAATGTACCTAGGATCTAGGCTATGATGGTTAACAAAAGGCCTTCCTAATTTGTAACTGTCACGCTATTTATTTTACAGCATTAATTTGTAAATTGAAGAACGAAACAATCAATTGCGCATTTAAATTTTATCTTCTAATTGCAATACACGAACAGCGCTTAACTTCTTCAATGTCGAACAACTTTATTTAAATATCGGCTATCGTGGATTATAGTATGAACGGGGTGAAACATTTTATTGTTTAAATGTAAAGAACTTAGCGGACCCCTTTTTTCCTTTTCAAAATAATGTCTAATATACCACCAAAGTAGTTTTTTTATAAAGAACTCTGTTTAGAACATAACTTTTATATAATAAATATAATAAAAATATAATAAAAAATGAATATAAATAATATTATTTATTAGTTTTTTCGTGAAAATTAAACAAAATTGTTTGTAAATTATTCGTATAAAATCAATCTGGTCCACCATTGACTTCACGCAAATAATTTTAAAGAATAAAATAAATAATATGACTTTTACATGATTTTTGAGGACCATTTAATAGTTAAAACCGCATAGCGATATGTTCACAACCAACCGTTTTTCAATTTGCGGCCCTTTTAAAAATTGCCCATAACTTTTTTATTTATGAAAATATTGGATTCGGAAAAAAATATTAATAGCGTATTTTTTAAAAACAAATGCAATGGTGTACTTGGATTTTTTCTACCGTTCTCCGTTTTACAACTTTCTCATTTTATATGTCAATCATAGATCATTTTTTGTGTATTTATAGTAGGCCGTGCATATAGCTGTTAATGAAAATTGTTCATAATTTTTAATTAATGAAAATTTTGGATTCGGAAAAAAATATTATTAGAGCATATTCTAAATTTTAAAATGAAATGGCGTACTCGTATTTTTTCTACAGGTCTCTGTTTTCTCATAAACTTTCTTATTTTATATGCCCGCGTCGAGCCCTTAATCTATAATAGATAATAACATTTAATAAAATTGAGATATACTGCGTCTTTCAATTTGCGGCCCTTTTGAAAATTGCCCAAAAATTTTTTATTTATGAAAATTTTGAATTAGGGAAAAACATTATTAGGGCAAATACTCAGATTTTTTCTACAGTTCTCAGTTTTCTCATAAATGAATTCATCTTCTTAATAAAATGCCCTTTTCAGTCCCATAGATTGGTTCGTATCTGTGATGAAAAAAGACGGAAATATCATTTAAGTTTTATTCTTTATTGAATTTTGTGTTCCGTCACACGTAATTTTAACTTTTGGTTCATTTAGAAATTTTAAATGTATAGAGAGCTTTGTTCGTTTAGAAAATAACTTTTATGTATATGGCGAAAATGTGACACAAAGAAATATCATTTAGTTTTTAGTAGAAAATTTTTTGTGAACTGTTCGTACAAAATTCAATTTTAAAACAATCTGGTCCATCAATGATTAAAAAAAATATAATTCTAGAGAATAAAATTAATTCATGATAGAGGCACTTATCATCTCAATAATATGACTCTTCACAAAATCTGATTAAAAATTTCCTACAGTGTTAAATACATTGTGATTCAGTACAATAATGTAGAGAAATATTGAATGGCAACCTCATCTAGGTAGTTAGTAAAATATATCAATCTTAAACTTCAATGTTTCATTTTTATCGATGAGGTTTTCACGATTTTTAAATTTTTTCTTTTGTTCTTGAATGCATGAATTTTTTTTCAGTTTTTTTTTATTTAATTGTCATGCATTAATTAATTTTATGGCAAATAGAAAAAAGAATTAAACTTTGACGCCTTTTTTATTGTTTAATCACTTGGTGGTGCGGAAAATGACGATTATAAATTAGCTTCTCCTGGTGTTTGCGACGGATATTTTTTTTTTCAAAGAGTTTTGACGACAATAATCAAATGTAAATTCTCGCGTAACTTACACGTGATAGCAAGTTCTTGTCGCCTTGTTTGTAATTTTTCGCATAACACCAACCCGGTATAGAACTCTCCGCACCAGCCCAATTTCACCGCAAAATACCAAAAAACGGACTAATCGGTTTGATAAGAGTTCTTCGGATTTATAAACTCGTCCCGCAAAAGGCGGGGATTTCAATTTTTTTTCGAAACATGGGCGAACGGCGGCGCGCTCGTAACATGCGGCCGCTTCTTAAGGCTTGTTATGCAACCGCACGACGCCGCGCAGTTCGATTTTGCAAATCTCCGGCCATAGACCGGCGGAGAGTTTGATTTAATTTTATGATCAAGTGACGAATATTGGAAAGCGGTTTACGTCGCAGCAATCACTTTTTTTTCTTAAAAAAAAAGACATAACATCTCAAGTGATTTTGAGTTTGTTTTTGCCAACCCACTTTTTAAGAAACACGAATTATGTCTTTTTTTCAAACAGGCTATGGTAATAATTTTTATAAAACTTCTGGGTTGATCCAGAATCGGTTTTTGTTGAGGCGAACTAGCAAACGTTTCGCCAAAAAAAATGATAAAAATGATAAATATAAGAAGTATTACCATAGCCTGTGGAAGATTCTTTGAAAAATTAACATCAAGAGGACATCAAGCGCAAAAGCAGAAAGTTAGAAGATCACCGACTGAAACTGCTAAGATTACTCTGTGCACTGACGTTTTTGTTACGTTGTAGAGACCATAACGTCATCCCCAATTTCCTTAAAATATCCCATCATGTCAAAACCTCGTCCGCTTATAAAGTTTTTCGAAAATCTAGTTTCGCTTTATTTCGAGAAAGAATTAATCATACCCGTAAGGAAATAGACCAAATCAATAAGACTATTCTGTCATGACAAAGATTTAAATCTAGGTTTTTCTTCTACCCAGAATGACATTCAGAAATTTAAAAACTAACTTTAACTCTAGGGAAACCATCAAACTCTTCTCAACTACCAAATATTGTGATAAATGTATCATCGCACCGACTTTCGGAAACGGAAAAATCAGTTCTTTCAAAAAGTTCCAACTTTGTCCTTGCCCCACGTATTATCCCAAAGGAGGAACTCATTTCAAATGTCGAATATATCCTAAAAAAAATCCTTAAAAAATCAAAACCCCCTAAATCTAATATTGCAAAGGATCATATATTCAACTTAATTTAAACAAACTTAAAAAAGACCCTACGTCAGCTCTGGAACGCATCCTTAAATCTATCATTAAGGCTTCTTCTCTATCAGACTCCGTGAAAAAATCTGTCACCTCTCATGTCAGCATGACCCCTTTGACTATTGTCAGCACCATTGGTTCTCCAACATATTCCCTAGCAAAATATCTAGCTTCCTTATTAAAACACTTTACAGCAACAACTGACAGTTTCGTACTTAATTCCTTTCACTTCATTGAACAATTAAAAAGCATTACTTTAGATACACAAGATATTCTAGTTAGTTTCGATATAGAACCACAAAGTACACTTCACCACAACCTTCCAATATCAATGAAATCGAAAGTAATCCCACAGTTGCTACTGTTTTCCTTCTTTATATTCTAAACATCACTGACCACATATGAAAAGTTCTAAAGAAATATAACGTCAAAACCAGATTTACCACTTGTCCAAAATTCTCTCAACATCTTCGATCCGTCAAAGACAAAATTCCATTTGAGATGCCAGGATTTTGTAGTATTCCATGCATATGCGGCAAAGAATATATCGGAGATCCCGGACGAAAAATTCTTCTACCAACGAAAAATCCCAGAGTCTATAGAAATCTATAAGCAACTTAACAATCTTGACCGCGATTCAGACCTCTACCTAACACCAATACGGGAATCAGTCATCCGAGACGGTGTTTATGACCCTCATTTAGCTCCGCCTCCCTCAAACAGTATAAAAGCAGGTACAGAGTAAAATTGGAGCCAGCTTCAGTCAAGCTCTGAAGAAGCCAACAGGATGAACAAAAACCGACGCAGAAGGAAACCAGAAGTTTTATAAAAAGAACGAATTATGTCACGAGCCATCCCTACACCCATAAGACGGAGATGGTCAGCTAGATTTTGCCTCGTCAATTTTTAATCACATAAAACTGTTGTTTTGCTAACTATTAATTTTTGTAGTTTAGAAAAAGAAAGTTAAAAAAATGCACTACAAATTTAATAGCCACCCATGCAAAAAATATCCTACCACAATATTATATCTGTGGAGAAGCCTACAAGAAATCGCTAGAATTAATACCTGCGAGCTACAGCTACTTGAAGCCGGTAACACCTCCACCTACCAACATAATCAAATTGAAGCCACTAAGCCAAAATTCCAACGTATGGAACGTTCCAATCAGTTTGTTGGTATCTTCCCTCTCAAAGAAGAAATTCAGTTGGTCTGCAATTATAAACAGACTCTAGCCGTCTAGCCCAGGGTTATTCATAAGCGAAAAATTTACCAGAACTTGTCAATAGATGCTTTTTTTGGTGATGTCAATAACCAATTACCAAAACTTTATTTTGCCGTGTAGAAGAAATTGCAGACTAAAGAACACAAATCAATGGTTGAAAGCGCATATATAAAAATTGCTAAAGACTTTCATAATCATTGCAAGTTCCCATCACCAGTATCCAGACGTAACGTCATCATAATTTCCACGGTTAGTGCAAAATTCTGGAGTTGACTTCTGAATTTTCGGGACGAGTACTAAAAGGCTCTGGAAGTTCTTGGACTTTTCTGCATGGAATATGGCAGGATTTGATGTAAACGTTAGAACAGATAATATCGTTAAAATAACAAAACGGTACGTGCGTTCCATTTATCCTGATAACATTTTAATTGGCGTCAAAAGTTTCTTTTTAGAGGTCAAGGTAAACAAAAAAACAAAATTTTGGTTTAGTAGCCAAGTTTTTTTCCAAGTGACGTATAAAACAAAACACTATCAATTTTCTGACGTTTAAGTTTACATTATATATTTTTTAAATGGAACACCCTGTATATTACATATGTGTTGAATAGAATATTTTATTCCGATTACAATGATATAGCACACTTTATATTTTAGTGGACTCATTTTTGACAAATCTTCAAAAATAAGAAATTTTTATATAATTTCAAAGAGTGCCCTGACTGACAAATAAAAATATGTTTATGTTTGGCATATTAGCAACTTTGATTTCCCGAATTTAGCATCCGTGAAAGAAGTGATTTGCTTGAAGTATATTTTTTGAATAATAAAAGTGCAACGGCAGCTCGTCGTCAGCATACTAGACTTTATCCAGAGCGCTGAGATCCTTCAAAACAGATATTTTCAAGGCTGGCAAAGAAATTTGCAGAAAACGGTAACATATTAAATGCTAAAAAGGTATGCACGAATCATAATGTTCTAAATGAAGATAATAAGGCAAACATATTAGGATTCTATGAAGCACATTCAGTTTTCTCTATTACTAGAGTATAGAGGGTATTTCTCGCGGATTACCCACTAAATTTTGAAAAAATATAAATATTTAAATTTCGTGAAACTCAACAACTAAGTGCAGAACAATGTCAAAGGATGATATAGTTTTGTTTGGATTTTTTAAATAGACATAATGAGAATGATAATTTTTTGAAAAATATTTTATGGACTGGTGAAAGTTCGTTCACTACAAGATAGGGTTGTAATACACAAAATACGCGATAAAAAATAATAAACATAAAAATCACGTGCACAGAACTCCTCGGAGGACTATCCGGAAACGTCACTAAATGCAAGACATCATACAATTAGAGTGTATGGGAAATGTGTTCACGAAAATGGTGGCAATATACAGCAGTATTTAGAATAGTTACGTCACTTGTAACTCTTGAAATTATATAAAAATTTCCTATTTTTGCCGATTTGCCAAAAACGAGTGGACTAAAATGTGTTCCATCATTGAAATCGGAATAATATATTCAATTAAACACATATATGATATACAGGGTGTTCCACTTAAAAAAAATATGATGTAGGCTTATATGTCAGAAAATTGATAGTGTTTCGTTTTATACGCACTTAGAAAAATTCTTGGCTACTAACCATATATTTTGTTTTTTGTTTACCCTGATATCTTTAAAAACAAAAAAGTTACAGCCAATTAAAACGTTACTTTTTTGTGAAACAAAAGATACAGGGTGATTTGAAAAATGTAGTGATTTGCGGCTCCTATCGTAAGTTCGTTAATATTGAAGCCATCGAATAAAATAAAAATAGGTCTACAGCGATTTTCACTTTATTTACATTACATTGAAGATGTATTGAGATTTTTGGACAAGTGGTTAATCTGGTTCTGAAGTTTTATTTCTTAACAGGATAAATGGTACATCTGGTTTTGGTGTTAAATTTCTTATAAAAAAAACTCACAACAACTTCGATCCGCCAAAGACAAAATTGCATTTAAGATACCAGGAGTATTCAGCATTCCCACGCATATGCGGCAGGGAAGACATTGGAAAGACCGGACGAAAAATATAAACTAAACTCAAATAACGTGAAAGAGTCTAAAGACTACGACAAATAAACTCATCAGCAGTTGCCGAACACAATCATGAAACTGCATATAAAATTTTATTCGATAAAACTAAAATTCTTGCATGTACTCAATCTTCTAGCAACGAAAAATTCGAGGATCTATCATAAACAACCAAACAATCCTAATCGCGACCCAGGTCTTAGCTGTCACCAATATGGGAATCGGTCATGCGTGATAGTGTTCATAACCCTCATTTAGCTCCGCCCCGTCAAATAATACATAAGCAGGTCCAGAGTAAAATGAGATACAGTTTCCGTCAAGCTCTGAAGAAGTCAACAGGATGATTAGCGAAAGGTTAGCAAGTTCGATTCAACAACGAATCCAGGAGTTTTGTAAATAGTAAAAGTTTCTTTGAAAAATGAATAAATGTTTATAATAATAGATAACAATAGAAAAATATATACTTACTTTAATGTAACTGCCAGGCATTCTCAGGGTGGAATAGCTTTTCAAAAATTGGTATTTTCTTTTTTAAGGGGTAAAATATCCAAAAGTTTCTAAAACCTAATATTCGAAATTTTAAAATACCAACTATTCGCCGCGGATCCAATATCTACTTCTGGCTTTGTCCTCGTTTTCCGCTTCAGTTAGTTTAAACGAAGCATTGCCGCTTTTTTGGGCTGTCTGTGAGTTAATAATAACTTACATTGGAACAAAACTAGAGGATTCTTTTCTAAGACTGTTGCCGGTACAACGCGACTCGACATGAGCACTGGTGAATCCGAATATTCTTATGCAATCGATTGTCATGTGAAGACCGAACTTGTGGTGTCAGAGCCTTTGGTGGAAATAATTGATCTACACCATTAAATGAGGAAATGTGGCCACGATGGTTCCGAAAAGAATAGACAAAGACAGCCTGCAAATGCCACTTTATTACAACACCTTAGGTGATTCCTGAGGTTTTGGGTTTAATGTCAATAGAGCATTTAAAAAAATACAGACAATTTTTTAGCTAAACTTCAAACTGCTTTTGGTAAAAGATTCTTTGGTCAACTTTTGGAGCAAACAGAAGATTATAAACTTCTGGTTGATGTAGCAGCGCTTTATGGCCTGACTATTCGTAGACGGATTTTACTGAAGTGTAGAATAAATGTCCCAAGACTAATTTCTAAGAGTTCTGTGAACAATATTTTGCAAAAAATTATTCTTATCATGTACAACTTCATCAAGAACTCAATGAAAATGATTCTTATATTTGATCAACATTTTGTGAATGGGCACAAGAAAGAAATCTCCAGCAACTTGCGAATATGTGTTATTTACGGATGAATTGAAATTCCATTAATAGGCATAATTTTCAAAATTATGCCAAGAAGAGACCGCATTTTACGATGATATACAGTCAGAAAAGATGGCGTTTACATGTTTGGGGTAGTATAATAGGAAATAACATCGTAGGGCCTCATTTTTTTGAAAATACAAAGAATGGGCAAGCTTACCTCAATTTTGTAGAGCACAGGTTGCAAAATAGGTTACGAATTATTCCAAACAAAATAAAGCAGAGAATGTGGTTCCTTCATGATGAATCATTTATTTCCTCAATGGTGGATAGGAAGATGTGGTCCGATTAGATGGCCATCTAGAACTTCTAATTGAGACCGAATTAACCAGTTCTTTTTTGTTATATATATATATATATATATATATATATATATATATATATATATATATATATATATATATATATATATATATATATATATATATATATATATATATATATATATATATATATATATATATATATATATATATATATATATATATATTAATATTGCATTGTTAATATTATTCCGTGCGTAAAATTGCTTTTCGAAGGATGCGCAGTTCATAACTTTATTTTTGTTTAAATCTCGAATTTAATTATACTTAATTCGTCTCTGTAGACTTTTCCCGTTCAGGTTTTATTTTGTTCTCAATCTTTTGTGATATTTTCGAACGGTTTCAAAATTTTCAGCATAAAAATACCAAGTTTAAGTAGTTAATAGAAGTATTATATAGACAGTGTTCTATTTGATTTTTTCACGAACATTAATATTTTCCATTTTGACTTACCTCGTATAAACGGTTAACTTCAAGAGAAGTGTAGGACAAATGACTGTACCAATTTATAAAATGGTTGGCATAATAAAATTACAGCTGTCAAAAACGGCGTCAAAAATATAGAGTGTTAAACATAGCATTTTTGACGAAAAAATGACATCGAAAATCCACAATATACCCATGAGAACGGTCTCGTGCACCCTCGACGTGACTCCATTTGGACTTCGCAGGTCCTATGAGCGGAAAAACTTTTTTGACTGTTATTGATTCATTCTCAAAATGGCTTGAAGTTCACATTGTTCCAACTACATCCAGCTCAGCAGCTATATCAGTTCTGAGGGAACTTTTTGGCAACACATGGTTTACAAGATGTAGAGAAGAATTCCAACTATTTTTAATTAAGGATACATCAGATTCGTCAAGTTTTAGTGACTCCCTATCATCCAAGCAGAACGTATGTCAAAAATGCTCTTAAGAAAATGGGAAGCGAAGGCATACAGTGGCTTCTAAAGGAGATAGAAAATATTATTCAAGTCAAAACTCCAGATTATTTCAAGCGAATGATCCAGTCTTCATAAGGTCTTACATCCGAGGCCAAAAGTGGTTACGGTCAACTGTGATGAAAACAACAGGACCTCTCAGCTAAAAGGTGAAAACTCCTGACGGTAAAATTATGCGTAGACATTTAGATCAGATACGTAGGCGTACGCCAATGGAAGAAAATGTAACAGAAATCCTTGGACCAGAAACCTGAGTTTTCCCGAAACTTCGAAACTTCATCAAACTTCCCATGGTCCACTACATCCATTAGCTGTCGACGCACTGCCAGCGCAGGATTCTGCCTGGCAATCTTGACAATCTACGGCCTTTACGGTACCTGGAGGATTACACCACCTAGGGAATACTACGAGCGAGCAGTGTGTGGTGTATTGGCAACGCTTGGCAATAAAAAACTTTTGTAATTGGTGGTCCAATTAATTTAGTTATCACATAAAAATACTTATTACAAATACTTTAAAATCTGCAGCATCGTGGATCTGGCTCCTAACACAAAGTATTTTCGCTATAATTTTCTTCCATCGATATTTCCTTTTATTTGATGTACAGTTCACACCGCCTTGGCCAAGTAAAAGCCTGTAAAAATAACATGTTATATTTCTATGATAAAGGAAACCTCTAGCTTTATACATCTAACTACGAAATACCAGTAATTTTTGTAAAAAAAGTCAAATGTATTTATTTAGTACTTGAAAAAGGGCCAACAAAGGTCAAATACCCACCGTTTTGAAATATGTATTGTTATTTAACATTTATTGGTGGCTTCTATTAACAAATGTAGCGCTACCTACCAAAAAAATATAAAGTACTTATTAATCTGTCTCCCAAATTTAGATCCTTTCATACCGGGGGTTGTGAGAAAAATGGCCGATGCCAAGCTTTTGTGCCACACTGTATAATCAAACAAATACCTTCACCTCTGCATAGAGGTAAGTAATAAGTTGAAGTGAAATTTATTAATACCTATATATTTTCAGTAGTACAGTGTAATCTACAAATCCCTACACAACATTCTTAATACTAATAATTTCTATACCTTGTCACATCTATTGTGTATGTTCTTTCCCTCTCTTTCTCTTCCCTCAAGCAACTCTCAAAATACCTGTCTTGTATTTGGTCCTCCAAGAGGTCGTGGTTCTATTGTCCCTTCGTTAAAATAAACCAATCTCTTCAATCTTTCCTGATGCTTGACATTTTGTTCTTGTGGATCGAGATATCTTTTCCCATGAATATTGAATTGAATATACATATATTATTTATTAATCTGCAAACCATTTGTTGGGAGGTTTTGTTCTTGTTCAGCATCGTAATCTACCTACCCTATGTTTTTTTGTTGACTAGTATGCCGATTCGCGCTCGACCTTACCAAAACGATCCTACACCAATTTTCCATTCTTTGGACATTCTACGCCGCCAGCAGCTTTTCGTGTCAAAATTGACTTGACGTCGGTGAAAATTAAAAACAATATCAAAGAATTAAATTTACACTGCTCTTGTGGGAACGCAGCAGTTGTATTTGTCTTATGGCGCCATCTACTAGACAATGAATAACCTGTCAGGATAACTTGTCAGTAAAAATTCAAATGTCAAAAGAATAATCAAAGTTGTCAAATTTATCTTTAGCTGGTGCACTTATCATAGAAGTATCAAAAGCACCCATTTTGAATGCATCTAATAGAGACATATCGCCTTGGAATTATAAGAACCGAACTCATTTTTGTAGTTCTCATGCTTTTTGCAACAGTATCCCGGCGATCACTTCAGTTCAATATTATCAACACTACCATGTTTGAAGTAAGCATGGACATGGGGGATGATGGAGAGGCTTGTGCAAATACTCCAGAATAATACATTTACTTATCAAAATCCCATCCAGCTAACGAACGTTATGGTGAATGTACTTTTAAGCCTTTATACATATTTTGTTTCCATGCCTTCTTAAAAAGCTAGTTTGACAGAACTGTTCAGAAATTGAGTATGATTAGCATGTGCAAAATAAAACATTCCATTTTCTTCATCGTGTCTGTAACACTAACGAAAATGTCAGCTTACAGGTTTGGATATTATAAAACAAAAATAAAATAAATTTTTTGAAAAAGAAAAGAGGAAAATTTTTTTCGTGAAATCGAAGAAAGTTATAAAAGCAAGAGTCCCCAGGAACATTACTTCCATGTAGACGTGTTGATAACATTGAACTATGGTCGTACACGAGATCAGAAGGGGGCTATTGCAAAAAGGATGAGAACTCCAAAAAGGAATTCGGTTCTTACAATTCCAAGGCACAAACTAGTCAACATGGATAATATGTCTCTATTAGATGCATTCAAAATGTGTGCCTCTGGTGGTATTATGATAAGTACACCAGCTAAAGATAAATTTGACAACTTTGATTGTTCTCTTGACATTTGAATTTTTACTGACAGATTATCCTGACGGTTATTGATTTCCCAACAGATGGCGCCATAAGAAAAATACCACTGCTACATTCCCACGAGAGCAGTGTAAATTTAATTGTTTGATATTGTTTTTAATTTTCATCAATGTCAATTCGATTTTGACACGAAAAGTTGATCGCAGTGTAGAATGTTCAAAGATTGAAAAAGTTGGTGTTGGGTCGTTCCGGAACGGACGAGCGCGAATTAGCTGACCAGTCAACAAAGGTTGACGGCGACGTGTGACATATGACAAAATTATACGTCATAGTGTTGGATAAACAGAATTTTTGTTATAACCAGCGATTTTTTAGGGATATTTAATGGAATACTTTAATATTTTCAGTTAATTTTACGTTGAAAATTCATAGGGTAGGTAGGTTTCGATGCAGAACGAGAACAACACCTAACAAATGGTTTAAACTTTGTGGACACTATTAATGACGTGAATATACACAGTGAATTTTATATTGCAAACCAAATTTTCATATAATTGGGATTGAACTTCCTTAAGGTAAGTAGTTTAATGCACAAATTATCAACCGCTACATATGATACAACAAGTTTTAGAAACAATATTTCCGGTACAATTCAATCATCGTCAGAAGTGACAAACGTTAAAATTTGGTCTACATTATACATGTGGCTGAACTTAGATTTGGATTTGTGGGACAGGATTACAGGGGACCAGTTCGTTATTTATCTTCATTAAAAAAACGTATTCTTGTGGATATGCTGAGTAAGTAAGCACGGAAATATTGTAAGGGAACTCCCAAACACCATATCCAATCTTGCTATATAGAAAATAGCCCCTTTTCCCCTCGCATCATCCTAAAAAATAAATTAATTTAATTACTATTTCGCAATGTCGACGACTCAGAGGTTCAATCAGACGATTGAAGAGCCACTTTGGAACGCTTCAAAATGATGTATTGCTTAACCACCTTAAAACCGTCGGGAAGATATAAAACTATCCCCAATCATGAGATGCACTAAAATTTGTTATATTTATTTCGCAATTTCAAGAAAATTTGACGTTGTCCCTCATGTTGAATTAGATCATTGAAGAGCCACTTGGGAGAGCTTCAAAATGATTTATTGCTCAACCACCTTGAGACCCTCATAAATGAAATGCCCAAAAATTAATTATTAATTGGAAAGGGTCAAAAAAGATTTATCAAGGCAGTCAATTATATGTTCAACAGACCATTCCAGAACATTACTGTTCTTATTATTCCAAACCTGGAATATCGCAGAGTTTTTGCTGATATCCCTTTTGTAAATAAACTTGTTAGACTTATGGACTCTCTCTCTCTCTCTCTCTCTCTCTCTCTCGCTCTCTCTCTCTCTCTCTCTTTTGTATTAGTTGTCTGCACTTTATTGCATCTACCTATATCAGAAACATAGCATAAAAAACTTGTTAAAGAAGTAATAGGTCATACAAAACCCTGTAGCTTTAAGAGTATTGTAAAGGAAATTAATCACTGATCCCAAAGATCTACTTCAACATTGGCGATACACATCAACTATATTCAGAAAACACTATAAGAAAATATGTGAATATAAAAGTGAACCCTTCCCTGAAATACTGAAGTTATAAGTTGTAAGGGCAATCAAATGGAGCAAATGGGGAACAGCACCAGGCCCAGACGACATATACATAGAGGTTCTAACAATGTTGAGTGAAGACAATATTGACGCCTTGGTAAATCTCTTTAATGATATTTATGGGTCAAATACCACAGGATTGACTTTAATTAATATTTGTACCAATCCCAAAAAAGCCAAACGCTAATAGTTGCGATCAATTCCTAATGATCGGCTTACTGAGCCAGGTCTTAAATCTCTTCTTAAAGATAATCCACACATGAATATACAACAGATGTGAGAGGTGCATAAGCCCCACACAGTTTGGTTTCAGGCAGAGAAGCACTTTATAGCTTATAGCCCCACTTCAGAAGAGACCAGCAAAAAGATGTCTTCCTATGCTTTATAGATTACCGACTGTGTTAACCATTCAGAATTAATAAGATTGCTCCAAGAACGTTCGAAAGGTGAGAATGATCTTGGAATCATAAAGAACCTCTATATGAATCAAATAGCGTCCGTGAGAGTAGGACAGGCATTTACATTATAATTCCCAATCCAAAAAGGTGTACGACAGGGCTGTGTTCTGTGCCTGCTCCTTTTTAATGTTTACTCTGAAACGATTTTCGATAGAGCCTTAAGAGACATTGAAGGTGGAATCAAAATCAATGGACAGACTGTTAATAACCTTCGCTATGCTGATGATACATAATACATAATAGCTGACAGTCTAGAAGCGCTACAACGACTAATAGATAGAATAAACACTGAAGGAGAATAAATACTGAAGATCAATATAGAAAACACGAAGGTAATGGTGGTTAGCAGAACACGAAACATGCAATTAAATCTAAGGGTAAAAAACAAGAACATCCAAAAGGTCACAAACTTCAGATATCTCGCTAGTTGGATAACTAAAGATCTAGATCTAGACTTAGAGATACGTAGCAGGATAGAGCAAGGCAGAACAGCATTCATTAATATGAGAACCTTGCTAAGCAGCGGTGGACTTAAAGCTTCGATATCGCTTGGTAAAATGTTACATTTACTCCATACTGCTATATGATGTAGAAACCTGTACCATAAAGGACAACGTGATGAATCGATTGGAGACCTTTAAAATGTGGATATTTAAAAAAATAATCGAATGGGCAGAGAAAGCGAATTGTTGCCAATAATAAAACGAAGAAAAACTGCCAATCCGGGCCATGTATTTCGAAATCCCAAGTACCAGTTCTTAAAACCTATAATAGAAGCAAAGACAACCGAGATATCGGAAGAAGAAAACACTCATGGCTAAAAACATAAGGGTGGTTGAGTGATACATCATTTTGAAGCTCCCCTAAGTGGCTTTTGAAGGGTCTAATTCAATATCTGGAAGGTCAGATTTTCTTCAGATTCCGTAATCGGTATCTCAATATTGGGGGTAGGGTCTCTTAAATGGTCTTATTGAATCTCTGAGAAAACGTCAAATTTTTTCAAGATTGCAGGATAGGCAAAAGGGGTTTTCGTGCTTATTTACCCAACATATCCACAGGAACATGTTTTTTTTTAATTAAGTAACGAACTGGTCCACTGTAATATTTGCAAATCCGAATCCAAATCCAAATCTAACTTCAGCCACATGAATTATATTGTTTAATATATTCCAAACAGCGGTAACAACAATGTTTTCAAGAAAACGTTTGCCGGGCTGGTTATTCATTTTTATTTAAAGTTTAGTGAAATATCCATCACTGTCAGTCCAAAACATCGGCGTATCAACTTGTCTACTACAACTATTTGTAAAAGTTTTCAATGATGCCGAGAGAAAGACATAATAGGTATAATAAATTAAATTAATAATAAAAATTAAATCTCTAAGCATGGAACTTGGTGATATTGTGTTGATATTTTCAAGGTAACATGATGTTTTTGTCTAACACCCTATAATGAAAATGTCACTGTCAATTAGCAATCTGCAATTTGTATTAATCAGGGAACATACGTTTTTGGCAAAAAACATGACGTTATTATAAATGAGTAAAATTCCGACTATACCATCACTAACGTTTTAAATCTACTGGAAACATCCTATTGCTCCCGAAGTGACTTAAAGTGGCACTTGGCGCACACCTGATTACTGTATAATTGGGTATTTTAGAGCAAGGAGTAGAAAATATGCTATAATATGTGTGTGTACTAATCTTTTGGCAATTGAGTCTTCCAACAAACAAACCAGTACAGAAGCGTTTAATGTCACAAACATCAACTTTTTTTATGGACAGTTCAAGATGTCTAAAATGTTTATTGTCTATTTGATTTTTTTGCTTAATTTTGGGCAATCTATCCAAAGTAAGTAAACACCTAAATAAGGCTACAGATTTTCGTATACTGTAAATTAAGAAGAAGACAGAATTAATAGAAATTAATGGAAAAGATTTTATAGCCTACACTATCCTTAACCTTAGTCAAAAGAAAAACAGAAATCGATGAAAAACCGTGAAAGTTTACGCGATGCTGTCTATATATAAGTTTCCTTTAATTAATATGTATCTTTTATGATTTATTTCAGAACAAATTTCCCTAAGTGATATTTGCACGACGTGTTCACCAGAAATTATTGACTCGCCTGTTCCCGACGATGATACGAAAATAACTCTTCCTCATAAACACATAGAATCTCCTAAAGAAGCTGCAATGGCACTAGACTCAGGTATTAAGATATTAAAATAATTGGTTTCTTAGCCTAGTTATTGATTAGTGAAGATCTGCTTTTTCGTTTCTATTAGGTGTTTTTCAATAAAAATTACTGATTAAGTTTAACATAAAATACAAGATTAACTGTGAAAGTTAATGTTTTCATGTAAGGCTTTAAAAACATCACATAATGTATAAACCAATCTTCTAGACCCAACTTTGGAGCTCAATGAATAATTGATTATTGTCTTTGTTCTCTTACAACTCATTTATTTGTCATCTATTTTACCGAAGGAGGGTTAATTAAAAAAAAAAACGTAGTGGCGATCATATGATTAATTTTTTAGGAGCCTCGAAACAGCATACACCACACAGTGTCAAGGAAACATCGACATCTGGCAGAAAATATCCTTGCGGTTAAGGATATTGATTGATATTGATATTGATTATTGGTAATAAAATAAATTATAATTATAAATAAATTAAAAACTTACATATAAATACTAAAGAAATTTGACATATTTTTTCTGATTTTTTGGATGGACGCTTCGGGTAGATTTGCAGCAGATAATAAAATAAATACTAAATTTTAAATAAATTTAAAAATTACAAATAAATAATAAAAAAAGATTAACATATTTCCTCTGATGGGTTACATCTCTTCGAATATACGTTTCGGGTAGATTGCAGCGGATAATAAAATAAATACTAAATTATAAATCAATTAAAAAAATTACAAATAAATGATAAAGAAATTTGACATATTTTTTCTGATGGTTTACTTCGCTTCGGTTGGACGCTTCGGGTAGATTGCAGCGGGTAATAAAATAAATTATAATTATGAATATATTAAAAAAAATTACAAATCAATACTAAAGAAATTTGACATATTTCCTCTGATGGGTTACATCTCTTCGAATGGACACTTCGGGTAGATTGCAACGGATAATAAAATAAATATTAAAGGTCTTAATTCTTTTATAAGTAGGCCATGATTTATTTAACATTAATATTAATAAATAACAGATAAAAAACGCACAAACGCATTGAATTTTTCATAGAACATGAAAGGACGACTTCCCAACAAGTCAGATGTTTCGTGCAAATTACCAACTGTGTATTAAAAAACAAGTCTTCGTTAAATTAATTAATACTAACAAAGTACAAGTCCGATAAAAATTCAAAAAGAAAATCCGGACAGAAATAATTTAGAAGTGATGTAATTAAACAGGTTTTCAAAATGGACATTCTTGGCAACTTTTTTTTCATACAACCCTAACAAGTGTAATTCCGTTAGTGTTTCTCAATATGTATAAAACTCTTTATTTCAACGTCTCTATAATCTCAGGAGGATCAAAAAATTTTTCAAATTCAGAAAGAAGAAGAAATCCAATGGCGAAAAATCAGGGGATCAAGATATCAGACCATTTAATGAAATAATTCCTTCATTAAACTGCTCGCTTAAGAAGTTTCTGCCTTGATGACTTACATTTATATTCTTAATAAGAAAAAACGCACTTCTTATTAAAATACAACTATGATACTTTCAATTATTTAACGTCAAAGTCAGATGGAAAAAAGGTTTTTACGCTCTTTCCAAAAATTGAAAAATCCAATATGGTCTTAGAAAAGTGTCTGAATAATGTAATATTTGGACAGCTGTCAATTTAACCGCTTTGATTTTCTGGCGATAAACGAAATCCGCCATTTTCGTTTTTCGCCGATTTTTCCCAACCAACCTTTGATGCAAATATAGTAGGAGCGGACATTCCTATAGAGAAGTGAATCTGGGACAGATTGTCAGTGAGTTGTTGTTGAATAGCGAGGTCTCGACTAATGGTTTCAATGTGATATTCTTAAAAAGCTGCTGACTTTTTTTGGTAGTTTAGGTTGAATTATTAAGGTCCAGTTTATCAGTGTGGTTGGGTTTTAAGTAAGAAGTGAGAAGTAAGAATTTTAGAAATCAGTGTTTTATTGTATATTGTATTGTATTACATTATAAATATTTTAATTTAGTTTAATTTATTAATTATAAATATTACATTACGTTCCGACGTAACACGGTAATGTTTCAACAGCACTTTCATCAACCTCGAGGCATTGTGTTGAGGCATCTGAGCATACTTGGTTGCCATCCAAATCCACGCATCTACAGATACCTCTGCGGCATTGAATCGGATTGTAGTTCCCATTCTTTAAGCAACTAGGTTTTTCGTTTGTTGACATGACTAGCAATGATCGAGCACATTCTGCAATAACGAAATCGTATAGCGATTTAAAATAATAATTGATATGCACTGAAACAATAAAAAAAGTTTCGCTGTCGGTGGTTTCCTGTGGTTAATGCTAGAAACTTAGTGGAGCTACAATAAAGCCAGGCATTCGAGCGTCCAAGACAAACTGTGGGCTGTTAGTAGGGGTCCCTACAGACTAGACACTTTGTTGTTTGATTTCTTCACTTTGCTTTACTCTGGAATTGCTGGTTTGCTCTCTCTTTCATTATGAGTTTAGCCAACAAGCATATTCGATAAAAATTACTGTCGCTAACGTTACAAAACTAACCAAAATTTAGATAAAAATACTATACAGCCTGTTTTAAACTTCTCATCCGAAAGTGCTGAGGAACAATGGAGAAGAGTGAGATAGCATTCTTGTTCTCGTAATGTTCCGTGGCATATTATTGGATTAAACGATCTGATAAAATGGGGACAAATACTTACTACAATCCATATTTGCGGCTAATGACGCCTCTTCTGATTTGTCAATTGTCAATAAAACCACGCCATCTTTGTCTACGCACACCTTGCTAGAAAGTAACACATTTTAATATGAAATTTATCCTTGATTTTTTCGTTTTTATTTTCTTTATTATTAATTTCGTTTCTTTCAATGAAGGTTCACGGGGTTGGAAGATAATTCGAAACAGTTACATACTGGGTTTTATTTTCTTGGACAGGAAGATAAGATCCATCCAAATCGCATTTGGGATAACGAACCCCCACTACTGCATTGTAACCTGACTTTTGCAATTTCTGAGCTTTGTTCAGAATTTCAATGTATTCGGCTTCACATTTTTTGTAATATTTTCCTGGTTCATTTGCGGTGTCTAAAAAGAAAATATTTTTTCACTTCGAGGTATAAATTTCAGAAGAAATGTTATGCTGTCGACCTACAGCAAGGTAACGTGTTATTGGAGATTAAGGTCATGTTAACCAGTGCTTGGTCGGGATATGTAGGGGCTCCGTCTAGAGCATCTACACAGAGACATTTCTCTCCAATGCACTGTACTCGGTCATAGTTTCCAGCGGAGTCGCATCTGAAATGTTCGCTGGGGCGAAGCTCTCTTCCCATTAAATCCATTGCAGCGTAGTATTTTCTCGAACATTCTTAAAAATATAAATTTAAAAATTAAAAAAAAAATAAAAAGAGAGCTTGCTTTATAAATTTGAAACAAAAGCTAGGTAAGCTAGAATTTGATACCTAAACACTGTCTTTAATAATTGCGCCAACTAAATAAATTTAGGTTTTGTTTGACTGAATATACTTACCACACGGCATATAAGAATCAATGCTGCTAAAATCACCCTGGCCAAAAATTCGCGTTCCATTTCGATGCAGACAATAGCATCTGAAAATTTTGCCAAAATATAAGGAATATAAGTTGATGAATTTGGAGAATTTAAATTTTTCTGAAAAACTTAATTGTGCAAATATTTATTGTTTTTTTGTGTCGCTAAAAAGCAAATTGACCATGTTGTAAAAGAAGATTTCAGTTTTTACATTAAAATTGACGATCCTCAATTAATAATATTAAATAATCCCAGCTCAGATTTATGACAACGTAGTCGAAGATATATAAAAAACTATGAAAAATTTAGACCATCTAATAAAACAGTTGCGTTGGTAAATGAAAATAGATTCAAAAGAAAATTGTAATAAATAAGAGTGTCGATGAAACATTTGCCCAAAAGGCACGAATCCTCTATTGCTGAATCTTACGTTTGCCCTGGTATACATTTAAATGAATCAAATAATCCATCCTCGTCACATTTCGCTCGAACCTCCATCGTTCCCAACGATCCGTTTTGTCTGCGTTCGTCGTAGTCAAGTTGTTGGAGCGTGCAATCTGTGGTCACTGGAAATCACAAAGTAATTTGTACAATAATAATTTGTAGTCGTAATTCCTTGATGATCTGGATAAAAAGTTTGGTATTTAAATGTTGGTTCAACACTTAAAGCCAATTTTTTCTGTATGTGTAATAAAGTGTGTAGAAAGCAATAAGCACTAATGTTGCCATATTTACCTTTGCCATACCAAGAGAAACTATGCACAATCTGACAACACAGGTGTTACGAGAGACCTTCAAATCACCAAGTCTGAAATTCTTAGGACTTAAAATAGCAATGTGTAAGAGATAGTGACAGCGGTGTTGCATTTTTTTAAAAAATTTTACTGTGTGTTAGTAAAGTTAGTAATTTTTGATAGCCGTGGGTCAGAAATAACATTGGTGGTACAGAAGTTAGAAGGAAAGATGGCGAATTAGTCCATAATATAGACTTATTTTTTGAACAACTAAATTAAGAAATAGTAAAAATAGGAACGTCAAGGGGAGAAAAGGAGACCTGAATAGTAGAAATGAGACAAGGGAAAATGGCAGACTCATCGGAAAATATGGAGAGGAAATTGTTAATGACAATAGACATATGGACACATGGACACAAACAACAAGAAACCTAAAAACTATTATTGACTACAAAGTTGTTCCTCTTGTGGAAATGACTACAACTTATTGAAGGCAATGATAACATTGACTAATAAATCGAAACAGCACCCATACAATACTAAACGTGAAGAAGAACCGGCAAATTAGGAAACGCCACTAAGATTTAACACGATTAGCAGAAAATACAGAATACAATACAATACAATAATATAGAAAAAGAATACAAATGCAGAAGAAGCGGAAAACAACGAAAGACAAGAAACACAAGCCAGAGTAAAAAGAATGATAAGAGAAAAAAAAGACTAACCAATGGCAAAGGACATGAAAAAAAGTATATAAAGTTGAAGACTCTTCAGAAATATCAGAACAGAACAGAAAAATGAAATATTCTCACAAGAATGGAACCAATACTATGAAAAAACCTGACCGAAGAGAGGCACAACTTAAAGATGCTCAAGGCAGAAACCCAAATATAGGTGTAAGAGGGCCCCTATAAGACTAACACTAGCTGAGATTAAGGACGTGTATAAAGTAGCATACGGAGTAGAATACGGAAGCGAAAAACTGTAATATGCCCTAAGAAAATTTCAACCATACAGAAAAATCGAGGCAAGTGACAATTATTGGGGTATAGCGGTTATAAGTTCCATGACTAGAATATATGGAAAAATTCTAAAAAACAGAATAGAAGCGGGCTATTGAGCAGGAAAATCTTCAATTGGTTCACCTGTTTACTTTAACACAGATCCTAGAAAAGAAAACAGCGACATTAATGTAGAAATAATAAAAGCAATGAAATCATTATACAACGGTGGAGAATCTAGAGTTAAAACAAATCAGGGGTTAACAAAAGGCTTTAAGGTTACCAAAAGTCTTAAGCAACAGGTCTTAAGAACATCGCCGAAGCTATTTAAAATTTATTTATAAAAAAAATGACCTAGAAACGCAAATGCAGTAATATGAGAATACCAGTAGATGACGATTATGCAGTCTACAGTCTATTATTCGCGGATGATCAATTTGTTATTGCATATATGGATGACATCGAATACATGACAGACAAGCTAACTAAGAAGTATGACAAATGCGGTTTAGAAATCAACATTGATACAAACCATTAAGCGGCTCCCAACAAGATACAGTGGACGAAGCGATATCTGAGAGAAAAGTTCAAGGAAGAAGAGCAATTTCCTTGCTAAACAGCATATTATGAGACAAAAACATATATATAAAGAACAGAAAAGGAATCTACAACTATATCGTGAAAAGCATAATAACTTACTGTGCTGAAGCGTAGCCTCTGGAACAGAAATATAAAAGAACATTAAGAGAAACTGAGATGGACTTCTGCAGAAGGGCGGCCGGTAAATCTAGACGACAGAGGCAATCGAATGACACGGTAAGAATATGATATCAAAGAAAGTCTTGAATTGGAACACACAAGGAAGAGAGAAGGAATCGATATAGAAATTTTGAGAGCCTGGAGAAAGACTTTATGGAGAGATAGGGATGTTTTGGTGAGTTCGGCGTTTCAGTTTGTGGCAAATTAAACAAAGGCAAACATCAAACAGTTTAATGCTACACTGAAAGATTGCGGATGACGGAGGATGACTCTTCTTGTTAATATTCGATGGATAAGGACTAAGGAACTATCAGTCGTGTATTATGTAACTAACCAATATTGCGCTGATATTGCAAATGCAGCACTTACTTTTTCTACATTTTCCGTCAGTTGCGTTGTCATTTTTGGGGACACAACTTAGTAGAGGACCACAAATGGAAGTGTGTTGTCCACTTGATGGGTCGCCAACGGTACATGCTCCGCCTTCCTCTGTAACAAGTACTTATTACAATGCTGAACCTCAATTATTTAATCGTATAAAAATTAACTTTCATAATTTAACGCTTAGTAGTTCTCAGTGCAAGCAACTCCCGCTTGCAATTAGATAATTGAACCCTTTTTTTATTTCATTGCTTAGTCCTTCTTGGCTAAAAGCACATTAAACTAGTATAAAAATTAATTTGGTACGTATTAGTCTAGGTGAACAAAGGGGTGTGATTATTTTAGTTCTGACCTTTATGTGACGGAAAAACTCATATAGCTAGCTACCAAAGATATAGGGCACTGGCTAGGCCGACATTACAGGAATTTTTGAAGCACGTCGTAGAATTTGTTTACAATAATAGGTTAATTTTTTCTCTAACTGCACTTCGCTATGTTTTCCACATTACCGATATTTGCGAGACAATAATCGCAACAGTTGCAAATGTCTGGCGAAGGAAGGAAGATCCCATTATGTGTGGCATTCTGAATTTGGCAATTTTTTGGCAAGGTACCACATTCAGCATCCTAAAATAAAATAAATTTAGTTTAGAAATATAAAAGAAAATCTTTATAAATATTCTTAGTACAATTAAACACATGGCGGAAGCTATACCATACCTTTAATAGGAAATAAAAGAATATTCTCATATACGGCTTCCACCATATTGTGGAAGTTAGACTCCACTACTTAAATAAAGTAAATCTTTTTTTGAAAATATCAAGTTCTAAGTCTGTTTTTTAAAATAACTTTGTACAGTGTATGTTTGCAAAACTCAAGTTTTGAAATATTAAATTGATTGCCTTGGGTAGTTGGGTAAAATACATAAAAGAAAGTGTAATATATAACACATTAATAAACTTCTTCAGTCACTCGATTATTCAGCACTACCTATTCAACAAATACCTAGCAACCATCGATTATTGTCTTCAGTTATCAAAAGGCAATAGCGGTGTTTTAAAATAATATATTTATTAACAGCTATTATTAAACGCTGAATTTTTAATAGTATATCCTTGATTTGCCAAATACTTTTTTTTTATGATAAAATTTTGCCTATTGAATATCTCAATTTAAAGTTTCTTTGACACCCTTCATAAGGTCAAAAGTCATCAATTTTTTTGTCTTAATAATAATTGGTAATAATTTACGTGTATAAGTAGGGACGTTATATAAACACATATAAACATTTGATAACGACACGGTATTGTCGAAACAATTGTCATGTAAAAATATATAATTTCGTGAAAATCGGAAATTTTAGTTCTTATTTATTTTGACGTTATATAAACTATTAGTATTGTGAATTATGAATAGCAGTTTAGTGGTATAAAATAATAAATATTTTGGAAGAAATTTTTAACTCCGTTAAGTTTACACTTACTGATGTTTTTGTTGGGTTTTTGGTTATTATTATGTTATTAATGCGCTTTAATACCTCTTAATGTTTAATTAGGTTTCTATTAATATTGTGCAAAAAATCTCTAATATCTAAAGCGAAACATATACAAAATTTACCGAACAAGTTGAAGATAAACACAAAATGTTTACGTCGTCCACAGCTCTAGTGTAGGGTAACAAGAGTGACACAAACAACAACACCGCTTTAAACATTGTTTTGCTATGGAGGGAAATACATTCGATTGAAAGCAGATTTGCTGTAGCAGTTAATCACTGATAAGATAAAAATATTTGCAACCTTGTCAAATTTTACCCGATAAAATTTGATTCATTCAACACTTATTGAAACCATTAATCAATCAAGACCCAGACAAAGATAAAAACTAGTTTTTGCAGGGGCAGATTTTAAAAAGAACTTATGATTTTCGCAATAGAGAAGACCAATTTGTTTTGCGACATCAACTCAATAAGAAAGTGCTAATTAGTGTTCACAAAATTTCGCAATAGGTGAAGGTGTAGAGTTCTTTCATGTAATTTTTTCAGACTATTTTTTTTCTGGAATAAAAAACTCAAGCTTGTATTTGATTTAAACCTCCCGTGCAAGTGTAAGTAAAATAGATAAGCAAACACAATAGACACAGCAAGAATGTCAACTATAGATAATTTAATATTCATTCTCATCAATATAATTCTGATTAAATTCATGAAATAGGCATTTTGAAATATCATAGACCAAAGACAACTCTTTGGTAATGGTATAATATGCAACAAGTTTATTAAAGAACACATTTAGCAACGAGTTTGTCTTGCTATGACCGAAATTAAAGATTTAATATTTATAATAGTAATAATAATAATATTATTAATAATTATAATCAATCAAACCATGTAGAATTTTTACTTGTTTGTGTAGTTGTGCCGGTCTGCAGGGGTATTTGCGTGACAAACCATGTTAGTAATCGGATTTCAATGATCGAGCTCTGCTTCTCGCCAGTATGATTCTATTTTTTTTTTATTTCAAAAATGTTCAACTTTCTTTCACTCGTCGTATAAGAAGCTACCGGTGCCGATCAAATAGATTTAATTTACATATGTCTTGTAAGGAGTACAGTTTACCGTTGGCCCAATGTTAACCGTAACACATGTCAGTGAGATAAAATTAGAAAATTAATCTCTAAATATTATCAGGAAGTATTACAAAAATCATCAATTCTATATAAAGTGAGGGGTAATGTTTGCCCCAAAAAAACCAAAAATACTTGCATGCAACACATAGTATCAGGAATCTAAATCGAATCTAATCTAATCTAATCTAAATGCGCAATATATAGTGCACACATAATGTGAGGTCCATAATAGTGCACGATATTATTTTTGGGAAATGTTATGTTTAATTAATGTTATTGGCAATAAATTATCTTATTATTATTATTATTAATATCTGGATGATCTAAGTAAAAGGATGGGGAGAATGGAAACGATATTTAATAATCGTATTTTACTGAATTACTGATCTGTTATTTCAAATAATATTTTACCCATTTTTTCCGTCAAATTACTGAAAAATAGACACGCTTCATTAGCCTTGATCGTATACTTACGCCAGAGCCTAATTTAGTCGACTGATCATCTTATTATTAAGTTCAACATTCAAGCTTAGTGCTGTCCCAATCACCAGGTATATTAAGCAGAATTTTCTCTCTCTCTTTCTATATTTTTAAATCAGGAAAAAAAAATGAAAATCATATTATATTATAGATACGAGAGCTGATAGCTGATTTTAACAATTTTTTAAAACGTTAATTGCAATTAATTTAATTAACTAACTAATGCTAAAGTAAAACTATCCGGAATCGGAAGATTCTTCATTGAAATTTAATAATTGTAAATCTAAATTTGCACTGTATGTTGTTGAAGGTTTCGTTACTTTCATATACTTCTCAACCTCTCCTTCTTTTGTTATTTTTCTTTGGCTTGATATCAGAGGTTCAGAAGCGTTTACGGGTGTGAGATAATCTGTTTTTCCTCACCTCTCCTTGTTTGTCTTCAAGGCCATCTTCCGACAATTGTCCAATTGGCTGAGAGAATGCACTATTTGTTTCACACCCGTGAACAAGCACGTTGTGAATACTGCTAGGCATGTAGTACCACCCGTATGTATAGTTATAAGCACTGCTAGGCATATAGTACCATCCCTACCATCTCTTCTTCCGACTAACAATTTCTTAAAATTTTGTAAATCTGTAGTGAGACCGCTTGGCAACACTCTCAAGACGATGGAAAAGTTCACAATAACATTCTGCTCAATTGCTGTATTCTCTGGGCTGACATCAGGATTTGAAAAGAATCTTCTGGCTGTTTTGCCATTGTTCGTCGAGCCATATCCTGGCTTCGGTTTGTCCACAACCAACCCATTTACGATTGAAAGTCGTCTTGATTTTTTTTTATTTATGCCTACTATTTCCTTTGCTTCATTGCCTTTTACTTGCCAAGAGTTTACTGGTAACCGATAGGCTATGTGCAAAAGGCATTCGAAAAACCGCATCCAACAGTGTAGGTTGGACAAACACAAACCGAAGCGATGGTTTTCGACATTAGACACTCTATACAACACGTGTTTTGTCTTCGTATCAGATAGAAAATGACTATTTTTCAGATAGGCTATTTTCTCATTCATCTACTTTTCCCCTGCGCGTACCAGCTGAGCATTTATTTAAATTTAACGGTCTTGTATTGATCCACGCATCCATTTCAGTGTCTAGATTTACCAATCTTAAAGGCACTAATGCTACCAAGAACAGATACTCATTTGGACTAGAAATATCAGTGAACTTTTGTTTAAATTGGCTGTGACTTGAGCTGCCGTTGAAACCCCATTTACACATATATTATATATTAGCTTGGAAAACATTCTGAATGGACTACTTTATATTTGTTTTCAGACAGATCTAGATCTAGATATGAGTTTGATGAGGAGTTAATGAAGCAGTCTCACATTTAATTGTTTTTATATCACGATTCATCTCTGCGGCAAATCGCAACTCATTACGTATCCTACTAGCTGCGAGTTCCCCTATCCGCCTCTTTTTTGTTTTAATCGAAGCTTCATGGAAGAGCTTCCACAGGCCCAAGACTGCAGGTTTGCAGTAGATATATCAGCGATTAGTTTCTCTGGCAGATGTATCTCTTGCTGTAGCCAGCTTCCTGACGTTCTAGAAGTTTTTTCGGCTTCGACTAAGTTATTTCCATTTATTGGACATATTAAGGCATATTGGGGCATTTTTCTACTGCTAAAAGAGGACAAATTTTCTCGGATAAGGCTGAAATTTTTTTCGATTTTCCGCTCTTACACTACAGTTCAACTAAATTATCATTTTTGATAGAGTTGATTTTCTCTGCCAAAAGCATCCACACCAAAATAAATTGCAATCAGGAACAGACAAGCTTTTGCAATCAGAAGCAGACAAACAAACTTCTCTTGATATGAACCTGCAATAACAAACATAAAAAAGCAAAATCTATGAAATGATATTACGTGTTATTACAGTCGGCGCACTGTGTGTCTCAGCACGGCTGCGTTCCTGACGGATTAGTCATAACGACTACACTGGACACTGGCACTTTAATTAATTAATTGATTTAATCCAGATAATCCAGTAGAAATTCACTGACTGACGCTTGTCGTTCAAACTTGAACACAGCATTGTGTGTTGTGATAAACAGTTAAAGTGAATAGCAGCGTTTCTGCGTAAACGGTCTTTGTTCGGATTGGTGAAGCTTTTTCGTTACCACAAAACATTATTAGTGATGGTCCACAACGTTCAGTACTGGGACCAGTGTTGTTTGTAGTAGATACCTGCACTCTTTCATAAACTCTCGCGTTAGGGGTTACGCCGATGACATAAGGTTATTGAGAAATCCTCGTGTTTGGCGTTCAAGAGGGCCTCTACCTTCTCTCGAAACAAAAGGCTGTTTCTATTAAAGTGACCTTAATTGTTTTTTATTTTCCTAATCGTCACTTTTTTATATACAGGGTGGTAAAACAAAGTTACATTATTTTAAATAGAACGCCATACATTTTATTGCATTTTTGGATAGTCCTTTTACAGACAAATTCAACGACATATATGAGTATGGGTCTGTGATGCACCGTTTCGAACTTAATAGCGACCGTCTTCAGAATTCGGGTTTTGCTTAAATCATCATTGTTGGGTTGCTAATTAACTTTTTAAACTTTTTTCCATCTATTATTTTTACGAAAACAGTGCTTTTCTTTAGGCAATTATCAAATTTAATATATCTTCTTAAAATTCGCAGTATTACCACGTTTACGCTTAATTGGCAATTATTTTCCAATAATACATAAAATTTTTTCATTCATAATTTAAGAATTACGTCTTAAATGCCATATACCATTTAGAAATAGCGTATGCTACTTATATTCTTCAAAATGGCGGACATATTGAAAAACTAATTTAAGTAATTTTTTGAAACATATTATCTAAAAATGCCTATCCATCATTATATTTCAAAATTCGAGTCTTAAGTTAAACTGATTTATAACTGTTATTTTTTAAACATGTTTGAATTGTGGTTCGTCTTAAGTCTACATCTGAAGCGGTAAGACGGGTGGAGGTCTGTAGAGCACTACTGCCATTTGTTCGAAACTGCTGGCATATTTTGGCAAATTTCTTTTTCCTTGCAATCGTCTATGGGAAAATTTAGTTCTATATTGTCTGAGAGCTAGAGACTTTTGTTATGGGCGATGTAACATTCTGATAGGTCAACTCTTTCCTCCTTCGTATACATTATACAAAATAGACTAAACAAAAACGCAACTTAATAAAATAAATAGAAAATAATGGTAGTCAGAAAAAATATGCTTAAAATATTATAATACACTGATACCTGTCAAAAAATCAGTAATTTTACCACAACTACTATTGTTTTTAAAGCTACTGCGATGATGATGTCAAAAAGGTCAAAATTAATATCATCAATTTTATGTTTGTGTCTTTCAACCGACAGGTTTCTACATATTTTGTAAGGACGTATGGTCTATATTATTAAGAATATGAATTTTGTAAAACGTTTTTTCCATTTAAGGACATTATTTACAAGATATGTTAAATTATGAATGTAAAAAAAAAATATGTATTATTGGAAAATATTTGCCAGTTAAGCCAAAACGGTAAGTCAGAGAACCGTACTATTAAAGTGGCTATTCGAAAATTCAATAATATACAAGGTGTCTCATTTACGAAAATTGAGAAAAGTATGTTGCGAAACGTGGCAAGAAGAAAATATTTTAAAATTGATCATTGCCCATAGAAAAGCATTATTTTCTTAAAAATAATAGAGGAAAAAAGTTTAAAAAGTCAATAAGCAACCCAACAATGCTGGTTTAAACATATCCCGAATTCTGAAGATGATCGCTATTAAGTTCGAAACGGCGCATCACAGACCTATAGTAAAATGCAATAAAATTTTGTGTGTTCTATTTTTAAAAAAATGTAACTTATTTTTACCACCCTGTATATAAAAAAGCGACGATTAGGAAAATAAAATAAATAGAAACAACTTTTGTATTTAAAATTTTGTTATAACGTCCGTAGGTTTTGCAGGTGTAATAATAATAATATTAATAATAATATCACCTTCAAAATACAGACTACATTGATTTTTAGACTGCGCTTTAACAATTTGTGTGCAATTTTTATTTTTTTAATTAAAGTTATAATATAATACATAATTTGAAATTATATTACGAGATTAAGAATTTGACGTATATTTTTTATTCTTGGTCAATTGGTTGTATTTGAAATTTTCAATCACAATGCCGATCCTCATAGTCATAAGCACTATCAAATAATTAAACAACATGAAAAATATCCTTTCTGGCCAGCTCAAAAAATGAAATATTCCATAAATCCACCGACCACGTAAAAAGTATGTTGCGAAAAATCTGAAAAAAAAAATTACATTTACATTAAGATTATACAGATTATATAGTAATATATTCGATGAAATTTACCAAGATAAATATTATAGCAAATTTGCTAATTTGCTTTGATTGGTATGGAAGTTATTTTACTTTTAAATGGTCAGCTTTATCACCATCCCAAATGTATGGGACGCTGGAATAGTATATTATGAAACAAGTTTGATAAACACCATTTTAGCTACCAGTTTCATTTGTCATGAGGGGGAGAGCAGCGGAGCGAGTGCTCAATAAACGAGTATTACTTACATATTATACTTTTTATACTACCATTAGTCAGAACTGACAAAGCTTAAAATACCATTGGACTGAGGTAGCTTTTATTTGACGAAAATACATTTAGCAGAATTAAATTAGATCAAAAAATGTTCAAATATTAACAGTTATTTAATGATTTGACAGCTGCTTCGGCAGATTATTTTGTATTTGATAAATGCACGGTATTGCATAAACAGCTGTCATAAATAATTTTTTGATCTAACTTAAAAACATCTGATTGCTCCGGAAACGCGAAAGATGCTACAGGAATAATGAAGCTGATGTCTTAAAGTGAACCTTTCTGTATCGTTAACCATCGAAGGAAAATAGCGTCACATGAAGAAAAAATCTATGACAATGGAGCATTGTTAAAGAGTCTTCTCAAATCTATAATGTGGTTTGATCGTGATATTTTATGTGAAACATGTCACCTGTTTTTCAATTTATATTTAAATGTTGATAAATGATACGGTAGATTTTCTGTCTTTTTTTTAATTAATGAATATTTCATTTTAATAATCATTATATATGTACTTACATAGTATCGTAAATTAATGTTAAAACAGTCAGTCCTAGCAATGACGATTTATAACTCGGTATAAACTGATTAACTAGTAATACTTCTATTGTAAGAAATATTATAATGTTTGTATGCAGGCAGTGATTGAGCCAATCGGGAACATACTTATCCAAAACCGAAGGAAGAACCTAAAAAGACAACCACTCCACTATATTTAAACTTTTTGAGTCACGAGTTACCGTTTACCACACCTGTCCCAGAAGAAACTGTAATTATTTAATTAATTTAATTTAATTATTTTATAATTTGAGAGTTTTTTAGCATTACTACGACAGAATTTAAAACGTATAATCAATAATCGCGAAGATTGCTTTTGTTGTTTTGTTTTTAATCCATAAAAATGAAAAAAAGTATTATTGAACATAGGAGCTATAAGTGACATTTCTAGGGTTTAAAAAATGGAAAGTTATTTTCCGTGCAACAAAAATATTTTATTCGGATGTACTGACCTTATTCTTGACAGTTTTCTTGTGCCTGATAATTTAAAACACCTTGTAAACAATGTTCTCGACGTTGGGAAATCAAGATAATCAGAAAAACATTAACTTAACTTAGAATTACGTTCATTGTGGTTTAGAGACGAAAACAAATATATCAAAGGCTATACTGTATAAAATTTCGATATTAAATTTTATAAGTCACCGATACTTACCCACTCTCTGTTGATTGAATAAACACCCCAGAACATAGTACAAACAAATATCGAACATGGAAAAAGCATGCTCGTATAGAAATAACCTCTGAGTCGCAAGATTTTTTCAATTAGTGTGGATTTCGAATACGAAAACCTAAGGATATCGGATAATACTGCTAGAGAAAAATATAATATTTGAATAATCTGAAAGAATATTATATCATCATGTGTTATTTTATTATTATAACAATAGTACAACAAGAGGATTGACATTTCAGGGAAAAATTATTTTCTCTTCTTTTGAACTAACTCTTACCATATTCCAGCTAGTAAAAAATAACATTCCGAAATTTTTCATATCTAGGATACGTTGGTCGACCCCATCATCTTCTTCAACATTTTCTTTAAAACTGAAATGGCAATAACCTATTGCATGTACATTGTGAATAAGTGCAATCACGTGAAAAGTCGCACTCAAAATATTTCTAGTATTAATCATATCGGGCTGCAATTAAATGTACAACTTAGAAAAATAAATAAACAAACCAAACACCTATAACTCGCTGCATTATTTAAAATGGTCGGATGTTCTAAATTCGACTCTCACAGGACATGGTAATGCGTAATTGTGGCAATGGTGGTTATCAAAGACAGAAGAAATTGAAGATCTTATAGCAATAGTCCGTTCTGTTATATTGTGGTATTATAGTTCGCTACAAAATTATCCCAGAAACATCTGTCTCACAGCACTTTACTTTTTATCGACTTCGTAGAGATCGCGATCTGAGAGTCAAATTCGAGACCCCCAGTAAAACACAGATTTCAATTATAAAATACGTTTAACTTCATATTCAGCGTACCCCGGTCTGATATGTTCGTTTTTCATTCAAAACAAAATACTGTTCCAAACTGTTCGCATCGCCCAGAAATCATTATATTTAATGCGGCGGTCGCTTGCTATCGGCACTTATAAAGTCTAGGTCTGATTGCTTTTTTCTTTATCGTTTTCCCACCACTTTCGGAACAGACAACTCTACCAAATTATGTGAATCGACCGGGCAAGATTGACAAAATTGAACTCTCGATTTTTATTACCTAAAGTAATTTTTTAACCTAACTTTTGGCATGAAATACAGAAATTTATTTTGCTGGACAAGTTCCTTTTAATTATTATATGAATACCAAACCATGAATTGGAAGCTGTGGTGGAAGTAGACAAGATAACCGCACGTCATTTTTCGATTTACATGAAAACTTTTTAAATACCTTCTAAAATACAATAAGTTACACTCTCGAAACAAAAATACTCCATTGGTAATGACGTCACGAGGTAAGTGGAGACAAGCAATGCATTGTCGCCGTACATTTTGTGTTTAATTTTACCCTTTGGGGTTTAAAGTTAATTCGTTCATTTGTGTAATATTTCCACATTTGCAATATGACCGACGGATTTATGAAAGCGCAATCTGCCTTTAGCGGACTATTTGATGGTCCCCAATTTTTGGCCCAGAACGTATTGTTTACATCTGTGTATTTTCTTTCTATGAAATTTCTTTCAATTCAGTATCGCGGAACTATAAAGCAATGGTTTTACAATTGGCAACTTAATTGGAGCTAAACCAATATTTGTAGCTGCAGGTTTAACAGAAGAAACCATACACTCAGTTATACTTTTCACAAAACTTCATTGGATTCATTCTTCGTCAGTTTTTGTTGAACCAAATTTGTTGACGTCTGAAAAATTATACACTCCGTTGTTGAGTGAATATTGTACTTAGCTGATTTGCTTCGACACTTATTGAGCAGGTTTATTTGTATTCCTGCAGAACATTGGCACTCCTTTTTTTATATATATGTGAAATACTGACTTCACTTAAAATATCTCGGACTTGAACTTCCACCATTTTCAATTTCATATAGTTTCCCATATCCTGAACAGGGAATTTAATAATTGTTTTTCTCGGAGCACAAGTACTTGTAGTTTTACAACCAGGCACGTGCAATTGCGGTAAACCATTTTCAACTCAAAAATAACTGAAAACTCACCACAATATGTCAAGCTGATAGCTGTCAACACGAAAACGTCTCAACAGCTGGAATGTTCACATTACGTTTTTAGAGTGAAATTGCTCAATTCAAGTTTTAATTATTTAGTAGGACGCTACGATTTCATTTCTGGTGAAAATATTTAGGGAGAGTATAGAGATAGAGATAAAGATTTAGCTTTGTTTCCATAATACTTGAGTTACAAGTGTTGGATATTTTCAGTATAATACAAAATAAATAATATAAAATTGTGTTAATATAATTAATTAATTCATAATCATAATAACAGTTAATAATAATAATAATAATAATAATAATAATAATAATAATAATAACAACGAATACGTATTAAAAGGTATCACAAGAAAGACAATCCTTTATGTTGTAATTGTGCATTTGAATTTTGTTTGTTATTATACATTTTTAAGGTCAAAACAAAAGTAAGAGGTAGTCGGTGTTTAGGTTTTTGTATGTTAATATTTGATTTTAAATTGTACTGAATATAGGAGTTTCTTAAGAGCATGTAAAGATTAGAGTTGTTTTTTACATAAGCGGCACAATTTAGTATGTACATACTAGGAAGTGTCAATAAACATTGTTGTTAAAATAGTATACATAGGTTTAAACAATATGGTCCGTAAACTGCGTTTCTGCATACTAAAGAATTGTTCCGCACGTGGGAAACCTCCCCAACAAATCAAGACGTAGTTAAGACAGGAATACAGGTAGTAAAAATAATACAGAAAGTTTTTTGAGGAATTTTACACTTTTCTGTTCGATTGTGCTTTCATTGAAGCGTACTAATAAACTAATATTTAGGTCCCGTTTTTTTATTAGTATCAATTTATTCATTTTAGTCTTGCTTCTATATAAGTTTTTATGTGCCTAATCTTAGAAGAATTAATATTTTGATTATCTGTCATTATAAATCATGTGCAATTATTATAATATTTATTATTCTAATAACTACCTGCGGACAACGCCACTGTCGCCTTATTTTGATCCAACAAACTCGCCTTTTTATTATATGGAAACGATTGCGTCGATTTGACGTGTGTTGGTCATGAAAAATGAAACATGCCACTGAATTATTGCAATAATTAAATTAACGTCTACTATTTTTCTAAGTGTACGTCCACCAACGGATAAAGGCACAACAAAAATATTTACGAATATCGATTTTATAATTGTACAGGGTGGTCCAAATTAGAGGGGCCTCTATGGCTTTAAGCATTTGCAGCATAGTTAGCCCAACACTAATATGCATGTTACGGACTCGATTTTCGAGAGAAGTCAAAAACTGAAAACCGCATCGTGATATGTCAAGGCGTTTTTGAGCTACAGGGTGATTCCCAAAAATTTGCGATTTTAAAGGCCCTCTAAAACTATTTTGAATGTAAGAATAGAGTTTTGGGAAAAAACATTTTTTTCAGTTAAGCGGGAAACTCTCTATTTTACCCTGTTTGTCTTAGAGCCATTAGTTATATTTCTTTAAATAATAATAATCAGTTTTCTAATAACATTTCCTGTCCAACGATTTGAAATACACCTATTTTTATTAAATAGTTTAAAAGGTTGGTTGGTTGCACACAAATTTCACCGAATCCTTCTTAGCTTTGGCAGTTCAAAACCTTGGTCACAACAACGATAGGTTCAAGTAAACATTATATAGGAAAACTTTTTGTGCACATTTTGACTTAACCCATATTATCCCAAGCATAAAAAAATACTTTTTTGCTCTGAAATTATTTATTTTGTTGCACGTTACATGTGTAAAAAAAATAAAATCTCGAAACATACAAAAAAATACTGGTGCATAAACCACTGGGAAAAAAACTGAAATAATGTTTTGGGGCCCATAAGATGTAACATATAATTTATACGTAAGTTCAAATTCGACAGAAAACAAATCAAAGTAGATTGTTTTCCAAATAGAATCTGATTTGATACAAAAAAACGCATAATATTTTATGGTGCGTGAGCGCACTCCTGGTAACACCCGGTTTAATTTTTGGTGATATTTTACAAAGCATGAAGTATGTAAATGCACATTACACTTATTACAAACGTAAATTGTGTGGCTGTCGCAGATTCTACATCTCCTTCGGCCTTTATTAGCATAAAGAATCATGAGGTGACCTTGATTATCATAACGCATTTCATCTACGGCAGGTGCAAGATTTCTCTGAGTAATTGATTCATCAGTTTTTAAAAATCGTAAAGCAATGTAAGATTTAGATTCAAATCAATCACTTCGTCATCAAAAAACATAAAAATTATTTCAAGCGGAATTTTTCCAGAAAGCCTATTTTTTAGTTCCTCACATGATCTAAATTCATTGGATATAGGTGTGTGAGTATACTCAATCTGACTTTTCTTCCATTTGACTGTAGACAAAAAACCCATAGAATACGTGGTGCATTAACGCACCACTGGGACAAAATGGGTTAATATCTATTGCTATTAAGAGAGTTATATGAGAAAATATGTCAATCAAGCACAAAATGAATTCGACCAAGGGCTGCAAATTGATTGATTAAACGAACGACCCGTGTTTTTACACAGTTCCTTCGAAATTTTTCGATATCTTAAGTTTCATTGCTATTACGGGAATGTTAACGGCTAGACAATTTGACTGCGTAACATATTACCAACGTCTAGAAACTCGGAATGTAAATAAAATCCAGACGAAGTTATTTTTTTTTTTAAATTGTAGATAACCTTTGATCCGGATTTTAACGTTTCGCTTAGGAGGTCCGTTACTCTCTTGATAATAAATATTCCGTTTAACCTTAAACATATTTTATGGTCCAAACTTTTTCGTTGGACTGAAATAGTAAGTCAGGTGTCGAGCAAGAAAGGTGTTTACGTGCTCTTAGTAGCATCAGTTAAAAATTTCTTGAATAACAACGACATAAGTTGGAGAGACAAACCATTCTACTTTTTTACTTTTATACTTTTTACTTATTTATTTAGCATAAAGCTATAACAGAAAACAATCGTATTTACATTTTAAATACACAAGCCAGTAGCAAGATTTAAATAAGTATAAAAGTACAAAAGTACACAGAACAATAGTATATAACAACAGAAGAATTATAAAAGAAAAATCAGAATAAAATTTCAGATCTTAAATATAAATATAAAGGCATCAAACATCATCACAGGTGAATATCTATTACATTTTAGAATTGCGCGCATTGCTCTGTTTTGTATTTTCTGAAGTTCCGTTAGTCTATAATTAGACAATAAAGTTGACCAATATTACAAATGTGGCGCCGTCAAGCTATTGTAAAGTAACATTTTTGTATAACTTGTTAAATTTTTTCCTGCTCCAGATATGAAACTCACCTTTTGTTAGAACTTTATCATTATATAATCACAATGTGCATCAAAATTTAATTGTGGATCTAATACAATTTCCAAATATTTTATATGTTTCTCATACTCAAAACCACTTAATGCCATACAAACAGAACTTCGACTTCATGGCATTAATGCTAAGATTATTATTGCACAGCCATACAAAACATACAGGTCATCATTTTTCGATATTCTTACCAAAGACACATATGGTATCATCGGCAAATGCTATTTTTCACAACTTGAGCTAGGTCATTAATATACAGAAGAAACAATAATGGCCCCAAAACAGTCCCCTGTGGTACCCCGTGACCCGCCAAGATAGACTCAGACACAGATGATTGTGTTCTGCCAGAGGTAAGTAAGATTTTAGCCAATCCAGGGCTAAGTGCTTTATGCTTTATATTTTCTAGCATATCTATTAAATTGTAATATTAGTGAAAAGTAACATATAACTTCAGTTCTTTACAAAATTTATAAACAAAAAGGTGATTATTATGTGAAGCAACAAAAACAATAGAATGGCGGGTATTTCTTGAAACCTTAAATGAAGAAAAAATATGGATGACCTTATAAGCTTATAAGTTAATTCCTTAGAGTACAATTTTAGATTGACTTGACTTTTTAAAAAAGAATGTCGCCGGATATATAATATTTTTGGTATGAACTGTAATACTATTTTAATAATGTTGAATTTTATCTGAAATATTTAATAGGAGGCAAAGCAAGACCACATGACTAACGTTAACCGAGATATACATTGAAGGAAATTACGTTGCAAAAGCGAATCTACCGATAATAATAAATTTTTCATACTTATTTATGTTTATCTCGCGGCAGGATAACTCAAAAATTGTGATATGTGCATTTCTAATAAGTAAGTAGGGTAGATCGTTAGAAACCATACTTCTAAAAAAAGCAATCAACCATCTATAAAGAATTCATAAAAATTTATAGAATATTTTGATAACAAAATATTCTATACATTTGTGTACATTTTAATATTTCTTGGTTATTCTATTTACGGCGTATCTACTACTAGCAAAGCAGGCGTGACTTTCATGACCAAAGGCTACTGAAATGCTAAAAAAGTAACCAACCATCTATAAGGAATTCATAAAAATTTTGCTATTTTGATAACAAAATATTCTATAAATTTGTGTGTGGTTATTCTATTTACGGCGTATCTCCCTTAGTAAAGCAAGTGTGACTTTCATGACCAACGGCTAGTGAAATGATTTTGGAGATTTTGCATTCTTAAATATCCTGAGTGTTTCGGTTATGCGTTAACTTATCGAAAAGGTGAAAACTGCGCTGGATAGATATAGATAGTTGATAAAATAAACTAGTTTTTTTTTAACATAACACTCTATGAATTTTAATAATTTGTTCATCTTTTTATGAGTTTTTCAAAAATATACAACACATGAGCGGTATTTCAAATACACAGCATGCGTCTTTAAATTCTGTTTTTAATTATGAACAATTCATGGGAAAAAAATCTATATGTACTACATATTTCGTAAATATTATTTTAACATTTGCATTCTGCAATGACGATTATGTGAAATTCGATATAGCTTATTTTGATAGTTAATAGTTATGTAAGAAATTATAATTAATTAAACAATATTACTTAAATTACTTAAACAACTATACTTACTGTACATAGTATTACAGTAGCCTGTGGAAGTTTCTGTGAAAAAAAGAACTCAGTTTGACTGTTTCTTTTAGTTTCATCGTACTCTATTTTACGGGATTAACCTTATGGCAATACGGTGTACTCTCGGATGTACTTCTTACGACAATTGGCAACAAATGTATTACAAAAACATCATCAGCAATAAGTTTTAACGAAAAAATCACAGACGACACACATTCGCATCTAGTGAATATAGGTAAGAATTTTTTTTTAAGTTTTGCAAATGTTATTTACGAATAAAATACATTTTGAAAATATCCATATAACATATAATAACCAGAAAACAATGGCAATAAAATTTCAAATAACACTCAATACTTTTTGACCGATTTGTCTGGTTAACACCGCATAGGCTAATATCTGCCTAAACGTTTTTTTGGCGAAATAAATTAATTGAATGGATGTGTTCAGTTTTCATTTTATTATTTTTCGACTACTTATGAATTTATATATATATATATATATATATATATATATATATATATATATATATATATATATATATATATATATATATATATATATATATATATATATATATATATATATATATATATATATAAACCTATAGCTTATCGATTGGCCGCGAGTACAGCACCAAGAAGTTATTCTTCTTCCTTTTCTCGCGGTATTAAATTCTTGAACTTAACTGGCCATCTATACCCGCCAGCGCCCTTAGGCGCATGCTCCACGAAAAATCGCGGTGAAGCGCTAAATCGGTCGCTCTCATCGTGTGGTTCAAAAAGTGCCGTTGAACGCATCAGGTCATACGCGTGGTGATCAACAAATTTCCTCACCACTCGAGGCACAGAGGACGCAGCACGGGCCGGCCCCTCCGGAAGGAAGACCAAAAGCGAGGTAGGGTCAGTTAAGTAATCAAAAATCTTTTGATCCTGTCTTGAGTAATTTTTGCGACTTCTTGCTGTGCCAGCTGCTGCCAAAGTCCGTTTCCGCGCGGACAAAACATTTTTGGTCCTTCGAGCCGGATATTTTGAATTTACTTTGTCCACACGAGCGTTGTTAACTATTGGAGTGAGGTAGACTTGGATATCTTCTGTCGTTGTCTCCGGGTGTAGTTTCGTGACATGAAAGCCAACAGGCCTCTCGCCAGCCTGTAGTTTGGATTTGCTCGTATCATTCAGACTTCCTACCAGAGGTCTTTTTTTAGACGATGTAGTTCTACTCAATCGTTTCAGTTAAAGCGCTATGGACAGCTATCGCGACATCGCTTTTGGTTACAAATTCGGGACCTTTATTTTTCTGCCTAACTGACTGATTGTCGTTCGCAGATAGGCTGTTGTTTACCCCAGCTGCTTCTGCAAATGTAGGAATCGAAGGCCTGTTTTTGTCGACTGTATGTCTATCACTTCGTTTGAGGAGAGCAATCTGATCCTTCAAAGTAGTGATAGCAGTTGATTAGATCTTTCTGCTTTAGCAGCTCCTTCATGTATGAAATCTCAAGATCCAGATCGACCGGACCAAAGTCGGCCGAGGTACCATTGGTGTCTTTATCCTCGTTTGTATTTGTACGGATATTTTCGTTTATTTTCGCAACAGTCAGTTTTGTCACATGTATATAAAGAATCCTTTATTTTATGCTTAGCGAAAGGCAGCATTGCTGTTAATTTAAACAAGCGGGATAACAATCAAATAAGTACTGTTCGTGGCACTATACACTTACAAATATATCAGAAGTTTGTCGAAAATATACATTTCGTAGTAAAAATACTGAACCTCACTAGCATCTAGTTCATAACAAATTCCAAATTGTCGGGGTCTCTATGTGCATGACTTAGACAATATGTTTATTTGAATGAGTTAATTGTCTTACATGCTTGCTTCTTAAAATTAAAAACGCGATAGTGAAACATTAAATTTTATCTCAAAGTTATTTATTACATTTGGCACACAATATGAGACAACTTATGTTTTTTGCACTTTAGCATTATTAGCAAGTATGTAAACTGAAGATTTTTTAAATAAAATAGTATATTATGCAACAAGTGCGGTAAACGGCATTTGACTCACAAGTTTATTTGACACGAGCGGAGCGAGTGTTTAATAAACGGAAACTGACGTGGTAAAGTGACGCTTCCCGCACGCTAGATCGGTGGGTAATTAGGTATTTTACAGACGGGAGTAGAAAAAATTGATTTTTTCTACTCCCGTCTGTAAAATATCTAATTACACACCGATCTAGAGTGCGGGATGCCTCACTTTACACGTCAGTTTCGTTTCCCATGGACCCGAGCCACTTTTTTTTAATTATACATACAATTACATATAATTGGCTCATCTCAAATTAGGATGTTCAACCACAAACTCCTGCAAGTCGAGTTGGCAGATCTAACTCCTTACCAACCGAGGCATCTTCGGTGCCATCCAAGTCACTTCGGATTTTACGGCACTGGTTTGGGAGCAATCGGATGTTATCGGAGATATTTCCCACGCCTTGAATTTTGACGTTTGTCAGTTCTGACGATCATATCAGTGAATGTAATCGTGTTGTTTTGCGAAAATGTATCCAAAAACTAACAGTCGTAGAAAAAGTATAGTATGCAACACTCGCTAAAATTTTAAAGTCACTCGTTTATTTAAACACTCTCTCCACTGCGCTCCGCTTGTGTCAAATAAACTCGTTAGTCAAATACCGTTTACACAATATCTTATTGTGCGCTAGTTTTGAGTTGGTAAAGTTGCGGTTGTATTTGATTCTTTTGCTATATCTAAATCAAATTCTCATTCATTTTATTCTTTTCTTCTTCTTTATACATAATGTCTCACTTAAGATTATATACATGGGGATATTGGAAACTGTAAGAGATACAGCATCGTTTAAATGGAAGAAATGTAGCGTGTGTATATGCCAAAAAATAATCTAACTTCGTTTTATTTTAAATCGATACCATTACATATAAGAGCTAAAATTTTTATAATATGGTTAAAAGTATACGGCGATGCTAAAAATGGCGGCAAAAAAATTTAGGCCTACTACGTTGCGTACGGAATAAGTCAACTTTTGTTTTTATTATGAACATCATAGTGAATTTGCATTTTCAAAATCCTCTTTAAAAATGCTTTTCAACCATGTACAATACATTTTTGTTTGGTAAAAAAAAATAACAAAAATAAGGCTTTGATATTGCTATTCAATTTTAAATGGTGGACAAGAACGGATCCAATAAAATTGAAGAGAGAGGATTAAGAATTATATACCTTAAAATATTCTTTACTTCTTTAACACACAAAAAACCAAGAAAATTCACATAAGAAAAACAAAAGTTGACTTCGGTCGTTTGCAACATAGTAGACCTAAGTCGCCATTTTTAGCATTTTTAGCACCAGTTGCTGCAAAATATGCAGTTAGTTTCAAATAACATCGAATATCCAGCACACAATTTCATTACTTCAAACAACATATACATCAAAGTTTTTTTTTTGGGTTTTATATTTAATCTTCCTAAAATAGCAAAGGAGTTGAGGTACGACCTGAAAGATAAATGGAAATCCTGAATAACATTGGTTTTTTCTAATCACGTTTACTTCTATACGTACTGCTGAGAAACCCTCCAAGTGTCGGGAATGATAAATTTTGATACTAGAAGTGTTTGGTTTTTCAAGGAAAGTAAATCAATCGGAACTAAAATGTCCGCCTATGAACTGCCCTACGTTTTAACCACAAATGTGCACTATCTGACCGTACAACCTCATATAAAAAATGAAAAAAATCGCTCAACAAGTAACATAGACACTTACTCTAATGGACAGCCTATATATATATATATTTTTTTTATCGCGAGAGAACTAAACTTATGTGCATAGAAATTGTCCCACTGTAAATTTTTGACTGTAGTATATTTTTTTCTAGAAACCATTTATTTGACCCAAAAAATAAACATGCCATTTGGAAGACAATTTAATATGCTTTAACATGAGTTTAAATTTGTTAAGAGGACCGAACTTTTATATGCGTAGGTACGGTTAAACAAATGAAACGTGTTCATGCATAGCGATAGCAGAAAACTTGTTATAGACTTAAATTAATCGCCTTTGCAACTGGAATTTTCATATTATCCGTTTTTAACCATTTGATGCATACTACACCGCAAAAAGCCTCTTTGATCGAAAGTGGACTTCGACGGCGAGCTGTTGCTCGACAGCTGGATATGACACGCGCAGCAGTTTGAAGAGTGTGCCAAAGGTATGAGGAGGCTGGATCCTTTGCTGGATGGCCTGGGCGAAGGCGAATTACAACAGCTCGTGATAATCGTCACATTAATGCTGTTGCAGTGCAACAACAGCTCCATGAAGTTCGAAGAGTGGCTATTAGTCAGTGGACAGTGAGAAGACGACTGAAGGAAAGTAACCTGATCCCAGAAACAATTGCAATTGGTCCGAAACTGACTCCAGCTCATCACAAGCATGCCTACGCTTGGTACGGGATTATCTGAATTGGACATTGGACTGATGGGGGTCTGTTCTTTTCTCAGATGAGACCAAATTATGCATTTTTGGAGAGCGATTTGCAGAATGCCTCAATGAAGGACGAAGCCCTTATGGAGCCGTTTCCTGCATAATAGGGGGTGCAATTTTTATGGACGCACGAACCGACCCTGTTTTCATCCGTAGGCGCGGCCGTGGTCAACGGGCAGGAGGTATAACAGGTGCTAGGCACATCGACGATATTTTATCAGATCACGTGAAACCACATGTCGACTACATTGGAGAAGAATTCATTTTTATGCATGATTACATTACAGAAGTCGGTTTTCGAGTTATGGAGAGGCCAACATGCAGTTCCAACCTCAATCTGATCGAACATTTATGGGGCGAGCTAAAACGGAGAATTCGAGCTAGACTTCGTACCCCAAGCTCGATCCCAGAGCTTATACTTGCATTAGAGGAACAGTGGCTTAACATTCCACAAGAAACAATCGCGAACTTTTTTAAATCTATGCCTAGTCGAGTAAAAGATACCCATTATTAAAAAATATGTGTTGAGTTGGTAATTGTCAATAACCCTATTTGTTTTGAGTAATAAGAAAAAGTTAATTTGACTCTTGCAGTTATTTTACTATGCTAAACCTAAAAAACATTTTTTAAGTAAATTTTAATCAACTCGTATTAAAGCATATTAAATTGTCTTTCTAAAAGAACATGAAATGTAAGTCAGAAATTCACAAGGCCGATTTATATGCACCCAAGTTTAGATTTAAAAAACATCATTTTTTTTCATTGAAGATACGGTTACACCCCTTAGTAATTATCCTAGAAATGGAAAAATAATTTCGAGAATTTCTTCTCTGCCAATGTTGTTATCGCAGTTTCAGATATTGTCCCGAAAACTGATTTGAAGTCGGGAATCAACTGCAAATTATACAAGGGTGAAAAATGTACTTCGAAATATATCCGCGGCGTATGGACATTGCAAAGTTCTCTAGATGACATCCAAGGAAATCAAGTTATAACAGATAGAAGATGGGAAGGTATGTGTTTAAGGTTGTTAAGAGTAGCTTAAATTGCTGTAGCGAAAAGTATATGGAGAACAGATCAAATGATTTATTTCAAATTATACAAGTGGATATAAACGGACCTTCTCAAAATTTATTTTTATAGTTGCTTCATAAGTTCCTGTATTATCAACATAGGCAGAGCCACCATATTTCTAATAGCTATATGGACTAAACCATAACATAACCATACTTTTTTTTTCAAATTCTTAAAAATCATTAACACCGCAACTCTTTTATAATTTAATCGATACTCAAGGTTTCGGATACTAAAAGGTTACTTACAGAATACAAATTAATAATGCAAAAAGAAAAAAGAATACAAAATAAACAAGCATTATTATTATCACTAAATGCATAGTTAATATATATCTATTTGTATATAGAATATCTCTTAGCGCTTCGGATATTTCAATGGTGCGATTATGGTTGATTTATAAACAAGCACACCTTGAAATTGGTACCCGATTGTTTCAGCATTTCCTTTGTATTTGACCAAACATGTTGACGAGTATGGCAAAAAGCTTCTTTATCAAAAAATTGTAAACATAAAAAATGGCTCCAATTTTGACATTTCATTGTCAATACGAATTCAACACGAAGCGCATATCTTCTTGTGTGACGGCGAGCAAGTTTCGAATTCGAACTGCTATTGGGTCATGTTGCACGCTTGGAAAGGCAAAAAGACGGCACTGAGAAAATGTGGAAGAAATTTTATTCAAGAATTTTACAATGGTCAGCAGCCTTCAGAACCGTGCAGCATTATTAAATTTCAGAAAACGGTGAGTACCTATACAAATTAATAAATAGATGAGCAATAAGCTAATTAATTAGTCGATAAAAACCGGTTTGCAAATATCTAGTGTAATTAGAATATTAAAAAATAACATTCACATGGCTAATCAACATGTGTCCTAAAGTACCTCTTTAAAGGACTCAAAAATTGTTTTTTTTTGTTATTTCTGGTTGGGTCATAAAAAAAAATTTTTTTTGCTACCTTAGGTTTTCCCTCCTAAAATTTTACAAAACTATTAATTTGTTAAATAGAAATTCTATTTTAAAAAAGCAAATGACTACTAAATAGAAATTACATAGAAATCCTAAAATTTGCCCATAAAATTTACTTACTAAAACCTCAAATAACTCCAAAACCAGTATTCTATTTTACTTTGAACAAGAGTTCCTTTTTTATGGCAAAATGCTTAATGATGTATTTTTTCCTCAAAAAATTTATATTACTAAAAAACAATAAAATTTTGTACAGGGAGGCCAGTTTAAGAGGGCCCTATACTTTATCTCGAGATCTATATTGCTCTGCGATTCACCCTTCAAAATTCATTGACGATTTTTACCAATTCTCTATTAGAAATAAATAAATAAATGAAGAAATATTATTTTTTCTACTCCCGTTTGTATAATACTTAATTACCCACCGATCTAGCGTGCGGGAAGCGTCACTTTACCACGTCAGTTTCGTTTCCCACGAATCCGAGCCACTTCGGACATTTCCGGGATTTTACCGCACGGATTTGGGAGCAATAGGATTTTTTCGGAGATATTTCCCACGCTTTGAATTTTGACGTGTGTCAATTCTGACAGTCATGTCAGTGTTGTTTTGCGAAAATGTACGCAAAAACTAACGGTCGCAGAAAAAGTATAGTATGCAAAACGTTCGGTAAACTTTTTAACTTGCTCATTTATTAAAAACTCGCTCCGCTGCGCTCTGCTCGTGTCAAATAAACTCGTGAGTCAAAGTTTACCGCACTTGTTGCATAATATACTATTGTTTGATCAATTTAATTTAGTTAATTTTAATTTAGGCATGAATGATAATGAGAGTAACATTACATAATCGAAAAAATATTCCTTTGGTTTCTCGAAAGTGCTGATATTTGGAGATATAGAATTTTAGCACCAATCTTTTATGAAGCAAATTTGACAACACTGAGATATTTAGATTTATTAAGAAATAATATTGATGTTCTAGATAGAACATCCAAATTTATTTTGGTAACTAGATTTTGCTCCTCATCGAGGTGCTGATATCAGTGAATTTTTAAACAGAAATTTTAAACAATAGATTAGGCAAAATGGCACCAGCAAGAAGCCCGAATTTAAACTGATTGTACTTCTTTCTGTGGAGCACAAACAGTTTTCAAAATAAAATAATCTATACTTTTTACGGTATTTTAGATAAACGATTATCAATACAACAATTAGAGACGTTTTCAAAATGAAGGTTAATTGTACTAATATTGCCTCGGAATTGATAAAAATCGTCAAAAAATTCAAAACGGTGCATATATATCGTTGGATTCGTCATTTTTAAAGGGTTATCCGAAAATGCAGAAATATACAGGGCGTTTGATTAAAAAAAAATGAGACAAGTAACAAATTGGGGAATATCGCAAAGTCGCGTATTTGATAAAAACATTCCAATTTTGAATATTGTTTGAGAAAAAGTATTATTTTGCAAAATGTATTACGCGGAAAAATGTTTTAAAAGTTGATATTCGAAAACCTTTCCAACATAACCTGAATCCGATATATAGATATTTGTATATATGGTCGGATTCGCCTTGTAAAGAGGCATTTTATAATGTAATAAAATACAGGGTGTTCCATATAAAAAAAATTATTTGACTACCCATATGTGATTGAGTGACAATTGAAATAATACAAAAAAATTGAAGATAATTTTACTGGAAACAACTTCTATATTCATTCTTTTTTTTAACACTCATGGATTTAGAAATAAGGTATAAAAAGACCACCTTGAACGGTATTTGCGGTCTCAATTTTAATTAGGTATCTTGCACGGTGTCAGAAATAGTTAGATAAACGACTGGTTTGTAGAAAATATAAATTGATTGAAGGAATGTTATGTATATTAAGTGCGACGCACGTCTGGATCCATTACAAAAAAGCACCCTGCAAATGCAAAGCATTTTAAATTTAGGTATTTTCTTAGTAACAAAAGATATTAGAGATATTTTTAGCCCCTTGAACCATTAGGGAGTTTGAGTTAAAAAAACACTATGATAGGATATTATGGAAGTGTGGTGAACAACGGCATTTCAGTCACGAGTCACCCGCGAGTGTTTAATAAAGTTTACCAACAATTTTGCATATGCTTTTTCTACGACCGTTAGTTTTTGAGTACATTTTCGCATAGCAACAAGAATGTCTGAAGTGGCTCGGATCCGTGGAGTTCTAAATGCTTTAATATTGTAAACCGCTGAATAGAGGTTCCCATACATATTATATTACTAGTTTCCCAAAGTGTCAGCAATTTGTTTATATAAAATCACGGTGCGAGCCACATCGCCAGCTTTTTGTCATTTCGATTGAATAAAGTTTTTAAAAAAATCAAATTCGTTTTCCACGACGAAAACTGGCGCAGTCGGTAGGATTCCGTGAAACAAGCATTCCAAAATCGACACTGTTTGGTCTCTATTAAGAGTTTATTCGCGAAATCCGAACAACACAAAAAACTGTTCAAGTGGGTGCAAAGTGCTCCATTGGCCAGGGGAAGGAACAAGCATCGTCCACAACCCTATTGGTGCGAAATAAGGAACAAAAATCGTCCGAATTTCATACGTAGCCCAGGGAAGAGACAAGCATCGCTCATCTTATTGGAAAACTAGATTAAGAAACGAGACAACCAGGAATGAAAATCGTCGTTCTCTCACTGTTACTATGGCTCGCAAACATCGGAGCAAACGAAGTAAAAATCCACAACCTGAACAACTACCCAGGAATCCTTCCTTATAAACTAGGTACCGCAAAAATAACCTCTAACCATTTCTCGTTTATACAAATTTTTGATTTAAACCCAGCTGTTGCTGAATTCTATGCAATCTGTAACCAAGTAAAAATATTAACTAGTCAGATTAAAAATAATACTAAGTATTCTCACGAATATTCTAATTCAGTCATCCCTCTTGTAACATTAGAAAAACGCATAGAAAACCAAATTAATCAACTTAATCCATCATCTATAAGAAGAAATAAAAGAGGCCTATTAAACCCAATCGGTTCTATTATTAAATGTGTTACTGGAAACTTAGATCAATCTGACGCGGAAAAATACGATATAGAAATCAAACAACTGCAAGAAAACCAAAATAATTTAAGAACGAATTCAATTAATCAAATAAAACTGTTAGAAAGAACAATCAACTCATTTAAAAATTTGATATCCAATATTTCTCATAAGCAACTCATCCTTAAATCCAAAATATCACAAATTGATCAAATAATCAAAAAGATAACCGTTGAACAAACGAACGACTATAAGTATTACCAAATACATGTAGTAATGAATCAAATTACCTTTATGTACAGTTCAATATATAACATTTTTGAGAAAATCGAAACCGCAATCAGCTTTGCTAAATTAAACACTTTACAGAATTCGATAATTGATCCGTCTGAACTATTCGAAGAAATTGAAAAAATTATAGAAATAAAAAGCTACTCTAGAGGACTAATAATAACTTTTATTTTGGAACTACCGCTAGTAGAATCAGTAATTTATCAATATTTCCAGTTGTATCCGCTACCAGTTAATAGTGAACAAGAACTACAATATTACGTCAATATACCGATCCAACCATACCTTGCATTGAGTGGAAATATGTACTCATTTATGGACTCTGAATGCGTAAAACTATTAAAAAATGAGTTCATGTGTAAAAATATATATATTACCTATATGAAAGACCACCCGCCTTGCTCAGTGGAAATAATAACTCACAAGACCAATGTGACAAACTGTAAACCAATTAAAATCCAACTTCAAGAAATAAAAATTTTTAAAATCCAAAATGGAAAATGGATTGTTGTGACACCCAAGAAGACAATAGCAACAGTACCTATACCCCTAATCGATTCAGATTTGACGATACTCGTCTACCGGAAGTGAATCTCTCGCTACTACACAAGCAGAAAACAATCTTCGATCCACCAGAACTCACACTGGACACGATCAACCTAAAGGAAATAAAGGAGCTACAAATCCAAATGGACGAAGCAAAAGAAAACCTTGGAAAGATGTCATTAACTATATATTCTACAAGAACTAGTGTTTGGACAATTTTGTTGTACCTAATAATTGTATTGATTTTGATTTATTTATTATATAGATGTTTTCCATTTAAAAAGTTACCTAAAATTAATAAACGGGAAGAGAATATTATTATTTAAACTGAAAGCACTTGTTGTACCCGTGCTTCCATCTAAGGGCGGAGGAGTTATAAATGCTTTAATATTGTAAACCGTCTAGTTTCCCAAAGTGTCAGCAATTTGTTTATATAAAACCACGGTGCGAACCACATCGCCAGCTTTTTGTCATTTCGCTTGAATAAAGTTTTTTAAAAAATCAAATTCGTTTTCCACGACGAAAACTGTGGGAAATAAAACTGACGTAGTAAAGTGACGTTTTCCGCACACTAGATTGTTGTATAATTGGGTATTTCACAGTAGAGAGTAGAAACATAACTTTCGGTTATAGATGTTATAGCGTTACGGAATTGAACATTATATTTGATTGAAAAAGGAAATTGATAATATTTTATGAAATATTTATTTTCTACATTTTTCTTTTAACGCATGGATGGCAATTACTTGGATAGATAGATAGATAGATTCATTTATTGACTACGTTTCGTACAAAAGAGACGTACAATTGAAGCAAGTCAGAAGTGATGTTCAAGTGCAATAAAATCAAATTAATAAATAACATAAAGACACACATCTAATACAAACAAAATTAGACAGTACTATACAGTTTTATAGCGCATCGATACCAGTGACAGTGTCAATGTATGCTCGCAGGGAGTAAAAACAATGACGTTGGAGAAATTCTTTAATAGTATGTTTAAATTTGCTATTGCTTATCTTTTTCACGGTACCTGGCAAAACATTATACAATTTCAGGTTCAATGAGTTGTTCTCAGTTCTCAGTTCTCAGTCTAAACCTAGGCCGTCTAAGGAGATCCCCCGAACGAGTTGAATAGGCATGGCAATCGGAATTAGCGCTAAAGTTTCCTTTCGTTCTCTGTATCTCTAATAACTGTTAGTAGATATAGATGCAAGGAAGGGGCATCACTTTGAATTTTTTAAAATAAGGTTGACAATGGTCCCTATATCCTATATTAGCAACGACTCGAATGGCCCTTTTCTGCATTCTAAAAATCTCCACAGCAGCTGAGGAATCACCCCACAGTACCGTGCCATAGCATAAGTGTGAATGCAACAAAGAAAAATAGACCATAAGCAGAGTCCTTGTTCCTATCAGGCCTCTCAGTCGAGAACGAATATGTTGCTGGACAATCTATTTTTCAGGTCTGAGATATGTTGTTTCCAATTTAGACTATTATCGATCCTAATGCCAAGCAACTTGACGGACTGTCCACTATTTACCAAGCAATTGGAGGAAAACACAATACTCTGGGTCTTCTCTAAATTTAATTTAACATAATTATTTTCGAACCAGACATTAACCCTGTCCTCCAACATGCCAACCCTAACGGACAACTCCTCGATACTCTTGGCAGATGTAGTGAAGGATGTATCGTCGGCAAACATCACGCACTGATTGGGGGCCATGAAATGATAAAGGTCATTTATGTATATTGTAAATAGTAGCGGGCCCAGGACGGAACCCTGGGGCACCCCGCTTACTACTGATTCAAGTGATGAACGGTCATCCTGGTATTCTACAAACTGCCGTCGGCCCTGCAAGTAGGACGCTATAAGATCTAAGGGCAGACCTCGTATACCATATATGTATAGCTTTTTAATAAGAAGCTGGTGAGAAACACAGTCGAAGGCCCTGGAGAGATCACTCAAAGTCAAACCAACTAATTCACCCCCCTCGAGGCCCTCAACTATCCCACTCACAACTTTAGACACTGCTTGGATCGTCGAACACCCTCCCCTAAATCCAAACTGACCAGCACAAAGACATTCGATCTTATTAATATAAGAAGTTAGCTGATCTTTTAGTAAGATCTCAAAAACTTTTCCGAACAAAGGCACGATTGAAATCGGCCTGTAGTTGTTAGCATCATTTATATCACCTGCCTTATGGATTGGAACTCCTATCGAAATCTTAAACAGCGACGGAAATACACCTGTGTCAATACATTTATTAAATAAAGTGGTTAATGGCAGTGTAATGTACTCAACCAGTCCCTTCACCAAGACACTATTGATATCATAAGCATCGCTAGAATAAGATTTTTTTAATCTTAGTATGGCTCGGTACGTATCCTCACAAGTTATCGGATGCAAAAAAAAAGTAGTTTCCTCCAGTGGAATCCCTCCAACACATGCACTCTGTACATCGTGATTCACCGTTAAGATCTTTATAATATTACTCGAGACAGAACTAAAACAACTGTTAAGATCGTTTGCTGATAAATCAGATATATTTTGACCGCATTTGAATTTTGTGGCGCACTCTCGAACACTAGGAGAAGAAACAAACATTAAAAGAATAAGATGCTTTAAAAAAGAAAGCGTTGGAATGGACATTATGTAGAAGAAAAAATTAATAATTCATTTCAATTTTTGTTTAAAACTTTCAAAACCGATTCTTCAAACAAAAATAAAAATTATATTTCGGCTTATATTGTTTCATTGTAGCATGATTTGTACGATCACTACCTGCACGAAGACATTTGGAATCATTTCGTCTTATCGAAAAAGAATGATCGAATTTTATTTACACATCACCAAGGAAAAGTTATCATTGATTACACTGATAAAGAACCGAACCCTTTTCAAATATCTCATATGGTTGTTCATAGCAAAAGCGTTAATGGATTGTGGAAAATACACGACAGTATGTATATGGAATTTTTAGTTTTTAATGCGTTATGTGACATTCAAAATCCAAATCAAATCATTTTTTCATTATGCTAAAAACACATTCAGAGTCTCCTCCTTTTGTAACTTATTGTTGGTAAGGAGAAAGGACTATAGCGGCATTTAATTTGAATTCCAATTCAAATATCTAAAAATAAACAACAATACTAAACATTGCCTACTACGTTTTAGATTATCATCTTCATTCGAAGAGTTGCTTCGAGAATGAGCCATTAGGAAAAAGTTTTAAAATAAGGGGATCACAATCGAATTGCATCGCAATGTTTATTGTAATGTGCAGCGATTGTCAGCTAAATTTAAAAATAAAGACGACTGATGGACAAATTTTATACGACACCACATTTGAAACCAGTGTAAGTTTTTTGAAATTTTTGTAATCCAATTTCCGGCAGACGTCAATCACAAATGAAGAAGGAACAATTTTAAAGTATGTTAGACACTATATTTCATTTTCAATATTTTATAATTAATGATAATCATAAGCAATGCGAATTAACTTTTCTAGGACCAAAAATGGAAAGAAATAAAAATGATTTTTACTACCAATAAATCCACACAAGGTAAAATTCATGCAAGTACAAATTCTAAGCACTCAACGTCAGAAGATCGATTTTGGTCAATAGATGAATTTAGAGAATGCAAAGAAAAAGGTAGAAAATTTGGTAAACAATTTTTTTCGTGTCAAATCTCACAATTATTTTTATTTATATTAGTGATAAATGAAACACTCTAAAAAATGTTTGGTAGTTCTTACCCAACTAGTTATAGGTCTAGACAAAACTGCTTTACCCAATAAAACGAAAGAAGAAAAGAAAGAAGTTCAGGACAGACAAGTTGTTGCTTAATTTTTGCTCCTGTCCTCTTTTCTCATAGGCTCTAAATAAATTAGTTCTAAAAAACTGTTTTTGGGTTGCACGTGTTTCCAAAGAGCCTGTATATGTTTGTCGTTACAAATGTTGAAAAACCAAAATGCAAAACTTTTTAGAGTATAGGATATTAAAAACGGAGAGCAACGACTGGAAATGTCAAATGGTCGGAAGCGAGTATAGCCTGAAGTCGGAAAGCAATCCCAAAAAAATAATAATATCTAATTCAAGTAGTAAGTAAATAAATATCGGTTGTTACCTTAGTTGCGAACCAATTTTCATTTTTAGATTTAGATTGCCCCGAGTATGTCTTCGGGCAAGATTGCATACCATGTGGATTGATTAATGACAACAACGATGAATATTGCCAATTAAATGGCTACTGCGAGTTATACAGCAATGGCAACAGAAAATGTTCATGTACTGCTGGTTATTATGGTGATGGAGTTGAATGTTTAGGTGCGCAAAGTTAATTGAGGTTTGGAATAATGCTGACACGTCCGCTGAATAAGCCCTGGTGTGAAATAGAAATCTCTAATTACTGCAATATAATAAAAAATAAAAATAGTTACATTATGTTATATAAGTGTCCATTTTCTGACACTTTTGTGGGTTGTCTTGGTTATTATTAGAACTTAAAAGCACTTCTCGCAACTATTTGCATGAAACGAATGAAAAAATGAATAACTGTTACTATCACAACTTTTTATAGATTACGGTACGGTAAAAAAGGTTTTTGGAAAATTTTCTGATGTAAAACAAAAATTATAGTTTTGCCAAAAATTTAATTAAGTCAAATATGACCTACGCTTTTTTAAATACAACACAAATCTACATAACTGACCTATTAAATTAAGTTTAAACTCGACCTATTACTTATTTAATTAAAAAAATAATTTCATTTTTTTTAACTTTCTACGGAGTTCCACATTATAAAGGAAGGAACTAGTTTTATAGTTTCAAAATAGATTTCAACTGACATAAAACATAAAATTAGATATGGGAAAATTTTGCAGGTTCTTAAAAAATAATTTTAAATGTATTTTCTCCAAATTATTGAATCGTCTATCCATTGTACTTTAGGAAATTTCAAGGGTACGCAATATATGATAACTATAAAATTTGTCATGTCATTTCTTTTACTTCTTATTGATAGAACAAAAATCTGATATTTAAACAAGTAAAAAATAAGTAATATAAACAAAACAAACAAACCAAAAATTAATAACAAGGTATTAAAATAACAAAACCTCTCTTTAATTTATATTGGCTTTATCAATATTTCTATCTTAATGGGTGTAATTTAGCTAGAATCATCAGAATCGGAGGAGCTTACCTTAATTTTATGAACTTCAGTTTGGGAATCTGAAGATTCTGAGAATTTAATGTTAGCTAGAATGTCCGAAACTAAAGCGCTTTTTTTCTTAACATAAATGTTTCTCTTGGAGGTTATAAGAGGATCTAAAGTGAAAGCTAAGTGTCTTATCAAATCTGTATTTGTGTTTACGCGGACTGACTTCCCAGTGTGTTCTAAACGATATTTGCGTGCTTGTTAATGGCGAGCTTCAAGCACGTGAAAATTTTGTATAATGTTGCAACCTAAACTAGCACTTTCTGGGGAGATTACTTAGCATACCTATCACATGAATTGGAGTATAGCTCTCGTGTTTCTTGAAGCAAAATTTTAAATGTGACCACAATAATTTTAAAACCGCTAGATATCAAATTTGAAATAATATGAAAATACTTTATTCAATTTTCATTGATATTCAAGCTATATTCTGCATTAGCAAAATTTCGTCTGGCAGTGTTGTCGTCATTACTCGATCCAAAACCTTGTTTTGGCATGTCGGCCAAAATGCCCATCTTTTATTTATGTCTGTATTTTTTAGTATTTTGAAAAACGGTTTCGTGTTAGGCGTTCCTTACTTGCCAGTACTTGAATGTTCCCCTATATGAGATGTCTAATAGACATTCAAAAAAACGGATCCATGCATGAAGTGTTGACAAACCAAAACAAAGTTATTCTGAATCAATGGTCTTAGAATTCATCTGTTTCGGAGTAGCTGCACAAATAACACATTTAGTTGTTGAATTGGTTTCACTTAAAATATTACTACCACTGCCATCAAACATTGCAAAAACCATTTTAAATTCTACCTCAGAGCCATTAAGGATTTTTGTTATTTGTTCTTTCATTTTAGAGTCCTCTGTACAAATTAAATGGGCGTTTTCTTTCATAAACAAAAATTTTAGTGGTACAAAGTGGAAGATGGTGGAGAATTGACCCACAAAACTTTGTCACTGTCACACTAAACCAACTTAAGTGGTACATATATATGATTACCACCGCATCAAAACCCCACTCACAAAAGAGTTTTGCTTTTATTTTTGAGTAAATATTTGAAAGTTGTAAGAAGCTCTGGACGGTTGTTTCTAATATTTCCTGTGAATAATATACTGCTGAGATTTCTGTTACTTCTGATTTGAAAGGTAAAATATGATTTTTAACGTGCTTTAAAATATGTTTACCGGGAAGACACTCTCTATGATCCTTATGAAGCATTTTCTGTCGTTATACAATATCGGAGCATATTGAGAAATTTCTGCTGCAAAATTTCGATTTTTAGTTTTACTTGATGCTTCATTGAAAGGTTTAAGGGGTCTACCACGACTAGATCCAGGTATATCTCCAACTTGATACCTTAACAAGTTCACCAGGAAGTGAACATTCACAAGTCACTGTCACGTTTTAAAAAATATGACCTATTTGTTGTTTATCTTCTAAATTTAGTTTTTCCAGTCAAGCAGAAAAATTTTACTTTTTGTTCTACACATTCAAATGTATCATCTGGAATCACTTCATTGTTCAATAAGTACACTATTTTGTTGATAAAACCACTCGTTTATAAGGTTAGATAGATAGATAGAAATTTTCCCGCTGTTCTCCTATAAGAAAAAAAAATTACCAATGTTAGAGTAGCGCTTTGTAGTGGCTAATTTTGTTTAATTCTAAAAGATAAGTATTAAATTGTTCTAAAAGTTTAATAATCTCACGAATGCTTTTGGGTGTTTCTCTAAAATTCTCATTTAATTCTGATGTACTATTTTTTTTACACATTTTAAGATGCTCGTTAAAAAAACTTAATAACTTAGATAAACCAATAAAGAATAACACATCATATGGATATGAAAAAGTACGTAACTTGACGTCGATTTTCCGTTATGGAAAATTAATTTTTGGATTGTATCAAAATTGTTGTAATACTTTCGACAAACGACAAATGTCAAGTGATACATAAAGTAAACGCTTTTATTAAAAACATAAACTTTAACTGTCAATTGAAACAAAGCGACTTGAATGCAATTGAAGATTCCATCAGTTTTTACAATTTCAGGCAGTCCTTTATCTGGAAATATTACGAGGCCTTAAAAAAAGTGAAAATTCCTAATTTTGTCCATGTCGTGGAGCACTGTGCGTCAGTTCAATTCCATTTGCTTTACAAACTCCATAAAATATCAGTTGTGGTAGCAAAAATTAGTCCAAAATTCACATTCATAACGTCTATTAAAAAAGAAACTTCAATCAAAAAAATATAAGACAAACTAGTGGGCTAAAATCAAATTTTTTCACCACCAAAATTTAAGTTAAAACATTGCTCTCTTAACAAAAAAAATAATTATTTTTTTGATAAAACTTTTGTTTTAGAGACAACAATTTTAAGTATAAGTGAGCAAAACAAATGCTTTTTTCTCTCATTCCGTAATTGACCACACGACCGAAGCGAAAGTTTTTTATGGGTCCTATTCCTCAAAGTAATGAAACACAATCATAGCCTTTTTAAAACCTTTTTGACTTGATGAATTACCGGTTGATTGATCACAGCAAAAGCATACTTTAGTCAAAACTGAAATTTGCACAACTATTATGACAAGCTAGCCGAATGAGCTGAGCCCGGTCCTGACCCACTCCCGTTTGCGTTCCAAGAACTCGACCTTACTCGGAAATCGGAGCATGATCACAAGCCGGAAAGACGACTGGAATATTCTAGCAGGCGCTGCATTTTATAAAAGCGGAGTGTCCTGATAGCCAGTTAATTAGTTGAAACGACAAGACGGAATGCGAATATAAATACTAGATTCGTTATATAAATAATTAGTACTGTGTAAATATTTAGTAACTCTGTTACTTTGGTAGAAGTAAACTTTAAATTCCGTTAAATTTTACCTTGTCTAATTTCAACGGCACGTTGGACGAACGCGAAAGTTTTTATTTTTTTAAAGACCGAGCGCTACTCGATAAACACAGATTGCGAAGTTTTCAAAGATACTTTAATTGAATTTTTAAGTAATTCTACCATTACTTCTAAGGGATGTTTGTTGTAACACAAAAACGATTTAATCAGTCCGATGATTAAACACGAGAACACGTTTTTCAGCTTGCCCCAGGCATACATTTGGGCAAAATTGCCAGAAAAGTTGCGGCCATTGTGAAGATGGATGTAAAGGGTCATCGGGAGAATGCTTATCAAGAAAATGTTTAGAGAATTACATCGGCCCGAAGTGCGATATCGGTAAACAGCCTTTTTTTTGCTTTGTTTACATGGGACTTAAAAAGACCCCAAATAATTATTGCCATCGTTCTGCGTTTGCCTAGAGTTTGAATGAAATTATAAAATACAGCAATTACCTTCCTACCTTCCCTGAGAAGAGGAACTGGTATTCACATAATAAGGGGTTTTAATACTGTACTTTGTGTTAACAAACTAACAAGAACCATATTGTTTAAAATTAAATTAGGTTTTTTTCAACGAGCCACAACCTGTTAGATCAAACAGCTCTAATTTGTTAGCAGTTATTAAATTTATCAAATTTAAGGAAATATAAATCCAACCATTTCTAATGCTAATTTTTTCTATTCTTCCACGTGCAACAGAGGGTGGAAGATCGCCGAGATAATTCATTATACGAGGTGTGTTCAAAAAGTAAGGCGACTTTTAAGTTTTCTCAAAAAGTATTTAATTATTCATCCAAATTAATATTGTCCCCTTCAAAGTACGTCTGATAAGCACGTTCTCGTATAGCCTTTAGTTCTTCCAACGATTTTTTCTTCATCTCCTCAATCGTTCCAGAACTCCTTCCTTTCGTGGGATTCTTGAGTTTTGGTGACCGAAAAAAGTCGCGTTGAATATAATTCCTGATGCACGATTGTGGTTTTGGTTAGTTTTTTTTTGGCCAAATAATAAATAAATAAATAAAATCGTGATGCAAAATCCATGAATTGTTTTGGCACATTTTTTTCTTTTTGAGCATATCCAATAGAGATGCCGACGTCTTCAGCCACTTCGCTAATTCGACGCTTTTTCAACACCATTTGTTTCACTTCTTCGACGCTTTCATCAGTTATTGACGTGCTAGGGCGTCCAGAGGGAAGTTCGTCAACGGCGTCTTCTCGGCCATCTTGGAACCGCTTGTGCCACTTATAAACATTTTTCTTGCTCAAACTAGATTCACCATATACCGTTGTCAACATTTCACGTGTTTTGCAGCATTGTATTCACCCAAATTATTTGTTCCATTTTTAAGCAGAAAATCGCCGTCTAGCGCTTATATCTCACAACAAAAAGTAAACGTACCAGCTGGCTGAAACTGTGAACATATGATAGGGACATGTGTACCAACACAGCAACAAAAAATATCGAAGATCGAATGTACGTAGCCCGCACAATTACAAAAGTCACTTTATTTTTTGAACACACCACGTATACAATTGCTGCTAGCCGATATCCTAATAAAACTTAATAAATAATGGTAGTAAAATGTTAGTTTTCCATTTAATAGAAAACTTGTTTAAAAAAAAAATATAAGCGAACTTCACCGAACTTCACTTTATGTTGTAACAAATAAACGCATTAACTGGAAATAAATTAATATTTAAATAATTAATAATAAAATAAGCAGCTAAAGTTCCATTTTATTAGCTGCCAGCTTTAACTCGAGTTTAGGATTTGTCTAATCTGATTTACAATTAATTGGAATTCATGCACATATTTACATACAATTTTTAGGGCTATTTGAGTTTAGGCACAATCCCGCTGTATCCGAAATATACTACGAAAGCTGCCTAGTCACAGTACAAAATTTCGATGGCAACGGTGTTAGACCGTTCTATTACAAAATTGAGTATAAACGGGTAAGATGCACATAATGTATAATTAATTCAACACGACGAAATGCACTTACACCAGCTACTGTAAATTAACAATATTAAATTTAAATAGAGTGATAGAGCGTTTAGTATTATCTCTGTCGATTGATATATAACATATTATGGCAATGGGTTAATCGGGATTCTTCAAAACTGCTAAATTTGCTTCAAGAAAACTCAATTTTTCTTTTTTAAGGTCAATGGCAGCTAATCCTGTTTTTGGCCTAAAAATATAAAAGAGTTTGAGCAATACCGCCATTGACAGCTAAGGCCTTTTGGAAATAATAGTTTCACATCAATATGGGCTAAAAATACCAAAGAACAATAGTTTTTTAGTTAATCGGCAAAGATGAAAAGAAAAAGTGTATAATTTATTAAAAAATTCGGATATCTTTGAGTTTTTGAAAAATACTATATGTTGAACTTTAATATAAATTTTTCAAGTCAAAATAGCTCATTATGTCCGAACATTATACACTTATTTTTAATTATGATGGACTGCAAGAATGTTATAGGTTTTATTGGCAGGTTGACGCGGCGAATTGGTATGCCGAAGCAGAGACGCAATTTTTTCATCCTCGTACGTGGCGAATCAAAAATCTCACTTCCGACACGGAATACGAACTTAGAATTATCGCTTTTAATACGCAATTGGATTTGGACGTGATAGAGAAACACTACCAGATCCGACCCAAACTCTCAGTAAAATTCAAAACTGACTGCGAAGGTAAGCGCTGATGTTCTTTGGTTATGCGACATTATAATATACTTTTTGGACGTAATGCTATTTTAAAAGTCCATAACTTCTAAATAAGGCGAAGATAATGAACGCGAAACATGTTTAATGTTGATGATAGTATTGCTTTAATTTTTAGCGTTAACCAATGACTTGATCAAGATAGCCGTATCGAACACTACGGCCGAAATAACATTTAATAGGGTAAGAAAGTGTGCGATGCAATGACACATAATTTAATTTATGCTTTTCAGAGGCCGGAATCGTGTAACATTTTAAATTATCAATTATCGATGGACGGTCAAATATTTCCCTTAAACCAGTCCAAATGTCTGCTAGAGTCGTTACGGCCATTTGCCTACTACACTTTGAATGCAAAATATGTTGATAATGGTACAACCGACGATAGAAAGAAATTTAATATAACGTTTAGAACACTCGAAGGAAGTGAGTATCATTAAGTACTTGAACTGAGGTGGCTTTTTTACTTGATGAAAATCCATTTATCAAAATAAATAAGAACTGAAACTTCAGATTTTCGCGAAATTATATATTTTGACATGACAAATTGTTGCGACAACAGCGTGTCTTTTTCAAATGTAATATTTACAAACTACCTTAATTAATGTTGTGAGACTTTAAGTTGAATAAAGGAGAGGTATTTAAATCTAATTGAACGTTTGAATTGAATGTCTCATTTTGTTAATCTCCATGGCTTCCAATAAATTTAATTTTCTACTTTTTGTGTCTGTATGCAAAATATCAAAATTGTCGTCAAAAATGTGTTTAGGTGTGTAGCATAATTAGAATCTAGACTATAATTTTTAAACGCTCTTATATGTTCGTTAATGCGTTTCTCGAAAGATATTTCTGTTTGTCCAATATAAATTTTAGGACAAGATCCACAGTTCAACCTGATTTTTGGGATTTTGGACATTTCGTTTTATTGTTTTTTAAACATTTTCCTATTGTGTTGTTAGTTCTGAAAGCCATTTTTAAACCACATTTTGACAAATGTTTTGGTTAGTTTCACTAGGTTCTCCTATGTATGTAATTGTTTTAAATTGTTCGTGTTCTGTATTAGGTTTCGGATAAATAGAGTTTACTGTTGTCTGTATTTGGTTTTTATTTATAATTTTATCTATATTGGACGGATTGTAGCCGTTGTTCAGTGCAATTTGTTTGATGATATTAAGTTCTTTGTTATAATTTTCTATTGAGAGTGGCGTATTAAGAAGTTTAAGTATAAAAGAGTTAAATGCGGCCATTTTGTGTATATAAGGATGATTTGAGCTGTTATGTATGACTGTGTCCGTGTGTGAAGATTTATGATATATTGAAAAATTTAATTTGTTTTGCGCTTTCGTAATAGTTAAGTCTAAAAAATTAATAGAGTTATCCTGTTCAATCTCGATAGTGAATTTTATACGATTATGTAATGAGTTAATGTAATTTAAAAAAGAATTCAATTGTCTGTCCGTTCCAACAAAGCAAGCAAAGACATCATACACGTATCTACCATAAAAAACTTTTATTTAAAGGTTGTTCTAGTATGATATTTTCCAAATTATCCATAAAAATCTCGACTAACAAAGGACTGCTGCAATTTTCGTGGTATTTATCTCCGGTTGCCTTTCAATAATATTTAGCACAGCAACTTCTAAAACGAGTGTTCGAATTTTGTGGTACCGGTAGCTATCAAAACTCCTTTTTTCGAAATTTCCAGATATATGTAGCCTTTGGTGAAGCTTGGTAAACAAGTTGTGATGAGAAAGATCTATGGTTAGGATTCGCTTATATTTAAAAACGTGTAATTCACCATTATTAATTTAAAACTCGTATTATTGAATAATTAAATGATCAGATAATAAATGTTTGTTTAAATTAGTTGTATTTTGTATTCAAACTAACTGAGCAATATCAAGTAAAGCAATAATAAGAAACACCCTAAGAACTACATTTTTTTTATCCAATAATTTTTTTGTCTTGATATGCATTTTTATTTGGAAACTGTAACTTTTGTAAAAAAACAGAAGATGAAATTTTTTATTTAAAAGAAATAATTATTTTTGTCATAAAGAACAATGATATAAAAAACATTACTTTAAAAGTCCTTTCTGTAGTTTTTTTCTTATTGATACAAAATTCATACCAATTTAAAAACTTTAAGGTTTAAAGTTTAATTGACTTTTCTGCATATAATTTTGGTTTTGGATTCTAACCAAAAAGTAAAGTTTCTCTTTCTATTTGCTAATTTATCGGAAAGCTGATGAAGGTGGGAGCGTTGAAAAAACTTCCGTCAAAGGTCACGTCATATTCTCATATTCTCCTTGACCTTGGTAAATAAACATCAGCAGGAAACCCTGAAAAGCACCACGAAGTCACTTGTACGGGTGGGAAGGTGGATGGGAGCTATTCGGATCTGGGTTCATACTGGGAGTTTGGTACAAAAATTTCAAAACTTTATAATTTTAATCTTCTGTTCATCGTGTTTACGACTAATTTGCTTAGAAAACTAGGTATACGGCGTCCGTTAATTTTTTTTGTGGTATGCCACACATCCAGAGCAATGTGGGCCCTTCAAAAATATGTTATTTTACAAACCAATCTCAAAATTTAGCATGTTAAAAATAATTTACTTCATTTATAATTTAGTATTAGGTAGTAGGCTATGGCCAATACTTTAAAAACATGTTTATAAATTTACGAATTTTTTTTATTTATAATTTAGTATTAAGTTACGTGGGTAGGCTCTGGCTAATCCGCTAAAATCAAATTTACAAATTTTAGTAAATTAAATATTTTAAATAGCACTCTCTGCATTTTCTTATTTGACTCAATTTTATTGGTTTCACTAAATATGCTTCACACTTTGAATGCTAGTTAAAAAAAATTGACTCGAGGTTGCTTTGGAAAATAATTGCTGCAATATCAGAAGCGTCGCACATTTTATACCAACGTATCATTCAATTTACCATCAATGTTTGTTTAGCTCCCGGCGCAGTAGAAGATGTAATTTATAGCAAAAATACTGTTAAATGGAAAAAACCTCAACGAGAAAATGGCGTGATCCTTTATTACAATGTTGACGCTGAGGTACGAATAATGTTAAATTATCAATTATCAAATTATCATAATATTTACAATTTTTTTCAGCTTAAAAAACATAAAGCCTGTTTGATGGAAGAAAAGTCCTTAAAAACAGTACATTATGCGACTAAAAACACGAGCATTGATTTAGTTAATGCAGAGCCGTATTCAATATATGAAATTAAAATATCGGCAAATACAAGTGTTGGATATGGAGCTGAAACCACATCAGTGGTGGAAACACCTGAAAGAGGTAGTAATACATATTTTTTCGAATATTTTTCACACGATCGACCATTCATGTGTATTTATAAAATATAAATAAACACCATGCAATAGAGATTTGCATATTATACAGATATTTTCGCAATGCAGCGTTCGAATCCTACATAACATTTTAACTTTCTTTTGGGAAGATGTTTCGACGTCTTCAATACCTGCGTGTTTGAAAAAATTTATATATAAAGTTTGATATGCATAGGTTTAATTGCATAGGCTAGTTAGATACTTTACCCTTTTTTCCTCTCGGCATTTATTTCACAGCGAACGATTTTGAAGCAACATTATTATCAAACAATTGAAAGGTGAATATCCGATAAATTTATTTTCAATTATTGACAATTATTATTACTATTATTATTATGTTCTGATTTATTTTTATATTTTTCAGATATAATTGAATTAGATGAAATCCCTGAAATTGAAATACAGCCAAAATTGTCACAGGTAATTTTAATCCCAATAGAACGAGACTGCAAAAAGGTGAAGGGGTCAATATTTATCCATCTCAAAGTGAATTCTACAGAAAAATGGTGCCTTAAAAACGAAGTATCATTGAAAATCGATCAAAATTTCGCACATACTATAAATGATTTAGCTCCATATTGTAATTATTCTGTTCAATTTTGGTTCTTTCGTGAATCGGAGGTTGATTCAACACTATTATATAAATCAATTAACGTGTCAAGATATTTTAGAACACAAGCATCAGGTAAGTTTTTCATCTTTTTGTGGTAATTAATCGATCCAGTCAAATAAACCAATTTTTCGATATGTTTCAGCATCGGAACCAATTAGGAGTTTGATGGCTACATCAACAACATCAAATTCAGTGTGTTTAAGATGGTTGCCGCCATATCCACCCACTGGCGAACTGTCAGGCTATAAAGTCGCTTGGACAAATTTCCGTGGTTTTGAAGAAAAATCAATAACGATCAAACCCAGTCGATGTACGATTTGGCCTGATTATCACTGTTGGTGCATAATAAACTTAAAGAAACCGAATGAACGATACCAAGTCGAGGTATGTCCCTCATATTTTATTCTCTATCTGAAAATTTATATGTTTTTGCAAATATAACAAATTTTGAATTTTTTGCTTCATCTTGGTATTTTCGTTAAATTTCTTGCCCCAGTTATATCTTGCTACACCAAATTTTCTTCGGTTATTATCATCCCTTAAAATTGATATCACTGTAAACACCTCACACCAAGACGAAAACAGTTTAATCAAACTGCATCTCAAATTCTCAAAACTCAAATCTAAAGCCTTTGATATAACAATGATAATAATAATAATAATAATAATTAATAGCCTTTATTGAAGTAGAACAAAAAGAATATACTACAGTAGAGTTGAGCAGGTGGCGAGGTCTAGCAGCGCTACTCCACCTTACCACCGATACAATGTAGTAATATATTGAGAATTAACAAGAAAAAAAAAACTAACAAATATAAATAAGTTCCTTAAGTCCACCCAAGATTCATAATATGACAATTTTAAACAAATCAAAGAGGGATAAAAAAGAAATAAAAAAATAGACACTGGAAAAAGCAATATTCAACGACTAAAAGAAAAAAAAAGTAAAAAAAAAACAATTATAAAAAAAATTAGTTCAGCCTCTCCTTAATCTCACCAGCTCTTTTAATTTCTTTTTAAATATAGAAGTGGATGAACAAGTAATAATATTCAGTGGAAGTGAATTGTAAGTTTTAATAGCGTTATATGTGAAAGAGCTCTGAAATGCGGCCGTACTAGGCTTGAGAACATAGAACAGGTTATGGTGACTAGTCGATATAGTGGTATAGGGGTAGTGGCCCCATCATAAAGATACCGGGAGCTTTTCGTACTTAATAATTTTATGCAATAACGTAGACAGATGCACCAAATACATTTCAGGTAGATTTAACCACTAATCAAATTTACGCAAACCATAGCTATATCTCAGGCAGGCATTTTGCAATTTTTGTAAGCTGTATTGGTCTTTCCGTCTTAGAGCCGGCCAGTATACAACGTCCGCATATATATAGAGAGAGTCACATAATTTAAGTGTAATCTCATTAGATAAGTAGTCTTTATGCAGCAGTAGATAAAATAAATGAGAATCAAAAAACAGCTTACTATCAAGAAAGACTCCTAAGTTTTTACATTTGTCGACAAATTCAAGCGGAGTGCCATTCAAAGAAAGCTTCAGATCTTAATGCTGGATAATTTCCTTTTTTTATCACCAAAAAGAACAACCTGGAATCATTTAATTTCATAGCATGGGCTTTGAAGGTTCTGGAAATCACTTCAAGATCCTCATTTATGCCATTGTAAAACAAAGCTACATCTTTGACCTTGAATGATAAGTATATTTGCATATCATCTGCATACTGATGAGAATAGCATTTATTTAAATGCCTAGAGAAGTTAGAGGTATAAATAGAGAGCAATAAAGGTCCCAAAATGCTGCCCTGCGGAACTCCCCTTGGAATTAGCAGAAAGCCAGACACCGCTAGTCCCAACGTAACCCTCTGACGGCGACCTTCCAAGTAACTCTTCATGAAAGCAATAGCGGTGTCGGTTAAGCAGAAGAACTTTAAGTTTAAAATAAGAAGACTATGATTTAAGATATTGAAGGCAAAATCAAACAAGTATTTCTTGACACATCCTAAAAAGGTCATCAGTGACATTAAGCAGTGCTGTGGTCGTACTGTGCCCGTGCCTAAACCCAGATTGAGAGGCAGGCAAAATATTCGAATCAGCAACATAATTATTAAGTTGATCATATATAACCCTCTCCAATATTTTAGACTTTACACAGAATAAGCTAATAGGGCAAAAATGTGAGATTTCAGAAGGTGCAGTTATCTTAGCAACAGGTATTATATTAGCCTCCTTCCACAATGAGGGGAATTTGCTGGTAATAATACATTGGTTAATGATAAATGTCACCAAAGGTGTCAGATGAGGAGTAATTAAAGAAAGTATTTTCAGATCGAGGCCGTCCACACCCTTTGCGTTGGATTTAATTCTGGATAATATTCTCTCCACATCCTCCTCTGTTACGGTTGCCAAGTTAAGCTGATTAGCAATTCCATCATAAGCAAGACCTTATTAGCCTGCTCTTCACCAGCAGGAGGCGGAACACTTTCAGTAAAAAACTGATTAACTGTGGAGGGATCAGAAACATCTGCTGGGTTTCAGCGAGGCCCCGGATTAATGTTCAGATAGTGCCTTTGGGATCTGAAATTTATAACTTACATCAGCTTTTTTTTTTCATTTCTGAGAGCCATAGTAAAAAGGTTGCGCAAGGATTTATATACATTTTTTGCTATCCCAGTCATTAATCTTTTGTACTTAGACAAGGCCTTATTTCTCAGTCGTTTCATAAGTCTAAAATTATCAGTAAACCAAGGAGCTGGCGATTTGGTTATCTTTGATGTTTTCAGGGGAGCATAAATTGAGTAGATTATTTAAGTTTTCGTTAAAGAAAGAAAGCATCTCATCAACATCTGTCATACTATAAACAATGTTCTAAGGAACAACGAACAAATCAGAGAGAAACTGCTCATAATTGTAGTTAGTATAGTCGCGATAAGTCCGATATGACATTTGAGGCTTGCTCCTAACCATGTCCAAATCACAGCGAATGGTCAGACATGTCATTCCTATCAATTACACGAACGTTACCAGCAAGATCTCTAGAAGACGTTACCAATATATCTATTAAAGTAGTTATACGAGTGGGCTGTGTTACTAATTGATAGAGGTTGTATTTCTCCAAAAAAACGCTAAGCCGTATTAATAAAATCAACATTAAAGTCTGCTCCAAAACAAAAACAATCAAACTGCGGCATCAAATCAGTCAGGGCGTCCTCAACATCATCCAAGCAAGCAACAAATTAGCGCTTGGGGGGCGATAGGGGGTGCCCAAACAAATACTTCTGCCGTTCACCTTACTACCAACCTATCCAAAGCTGCTCCAATTCGCTATTATTCTACTGTACAGGTATTATTCTAAACTCGAATATATCCCTAACATAAAATGCGATACCCCCTCCCCTGTTATCACGGTCTTTTCTATGTAGACGGTGGCCAGGAATAGCCCACACTGCAATCAGTAGTATTTGTATTTAGCCACGTATCAGATAGCCCCAGCACATCAAAAGCTAAACGGCCTAAACTGACGCATTTTCTACAACAGAAAAAAAATATATAACAAAATATAAAATAAATCGCTAAGCCAAAACTGTGTTTTTTACAAGAATAAAAAGAAGAATTGGTATTATTAAGTAATAGAAAATGACAGAGAAAATGACATTGAGAATTATTAAAATCATCCCGATGAGGTGCAGGAGAAAAGAAGGAAAAAAACCGTGGCATAGTTATTATTACAATACGTCATAACATAAGTTTTATAATTTCAACAAGGAGAAAAAAAAATAAGTAAGTACATCCTATATAAAAAAGAAGCAAAAAAAAATTAATATGCGACGCCACACAATAAGCGTTAAATATAAACATTTTACAGGACCATCATATCGACATACTCACGAGCATGACTCACAAATCATTTTTAGAATTTATTTATTTTGACAGTATTTCTTCTTTGCGGCCATGAGCAGATCAAGCCTCAATTCAGTTAAATCTTCGTGAATGATGTAGGAGGAACCTTTAAGCTTACTTTTCGCTTGAAAAACTTTACTGTTAGATATGAAATTGTTTTTTACTGATTACTGATCGATGTCGATCTTGCATGGGCCTACCCATACGATGAGCATAGTCGATATCACTTGCAGTGCACTGAACTCTAAGCTCAGTGTTTATTATATTAACGATACGTCTTCATCCGCCTACTGAATTATACCTCCAAATCGAAGACTGTTACGCTTGGACCTTTGCTCTAAGCGATCGCACTTAAGCTCAAGCTCAGCAATATCCTTAGTATTGCTGGTGACGGTTAAACTTAACTGTTTAAGAGTAAAAAACATCTCGTTCAGCTTGCTATCGATCCTATCCAGCTTTTCATTAAATTTTTGCTCAAATTGGGATATAATGCTAGAACACACCTTATTGATCAACCTTTCAGTGTCTTCTTCGGTTTTGCTACCACTTCTAGTAGGAGGAGGACCCATCTTAAAACAGCGATGAGTCGCTACTACTGACTCTATCGACACGATAGCGTCTAATTTAGTGATTACATCGCCACACAATAACTATGTAATGGCTAGACACAAGAACACTACCAATATGTTGCCAACAGGACAGCCAACAGTGTGATGCTAGAAAAATTAATATTTTCAACAAATATACCAGTTATATTACTACTCGCTCTCCATTCTCTACTACTGCACCATATGCCCCACATTTTCATATGTTGTTGTCGCTATATATTAAACGTAAGTTTCTTATTTATTGTTACACATATGTAAATGCAGATAAACCAAAGAAAAAAAATAGAGTGATAAGGAAATGGTGTCATTAATAAAAAAGGAACAAATAAAAATATTTGGTCTGCCATTTGCGATTGTATGGGAATTGAAACCATTTAATGGCGCTTTTGAAATTTCAAAATTAAGTACACTACAATGGTGGGCGTTTTCCGTACATCCATCTGCAGAACAGTAGTTGCATAATTATATTTTCGATCATCATTACTGTGATTCAATAAAAAATGTTGACATTCGCAGGTTTACGCCCAGAACACTTCCCCAAAAGTGTTTTCGCCTAGGACAGTTATTTCATTCATTACAAAGGAATCAGGTAAATATAGTGAATGATAATCGGTGTGGCGATGTACGTTTAAAACCAATTCTGAAATACTATTTACAAATCTTCTGAATTCCTCCTGAGTAGGTTGTTTATAAATCAAAATTACTGACGTTTCGCCAACCATCGTGCTTCACTGAATCTGGTTCGCATTCTACTCTGTAACTGCTTTGAGGGGTGAAAGGGGTTCTGGGATACTAGGATTTTTCTTTAATGAATGAGCGGAGCGAAAGGAGGGGCATGAACGTTGTCTCGGATGACTTGGTGAAAGGTAAAGACATCAGTGGCGCTTTAAGATTGTTTTTAGCGATTTCTATGAATTCTAGGATTTTTCTTTGGTAGAAGAACTGATTACATGTAAGAATTTTAGTTTTATCGAATAAGATTTGATGTCCGGTTTCTTGATTGTGTACGGAAACTGCCGATGAACTTATTGTCGTAGGCTCTTGTTTCTCCAATGCATTCCTCAGATTCCATGCCGCATATGCATATGCCGACGGAAATTTTTCTTGGACGGAAACACGATTTTTGGTTAGTTTTGGTTTTAACATTAAATTTCTTAAGAACTGATATTTGGTTAGTGATGTTTTGAATGTAGGAAAGGACCACAGTAGCAAGTGTTCGGTTGCGTTCAGATTCATTCTCCTTGAAAGGTTGCGGTGGAGTGTATTTTGTGATTGAACGATTAATATCTCTAATGTGGAAATTATTAGACAGAAGAGCAAAGATAACATTGGATCATTTTGTTTAGAGAAAATCTACGCACACAGACGGATACCTTAATGCATTATCACATCACCATCCGAACCAAAAATCATCGGTTATCAACAATTTTGTTTACAGGGGCGTAAAACTATCTCATCTCGAGTCACTGAACCCAGAATTAAAACACTTTACATCTGCTCTCTATTAATTTCCATATTAATAATCGTATTTATTTAGCATAGAGCTATAACAGAAAACAATCGTATTTACATTTTAAATATACGAGCCAGTAGCAAAATAGGAAAATTTAAATAAGTATAAAAGTACACAAAAAATCTATAACAGCAGAAAAAATTATAAAACAAAAATCAGATTAAAATTTCAAACAATACATAAGTTTTAATTAATCTTTTAAAAGCATTTAAATTGTCACACTCCTTAATATTTTGGCAGCCTATTAAACTCTAACAAACATTTATTTCAAATGGTATTCATCATATGTGTAGTTTTACATCGACTGACTACAATGAAATCAGTACGGCTTCTAGTGTTATAGTCATGAACATTCTTAAAGTAATTAACTCTATTACCCTATTGAACAAGCTTGTCGGTCCCTCTGGGTCAGTACTGCACTGTGTTTCAGGCGGAAATTTTCGCTTTATTGATGGCGGCCAGAGAGGTGCTTCGGCTCAACTACGGAAGCAGGAGAGTCTTCTTCTGCTCGGATAGTAGGGCTGCACTCATGGCGCTGAAGTCAGTGCGTACGCGCTCCTTGTTGATAAAGGAGTGCAAAGGGGTACTGAGGAGGGTGGCTGAGGAGAGAAAGGTGACGTTGGTCTGGGTCCCGGGTCACACCGGTATCCGGGGCAATGAGGCAGCGGACGCCTTAGCCAGGGAAGGCTCCTCGCATAGGCATATAGGGCCAGAGCCCCGCTTGGGGATCGCCCCGTGTGTGAGGCGGGGAGCTCTCGAAGCCTGGGCGAGAGACCGGGCCGCGGGGGGCTGGAGAGTTGCTCCGGGAATGAGGCAGGCGAGGCTTATGATGGATGGGCCCGCCCTTCCTCGGACCAGGGAGCTGCTTAGACTGACCAGAAGGGAGTGTAGAGCACTAACAGGGGCCTACACAGGACATTGCAGGCTTAGGAGGCATCTTTGCTTGCTAGGCATTGGAGACGACCCGGAGTGTAGGTGGAAGGGGAGGAGACCCCGTATCATCTGCTCACCGAGTGCCCTGCCTTGACATGGGCAAGATTGGGAGTCTTCGGAACGGCCCTGATCGACCCGGACTCAGTGCACGGTATTGGGCTAAAGGAGTTGCTGACCTTCTACAGGAGGGGCGGCATTCTGGACGCCCTCTAGAGCGGCCTGGGGGCACAACGGGCCCATCTGGTGGCCTAAGTGCTTGGACGCCCGCGAGGGCGCCCCCCTTTAATACCAATACCCTATTGAACATATTTAGCGTTCCATCACAAAATACACTTCACCACAACCTTCAGTACACAATAAGTCCGAAAGTACATTTGCCACCGTTGTCCTTCGTTACATTTAAACCATCACTCACCAGATGTCAAAAGTTCTTAAGAAATATAATGTCAAAACTCCTCAAACAACAGATAAGCAGGTACAGAGTAGAGTTAAGCTCTGAAGAAGCCAGCATGATTGGTGAAACTTTAGCAAATTTGATTTATAAACAACCGGCGCAGGAAAGTGGAAGTTTTTTTGAAATATCCGAATTTTTGAGAACCTCTAATTTTTTTCTTGTTGAATTTTATGTTTCCAGTCATATTAAAAGATATTTTACGTATTAATAAATATAAGTCAATGTAGCATTAATATTTCAGATTCTTTTCGGTATTAAATATTCACGTTTTATCTGTTGTATACTTTAACTTTAAATTTTAGTTCTTTGGAGTATTTCGAAATGATTTTATTCTCTTATATTTTAAATTCGGATTTCTACATACCGGAAATTGTATAAAATTCTATAGTTTCATTTTAAAAAAACATACTTTAATTTTATACCCAAAAAGTGAAGAAGAGTAAAATGTGGATATTAACACAAAATACTTTTTACACGAGTAAGAGGGATAAATGATTATAATGATTATGAACACCTGATAAAGGAATTTTTATTGGCTTCAGAACCCGATCCACCCTACGATTTGAAAACAGAATGGACAGACGAAAATGATTTAGTTATTAAATGGAAACACCCAAACGCCACTAACGGGATCCTAGTGCAGTTTTCGGTTTTCGTTGAAGAAATGGTCACCAATTACATGATAAAATCAGAAGAAGAATATCAACCTGTCTATGAAATGGTGAGTTCATATTAAAAACAATATCCTAGATTTTCGACAATTTTTTTTTTAAGTGCACCATCGCTGCGGGTGCCAGGTGGGTGTTTGAATGATTTATAAAAATATTTATTTATAGGTTTACGACATAAATTCAAGCATTACTTTCCAATTTCAATTTTTTCCATTTTAAAAGCACAACAAATATAATTAACCAGGCAAATGAAATATTAAAGGACGACTGGATTATCCGTCACATTTACAGATGAGAAATATATTCGTCGATGAACATCTGGTTTTCCCATAGTTCATCAATGGATATCCGCCTGTTGGTCGGTTTTCACCTTGTCAAAAGTCTGAGGACATAAAATTTGCAAGGGTCACTTGCGCGCGGAAAGCAATAAAAGCGCTTTGGGGAATTCCATAACATTCCATATTAAATATGCCTTGGTGATGCTAAACAGTCGTGGAAGAGGTCCACCGTGGAAGTGGTTGATTTTTTTTTCAATTTTTATGGTTTTGGTTAGTTTTCGTTATTGCCTCGGTGGAGTCAAACCGTCGTAGAGAAGGTCCACTGTCGAGAAATTTGATTTTTATACTGCTCATATGTAATCGTCGAGTAAAAAAAACACAAATTTTCTTGTAAAACTCTTAACATAAACACTGCGTCTCGAACCAAAATCCAAGCCTGTCCTCCGAAAAGTATCTGGTATCGTGGAAGACAAACATAATCTCTAGCCTAAGAATAATATATCCGCCTACAAGTAACAATATGGAACTAAAAATTGAAAGAAAACCCATCTCTTAAATGTTATAAAATATATCGATACCGAAACCAGACGCAAATGACCCGATTAATTGGATAAGAATATAAGGTTCCTCGTCGCTGGGTCTACTGTTTAAAATTTGCGAAATGCTCACACGACCAGACTGACGAAAAATTCACTGTCGAATTTTCTTTGACTTTCCATGATAGCATCCAGGCAAATCATTCGTGAATCTGCAAAGATAATCTACGAACACAACTATTTAAAGCGCAACGCCCAGACATTCTAATTTCCGGCGTTCAGTAAACAAAGCAAGAAAACTGAAACAACGCAATAGTTCGAAAAATAGCGCCCAGCTATAGCTTTTGTAAAAGCACGTAGCATTTGCAAAGTCAAATAAAACACACAGCAGTAATTTGACAAATAGCCCACAGCAATAAATTTTCTAAAAGCATACAGCAATTACAACTTTTTTTTTGTTTTTTTTTAAGAAGATTTAATCAATAATCACATAGGACATTTTAACTTACAATGTTGAAACAGTCTACGGAGAATTCGCAGCTCAAAATGTGAATCACTCTAATTAGTTGCTATTTTTTTAATTCTCTAAAAGGACCTTCCGTGGTAAACAAAATATTGATTTCTTTTGCGGAATTTTGTCAAATAATAAAAACAATTTCCGACGTTTTGCTTTCGTTTCATATTTTCGTATGCCAATGTGGAGTTTCTCTTTCAACGGTAGCAACAAAATACTTTGTCGAAGGTTGTCAAATGTTCTTCTTTTTTGCTTCACAAAAGTCAAAAATCGCGTTTGAAATTTTAATTACGGCCACGTTTGCTACCTGAATTTATCCCACTTCTGATGTAATCGTCGAGTAAAGAAAACACAAATTTTCTAGTAAAATTCTATTTTCAGAACTAAAAACAAATACAGAGAGTAAAGCAAGCAAGCAAAGTATCTGCTATCATGGAGCACAATAACATAATCTCCAGCCTAAGAATAATATATCCGATCTACAAGTAACAATATGAAACTAAAACTTGCAAGAAAAAAAACCCAAATTTAAGTGTTCATCTCATAGACGGTAAAAGCTGATAATAAACACTTAAGCCAACAAATAAAACCTTGAAGCAAAATTGCAAGGTTTACAAAGATCTCTAAACTAAATATGGTGTCAGTTATACAGAGTGAGAATACTTATTATTTAATCGTATATATTTTTTAAGAGGGACAGAAACAATTTTAAGAAGCAGTTTTCTGTGCACTATCATTTGTTTTATACCCGTCTTAGTTATTATAGATTGCCTCACCTCACCATCTAAGCCAGAGTTTTACACTGGTTATACTAGTTTCCCTTAAATATTTTACGAATTGCACTTCAATTGTCCCCTCTGAAACTCATTCTTCTACAGTGTTATATAGCCATATGTGACCCATTTCTAGACAGAAGTGTTACCTTGAAAAAGCAAAAGATAGCTGAAAAAAAATTTTCTTTAATGTAGCCATGCGCTATTATAATTCCAGATTCTGAGAAATTTGACCTTACCCGGCATATACGAAATAAAGATAAGGGCAATAAATTCGCAAGGTTCTTCCATACCTTTAACTGGAAAGTGCTTGAGCCCTCCGCCCATGCCAGAGACCCCAATTACTTCGTTGGCTATTGTTGAAAAATTCACAATAATGATCAATTTTTCCCGAAAAGCAAATGAGAGTTTCGGAGAGAACTATGAAACATTCTTGTACATTCTTGTAAGTATAAATGTGGTGTACTTAGTCACAAAATTCGCCCTTGTTTATTTTTATTGTAGATCTCTCGTACACCTGATGTAAATTTGAGGGAACTAGAAGAGTTCAAGGTAGGTCTAACAGCCCAAAAAATCATAAAACTGAGAAACTATAAACTGATATTCAATAATTCTGGGAGATATCCTACAGAATTGTCATTGCCAATTAGCGAAATCAACGATAACAATGCGAGCCTGATTTATGGAACGGATTACAAAGTTGCCGTCTTTTTCGTAAACGAATGTAATGGCTACGTACGGATCAAGAGAAAAATATTTACAGGTATAAATTTTCAATGCAAGGCATTGTATTTTTACACTTACACAGTGCGTAGAGAAAGTTTTCCCCTATTTGCTTATCAAGTTTTTTATCCCAAATAACCATTTTCTTCATCCTTAAAGCCTATTTTTAATGAATTGTTGAAACTACAAGTATTCGAATATTCGTCAATAAATATTGTTGTTGTATTAATAAACGTTTGTATTTTTTTTTTTCAGTAAACATAGAAGCTACTCAATCTGATAGTGCCTTGTATGCTTTAATTCTCCCTTCTGTGGTTGCAACACTATGCGTCTTCCTAGGCATCAGGTATTTTTCTAGGCATTAAATATAAAAACCTCCAACATCTAAATTTGATGTGTCTAAAAAACCGTTACTTTTAAGATGCAGATCCCAATTGTTAAAACGCTCTACTGCCATAATGAATCAATTTAGAGAATCTGCTGCAAATGGTAAGTTTTGAGTCTAATGTCAAGTTACTGTTACGAAAGTATTCTATAGGGGAAAATCCACCAAGAGAAACGCAGGCTCTAGCGATACCGATAATTAAAAGAAAAGTAGATGTCGCAAAAGTAGTGCGAACAGACATTCCGGTAAGTAAAAAAATATTCAAAATGTAACAAGTTAATATAGAGCACTATATTAAGACACAAACTGAATTTAAATTCTAATTAGATAGTTAGTAATATATAATTGTATTGTAATATTGTAATATTCTTTTTTTTTTCATTAGTGAGATAAATTAACATACTTAACCAACCGTCTTCAAACATAACCCCAATATTCGAATTTCGAATAAATAATATAATAAAAATAATAAATACCTTCCTAATTTGTGCGGTGACAATATTAATAAAATGACATATCCCGTATTAAAGAGAGGCAATAACCGACAACCTTTCCCATACTAATGATTTAAATAATCTTTTTTTTTTTCAAATAAACTTCCACAGGCTACTGCAATACTTTTTACGAAACTTCTGGATTCCTCCTGCGTCGGTTTTTACCGACTCGAAATTGCTGACGTTTCATCAATCATCCTGTTGGCTTCTTCTGAGCTTGACTGAAGCTGACGTTTCGCCAATCATCCTGTTGGCTTCTTCAGTTTCAGTCAAGCTCTGAAAACCGACGCAGGAGGAATCCAGAAGTTTTGTAAAAAGTAAGATTTAACTAATCATCTGAAGAAAGTAATTCGTTTGTTGGTATTTATTGTCTTATCTAAATCCATGGTAAGAACTCCACAATTACTATTCAAAAATCTTGTCGCACATTATTCGAGGTATTCAATATGTTCATATTCATACGAGATAACGACCGCAATATTTAGAATTACGTTTAACTCAGCAATCAATGTTTTTTTTTTTATTTCAGGGGGGACCGACGTTTGAACCAACAAATTCCTTACGAGTTAAACTATCCGATTTCAAAGATTACGTGAAGACCGCAATCGAATCCGGGGAATTAGAAAAACAGCATAATGTAAGTACATATCAATACTTTGTGTATTATTGTTTGGAATCCAATAAAATGTCACACTCTGGGAAAACTCCATTTAATCAAAAGCCATCAACAAAATACAAAATCCTGGTTACAAGCTAACACGCCATTCTTAATTTTTGTCTACAGTACGACTCTGAGAGAGCGCCACTAATATTGTCACATATACATCTTTCCCCTTAAGAGTGACAAATCTAATCTTTGTACAGGTTTGACCACACGGCCAGACCTAGTTCTAGTTAACTCATTTTTGATAGTATTGGGTATAGGTTTAGAAGATCCGCTGCAATAGGCAGCTTGGTCTGACAAATTCGACTCATCATTAGTTGAGAGGGCGAATATTCAATAAATTTCAAGGGCGTATTACGATATTGAAGTAAAGCTTCAAATATATCTTTTCCTTCTTCACGGCTTTTTTTTACAATATTTTTTCCAATAGACGCGGCTTTTTCAGCCAGACCGTTTGACTGTGGGTAGTTCAGACTTCTAGATACAATTTGAAAATTCCAGTCTTTAGCAAATTCTTTCATAGAGAAACTAGTAAATGGTACATGGTCACAGATCAGTACATCAGGACTACCAAATTTAGCAAAAATTGATTTTGACTTCCGCGGCCGATTTATTTTTTAATGTAACAAGCTCTAACCAATTAGAGTAAGCATCATAGACCACTAAAAATATGCTAGCTCCGTAAGAAAAAATATCAGTACCTATCCTCTCCCAAGGTCTGCGAGGTAAATCATAATGTTTAAGAGGCCGTTTGAGATTTTTCCTTGCATACTTTGCAGACATCACATTTTTTAATGAAATTTTCAATATCTTGGCCCATTAAAGGCCAATAAAACATCTGCCTAGCTTAACTTTATCCATGCCAATATGGCCATCGTGCAATTTTTGCATCATGAATAAACGGGAACTTTGTTTAATTTATTGCCAAAAAATAAAATATCGTCACATATTAAGAGGGATTCTTTAATTTTATGATTTTATTGACCAATTGTATGAAGTGCTATTAGCAAACGTGAAGTGGGCGTTTCCGCTTTCAAATATATAGATATGTTGGGTGTGAATTAAAATAAAGTCAAACGTTATTGACTGAAATTCAAACAAAACAGTTTTTTTATTTAATTAGTATTTGACAATCCATTGTTAATGAGAAGAAACTTCCAACCATTTGCGATTAAAATGGAAGACGTTACCAAAACTGACCGAATTTTTATTCAACAGAATATTAAAATAATCTTTCTCGTGAAGAAAAAATAAACCAACAACCATCTTTAGGGGAATCCACTAAATCCAACCTCATTAAAGCAACATTTTAGCTATTTCCTAGAGGGCAGACAAAGCCTTGGGAGTACGGAATTCTTCCGGTTAACAAATCCAAGAATCGATACAACAATCTCATCGCATGTAAGTAGATCGTTTTAAAACTTTTATGTTTAAATGTTCAAATATAAGGTTTCGGATTTCTCAGCTATATTCTATATATGCTTTCTTTTCTTTCTTCAAAAAATGGTCTCGAAGTAATTTATGTAAGTTCGTATATAAAAGAAAATTTGAATTTGATTTGAAAATAAATTTCAGATGACCACACTAGAGTGATACTGGAGAAAAATGGTGATCAGTTTTCTGATTATATAAACGCCAACTATATAGACGTAAGTAGCAAAATTTAAAGCATTCATTTATTCGAAATACTAACCAGGTTAGGCGGTATTTATTTGTTTATACATTCTAATGCAAGAATTGAAAATTTAAAAAAATATATTTTTCTGTGAGATAGATAGATATCTAAAAGCACTTAATTATTCATTTTTACTTGAAAGGGATATCGCTTCCCGAAGGCTTATATTGCAACACAAGGTCCTAAAAATGCAACAGTGGGCGACTTTTGGAGGATGGTGTGGCAAGAAAATGTTAAATATATTATAATGTTAGCTAACATATTAGAGGGAGGAAAAGTACGTATACGTTCAATAAGTTAGCTCCTTAATAAATAAAAATGTTCGGTTTGTAGAAAAAAACAGAAAAATATTGGCCAGAACTCAATCAAGAAGACAAGTATGGAGACATTACGGTAATGCTTTTGAGTTCTGAGATCCACGCCAATTATGACTTAAGAAAACTAAAGATTTATTACGAAAACGAACAGAGGAAGGTGGTATTACATCTGATAGAGCCAAACTTTACTACATGCTTTGAATTTGTAGATCGACCAGTTACACTTCAAGGCTTGGCCAGACCATGGCGTTCCGTTGTATCCGCAGTGCTTGGTGCCATTTCTTCAAAGGATGCTTACAGTTCCATATACATTTAATTCTCCGCTTCTTGTACATTGTAGGTATGTTCAGAAAACGTTGTGTTTAGGAAGTAGATCTTAACAAGTAAAATATTTCACTCCATCGATTAGATTATAACCCGTTTTAATCCCAGATCCGTATTTCGGTACTTCGCGCATACAAAAACATCCATTATAAATCAATTATTTAAATAAGATTTCCTATTGCTTTCCTAGGAAATCAGTTTAAGCTTCTTAATGTGTTTTTAATATATGAGATCAACCTCTCTAATGGGCATATTCAAGTTGAAATCGAGCTACCTCAAATAGAAACTGTTTTACGAAGATTTATAAAAAGCACACTAATATGAATTAATATAACAGTTTAATCAAAGAAAATTTCCCTACTCTTAAAATACAACCGTCCGCATGGCACAGTTCTTGTTCGCTAACATTTTAACTACGGCCCTGGTTTGTGGTACACGTCCCTTTCGCTTTTCAACAGGCGGATCCAAAACTCATTCACAAGTCAAAACCATAAAAGGTTTTAAAAACGGTATATTGTCGGGAGAACTCTACTAGCATCTATCAACTAGCATTTCTTTCTATAATATACAAGAGATAAACGTAACATTGTAGTGGTAGCTTAAAATCTCCTTTACATAATTTGCTATTTGCGATTTTGGTAAGACTAGTTTTACTTGAATGCCGAAAGAGAAAAAACAGGGCTCTAACTGATGTTGACTTCGCTTGCACCTAATTTATGCTCGTCATTTATTTCCAACATTTAGCGCCGGAGTTGGGAGAACTGGAACGGTGATATTATGCGATATTTGTTTACGTATGGCGGCATCAGAAGGATTCATAGATATTTTAGGCAATTTAGCACACTTGCGTGAACAGAGGCCAAATATGGTCGACAATATAGAACAATACAAGTTGGCACACCTACTCATTCTTGAGTTCTTATTCGGTTCGTAGCATAGTATACGTATATAGTATTATGTGTAATTTTTAATTGGCGAATAATTTTGCAGGCTGGAAGACGAACATTCCTTGCGATTCGGGGTTTTCCAGCGCCATTCAAAAATTTCTGGATACGGACTTTTTGCAGAAACAGCTGGAATATATCAAGGACACGGAATGGCAAAATGATGCGATGAAAACTGTCGCGGAAACGCATATGAATATTCCCGTCCAAAAAAATAAAAATAGATTTTCCCATATTATTCCAGGTAAATATCGATTCGGTGTATCCAAGAAATGTTTTATATAAATTAATTATGTGTATTCTACGCAAAAGCGAATATAATGAGTTTTACTTTACGAAAACTATATTCTAGCGGGCAAGAATTAATCATTAATATAATGGCCTATTATGAAAATTTCTTTTTAATGCGTATTGCTAAAATTTTGGTTGACTTAGTTTCCTAAATATTTTGAAGGCTTTTGTAACATTACCTACTGCCTTTCAACAGGAACTAACCAAAGCTATAAAGTTGCAGAGACGATTAGATTGGGAAAAAGAAAATAAAGGAATTTAAAATCCATAACATACTGTCGAGAAAACGTAAAAACCGGCCTAACTTTATCTACAAGGCGTTCCTTAACAACGTATCAATACTGACTTTATTTTAAGAAAAAATCTAGTATATACTAAAGATTTGAATTCTTGGGATATAATTCATCATATGAAAAAAAAATTGATTGCAAGTAATTAAATTTACTCAACAAACAAAACACAACAAAAATTGATTTGACAATAATCTCTATGTAGTGTAATTTATTGCTACATTCATATTTTCAAAAATTGTTGGACATAATAGCGAAATTTATTTAACACGATTAAATTAGAACAAAAAATATTCAGATTTTCATGGTTTTTAATGATTTATGGCATTTGTTTCGGCAACACCGTTCCTTTATCAAATACAAAATCTGGCAATATATATATATATATATATATATATATATATATATATATATATATATATATATATATATATATATATATATATATATATATATATATATATATATATATATATATATATATATATATACAACACACATGTAAGACACACACATGAAGACCCGCGGAAGTCTAAAACAAAACATATATATATATATATATATATATATATATATATATATATATATATATATATATATATATATATATATATATATATATATATATATATATATATATATATATATATATATATATATATATATATATATATATATATATATTTACAACACACATGTAAGACACACACATGAAGACCCGCGGAAGTCTAAAACAAAACATATATATATATATATATATATATATATATATATATATATATATATATATATATATATATATATATTTTTTTTTTTTTTTTTTTTTTTTCACGTATTGATTCACGGATGGAAAAATGTGATGACACTATATTCCGGGATATCATCCGTTTGCTTGTTGAACTCCGACTGGAATCCTGCAGACGTTTCGCCAAAATCTCACTTGGCATCTTCAATGCTCGCGCTCCGAAGTGTTCGAAGTGTATATATATATATATATATATATATATATATATATATATATATATATATATATATATATATATATATATATATATATATATATATATATATATATATATATATATATATATAAATTTCAATTTAACAACGGAGGCGTATTTTAAGTAATAGTTTCCAACAAATTTATTTTTTTCCTTTTTGTTAGATTATGTAAAGTATCAAAATTATCGTCAAAGTTGTGCATTTCTGAATTCAAATGAATTCCATTTAGAATCCCGACTTTCATTTTTATGCGCCCTTTTATGTTCGTTAATGCGTTTCTTAAATGTTTTACCCGTTTGTAAGATATAAATTTTGCGAGTTTTTCGTAATTTAGTTTTATCGTTTTTTAAAAAATGTCCTATGCGGTTTTCAGTTTTAAAAGCAATATTAAGACCAAGTTTAGATAGATGTTTCAAATTTTTCCTGCAAAGTTCTCCTATGTATTTTATTATGTTATAAATTTTGTGTTCGGTGTTAAATGGGATAGATAGAATTCAGAGTTATTTGAAACTGCGTTTTAGATATAATCTTATTTACCAAAGAGGGGTCGTATTCATTGTTCAAAGCTCTTTGTTTTATAATATTTAATTCTTTTTCAAAATGTTCTGCGGAAAGTGGTATATTAAGTAGTCTGTGGATAAAAGCATAAAAGGCAGCCATTTTGTGTGTGTAAGAGTGATTTGAGTTATCATGTATTATTATGTCCGTGTGTGCGGATTTATAGTAAATGGAAAAATCTTATTATAGTTCAGTCCAGGAAGTTTAGAGAGTTATCTAGTTTCCTCTCTACGGTAAATTTTATACGGTTATCCGTTCCAGTGAAGCAAGTAAAAAGATCATCAACGTATCTATACCACCACAGAAATCCATTACTCGGGGGATCTTTTTGTATGATAATTTCTAAATTGTAAATGAAAATTTCTGTAAGTAGTGGACTAGGTGGGTTTCCCATAATGAATCCTTTCTTTAGCATTATAAAATTGACCATTAAATTCAAAATACTTATTGTCTACACAAACTATTAAACTATCTAGCAAGTCTTGTTCTATCATAGGATTGAATTGTCTCTGAGTGAGAATATTATCTATTATGTTCATTCCGTCAATTGGTGGAATGCTAGGAAATAGGTTTTCCACGTCAAATGAAACTATAATTGCCTTAGGATGAATTTTAATATATTTGGCCTTGTTAATTAGGTCGAATGAATTTTTGATAACATATCTAGGTTTAAAGTCAGTATGATATTCTAAAATTTTTATTAATCTTGCTGAGAACTTAACTAATGTTGCTGTTACAAAAGAAACTACAGGCCTAATTGGCATATCCTGTTTGTGTAATTTCATTAAAGAATATAACTTTGGAAGTCGAGGATTCATGATTATTAGTTTATATTTTTCCTTGTCATTAAAAGGTGATGAATCTGTAATTACAGTTTTGATTTGTTTTCGATGTAACTCGGTGGGATCATATTTTATACTTTGGTATATGTTTGGTTTAAGAAGCTGTTTGATTTTTGTAATATTAATTTAATATTTATAATTTAATAATTAATTTAATTATTCGAATCAAGAACGGTGCATCGGATAAGAAAAATGCAAGAGGTTACTTTTATACAGGAACAACTAGACTATTCGATGGATGGATCGATTGGAAATATAGGGTGTTTTTTCTCGATGTATAGAACTTTAAGTTGGCATTACTGTTCAAGGTGGCCACCGATTTAACAGCTGTCAAGTGATTTGTTCTCAGTTTGGTTTGGCAATTTATCATGAATAGACTCACGCCTGAACAACCCTTGCAAATAGTGAAATTTTATTTCGAAAATAATGGTTCTGTGCGGAATACGTATCGCGCACTACGTCGATTTTATCGTCGACAAAATCGTCCATCAGAGCAGTTAATTCGATTAACCATGGAACGTTTTTGCACCACGTTTACTCTTATTGATAATTCGCATCCCCAGAGGCGCCGTACGGTGCGTACAGAAGAAGCTATTGCTGCTGTAGAGCGTAGCATTGAGGAAGACCCGAATGAGTCCATCCGCCATTGAGCACAGGAATTCGACCTGTGTCCATCCACTTTATGGAAGATATTGCGGAAGGATCTTGGTTTACGTGCTTACAAAATCCAACTCGTGCAAGAATTGAAGCCAAACGATCATCAAGGCGTAGATTCGTCGAATGGGCCCAAAACGAGATTGCCGTTGTTCCTGATTTTCATAAGGGAATGTTGTTTAGCGATGAAGCGCACTTCTGATTGAATGGCTACGTCAACAAGCAAAACTGCCGCATTTGGAGCGAAGCTAATCCTCAAGTATATGTCGAAACACCGTTACATCCAGAAAAACTGACTGTTTGGTGCGCTTTATGAGCTGGTGCAATCATTGGTCTGTACTTCTTCAAAAACGATGATGGCCAAAACGTTACAGTCAATGGTGATGGTATAGAGCTATGATTACTAACTCTTTCATTCCTGAATTGAATAACCATGATGTCCAGGAGATGTGGTTTCAACAAGACAGCGGAACATGTCACACAGCTCGTGCCACATGTTTGGTGACCGCCCAATTTCACACCGCTAGACTACTTTCTGTGGGGCTATATAAAGTCATTGGTCTATGTAGATAAGCCACAAACGCTTGACCATTTGGAAGACAACATTCGCCGTGTTATTGCCGATTTACGGCCACAAATGTTGGAAAAAGTAATCGAAAATTGTACTTCCAGATTGGACTACATCCGCGCCAGCCGTGGCGGACATATGCCAGAAATCATATTTAAAATGTAATGCCCCAAGATTATCTTTCGGATAAATAAAATTTTATTGCAACTTAAAGTTCTATACATAGAAAAAAAACACCCCTTAGAAAGTACCTGGTGTACAAAAAGGATTTACCACATTGTGAACGATATTTAGAATAGTTTCTTAGATAATTTAAAAAAAAATTGTTGTTATTGTTGCATTATTAACCAGTTTCAAAAAAAAGTCACATTTTTTTCCCTAGAAGATGATCCTAGCAATAAAGGTAAAAGTTTTGCAACTCTTTCAGAAGGCCCTTGCAGAGTATACCTTTCTCCATACCCCCCGTCGGATTTAACGTCGTCCTATATAAATGCAGTACGAGTAGATGGATTTTGTCAACCGGGTCGATTTATAGTAACCCAACAGCCTATGCCAAATACATTAGGGGATTTTTGGAGACTGGTGGTTCAGAGAAAGTGCAATATCATTATTTCCTTACATGAAATTGACTCTAATGATAATGTAAGAATTCATGAATTTGTTCTTCATTATAGCACCCTTAATAAATGCGGAATGCGTTTATTACAGAGTAAAATTAAACATTCAAAACACCATCAAAACAAATCTAACAATTAGGATATGCATTAACATAAAAATATTTATTTGTAGACTTCAATACCATTCTGGTCCAATGATGATCTCAGGATGACTCCAGTAGATTTCATTAGGATCGATTACGTAAAAAGTGAAGATTTGCAGATGTATAGCGTGACGAAATTCGAAATGCTCATTAATAAACATGATAAAGAGGTAATAAAATATACTGCAATGATCAAATCTGTCGCTAGCGGGGTATCGGAAACCAGACATTTTCATGTTCAGTGTGTATTAGGTATTTTTTCATGCCTCGCTCAATTTTACTATAAACGTGACATGGGAATTATGATATTTTGTGGCAATGTTGATATCCCGATACAATTCAGTATTAAAATTGAACGGCAATATAAGAAGCCACATATAATGAACTTTTTGGATATTTTTTTATTTAACGGAACTCACACATTTGGTAAAGTATTTTACATATCCAAGCGGTTTATGCTATTTGAATATTTTCTTATCATTTAACGAAATCCTTTAATTGATCGTAGAACCCCGTGCAGTATAATTTCTTATACGTAATCTGAAATTTTATTGCATTTTCATCGATATGAGATAATCTTCCTATCACAATTTTGTTTAGTTTCTTTTCATTTAACACTCGAGAGTAAACTTTCTACGTAACAACTTAATTAAACTTTACTAACACCATCAGCGACAGATTTCAAAAATATGTAGGTATTAGGATAGCATCCATTCAAGTACCCTGTACCTACATTTGTAATATTTCATGATATATATGAAAATCCACAAATGGAAAAATGCCCTTTTTGCTGAGTTGTACAATCCCGCATCCAATAACCTCAAAAACCACTAACGCTTCCAAATACGGATCTTGAGTTGTTTTTCAATTTGCGAAAATCTAATCCAAACGGTGAACAGAATATGTAATGTATATTCGCAGTGGAACATATATTTGAACACTTTTCATTAAGGAATATTATATACTTTCATTTTGATTATATTATAGGTTAGTGCCTCCTCAGTGACGTGCTTTCTTGTGGTTAAATCGTATGGTATCCAGACTTCTGGGACATGATACTTCATAAATAAGTTATTAATAGATGCGGTATTAAAATTAAACCTATAAATTCCCCTAATCACTTTAAGGTAAAAAGGTTAATAGAAGGCTCAAATGAAGAAAATAGATTTATTATCATTGTCAATAAATTTTGCTGTTAATTTTTTTTAAAGATTTACATTCATTTTTAAATTTTGGTAAATTAATGTAAGAGGCTAAAATAAAAATATATAGATATATATTAAAAAGTATAAACATTAAAATAGGTCAATTTAGGGTTGCTATGTTAAACGAAAACGTCCGCGATTATTTTAAATCATTATTTTTGTATTATCAGCAATATTAGATCATTTACGAAGGTTGGCGACTAATAAGGCAATTTTAACATTCGAAGTTGCTGTTCGAAACAGTTCGGCTGTTCTTTTCCAGACCATGTTCTTAAATTCTGCAGCCACAATTTAGATGCCTAAATTAAATTTTGAATTTATGACGAAAATAACTTTATAGTTAATTAATAGTTATTGTAATTAATTAGGTTGTCGGCGGTGTCACGTAGTTTTGTATTCGCATCCAAGAAAATTTATATAACTGAAGGTGGGCATTTTTGTAAATTATTGCAATTATTACAAAAACAGTGATATAATATAATAGAACCCAACGCCAAAAACCCTATGTATTTCGAATTAATAATTGTCTAATTATTTTTTGTTGAGGCAGGAAAAGCAGAGCATCGAGTTAATACAATTTAATGGTTGGAAAAACAACAACGTGGTACCCGGAAAAATAGAAGACTTTGTTTTGTTCGTCGGGCAGAGTACAGCCATCTCAAGAAAATCCAATCCAGTGATAGTCACGTGCTAGTAAGGTTCAGTTTTCGATAGTTTTGGTCAGTTAGAAATTGTTGCTCAATCAACCATGCCATACGCGAACATTAAAACACGCATTAAAATAAAAAAATTGTCAAGCTGTAGAAAGTCACTCTTGTTTAGTAAGCACTTCTGTATTAACAGGACTTTTAAAGTTGGTATTAAAGGAAGTACATTTCTTTACTCGCACTATTTTTCATACGATGAAAATATTCTATAGGCTATTTCAGAAATGTGTGGACAAATGTTCATAGTATTATTATATTAGTAATAAAACGATGACATTCACACCAAATTAAAAGATGTTCCAATAATTCTCCACCATCAGTTAGTGAAAAAAGTTATGATTTTAAATGTACAAGTACAATGTTTTTGTGGAGTAAAATCACATCTTCTAATTTTTTTATTCAAAAAAAGGATCATTTTGCAGAAAACAATTGGGTATAGGTTTATTATGAAAATAAGATATCTAAAGTGATTTGCAAAAACATGTCCAGCATTTTTATTCATTCGACAAATCGCAGACAACGCCCTCTGCTGGCTAAAATCAAAACGCAGTCAAATTTGAAGTAATTGTGATGAACTTCAACCGTTTTTGTGTCTTTGTTTTTATTTTAATCCAAAAAATACGCTATTATATTAATATTTATGTATTTAATACGTATCTATTTATAATCTTAGCGATGGTGCCAAGGGCAGTGGCTTGTACGTCGCAATGTCGTTCCTCATTGAAAAAATTAAATTAGAACAAGAATTTGACGTTTGTCAAGCCATACGAAGCATCAGAAACAGCAGGAAACAGTTTGTGAATTCAAAGGTATAAAATTAAATTAGTTGACAATTAACCATAATTCAATGACTTTATTTAATTAGATTTTTCGAGCATACACTTTTTTTTATTATAAGTTTTAATAACTTATCCCCTTCATTTTGTAAAGCACATTCTACCGCCAAAAGAGTGAGAGGCTTATTTATAATTTCTACGAGATCTTAGTTAATTATTTCTCATTAGACGACTTTTAGGCATTTTATGAATGACTTCTCTAGGTCTCCTTTGGATATGTCATTGATTAAATATTTAAATGACCAATCGATAACGGTTGGTATTTTTCAACCCATGATCTACAGTTGGACTCTTATCGTATACCTGAAAAAGTTGTTTAGAGAAAACATATTTAAGTAAAAAAAAGTATATAATTAAATTCTGCCACAATCTGTTAATACGTTAACACAAAAATAAACACACCCTTGAAAAAATCGACCACGAATACAATACAAGGAACAAATTCAACAAATATAAATTGCCAGTTCTTGAGAAGACTATAGCATCGAGATGCCATACATACCTTGCTCCAGAATTGTATAACTGCCTACCTGAAGATATTAAAAAATTAAATTCTTTAAATTTATTTTTAAAAAATGGATAACTGAAAAACCGCGTAAACTTATGCACGATTTCATAGATTCTCGAAATATGTATTTATTGGTCACTATATAGAAAAAATCGCTCAATTTTCGAAATTTGAAACAATATTATATTGAGAAAACAGCACAGGCAAAAAATAAAGGAAGACAAAAGGATGGGAAATAATAATGTCAGAAAGGTAATGTAAGAGCGCGGGTAGATTTAAATGTTTTTTTTACGACAATATCTCATTCACAATAGTATTTTTCAGACACTCGTCTATTAAACATCCACTCCACTCTTGGCATAATATACTATTAATTGACAGGTATCGTTTTAGGAGCAACTGGAATTCCTCTATAGAGCGTCGATAGTATTTGTCAACGGATTTCAATCTTATGCGAATTTTAACTTGTGAATCTTAAGTTTATTTCGAGTTTTACGGTTATGATTGTAACACATTTTTTTAATACACATCTTAATACAAAAACTCTTGTTGAATTTTTTAAACGGAGAATGTTGTGAGTTTGGCTAACGGTGTGTGCTAGATTGCCAATAGGTTAATCCGTGCAGCGTACTAGATATACAGGGTTTCCCAGCGTAAAAGTTCATTAAAAGTTTTATCAGAAACAAGATAGATATTGTTCTGAAACTTGGTAATGACCATAATTGACCTTGACATACGATCCAAAAACGCTTTCGTTTTTGCAATGTTGCCGGTTCTACCCGAAATCAGTGACAACAATTAAATTCTAGATGGAACATATAGTTTTTGTTTGCATTTTGAAATTCGACGAAAATTTGTCGCAAAGAATAAAATAATTAAAACAACGTTTTGATAAAGTCTGATATTTTAGCGTCACAGGTAATGAATGTACTTAAAAACTGGGCATGTAATATTTACAATATTTTATACAGGGGACGCCGAAAAAGTATACTTTTCAAAGAAATATAGTAATAATAAAAAGTCATTTTTTTTTCATTTCCAACTACGCCAACAAATCATCACAAATTGATTATAGGTCTTCCCATTCTATCTCTTACCGTTTTTCAGAAATGAAACATATACTCATAGATATGTTTGTGAAGATTACACGAGGTTGGCCATGGTTGGCTTTTAATCTAACCCGCCATGCAAAAACGTATTGTCTTGCGGCTTGGTGAAACAACTGAATGTGCGTCATGTGTATTTCTTAGTAACAAAAGTGCAAAACAAACGCCGTATTGAAAGTAACAAATAATGTAAATTTTTTCCCAGGCATTCCTTAATGCGGGCTATGATAGATCTTGTTGTCACGCTCTCTATTTCAGCTAGATTTAATTTGTCGAAAGTTCCGCGTATTCGAGAATTAATTCGTCAACATTATGACAGTTGATTTTCTGTTGCCCAAAGATGATGATTGTGTTTATTAAAAATACCTTCCCTTAAGAAAGTAAGGAATCTGAGTACTCTTGTGTGTGAGTTGGGAATATCTCGCAAAATTATGTACGCTTATGCATGAATGTAAGCTAGCACATTGATGTTTCCGTCACTTCAAATCACCAGCTTCTGAGTTTAGTACGATTCATTAGAGGGAAATATTTTTATTGATGAATAACAATTTCAAAACTATAAACTTAACGTCATTCAAACTTGAGACATATTTTCTTGTAATTTTTCGTCAAGAAACTTCAATTGTAACAATTTTTCATGGTGGGTTAGAATAAAAGTCAGCCATGGCCAACCTCGTGTAATTTTCTCAAGCGCATCTAATCATTTTGTAGATAATCTGTTGACCTAGTTAACGGAATTGAAAAACATGCATTATGCACATGGTATGCATTTAAAAAAAGATAGGCACAGGAACACATATAATCAGTTTGTAGATAATCTGTTGAACTAGTTAACAGAATTGAAAAACATGTATATTTCTTTCAAAAGTGCACTTTTTCGGTATCCCCTGTATAAAATAGGTCGATATTACATACTCAGTTTTTAAGTACAATTATTAGCTATCGCCTGTGAAATTGTAATTGGATAATTCGTTTTTACACCAAAATATTACACTACATAGAAACGGGATTTAAAAAAAAAAATCCTTTTTTTTTTCGAACAAGATGGCAGATAACAACAATGTGTGAAAATTCTTTAAACTTTTCGGTCAAATTCGGAAATGCAATAAATACTATATGTTCCATTTAAAATGCAAAAATATTTTTTAAATTGTACGTCAGAGTCAATTATGAGCATATAACAAGTTTCACAACAACATCTATTTTGGTTCTCCTAAAATTTCTAATGGACGGTCACCGTGAGAAATTCTGTATATTCAGTATGCACAGGTGCGGAAATCTCAAATATTGTTTTCACCCTACGACCTGAGGTTTCAAACAAACCAATAAAACCTTGCGACCGAATAATTGACATGGCAGCTGACAGGTCATCAATTCAATTTCCGTTTGGATGTGGCATTTTCTCCTGCCTCCTTATATTTTCAGGAGGACAAACGAGTTAAGCGTGTGAAGGGTGCTGCAGTTAGAAAGAAAAAGGTGCAAAATACAGTTTAGTTTGTGAGTTTTAAGGCCATGCCCTGAAGTCCATTCAATTCGCGCACAAAAGTAAACAATGTCAACACTGTCAATGCACTAACCAATCCTCTAATAATGCAACTTACTAAAGTACGTGGCTACTGTATGCTAGCTCCGGACTATTATGTAAGAGCACAGAGGAAAAGGCAATTTATGAAGCTACTAGAGTTAGTATACAGGAGTGGACTAACGCTATAATATTTTGTCTTGACAATTTTTTTTTTTGCTTGTGCCAATTTAGTATAAGCATTATAATGACCTCGAGACCAGTGCTAACTGCACTGTTTAGAGGGTTCTGTAAGCAGTAAATGTGTAACAAACAATTTAAGATAAAAATAGAAAAATGTCCCATAACGCATAAAACATCGCGAATAACCGTATAACCGTAAATACTTTTTAACTTTTTCACTTGACCTGGATCCTGACACATTTATACTGGCATTTCAGGGAAGAAACTTGCTGATCATCCGGCTGAGACTAGGAGAAACTTGAACGTCCCAAAAAATATAGCACTTCCCTCAGCAAAGATCAAGTCATAATTGTTTCAAGTTAAATTACCATGATGCCCATAAAAGTGGATAAATTCGATTTCATTATGGAGTGATACCTTATCTCAGAACCTGTTAAATATACCAGAAAAATGTAGAGACAAAAGTTGTTTGAATATATATTTTATGTTAGGTATGATATCATTTATCTAAGTTTAACCTTTTCTGACATATTTTAAATGTTGTCTTCTAAAGTGTTGAACGTTAAAAATGTAAAGGGCGAAATGAGCAAAAGTCGGTTTTTCAGTTATTTTGTCGAATTTAAAAAAGGATCACTTTGTATGAGGTTTCCTATTTGAAAAAAATGTAGATTCTGAAATGTTAGCAACGAAACCTTTTTGGATTTTAAAAATGCTATGAGAGCAAGATTGCTTTGAGGTTGGAAATAAATGTTTGACAGTTTTATGCCATCAAAATAACTAGTTATATTTTACAAATTTACAAAAAAAATATCTCATGTCTATACAAAATGCAGAATGTACTAAAACCAAATAAATACAATAAATGCTAATATAATATTTTTTATAAAATTAAAATTATTCAATTTTTCTATTATGAACTTTCAGAGATTTAGCAACCAACATGGCCGCTGACAGATGGTCAACAAATTTCTATATGTCCTTTTTACGGCTGTATTTTCCTGAAATATGCCTAGATCTCGATAAATGTTCTAGGAAAACAAGTTTGTGTTGTGTTTGGAACGAAAATGTGAAGGTTAGTGAAATGCGCGGAAAATCATTACCTTCTCTACGAAAATCTCAATGCCGCCTGCGGCGCATCAGTTTTTACCATAGTATGGTCACTACATTATCTCATACCTATTTGGCTACAAGTGATAGAAAGGCTCTGCCTATGCCGATGATACACGAACCATCCAGCAACAGGAACAACCAATATGGCCGACAGTATTCTTTCAAAAAGTGCAGGTTGGTGGGTAAATGTAAAAACATGTAAGGAAAATTATTCCCTTCTATACGAAAATATCATTGATACCTGCTGCGCATCAATTTTTACCGAAGTAGGTAGAGCTCATAATATACTAAACAGGCCACTTTATACAACATACATCAATACAACTCGGGAGTTCCGGGGAGTTTCTCGGCGTCAAGCTGGCAATTGCGTTCAGCAATTCAAATACGGATATAAAGAAGACCAATTTTTCAAATTAACCTAAACTATTTTCTATGAATTAACCTCAAAAATGGAATCTAATATAAAAAGTATTCGAGAGTATTTAAAACAAAAATTATTAAGAACTAGTAATTTCTCAGGATCTGAAACCGTGCGAAATCAGCTATATGATTTGCTTCAAAGAACTATTGAGCATGGGGAATCTAATTCAATGCTCCTTTTAGGACCGAGAGGAATCGGCAAAACTAGGGTAAAGAAGTTGGGAACATAAATTTCTTTGTTATAATAAATTTGTATTTTATTTGATCTTAGCTAGTAAATGATCTAATTAGAGAATTGGAATCCACAGAATTCTTAAAAAATGATTTTATACTTGTTAAACTCCATGGAATAAAACATACAGATGATCGTTTAGCACTAAAAAGTATAACATTTCAAATGAATTTGGAGAATGCGGTGGATGGAAAAATTTTTGGTACTTTTGCTGAAAACTTGGCGTTCCTGCTAGCTTGTTTAAAGACTGGAAACAAACATTCTTCTAAAAGTGTTATTTTTGTTTTGGATGAATTTGATTTATTTTGTGCACATCACAATCAGACCCTTTTATATAATCTATTTGATATTTCACAATCTGCACAAACTCCAGTTTGTGTACTAGGTAACTTTTTCTAATTTCTAATTTGTTTTAGTTTGTTAATTCCTTCATTTTAGGAATTACTTGCCGTTTAGATGTTGTTGAGTTGTTAGAAAAAAGGGTCAAATCAAGATTTTCTCATAGACAGCTATTCCTCTATCCTGGAGTGGAAGAAACTGACCAAGTATCAAATTTGGGTGGGTACATATTTTATAAATATATAATCATATTTTATAAAATTTGTCTACAAAGCTGAATATCTTGTCCTTAAAAGTCTCTACTGTTCTTTTTGGGATCAAAAATGAAATGTTATTTAGTTTCATTGTACTGATAACTTACTTTTGTAGATTATGCATTGGAAAGGATAAGACATTATATTAAACTCCCAGATGAAATTCGGTTTGAATCTTTAAATGGCACTAAAAATCAATGGAATTCTAAAATAGATGTCTTGCTAAAGGATAAGAAGTTTAGAAATATTATTCAAAGGCTTGTTGACTTGGACTTGAATGAACGCACCTTAAGAACTATTTTGGTAAAAATTCATATTGGAATTTGCCTTGAGCAGAATATTTTTAACATTTTTAGTTGTATGTGATTTATTTTATGTGATATGTGCTTCACTTTTATATAGTTTCTGAAACCACAAGGTGCTTGGCTGTAATTTGTTGTCTGGCTAGAAGTTATTAATGTGTATGAACACCATGGAAATTGTAAAATAATTATAATTATTATAATTAAATTTACAATTATTGTTATTCAAAAGAATCAAACTAGAACTTATTTAGTATATATTATAACTTTTTTAAAACTTATTTCCTTTTTCAGATAAATTGCATATTTGACTTAAAGGATGCATGCCCATTTTTCACTTTAGATAAGTTTGAACAAGAAGTTAATGCTTTAGAAAGGGATGACATTGTTCAAGTACTGCAAGATTTAAATGTTTTGGAACTATGTCTTATAATTGCAATGAAACATCATAGTGAAATTTATGATAACCAAGCAATGAACTTTGAAATGATTTACTCAAGATACACTATATTTACAAATAAACAGTCAAATATCCAAGCAGTACAACGACCAGTTGTAATGAAGGCTTTCGAACACATTGAGGTAGTTTAAATATATTGGTAATACTAATGTTATAATGCCATAAAAGATAGAAGAATATTTTTGCCAATGACACACGCTTTTTTGCAGAAAATAGAACTAATTGGCATGATTAATCCTGCAAATTCCTGGTTGCAAAAGGAATATCAATCCTTTCAATTGCTGATAACATCTGAACAAATTTTAGAAGCCGTAAATAATATGAATGGACTGCCTACAGAAGTTGTTCAGTGGGCAAACAGCTCCCTAGTTTAAATTAGTTTTAATTTAAAATATTTTATTTTATTATGGTTGTTTGATTTCATTTCCACCAGTCCATAAATAATAATCTACCCAAGAATTCTGAATTCATAATTAATAATTGCAAACCGTTGATGGGTATTCACCACAAAATGAACATATTTGTTGTATATCAGTAAATACGGTTTTTATTTGTATACATTACATAAATAACCTTTAGAGAAAGGCAAAGATTGGAAAAATAATAGACAAATTTGATGGATATGATCCATTCATAAAGCTAGACGTGGAAGACAAACTTCTTCATTAACAGGACAGTTACGCAGCCAGGTATTTTGGATAAGGTGTGTCAGTTCTTATGGCCACGTTGGGTAAATACAGATGAGAGCATTTAAACATAACAGTGTAGTAATAAATCTGTTTGGGTACATTTAATTCACTATGGATATCAGTCAACTAGCAGTAAATTGCTTGTACTGCAGTTGTATGTTTTCCTAATTTCTTTTGTGCAGTCATTTTAATACTACAGTGAAATTGGGGCGATGAAAAAACTATTCCAGACACGTACACAACGCAAAAGTTTTTTTTATTTACGCTTTTTGCTTTTGATCACAACTGCCAAGATCATACAACTATATTTGAGGAACAAACAGGAAAACAAATTTTCCCATTGCTTCAATTGAAAAAGCTTAAAATCGAAATGCAAAGAGTAACGTTCATTAACTCAGTTCAAAATCATTATTTTAAATTTTGGCGGTTTACCTAGTGTTGTTTCAATCGTTCATTTTATGAGGATATAAATCATTCATTGACCGATTTCGAAAAGGATCGAATCATTTCAATTAATCGTTCATTTCAATACTTTTCGATGCCAACACAAGCGACAATCCGAACAGTCCGAACGACCGATTCAGATACATTTGAATTATTGTTGTGTCTATATGTTATGTTTTCTGTTCTAGTTAGTATAATATTTAGCTATGTTCTGCTTTTTATTGAATCATGATTTTATCAAAATAGATGCTACGTATTGGGTTGTGCCAGTAATACATTAATTTGTTTAAATTAAATTCCTGTGTGGAAATAAAGATCAGCAGAAAACACATCAGCAAAACTACAGATCGATGTCGCAACTCAATACTATAGAAAAACTATAGTACTCCCATTCCTTTTCCGTGACCTGTCTCAGTCATGCATTTAAATCTTAAACCATTCAAATGAATCGTATTACGGCGAATTCGGTCGGTCGGTCGGTCGTCCTGTATTCGGTCACTTTAGACTGGTCAGGGCAGTAGCGAGAGCGAACAAGGTGATCGAATCGTACGAACAAGCGGAATTCGATCGTTCGATCCTATGAAGTGATTGATTCAAAGTGACCGAATGAATAGCGATTGACACAATTCTAGTTTAACCTCCGTTCGTTCCTACAGAATCCCTTGTAATCGTCCCCAAAAATTTTGAAATCGGTTCCCACTGGGTTTAGTGTTTTTAGTGTTTAGTGAATGTTTTGAAGTGATAATTGTCGCCGACCCCATCGTTGTTCCCCATTTATGCTAGTTGAGCAAATATTGGTTATATTTTTTCTTTGTACGTGTTGGTCTATGACCAAAAGCGAAGATCCTCGACGGAAGTCGGCAATGGGCAAATGATCCTAGCAGTCTTGCCCATCAGTTATTGTGTTACTAATTGTACTACTACGTTCTCTTTATGGGCACATGATCTAAGTAGTCGAGCCCAGCTTAGTGCGAATAGTATTTTCTGTCTCTCGTTCTCTATTCTTTTAAGTTACCTAGACTCGATGGTATACCCCAGATTTTATCTATGCATTTGCATATATTGTAGGTTAGTTTTTTAAAATTCAAAAGAAAAGCACTGGTAGGCACTTGTTAAACAAAATGAAACTATTAAGTTTTTGTGTAGTTTTGCAAATTATTGCAATAAAATGTGACTTGGAATTAGTGAAAGATGAAGAATTGGTTAACCTTATAAGAAGTGAAAAATATGTAGTTGCCCTTTTTACCAAAAAATATTGCGATGAATGTGATAAATATGAGAACGAATTAACTGCCTTAAGAGAAGATTTAGTAGAAACTCTGAACGCTTGGGTAGTTAAACTTGTTGATAGTCAAATGACGAGGCTATACTCATCAAGCAAGGTAAATGTGAAATATGCTCTAGCTATATAAAACAATCATTCTTCCCTTAACAGGAAAATCGTTTGATATATTGTTGAATTCCAGATGAACCGACCAGTATAATTGCATGCCCAGTGTTGAATTTAGTGAAATTTGTTCAATATACTGTGCATTTGTGGAAAAAAATTAAATTTGATCTGAAAAGAAAAACCCCACAACAAAAGAGTTAATCTTCTTAGTTAATTGAAAAGCACATTCCATTCAAATCCTGTCCAAGATGATCAAAGCTATGTTTTAGAAATTTGGCATATTTTCTCTTTAATTCCTTCATTACTATTCTTTTATTTTTTAATTTTGTCAGACAAATTTTAAATTTCTCTGGTTTATTGTTTCACAATATCTGACAAAATACTACCACACAAGGATTGTCAACCACAATTTTGATTTGTCCCTTAGTTGGGGAGCTTTTTCAATTTGTCTTATTTTTATGTATTTTAAGGAACCTGCATTAATCTTCTTTAGACACGGTGTTCCATTACTTTATGATGGACCTTTGAATGATGAATATATTTTGCACATCTTTACTAACAATAAGGAACCAGCAGTTAAGGAACTTACAGATGATACATTTGAGCATTTAACTCAGGCTGCTACTGGCGCTACTACTGGTAAGATCTAACAGCTTCAAGAAAGCTCTAGATGTTATTTATATTGGTCAATTTTGTAAAACTGATAAACTCAATATATCTTAAATTTGGGTTCAATAAGACTCCCCAATATGAGAAGTTGTGAGAAGACCATTATCAACAAAAAAACAAATATGAGTAGCAGCTCTATTCGTTACAATGTAAACCAGTGTGTGTGGTAGATGATGGATTAATTATTAAAAACAAAAATTAACTGTCGATTATTTATGAAGGATAGCCTAATGGAAAATATAATTTTACATCATTCAAGAATATTATACGCAGTGTATTTTAGTTATTGCAAATAAAGCACAAATTATTTTAACAGAGTTAGATTTCTGGAAATTATCTTTGACGCCCCCTGAAATATCAAAATCTTCGATATATCAAATCTTTTAAAAAAAATCTATAATGCAGTCAAATGATTTCTGTGAAAAAACATCCCATACTTAGTCAAGTAAGTAAAAATAAGACAATTATGTTTTATAACATTCCTAATCGCCTCTTGTCCTTGATACCTAATCAACAATAATTACAATTACACAAGACAATTACAATTTAAACTCCACAAAAAATCCTTTGAAACACTATTGATCTGACTGACTTGGTAGTTAAATAATTTTCGGCACATTTTTTAGGAGATTGGTTCGTAATGTTTTACACCAATGATTGTGTAGAGTGCCAGAGGCTTCAAGCGAGCTGGGAAGCAGTAGGGGCTCATCTTAAATCGCGTGTAAATGTAGCTCGGGTAAATAGGGCTACAACAGGGGCCAAAACATCACGTAGATTTAATGTTTTTGATGTGCCTTCGTTTGTACTCTTCCGAAGAGGCAAAATGTATCAATATCACAATGAAGATTATGATGTTACTTCCTTAGTATCATTCGCACAAGACTGGTAGGTTATAGATTTACTTCTGTTTACAATGAACTTGTTATATTTCTCAAATTTTGTTGGAAAAAATATGTTAAACCGGTTTTACTCTAACCTTGTATAATTATCAAATTTTATAGGTATAAGAACGTAAAACCAGAATCAGTTCCTGTACCAAAGTCACCATTCGATGATTTGGTTGCAATGATAGCAGCATATTTCAAAGAGAACCCTTGGGTATGGCAAATTGGCTTTGCAACCTTTCTCCTCGGCCTTATAATGTCTGTTGTTATTAAATTTATTGGAAAAACTACAGAGAAACAAAAGCAACAAAAAAGCAAAAAGGAAAAGAATAAATAGCTGTCATTTGTATATATGTAGTATAAACATTTAGATGTAGTATCCTGCTGCAATGTTTATCTTTTTTAAAGTAAATAGTTTTGTCCTATTACCTTTTTTTTTGCAAAATCCAACTAGGTAATTATCGAACTATCAATGACTAAACTAGAAAAGGGGGAGAAGTCAAGGTTTAGTGATAATTAATATTCAACGAGAACAACAGCCAGTGGAGCTGTTGATAATAGACCCAGCATCGATTTTTAAGCTAAAAAAAATTGCCAATTCTCCAAGAGACGTGGTTTCACAAAACTATGAAATAATTATTTTGAAAATGTTACATGTTGCGCCCAGATTAAAAATATCATTAATTTTATTTCGAAAAAATTTATGCCCAGTGGACACAAAATGCGTGTACTCTTCAACCAAACTAAGATATTTGTTAACCCTGGTGGTTGTCTTCCTACTAGAATGTCTGATATAAACTGCATTAAACGGTTCGAAGAGGATATCATTGATGTAGAAAAGTAATCTCCGGATCCTTAATTTTTATTAGAAATTACTTCAGCGTAAGAAATTTAGTTCCTCTTCCTTGTATGGTCACAACACTATCGGTAATATGACAGCATGCAGAGAAGTATTATCATTATTTCTTACTGAAGTAGTTGTCTATGTGTTTATAAAAATACTTCAAATACCTTCAATTCACATTTGCAGTTTGTAGCTGCTCCATGGTGTTGGCTGCAACCAGTTAAATTTTGTTTTTAAAGTAAGAATTTAATATTCTAATTGTAATCTTCAAAATTTTCGAACAGAAATAGCCTTATCATTTGTGGATTGTGGACAGTACAAATTAAATATTGCGCATGCTATTCAATAAATTCGGTGGTATTTGATTTTATAACTATTAGATATCTATGTGCTGTTAAATTATTATTGTAAATGTGGAATTTGATCTTTCTTCCCAATATAAACCAAGTGACACTAAACCCAAACCTTCCTTATTGGCGACGTTCCTTTGTTAAAAACTGATTTTCCTTATACCAATACCTATTCTTAATCCTATTGGGAATATGACTACAACTTATGTAATCTTGGGTTTTTTGGAGGTACCAGTTACAACAATTTAGGCGCCTTTCTGCATCTCCAGAATGCAATTGTTCCACTATATTTACTTTATAAAGCTTATATTTATATTTACTTAAAATCCTTTGCGTTTGTGTTTTTGACACCCCACAGTTTTCTTAATATAGCAATTTTTGCCTTTTTTTCTATCTTACAGGGTGTCAGAAATTGTTGCAGGGCGATAAGCACAAGTGGAATTCGTTACTTGTATCAACGTTTGCCAATAAAATAAGTACGTACAAAATAACCGGCCGTTTATAATACAGAAGTTACAACAGACATTTTTACATGACGCTACTACACACTACAGTCAAGTACAGAGAGCAAGTGAAACCAATACCTACGGTACTGAGAGGCAAAGATAAAGAGACGTAAACGCAATATGTATTGCATATTACTTATACATATAAATGTACCTAACACGCAAAGTATTGTATTCCAACAGAAATATGAGACCAAAAAAGCGAAAAATTTCATTTCAGATTGCATCTCAGCAAAGAAACAAGGTGGCGGGATTCTTTTTTGCTGTATTTAGTTTCACGAAAATCTGACGCAGTTTCGCGAAAACCACAAAGTTTATCTCTGAAATTTACTGAGATAACTTTTGATTAGACACAATTTCGGATACAGTATAGATGCTGATAACTTCTTCTAACTTTACAGAAACGAATTCTTATTGGCAACAAATTGCACCAGGTAGGAAAGTGTGGAAAGAAAGTTAGTTGTACAGGATGTATTATCCATCAAGAAATAACATTTTATTAAATAGTTGGTTCATTTTACACTAAGTCATATAAACTAGGCCTTTCAACAGGTCTCTGGAACTTTTGTTGAGGTCTCCGTGAAAGAAATTGCATTTGGTTATTTTGGTTACTACGAGATATCTGGATTTCAGTACACAGGTCGTTGTCTAGAGTCTATAATTGAAAAGAATAAAAATTAAAAAACATTTTGTAACACTTTCTAAGCTGCCAAATATACACTTTATCTAAGTTGTTATTTAACTGCCTTCGCTCAAATTGTTGAATAAAAAAAAATGGTTGATTTTTTCCAAAACTCCTGCCTGAGATATTAAACATTGCCAGCAATAATTAATCACCCCATACCTCCAACAGAAGTTACAAATCCATTTACGTGTACATGTTATACTAAAACCAAATTGTCAAAAAATTCTTTATCACCCTTTGGTTTATGACAAAAATTGATTTGATTTATTTATAATTTCATGTTGTAATGTAAGATCTGTTGATGAAATTATCAGGGCTATTTGTACAACTACTATTATTCAATTAAACACAAACATTACAATTGTGAATCAAACTTAATTCAATATTGAATAATATGATGTCAATTCCATAATTCTAATATATAAGTATTCTGATATCTAACTAGCTTTGGTTAGTTTCAAGTTTTTACTGCGAACACAAGAAGTGATATCAATTTTTCAATCGCAAATGGTACAACAGTGTATAAGGAGAGCTTCTAGGGTAACCTTTTGGAAAATAAGAGAGCTGAGGCAACAAATTGTTAAAACTACTAGCTTGGATTTCCACTGATTTATTTGAATTATATCTAAACATTTGGGTGGGTGTGTATCTCCAAACATTATCAAGGGCATAATACACCAACAGAAAGGTTGGGATATAATTGAAATTAAGGCAATGGAAGTCCAAATAAGTAGTTTCATAAACTAATAATGTAATTTAAACAAAAATCCCACAAATTACCACAAATCCAGAATTTTTGTGATAAATTTCCCCAAACAATTTTGTTTTTGGATCTTACCTGTTCAGAAATAAGTTTTTGTTTTTCAAACAACTCCATAAGTCTTGTAAATTCTAGTATAACTTGATGATTTTCTGATAAATCCACAGCCTCTTTTACTTTTGCTAGAACATCTCTATTGAAAGTGTGTAACTGCCCTTCTGGGGAATCAACTCGAAGAACACTTTTTAAAATTGGAATTATATCCTCAATTCGACCAATCATTGACAGAGCCAACACCTAAAATAATACAAATTCTACTCTGTGGAATTATTATTATCTAATTGTAGATAATTATAACTATCTTACTCTCAAATTTCGAACTGTTGTATACCCGCTATTTCTTGCTGAACTCAAAATCTCTAATGCAATTTCTGGTTTTCCTTGATTAATTGCCAATGCAGTGCAAAATGTTGTTGCTTTTCTAGTTGGATAGTGTCCAATTTCCCTCAATTCATGCCACAGCTTTAATGCATACTCTAAACTTTCTTTTGTATTCTATAAACGTAAAAATAATAGTTGCTAAAATATTGTTACTATAACCCACCATCTTATAGCATGAAGCCAATGCCAATACAATAACATTTTTAGGATATCTTAAACCTTCCCCTTGTTTTTCTTTTATAATTTGCACCGTTTCCAATACTTCCTTGTACTTCTGACTTTCATATAAAATATCACACAATATCTGGTAGCTCCCATACTGATCAAAAAAATTTGATAGCTCAGGTGATTTAAAACACTTAAAAAATAACACATATTTTTGTATGCAAATAAGTCATCAGTTAGTATATACTTTATTTACCTCTAAGGCTAAATCAGCTTTTTTGTGTATGTGAAACATTCTCATCACTACAGGTCCAAAAATATAGTTTCCAAACCTCATGGACTTATTTTGCTTATTGTATCTAAAAAATATGAATTATTGGTATTACAAAGTGGTAGGCCAAGGCTAAAATCATCAAAAATCATATCACAATATTTTTTAAACTTATCAAGGCATTCTACATACTTTTTTATCATGTTAATTACAACTTTAATGTCGTCATCTGAGTCAGCTAGGTGAACCATGTTTTTCAGATCCTCTGTAAATATCATATTATTTGAATTTTCTGCTGAATATTCTAACATTTTTTCTTTAAATCTGTCTGCAACACTTGCCATTTGATTTCTTATTTGTTCTTGCATTTGGATATATCCATCTATTCCAAGAGCTGCTTTTGCAAATAAACATCGTATACCTACAATGTTTAAATAAGAACACATCTAAATCCAATAAAGTAAAGTAAACCTAGTAATTCTGGACAAACTATAGACCTGTTGTGAACAAGAAACATGGGGATGTTATTAAGACTTTTTAAATAACTACGGGCCATAGGACGCGTAAACACCGATAATATTGTATTTGCCATTTAAAAATAGTAAATCCTTAAAATGGATAAAAATTGAAAAAAGGGTTTTAAAAGCTATAACCTATTCAACTTAAAATAATAAGGTTCACGTAACAGATTCTGTATCGTCTTTCCGGGACATTGGGCTATTTTACTATGATCATTCGCTCGTTCCCATCAATGTGTCAATTCAGAAAACTTTCATTACGTTTTAATTGAGTAAAAATAAGCAAGTATTTGGTAAGTTACATTTAACGCCTCCATTCTCGTCCAATTAAAGAAATATAACAGGCATAAGGACAAAATGAGCAAAGAAAACCCGCCGTGGTCACAGTGAAGAGGGTTACGCACAAATACAATTTAATTAAGTCGCTGCGTTACCCCAGACACATTAAACAAATTCTAACCCAAACTAACCAATATAATATTTGACCATGAAAAAATTTCATGTGTTATTTGGTTGTATATGATGTTTGTATAGGAAGATAATACAAGTTTACCATTTTGATAATGTTATTTTGAGTTTTTGGCTGTTTTGCCAATATATTTAGAGATCATTTAGCGTTAAGACCCACATAAACTAAATTAACAAAAAATAAGATTTACCATTACCGGCGAATCAATTATTATTAGACATTGTAAAGTTAAAACGGTTCAGGCGGTTATGGAATTTTCATAGAAGCTATATGGTTGAAGCCACACAGATCTTAGATAATATAATGATTGGCATTGATATTTTTATAGAGAAGCAATTTTCAAACACGTAGCAACAACATTTAAAGAGACGTAGGCATATTTTGAAAAAATACTGCTGTATAAATGCAGTAACCAAACTTATTGACAATCTGTCAGCGGCGATATTGGTTGTTGAATCCATACGGTCATAGTTTAAAAACCGAGATTCAAAATTACGCGCATGCGAATGTTAAATGGACCTTCTCATTCTTCTTTCATAAATGTTTTATAAATTGCTGTTTTACCGGCATAGGCAGGGCCCCTATGTCTAGTATCTGGAGATTCCCGATAAAATACATACATCATTTTTGATTGCTTAAAAACTATTATTGCGAAATTTTCACAAAAAAGTGCTGTAAAATAACCATTGCGCAACTTGAAACTTCGTACTAATCTAGACGGATCGGTGAAGTGACCAAACCTCTATAAACTACCTTCGCAAGATATTTCGAAAATTACCTTAATCTTAAAATGCGAAATCCTAAAAATGGAATTTTCTACCCAGAATTTCAAATACATCTAACCAAATGGTACCAATCTACATTTGCGAATAGATTGGTCCAGCTCGGTTGAATTCAATTTAGAACATGAGAACTGCTCCATCTCATGCGACTATTGCAGCTTCCGCGATAAATTGCAAAGGGAAGGGAAACCTTCCTATGCATAAAATAATATATCATACCATATTCAAAATCTCTGAATTCTTAAAAGGTTTGTGAAATAAGAAAACAATATAATAATATTTACAGCGAGTTTATTTAACACATTTGTTGTCAAGTGGCACATAAAATGAATTTTCAAAGTAATATTAAAATACAACTGTACACGTACAATGACAATTTAAAATTGTTTTATTAAATGTTAACATAAGATAAAAAAGTATAAAATTTCAAAATACTGTGGATGTGTAGAAGGTGTTTCATGAAAGATTTGTTTAATAGAACATGAAATATATATTATACCTAATTTAACAAACAAAATAAATGAATATTCCCAACAAATTGACAACGTAACTTTTAGAACCCTGTCTAAGTCAGTGATCTCATGTATCTCTTATTAAAACAAATTTCTAACATTCAACAACATTCTGGCAAATAACGGGAGACCCAAAAATATTCACTAAATATTAAAAATTTCGCGTTTAGTAAATCGCTTGTCAGTCAACTGACGCACAACCTACATCCTATGCTTGAACTAATACAAAAGTAGACATAAATTTTAAAGCCCTGTGTCATCGATGTTATTCCGTTTTAATAGTCCCCATAACGAAGGTACAAAGTTCCAGTTAAATATTACAGATATCTTCTATTACTGCAAAATGAAAAACTTAAAAGAAAGGCAAGCAAAATACTGGCGACTGTAATTATTAGGAGTAATAAATTAAATAATTTGAAGTATTAAAATACTTTGTTGCGAATGCAGCACCAGCCTCCGTAGGAGCGGTCAATGCAATATCATTATTTGTAAGTACCAGGTTTTTGATAAAACTTCTTTTTACTGCATCCATTAGCGCACGAGCAATTCCTTGTTTTCTTATATTTGGGGCTACCCAAATATGTGAAACACCACATTTAATTGGATATGTTTCTTCAGAACATAACGCCACAGAGTCTGAATTGCTGAGCATCCTGTGACCTCCAGTTTTTGGAACTGTGGCCACTAGGCATCCCGCAATAGTTCTATTTTTTATATAAAGGTATACCTGAAAAAAAAAATTTTAAAGTACAGTGGGTACCATTTTTGATGGTTTTACAGCGTATCTTCCTTATTAATAAAGGCTCTCATGTCGTAAAGCTAAACTTTCATAAAATTAACGCTAGTACAAACAGAAATAATATCATACTGGTTTCAATGGTATTAGTTTGGAATTTGCTCACCCAAAATATATCAATTATAAGAAATTGTACATAATGTATTATCAAAGAGCATTTAATATTGCACACACACACACTAGTTTATTTTGTCAGGGGGCGAACTTTTTGCAATAAAATTATGTATTCTATGTAAAAAAAACTATGTTTTCAATGGCCTGCTCATAAAAAAGAGTAAAGTTAAATGCTTTGAATTTGAAATAGCACCTTTGCGTTTAGATTATATATCAAAATTCGTGAGTTTCAGAGGAAAACTGATAGAACGATAAGTTTACGCAAACAATTCAAAGGATGTCTACAAACGCAACATTTTCAAAATCATCTTGTATCGAAAAATCTAAGACAGCCATGACTGACATTTCCGTTTGTGGTACCTTTTATTTCATGAAAAACTTGGTCTAAGTCACGAGAACTGCGACACGGTAGCTTTATTAAAATTAGCATTTTAGAAAGATTTTGAATAGATTATTGACCATTTTTTTCCTAAATAGTTATCAATTAGTTTGTTGCAGTTAGTCCAAACGTGATTTGCGCCTGTAAAGATTGTGTAGATGTAGTGTAGTAGTAAAAAAAGCAATTTTACAACATTTTTCCTCCGATTACGAAAGATCTATCAATTATCCCCATTATTCGTTTTGGTTTTAAGATATTGCTTTTTGAATTATTCTGGTTCATATAAACTAGTCCAATTAGATTGAAATCTGTTGTGTTATTCAGTAGGTTTAAAAAATCAAAATTATTGAAAGTTAAAACAAAGAAATTCAATCAAGCTCTGAAGAAGCCAATAGGATGATAGGCGAAACGTTAGCTAGTTCGACTCAACAAAAACCGACGCAGAAGCGATCCAAAAGTTTTATAAAAAGTATTACAGTAGCCTGTGGAAGTTTCTTTGAAAAATTAAAACAAAGATTTGAACAAAAATTTAAAAAACACTTTTTAGGAAGTGCCACTTGTAACAAATTAAAAAAAAAATCAATATCTGCTTTACCACGCGATATAACTAGACACTTAAAAAACTTTTGCCAGATTAGAGCAATCTAATAAAGTGCACTTTCATATACCAGAAAAAAAGAATACAGAATAGAACCTATTTATTTTTCTCTTGACCATTATTACAGGACACAACATGATAATTTAATTAAAAAAAAAAAGGTTCAGAAAAATGATAAAAATATAAGACAAATAATGGACTTTTGAAAACAGATCCCAATTTATGTTTACCGGTTTCGAGTATCCAAACAATATTACTAGACTATGATAATGGATTCTTTCAATTCAATAAATTAAAGAAATTTAGCACATGCTTCTTATAATGGTTTAGCAACCATTTCGCGGTTTCGTAGTTAACAAAAAACATGGCAGAAGCTACACAACGCAGCACAATTCTGGAATTTTACTTTACCTGTGATTGAGTGGTATCAAAATTCACATCTGGACAACCTAAATCTCTGATCACTACTTGCATAAGATCCTTGACCTTTTTTAACCACACTTTGGAATCTGAAGAAACAATTCTTATAATTCTTCCATTTTTATGATAATCTGCGATTACATGCTCATTTTTCCAGCCCTGAAAAATAATAGTTCCAATCAAGTCTATGAAAAGTTTCGATAGTCATGTCAGGTAGATTTCTGTCGTAAAACCTTGAAATTTTTAATATTGTAAACGTCATGGTTTTTCTCTGAGAGTCTTCATTTGTGGTCTGCTTATTTGGAAAATTGTGTTGTTTAATTTGATTCGACCTTTTTTTTTCAAATTTGATCCAACAAAATAATTAACTATTACAGTGGGGCTCCGATTAAGTTCATAATAAGCTTAATTGTTATTTAAAAAAAAAACTTACAGCGAATCTAAGAATTTGACTTGAGTTGTGGTAGTTCAGGTGCTCAATTTCTTCTCCTGGATCACCCATATGGTATACCAGATTACATTCGCTACACAAAGTATAACCGAATCTCTTTTGACCTGCATCTAAAAGCATTTGGCTTTCTGGCAACTCTGAAATAAATTATTAAAATTCAGATGCTAGTTTACATAACAATTTTATTCATAAGTCGACTTCATCCAAATGTATCTAGTATGCACATGACAACAATCCATGCAGGTACTATATACAAGGGCAGCGCCAAAATTTCCCGGCCTAAATATGAAAGAAACAAAGTAGAATAACAATTTTTTTATTATTTTTCACTATAATCCCCCTTAACTTCAATACACTTAGTACATCTCTTTATTAACAACTCAATTTCTTTAAAAATATATTCTTTTGGTTTTTCTGCAAAATGAGCTAAAACAGCCTCTTTTAACTCAACTTCGTCGTTAACCCGCCGTCCACGTAAGTCTTTTTTCAAATATCCAAACAAGTAATAGTCGCTGGGGCCATATCTGGACTATAGCGAGGATGATCTATCTGTTGAAACCCATACCCTAAAATGGCAGCTTGTGCAACACCAGCAGTATGGATAGGTGCATTATCGTGCAAAAGACGCACGCCTCTGGTCAGTTTTCCTCGAGTCTGCAGTCTCGGAATTTATGTAATAATGTTGCGTAATATTTACCATTGACAACGGTATTAGTTTCTTTAAAATCTATCAAAAGAATTCCTTCACAATCCCAAAAGATCGTGGCCATCAGCTTTTTCGGAGGTGCCTCACCCTTACTTAATAATAAGTTTTATCGTGATACTGGAGATGCATCTGTCAGGTCGGGAAATTTTGGCGCTAACCTCGTATGCAGAGCCCTGAGTACGGTGATTATACAAGAACTTTTGAAGCCGTCATAGAAGAAAATGGTCAAAAGGGACAGTCAATATGCGCATGTCTGGTCATTTCAAATATCGTTTTCAACAAATAGATTTTTTTTTAATTATGCGCTTAATTGGGTTCGTATTAAATTAGGATATTAGGACCAATATTTCTACGCACGCAACTCCCAAAGCTCCCGGTGGGAAAATAAATAAGAACTAAAAGTTCAGATTTTCACGAAATTATATATTTTGACATGACGCGATGTCGAAACAATTTTCATGTCAAAAAATATATAATTTCGTGAAAATATGAACTTTTAGTTCTTATTTATTTTGATAAATGGATTTTCATCAAGTACATGCCACCTCAGTTCAACTCTCGGTGGGAATTGAACCCACAAGTTCGAGTTGGCACATCAACGCCTTACCAACCGAGCCATCCTCGGTCTCATCAATAAGATTTGTTATTTCAAATCAACGAACCAATAAGACCTACTGACATTCAACACGGCCGTTGAAAGTTTCTCAACATATGCCATTAACATTAATAAGCAAATAAAAATTATTGTTACTAGTTGTGCATTCTTACCTTTAAATTTTCTTGCAGGCTTTTCATTGATTTTTATTTTTTTGTTGTTCATACTGATCGACGAGTTATGGTTAGGTTTTTCATAAAATATTGGATACAACTTCTTTTGTTCCACTTTCTGCTCCATACTGCTTGACTCAAATAAATCAGTTCTTGCGTTGGACATTCCGTTTAAAATAGTCGTTAAATTTCTTCCTCTCTTAGGACTATCTAGAGCCAAACCAGATGTTACATCACACATTTGTGAAATGGGAGACAATAATGAATCTGCTAGGTGATTGTGGAGATGTATTGAATTTTCAGAAGCTAAAATCGAACTGTGTGCGGTGAAGGTCACTGTGTTCGGTTGTTTTTGGCTTGGAAACTCCTTAGATAGCTGGCTGGCTTCATTCTTATCTTTTGTTAACTGTTCTAATCCAGTTCTACCCAAATTTGGGTGGCTATATTCAATAGACTCGGGTACATTTTTATCAGAGATATTGCATGCCTGCACATTATTGAAATTATCTGCATTTTCTGTAAAAATTCCATCTACATTATCTAATTTCTCCATTTCTTTGGGACCTTGTTGTGATAAAATAGATAAAATGTTATTGATATCTAGTTTTGGAACAACTTCCGACTCATTACCAAGATCAAAATCATTGACTATTTCAGTTGTGTGGTTTGTTTTGTTTACAGATTGACTTGTTGTCTTAATTAAATCTACATTAGGTTCCTTATTCCCCACAGAAATTCGTTTTTTTTTTGCACTTTTAAAGAACTTTCTGTTAGTATTTTCTAATTGCTCAACAGGACTTAAGGGTCTCTTTTTGATTTCTACAGAAATGTTTTCCTTATTTCCATCAACTTCTTGTGCTGGTTTTGCATGTTCAATAAGTGATGTTTTATTTTCAATATTCTTCAACTCTTTTAGATAAACACTTAAATTTTCACAATCGTCTACCCTGCTAACTGCTAATTTTTTATTAGAGGAATTTGAGGTTGGCTGTATTGTTTTGTATCCTTTGACGTCTGCTGCTCCAGATATCAATAACTTCTTGGTAGCTCTTGTATAATTTGCCATATTTAATTTTTTTTGTTTGGGTTTACGTATTTTATGTCGAACCCCATTATTGATTTCTCCAATTCTTTTCTTATATTGGTTCGAACTTTTTGTGGTAACTACTTCCACTGTTTTTAATGTGCGCTGCTTTCGGTTTGTGTCCAACTTATCAACAACATTCTCCTCAAATTTTGGGTAGAAGGTTTTTGTGGATAAAGACATATCAGGTTCTGAGCAAAATAGAGCCGTCCTAACTTTTTCACATCTAGGCTCTTGTCTATAGAAATATTCCCCTACAGGAGAATCTAGTTGTGAAATATTTCTTTTTGAGCTTTTGCATTGTTCCAATAGACTTCTTTGTAATTTCGGCCAATTTGTTCTTGAAGATGAATCATGTGGTGTTTTAAGATTTTGTGATGGGGAGAATTTTTTTGGTGTGCCACCTTCGGCTTGGGTAAATTGGCTTAAATGTAATGGAGACATTTCTTGCGAAACCTCTTTGGTGGTAGGAGTTTTTAATCCCTCTTTATTCATAACACCTAGGATATCATAATCAGAAATATGTGGCCTTTCCTCATCTTCACTATTCGACACACTATCAGAACTAAGTGGCTGAATATGTCCCAATTCAAAATCTATATCACAATTATTTGTGGGGAAAAGACTTCTTCGCCTTTCCAAAATTAGTGGTGAATAGTCATGTTTGGAAATTATTGGTTCAGATTGCTTGAGAGTAGTCATTTGGTTTGCTATGAAACTAAAATTAAAATGTATTCTTAAAGTAATTTTTGTTATATTTTTGCAAATAATTTGTCCTAGACTAGCAGTACTGCAGTAATAATCAATATAATAAAATCTACTTCAAAAGCAGCACTACTTTTTGGCTGAAAAATTTGGATATAGATAGGGAAAAGACATATGTAGTAAGTGGATCTGTAATATTTAAAGTAAATAAGTTACGTTATACACCTAGCTAGATTTCATATGCAAAATGGCCTACCAGAATTTTGTCTTAATTAAAGTAACAATGTGATTAATTTTTAGACTTCTTAACTTCATAATTCTAAAATATATTTACCATGAATATACAGCAACACCACTTTACTCTAATATAATATATAATATATGACAATATCGCATAAAAGTATCGGTCACCGAATAAACACTGTGTGTTTTCCAATGTTCATCAACTTTCTGGCGCCATACGTCAAATAAACTCAGCTGCTTTCTGTTTGGAAGCGGGAAATTTTTTTCTTCCAAAATTAAAAGGCCCAATTGATGATGGCCAAATAAGCAACTATGACATTTAATGGCCGGTTATCTTTGGCACCTAGGCCTGAGAACCTAAAAAAAAAATCTGTGTTTAAATTTATAAAATGATAATTAAAATGAAAAGGAGAAGTTTCTGTGGTGGAGCATTGCACGCGGCGGTTTAACCTCCGTTCGCTGCCGACAGAATCCCTTATAATCATTTTTGAAATCGGTTTCCACTTGAATGTTTTAAAGTGATAATTTTCGCCGGCCCCATCGTTGTTCTCCGTTCACGCCTGTATGGAGGCCGGATGGGCCCAAATGGTCCGCGGTGGTAGTGGGGGGATATCGGTTCATTTTTTGTTAGAATCGTTGTCGGCCCCATCGTGTTTTCCTCTTCACGCCAGTATGGTGGCCGGATGGTCCGTCGGCGAAGCGGGGGGTGTCGGTTTTTTTTGGTATCGGTCAAATTTGTTTTTTGCTAGTTGAGCAAATATTGGTTATGTCTTCTTTGTACGTGTTGGTCCATAACCAAAAGCGAAGATCTTCGACGGAAGCAATGGGCGAATGATCCTAGCAGTCGAGCCCAACTTTTTTTTTCTGAAACGAATAATTGAATTGAAGTATATTCAAGTTGTGAAGAATAACTTAGATCTGTGAGTAAATATTAATTTCAAATTGTGCTTCTAAAATTTACCAATTAACTTAAATGGTACATTAATCTGACTAAGGATAATGGGCGACCGATATAATATTCACAGTCAGCTTGAGCACTTGCAGTCGAAATATATTGGGACTGGCCATGCGGATACTACTAAATTTGAATGGTTGGTAAATCAACATAGAGACAGCTATTCCAGTTATTTGGGACATCCAGACTTGCTAAGCTATTTCGCTATTTGTGAAAATGAAGCAAAAGCAAGAGTAAAATTTAATTTGATGGAGAAAATGCTTCAACCGTGTGGACCTCCACCAGACAAGCCTGAGGACTAGCACCGATAAAATCATAAACTGTAATATTTTTATTTAACTCATAAGAGTAAAATGAATATCCTAAAGTTTCTTAATTTAAGCCTGGCATGTATTTTACTCGAACTTAAAAAAGCATAGTTTATTTGCGTTTCTTATTAACTTTCAATGTCTTTGCCTAAGTAAAAAAGTGGTATATAAAAAACGCCTTTTTAAGTTTAGTAAAGGTTGACAACAGAATAATAATAGCCAAGGTAATTGTTTTTTTATTTTAGTGTTTTTTTAGAAAATAATATAAATGCCAGACAGTTCCTTCAAAAAATAAAAACATGGAATGAGCACTTTCAATAAAGAATTTTGGGGAAAATACTGACCAAATAAATAAGTGGTTACTAAAACTTATCAGCACTATGCATACAAATAGCATTGTATAGCTTCGTAAAAGAAACAAAATGTTCCACATTTTTTTCCCAAAAGTACCAGAGAAATGCGAACTTTCTAAAGCATACATATGAAACAAAATGTGGAAAATATACAGATGACTGACAACTTGAGGAATAACAAACAATGGGTTGTATTCACTTAGGCCTATATATCCTACCGATATATCCAGGCTGGCTAGTGTATTTCTATGACCTTGCAGAAAAAAATAAAAGTTTTCAAATAGGTACAGAATAAGGGTTGAATTTTCGCATTGCTCGTAATCGTAAAACTCGCGTGCAACATAGATTGCCAATGATATTAAAATTGTATTATGTGGTTGGACAAGAAGTGTGCCAATTAAAATACATGAATCTAAGGAAATTTTTCTGCTCATAAAAATTTGAATAATTATTAAAAACCACACTATTTTACCACATTGGATTTGGTAAAAGTTGAAAGACTTTAGTGTGAAAATGAGGAAAAGTATCAATATATTCAACAATTTGAGTTTTGGAGGTTTGTAAATGTCACATAAACTATACCAAACAGTAAACAAAGTAAAAATTAAAAGTGTAGAATAAACCCAATCTTCAATGTTGATCAGTTTATCTGAGTATTCGGTATCTATATTCGCATTAATTTCTCTTGCTCCCCTCAATGCTAATAAGATTACCATTAACTTAACTAATTTTACTTTAGACAATAATTTTCTCGAGCCGCTGATATCACTTATTAATATTATAAGCCAAGTGCTGCCTAAGAAGTACCACATTTGATGTTCTTCCTCTATAAAACTTGATGAGAAGAAGGTTATAGGATGTACAATACAGGAACCAAATATTAAGATTTCCCTGACCGTTAATGAACACATAGTAAAGTAATTCGCAAAATGAATAAAATTGAAAATACACATGATTATTAATACAGATAAAGAAATATATGAGAGAATGGTGAAATTAATGAAAAAATTTAATAAACCTATTGAATATAATAAACAATATTGAGTGTTATGTCTTTTCTTAATGTCAAAAAAAATATTTAACATTAATGGGATATTATTTAAAAGAATCAATACTGCAACTAAAAGAGCCAGAAAGTTTTGCCTGTGCATGTCCTTCCTCAAGTTATCGATAATCTTTTCTGAACAAGTTTTGTAAAATTTATTTGCCAATTCGACGTGAAGTTTTTTATTTTGTTTTAAAAATGTGGTATGATGCTCGGAAGCTAATTTAAATTCTCCTGTACACAGATTTCTTTTTTGTAAAAGTGACTTAGTATTGTAGTACATAGCAAAGAGATATTGTTCAATAGATAACATATTTGAGAGCAAAGACTCCTGAATTTGGCCCATACTAGAGGAAGGTATTGGAATTCCCATTAAAACCGCTAAATTCGCCGCCACATCTGTCTGAAGAAATGAAGAATCCTGGCACTTGAGTCCTAAGGAAACAAGGGGGGTAGTAACTTCAGAAACAGTTGATCCGCCATGTCCTAGAAAAACATCCCAGCATTTAGGAAGACAGTGACTGCCTTACAAAGTTTTGAACACTTTGCTTCAGTTGCACAGAAGTGTTTAAGGCGCAGGAGAAAACTAGAAAATTAGCAGTAATTTTTAGTCTTTTTTGAATGCATCTGAATAAAATTATATAATTGAATTAACAATAACTTGAAAAATATGCAGTCAAAAAATATTTCCTACATGCAAATTGTAAGTTCTAGAATGATTTTAAATCTAACATTTTTTTTTTAATTCCAACTCATTTTCAAAATTATTAAAACACTAGATTTTATTTCTATAAGACCTGAGCGCGAAGTAATCAAACCAGACTTGGGGATATTTGTTTGTAGTTGTCCATTTTTTGTCTCTTAAATAAACGGAATATGATGATTACCTTAGAATTCAAGTCTTAAATAACTTGCAAGTCAACCTACCACCACTGTCTTTCATCCCATGATCTCCAGTTACAACTAATAGTGTATTATCATCTAAAGTATTTTTAAAGATTTTATGGATTATTTTATCCATCTCCTCCAATTTTAAAGGTATTCTAGAAGAATATGGGCCATAGACATGGCCCATGTGATCTAGACCTAAAAAAATAAGCTTGATTATCTTATCAATGACAATCATTAACTTCAAATGCAATAATCCACCTAAATAGTGTAAAATCATTATGTTCCAGTCCTTTCTGTTCAATTCAATATTAACATTTTTTGTGATATTGTCATCAACTTCTGTAAAATCCCATACATAAAATGATGAAGTTCCTTCTGATCTAATGAACATATCTGGGAACAACCTTAACCAGGTCTCATCTCCATAAAAGATTAAATTTAAACCTTTACGTTTTGCTGAATGAAGCCAGCTATCCTCTACTATTTCAGATGAAGCTAAATTTCTGATTACATCCACAAACTGAGGAACATTACCACTAGCCAATGCCTTTATTCTAGGCATTGTAACAGTAGGACTTTCAACTAAAACTTTACTGATGCATCCCTTATCCTTAACAAGGGAATATGTTAAGGGCATTAATAGTGGTGTAATGAAGTCAAACCTTAGAGCATCTATGACAAAGAACACCAATTTGCCGAAATGTGGTGGATATAATTTTGTTAAACTAATGTTTACATCACCAACTTGTAAAGGGAATTCATTTTCACTATTTGGAATATCAGTATACACCGGAAAAAAGTTATATAAAAAAAGAGCAACGCTGCATATCGTAAGAAAATAATTTTGGAACATTATTAGAATTTCTATTCCATTTCTCCTTAATATCTAAGATAGACTAGTTTAATTAAATCAACAGATATATAATCTGAAGGTACTTCAGAAATTTTTGAATTTTCCATTTCTAAATAGAGGTTCTTCTTCTTTATTATTTACTTCTAATGGCCAAGACTGCATAAGGTCAATTGTTCAGCTTACACAATTTTTCACATTATTCAGATATCCTAAAGAATGCCTTCTTAAGAGAAAGGTCTGGACCAATCCATCATCCTCCAGGTTTTTGTTTTTTTACGTATACAAAAACGGAAACTTCTAAATAAATTGTCATAAAGTTCCATTCTTCATTATATTACACATACACATAAAATCATTAAAAGACTACATTTAATTGAAAATTTCTGAGGGATACATTCATTTCTACCTTCAACTATCCTTTTCAGTCAAATAAATGATTTATAATTTATAAATGGTTTAATTACCTTTCTTATCAGTTTTCAGCCTTTTGAAAAATTGTTGTACTGTACTGAAGTACTATTTAGTTCAAGAAGAACTTCCAGGAGCCTGCATATATTGGCCAAATGATCTTAGAAAACATGGTCAATAGAAGTAAAAGAAGAAGAAGCCTGTATATCCCTATTTGACTTTAAATTTTGTATATTTTTCGCTTTTATCATTTTTATACAGCAAATTAAACTTTGGAAAATGTATAGTAACATAATCGATTGGTAGGGAAGCTAGTTACAATAATCAATCGGAAACACATATTTTTTTTGTAGGAAATCTATGAAAAAGCCATCATTGTTGAAACAGAAAACTTGTTGGGAAGTCGTAAAAGATCATCCTTTAAAAAATTTGGCGGTACTTGCATGTGTGAACTCTACAGTTTTATGTATATATTTATCATAATTTGGTGTTATAGATTACAGACCGTCGAAGGATTTTGGGCTCCCAACCAAGTACAGGTCTTAGTACACCAGTCTCCAATCCTCTAAATATATTAGATCCACTTGCTTTAGCTTTAAAAGAATTAGATCCTTTGTCAGAATTTGCGATGCAGGAAGAAATAGATCCTCTATCAAAAATAGCAGCTGAAATGGTGAGTGTAGTGACTTAAGTAAATATTATTAGGCTTAACTAGTTTTAGATATCAGTTTTCATGATAGTAACTTGAATGTAAAAAACAATTTTTGCAAACTAGATGTAGATAAACAAACACTGGTTTATATTTTTTTGGGATGGAGCATTTTCCTACTAGAGATATAGAGGCCCTATTTTGATAATAAGAAATAAGCTTAGCTTATAAAGCTAATAAAGCTTATAAAGCAACTATGAAAACAAATTGATAAGGTCCAGTGTAGATGCGCATGCTTGAGATTTAAAATCTCCTGGTTAACTATTGACCTTGCGCCAACTAACCAACATGTCCGCTGACAGATCCTCAATAAGTGTGGATGCGGCATTTTTGCGGTAGTATTTTTTCAAAAAATATCCAGATTGTATTAAATCATCATTCAAATAGGTGTTGAGTGTGTGGATATCAATATTTACAAAGAAAATTTGGAAAAATGTAGGTTAGTGCAGGTGTGCCAGGAAAATTAGCCCCTTCTCTTATCATTATATTATCTAAAGCTATATGGAATGCGGTGTACTGCAGTCTGTAATTTTTTCAACTGTTTAGAACTGTATATCTTCCGCATTCGAAAAATTCATAAAGGAGAACCATGGCCAGGTTCGATTGACATTGTTGAGACTAGGTATGAGTTTGGATGATAAGCATTTCATTTGAGATTTGTAAATATAATCTGTTCCAGTCCCACATTTTTTAGGTTTATGTTGTTAAGTAAGTTTGCAGACTCGAACCATGGTCAAATGATTTTACTAAATTACTAAATCATTCGAGAAAAGTCCGCCCTTGCAAAAGGTAACAATATATTCAACCTTTTCTAAGGTAGGCGAAACACTAATTTCTAGAATTATATGCCATGATATAACTATCAGATATACAGAGGCCCTTACAGTGAAGAAACTTCTGTAAAAAAAAATGTGGGGAAGGGATTCAATACGCACAATATGATGGATTTGATTTATTGATTGATTTGATAGCTATTAGATGATATCTTTATTTTCACCATAGGCAGGTCTTGTATACATATATGTAGTGGCTATATTGAATAAAGAGTGGTCAAGCATTGTTTGTATACGTGTAGTTTAACAATAGGTCACAAAATTATTTGTAATTTATTCTAGTAGAGAATATTCTATTTTATTACCATCATAGAGACGAAGAAGTGGGCGTTTTCAAGGTTAGCTATAAACTTTAAAAATATTTTTAAGCCGCTCACTTCAGATAATTTGCTCACTGGCTTGTAATAATAGAATAATTTTGTTTGTGGACATCCAAAAAAAGCATTAGGTCTTAGGAATTTGCATAGGGTTTCACATCTTAGGATCTGATGGATAATAAATTAGGCAAAGCTTCGCTGGAACCTGAAGAAATTAAGTCATATACAAAAATGGAGTCCTGGAACTCGCGAAAAGCTGCCATTTTATCAAAATACACAACATCCGAAAAGTTGACAATGGTTACAAGTTTTTTATTTGATGGTGAAAAAGGTAATATGTAATTCTACAAGATTTTGTACTTCATTTGTCGTGATTTAAACTCGATCTAACAAATCACTATTTAAATCAAAACATTTGGAGCGATCCTTACTACTTGTACTTTCCAGTCGATTTTTACAGTATATATTATTTTTAGTAATGGTAAGAGCACAAAGTACAGCAATTGATAAAGTTCAGCTTCGATTAGAACAATTAGATTATTTTGAAGATGGAGTGCAACAAAAATTAGACTTGTCCCAATCTGAATATATAAATCGAATAGAGCAATTAAATAAGGAATTAGTTTCTGCATGGAACAGTGAACAGAGAGTGAAAGCTCTGAAAATAGCAATACAATGTGCAAAAATGTTGACAGATACTGATGTGCTTCCTTTTTATCCTAGTAAATTTGTTTTGATTACTGATATACTAGATACTTTTGGAAACTTGGTATATGACAGACTAAGAACAAAAGCAGTATATTTCAAGTAGTATAATTAACCAAATATACAACTTTTCTATTTATTTATAATAATTTCAGACCTGGATCTAAAATTGCGACACCATTGCCGGACGATTTTACACCAGACATGGTACCAGATACTGTCAAAGAGACATGCCTAAATTGGTTTTACAAAGTTGCGTCAATACGGGAATTGGTACCGCGGCTATATGTGGAAATGGCTTTACTGAAGTCCTATTCCTTTATATCTTCAAAGTAAGTTTTAGGCAGATTACTTTTGTTGGCTTGTGAAAACGTGATCATATAATACGTCATAATACAACTATTTTATAAAAATAAAGTTCTAAACAGGAAACAAAATGATAAACTTACATACATTTATGCATTTTGTTGCATTTCGTTTATGCAAACTATAGATTACAATATTAATTTTGTTATCTTTTTAATTAGACAAGTGTAACCACTTTTGTCTCATTACATTTGATTTTAGAAACTTATAAACGGAGACCTCCATTTTTTAGTACAGATTCGCATTTCATGCCAAAAAAGCGTCAGGTTTCGTCCAAAGTTTTTTTTATCTCGTTAGATGGCATTGTAATCGGAAACAGACATCGTATTTGTCAAGAAATACAGTGGGTCAATGTTAGGAATCTGACTTTATATATACTATATATAAGTGTAGGGGTTGTATACTATACTAGCTACACGAGCATCAAAACTGACGGCAAGATATGTTTTAAATCTACCAAAAACCTTTGATTACTTCTAATCCATGGTTTAAGTAGCGGAACAGGTCGAATTGGCTCGCGAGTGTTTAATGAAGCTGACATTTTAAAGTGACAAGGTGTTTTGGAATATCGAATAAAAAATATGATGCAAGACAACACTAAAATTAGATTTAGACACCTTATGTTATATTATTCCTATATATTGTTTCTCATTATGGGGACTTCTGCAAAACAAAAGTAATATGTCACCCAGGTTTATCTGACTCAGTCATTAACCTTTGTAGTCGCCCGGAGGCTGGCGAACGCAGCTCTCTCTGAGATTACTAATGGTTCTATACCATTAAACTTTTATCAATATAATATTAAATTTTCATATCTGCCCATTATTTTATGACTACAAACAAAAAACGTTTAAAGTGGCATACATACAGTTGTTCACTATTATCACGACCATATAGCTAATAGATAATATAGTGGGCCTACTACTTGGCGATATTTTCTTTCTAAACGGCGATTTCCACATACTTAGCTCATCTTCCCAAAACACTTAACGAGATCTAGGCATATTTGGAGAAAATACTGCCGTAAAAATGGCACCTCCAAACTTATTGACGATGTGTCAGCGGAAATGTTCATTATTGAATGCCGCAAGGTTAAAGACGGGCACGCGCATGTTGAATGGACCTTGCATCACAAGTTTCTGTGTTATCGGCATAGGCAGGATCTCTATATTTCTAGTAGTTATATGATCAAGACTTATAGAAACTTAATGGCAGTAAACCTAAGCGCTGCGTTCGCTACTAAATAAGTAAGTGTATTTCGACAGAGTAATGTATTTGCAGTGAATGCTTAGAAGCATTGTATCGTTTGACAGACATGATCCAAGGAATAGGAAATCCACTGGTCGCGGTATACACGAGATGTTACCTATGTAGAATGGCAATCTCGATAATTGGGGAGAATTGCGATATAAACCTCCTTACGAAAAATTTTGAAAGTTTTTTGAACACTTATCAACATGTAAGTGCTGGTTTTTTGGGTAAGCACCCCATAACCACATGGTCATACTTTACAGATTTTTGGAGGTAGTGTGAAAGCTGAATTAAATAAACAAAAAATTAAAATACCGACTTACATGACTTTGTACACTCCTGCATTAGATTTTATTCTGGAAGCAGTTGTTTCTAATTCATCTGAAAATATTATTTCTGATTTACTTAACAAGTGTAAGCATTATTGTAACAGGTATGTATTTGCTGTGAGGACACATTTTAAAAGGTGCAAAAACCAATTAGATGCTAGGATTTTGCATTCTTTTACCTATTTTAAATAAAATTATATTCCTTCATTAATTTTAGTTCCTTAATTCTCAACACCATCATGTCCGGTTTTAAACCAATGTACATCTCAGAACGGGCACTTCAGTTTCTTGACATGATCACCGGTTGCACCGACGATGCAATACCATTGCATTCATTACTTCGAACGTTAGGATTATGTTTAAGTGTATGTCCGCCACCTTCAGATCAAAGGAAATCTTTATTAATACATGTGTGGAGAAATATTGGACAGCTTAATAATACAAACGAGTATATGACATGCGTGGAAGTCTGGACACCTCTTATAGCTCTTCATTTGTCAGTAAGTAATTCCTAAACATTTGCAAATTGGGTTATAAAATAACAGTAGTCAATACAAAAAAAAACAAGTATGCTTTAATACTGATTTGCAGCTTAAAGAACTTAATCAGGCATTCGGCAACATTATCAATCATTTATCTGTCAAAAGGAGTTATGAACACTTTCAGGTTGAATTAAAAAACATTGTTCAAAAAGTTGCATCCTACATATCAGATTTGGAATCGTTATTAGCGTTAGTAAGTATTTTTCGTTTTTCTTCGTATAAGTATGTATATAAAAAATATAGCGCCTTGCCTTGAGTATTGCTTATTCCTAATTTATTTATTTACTATTCACTAACAAATTTTCACGCTCAAAAAAACACCTAGACCCATTATCCACCCTCTGCATTCTAAAGCAAGTGATTACATATCTATTATGTATTTTATACTACATATTTTACTTTTAGATTACCAAACAATTTTTTCCAGAGCTCTTCTCTAATCCTTTGATAAGCTGTGGAATTATTATTAATTTGTACATTTTTTTTTAGGACAATTTTTTATCTTTGATTAACCTTTTTCACGAAGAGTCGGTAAAAGTCGAAGTATGCAAATTTGTTTTGACTACGTCCGTTATTGACCACCAAATTAGCGATCCAGTGATAACAAATTCTCTTATGTATTTAGGAAGTGTATTACACGACTCTGTGGATGCTCTTACACCAGAGGACGAGCACAGGTATGAAATTTAAAAGAGGTCACATTTTTCAAATACTGAATGGTTCAAAGAAATATTTTTAATAATTTATTGGGCAAATTAATTGCAAAATGGGTTCAGTTAGAAACTTTAATGAGCAGCGCCAAAATTTCCCGGCCTGAGTATGAAAGAAACAAAGTAGTGTAACAATTTTTTATTATTTATTATTTTTCAATATAATCCCCCTTAATTCAATTCACTTATTACATCTCTTTATTAACAACTCAATCCCTTTAAAAAAATAATCTTTTGGTTTGTCTGCAAAATGTGCTAAATCACACTCTAAAATGGTAGCTTGTGCAACACCAGCAGTGGACAGGTGCATTATCGTGCAAAAGACGCACGTCTCTGGTCAGTTTTGCTCGACGTTTTACACATATGCAGTCTCGCAAATTATGTAATAATGTTGCGTAATATTTACCATTGACAGTGGTATTAGTTTCTTTAAAATCTATCAAAAGAATTCCTTCACAATCCCAAAAGATCGTGGCCATCACCTTTTTTGTTGACTGGCAGACTCTGAATTTTCTTGGAGGTGCTTCAGCCTTACGACGCCACTCCATTGATTCTTTTTTCGATAGAGGGTGATAATAGAGAACCATAGTTTCACCTCCCGTCACAATAGTTTCTGTCACAGGCTTCGGTTCGGACTAGAGTTCCAAAAAAGACCGCGCACAATCGACACGGCGTTGTTTTTGAATAACCGAAAGGTTTTTAGAAACTCATCTTGCACTAACCTTATGCATACCTAAATGATCATGCAGAATTCGACGAACACTTGTATCACAAAGTTTAGTAATTTCTGAGATTTCCATGACCTTTAAACGTCGATCACTCAATACCACCTCTTCCACAATCGCAACAATACCTTCCGTTGTGACCTCCACTGATCGACCAGTTCTTGAATCATCTTCTAGGCACTCCTGCCCCATTCGAAAACGTTGTGCTCATTCTTTCACTACAGAATATGAAGGAGAACTTATCCCGTACACACCATCCAGCCTTTCTTTAATAATTTTAGGTGCTAACTGTTCTTTTGTCAAAAACTTTATGACTGCTCTATGCCAATTTGCGTTATTTGCGACATTTTTTCGGACACGTCTTGTTTAAAATGCTGTCAATAAAAACTATTTGACGCAAGACTTCAATTGTTTTTTTCGCAGTCTACTAAGATATATATTTAAAAGACAAAGTTTTATCGTGATACTGGAGTTGCATCTATGTCAAGCCGGGAAATTTTGGCGCTAACCTCGTAAGTTGCATTGTACTGCGATGGTTTTTACTTGATCTTTATCCACAAGGCGTTCCTTAACGTATCAATACTGACTTTATTTTAAGAAAAAATCTTAAAAGTATATACTTAAGATTTAACTTAACTTTTTAATTTAAATTTAATTTAATTTAAATTAACTCAACAACAAACAAAACACAACGAAAATTGATTTGACAATGATCTCTATGTACTGTAATTTATTGCTAACTACATTCATATTTTCAAAAATTATTGGACATTATAGGGAAATGTAATACGTTTAATTTATTGGACATGTGGCATTTACTTGATGAAAATCTATTTAACGCAATTAAATTAGAACAAAAAATGTTCAGATTTTCATAGTTATTTAATTATTTATATATATATATATATATATATATATATATATATATATATATATATATATATATATATATATATATATATATATATATATATATATATTCACGTATTGATTCACGGATGAAAAAATGTGATGACACTATATTCCGGGATATCATCCGTTCGCTTGTTGAACTCCGACTGGAATCCTGCAGACGTTTCGCCAAAATCTCACTTGGCATCTTCAATGCTCGCGCTCTGCAAACAGTGTTCGAAGTGTTTTCGGAGCGCGAGCATTGAAGATGCCAAGTGAGATTTTGGCGAAACGTCTGCAGGATTCCAGTCGGAGTTCAACAAGCGAACGGATGATATCCCGGAATATAGTGTCATCATATATATATATATATATATATATATATATATATATATATATATATATATATATATATATATATATATATATATATATATATATATATATATATATATATATATATATATATATATATATATATATATATATATATATATATATATATATATATATATATATATATATATTCGTGTTCGAAGTGTTTTTGGAGCGCGAGCATTGAAGATGCCAAGTGAGATTTTGGCGAAACGTCTGCAGGATTCCAGTCGGATGCAAGATTTGCAGGATTCCAGTCGGATGCAGGATTCCAGTCGGAGTTCAACGAGCGAACGGATGATATCCCGGAATATAGTGTCATCACATTTTTCCATCCGTGAATCAATACGTGAGAATATATATATATATATATATATATATATATATATATATATATATATATATATATATATATATATATATATATATATATATATATATATATATATATATATATATATATATATATATATATATATATATATATATATATATATATATATATATATATATATATATATATATATATATATATATATATATATATATATATATATATATATATATATATATATATATATATATATATATATATATATATATATATATATATATATATATATATATACATACATATATATAAACAAGTAGTAGTAGGTTTTTAATTATAGGTGTAGGGTTACAAATTTCAATTTAACAACGGAGGTGCATTTAAATCCAATTGGTCATTAAGTAATAGATTCGAATATCTATTTTAATCTTTTTTCGTGAAACGTGCATTTCTGAATTTAAATTAATAGCATAGTGATGTATGCAGTTAATATGATTCAAAAAGAACTGCATTTCTTTTTCCGTTCCAGTGAAGCAAGCAAAAACATCATCTACATATCCATACTACCAGAGAAACCTTTACTCGGGGGATTTTTTTCTATATTTTCTAAATCGTAAATGAAAATTTTTGTAAGTAGTGGACTAAGTGGTTTTTTGATCATTAAATTCAAAATAATTTTGGTCTAAACATACTATTAAACTGTCTAACACAGCTTGTTTTATGATAGGGCTGACTTGTCTCTGAGTGAGAATATTGTCTATTATGTTTATTACGTCAAACTAGAATTGACTTAGGAGGAATTTTATTGTCTTTAACCTTGTTAATTAGTTCGACCGAAGTTTGATAACATATCTAGGCTTAAAGGCAATATGGTATTCTTTTTTTTTTTTTTTGATTTAACTGATGCTGCTGTTACAAAAAAACTACAGGCCTTATTGGCATATCATGTTTTTAATTATCTATTACTACCTGTGTTGCCGAAACATTTTTTGTTCTAATTTAATTGTGTGAGTTGGAGTTGAAGTAGTGTAAGTCTAGCATTATAGACATTGAGATAAATTTTAATTGTAAATTATAAAAATAAATTAGTCCTCAATGAAAGAATAATGTTTTTTTTATGATATTTAGGCAAATTGGAGATATTTTATGCAATATTGTTAGAAAAATTGATTATGGCAGAGATTTGGAACAGCAATTAGATTTTTACGCAGAAGCGAGAGGAGCTTTTGCCAATATTGATAGCGTTTTGTCGCAATTGGTTCAAGTAAGTACAAACCTACTTGTTTGTTGATTTTAAAAAAATACATTTTCAGTGCGTTAACACTTTAACTGTTAAGACTAGATTGATTGTAAAAGGGCGTCACACTCGCAAAACAAGCGATTTTGTGAGAGCATGTGCGGCATACAGCTTTATTACCATTCCTTCGATTGTGTCAGCAAAAACTCGTCTGAAGCTTTATTTACTGTCGGGGCAAGTTGCCTTATTTAACAACTGCTTAGGTCAAGGTAAGTTTAAAGTAGTAAAATAGTTGAACTCCTCAAAAGCATATTCAACTTGAAAATATTTATGTCTAAATATTGATCATCACATTTCTCAATTTCTCAAAAAAAATTTTTTTTTACGTTAAATGTTGCAATCTACAATGTTAGAATTTGAACTCGCGATGGATGGAATATTTTGAGAAAACGGGATCTATGAATGCCTCAACTCCTTCGACATAAATAAAACCAACATGTCAATTGGTGCTAACTAGAAAACATTTTGGGGTTTCAATTAAATCAATCGAATAATATTAGGGGTGTCACATTTAACAAACGAAGTTTAACAGTTTTGAAAGTGATATAACTGATTGATAAATTTTGGATGATAAATCAATTTCAAAAGTTTAATTTTATGTTCATGTTACATAGTTCAAAATTTTGAAAATAATAAAGATACCTAAGAAAACCTTAAGGATCCTACTTTGAAAATTTTCCAGACGCATCCACGTCACTTGGGAACAGTGAACAGTATAAAGAGCTTTCAGAAAATATTTTGTTAACATCTTATTGTTCCATTCCAAACCTTTTAAGTTAACATATACCTTTATTTTCAGGAGATGCTTGTTTTAAAGCTGCATTGTCTATAATACCAGAATTAGAAAGCAGCGCACAATCTGACACATTTCTAATTGCGTTTGTACGTCAATTTTTGTCTACCCTTATCGTCGTGCCTGATAATCCTGAAAGAGGCATTTTGAGTCTCACAAGAATGTTGTTGAATATTTTAAAAAATTACGAATGGAATAAACCAAATTGGTCTCTGGCTTTAATATATATTAATGTTATTGAAATGTTTTCTACAATGACACAAGATGTATATCCTTATCATGTTGACAGAGGTAAGACTTCCTTAATATCTTATTCAAATTTTTATTTCACAAGATTTGTGTGTATAGAAACCTTTTGCCAGGATATTAATTTGTAGTCGAATCCAATGATGCATTGTACGGTTCTGATCCAAAATATATTCAAGAAATCGATGCTATGATTTCCATAGTCATAACTGAAATTTTAAATATAATGAAAGAGTTGGGAACATGTACAAAGCAAGCTCAGTTAGCAATTGAATTATTTCTGCAAATATGTGTCAGATCTGATCTCACATTCAATTCTATTAGTATTCTTGCATTGAATGTATGGAATTTGTCATTAAGAAGTGGATATATTGATTTAAAATATTTGGTAAGTGCGTTAACTAATACCTGTGGTTTAATAGACTACATTCGTTTAAGATTAGAAACTCTATGACAGTTATATTTGCGTTTTTTAGTTATTACAGATAAATAGGTAATCAAAATATCAAAGTGCTACAGTCAAAGAAACATTAAAATAAGTAACTCTAAACTTCCTTTTCCTTAACCAATAAAAATGTCATTTTAACAATTTATTCAAATATGCATTTTATTTTAGGATAGAACAAAACGCTACTTGCATAAATTTGCCCAAGAGACGGAAAATATTGGATTGCAACAATTACTTCAAAAACTGTGATTCCCAGAATGAAAAATAAATATTTATACTATCACATTTTTTTTGTAAAAATTTGTTTGTTATCGACTTTTTTTAATAAAAAATCTATATATTATGTATACTATTTTTTTTATTTTTAAGAGAATTTCCCAGAGCTTTTCATGCAATTTGCCTAGCAGCACATCACAAGACGAGATTTAATGTGGTAAGCGGTTTTTACAATGACACATTTATTATTCAATATTACATCTTCCTTAGACCCATAGAGAATGCTTGAAACCAGCCAAGTAGCGAAAACGTTTTCCTCTACAACGGAAGAATGTTATTTTGTTTAAATGATAACTTATTTTCAACAGATTTTATTAACTTTTGTTTGAACGGGAATATTCAAAATGGAATTGGTTCATTCTCTTAAACCATGTCCATCCTATGCTTTGTTTTTAAAATAGCTCTTATGTGTATGTGTATATATTTATAAAATGCTCTGAAGAAGCCAATAGGCTGATTAACGTTCAACAAGTTCAATAACCGAGAGCAGAAAATTTGTAAATAGTGTTACAGCAGTCTGTGGAAGATGCTTTGCAAAATTAACAAGTGTAATAAACTTATTAAATGATATTTAGAGAGTTTAATATCCAAGATAGCTGACATTTCTGCTTCTGCCAGCATTAATTTGTTTAATTTGACAGTTGTGGCATGTCTTGAAAATTATTATTATTGTTTTGTTGTTGTTGTGTTTTCAGTTGACAAAAAATTTGAAATATTGTGGTTGAATATGAAAAAATGACAAAAATTCAAACAGGGCAGATACAGATAATACAAATGTACTAAAGCACTAATTCTTATAATTAGGAATATTGTGCTATATGATACTTTCTTTTTAAATTATCTAAAGCTTTAATTATCCAGTCAAGTTGCAAATCATTAATATTGTTTATTTCACTCGTAAATAGTTCTTTATTATTAATTAAAATTGTCATGCCGCCTAAAATACATTTTTTTTAATATCCCCACAAAAAAGTACCTGGAAGAGTAATATATAGGCTATAATTCTATTGGGTACCCCTGTTGTGGTGAAAGTCAGTCAGTCCCTAAGATTTTATCAAAGAACAGTGGATCATTTGTAACATATGTCTATTTTTATCTGTCCATGTCTATCTTTATTGTTCATCAGAATTTATAACCCACTCCTTAGTTTTTTTATCCAAAGTTGTTTCTTTGAAATATATAAATGCGCATAAATGTTATGCGCCTATCTCCCGTGTTTTTCCATATTTTCGCGTTTGACTTATTTGTAACATTTTTTACTTACAATAACTTTTCGTCAAGTGAAAACTTTATTCATTAAGTATAATAATAGTCAAGAAGTGTCACAACTATCATAATAATAGACATGGCGTTGGCGTGACGATTTTTATTTTTGGTTAATTCTGGCCTTAATGTAAGAAATAACTAGCATGTTATATATTTTTAAAATCAGTGTAGAAGGCAGTTTCTTTTATGAAATATACATTGCCTTAATTAAATTGATCTTTCATTTGTGGTTGGTAGGTTTTTACTTATTTATTGCTTAAATTTAGAATACACAACATTATTAAAACAGGCAGTTCTTTTGATTCTATAATATACAAATGCTATAATATAAAGGGTTGCTATAACTTGTAAAACCTAAAATATTTGAAATTGGAGAAGGCCAAGATAGGCCAAATTTTTTGGTCATATGGACCAATGAATTGAAATAGGAACATCAAAAGCAGAGCTTCAATAAGTGCTATATGCTAAAGTATTTATAAAAAAGGGTTTATTAATAAAAATGCACTGAAAATTTCATTTTTAAAGAAATAAACATCTAAAAAGAGCAATAATTATGTAAGAAATATTTTATTTGCCCTTGCCTCTAGTTTTACTAACACCGGTACCCTTTCCCCTTTTATTTGGTGTATTCTTTTTCTTTTCTTCTATTTTGCGTTTAGCTGGAGTTGAAGCTAATACTGTGAAAAATCCATCTAGTCTTGCCTGAGTGCTTGTACCCCTAGCCTTCATAAGTTTTTTTACTCCATTGCGTACTCTCTCTTCACTAAATTGGCGATCTCCACAAAGGAATTTTACCATACCTTCTTCATCTGGATCATTCCATTTTAACTGTAGAATGGAAAAATCTTGTTTTAATCATTTTAGTTTGCGAGGTTAATAAGTATTAGTATGTATAAAATAAAATATTTGACCAGAAAGTGACAAAAAATTAAAAAAAAAAATCAAATATTGTTCACTTTTGTGAAATTTAAAGAAAAGTTATAATTATTGAACATCAAACAAAAAAAAACATCTTACTGGATATTCTTCCATTTAAGTTCAAAATTTCAGTACCTCAATTCTGTCTGGATCTGCAATTTCAGGTTCTACAAACAGTTGTCTAGCTCCTTCATAGTTCCAGTTCTCTGGTGGATGATACTTTTCATTATCGATATGATTCAATATTTGTTCAATACATTTATGCTGTCTTATTAGTTCTATAGATTTTTTGGGCCCTATGCCTCGAATACTGTCAGTATAATCGCAACCCATTAAAATGCATAGATCTATAAACTAAAAATATTTGTTAAAAACAAAAAATCTGAACGACTATTTCTTATATATTCCACCTCCTCATGAGTCAGTTCCAATCCTTCCAAAACCTTATGGAGATGAATTTCTTGGATAGGCATTTTTCGTGCTTCGCTGAATGTCAATCTCCTTAAGACAACATTGGAACCAAATGTAAGTGCATCCATATCTTCCGTGGCAGTTGCAAAAACTTTACCAGCCTTGACCTAAAAAAAAAACTTATCTTCATCCATCTCATCCATGATCACTTGGTGATTGGGTAGCTCTAAAGAGGCCACCGCCGGGACCCAGCCCGGATATTGGAGGAGGGTACCGATAAAAATACTTTATATACCATTTTCTTTGCAAATGATCAGCTATGACCTAAAGTATATGCCAACAAAACTGGTGGAACTTTCCCATATAAAAATGGGGTTTGGAAGTCAGCATTACCAAATCAGAAAGTATGACAGTAGGAGGAACATTGGAAAACACAATATTGGAAGACGCATGTGAAATAAAAAGCTGCAAAGAGTATAAATACCTAAGAATAAAAAATAACACCTTATGAACACTAGATGAATGAATAAAGGAATGAATAATGCTGAATGGAAGTTTCTTCGTAAAATAATCTGAGGAATCACCCCCTTAAATATTGCAACATCTTTTTTTAAACATCCTGTATAAAAATTGTAAATATAAAATTAGTTCAATACTTAAATCAACTAACCAAAGCGGCACACTGAGCTTCTGCTTCACAGGGCGCCTCAATATAAGGAACCCCCATCAGGGAAAGTAGTTGCTTTGCTTCTTCTGAGTGTTGTTTTGTAACTTTAACCAACCTCCTATTAAATTTATCCATTTCAGCCGAATCACCTGCTTCAGTTGCTTTATCCAGTGCCTACAATAAAAAGCTTGAGAGCTAAAAAAGTGTGGCAAACTAAAAAAAACCTTTTGGGCTTCCACTCTCTTTTCCATACGTTTATTGAGCTCTCCAGACTTTAGTTCTGGTGGTTTACCATCAAAAACATAAACAGGTTTGATCCCATGCTCCAATAGTCTTATTGTACGATAAAACGTACCCACTAAATGTGATGTTGTTTCACCATCTACATTAGTTAACTGATTACCTTCTGTTCTAACAGCAATCAAGAATTGATAGAGACACATAGAAGCATCAATAGCTACTTTACGCCCTAAAACAAAACATAAACTAACTACACCAGAAAAGTAATTGCAAAATTTACCAAAATAAGTTTTAATATCTGTTTCCTTAATTGCCTGGGGAGCTACATCGGCCAGCAATTTTGATAAGTTTAAAATACCCATTTTATCAACCACACTAAAACAGGTAAGTGATTTTATTCTTATATTTTACAACGAACCACGAAACCATAGAAAACAACCAAAACTATTAATAATTCCCTTGTTCAAGTTCCCGCCTAAAAACTGAACAAATCCGAACCACGAGAAGAATCATTTGAATTAATCAATCATACACTGGTTTATTGGTTAGTTTTAGTTAGTTTTGCTATTACCAATGTGACAAGCTGTCTTCTTATAACCTGTATGGGAGAATATCAGGCTTCTTTCAATACACTTGACTATTGAGTGCAATTTTGAATATCTTCCTAGGCAATAATGTTGAGAATTACTTGTTTCATTATTTTAATATTTTTTAAAGTGTTTATCATTTAAAAAGTGCCACCAACTACTAAAATTGAATGTCCCCAAATGGTTCCTGACATCACGCAACTAACTGTCAATTTTTAGTGATTTCTCAAATTAAAGAAACAAATAATTTCCTTAATTTTCATCTATTTTTTGTAAATTTCGGGTTTCGCCTTTCTTACGTTATTGTAAATATCGTGTAAATTTTTGTTATGTTATAAAAGACTGGTAAGTAACATTATAATTGATACGCAAAAAAGAAAGTAATCTTTTCAAACAAAAGACCAAGGAAATGTCTTGGAAAACATTAAAATTCAGATTTAGTTATTTAATAAATTTTTAGCTTAATAGGACCATAAAAAGGTACACCCATGTGCACTCACAGAATATATATGTTTTGAAGTAATTGCTATTTATATTTTAAACTAAACCATATTGGGGGATGTTGATTATTTGCTCCTTTTGCAGATTACACCTTATTATTGGATCCAAGGGCAATGTCGAACAAGAACTCAATGGTGATAGGCAATAATATTGGTTTAAAGCAGATAGATCTAGATCAAATATGGGGTGACTTAAATTTGGGAATACGACAAGTTTACAACAGAGAAAGCATGTCTAAGAAACGTTATATGGAGTTGTACACACATGTATACAATTATTGTACCTCAGTGCATCAACAGCAGTCAAACGGAAGAAGTTCTTCAAATGCAACAACCAAAAGCAAAAAATACAATGTCGGAGGGGGTGCTCAGCTAGTGGGCATGGAATTATATAAAAGACTCAAAGAGTTTTTAAAAAATTATTTAGTTAAATTATTAGAGGTGAGATATTATCTAAAAGCTATTTTATGATAAATTCAAAAAAACATGATTTATAAATTATCGAAATTAGTAAATAGTATAATGGTATGATATAAATTGGTGAATCTTGAGACTTAAAAATCATGTGAAAATTGTTTTCGCTCTTTCATTTCAGGATGGAATCCATCGCATGGATGAAGATGTATTAAAATTTTATACTGTTCAATGGGAAGATTATCAATTTTGTAGCAAGGTGAGTTATTATTATTAATGCAATGAGTGGAAAAATCAATGAGTCTACTTTATCTACTTCGTAACATTTGCAGAATGACTATTTGAAATTACATTTTCACAGTTTTTTTTTAATGGCTGATTGCACTGCACTAAAACTTCAGTAATGGTATTTCTATAAAACAAGAAATATCTGTCCATAGGGACATATCAACTGCGACAGACATCTATACTCAGAATGACATTTATTTTATTTTTTCTTAATATATTCTAATAGAGGTGACAATAAAGTTTTGAAAGAAATGTATGTCGGATGGTTAATTTTTATTAATTATTTTTGATTTTTTAAATTTATTAATGGTTATGTGAAATATCCATCACTGCCAGTCAAAAATATTGACTTGCCAACTTGTCTGAAGTTATTTTGAAGTTTTCAATAATGCTGAGAAAAAGATACAATAGGTAAGTAGGTTCCAAATTACAGTATGTTTTTCTTTTAAACAAATTAAAATTGAACTGAAAAATATATATGCAGGAAACAGTACCTTCACATTCTCAATGTAACATGATATTTTCTCCCATACCATACAGTGAAAATGTCTTTGTCAATTAGCAACCTATAATTTGTAATAATCAGCAAACATACGTTTCTGACTACCAACTTTGAAAAGGACAACACGGAAATCTTTGATAATATGAAAACAGCATACATTTCTTGTCTCTTTGATTTCAGAAATCTCATATCTTAAAAAAGTATGGAAATACTATGTACAATATTTGTGTTGCGTGGCAACCAAGCAAATGGGGAAGTGTAATTTTGTGCTTTCCTTCGGAAGCGCTGTTTCATTTTTGAAAATGTAGAATTTTTTTTTATTAATTTGTAACACATTTCTATCTTAATGCTATGCCCTCTAAATGAGGAAGTTGGCTATGAAGGGTTAATTCAAAATCCTATAAGGATTCTATTGGGATCTATATTGGTGCAGGCAAGTATGACAAAACAACTTATTCTGTGACATTTGATTTAGAATGCATTGGTCGAACAACTGACCACATAACAGTACTTTTATAAACTTTTTATAATATAGACAATAAGCACCATTAGCTCTATTCAGCTGGATAATAATTATTTGACATTTTTAGGTTCTTGATGGGGTGTGTGCTTACCTGAATAGGCATTGGGTAAAGAGGGAATGTGAAGAAGGAAGGAAGTACATTTATGAAATTTATCAACTTGCATTGGTTACCTGGCGTGACCATTTGTTTATGCAATTAAATAAAGCGGTAAGTTGATAATCTTACACAGTGACATACTGAAAAAAATAAAAAATTGAAATAAGCGCTAAGTCTATTTTACATTATAACACAATTTAACTGTTTTTAAATTAATGTTGGTTTACTTTTTTTTTATTTATTTGTTTATCTTTTTTAATTTATTTATTTTTTATCTTTTCATTTTCTGGTTTTAATTTAGTTTTGTTGGCTTCAGGTTACAAATGCAGTGCTCAAGTTAATTGAAAAAGAACGCAATGGAGAGACAATAAATACACGTTTAGTATCAGGTGTGATAAATTGCTATGTCGAATTGGGGTTAAATGAAGAAGAACCAGGTGCAAAAGGACCGAATTTGAGTGTGTATAAAGAGAGCTTTGAAAATGTATTTTTGGAAGATACTGAAAGATTTTACACTAGAGAAAGCTCCGCTTTTCTAGCAGAAAATCCAGTAACAGAATATATGAAAAGGGTAAATTAGTTTACTACACACTAAAATTGTATATTTGGAACTGCATCTATACTGCTTTTCCTAAAAAGATGTTTTAGTTCCTAATTTAGATCTTTTTTATATACTTTAGGCTGAGCAGCGACTTTTGGAAGAACAGCGGCGGGTCCAAGTCTATTTACATGAGACCACAAGCGAACGCTTAGCAAAAACATGTGAAAGAGTGCTTATCCAAAAACATTTGGAATTGTTCCATTCTGAATTTCAACAGTTGTTGGACGCAGACAAAGATGATGATTTAGGTCGAATGTATCGCATGGTAGCTAGAATTCCTGACGGTCTGGGAGAACTTAGAGGACTTCTTGAACAGCATATTGCTGCTCAAGGCCTAACCGCAATTGAAAAATGTGGTGAAAGCGCCCATAGTGTTAGTTCACTACAATTTAGTCTTATTCTAGTTTACGCCATAAAAAGATATCAGTATTTTCTTTAGTAATAACATCTTAAAAAACGTGGGTTCCATGATGATATCAAATACATTTTGAACATTTTTCAAAAAGTCAGATTATTATTATTGGAAGATTAGGATTTTTATCGCTGTTTCTGAAGACAAATGTGGAAATGGTGAAATTCTCAAGGATCTTACCAAAAAAAAAATGGATTTTTTGATTTTGAAGTAGTCTATTGCTTCCATTAGTTTCATCCTCACTACTTGGGCATGTAGGTCTTAAGTGGAAACCGATATTCTTTATTGCAGATTCGGGTTCTTCACCACAAATTAGGTAGGTTGTGCCTGATTTTAAAAAAAATCTTGGTATAATCGCAAAGAACATCAAAATATCTACTAATAATGAAAAAAAGTAACAAGAAATCAATGCATTTTGTGGTGTAGAATCTGAATCTGTAATAAAAGTGGGCGCAGTCCACAGATATGTTGGGGGTCATCATTAGATATTGATTGAGAAATTTCACAGTTTTCACGTTTTGTGGAAAAACTTCATAAAGGGTTCTTTTGTTGCAGGATCCAAAAGTTTATGTTAATACAATATTAGAAGTGCATAAAAAGTATAATGCTCTTGTATTGGTAGCTTTTGGAAATGATAGTGGCTTTGTAGCGGCCCTTGACAAGGTAAAACAAAAAAATTGGGAAAAAAATGTTTCTCAAATAAATTTTGCTTCTAGGCTTGTGGGAGGTTCATAAACGCAAATGCAGTGACAAAATCTGCAAACTCCTCTAGCAGGTCTCCAGAACTATTAGCCAAATACTGTGATTTGTTGCTTAAAAAGAGTAACAAAAATGCTGAAGAAGCTGAACTGGAAGATACACTTAATCAAGTTGTAAGTAAGATTAAGTTAAGATTAAGATAAGTAGATTGTATTTTAGGTCAATTTAACCTAAAATTAAAATACGCTTTGCTGTTTTTTATGATCTCCAAGAATCGTGTTTCCATGTGTTTCTTCTTTTTTTGTAGATGGTTGTGTTCAAATATATAGAAGACAAAGATGTATTTCAGAAGTTTTACAGCAAGGTATGGGCGAAAATTATTATCAAAATCTGTTTTTTCATGATTTACTTTTCGGCCAGATGTTAGCCAAGAGACTAGTGCAGCACATGTCCGCCAGTGATGATGCTGAAGCTTCTATGATCTCAAAATTGAAACAAGCATGCGGGTTTGAATATACATCTAAACTGCAAAGAATGTTTCAAGACATTGGAGTGTCCAAAGATCTTAATGAGCAATTTCGCAATCACATGACCAAGTCTAATGACTCTCTAGGTATGTATTGTTCAATTTTTTATTGTGTCTGTGCTTGTTATAATAAAAATTTTACTATGTTTTCAGGAATAGATTTTAGCATTCAGGTTTTATCTTCTGGTTCTTGGCCTTTCCAGCAATCTTTCACATTTGGATTGCCTTCTGAGGTGACATGAATGTGTTGTTCAGTACATTTAATCTTAAACATTTTATTTTAGCTTGAACGTAGTGTAAGTAGGTTTACAAATTTTTATTCAAGTCAGCATTCAGGTAGAAAACTGAATTGGCTATACAACATGTCCAAAGGGGAACTTAACACCAATTGTTTTAAAAATAGGTAATTTTAAGTTGGAACATTGTCATTGAAGGTTTAATTTTTTTTCCCTGCTCTTAAGATATACTCTCCAAGCAAGCACATTTCAAATGGCTGTGCTGCTACAATTTAATGTGGCTGATTCCTGGACTGTGACACAATTAGAAGAAAATACCCAAATTAAGCAAGACTTTCTCATTCAAGTAGTGCAAATTCTTTTAAAAGCTAAATTACTGAGCTGTGATGATGAAGAAAATGACCTTTCTGCTAGTTCATTACTCTTTCTTAATTTAGGCTTTAAAAAGTAAGTTTATATACACTCTCTTTGTGTACTACAATGCATTTTTCTTGCGTTCTGTTATGCACATTTACGATTTTTATTTTTAGCAAAAAGCTTCGTGTAAATATTAATATTCCTATGAAAACGGAGCTGAAAATGGAACAAGAAACAACTCATAAGCACATAGAAGAAGACCGAAAGTTACTTATACAGGCGGCAATAGTGCGAATTATGAAGATGAGAAAGGTATTTTACATAGACCAGAATTTTATTTCCTGTACTTTTAGAATTTGAATGTCATTTCGTGTTTGTCTATTTTTATTTCTTTCTTGACCCTTGGTCCTCTATTTAACTTGCCAACCTATTATAATCACAATTTTAACAGTTTAATGTTATGATTGTGCTTTTGAGAAGAATTAGTACTCAATCTTTTTTTTAAATTTATTATCGATTTATTTGTTGATGACTACTAAAGAAATTTTGTATAACCATTTTAAAATTTATATATATTTATAACATCAAACAGGTATTTAATAGAAATGTTTTATTTTAGGTGCTAAAACATCAGCAGTTAGTAGCTGAAGTCTTGAATCAGCTCTCCTCACGATTTAAACCTAGGGTGCACATCATAAAGGTAATATAATTTATTGTTTCACTAATAATTTGTATAATTTTCAAATAGTAATTATCAATGGGAAAAGAACAAATTAGCATGTAATGAAAAGAAAAATCTATTGTCACAAGCTCCAAGTATGTGTTTCACTTTTCAGAAATGTATAGATATACTCATTGAAAAGGAATACCTGGAAAGAACGGATGGACAGAAAGACACCTACAGTTATTTGGCATGATCGGGTATCGTTTAGTATCCTAAAATAATTTATTTTAGACTATCACATATAAAAAAAATGAGTCGAGGAAAAACTTGGAACTGTGTGAAGATAGTGATATTGTGTATGTATAATTGTAAATATTTTAGGATTGTATTAAATTCAGTTGAAAAAAGGAATGCTATTGAATAAATTATAATCTGTGACTCTCAACATCAACTTCAAAAGTTTGTTGTAATAGATTTGTTTGGAAATTGGAAGTCATAAGACATCTTCGATTTTTAAGGGTCACTTTCTTTTGTTTTCTTTATATTTTTGACGACCTTGAAACGGGGGATCTTATTATTTACAGAGGCTGCAAGTTCCAAACGCAAATTTGTACAGTGGTAAAATATAACGTTTAAAACTTAAATTTACATGTGAAATATACATTTTTTGATTGGGCAGTTTGTTCTCTAAAGACTAAAATATAATAAAGGAAAAAAATCGTTTTATGTGGTCTCTAATGTTCTTAGCCAAACAATTTGTAATTTATTTTATAATTAAATAAGTTGTTAACCGAATTAATAAGTTTTGTTTCTAGTTTCCCAAAGCAGATTTTAACATTTGAATACAAAAAATATCTATCGGATAAGTCACAAGGATATATAGGTTGATTAATGGTTGGTAGCGGTTTGGTTTGGTTATTTGGTAAACTTTGCAATTTTAAACAAATATTATGTGCCATATATCAATCTGTATACAACTTCACAAATTGATTGTTCTTGATGTTATTTCTATCTCATTGATTTCCTCAATTATTTTATCTATTGACTTTTTAAAACTTAATCTTACCTATTTTTACATTAAATCGGTTTGCTGTGATAACTAACCGAAAGTCCGTCCTAGTGCGCTTATTTTAGGACACAATTCTATTTTAGTACTCAAAATTGTTATTTGCCCGCAACTTAATCTGTTGCTGACATATTACGTGAAATGGATGGTTATTTGCTATGGAGAATTCGATTATAGTCTTATATCCCCATATAGCTATTGAATAATGATGAGTGACCCTACTAATTGGCTTTGATATTTTCACAGAGTTAGGAATGATCTTTTGGGTATGCCTCTATACATACAGCTATAAGATAATTTATAGTGGGGCCCTACTACGGTAAAATTTGATGCGCCGTAGGTGGCTATGATTTTTTTTTCCTTAATTCAATGCGTTCGGTTCGCGTCTTTACTTAGACGGCTGCCCAGGTTTTTCCATATTTGAACGAGTAAATTAATTTTACACGCTTACAACACCCAAGGCCAAGGTGGGAATCGAACCCACATCCTCCGGCAAGTTCGAGTTGGCAAGTCCACGCCTTACCAATCGAGCCATCCTCGGTCCCAGGTGGCTCATGATATTTTCGTAGAGAAAGTATGGGTCTTTTGCGCATGCGTCACCCCCACCTGTCTGAGTTGCTACAGTCCCGTAATTTTTCTGGAAAGAAATCCGAACAGAATTGGCAACGCCGAGATAAGTAATTACTATTGTCACAGAACAGTTGTTTTCATTTTTGGAACTCACGAACTTGTATAATTTGTATTTTCAATACTTTGTTCTTTTACGAAATTACAGCAAATGCGGCAAATATGGTGACCTAATAGGACCTTAGAGAAACAATGATTCCTATATATGTTACATTTACCAAACTGGAAAATAGACTTACCTAAATTATATAAATAGGTACACTTAAATAGCTACGAAGAATGTTTGGGTAATATGTTTTAGTGTACAAGAATTACAGGAAATATAAGAACACAATTAAGCTACGTGTTGAATTTTTACTAGAACAAACACAAGCATTACCCACTGTCAACTACTCTCTATAGGAGGTGCTTCTTGAACATTTTTTCCACTTAGATGCTTCAACCTGTGAGTTTATGAAAACTACACGTTGCGCCGATTTACAAGCAAAAAAAATCGGAAAAAATAGCTTACATGAAAAAAAAACATAGAAATTGCATTGTATATACAGGGCTTCAAGAACAAAAACGCCAATTTTGCACTGCTTTTTCAAAAATTTAATAGCATTTCGATAAATTTTGAGAAAATGCTGCTGTAAAAATGTCATTAGAACTACCATTGGTTAAAAACGAAATTTTAAATCGCGCATGCGCACGTTGAATGGACTCTTACTAAACGTCTTTTGCCTGAAGTTTAATAGAATCTGGACATATTTTTAGAAAATTCTGTCGTAGTGACGATCAACGCCTATGTTATTTGTTGAATGCAGCAGTCATTGCTTAAAAATGGGATTTGCTGTTTCGCACATGCTCATGTATTATCAGTATAGGCAGCATATTCGATGGTAACAGCGAATGTGTATATTAAGATCAGGAACTTTTTAAACCAAAAACAGCCGTTTGTAAATTTTTTTACGCTGGAATAAGGCCCAAATCTGAATTTTATCTTTAGAAATCTCCTTGAAATTTGTTTGTATAGTTGATAGAACTCGAAAAAATTGACTATTTACTCATGTTTGCCTTGATCAATTAAATAAAATTTTATATTTTATGAAAGTTCCAGTCTTCATATTGTATTACTTGGTAGTTATAATAACTACTATTTTTCGCTGCTTTCATTGACAAGTTATAAGTTATTAAAGTAAATTTCGATTGCAAGAATTAAATACTGCACCGAGTATTTAGACCAATAAAATTTTTCTAGTGTGAAACAAGATTGAATTAATTATAATATAAACTTTATTAAAAATAGAACAACCAAAATCATTTTCGCGCCGGAAATATACAATTTTTTATGGGTTATATTGGTAAATCACAAATCAAAAGTATAGATTTCTGTTTTTATAACATTTAAAGCAAAAACCTGCCTTCACAAATCGTCAATAGTAGATTCTTCGCTACAAAATTTATTTTGAATTAAAGAATAATTCGTGTTTGTGATCTTGTGTGTCACCCCTTAAGTACCTTTCCACATATTTTAGTCCATGATCACCTGAGTTGCTATAGTTTTCAAAATAAGTTTGACTCAAAAGGTCCTCTTTGAAATTTTTTATCACATAGATCCACGCTTTTTCGGTAAATTCTCTTTCCGCATCGAGATTTTGAACGTCGTAAAGACCTCTGACGTAATAGTTTGGATGATCTTCCAGTATATCCAATTTTTTTAATACTGAGTCATCTACTTCATAGACCTCTCCTTTAACCTGGCAACCTTCACCTAAAATACGAAAAAACTGTAAAGATTCAACGGTTGGTCAATATCTGTCTTCACCTGGGCGGTAGAGCAGAAACGGAATATTATACTTCGTTGCTATTATAAGAGGAAATTTGTCACTTGTTTTAGCATTGTACAAAAACTTATAGTAACTTCCGGATTTCGAAAACGATTCATGATTGGGTTCTCCTCTTTTAAGTGTCCCATACACAAACACTTTATGAAGGCTGGCAGTGTCAGACATTTATCCAGAATTGCAATAGCAAAAGTTTTATACTGTGTTAAATTGGGAAGGAAGTATTTGTACCGCCAATTGGGTGGTGATTTAAAATTACCTCGTCACTGTCGTCGGTTCTAAAACAAAGTATACATAGCTATTGTACTGGTATTGGTATTGGTATTAAAGGGGGGCGCCTTCGCGGGCGTCGAAGCACTTAGTCCACCAGATGGGCCCGTTGTGCCCCCGGCCGCTCTAGAGGGCGTCCAGAATGCCGCCCCTCCTATAGAAGGTCAGCAACTCCTTTAGCCCAATACCGTGCACTGAGTCCGGATCGATCAGGGCCGTTCCGAAGACTCCCAATCTTGCCCATGTCAAGGCAGGGCACTCGGTGAGCAGATGATACGGGGTCTCCTCCCCTTCCATGCACCACCTACACTCCGGGTCGTCTCCAATGCCTAGCAAGCAAAGATGCCTCCTAAGCCTGCAATGTCCTGTGTAGGCCCCTGTTGGTGCTCTACACTCCCTTCTGGTCAGTCTAAGCAGCTCCCTGGTCCGAGGGGGGGGGGCATCCATCATAAGCCTCGCTTGCCCCCCGCGGTCCGGTCTCTCGCCTAGGCTTCGAGAGCTCCCCGCCTCACACACGGGGCGATCCCCAAGCGGGGCTCTGGCCCTATATGCCTATGCGAGGAGCTCTCTCTGGCTAAGGCGTCTGCTGCCTCATTGCCCCGGATGCCTGTGTGACCTGGGACCCAGACCAACGTGACCTTCCTCTCCTCAGTACTCCTTTGCACTCCTTTATCAACAAGGAGCGCGTACGCACTGACTTCAGCGCCATAAGTGCAGCCCTACTATCCGAGCAGAAGAAGACTCTCCTGCTTCCGTGGTTGAGTCGAAGCACCTCTCTGGCCGCCACCAACAAAGCGAAAATTTTCGCCTGAAACACAGTGCAGTACTGACCCAGAGGGACCGAATAGCTCGATCCCGTTGTCTCGCAGTACGCTCCAGCTCCGGCCAAATCTCCCATTGTGGACCCGTCCGTGTACCAGACAAGTCCATCCCAGGAGCCGACTCTGTCCTCTCTCCCTCGAAGGAAAGAGAAAGTTCAATTTGTCAAAGAAGGTCATCTTGGGGATCATGACGTCACTCGGCATGCCCATGACCCCGCGATCCCCGCGACAGCCCTCTAAAATGTCGTACGGACCCCGATTGAAGGTTCCCTGCCTCCAGAGCCCGCAACTCGCCAGCCTCACAGCTGTCCTGGCCGCCTCCATCTGCACCCGATCCGCCAGAGAGGGCAACCCCACCAGAGCCTCCAGGGAAGAGCTCCACCAAGGAGTCCTCCCCGCCCTATGCTCCTCTGTCTCAGGGCAGCTCTTCTCGAAAGCCCGTATCATAGCGGAGCTGACTCGGACGGCGGCCTCCTCCATTGTCCGGTGTTTTCTTGGTAAGCCCCCTAGGCGCCAAGCGAGCTCCTCCCAGTTTGTTGCCCGGGGGTTCCTAAATCTAACGGGTTACCGAACACCCATCTCCAACCCAGAGGTGATGTATCTATGGTCCGACATAGAGTCCTCCCGACAGACACACCACCCGGTTATTTCCGGGAGCAGAGCCCTGGTACAAAGTTTTAAGTCTATAACCGAGCTCCGACCCATCGTGAAAAACGTGGGTTCTACTCCTCTGTTGGCTACCTGCAGCCCTGCCGAGGCCATGAACTCCACAAGGTCTCCCCCCCCTTTCTATTAGTTGCAAAACGTGGTGAGCATTGCTGTCGTAGCCAATCAAAAGAGGAAAATTCGCCTCCTCACAGTAGGAGACCAAGTCACTGATCTCCTGCGACAGACCCCTCAACCTCCATGGACGAGCCCTCTTCGTGTGAGCCCCCCGCGGCCACCTCATCACCCTGCGGCCTCGGCGCCGCCAGGTTCACTTTAACCTGAGACGCCAGGCAGAAGAGAAGTGAGCCCTTAGCTGTGATGGCGCTTGCCGATTTCTCGTCCACGCCCACCACCAACCTTGTGCCCCTTGCATCCTCCGTCCTCTGCCAGACCCTCCAGGCACGGCAATCTAGGCCATTCTGAGCTGCCAGGCAGCGGACTAGTGCCTCGTTTGAGACACCCGCCCCGAGGCCCGGAATCCAGATCGCCGCCCTTCTAAGTCTAAATCCTTCCGGATCGACCTCTACCAGGTTTGCGAGCCCCCAGGGCCTGACGTTGATCAGCTCCCTGCGAACCCATTCCCTGGTTTCTTCATCCATCATCTCGATCAGGATGTGGCTCCTCCACAGCCTAACCGAGCGTATCCGGGGAGGGGCGTTTTGCCCCCCCTGCATGATATACATGCTTACGCGGAGGTTAAGAGACCCTATAAACCGCAGTAGGTCCTCGGAAGACAGGTCAGTTTCCTGTCCTCTGAGACCCACCACCAGTTCAGGCCCCCCCGCCGCCGCTTGCGCATAGGACCGAGCCCCCCTCTCAGAGCCCCCCCGGAACGGCCCGCCTTTTGCCGGGCCGCGTGTCGGCCGCCGACCCCCGGCAGGTGCCCCAACCTGGGTGGACTCTCCCATTTTCCTTTTCCGCTTCCCGCCTACCGTTTCCGGTGTGCCCCCTATGGAGCCCTCCGTTGACGGCGTGGGCGCCGGAAGAGAGCCCGTCTGCGGTTCCGAAACCGTCACCGCGAGTCTCTTCTTCTTCGCCCTCCTTTTTTCCGCCCCACTCCTATGTCTGGGGCGGTGTGTCATCGAGGTGGTGTTCCCGGTTTGTACCGAGCCCTCCACCCCGCTCGCGATCTGGGGATCCTGTTCAGATCGCCCTTGGAGGGGACCTACCTGAGGACGCCCCTGCTTGTTGGAGCTCCCCTGGGGCCCCTTCTCCTTCTCAAATTTCATTTTAGGTTCCATATAGGTCCCACGAGTAGCTAGGGAAACAAACGGTCCACCTCTGCAGAGCCCCGCATGCAGAGGTAAGGCTTCCTTCCCCGAGGTGCGCCCGGTGCCTCGGGGTTGGGATCGGTAGAGACTGATCTTCTATCCAGCCATGCATCCCCTAGGCCTGACCCCCCACCGTAGGATTTAGGATTTTTATTGAGGTTTACTCCTCTTGGTCCAAGTGGTGAAGCTCAGACCCCCCGCGTCGCGTGCCCACTCGTCAAGCCGGCACCCGACGCCTGGTTTATCAACCGACTACAAGCCAGTTGGCACCGTTATACCCCGTGCAAGCCCTTAGCCACGACACGACAGCTGGGCAGGGTGAGCTGGTCCACGACTGGTTATTTGTCAGCCCTATTGGATTTTTACCTCCTCATGCCTCCTTATTCCCAGCCACCCAGGCCCGTGAGAGCCTGGGCTCCCCTATCCGCCACCCGGGGGACGCGCCTCATGGATTGCTCAACCACAGAGGCATAGCTATTGTAAAATTTATTTAAATTCTATTTAGAGTCATAAATTGATTCGAAAATGTCCCGTAAAATTGCCGAATTGCGCATCTGACAACTGGCCACACGATGATGGATGCAAGTTTGCCAATCATACCACTGAGGACATTAGTATATTATGTAACAAGTTCGTTAATAGTATATTATGCAACAAGTGTGGCCAACGGCAAGTTTACCAGGCGTGGGTTACTATACTGAGTGAAGTATAGTGAAGTGTGACCTGACCGTCAGAATTTAAGGGTATTTATTAAAAACATAAACATATTAACAAACAAACATATTGTTAGTCAATTATTTCTGTATATGTTAAAATCAAGACTTTTTTCTTGGGTATATATTATGGACCGTTACGTAAAACAAAAGAAGAAAGTTTCTAATTCATAATAAATTTATTATATTATGGACCGTTACGTAAAACAAAAGAAGAAAGTTTCTAATTTATAATAAATTTATTTAACGTTTCGATTGGTGTATTCGGCCTCTTTCAAAAATATCTAAAAAAACTGACAGGGCAACGAGAACAATAAAACTTACCCCAATTTTGAAATCGATGTAGAAATAAAAACATTTAGATACAATACACAACGGCACGATTTACAATTGTAGAAACAAAACTGTAGATATAAAATTGTAAAACAGAAATATAAACGGTGTAAATATTGACAATAACAATTTGTATGCGCGTGTCTGACAATTTATCGTGCGGACTGAGATATCAATTGGCATGCGAAGTACGTTTTTTCCGGCGATGTTATTTATTTACTTCTTTTTTTAGTTTAGATTTAATTTTGTAGCAGCTACCCTTATTTATTTAGTTTTTAGATTATACTTTATATTTAAATCATCTTGATAACTGTTTCTTCTAAAAGTTGCCCAATTAGAACACTCGGAGCGTGAGTATTGAAGGTGCCAATTGAGATCTTGGCGAAACGTCTGCAGGATTCCAGATTCCAGCGTAAATCCACATACTTCGGGAAACTGTTTGCATAGTGTCGGATGCAGTGGCCGAATAGCAAGAAGAAAATGTTGCATATTCACTGACGAAACAAAAATAATTTTTTTGGATCCGATAAACGAACGAGAATCTGCAGAAAAACGACAACAGCATTTAAACCTCAGCATCTGCGTCCAACGATAATGCATGGTGGTGGCAACGTTCTAATTTGGAGATGCATGTCGGCATTTGGTGTAGGAAATTCTAGTTTTATAGATGGTACTATCGATCAGCATGTTTACCTAAACATACTGATAGAACAATTCAAGCTTAAAAATTGAAACTAGAGGGACGTTACAGGTTTGAACAGGATAATGATCCGAAACATACGGCTAAACTGGGACGTGAATGGTCAATTCATAATGTTTGGTAACAACTGCCTACTTCTCATCATTCACCAGATATTAATTCAATAGAGCATCTGTGGGAAGAATTAAAGAGGCACATGCGCAACACCGAAGTTTCACCAAGCAAGCCGGGTTACAGAAGAATGGAATAATGTTAAAAACGAAGTAGGATGCCGAATGTGGCCCCGTTGCTGGAAACGCCATCGTGGTCATTTTTAACTTTACGTTGGCGTGAATATTCCTTGGGTTTGGGTTTTTGTGATTTCCCCGCTATCTAGTTTATATTAGAAATCCTATTATGGAGAGGCATAGAAAGCGTAGAAATGTTTAGTACTCTTTATAATTTAATAATACGCGCGAAAACATTTCACCTATGTAGGACAATAGTAATTATATAATTAAATCTAATCAATATTTTTATTTGCAAGTCAAGTTCGAGCCCCAAAAACACATATTTGCTGTAACCAACATTTGTGTTATTTTTGAAAATGAGAAATAAATAATGTAGGTATAAAATCTGACGTACCTGAGGTTATTTGGTTTAATATGCGATTTACACTGGTTAGTTTTGTTAGTTTTTGTTATTTGTTATATTACATAGGATTTAATAGCTTCAAAAAACCTGCTCACAATTCTATTAAATTGTTTGTTCCGTTCTGTGATTTTTGCTCATACTTAATGATAAATACTTCTTGACAATTAGATAAAATCGCGCCACCTCAATCCGATATAATGGGCTTAACGTCACTTGAATATTTGGAAACATTCCTAGACAATACCTGTTCATTATAAATTGTATACACATGTTAGTGGATATGGATTTTGCATTACTCACCGAGGTTTTGTATTTACTTTAATTTTAGCGGAAGACAGACAGCCAATATGATTCTATGTTAACCTACATTTCCCTGATCACAGAACACAACAATTAAAACTAGTCTGTGCCACGATGCATGGTAGAATTTTCTTAGTTGGTTAGACACGATTCAGTTTGAACATGTATTTTTAGCAGATTAAAATTGCTGTTAAAAGTGAATGTATTTTTAAATGTAATTTTTTCCTGCAAAATGGGTTTAATTATTTACTTTTTAGCGTTGGTTAGTGTTGCGCGTTTTTAAGGCTCATATAATAACTTGTGGAAAAATCCATAATCCATAATCGAGATGATGATGAGAGGTGTTTAAAGTACCGAATAAAATACAAAATGCACTAATTAATTTTCATTATTTTACATTTAGGGCTAATTTAGGGTATATGTTGGAATACAATTTTTTAAACAAATTTTCCTGGTTTTATATTGCAATTGTTGTATACTTACAAACTGTTTTTAAACAATTGTCCATTGGCATTTTTTGCAAATATATTATATTTGGAAGGTGAAACTTTCAACTGAAACTAATATACTTGTAATATAGGAGGTTCTGCAGTTGCATTTTCTCCATTTTTTGCATTTTTTCCACTTAGATTTTTTCTGTGCGATATCTAGTACCTCGCAAGGGTATATAATCTGCGGTGAAATTAAGCAAGTCATTGCGCGGAAAACTTTCGAAACTAAAATTTATTTTGTCCAAACAACAGTCCCAATATTATTATTATATAAAAAATGTATATGGAAATTGTGTTACCTGCATGACTTTCTTCTTTTGTAAAGAGTTTCAAGCTATAAGCTTCAATCAAACCGATATATGGTGACAAATGTCTATGTGCATCAGAAAGTTGGAATCTATTACTCAGCTAGAATCTGGAGTACCGTACTCGTTTTATTAACCCCTCGTAAGACTTTTAATTTATTTGCTTTAAAAAAACTATAACATTTTTTCTGCCTTCTCTGTTATAGTTACGAAAAAATAAAATAAGTCGTTATTGAGATCAATTTTTATTTCAAAAGTTTAAAAAGGTCTGTTTTTATTGAAATTCGATATGAGTATACCAAATCACATTATTAGTTTCGATAAGAGTTTAAAAGACAAAAATTATCGGTGTTAATTTTTGTTGATAACGCTTTTATTAGCCTATTTTCTATGTCACACAACGCCTTATCATCGTTTTATCTGTTCCAATCTCCTGTTGACTCAGTTCAAATTCATAGCAGCAAGGTGGAACACCAGGTAAAACAAAACAAAGAATTATAAAAACGATGTAACCAACATGACTGCGTGCCGAAAAAAAACATATTACGTAAGTACTGTGCTTTATTCCGGAAACAATGCTTTTTTCAAAAATTTCCATTTAGGTCTTATGGTGAAAATGTGGTATTGCGGTTTGGTGTTATTGCCTTTAACGCTGGGATATTCCGTGTCGGTTGGTTCATGTCCAGAAATATGTTTATGTGACGGCGATAACAGCGAAATCACAAGCTGTCAGGATAATGGACTCTTGGAATTACCAATTGATATCGATTCAAACGTAAGTATATGAGACATCATGTGTTTATCGGATGTGTCCCTGTTTCGCATAGACAAACCTACTATGGATTTCAGTTACAAATCAAGTTGACATTTATATTAGGAAATTAGCGGAAATTATACCTCATCGTCCATAAATATTTGCATTTGGCGCAATTTTGGTACAAACATTTACAACATCACGACCGTTCAAAATTCAATCGTCGTGACATTACTCTGAGTTAATTAGAAAAAGTTTTTTAATTTCTAAATAGTGGCGATTTTCAAACAACGAACTTAGATGATCATATTTTCTACGATTTATTTATTTAGCGTATGGCATTACATGCAATGCATAATACAAGTACAGATCTAAGAACAATCACGAATAATTACACAAATGTAAAAAGATAAAAGCTATAATTCAATGTCAAGGTTTGTTATCCATTCCAACGCCGATGCAGATACCTCCATAAAGTCAAGCCAGCTTCCCGTGTATAAGCGTAAGGGACATTCGCTATGAATATGCTGGATGGTCTGTCTTGGTGCTCCACAGTCACATTCTGGTGATGCTGTTTTCCCCCATCGGTGTAACGAGTCCGCGCACCTTCCATGTCCGGTGCGTACCCGGTTCAGGGCTGACCATTGCCACGGTTCCCGTGACGTTGCAATTATAAGTTGCGAACCAGTTTTGAAGAACATCACTTGCTTTCAAACTCCAGTCGCGCTTCCATTGGTCTTTGGGATCATAGCCATCATTTTGGAGTGCTTCAGCCAGATTTAATGACGGTTTTCTGGACTTTAGTCTTACGTGTCTCAGTTGTGGGAGATCTTTATGAATTGGTAGTGCTGCGTTTAGGATAATTTTTCTATATTCGCGTAGAAGGGCCTCATTTCTACGCATTTCTGCCGGTAATATCTTGCATAGCACTGGCAGCCAGTATGTAGGTGTAGACTTGATAGTACCGGATATCAGCCTCATTGTGCTATTTAGTTGTCTGTCAACAGGCCTGGAGTGACAGCTATTGATCCACACTGGAGCGCAGTATTCGGCCACGGAGAACGCAAGGGCAAGCGAAGAAGTGCGTAGTGTTGTTGTAGTTGCGCCCCAGGTGGTTCCACATAATTTTTGGATTATGTTATTTCTGGTTGCTATCTTCGCTGCGGTATTCTCCAGGTGTTTCCGATAGGTGAGCGTGCGGTCCAAAGTCACTCCCAAATACTTAGGGTGTCTGTTATGATTCAAAGTGGCATCCCCAGCTGCACTTCTATTCGTGCGTTTGTCATTTTATTATTAAGGTGAATCGTTGATGTTTCTGTTTCGGCAGGGTTTGGTATTAGTCTCCAATTCTTAAAATATGTATGTAGTCTGGCAAGGTCGTTGTTGAGAATGGTTTCTGCAGCGTCAAGAGATTTATTCCTAATAGCCAGTGCTATGTCGTCCGCGTAGCAGAATTTTCTCCCCTCTGTGGCTGGAAGATCTGATATGTAAAGATTAAACAAAAGGGAAGCCAAGACAGACCCCTGCGGGAGACCATTATTTATTATCTTGGTGTGGCTAATTTTGTCGCCGAGGACCACATTGAAGCACCTACTGCTCAGCATGTTTTGTATTAGAGGGGCTGTTGTTTGGCATGGTATGGCTCTCAGAAATTTGTAGTTCAGTCCCTCCCTCCAGACCGTATCATAGGCTGACGTCAAGTCCAAGAACACAGCGGCTGTTTTTAGTTTTTGTTGGAAACCCGCTTCTATGTGCGACGTCACCTGGTCACAGCAGCTGCGGCCCGGTCTAAATCCTGCTTGCTCAGGAGGCAGGTATCCCGTAATGGTGCTACCAATTCTGTTATACAGGAGGCGCTCAAGTAATTTATACGTGCAGCTGAGAAGAGCAACTGATCTGTAGCTTTTTGGCTGATCAGCAAGTTTTCCTGGTTTCAGCAGGGCTATTATTTTAGATTTTTTGAACTCCTTCGGCAGTTCCCCTGTCTGCATAATGTTAGAGAAGAACTGCGCGAGCCATTTTACCGTGTTTTTTCCTAGCTAAGAAATTCCGCGTGGATGCCGTCAAAACCTTGCCCAGTTTTCAATCTTTAATTGCAGTGGTGACCTCATTATCTGAGAATGGTTTGGAGAAGTTTGATTCATTCGGGGATATTCTTTTTAATGTTTTTAATTCTTCCTTGATTTTTGTTGTATGTGCTTCTTGGCGGGGAGCCCTAGATGTTGCCACGATCCTATTAGCTATCTCGTTTGGTGTGATAGACATGTTTTTGATTGTCTTAGTTGTAGATCCGCCCAGTTTGCGCAAAAGACTCCATGCTTTCCGGCTTGAATGAGCGAAGTTCATCTCCTCGACCATCTCCGTCCACTTTTGCCTTCTAGCAGCATCCAAACTATGCATCAAATCGTCAGCAATCTCCGGGTCACCGCCATTGGCAAAGTTGTCGTAGAGGCTCTGGCAGCGTTCGTTCCACCCTGGTATATATTCCGTTCTGAAACCTCTGGGGATGTGTTTCTTGGCCACGGCGATGACAGCGTTTTTAAATCGGTTTTAATTCTTTGGTAGAGGGGGTATGAATCGAATTATTTTATCTAGCACGTTGCGATAGTTCCCCCAATTGGCTTTTCGGAAATTCCATCTGGGACGAGGGACTGATTTAATAAGAGGTATGGAAAGACCGACGTCCATCATGACCGGTCTATGCTGGCTATGTGGAAATTTATCGGCAACTCTTCTTTGAACCGGCAGTGGTCTGTTACCGTCAGTGGTCACGAAGCATAAATCCGGATTGTAGTCCCTTTTCCACATAGCTGAGTGGAAAGTACCTTTTTCTTTACCGTCAAACACGAGATGTAGATTATTTTCCTCGGCTCATTCCACCAGTGTTTCTCCACATTCATTACTTCGTGCGTACCGCCACAGCTCATGGTGGCTATTAAAGTCTCCTGCGTATATTGTCGGGTGTTCAAAAATGGGTAAGACTTCATTGAGTCATTCTTTGTTTGGTGGTTTATAAACGTTTATTATTTTGGTTTCGCCCATTCTTATGCTTACCACATGGATATCGTTGTAGGTAGCGGTAGAAAGAATATGGGCATCTTCAATATTGCTCCGAATATATGTGGCAATGCTTTAAGCTTGGTGGTAGGTGGCTCCGACCAGCTCAAAACCAGATATTCTGCCCCTTTTGCGTAGATCATCCTCTGATGCCGCATGGGTTTCCTGAGGAAGGACAACATCGGTGTTATTGTCAAGAAGAAATTTTGCGAGATACTCGCATTTGGGTCTGCTAATTCCTTCTATATTCAGTTGGCAGATACGGACTAAAGGTCCTAGTTTCTTTGTCACGTGGCTCCGAAAGGAGCCTATTGGTTCGTTTTGGGTTTGCATGTGTGAATAGCCAGGAGATCCAATAGATAGTCTGGCAGCCAACTTTGTAGACTATTTAGCCGTGATAGCGATCACGTTGCCCAGAGTGCACCACGTGGAGGCTAGTCTACTTTGCACCCCTTTTCTACGATACAATATTATACTACAATACTATCTATCTTAAATTTGCTATTGTGCTAAATTAAGATGTCTCGTTTTGTCAACAATGTTTGAAATATGGAATGCGATCGCAAATATTAATCAATTATTTCAAGTTGTGCCGGAAGTGATTTTGTAAATCCGGTCAAACCAAAAATTTATAAATTTTTATATACCTAATAATGAAGCCTATTGCGACGAAAACAATAATAACTTATTTTTCCAGCAATTTTTGAAATATGGAATATCGAATATTAATAAATTATTTCAAATTGTGCCGAAAAGTTATTTTGTAGTACAGGGTGTCCTAATAATGGAATATGGAATTGGAGAACTGCATACTGTAGGTGCACAACCTAAAAGCTTGTCGTTTTTCTTATGAAACCCACTATATATTTCTTGATATTCATACAAAATATATTGAGATCTGAAATAACCAGTTAGTTTAATTCCAACTCACATAAAAACTTTACCAAAATAAATACGAACTAAAAGTTCAGATTTTCACGAAATTATATATTTTGACATGATAATTGTTTCGACAACACCGTGTCTTTATCAAATGTAATATTTACAAACTATCTGCTAGTATATATACCGAAAAATGACAACAAAACCTTAATTAATGTGGTTGCAAGAATTTAAGTTCAATAAAGGAGAGGTATTTAAATCTAATTGATCGTTAAGCAATACATTTGAATGTCTCATTTTGTTAATCTCCATGGCTTCCAATAAATTCAATTTTTTAATTTTTCAAAGAAACTTCCACAGGCTACTGTAATACTTTTTACAAAACTTCTGGATTCCTCCTGCGTCGGTTTTTGCTTAGTCGAAATTGCTGACGTTTCGCCAATCATCCTGTTGGCTTCTTCAGAGCTTGACTGAAACTGTTTCAGGATGATTGGCGAAACGTCAGCAATTTTGACTAAGCAAACAGTAAACTCTTTTTATCCGAAATTTAATACAGAACACGAACAATTTAAAACAATTATATAGGAGAAGTCAGTGAAGAAGTTTTAAAACATTTGTCAAAATGTGGTTTAAAAATAGCTTTCAGAACTAACAAAACAATAGGGAAAATTTTTAAAAAACAATAAAACGAAATGTCCAAAATCTCAAAAATCAGGTGTCTACAAGTTGAAATGCGGATCTTGTCCTAAAATTTATATTGGACAAACGGGTAGATCCTTCAAGAATCGCATTAACGAACATAAAAGAGCATTCAAAAACAATAGTCCAGATTCTAATTATGCTACACGCTGAATCACTGAAAAACACATTTTTGACGACAATATTGATATTTTACCTACAGCCACAAAAGGTAGAAAATTTAAATTTACTGGAAGCCATGTACATTAACAAAATGAGACATTCAAATGTATAGATCAATTAGATTCAAATACCTCTCCATTATTAAACTTAAATTCTCGCAACAACATTAATTAAGGTTTTATTGTCATTTTTCGGTATATATAGTAGCAGGTAGTTTGTAAATATTATATTTGATATAGACACGGTGTTGTCGAAACAATTGTCATGTCAAAATATATAATTTCGTGAAAATCTGAACTTTTAGTTCTTATTTATTTTGTTAAATGGATTTTCATCAAGTAAAAACCATCTCAGTTCAATACTTGTATGAGCATTTAATGCGTCATTCATGCAAGAACGAATTCTCAGTAACACAAGCGTAATATTCAACTGGGTAATCTAAGTGATTTTATTTTCAGGTTATCAGCTTGGATTTATCCCGGAACGCTTTCGATAGTTTCCCTGGCGATCTAAAGAATTTCAGCAAACTCAAATATCTCAACATGTCCCGCAATTGCATATCGACATTGATGCTGTCTGATTTCGTGGACCTTGTCAATTTGGAGCGTCTGGACTTTTCCTCAAATTGTTTTCGCGACTGGAAAGACATCCATCCGAGTACATTTTTACCAATCAAAAACTTGCAATACCTCGATTTGTCGAACAATCCGCTGAGGAGTTTACCGCGATATTCAAATCAATTATACATCGAATCATTAGCGATACTTCGTTTAGTCAATTGTTCAATGAAAACAATACCCGTAAATGTTTTCAATAGATTGGCTGGTTTAAGGGAATTGCACCTAGCCTATAACCCTTTAACGAGTATAAACGAGAGCTTTCAATTGGATAATTTAAAATATGTCGATTTAAGCAAGACCCGCTTAAACTACATAGATGAGAACGTTTTTACGAACCTAATAAATTTAGAAACGCTTGTGCTAAAAGATAATGTTCACCTAAAACGATTCATGTGCCATTCGGAGAGTCTTTTGTATTTAGACTTATCGGGTTGTACCCTAGAAAAAGTACCCTCGAGTAATCTTCCCAAACTAGCTACAATCGATTTGTCGTTTAATTTTGTGAAATTTATACAAGCCAATAACTTTGCCCGATCTCCAAATCTTGTATTATTGAACTTATCGACCAACGCATTAACCTCGCTCTCCGATAAGGCTTTCCAAGCGTTAACGCAAGTCCAGACGATCGATTTGTCTTACAACAAATTAACAACCGTAAGCGATAAGTTGTTTTCCAACGCCTCCTCACTATTGAGATTGAATTTATCTTTCAACTACATCAAGTCCCTCGATACCGTCACGAGCAGCAGTTTAAAACTATTAGACGTTAGCTACTGTGAAATTTACGACTTAAACCAATTCAGTTTAGTCGCGTTGCCGAATCTAATCAGTTTAATTTTGTCGAGGAATTTTCTGTCAACCATACCGGATGGATTCTACTCGCCCAGTTTAGTTTATTTGGATGTCAGTTCGTGCCGCATCAAAAGTATTAATAATAGAACGTTCCAAGAAATGTACAACTTGAGGCAAATTAACTTGGCTAACAATGGGTTAACTTCGTTAGACCCGACGTATTTCCCGAGAGCTTACGCTGTCAACATTAAAGACAATCCTTGGCGATGTGATTGTCCTAATCTAAAAAGAATGTACGAGTGGATGGCGTCTTATAGTGAAAATAAATTAAAGGAACTGATATGCGATTCGCCTGAGAAAGTCGAAGGGAAAACATGGCAAGACGCGTGTTTGAAAGAGTGGTATTCGTCCGAAAGGGCTAAAGACACTATGTGGTACTACTCAATTGGGATAGTGGTGTTGATGATGGTTGCTTTGTTCGGCGTTATTTTAACAAAAAAGGTGAAAGAAATAAAGGAAAAAAGAATTCGGGAAGAGCAGGAAGCCAGACGAGTGGAGGAACGAGAAGCGTTGAGACGAATGGAAATTCTGCAACGGGAGTTAAGAGAGGAAGAAGATAGAAACGCTCCAGATCCTAGAGAACTTCAGAGGCCTCCTTCGTATAACGAAGCTCTCTTGCTTCCGAGACTCGATGCATCCCATCCAAGCTTAGCTGGGAGTGTGCCAAGTTTATTGGGATCTAGACAAAGCTTAAGAGGGAGCAATAGCGACGTAACCAAGAAAGGTAGAGTTAGGAGGAAAAGAAGAAGGAGAAAGTCAGACAGCGAAAGGAGATCATCTCGGGCTACGGTAGATTCCGATTCTTCGGATCAGGATCAAGTACCGGAGTCGCTTCCTGCGCGCAGGCCTCAGCTTGTTCAACCTCCACCGTTAGAAAGTGATTTCTGAAACTAATAAGGTTCTTCTAAATGTTCTTTTTGAACAGACTGTTTCAGAGTGCCTCTGAAGTATCCGCCAAATATTAACAAACCATATTTGTATTTGTTGCTTTTTTTTGTGTCTAGAATATAACGTTTTTTTGTAATGAGATTTTATTATAACATAATATAAAAATAAAAATAAATGTCTTCTAAAAAATTCTAGTAAGAATATAAAAACAGTAAGCAAACTGAGGTGATGGCTTACTAGTGTCACGTACCATTTCTAATATTATGTATCATATGTCCAACTTATTACAAGCTAAACTTGTCTCAGGCTGGGTATTTGCTGAACTAACGCCTATATTTTAAGGAAAGTTTTTTACTTTAAAGTACAAGCAACAAAGCACATTGTGAGTTGAACCTTTTTCAAGGTTACAACTTAATGTGCAAAATGAGTTTAAGTTGTGGTAACGTTAACATTCGAAAGTAGAGACATCACCTTGATTTTATCACTCTTTTTATTTTATCACTCTATCATTAACTAATATAATATTTTGCGTTTACTTATTTGGCTACATTTTTAAGATTTTTAAACCCCATCTGATTTTCGGCGAACCATGCAGATACTCGTTGACGGTAAGACGGCGAAAAAAATGTTGCAAAAAAATATAAAAAAAATTGACGTTATTTAATCGACAGGAATACGCAGATGCACCACAACAACTATGACCAGGTTATTTGAAAGAAGGTTTTCATAAAGTTGTTGTGTTAAGTAAATATGAATACATTTGTGATAGATATTATATATTACATTTTTTGTTCATAAATGTGATCCTTGAAAGTTGTTTCAAACCACTCAAACCAGTTTTTGTACTTGTGTTCAGTGTTGCAAATTTTGGTTTCATTGAAGGGTAGATAGTGAAGGTTGGATAGCATCCAGTCTAATGTCACTCTTATGCGAAGCTCTATCTTTTAACCATGTTTGAACAATATATATTTTGTCACAATCTCGACAAGCAACCGCATACACCACTCCTGTTTTTGCTTCCTTTCATCTTCGTCTTTTAGGTTAGACCGAAGATAACCTATCGTTTTTGTAAATTTTTGCATCAACCTTAACGCAAATTCACCCTTAAAAACATATGGATATGGCAGGACCTGGGGCGCTCGCTCATCTTCTTGGTCGTTAAGTTGTACTCGCATATTTCGTTGAATTGTGTGGTTTTCGAAAATGTGAATCGACCTTCCCCACCTGGCGCGTCTATAAACATTGTTTATAAAAATTATGTTATAATGGGCTGGGATTAGAGATTCTACGAACTCTCGATTTTCGTGTTAGCATTAATTGATTTTTATATATACAGTGCAGACACTTACGAGTGACAGGGACGCGCAGCCTCTGAAGATGCCAGACGAAATTCTGGAAAAACGTCAGGCAGCCAATCCTACTCTAGGATCTAAGTAGATTTTATTGACATGCAATCGAATCCTGATGGGTCGTATAAATTCTTATTAGTTTTCATTTAACCAAATTTGTACAATTAAGGCCATTAACAACAAAAACAGCCGATGAAGTAGCCGCAGCAATACTAGATATATTTCGTATTTTCGGTGCACCATTGATCCTTAAATGGACGCAAGTTTCGTAATCGTGTAATGGAAAAATTAAAAAGTATGTGGCCTGGACTAATATTAGTTACCAAAAAAGAAAGGTGCAACCAAGATATAGAAAAAATTCTTGGGACATGGTTGCAAGATAAGAATACAAATAACTGGTCCAATGGTCTTAAATTTGTTCAAGTGATGAGAAATCGTGGATGTCATGACGGGATAAAACGTTCACCATATAAAGCAATGTTTGGTGCAGATTTAAAGATTGAAAGATTGAAGGAATTAATACTGAAGAAGAGCTAAGCTATTATCTTGATTCGGGTTTAAAGGCCGTCGTCGGTTGGAATTACTTCCTAACGTTTCGCTAGCACGAGTGGCGAGCTTCTTCAGAGGTCCTTCCATCTCCGATGTTGGACGTAGACAGTTTACTTGTTTACCTGTTTACCAATTTGAAGAAGAGCTGTTTGATATAGTAAAAGACACTAGCATAGAAAATACTTTGGATGAAAGTAATATTGAACTAAATAAACATATAACAGCTCAGATTGAACAAATGGACATCGATGAGAAGAATAAATATGTTGAAATTATACAGAAGGGAAACTGTAAAGATATTACCGAAACGATTCAGACAGATGCAAATAAAAATATACAGTTGGAAATAATTGAAATACCCAATTGGATAGAAGCAGTTGAAGGTGACCAAAATACTTTAATTCAAGTAATTGAAGTTCACAAAGGAAAGGGCGTGCAGAATAATCATGGTAGTGTTGAAGAAAACGTTGAAGTAAGGGAAGCTGGAAATGCTAGAAGCTTGTTTGTAAATCATGTGTGCCTTCGTCAGCAATTTCGGCCGTTTGTACATGTAAATTCCCATAAGAAAATTTAACGTCCATATTAGCGGAAATTGGTCCGCTCAAGGTCATTCGATCCCCATCTTAGCACCAACCTACTACCCTCTCCCTCCCTCAGCCTTCAAACCCTCGCTCAATCCTCACCCCTCTTTCAACCCTTAACCCTCAACCCTCACACCTCTTCCCTCTCGCAACCACTCAATACATGTAGTCACGTGAATCATCTTTTTTTTTCCAACCGAGGATCGAACCCGGGATCCGTCCGGTGTTGAGCGCCGCCTTTAACGCCGAGCTAACGGACATATTGAGCAATGTGATGGTTGAGGGAGCTGGTAAGGGGTGAGGGAGGGGGAGCGGTTGAGGGAGAGGGTAGCTAGGTTGGTCCTAAGAGGGGGATCGAATGACCTTGAGCGGACCAATTTCCGCTAATATAGACCTTAAATTTTCTTATGGGAATATACATGTAAAAACGGCAGAAATTGCTGTTGAACTGTTGAACTGTAATATTCTAGAAATCAATTTACTGTGTGTAAAAGTAAGTTAGTGCCATTAGAATGCGTGTCAAGTAAAAAAAAATCATTAAGAGACATTGCCAAAAAGCAGTCAGTTTCGGGGGAAAGAGATACCAAAAATGTAATTACAAAACTCAATGGTTTACAAAAAAATATAAATGTATGGCAAACCATTTATTATGTAATTCTAAGTGCCATTCGAGCCTATCTTGTTCCGATAAGTATGTACTAAAAGTACATTGTACTGATTCGACCCTAGCTTTGCAGAATCGGCATGAAGTAATAAAACTAAATTAAAACTCAAGCAGTTCCTTGTTAAAAAATCATATTATACAGTATACGAATTTTTTAACGACCGGAGATTTCCAGGTTTGTGAAGCTTGATCTTATAAAAGCTCTGTGTGATGTTCTTTTTTGCTTTAAGTGAATGTTTGGCAATAAGAAGGGTTTAAAATGCACACAGCATCCATACATATCCAATAAAAGGTCCAGATTTTCTTGTAAAATTGTTTTTGAATCAACATAATGAACTCGAGTTGATGCTCTTATCGATATCGAATGTTTATCTCATGACAATTTTTCAAAATTAAGTGACGACAAAGCCTATCAATAAGTTGTAACCGGATAGTGAAATATGAAAGTTCTTGGTTACTTTTTAGTTTTTGCGGTGCATTTCGATGCCACTTTGTTGAATTCGCTAGACTGTGCCGTTTACGACTACGCGGATGTGGCCTACGCTTTGAGCGCGTGTGACGTTATCAGACTTAAGGATTTCGTAGTTCCCGGGAATGCCACTTTGCACCTCAATCTTAAGGAAGGATCAACCGTTTACTTCGAAGGGGAGTTATCGTTTGAATTTTTCGAATGGGAAGGACCTCTCGTTTTAGTAGAAGGAAGTAACATAAATATTGTCGGAGGTAAAGGTAAAAAAAACGGAAGTTGATTTTCTAACGGTGCCGACCATTTAGAACGCGGCGGCTAGTTCCGATAAAATTTAAACTGAATCGGTCACTGGATATGTGTTTATTTTGAACTAATTATTGTAATAATATTAATAATAATAATAAAATTTATTTCAACAATTAGAAAAAACATTCCAAGAAATATATATGAAATGCACAATGAATTTGAGAAATTTGCGAGTGTATTTGTTCAGTCTAATGCAACATACCTTATTAGTTATGGTTAAGTTCATATTAATATTCAAATTGAAAATTTAAATTAAATTAAATTAAATCACATTGCTATTAAATTTATCACCTACTTAATTTTATTCACAGATAATTTATCACTTCCAGAATGTCATAGTCAACACTAATAAACCAAGAGTCAACAGGCGTCCTAATTTTTGTATATTCCCTATTTTGCAAAGACACTGGAAGCGCGTTATCTATTCTAGGATTCTAGGGGCTGCAAACAGAAGGCTCTTCTGCACTGAAGTAAATTTTACCACCGGTACTGGCATTGCCAGATTTGATTTTCACTGAATGGCTTATTGTTTCTTTACGAATTTTGGTAAGACTTAAGAGTTTGACTGTTTTAATGTAGTTTTGTTGATAATTAGTACTTTCGCTTCAGTAAACAATTTTTAAAAGGATATAGTTTGTTTTTGAATAATATTATTTTCAAAACACGCTTCTGGCGAAGGGAACTCTTTGAGAAACTCTGACGTAATGTAAAAGAAATATGGAATATCTTGCCGATTTTCGCAGGATATAATTGACGTGGACGTCCCGTTTAAAGTTCTGATCAAAAACTATCAATAAATATTTCAACTTTTTGGTGGAATTTATGTAAAGACCGCATTTACAATTCGTGTCATAGCCACAGTTAAGATTATGAATTTTTATTCTTTGCAAGTCTGGAGCACCAGCTTACATCACGGAATAACTAATGAATTAAGTTTTCTCTAAATCAAGTGACAACAGGCTATAATTTAGCCATTTTTCGACCTTTGTCACAGTTTCTTTGCAAGTGTTATTAACAATAAGACAACACATTCCTTCGGTAAAATAGAAAATATTCCATTCATATATAATATAAACAAGATTGGCCCCAGAACCGTGCCCTGCGGCACAGTTTTTTTACTAGCTCTCTAGTAACGTCTGTTCATAGATATAAGAAAGTGACTAACTGATACGAATTAAGGAAAGACCCGGGCAAGCTGTAAGAATGAAATATGGCCGAACAGGTCCGTACTTTGCTTAGAATTTAATTATTTGGGGTTTTGTTAGGAAAGATACTAAACAATCTTTATTTATTTTTGTATGTATTTATGTTTAAATCTAAAATAAAATTACAAATTATTTTTATTACCTACTTAAATTACTTAAAATTATTCACATAATATATCAGTATCACTATCGCTATCATCGTCTGTTCTAATTATTATTTGTTCTATATTATTTGCAATATGGATATACGATTGTTCTGCTTTTTCTATATGTTTAACAGAATTTGCCCAACTTTGTGGAGGGATGTTAAAAACTTCGGTTTCTATAAGTTTGAGGACATTGGAGTTAACACGGGGAAAAACATTGTTACGACGAATGGCAGATTTCAGTTGGTGCCAAACAAGCTTTGTCGATCCGCAATTAATTGCTTTTTGGTATAATCTTCGTGAAGATAAATATCGTTATTATACATGTAGTTTTGGATTGTTGCTCTTGTGTCATATGAGGAAGGGGTTTTAGTCAACCGTTTACTGTGATAACTTGCATTGTCCATTACAATTACGCTATTAAGAGGAATGTTTGGAACTAGTTTGTTTTTAACCCAACTTTCAAATAAATCAGCGGTGGTGTCTTCATGGTAATCCAGAGCAGAATCTTTAATATTTTTCGCAGACAGAGAAAGTCCATTTGGAATCCAACCATCTTTAGAGCCAACATGCAAAATAGTTATTCTTTTACCTCTTTTTGATGGCGCGTTTACTTTACACTTATGAGCTGTCAACCCAACCCTTTTCCGGTTTATCATAAGTGTCCAACCAGGTTTCATCCAAGTAAATAATTGGCCTTTGTTGTTCTCTGTAAATCCTATTTTTTTTCTGGATATTCCAGTCGCCATTTCCGAATTCTAAAAGATTCCATTAAAACTTGCCTTTTGTCAATTTTTTTAAATCTAAAACCCATGTGTTGAATGCACTTCCATAAGGTAGTTCTGCCACATTTAACACCGGTTTCATCTTTTTCATGCCTCCTAATTAACATTGTTTATTGTTTATAACTTCCTCAGCCTCAATAGAATAGTGTTTTCTATATTTGGGCGCAAACGATTCAACACACGCTGTATTACACATGAAATAAGAATGATTACTAATAAACTTAAACTAAGTAGTATACCAAACCAAAGAATATTAGACACAGGTAGGTATAAAATTATTTTCTATTACGGACCACAATTTTACCCGAATTGGAAAAACATTTACTCTCAGATAAAATATATATAGTTCTGAATACTATCCCAAATTTTGCCACTGCGTTTTTCAGCTGAACTGATAAATAATGAAAAACAATAATACAATATAAAAATTAGACTCCTTCACCTTGTAGGTATTTTCTCACTGTAAGGAAGATGAACCTCTCTATTCTCTTCGGCCTTTCAAGCTAAAAACTTCAAAATTCGTAAAATACAAAGTAGATAGTTAAGCGTCCTTCGATTCGAATTGATGATGCTGCCTTCTGGTTGGCTCGCCATCGATAAAAAGTTAACATATGTTAGGGTAAAAGGAGTTTAAACTTTTTAATTTTTAGATGGTGTTCTCCAGGGACGAGGCGAGTTGTACTGGGACGGAGAAGGTTCGGGTGGTGTCAAGAAACCGAAATTTTTCACTATCCAAAACACCATTAATGCTATTTTTGATAAAGTTAATTTGGTTAATTGTCCGAGACATTGCACGACAATTAGCAATTCTGAAAATATTACAATTCTTAATTGGAAAGTAGACGTTTCCCTGGGAGACGAAGTGAGTAATGATTTCATACTAGATGTAACTATAGTGATATATCGACTGTCAATGGAATTGCTAACCAAGCTAAAACTTTGTAAAAAATTAAAACAAATTTGAAACTTAGAGATGTTATATAAATAAAGTGTGATCAAATTTTGACATATAAAACAATTGAATAGCACTTCAGGTTATACCGGGGAGTGAGATCAACTTTCTTATCTTAAATAAAATATCCTGTAAATTCTTCAATTTTTGCATTGCAAATAAGAAAAAAAGATATTTGAACAAAAAATAGACAGAGTACTTTTTTTTTTAACGAGAATCACTTAATAAAAATATACCGAAAATTGGACTTTGTTGTGGTTTTCCGCAAAAACTTCAAATGAAAACAAACCCCATCTAAAAGTGCCGCTTTTATTATTCTGTGTTCAATTTAGAATAATTTTTATAATAAAGTGTTTTTATGTGTCATATATGACAATGACAGTATACTTGCTGACACAATAATTGGAAAATAATGACAATTAGTTTGTGTGGCAATAATTACTTTTATTGGTTGGTATCTAGTATCTAGAGTATTTGCAGTAGTTTAAAAAGCATTGTGCTTTATTTTACCGGAAAACATTAAATTGACGATTTTATTGTAAGTGAACTGACGGTGTCTTTAAGCCAAATCAGACATACTTGAATAAGTCACGATTTTTTTTAAAAAAATGCGGTTGTGAATGTTTTATTATTCACGGTTGACGGTACCTTAGACGTTTACAGCAAACGGTACATTAAATTGTTCTGAAAATTTGGTTATAGTTAGTAAAAATATCTTTAGCACTGCGACGTTGCCGCTTCTTCGCAGTAGTAGCATCAAACATTGAAATTTTAAATGGGACGCCATGTACATTGTTGCATTTTCCTATCCGCTAATACTTTATGATTACTTTTGAATAATATGTCTTCAGCGAAGAAAAAATGAGTCTTTTCGCTTTCGACCAAACATAGCTTCGATAAAATTTTTATTACTACGACTTACTAGAGCTAGAAAATTGAAATTTTTTACAGATTAGGGTTGTATCGAATAAATTTTTTTTAAATCGAAATTGCTTTTACATTATACAGGGTTGGTTAAAACTAATGATTTGCCTACCAGATACAAAAATGCTGAAAAGTCCTTTTTTTTAAAGGAACACCTGGTATATTATCACATATTCTAAGAGCAAATTAAATTCCCTTCGACTAAGGAAAATTTTCAGAATAGGGTATCGAAGGAATGAACAATTTTGGTCTGCCCACAATCCTCATGCCACAAAAGAAATGGTATTTAATTGTGTCTTGTGCTGCAGTATACCTGCAAATACTAAGAACAGAATTGGGTCAAAATTTTGGGTCACAAGAATTATACACGTCGGGAAGCAAGACCGCCCGATCTTAAGCAATTGGATTTTTAGCTATGGGGTCAGTATAAGTCATGCTTGAATTTGATACTGCAGAGCAAGGAAGAGTTATGTCGTCGGATTGTCGATGCCCTAAACAAATAAGTACCTAATATTTTATTAGTGTAATTAGTTTTTAAAATTTGGTTCCTAAAATTTGTGGGAAGTTTTTCTTAATTCCGCCAAATTTTCTCTTATTCATGTTTTGCAAGATTCGTTTCATTAAATTTTATGTATGTTCTCGCTATAATATGGTTTTGCCCGCACACTATTCATTAAAACAGCATTGGAATGCTGGTTTCCTTCCATTTTGAAGGGATTTTATCGATAAAATTTGCACCACAATCAATAATGAGTAAAGCTTTATTGAACTGTCAAACAGAAAAGTTATTTAACATAAGACAGATATATCATGGCCACCTAATAAATGAATTATGCCAAAGTAATTCAGTTTTTAGAGCAACTTTTATTTCAGAAACCAAACAGTTTAGATATAGGAATATGATACATCATTCGAAAGGGAATTTAATTTCCTCTTAGAATATGTGATAATATATAGGGTGTTTCATTTTAAAAAAATCAAATTTTTGTATCTCGTAGGCAAATCATTAGTTTTAATCAACCTGATTTAATGTAGAACTGTGTCAAAAAGTTTAACTTTCTACTGGCTTTAGGTATAGGACGTATTATTCAAAAACAATCATAAAGTGTAAAATTTCAATGTTGATGCTACTTTCGTGAAGAAGCGGTAACGTCGCAGTGTTAAAAATGAGACATCGTAAAACTTTATTAAAAAAAGTATCTTGTAAGACGACAACGACTTTGTTTTAATTATGGGATAGAAATCTCGATGAGATTGCTTCGTTTGGAAAACTAAGATAAAATTAAGAATTGACAATTGATAAGAAACTTCAGGATATTTTAAAAAAGCTAACTATAATAATAGTTTTATGTAAAATTAATAAATAAATTCTAAAAACACAGTTCTACTCTTGTGTGTACCCCATAAAAAATGTGTCGAGGACACTGACATCTGGGGACCTGGCTGACCATCTCATTGGTCAAGCAAACCTTGTCCAAATATAATCAGATACCTGTATTGTATGGTGAGCGCCACCTTGCTGAAACCGTATGTTGTTGAAGTGTATCAAAGGTAAATCATCCAAATAGTGTTCAAGTGTTGACGTCAAAAACTGATAAAACGATCTTCCATTCAGAGTGCCGTTAAAAAAATTAGTACCCAAAAATTCGTTTTTATAAATACCCGACACACATTAACACTAAATCTCGAAATTGCCTAGAGTTCTTATATATGTTCATTATTTCGATTGAATATTCCACAATTTGAAATTTTTTTCTCAGTCGAAATCATGTTCTAAGAAAGCTGCAAAATTGGGTCTCCTTTGTAACCAATTACGAAATTATAATAGCCTTTTGGGAACACCTGGATGTAATTTTTATTTTTGGATGTACACCAGGAAACGAATAAAATAATTTCAAGTTAATCTTACCCCATTAACTAAATTTTCTTTTGTTTTCATGTTTTTGTATTAGTTTCTCAACCGAAGCAAACTCGGCGAGATTTCTATCCAATAATTTAAACAAAGTTCGATGGAGATATCTCGATTTTCTTCATTGGTTAAGTCCATTTTTTATGACATAGATTTGAAAATTCACAGCTTACTATGGTATGACAGTTTTTGTTCAATATTTCGAATTTGGGGAAACACAAATAAAACTTGGGATCCATCAATAAAAAGGTAATAACACTGCAAAGGTGCAAAAATATATAACGACCACAAGAAGAAATGAAGTTGATGATGATTTGGGAAAAACGATATCTCATAAGGGATATTTGGCCATAGGTTTTAAAATACAGACATGAAAAAAAAAAAAAGAAAACGGGAATATCCATATTTTTCGTTATATTCTCTTGAACTCACCGATGTGCAATTTTTCCCTAATCTAAGGCATCCTGTATCTCTTACCGTTACCGAAAAATAGTGGTGAGAGTCGAATTTGAAACACCCGGTATATAAAAATGTATCTTGTAAATAGATTACTATTTTTTGAATAACTTTTGTACTTGACGTTTTACCCAAACGTTAAACAAAACGGGTTAAGGTTTATTAAGTATTTATCTGAAGATGACTGGAAATAAGTTATCAGCCAGCTTTTCGGGCTTCAGATGTTATCATTTCGTCTTTTAATTGTTGTTTAGCTTATGGCTATAACTTAAGTAAAAGTGTATTTGACGTTTTTTCTATAAACCTTAAATAAAAAAGTTAATGACCGGGGGGGGGGGATTATAAATAATCATCGGGTATCCTTAAAATATATTAGATTTTTTTAAATTTTTTCTCCTCCACCATTGTTGTTCCTTGCCCATCATTTTAGTTTTTGTCCACTTCATGTTGTGTCCATATGTCCAACACAACTAATTTCTCGGTTCCTGAACTACAACTCTGTCCCTAGGCATGAGGAAATAAATACCCACGCGCTGGCGAAAAATAAACTAAAGGATATAAGATTTCATCTACAATTTGTAATGGTTAGACGAAAAACGGTGGCATTCTCCTATTGGTGTGGGTTTCCTTTATTCTGAAGTCAGAATGCGGTTATTGTCTTTGGGGACTAAAATATCTAAGAAAGGAACCATTTTCTTCTTTCTTCATAATTAATGGAAAGTCGCTTTTCGTTTCACATTCTTAAGTAGTACATTCGAGTGTCAACTTCCTACAGCAAAGCGCACAAACTGGGTATTAGGTTCAACGTTTTTGTTTTTAAAAGAAAACTTGCAAGAGAGAGAGAGAGAGAGAGAGAGAGAGAGAGAGAGAGAGAGAGAGAGAGAGAGAGAGAGAGAGAGAGAGAGAGAGAGAGAGAGAGAGAGAGAGAGAGAGAGAGAGAGAGAGAGAGAGAGAGAGAGAGAGAGAGAGAGAGATAGAGACCTTCCTTTGTGCCGTTTGCGTAAATCTCATTAAAGTTTCGTGCCCTTTCAATATGGATATCCCGAAGACTAGTGTTTTGTTTCAGAAAGCAGCTAATGGACACTCAGCAGGCGCAAATACGGATGGTTTCGACATCTCGAATGCGACTAACGTCGTTATCCGAAATTCGACTGTGAGGAATCAGGACGATTGTGTTGCCGTCAACGAGGGTGCCAATATGCATTTCTCCAATCTCTTCTGCTCGGGAGGTCACGGATTAAGTTTGTCGGTTGGTTTCAACGGGAGCAGCAATATCGTTAAAAACGTCACGTTCACTGATTCCGTGGTTGAAAATTCCCGGAATGGGATCCATATAAAAGTGCACACGGATGCCGGCACCGGATTGATAGAAGATGTTCGTTACAGCAATATTATAGTCGCAAGTCAGTATCTACAAAATACTGGTATAAAGTAATGAACAACTTGGATTAGAATTAATTAGAATTAGCAACTGAGTCCTGATACTTGAGGAAAACTAAGTGAAATAACTATTTACAAATCTTTTGGATTCCACCTAGTATTCAACTAACCAACCTAGATTCGTGAAATAGATCGAAAATAAACTTTTAAATTCTGTACATACAATGCAATAATATACCGTATTCCATTTGCAATAAGAACGCTGGTATTTGCCCCAGATGAATGGAATACCCTGTATATATGAAAAATGAAAATAATTGAGATGAAACTAATGCATTTTTTTTCTGTCGTTCGTAGTTCTTAGTTACGTTGATAAGGATCCTTAGTTATATTTATATTTATATTTATATTTATATTTATATTTTCTATGATATGTATATAGGTAGGTATATATCTTTGCATCCCGATTTCGAAGGTATATAGTTTTTAGGTATTTGGTTCAACCGTTTTCGAACAGTTTTGTTTTGACTTAATCGATTCTTATGTGAAATGTGAAATAATTAAATAAAGTTGAAAAGTTCAAGCAATTTAGTAAGTCTATGCCTAATGATTGTGGACTTATTTTCTAGATGCACAAAAGTACGGCGTTAACGTTGAACAAAACTACCATCATTCGGGAGCTAGCGGAACAGCTACTAGCGACATCCCAATAGTTAACCTGCGACTCACGAACGTTACTGGTACCGCAACCTCCGAGAGCGTCGTACCAGTTTATATACTTTGCGGGAGTACCGGGTGCAAGAACTGGGATTGGTCCGACGTTAATATTACTGGAGGAACGCTGAGCGTTTGCAATTATTTACCAGCAGGTTTTTCATGTTAGTGGTAGTGGTTTTGTGCTAAACCGAAAATTTATGTTTCTTTGTAAAATACAGAACCCTTTTTGTCATTTTTTGTTAGTTTTGTATTTTGTCCTTATATTTTCCTGTACTATGGAAACAAACACAAGTCATACCCCTGGCTAAAATAAAAGAGCCTACAGAGTTTGATCTGTCTACACTTTTTAATATTCTAGAGAAAATAATGGACAGGAAAACAAGAACATTTCTCAATATTTACAGTATTTTGCCCCCGAAATAATTGGTTTTTAAGGCTTATGATAATAACAAAATTACTGCTTTGGGATTATATGATTTTAGCACAACCACATGATAAATCATTAAATCCTCATTTCAGTATGAATTATGAATGAATTGTTTTTCAAATATGGTACAATGTAAGGCCGAAATGATTTTCGATCTAGAAATAGGGAGGTGGGTAGGTCGAGAGGTAGGATGATGATGATGATTATACATATATATATATATATATATATATATATATATATATATATATATATATATATATATATATATATATATATATATATATATATATATATATATATATATATATATATATATATATATATATATATATATATATATATATATATATATATATATATATATATATATGATGTCATATAATTTAATGAATTAATGTCATTAACTCAGTTTCAGCCTTGTATTCTAGAAAATTTGATCTAAAGATTTGGTACAAAATGCTTGTAGTGTCACTAAATCTTTCGGAGGGATGAAATAATTACTTACTGCACCGAAAACGACATCATACTTGCAGATGCAGATTTTATTTCAAATAGTTGCTCTATCTTCTACCTATACCCAAGACCAGTTTCCAGTCAGTATTTTCTGGCAAGTATTGTATTGATAGATATCAAATTGGAAACTTTATTTCTGTATTAAATAGATTTCTTTCCATCTTGTTTTCAATAACGTTTGATATGTTGACAGGTTGTCAAATAGTAAAGGTAAGTTCAAATAAGAAACAAAAAAAATTAGCGGCCTTATTACTATATCTACTAACACTACATTTTTAAAACGGATATTAATGTGTATAAGGTACGAAGTTAAATATCCCTGTCTACGGAAAATTTACTGATAAATATGGTTAGGATGGGAGGAAAAAACGCGAGGGCTTTAAAAATAAATTAAATATGTTGAGTGATTTCTAGTGTTCTAAGACTAGTATTCCATAAGTTAAATATGGTTGAACAAGTGCGAAATATAAGGTTCTCAAGTACGACATTTCAAAATATATTTTCAATTCTTAAAATTTTCTGATTAAAGATCTTAAGCGGTTACTTGTATATTTAACGTGTTCACCCCACTTTAAAAGCGGATCAAGTATAATCCCTAAATTTTTGATTGTGGTTTTATATTTTATGTGCACAGAATGATTCGCATTTATTTTGATATTTATTTCTTGGAAGTCTGGGAGAGAGTCTGAATAACATCCAAAAGGCATAAAATTAGTCTTTTCGTAGTTGACGGTTAAGAGATGGTTACTCAACCATTTAAATATATGCTGTATGTCATGTTCGGCTTTGTTTTTAAGAACTTGCATTTTTGAAGTTTTTGGCAGACAAAAATAAGGTATCTTCCACCCAATCATTTCTTGACCCATGAAGGCTTATTTTATGTTTTCCATGTGCAGGCGGCACGTCTAGTACACTTGTTACTGTTATCACACCATCCTTTTTTTACTGTGTCTTAAGTATCGGGCCACGTTTCGTCTAAATACATTATGGGCGTATTTTGCTCACGAAATGTTTCAATTGAATTTAAATAAATTACCCTCCATTGCGAAACTCATTGACTCTTGACTATCCCATTTGCAACAATTTATCTTACAGTTAACTTCGGAACTTTTGCCATGTCACTTGCTTTTATTGCTGCTCCCACTTCTCCTTCGGAATTTCTTATAGAATTGTATACATCCAAAACAATTTTTTTAGCATTCTAAGACAAATTTGCTGAGGTATTTCGTCTTCTAAATTGTCATTAGGTTCGCTTACCATCTCCACTTCGTCTTCAAATTTTAAAGTGTTAAAAAACAGGAGCCTTCAAAAAATATTTAATTGTAAGATTTCAATAAATATTTATCCGTATTCTTATGACGCATCTTTATCTACCGCGGTAATAATTCATAGTCTTAAAAAAGAATCGGAGAACTATGTAGAAGACACAAAAATACAACAAGAATGTTATTAATCGAAAGGCGCAAACTGATCAGTAAAAACAGCCTTGCACTGTCAAAGCTCTAGAATGTCTAGAATAAGGTACACAAATATGTACTTACTGGAATATATACGATACTGGAATATATAGGATTACATTGCAATTTAGATTAAACTCTTAAGAACCTGATATTAAAATAAACGCATCTATTTATTTGAAAATACCCCCCAGCATCGATGCTTATTCAAATTTAAAAAGGACCATTTACGTTCCAAATAAAAATTTCAAGTTTTTACAAATATTCGTTACGGTCCATCTCAGGCAAGACCTGCTTAATGCAGAATAAACATCAGTTGCGATGAGTTTTAACACGGTCCTGTAAAGGTCTGCGGTTAAGGTACTGTAAAATACTTAAAACGTCAAAGCAATAAATGCACTATATTTTTGGTAATATTATAACGAAATATAATGTCATTCATCAGAGGGAGAAGACGCGCACGCAGACGAACCAAGAGGCAGACAGAAAGGAAGCACAGACAAGAACCTCGATAACGACAACTGGAGCCACAGAAAAGCATATCATAGTATACACGAAAAACAACTACATTTATTTTACGGCATGATACTTTGTTCCAGTAAAATATATTTTTTATTTCTTATGAAAGTTCTATTCTTTTGTAATTTGATATGATTAGGTATGACATTCCATTTGCTACCAGCAACATAGACGAAAGACTTTTGAAAATTTGCAGTTTTTTTGCAGTTATATGTCTGGTGGTATGATAATAAATAAGGCGGCTGGCCAACATCGACAATTTTATTTGCAAAACATATTTAATAATTTATTAGATTTTAGATAGGATGTTATGTAATATCTAAAAGGTATATTGTAAGCAAACCTCCTCATGCATGAGTTTTGAAATTTCTGGATTTTTTATGCTATCCGCAAGGTCAAAGAGTCCCCGTAGACCATGTCCCTGTAATCAAGCCGCGATAATATCAGAGTGTTACATTTTTTTAAACGTACATATGCAGTTTGAAGTTTCTTTCCAACGTACGTTTCAACCTATAATCTTGTGTCAAAGATTACCCCCAGATTTTTTGGTTCATCAACCAATGGAACAGGCATATTTTGAAATTTTATTTTTCAATTTTTCTTGTTGAACTCTCATTATTTTCGTAGCCACCAAAAAGTAAAACTTGTGGTTTTGCAGGATTGAGTTTTCAATTGTGATTGAAGGCATAAACGTGTATTTTATTTAAATCTGAATTCAATGACTTTACGATATACGAAGAGGGTCAACATTGAAAGCAATAACCCATATCTCGTTAATTGTTGTTTACAAAGAAAATACTTGGCTAGAAGGGCTTTCAACACTGCTAAATAAAGTTAATGCTTTGGTTACATGGCAGCTACTGTGCTGTTCACATTTAAGGAGGGCAAGCAAAGCATCACATATTTACTAGTTGAACACCATGTCTGCAATGTAAATTGTTTATCATATATTAAAGTAACAGGTTTTGCAAAGTGAGGAAGTTATTGAACAAAATTAATTAACATTCGGCCAATAACAATATTGGCTCACGCGCTCTTCTTCTCCTCTGCAAAGGTTTCCTGTGAATGTTATGGCAACAACCATGTCTATAAACGATCATACGAATCTCGTTAAACTTTAAGTTGGCAATAACATGAATAATATAAAGAGTGATTAATGAAGAATAACCAATCTCATGGTGATATTTTTGGATAAGTGCGAAATATGGTTTTAGCATTAAGAAATTTTGATATGTGGTCAATGATGTTTCGAATGTAAGTACAGACCACAGCGGCAAGTGTGGGGTTGCTCTTGGATTCATTTGTTTGCTAAGTTGCGATGATGGATGTGTATTTTGTGATGTAGCGCTTAATGTCTCTAATGTGGAAATTATTAGAAAGAAAAGAAGATGATAGGTATTTTAATTTTGAAAATTGATAACAGATGATTTTTGGACATGATAGTAATGTGACAATGCATTAAGTTATCGGTTTGTGTGTGTATATACAGTTTCTGTAAACTAAATAATCCAATTTTAGGTCTATTAAGAAAAATATATGTTTGTTATAATGTTTATAATTTAAATGGTTAAGATAACGGAAGTATCATCAGCGTAGTAGAACGTGTTTCTATAGTTTTGGTTTTAAATGGATGGTGTCGTGAGAAAGAAAGAAAGCCTTTTTTCTCAAAAGTTTGTATATATGCGATGACTATTGATAATGAGCAATATACTTACCTTGCGACAAAAAGCGACAAAACGACAAACTAAACAGGGGGACATTTTCTTTCAGTTTTTCATAATGTTTTATTCATAACTCGGCGGATAAAAAAATGTTATGAACAATGTCCAAATAACTTCCAAATTCGTACCTGCCATGTCAAAAAAACCAAAACTTCTAATCTTTATTGTTATACAATAAAAACTTTCTCAATTAAAGAGAAAATTTAGAATTAAACTTTGGACGTCGCATCCTCGAAACCAGGAACATTGGTGTAAATCATGTTGACTTGAATTATAATATTTTGGCATCTAGCATCTCCATTCTGTACTTTCTTTAAATATATTTCTACCGCTGAAAGGAATAACAGAATTATAAAGGATTTCGTTCCTTTGTAGCACATTTCTGCTAAGACTGTCAACGCTTCGAAATTCCGCCATGACGTTTTATCTCAAAAATAGATCTTACGGAACTGCAGAAATATCTCAATTGCTTGCTATAATGAACGTCATTTTTGGCTATATAAGCAATTCTATGAGAAAAGCAAAAACGGAAAATTTAATTTGAGAAGTCGCTTTTGTTTTCGTCTGTATATAAAACAACCGTAAATATTTCCTA